TGCCCGCCACAGGGCCGGAGCGGGATTTGCAGCACATCTGGGCTCAAGTACTCAATATCGCAGTCGACGAGATAGGTGCTGAAGACAGCTTCTTCCGACTGGGTGGTGATTCCATCTCGGCTCTCAAAGTCGCATCGAGGGCTCGGGCGGCTGGAATTGCGCATTCGGTGGAGAGTTTATTCCAGTGGAAAACACTAATGCGTGTTGCCAAACATGCTACCATCATGAACTCCGCCAATATCATGGATGAGATACAGACTGCAGATTCTTCCTTGTGGTCCCATACGCCCTACTCCCTGGTTACGGATCACGAGCGTGCAGAAGTTTTCGCTGCGCACCTCCCCCGGGGACATTCGGTGGTCAAAGATAACGTGGAAGATATCATCCCGGCGCTCCCATTCCAGGTCTTCTACATAACTCATGCATCGCCAGTCTCGATGACGCAAATATTTCCAGTGGCCCTGGACATCAATAGACTGAAAATCGCATGCAGGAAGGTTGTGGCTCACCACAGCATCCTACGTACAGTCTTTGTGGAGGCCAATGGCCGGCTCCTCCAGGTGATCCTCCGGGAAGTTGAACCTGTGCTGGATCTTGTTCAATGTGATGATCCAGAGGCATATGTCGCTCGGAAGTCCAAACAAAAAGTTCCACCCTCTACAGCCCAAGACACAATGCCAGTTGGCTTCACTCTCGTCACTAGCCCCATCAAGCAATGCTCTGCGTTGATCCTTCGCATATCCCATGCACAGTATGATGGGGCCTCCACCCCATTGCTGTGGAAGGCAATCACAAAGGCCTATCACAATGAGTCTCTCCCACAGGCTGTGCAATTCAAGGATGTCGCCTATAAGCGAATGGGCGATCTGCACAAAGCTGAGATTTCATTCTGGCGACGATACCTTCAAGGTGTTCCGTCCACTGCTCTCGATCCCCTTCGTCAGGCTGGGAAAGCACGGATTTCGGACAATGACATAGTGGAAAAGGGCCACACGGCGATGCCCTCTCTCCCACCGGACATGACCATGTCAACGCTCGTGAAAGCAGCTTTCTCATGGATCCTGTTCGGGAAAACCTCGCAATCTGATATTATCTTGGGCCAAGTTGTTCACGGACGTGGAAGTTCCTTTATGGACGCGAATACAGCAATTGGACCCTGCTTGAATCACCTGCCCGTTCGAATCAGGATTGAACCTGACTGGACGGTAGAAGAGTTCTTGCATCATGTTCAGGTACAGCAGCTAGAAATCACTGCCCATGATGAGGCATCGTTTGAGGCTATCGCAGAATCTTGCACAAAGTGGCAACCGGGCTCGAAAATGGCTTGCCTTGTTCACCACCAAAGCACAGAAGCCCCGGACCCCGTCGAAATGGGTGGTGTTCGCTCGTCGTCTAGTTGCGATTGGGCCAGCTCCAAGTTGGCGCACGGTCAGCTGGGTATCATTTCCGTGGAACAGGGATCTCAGCTTGAGCTCATGATCACAGCTACTGAGGAGACGATGGATCAACGTAGCGTTGAGTCCCTATTGGAGAAGCTGCTTGCCACCATTCAGTTGTTCTCGAAGTTTTCCCAGCACCGGTTGGCAAGGATGTCTAGCAGGATCCAAATATGATCTTGTCTTGAATCAGACGAGCGACATGTGAATTTTCATATGGAAGGGTGTGGAAAGAGGTGATGGTGATAGGCCACGACCCAAATAAGAAGGCGCTACTGCCTCAGGCAGAATTATCATGTTGACAGTCCTTTTGTGAGATAGTGCCGAGTAAGAAGTGTCTTGTATATTACCGATTTGACACACATTTCTTTTTGCAGCCATGTCGAAGTTTGAAGCACTTACACGCGTTGTTTCTGGTTATCCAGAATTACCCTAATACATACATATATGGTCACTTTAATAAACAACCACTGCTTACTAGGAGTCGGGTCATATTATGCATTATATTGTACTTGATTTCAGCGTGAAATGAGTCAAATACTGCAAAGCTCTAGGGAACGTTGTTACGAAATAGGTGGAGATCTGCCGATATGAGCTGACCTACGCCCTCCATCCTGGCCTATCTCGTTTTTTTATCGGTTCGCAGCGACATCTTTCCATTTTTATTCTTTGGGCACCAGTCGGCTCTACCGGTCAAGCTATTTCACAATAAATTCCGTTCCCTACCACCTACGATAGCGGCATCCGTCCACTACTGTCCTTCACATCTGGACCAACCCTAGTCTGGAGGAGCCGTTTCATAATAGCTTCATGTCCGTTCTCTGCGGCCCACCATAGCGAAATCTCTCCACTATTATATTGTGTGTACGGATCGACCTTGCCGGTCTCGAGAAGCTGTTTAACTACGGCTTCATGTCCATGCTCTGCTGCCCACCATAGCTCTGTGCATAATTAATTTGTGTTAGCTATATTTTGACATCATCAATTGGGCGCGTAACTCAGTTGGTAGAGTGTTCGCTTTGCATGCGAAAAGTCCAGCGTTCGAATCGCTGCCCGTCCATTTCATTTTTTTTGCTGGCAAGGTGGAGTAATGGCAGAACATCGCCGAGGCACTCCGCTAAGGCAAAGGAAGAATAGTGGGTGCTATTTTCTATGGAAATCTCAGTGGACATAGGTTCATTCCTGTTGCGGCTCGGGAAATCTACCAACAACTTCCCTCGGTCCTCGTCTGACGAGGCGTGAATCTTTGCACCCAGCGTTTTATGTTTACATGGTACCTTTCAGACATTTGTAAAGGGCGCTTAAACTTGCATTTCTATTCGCCGGCTCTTTGGTGGCGCTGTTCTGGTTTCAGCATCTATTCATGAGTACAGTCAGTGGACATAAGTTCTTGCACCCCTAGGGCCCACACCCCCTTGATTATATAATATACTGCCGGTCAAAACCTCAATGAATTCATACTATGGAAGCTAGTACGGCGTATACCATCCCTGGCTCTCAATAATAGCTTCTACACGGTGCGGCATCGTCTCAGAGAGATGCTTCAAGTGGTGTAGCTCTAATTCGTCCCATGCCTGCTGCGCTGTCGCCACCAGTATCTCCTTTGTCGTGTCATTATTCCCCATACTGCGCGTTTTAGGTAGGCGGTATAAATATCTATTGGCGGTGAGATAGGTGGGGCTATAGGGGGTGCAAGAACTCATGTCCAGTCACTGTATATGTTGATCTCTGCTATATCCACAGTCCAGTATACTACAGATTCTTTTGGAATAAATCCTATAATTTTATAGACATACCTGAGGAGAAATAGACGGTAAGAAATATCGATATCTCGAGCCACGTGGAGATCAGACGGTTCCAAGGTTGCAACTCAGCCTCATATTTGACTTGTTTGCACTCAAGTTTCAAGTTTTGGTACGGTTACGGTGGCTGTGAAATACTGTATAGGTAATATTACAGGAATTCCGAAGTATTGGGCAATGTGAGGAATACAAAAATGATTGTACTCCGGAGGTACATAACACAATACAGCAAAAAAACATATATGGGTGTGGCTTGTGTATGGCTATTCTTCAAATATCCTTCACACTACACTTTTAAACGTCAATTCACTAAGGTCGGGGTGATATGATAATCTCGCTGGAGCAAGATAGGACGAGACAGGACGAGACAGGACGAGACAGGGCGAGACAGGGCGAGACAGGGCGAGAGCGGCCCACCCCACAAAAGGAACCCGCCCCTCAATTGTTTCTTGATATCCTTCCTCTATACCGCCCACCTTTCATCTCTTGGTATTCCGTATATATTGACTGAGTCCACGGTATTAATCCTTATCCAGTTTCTGCTACCAGAGTACATCAACGATGGCTGAAATACTGGGAGTCGCAGCCACCGCTCTCAGCTTTCTCTCGTTGTTGGAACAGATCGTTCAGAGTATTGACAGGTTGAAAGCTTTACGTGCATTTGTCAAAACTGCACCCACAGAATTTCAGAATCTTATGGATGAAATTGAAATGATACAAGTTATTTTGGCAAGCCTGACACCGGAGATGCTGGGATCTCTTAATCTTCCCTCCACGGAGCGACGTTTACGGGCCTTTCAAAAGACCTTGGAATCAATAGTATCCATGATAGAGAAGTATATGCATCAAACCACGAAGGGGAAGCTAGCAACCATAAAGCTTGCCTTAAAAAAAGAATTACTCCACGCCCACAAACAAGAGTTGGAGAGTATCAAGGGCACGCTACTGCTTCTTCAGCAAGCACACTTTAGGTGAGGATGTGTTGCTTGCCTTTGTTTTCATTATGTAGAATGACATCTTGGCTTTTTCTGAAGTCAGAATATTCTACTCTAAAAGTGAAAGATCGGCATGGATACAACTAATACCCTGCACTCTGCGATTAGTACTTCTCTACGCGAACTCACACTCAAGATTGATTCATCGATCCCATCGAAAAATACCACTGTATCTGAATCATACATAGATCAAGACAAATGGTAAGCGTGATCACCATCAAAAGTCTGCCACTACTGCGTCGCAAATTCTAATCGTCAAAAAAGTCTACAAAGAGCAAAATACCCACTACTATCACGACAACGTGATCTTAATAGAAGAAAATTCCGTTTTCGAACCCCACTGGTTTTTGTGGACAAATTGTGGACTATTGACATATCTCGTGGTTTTTCAAACTTGGCTTTCAGTATCCAAGCATATAATGTCTTACCATTCAGATCACCAATATTTCATCATTGCAGATATGGTAACGTGGAAGAGATCCAGAAGCTATTCGCAAATCATCTCGCATCTCCTTTCGACTGCAATTTGGAGGGTGAAAGTTTGTTACACGTAAGTACAAGCTGCTAGCAACCTAGGTTTTTGGCTTATGCGTTAACATTTCTCAGATAGCGGCTGAGCATCGTCAGCTAGGCGTGTGTCAAATGTTATTGGACAATGGGGCCAATCCAGGCCAAAGGGACAATTGGGGAAGGTGGGTTTCCTGAATTCTAACATTGCCTTTATCCAAGCATGCCAGCTGACGCACCATAGTACCCCTCTCAAACTAATGAATACCAGTGCAAGAGACTGGATAAAACACCCAGAGAAAGTTTCCCTCATCGTTGAACTATACCGATTGTTTGCTCAAGATTTTGGAGACGATCTCTTTGAAGACCTTGATACTACAACCGGAGCAAAGTCTGGCTTCCAAGGTCCCCCTCAGGCCCTCTCTTTGATACAAGAGTACTCGTTCAGGTCCTACTCGGATTTACCTCTTGATTTTCGGTTTAAACGAGCAATGACCCTTGATACTTGGTGGGTGCACTGTGTATCCCCAACTACGCTCCAAATTGCGATGGGCGGTGATCGTATCGATCCTGCTGCGTATCTTCTTAAGAATGATGACGGAGAGACTCTCCTTTGTCAAATTGTGAGAGGTATGGCGGTTGATTTCTCCGCCAAAAGAACCGACAATCTTCAGCAATGGCGTCAGCTTCTTTCCGGTGCAATTGCAGCCTCTGCCGATCCCTGTCACTTGATGTTCTGCTACGGCAGAGCTTTTACGCCTTTCGTACAGTTTTTGGTCTATTTCACGAAAAACTGGCAAGAACTTAAGCGGGCTCGATATGATTTTAATCCCATTGTTCGGCTATGGGCATCAGAGCTCAAATTGGCAGGTGTTGATCTCACACATTACGGGGCGAAGGAGAAAACCTTGTACACATCCGGTGTCGTGAATCTAGATCTGTCGATATATGTTGGACTTGAAAAGTCCGGGCCGGCGTATGATCCTAACCAGGGTGAATATCTCGATTTTCACGTCCTATCTCTAGAATATAGCTCCAATCCTGAAGATTGGAAGCTATGGGTAAACAATCCAGTTGATGAACTGGTGGGAGAGTTTTGGGAAATGACAGAGAAGAGGGAGGAAATCATGCCTGGTACATGGATAGATTAGTCTTGGGCAGACTATGTCCACTTGCTCGCAGTCACCGCTATCGACCATCGCCATCGCTCATCCAGGCACTGCGTATCTGGCCCTGAGCACACGGCAATCATTGCAGGCAGGCTAGGTAGATAGACCATTTTTCTCAACAGAATCCACTAGCAAAGTTTTGGGCATCGTTGGTCTTCTAGGTTCAATTGACTTCCCATTCTCACGACACATTTACTCCATGCTAGACACCCGGGCCATACATTAGTTAATCAATGTTCTTTGCCTGATCTAGACACTGTTCCCATCACATTTTGCCCCAATCGGTTTATTTTTCGTACTGGAAAGATGTTACTGATATTGGAATTTTGCAGTTTTCTATTTGGACAAGCCTCACTTCAGATCACGTAGCATTAAATTCTATGGGGTTCATACTGTAACTATAGGTTAGTTATATATTTCAAATGACATAATCCACTGTCAAAAAAGGGATACAACGGAATTATGGCGAAATTCGTAAGACAATTTTCCTAAGGGGCGTGAAAAGTAAAATGTACAAACAAGTAGAAGCAAAAAAGGACAAGACCATACAACAGCATGTCTCAAGTTATGATCACCTAGTGCCCCCAGTTCGGGCAAAGGCGGCTTGCCACTCTATTCAGCCCCCCTTAGGGTACTCTAGGCAGATATTCACAGTATAGGGATATACCCTTATTCACTTCTGGTGGAACCTACGTAGTGGGGTCCGGCAAGAGAGGAGGGAGAGAGTTGTATTCGTCAAGAGGAGCGAGCTCCCAAACTATCTATCTAGCAAGGGTTGATGCCTGAGGCACCAAGGCTCCGACCACCACAACAACTTCAAATTGAAATCTTTTAACAATACGTATTTTATATCTTATAGTCAGGATTTTCAAAGTAGAAAAAGCAGCAAAAATCAAAATATATACTAGTGAGGCCTTACTAGTGGTCACTTGCCAGCCTGCTAACTTACTAGCGTAGATATCACATGCAATTATGTAGTAGTTGGGTGGCTGCCGGCCGAGTGAGAAATAGGTGAATGTCATCTTAGCGTCGCGAACGTGGGATAATAGGGGCGGGTTAGGAATAGCTTCATTTTTCATATTTTGAGAGCGGGCAGGGTTGGTGCACGTACATAAAACCTCACTACTAACCTCTAGCTTAAAAAATAAGCGATGCGGTCGGACCTAAGTCCGCGAGAGAAGCTCCCCGGAAAAGGTAAACAGCTCGTGCATAAACTAATGCCAAGTCTCAACCGTGTCTACCCCCTTCATCTACTTTCATTCCATCATAACTTAAAGGCCTATAAAAGCTAGACGTACGCTCATCTTTGTCAGCCTTCGCACTAGAAATGCAACCCTCTAGCCAATCAATAGCTGACTTTTCCTGCGATGACAGAAATCTGACTGTATGAAAAGTATGATCAATCCAGTATGAAAAACTCTAGCAATAAAACATGACAAACGCGCGAACATATATAGACAAAATCACTAGTCAATACTGCACTTGCTTGTGGGTTATCTGGACCCGAGGTCCGACGAGATTCTGGTTAAATTACCCCTATATCCGATCAGGTGGTTTTCTTCTGTATACCGGGTATTTGGACTGGGTATTTGGACTGGGTATTTGACATACAACTCAAACCCGCCACTTGACCTAAAAATGCTCAGCTGGGCCCTGTTTCTGCTAATCAACTACTACCTACTGCAAAAGGATTTTCTATGGTAGCATGAACCAAGTTAGGGGTTCGCCAGGTCACCAGGTGGTAATTACCAGTAGATTATCGTGATTACCACCTGGTGGCCTGGTGACTTGGCAAAACGCCTGCATGTAAGATCATGGCTCCTCCGGCAAGAGTCTCTTTTTAGTAAAGCTTACGGACATTTGAAACATCACTAGCAACAGTCCAATAAACTTCATTCGCACATCGGCATGTTTTTCTCAATGTATTGCTTGCCGGCGGAGTCCCGGGAAGTCCAATCTGTACATAAAGCCCATCATTCCGCTGCAAATGAGCTACCTCAACAATCAACCCTCCATCTTCCACAACAATGCTTGTCAAACTCCCCTCAGCAGTGCTGCTGGCCCTCGGCCTAACAGCCCAAGCCACCCAGATCTTCCACAACACAGGCACAACCTCCGGCTGGGACTCCATTAACAAAGAACACTCCGGCACTGTGCAACAAGTGACGAACGTAGTCTACCAGGGCTCAGCGGCCCTGAAGATGACCCAAGTCTACGACTCCAGCTACACTGGCCGGTATCACTCGGAAGTAGTCAAAAAGAATGTCTACAAACGGGGTGACACGGGCTTCTACGGCTTCGCCTTCCGTCTACAAGAAAACTGGCAATTCTCCCCAGCCCAATCATACAACATCGCCCAATTCATCGCCGACTTCGGCGATACCAGCTGCGACGATTACATGCCCTCCAGCATGGTATGGCTTGTCGGTGACCAGCTCTACACGCGTGTCAAGCAGGGTAGTGTCTGCTCACAAAAGACTGTGACTTTCCCTAGCCTGGCGACTGTTAGTGCAGGCGACTGGCATAAGATTGTGATCCAGGCTACTTGGAAGTCGGATGGCACTGGCCAATATAAGTTGTGGTTGGATGGAAATAAGTTGTTGGATAAGAGGGACATTGCGACTACCGTTGATGATGATCGGCCTTTCCAGTTCCGTGTTGGCCTTTATGCTAATGGGTGGCATGATGATAAGGGGATGAAGGGCACGCAGGGCACTAGGTCGATTTGGTATGATGAGATCGCTGCTGGGACTGTGTTTGCCGATGCGGATCCTGATCAGTGGTGATTGACTCGCGTGGGCAATAGAAAGTAAACTCAATCCATTCTTGTTGATGTTGGCTATTGGAACGTGCTGTGTTCAAGGAACGGTGAAAGTGGTGTCATTGTTAATAGTCCCGGATAAAATCATGTCTATCCTGGGATACACCCCAGTACTCCTGTGAATTCACACTCCGGTACAAAGGGAAAAAAAGTCAAATCCTACCATTTCCATTTACCCAGACATCAGACTGAGATAAATAGCCCAAACAACCCCAAAAAGATTACCTACCAGCAACCTCTGGTCAGCAGGTACCACCGTGAAATTGAGAATAGACACAAGTGGCCAGAGCTTCAACCCAGCAACCATGATAGACCAAAAGTCCTATGACATCAAAATTAGCACTAGGAAATGACGCTTAACAGCCGGTCTTGAATTCTCCAATCCACAATGTCGCGTCTGGCCCCTTTTGGACGGAGAAACATTGGGGTCCAAGATCGTCTGAAGTATATTGTATTCACGATTGACATACCGCTTGAATCTGTCCGGTGATTGTATCATAATCCAATCCCCGTAACATCCCCATCGTCACGATGAAAAGAACTGTGTTCCAAGTACCGCCGATAGCCTGATCAATGACAATTTTCGCCACTGTATTGGTGACATTCAGAGAAGGCTTCGGGAGGCTTTGATCATCTTTGTTCTTCTTGTCACCCGTTTTACCTGTTTGATCGTTTGAATCGGGCGCACGGCCAGGAAACCAGGATTCCAGACTTCCGAGCCACAGGTAGCCCAGTGGTGAGGTGATGAATGCACACGTTGTGAATTGCATTAAAGACTCGATGTCTAAATTGAAAGGAATCTGTAGATCATGTTAATTTTGTTGGATCAATCCGAATGATCGAGCATGAGCCATGTGGTTGACCTGGTTGATCTGGCTTCACCCCTGGCAGATGTCAAAGAAGTCTTCCCCACATCCTGGCGACTCGAACATTCTAACGATTCAAAGAAACAAAAAAAGAATATAACTCACGTCGGCTCGATAAGCCTTGATCCCCTGGGCTAACACGTTGGACCCCGCATTGATGAGCGCAGCCTGCAATGTGGCCTTTGCAATCGGTGGGATGGCCATAGTTTTTTTTTTCCCTCAAAATATTTGAACCTGAAGTACAGATATCAAGGTCACTGATCTGTCAAGTACAGCAAAAGTTCAACTGATCGCAGTAACTATCCCGGTTAAACCACAACACGATATCCTCAAGGTCTAGAGTGGGTCAAAGTGGACTAACCCACAAACGTCCGAGGCCAACAGAACGCAGGTGGGTTCATCCTGAAAAAAAACATAAAAAACATAAAAAACATAAAACACATAAAAAACATGGCCTCACTCCCACTTTTTTTGCTCTGGAATTGACCAAGAGTAGGGCGGCAAGAGGTTATCTAGAAGATAGAAATAGAAAAACAAACATACAACAGTGAGGATTCGCTGGTGGTCACCCACCCAACTACTAACTCACCGGCGTGTGGCTTAAGTACGGCTGAGCGGACGGGAAGCCCTGTTTTCCACACCCTATGGTCGTATGTACAGGAATAAACATTGGAGGGAAATATAGAGTGTAGATTGCTGGGTGCAGATGTGGTCGAGAGTGAGAAATGGGTGAGCGCCGCTTTACGGTCGCGCGAATTGTGCACTGATCCTATAATTTTTATTCCAGTTGATTATTCTACATCACCTATCACACTACTCTGTATAGGAATTTAATAATTGTCCCATCTCTCCCCACCAATTACCGGCCTCCATGGCCACTACCCTAGCCATCTTGCCACCCCCGTCTTCATCCCACGGACCAAATTAGGGTGTTTCATCACTGCCTGTAATAATTCAGTATCACCCAGCTTTGCCGCATAGGGGACGGCAGCCCATGCGTCTTGGCCAACCATGTGTCCAATATGTTGCATTATCAGCAGCACCATCACACAACCGACATGAGTATGCCGGAGTGCCTCGATCAGTGCTGTATTTCCCGCGAGGTTCTTATTCCGGACGATACCGTTGCAAAGTCTTCAATAAGTCCACTTCCCCCTCAATACAAGCTCGATGAAAGATGCTATTGCCAGATTTATCAGTCAAGTCCATTCTTGCGCCATGTTTAATAAAGATCTTCAAACACTCAGTATCGTCCAAAAAGTCAAAGATAGGCGGCCTTCCATCCTCATCCTACACATCAATTATAAGCTCGGTCCCCTTCTGTTTGCAAAGCAGTCCTAACGTCTCTCTCCCTAGCTCAGCCTTATCAGAGAGCCCTGCATAGTGTAGGGCAACCTGTTGGTACTGTTAACGAATATTCCTATCGGCCCCGGCGTCTAGGAGTAGCTTCACGCAGTCAACCCGGCAGCCCTGCGCGGCCATTATAAGCGGTGTTTCGCCCCAAATATTAGCGTAATTAATACTGAGCTGGTCTGGATGGTATTTAGAAATCTCCAGTGCGTAGCCTAGACTGTCGCACACATGACTCAACTGCCGCATGAATGATACTGAAACTTAGATTTGACTGGATGAACGGATCAGCGCCGTTTTGAACAAGAATCTTCATTTTCTGAGCCTGCCCGGTCGCGCTGGCCCAGTGAAGCGGTGTCTAGTGGAACATGCGATCTTTTTGGTCGGTGGGATTATGAATTACTCTGTTTGTGCTGTAGGTTTCGGCCGCGGAGACCCAGTATCTCTCGATAATTGACACGTACAACGGGGATCGGTGGTGAGGTTTCCTTTTCCAAGCCGCCCAGTTTGTGTCTGGGGGCGCGTTGTTTGCGTTGTCAACAAATTCTATGAGTTGTTGGAGAGTAGGCCGTTCCAGGTCGGAGTGTTCATACGGATCAAGAACGGTGTTGTGAATGGGGGTGAATTAGTAGTCATCAATGTAATCATCTTCTCTGGAAAACAGATCGACAATGTCCTTCTCGACTTGTGTGGCGTCTGCGCCAATAGACTTAAGGGATGCTAGATCAACAGGCTTTCTATAAAAAAGTTAGCTTGGAGCGCATGGCACGACGTCTCAATGGACTACTGGTAATGGAAATAGTAGATACCTGGTTCCTAAATCTGACACAGCAGGGTCAGCTCCGAGCTGAAGTAGATATTGGACAGTCTCTAGCTGTCGTGCGTATGTAGCAGTCTATACAGCAAGGCACGGTTAGCGTTGGTTAACATCGCAGAGAACGCCATTGACATACGTGCAAAAGTGACCACCCGTCTGTTGCCGTATCCCAAAGTGTCGCCTCGCCTGATTGAATAGCCGCCTTTAACTTCCCCAGATTCCCATGCTTGACATACCGCATCGCGTCGAATCCCTCGGGGACCATGCGATAGGTATTCAAGCGGTATCGAATCTCGATACTGGTTGTCATCATTAGATGCAACATGGCCCTCTTAAAGGATAAAATGGGAATAGAATTCTACACAGAGGTTCCTGCGTAGGTAGGATCGAAGCACTCGATCGTCGGCTGGCTACCATAGTAAAATATTCGGGCGCTGAACCCGCTCTTTGGCTCCTCGAACCTCCCTCTGTTCATGACACTTGCAGTAGCAATTATGTTGGCATGCTCGGCGAATAACGAGTGGCCCAGATTTTGCACTAACAGCAAACCCTAGGTCGCTTATCTGAGAGTTAATACTCCGTCTTCGGCTATCTTGGGAAAGTGTTATTGAACTATCGCTGGAGGTCAGGAGGCTACGGAAGCCTTTCGAGCGGAAAAAAGAGTCGACTACTAATGTTGCGCCACTAAAAGAAACTGCCTCGCTGGAGCACGAGCTCTGGGTCTACGCATTGCTGAATACGGGCGATAGTGTCGCATCGTCTGGTGGTACAAAACCACTCCCAGTTTTAGTCGACAACTGCCGTGCAGGCCTCAAGCAGTCGTGAATTCCGGTTACACGTGGCAAGAAAGGTTTTTCTAGTCCATCGAGTGCATATCAGTATCCCCACATGAAATATAGTCAAGGGGAAAGAAGGATAGTGCTTCACTAGCACATGCACAAGAGATATAAACACATGCAGCTGCGAGGACTAGTTTTACATTCGAGCACCGAGCGCTACAAATCGCGACTTGTATTGAATAAAGCGGGCTCGCTGAAGCGTGGAGGATTCGGATTTATATACCTAGGTGAGGCGCTTCTCAACTTCTGCTAGGGCTGATGATCGTCCCTGATTACTAACGCATGCTTTGGCACCATAGCAAGGAAGATTTTGCGAGTAAGATACTGTTTCAGCGAAAACCTCATACGAAAGGTACCATCTTCGGACAGGGTGGATATCAGATTTGGGTTGTCTGGACGCACCGCTACTACGAGAGCCTGAGTGATACAGCTTACATAAACACGCTGTATATCCTGCGGCTGGTTATTGAGAACGAGGCTCTCTGGGAGTCGGACTTACAGGTGGAGGCCCTGCGAGCGGTTATTTTGACCGCATAAGCAGAGGCTACTGATGGGAATTACATTCCGTGAAATTACGGGGGTCGTCTATAGCGGTGCAGGGGACGATAAGACGAATGGGAATTAAGTATTGACACGAAGATCGTCAGAAGGACGGAATCTGTAGCCTCCGATGGTATGGGGGAGGGAGTGGCTTGGAGAACGAGGTTGAGTGGGTTGGTAATGAGAAGTATGGTTGGTGTTGAGCAGCTGTTGCTGTATCGACCTATAAGCAAAATGTACTGTATTGATAGGAGGTTTCATAAGAAGCTTTGGCATGGTTCCCCCTTTGGGTCTATAAGAGCTGCGCTACCTAGTTCAACTGAGCTAATCGTGTAGCCTGAACAGAAAGCACATCTCTTCGTAGAGGACTGATGCACCGCTGTCCCCAAAATCTTCTATAATCATCGATAATTACAGCACTCCATGCATGTGAATCATTTTGCATTTAATCGGCTACGAAAATGGCATGATTTACCATGGGTATTGCTATCCCGCATTAGACAGTAGCATGCACGATATAGACAAAACTCACCTCATTTTCCCAAGTCCAGAATGTGCCGGTCTGCTCGATAGTCTTGCTTTGAATCACACCAATCATGGCAGAAACGGACTCTTGGGCACTGATCTGGCCACCATCTAGATCCCACGAGATCTCAATCTTCCCCATGTCGCTAATTCAGGTCAATCACCGGGAACCAGCAGCAGAGCGATGTACTTACGTTGCAACCTCTCCGGGATGCAGCGCTAGAATAATATTATCGCGCCCCCTACGCTTAAGCTCCTCAGCCATGTGCTATGAGTGCCGTCCAGCTTAGTTAGCCAGTGCTTTAGTGATTTTCTGAAAGGGGCGCATACACGCAGAGCCTGGTTGAGAGCTGCTTTCGACGCTCCGTATGCAGCAAACCTAGCCTCGTCAGATTTGGGCACTCGTTGCTAGGTCTAGTAATACTCCTGCTTACCCGTCTTCGAAGGACAAGAAGCGCTGCGTTGAGCCGGAGTCACTTGACATAAATGCAACGGTTCCAACCACAACATCGGATATCTGCAGCAGCTTCTGGGCCACGACGATAGGCCCGACTGTATTGACGAGCAAGTGGTGGGCAAATTCGTCAAAGGTCCTGCAGAGGGTCACCATGGGGTTTATGTAGTATGATTTCCACTCGAAGATACCCACATTTCAAGCGCCCGCTACAGTGCTGCCTGTCAGTTAAATGTCCTGTTAACCGGTGAGGATATGTCCCACGTTTGGATACTCCAGTATTCCAGCATTAACCACGACATAGTCAATTTTCCGCTCGCCAGTTTGGATGAATTGGTTGATAAATATCTAGCCATTATCAGTATAATCACTTGCGTGAGGATTGAATGTAGGTCATACATCGATACCTTCCTTGTTGGACACATCGCACGTCAGGATGGTTGATCGGTCGGGAGCATCTTGAACGATCGCCTCCAATGCGCTCCTAGAGCTGCGCACAGTGGCGATGACTCTGTCGCCGCGCGCCAGAATCTGCCGCACGAATTCGAAGCCAATGCCACGAGATGCACCAACGATAAGCCAGGTCTTGGCTGTCATGATCGATATAAACTTTATCCTAAAAAGAAAGGGTTAGGATTCTCAAGTTGAGCACCGAGGTATGAGCGTTTCGGGTGTGTTTGCAGAATATATAACGATAGTCGTAACTACTAGGGATGGGAACACAATCCCCCCACCTAAGGGAACTGGCTTGTGTAAGCCAAGATCTAGCCGCTTCCGAAGGTCCGAAATAGCCGAGGCCTGGCCTGATACAAGAGCCTGATAAGCTATAATAATGATCTAGCTAGACCAAAGGCTATCCCAGTCCCTAATCTAGCCGCCTGCAGTTTATATTACATAGAGCCTTACCTATACTTGGCACCCTGTTTGAAAATCACGTAGCTGTAAATATGAGTTTCCAGTCATTGTCCTACAGATGCTCGGAACAATAACCGGACGTGCCCTAAAATGCTTTGTGATTGGCTGATTCTCAACAACCAAATCACTCAGCTCCAATACAGAAGGTGGAGAGAGGGGTTGGTCTCACAGTTCGGCGTATGAAGATGAAAGAGTGGTGGTCCTAACTAGCTAGTTCTCTAGATGGGGTTCTTTCTGTATACCATACTGTAGCTGATACTCCATCCGGTATTGTAGCTCATGGGAGCGTCCCCTTTGCCTCAGTCCATCATCCACATGTGTCTGTACCAACCACCCCTTTTTAATTTTTACTTTCAGTCTCCATAGTTTCCAGAATGGACGTTACAAGAGCTATACTTCTTGTCCTACTTCCTCTGGCCCACTATGCCAGTAACTCGCTCTACGACAACCCCGAAATATCGTGACCGATCAAGAGAAGATATCTATGAAGACTCATGGCGCTTAGGGTTCAACCCCATTTTGGAGGGGTTTCTTGATGCCTGAATGCCTTACTTAGCACCGCTCTCTATACCGCTCTATAACTAGTTAGTAATATATCAGAGGATGGAGTTTTTAACTTCGCGGTGCCACTTCTCCCATGTCTCAGGCATAAAACGGATGATCTTTAGGGGGATTTTGATAACGATATGAAAATGAAATGGTTGAAGTCTCGGTCTAGCTTGGCTCATAGCAGCCAATGATATAAAACAATAAAGAAAAGCGATGAAAAGATGGCGGCGATACCGATTAAAACGACAGAAGCTTTTGAGGGACAAGTCTTGAGAAAAAGCAAATAACACTTGGTGTGGCTGAAGCGAGAGAGAGAGATCAGTCATAGAGGAGTGGAGGTTATATACTTGATCTCTTCGAGCAATGGACACTTAAACAAAGTATTGCTGAAAGAAGCTAGACGAGTCGAGAATTTTATTAGATCCACGCATGCGCTCCTGCCTTCAACAGCCCGGCCGGGCTAGCTCAATCGGTAGAGCGTAAGACTCTTAATCTTAAGGCTGCGGGTTCGACCCCCGCGTTCGGCTATTCCTAAAAACCAAACCTGAGATTTCTTTTTTATTGACCTCCGAAGGAGTAGCCGGATTTTATTTTGGGACACAATTTGGCGGTGAATGATGACTGATCGGAAAAATAAGATCGGAGCATGACTAGGGAAGTTTTTGGTTGGGCTACAGAGGGGAAAGTGAAGAAGTATTCGGAGGCAGAAGATAGGCTGTAGGACTCAGACTCTAGCTTCCCTCGTCTGGTTAAAAGGGCAGGGTAAGAGAGCACGAGGAAATGGAGGAGTTAGAAGAAGTATCAAAACCGAATGGCTCGAAGGTAGAGTTCCTTAGCTAATACAACACCCTAGTTGGATCGCAGGATTTTACACAGAGCGAATATACATAGAACGGGTAGAATGGCAGATATTAAAAAACAACATCTTGCAAGATAGAACGTGTGGGTTGCTTGTACACAGCCAGCCATGGAAGGATAGGTAGGATACTTACGATGTTACATTATACCATCCACCCAGATATCTGCCTATCTAGTCTGCTCGTTTCGGATCATTTGGGGGGGGGGGGGAGGTGAGAAAAGAATATTATGGCTGGGGTCACAAGAAATGAATAATTCAAATGAGACCTTTCTTTACTAAGGCTACTAAACTGAAAGTTGTCATGGTTGGACCGACTAGACTTTGAGGCTAAAGTAGGTACGGCCCGGACCGTGACGAATGTTCTGTGTACACTGGGCATGATTTGAGGCATCATCCAGGAGTTTTTGTGGAGAAGGCGACTCAGTGGGTGATCCTAATAGGGGAGGAACGCGGTGCCTCCACTGGTAATGGGAGGGATGGGGGTGGGATCTATCTGACTACATCTTAATCTGGGTCGGATTTATATAACGGTTTGTGGAAAATATTAGATTGGATAGAGGTAGAGAAATAATCATTCAATAAAATGAAGAAAAACAAAAACATACAACAGTGAGGATTCGCTGGTGGTCACCCACCCAACTACTAACTCACCGGCGTGTGGCTTAAGTACGGCTGAGCGGACGGGAAGCCCTGTTTTCCACACCCTATGGTCGTATGTACAAGCTAATGTGCTAGAATTGATCATGTTGTAAAGCTAGTCTTTAAATAAGCTGAAATCGATGCTTTTAACCGCCTGTACAAGCCAAAATATAAATTGCGATAGGAAAATTAGGTTCGTGGGCACATGTTAATTTGTCAGAATTAGTGTAGGGTACGATTCGTGTTCAACACGAAAGTAGATTCTCGGATCTAAAACTTAAGATATACTCACCAGTTATATCATATACACCACGCCTACTAGTGGATTTAAGCCTACTTTGGTCTTGCGCGGCGAGGTAGTCTTGTGGTATAATAATTAAGGCATATTTGCTAAACATTAGTTTTCTGAACGGTCTAACCACAGGTGACAAGAGTCGGGATTTACATGCACCCCATTAAATATATATCACTACCTTCAACTATTTATATCTACCCAACAATGAAATAATATCTATACAATACTGCCCGTTAACAGATGGCTATCCCCGACCGGTGTATCTTGGTATTGGCTTGCTAGAAGACAGTTCCGGGTACGTAGACTGTGGGAAGAGCCTCTTGGTAAGGAAAATTAACACTGGTTAACTATTATTATACTATAAACCATTCCCGCACTTAAGCAGGTACATACGACCATAGGGTGTGGAAAACAGGGCTTCCCGTCCGCTCAGCCGTACTTAAGCCACACGCCGGTGAGTTAGTAGTTGGGTGGGTGACCACCAGCGAATCCTCACTGTTGTATGTTTTTTTATTATTATAATCTAAATAACCTCTTGCCGCCCTACTCTTTATTCAGCCCCATCAGCCCATTCACCTAGATGCCCTGAACAACTTCTACGCCTTCTACACCTGAATATCCTGTACGCCCCTGAACCGCTGACGTGTTTTTCCCCTCGCATACCGCCCTTTTCTCGCAGGCATGTTGTTTTGATCACAGTAAGCTGCTTCTCGGAATCAAAATTGTGCAAATGCTCCAAAGAGAATATCTTAACCAGCCACCATCCTATCATCTATCTTCCAAGAGACTCGAATATCTATAAGGCTTCTATTACCTGTCAGATCTTTCAAGCAAAAGAGCGCACTTAATTCAAAATACTCCTCTAAACTAGATGACTGGCATTATTCTAATCTCGAACCGGTGCACCATAGTAGATTCGTGAAAAACGTTAGGGTCATATTTCGCACTGGGTTTTATAATCATAGACTACTAGGTGAGTTTCACCTAGCCGAGACTCACGCACTAACTTCGCCGGAATGGCAGGACTTATACCGGAAACAAAGCTCCTTGAACAGCCTGGGAGCATACATCAGTATCACATTTAACGTTTCACATATATTTAGGGCCGAGGAGGTTGCGATACATCGTTGTATTGCCGATGACACTAGGAGGGGTGCATTGCCAAGAGTACCCCTGAATCCCTTGGCGAACGCCGAAAATGTCTCCACTTCAAATGGGCTTTCAGTCGACGTAGGAGGCTGGCGCTTAATAGTGTATAGTGGAATCAAAAGGCTTTGCGTCCCTGGATCTCGCTGCCCGGTGGGCCGCTAGTTTAGTCTCGATACCCTATTATGTTGTACGCCATGATTAATGTGTATTCGTGTGCGACTTGTTGGATCTTGGGTGAGATCTGTGGGAAAAAAAACCCTTCCTGTGAAATCCAAGAAAAGTCGCGTATCCGGAAACAGGGTGTTGAAACCATGTTATACTTAGGTGTCTATGAGCACTATGCCGATCGGCCACTGCATTAGGGCTATATATTGCCTCGCCCGTAGGATGGATTCATTTAGATTAACTTTAGATTTAGTTATTCCGTATATTCATTTAATTTCATCTATTCAGATCTACACCAAGGCTTGGCGATAAATGAAAGAAGACGAACCAATTAACTCCAAGCCCTAATGAATAATGGGACTGTTTCAGGGGTGAGCGCAGTTCGAAGGCGTATAAATACCCTAGTAGCCTCTTTCTCTCTCTTCTACTCATTAGTTAGTAGGTCCGTTTGTCCTTTTTCCAGTCACTCTTTACACGATATCATAGTCGCTCTTTACAATGCAATTTACTTTTGCCCTATTCACCGCAGCTGCGCTGCTGACTCCTGTCTATGCCATTGGAATCACCCCTATGAGCCGCCGCGAGACTAGCCGCGAGAGTGGCCTTAAGCTCGAATCCTGCACTACCAGCCAACAGGCCGCAGTCGAAGCTGCCGTTCAACGCGCCGCCTCTCTCTCCAAGGCCGCTGCTGACGCCGCTATCAACGGAAACGCTAGCATCTTCGAAGAGTACTTCCGCACTACCGACACTGCATCCCGCCAGGAGGTCGCTGCCCGCTTCGAGGCCATCGCCAACGAGGCCTCTAACCTCAGCAGCGGCAAGGTGACCTACAACTGTGGTAATGACATAACACAGAGCGAGTGTGGCAAGGGTGTCCTCGCCTACGCAGTCTCTGGCAATAACAAGATCGTCAACTGCCCGGACTGGTATAAGATTGTGCCCGCGATCGACAACTGCGGCGGCACTGATCAGGGCCTCGCCATGATTCACGAGATCTCGCACATAGGCGACGTCTACAGCCCGCCTACCCAAGACTTCGCGTACAAGTACAACGCCCTCGTCGAGCTTCCCAAGGAGCAAGCTGTCCTGAACGCCGACACCTACAACCTCTACGCTGGTGGTGAGTTTTGCTTTATTCCCCTGCCCATCATGACATGCAACTCGTTAACTGACTGCATCCTCCAGCCATCGATCTTGACTGCCAGATTGGTGAGAGCAAGGGCGTTGAACTCCCGGATTGGATGGTCGCTGAGATCTTAAATAACAACAGTAAATAGATACCTATTTGTACACATCATCGTTTGATTCTGCTAGACAGATGCTATGGGAATTACATAGTATTTTTTTTTTTTGCTGTCTCAAATTAGTTCGTCGTCAATAGATTTTGTTATAAATCCAAGGAGTAACTGTCAGTGTATTCCGTATCGTAAATGTAGGGTCCAATTAATGGTCTTCAACTCTCTGTGTTGCTGTATCCACTGGCAATTCATACTATCCTGATTACACAGGAGATATTACAGCATTGGTAGGATTAATTAATCCTCCGGTATACCGGCGTAACTGCGCTGACAGCAACGGCAAGCCAAATTTGTAGGGGAAGTAATATCTTAACTAGTTAACGTATTTCATGCGCGGGCTGGCCACCCCAAAACACATAGTAAATGCAATATATTCTATACTAGTATCTCAACAACCACGTTTCTATCTTATTTCAGCGTTTGCCGATAACCGTTGATAAGCCTTTTTAACACTATATATTGATTTCAGAGAGATCGAAAGCCTACATTGTTACGGTATCGAAAATTACGCTACTAGGAGCCAGAAATATATATATCTTAATCACCAAGTGATGGGAGTTTTTTTAAACTCCTCCTAGAGACTAGATACTACCTGAAAAGCATTGGGTTTAAAAGGAAAGTTCTTATAGCCTACCATTGTTGTGATACTATATTGTAATTTATTGCTTTTACTATGTGTTTTAGGGTGCGCAGCTCGGTGGTGAAATACGTTAGTTACTGAAAGGGGTGTCCCATTACAGGGAGGGGGTGTCCCTATACCAATCCCCTATAGATATGTAGGAAACAAGAATATATTCAGAAGCAAGTTCAGATTACATCAAAGAGTAAAGCAGCGCCCTTTTTATAGACTATTTAGGAGGAAAATATAAGATAATTGATGGTATCTTATATTATCTCACGATTTATGGCGATTTAGAAGTATGTCATAATATAGTTTACCAGTTATAATATATCTAAGGATCTCTTAGATATTACCAGTAACTTATATCCGATCTCCTTCACACCATTCTACTCTACCATAATATACTATTATATCGAGAAACAATATTCAGGTGGGTGAATATCCGCCCCGAGTTCCCTGAATAGAGCGGCGAGCCGCCCATGCCCGAACCGTGGGCGCTAGGTGACCACGGTCATACACATGCTCTTGTATGTTTTGATTTTTTTGCTCCTTACTCCGCATATATCTGTGAATTTTGATGAATTATCGAAGAAGCAGGAACATATGGAATTTGGAAACATTCTAACAAGATTCAACAGTACAGAACTTGACCCTAATGGCAACTTCCTATCAGCATGATGAATCTCAAACGAGGACCCAAAGTAAAAGGACACTAGGACCAACTGTATTGAAGAATGTGTAGTGTTGTTGTAAACCCCTTGTTTGTCAGGATTCCGAGGTCAGAATTCCCCGTGGTTGCCTCGCCTGTAATCACAATCAGCGTGTTGTAAGCCTGGGTGTCCCTGCATTTAGGTACGCCCCTTACTTTCTTGCTCTAGCGTGAGCCTTTGTTCTTCCTGGGGCTAGCTCCGAACGGTCAGTTGCCAACACCACCGGTGTCCCCCGAGCCAGGCCCAGTCAGAGACTTGGATTTTCTTCATCAATTTAGGAATCTAGGGTGCCATCATGACTGGCGAACTCTGTCCTAGTTTATCGGCCACCTTTGGCGAAATCATACATTAGTGACTTCGGTTGCACATCTGGTAGCTTATTGAACGTGTCTTTTCCATCTTAACTCCTAGTCAAGTATCACACTTAGTAGCTTGGTGGTGGGCGACATTTACATATTCTCCCCGATCGGCTGAGTGCCCTATCTGCCAGCAAAAGTAGTAGTCTATGCAAGCTTTGCGACACCATTAATAGTAATAACTGTAGTCGACTCTAGATACAAGGGAAACACTTACTATCACTATGGTGGGATACTCGATGTTAGCACTCCGAATAATTAAGGCTTGCTGCCATCCATCCTCCAAACGACCTCTTCAGGCTTTGGGACATTATGCAATCTGAGGGTGGCGAGATGTCTTTTTCTGGTGAAGAGTTTTGTAATTGATATTTTAAGTGAAACCATACCCAGAATATATATATATATATATATATGTCTGTGTGTGCTGTCCCAAGGTAGAAAGAATAGCTACAGTGAACTTGGTTTGGTTGCATAAAATATATATTTTAAGTTGAGTGATTCGCTTTCTGTGAAGCTTTATTCCAAAATTTGGGAACATGCATTGGCATTAAACTGTTTATACATTATTATGAAGAATCATTCAATTGTCTGGGTTATCTCAATACGAACCGAAAGCCCTGGCCTGACGTTTTTCAAACAATGAATCTACTTTAATTCTTGCCATCCAGTCTGCTTTACCTGAGCATTACTTTGTCCTCTCAAAATGATTACAGTATCTTGTATGTAAGGACATTATGAACTTCTCGAATGATAGAAACAGCTAGCTGGGTGGCCAAACGTTTCATACGGGGATCCCACCAAAGCGATGATTTGATTGATGGCATACTTAGAAACGCATCAAAATCACCAAAGCTACTAATCGACCAATTCAATTATATAGAGCAATATTCCACAAACTTGGTGGCTGGCTTAATAGGCTGTTACTCGACAATATATTACAGAGATATTATTGCGTTTATGCTTGCTATTGTAAAGAGCTGATATATGCTTGAAAAGTTGACTTGATTCAGCTAAAAAAATGATCTAGACTATTCGATGCTCCACCATGGAGAGAAAGACGCCATGAGAAGCTATGCAAAGATATGCGTGCAGAGCACCATGTCGAGTCCAACGTCTTTACCCTCCCAATTCCTGATGTATCGCCCGAATGAGAGCGATGGAGATAACAAGCTGGGAGCTTAGGCATCGATGGCGGTGCACTGTATGTGATGAATCAAGATTAGCTGGTGCTATAAATAAATAATTGGGGAAAGTGTTTCTTACGTCCTTTCCAGTAGGGCAGCAAGCAATAGTGTTCTTGCAGGTAGTTCCCTCAGTACCCTCCTCGGTGAAGCCTGTGAATATATAATTAGTATGGTGTGGAAAAGAAACCATGAACAAAAGTAGCGTACCGAGAATGTTCAAGTTCTTGATCAGACTCTGGGAGGCACAGGCGGAATCGCCGACGCCGAGCAAGTTGTTGAGGAGACCCTCCGCAAGAAGGTTGCCAATGATTCCATCGCCGCTGATATCTTTCTTAGGGTTGCAGCAGGCGACCTTTCCGGACTGGCAGAGCCCTTCGGCCTGGGAAAGAGAGATCTGCTTGGAGGATTTTCCGTGGACAGGGGCAGTCGCGGCAACAGAGACGGCGAGAGTGACCAGGGTAGCGATAGTGAACTTCATTTTGAAGGTTGGGTGGTTGAAAAAAAGAAGGTGGGTGAAAAGGTAAGGAAAGTGTTTTTAAAAGTGATGACTGAGAAGAGGATGATGGCTAGAATTCACGTTCGTCGAGTACCCTTTTATATTTCTAGACGACCTTCAACTCATTGAGCGCAAGTGTGATTGAACACCCTAAGCCTCCTAGCAGGAAAACATCCCTAGGCTCGGAATGCTACGTAACTCTAGTTTTGCCATCAAAATTAACATACCTACGACGATCGGTCATTGTTTCACCTGGATTTTACGTACATTCCCACGGTTTAGATCTAGGGGCTTCGACTTAAGTTCCGAAGGGCGACTGCGATTAATGATATCAGGTAGACAGATCTTCAGGAGATTGTATTTCATTCAAATTACCTATGTGCACCTACAGAGGGGGGAAAGAGAAAGAAAGGGAGTGCGATTAGGATTTGTGGGTCTCCCTAGGAACCCTTGCAAGCAGAGCAACTTCGAAACTGTCTCGAGCAATAGGAAGGCAAAAACCTCAAAAAACCCCATAACAGCTGATCAAACAGAAAGGATAATATTTGGAAATGTTTCGCTTGTGAAATACCTGTTACCCAATTTCTAGACTTCCTTTCTGCGATCATCTGGCTGAGGGTCCAGTTTTAGCAACCGAGAAAGTTTGCATAGAAAGTCGTTAATCAACTTGTGCCTCTACTTTATTTATTGCACTCATTAGCTAGATTGCCTCCAAATTGCGTGAATCAATTTCTAACTCCTTCGTGGTTGATGTTTCAAGAACAGGCGCCCCTGGCCGCCCCCTAGCGCTAGCTGATCACATACATTAACGAAAAGACTAAAGATTTCCAAGGTTAGTACCGATATGACTGGTATTTTACGGTATTTACAACTAGGGACTGTTCCCCCACTCCATAAATATCGTTTTGTATGGTAAATCAGGTTCAGATCGCCTATGTAACGCTTTACGAATAGCTCCTTGAGGCTCCAAGGTGTAACTAACTGGACCCTGTCTGGGATCATGGCCCTTAACCTATGGGTGGTTACCCGCTATAATTAAGCATTTGATCGACCTCGGGCCTGTCCATTATGTAGGTGGCTTGTTAGAAATAATGGGGCGATTCAAGGTTGCCGAGTGCATGGTCCCCCATTAAAAAATGATTCTAATCCTATCGTAACTAATTGCGTTTGTCGAAAAGGATAATGAAAGGACTTGGTACCTCGGGAGTGATTTTGTCTCCCCATCTTGGCGCCGTGGATCACCAGATATGGGGTAGATCATGGTGGTCTGGAAAGGCCCAAAAGACTAACTTGATTTTTGTATGATTTGCCAATGTTTTAAGCTACGTATTGATTTGATCGCGCGGGGCTCCGTGCCCCCGGAAGCAGAGAACCGGGCTACCCGGACCCTGGTGTGTAAGGTAGGATTTACATTATCACACGAAAGTTCTCGGAAATATCCGGCAGGAATTTAATAACCACTCGGGGATCAGTGGGGTTGCACAGATCAAGATCGAAGAATGTAGGAGGCAAAGTCCAGGGGTGATGATGATCTCTGATGATCTGTATCTGCCTTGGTATGCCTGTCTTAGATTGGAAAAACCAGAATTATGTCGCATTCCAGCCTCAGAGGCCTTCTTCCCAAAAGGGAAGCAGCTAGGGGTGTTCACATTAACATATATAAGGGTGCCCATGGAACCTGATTCCGATTCTACAACACTTCACATCCTCCAATCATCCTTCACTCTCTACCAACATTCTTCTCTCCATTTCCATCATCTCATCAACCTTCAAGATGCAGTTCACTTTCGCCACCCTCCTCACTCTCGCTGTTGCGGCTGTCGCTATGCCTTCCTCCAACGGAAGCCCCAAGGGCGTTAGTGTTGAACAGGCCCAGGGACTCTGCCAAGCTGGCACTGTCTCTTGCTGCAACCCTAAGAAGGATCTCGAGGCACAAGGCATCCTTGGCAATCTCCTCGCCGAGGGTCTTTTGAACAACCTGATCGGCACTGGCGACTCCGCCTGTACCTCCGTCAGCCTGATTAAGAACCTCAACATTCTCGGTGCGTTTCTAATAAATCATTCCTACAGACATGATACTTACAAAAACCAGGATTCACCACCGAGGGCAATGAAGGAACCACATGCACGAACACCATCGCTTGCTGCCCCGCCGGCAAGGAAGTAAGCGCAATCTCCATACTTGAAGCTATGAACCCAACTAATCTCTCTCTCACCTAAACAGTGCACCGCCATCCAGGGTTAATTTCCCTACTTGGCGTTTTTTTCTATCCAAATCCACAGACACGGAAAGTTGGAAAGCTGCTCTATCCAAGCATGCTTGGATAGCTCGTTTGTTCTCTATTTGTGTGACCTTATTGATCGTTCCCTGAACCTCTTGAGGAAGCTTAGTATATCTTTAATAATACCAACTTTCTGTGATATATGAGGAAAGACCTATTCTGTAGAAACGTACTGAAGCCAGCCGAATAACCAAAGTGTCGGCTCCTGAGATCTTGTAGTACAGCATATAAGTTAAGCGTCCTCAAGGTCGTTTGTCTTCAATGAATTTTACTTCTCGCTTGATCCTCTTGATGCCCGCCATCACTATAGAGCCCTGTGCATTTCCATCATTTCGTGGTTAGTATATATATATTGCTCACTGATAGCTATCGGGAATCCTAGTTAGCGTGCTCCATAAGCGGGCGTGGATCACCCGAAAATACATAGTCAACCCCATGAATCACAACATGATATCTCAAAAGCCACGTTGTTCTTTGATTTTATTCTCACTTTATAACTATTGTGTTGTGACTTGAGCGGTATATACCAATTTCAAGAAAGTCAAAAAGCTGTACTGTCGTGATATTTACTACATTGCCCAGCTACATTTCTGTGAGCTTATCATAGTAGCCATAATCTATACTGAAGAGGGCCCCTCTTAGAGGGGAACGCTGTAGCCAGTACGTTCTCAGGCATACAGGCCGATTCAGCATTTGTAATTTCACGGGTATTCTTCGTGCTTATATAATAAAGCTGCGTAGTAAGGAGGAGGTAGGTACCTAGAGATGGGCTAAATACGTAGTGGAGGGCGAGGTCCCCACTACAATATATATCTTGCGTGAATGCCCGATATTTCCGCTGTTCGCCTGTCACCTAGCTGATTTATTTGCATTATTTGCCCTCCGTACTTTAGAGAATATGGTTTAGGTTAAATTGGGTAAGCCCCTAACTTCACATTTGTGTTTGCTTTAAGATTCCTCTGCTCGGGCTCCTATCAATACCAATCTTCATGGGCATTCTTCATGAATTTAATGATCGAACTAAGTTCCAGTGGATTCATATCTGACTCGTATCGAATGCAAAGGTAGCAATAAATACCAGTGTGACCGAGGCTCGAGCATCCAAAATGAAGTTAGGCGTAAAGCATCCTGGAATGAGACTGGAATGTTGGACCAAGAAAACCGCATGATTGAAGGCCAAGGTAGGAATCTGATGGGGTCGCTTGTTAGATGGGAATGTCTGGTAATAATTCGGGAACAACAGCACATGTGCAGCATCCTTCCATCACCACGTGTCAGCCGACAAAATTGTCCGAAATCCTGGATTCCCTACTTCGTAATTCGTCTTTTGATTTTCCAATCTTCACATTCAATGGCACGGCTTCACCCCTTCTTCCTAACCTAGCGGGTGATGTGACGAGCAATGCTGATTATATTACGGAGTGACACCTGTGTTCATCTGTTTGATGATTTGATCACCAAACACTCCAGGAAAACGGTGGGGGCGAAGTCAGTTTCTTGCTGCAACATGGCTACCTAAGCTAGTGATATGACGATCGCCCTCAGCTATCACGCTAGCATATGCTGCCTTGTTGCAGCAAGGGAGCTGACCCCCTTCACAATTAGCTTGAGAAATTTGGGCAATGCGCCTAGTACCTCTCAAGCAGGAATTAAAACGAGACAAAATGTGCCGAGGGCATTTCTACGCCTAGCTCACCACGGCTGATTGCTCAATCCTTTGGTCCATTGCTTTCGACCGTCAGACGCAGTTTTACATTCGGATTTCCATTTGTCAGTGTGTCATTTTATAACGTTCCTCTGAGAGGTTCAGATGATCGCCTGAAAACCACATGCCTAAATAACCAGCAGGGCAGCTTTTCACTAGTTCTAAAACAAACTTCGATATTCTTCATAAGAGGACTTCGAAGAACCCTCAGACCGATTGGATTCCACCATCGACAGAATTGGGTTTTTTACGAGACATCGCAAGAAGATGACTACTCGCCCTGGTACCTCGACGCTGAACATACCCAACTGCCGAACGGAGACGGACGCTCGAAAACCAGATGAGTTGTGGAAATACTTGGATCAGGTGGTGGAACTGAGTCGTAGTCGGCCCAGAGAACTCGGAAAAAAAACATAGCCTTGAACATACCCACCAAACTTAGAACTCGAAGAGCATCTATCGTAAGGTGAACAAGGCAAGGCTATATCGCATGATTTTTCCTTGGGCGCTCTGGTTATATTCTTTAGACTAGTTTGCAACGGCCTGTTGGGGTAATCCGGTCTACTTCAACAATATTTATGACGTATTTAATCGTTCACGAACAGAGCCATATGGATATACCTGTGAGAAATTCTTCATATTCTCTGCCACCTCCCCCTTCTGCCAACAGAACTGGACATATGCACCATCATTCCGTAATAGCCCTTCTCCCTTTAACCGTAAATACTCAGCTCGTAGTAAATGAGTGAAGCCCCACATTTTGCTAACAATTACCTCTTGCCGACCAGGAAACTTATACATCGAGTGACATAGTGCCTCCACTGCAGTCGGGCGATGACGATCAACAGTTCGCTCAGAAAGCAGAATCTGACCCACGTTTACTCGAGCCACCTTGCCAGCTGGTTTACCAAATGCGCCTCGCATCCCGGTTTGTAAACGATCCGCACCGGCAACACTCAGCATCTTGTTAATTCGGATTATATGGTAAGGATGAACTCGGACGCGCATGTCGAATGTCTCTTTATACGCGACCTTAACGAGGTATCTTATAAGAAAAAGGTTAGTTATATTATGAAGATAAAATTATACCTTAAGTTAACCTACTTATTGGCACAGATACGTGCAGCTTTTAGAGCTTTTGAGCTCAGTTGTTCGTATTCATTCGATACTAGTGCACGGCGCACGGGAAGTCGTCCACAGAAGCCTTCTTCCGTCCTAGATCAAAGATGCGGATCTTACCATGTGGAACACCACGGTTGAAGCGTGACTTAGGGTAAGACTGAAAAATTCTATCTTAGATGGGATACGTCGTTGTGAAGTAGCCAGATCACTACTAACTTTGTTCTTGCAATACTGGTAGCACCGAGCAGGTCTGCGCGCCATCTTTGGGAGCTTGATGAGAAGGTCGTGAGACAAAGAAAGATAGAAGAGACCGAGCGATAAAAAGGAACAAATAAACTCGTTAAATAAGTATATCTTAGGGGAATTGAGTTCTCCCGACTCGGGCATTAAGATCCCTGGGCCCACCTGGCTTCGGGTTCCGAAGGCGGCTTAAATGTTTCCCCACCCGTAACCTTAGATCTATCCGTGAGATCGGTCTCTAACCCGAAAGTCGATGATTGGTAATATTCCCTACAGGAAAAGCAAATAAGTGTGTATTTTTCATTTATGTTGTTTCAAATCCTAACTCAAAACTTTCTTTCTCGGGCTTTCATCCAAACATTTTTCTTTCGATTGGCCCTTGATTTACGTCGCAATTATCATCAATGGAGAACTACAGCGACATATCCTCGATCGATCTCGAGGAAACCTATAACAGCTTCGATGGCACAGTTAGCAGGGCTCCGGCCAACGAGTTTGAGATTCCTCGCGCCACATCAAAGGATGGAAGTGGATTGGCATGGTGCTGTCAATCCTGATCTCGACCTTCCTCTTCGCAATGAAAACACCATCACCGCAAACATGTGATCGCTGAAAACCATTGAGAATTGTATCCGTAATCTCTGTCGTAGCAGTTGCCGCGGTTCTTAGGACCCTGAGCCAGTTCTTATGAACTCACTAACAGTGAGTCTTGACATAGCGGTATAGAATTCGGTGTCCTGGCCGGTGTGTTCCTTATAAACATTTGCCAACTCTGTAGTCATCTGAATCGCCTCTGTTAAATACTGACCTATCTCTAGTTAATTCTGTAAGCAGAAGGTAATCAGCGTTGGTGGGATTTTTCTGCTCTGTCAAGTTATGGAGCTCTGTCCCTAAGTTATCTAGCCGTTGGACTAATATCTGGCGAGAATGCTCGTTCTTAATAACAGAGGTGAGCACGTATTGGCTTGGCTGGTATGAGTCGTATTGTGGAGGGCTGTCATGGCAAAAGGGGACTGTCTTTGATTCTTGGCCTCCAAAAGATAGCCCGGATATTTTCAGGGAATTAACGATTCTTGTATGGTTTTGGAAGTTTTTGTATAGAGGAAAAATCTGAAGAGAAAAATCCGGGATTGGGGTTTAAAACAGCAGAAGAGTATTATGTACGGCTTCTGCCAGCCGCCGCTTAATATGGATTCCAGAGCCATAGTAGCCTACGCCAAACTAATTCGAGCTCCGCTAACCTTCCATCTAAACATCCTTCCAACGTTCTTTATGTCTTCGCCGATTGACCAATTTGTTTGTTTATATTATAAGCCTATCCCACACATGGACAAGTACATACGACCATAGGGTGTGGAAAACAGGGCTTCCTGTGACGATCTGTTTGGCTTGTTTGTTTGCGACAGGATCCCACAAAGGATCCTGCCCAGTAGATCTTTTTCTTTCTTTTCCTTCTCTCTCTATGCTTAGTATTCTGAATAAAATGCACTCTTTTTGTTGAAGAACTGGCAGGTCACATAATACTAAGCATCACTCTCAATTCTCATTGACAGTACGGCTGTACAAACCATCAATTTGATTGGTTTCGGCCCTGTCACATCCCCACTTTCGTTCCTTGGCACCGTACAGCCAAGACCTTGACCCACGTTAATCCCGAACCCGAACCGAAGAATCTGACTAATCAGGATGGTTGGATCAAAGCGAAACCCACCGATGAACCGTGGCAGGCAACCCGCTGCCGTGCCTGATGAAGATGCCGAAAGCCATGAGCAGGAGCCTGTCGCTGCTCTCGAACCGAGTACCCCGACCCCCGATCCGCAGAGACCAGTTGACACTGGTGAACATGATGAAGAGGAAGAATAACCGATCCGCGCACGACTGCGCCAGACACCGAGCAAAGAGAGATTCATTGAACTCGCTCGTGACCACCAGAGATTGCAGAATCTGGTTCAAGAACTCGAAGATGAGATTGTCGTGCTTAAGGCAGATAGAACTGAGACTGATATCGTGAATGAATCACTCCGTATTAAGCGTGACGAAGCTATTACCCACCGAGATATTGCTATTCGTGAGCGCGGCGACCTTGCCTTCCGTCTCGTGAATCTTCAGAGTCAGAATACCCGTACCGGCGCACCGATTGTGGAGGCCGCTGCTAACCGAAAGTCTACAAAAATGCCTGATGCACCTATGTTGAATGATGGAAAGGAAGTCCGATTCGAAACCTGGGAGACTGTGATTCGTCAGAAGCTTGAGGCGAATGCTGACCACTACCCTTTGCCTGTCCATCGTAAGCTCTACGTTCAGAGTCGTTGTGAAGGTAAAGCTCAGCTACACATTGCTCCCCGGATGAGTTCCGATGCCAGCTTTCCGTACGCAGACGCTGAGGATATTATCCACCACCTAAAGACTGTCTTCGCGAACCTAAACAGACGTGCAGAAGCATACACAGCATACCATAAGCTTAAGATGAAACCTAAGGATAGCTTCACTGATTTCCTTACGGAGTTCATGCAGCTCGCCGAAGAGGCTGTCGTTATCGCCGAGAACCGTAAGCGAGACCTATACTCGAAACTCCCGTACCTGCTTCAGAGCTAAGTTATGTGGGCAGTTAACCAGAATACCGTTTCATTCGATGCATTCACCCAGAGCTGCCAGAGTATGGCTCACGAGATCAGTCTTCAGCAGGAAGCAAAGACCTCCTCACGTACCCGGTCTACGATCCCCGCTGCCGGCGCCGGAGGTGCATCTACCGTGAACCAGCTAAGCACTCCCCGCGTGAAGCGCGAGTACACTCCGAGCCTATCTGCCTCTGAAAGAGAGACCTTAATGAGAGAAGGACGATGCTTTAACTGTAAGGAACATGGACATATGACCCGTGATTATCCGAAGAAGAAACCGACTCTCGCTGTTATGATAACTACTCCCGTTATGAACCCTCCCCGTGTGGACGAGATCGTGGAGCTAGAAGCCGATACCGATTCGGGAAAAGCTCCTGCCTAGGCGAAGTCTCCCTCCTAGGCGGACGGAAGGTGTCACTTTTCTCGCTGGATTTGCAGAAGTTGATTAGGGGTCCCAGAGATAGCTTAGTTTTCAATACACAGCTAATGCACAATGGACGCTCATTTTCTATTTTAGCACTTGGTGACACTGGAGCAGATGGATACGTTTTTATTAATTCGTTAATGGTTGTATTACTTAGTAAGCGTTTCGGACTTAGAGTGGAGAAACTGAGTCGTGAATGCCCAGTACGAGGTTTTAACGGTAAACGAGCAGAGCCGATACGACATATGGCTGTCCTTATAATTTGTATCGATGGAAGGATTCAGCGTCAGATCCCTATGTTGATTGCAGACCTAGGACGATATGACATGATTCTCGGACGAATGTGGTTCGCTGAGCATGATGTCCTCCTTGATTGCCGACGACACCGAATGATTTGGCCAGATGAAAGAACTCTTTTCGATGAGGTGGTAAGCAAGATCTCTGTCCTAACCCCGAAGGTTATCCTGCAGAGATCTCCGTAGGACGATATTCACCAGAAGGACGTAGACCGAAGAGATCGTCTCTCCGAGCTAGCAGAGATAACTACACAGATGCAGAAGCTAAGGGGGGATATCTACCCTCACGCTCGTGAGCGCCAGTACGGTCATTGGCAGATATAAGAGCAGAGAAAGATGGTACGGAATATTAAGGATGAGATACTAAATGTTCCGCTCTCCTACGAGAAGGAAGATAAATCTCCCCTTCCTACAATTAATATCAGTGTAATTGGAAGAGTCGGATTCGATAGATGGGAAGCACGAAAGAAGAGAAATCCTACCGGAGGAATCGAGATATTTACTACCTCACTCTGTGAGATAGATCGGATTCTCACTGTGAAGTCATCCGGTAACGAGGACCCCGAACTCCGAGAGATTAAGAGGATATTACCGTCGGAGTATCATGATCTAGTCGAAGTGTTCTCGAAAAAGAAATCAGACGAATTACCCCCATACAGAACCGGTGTGGATCATGATATCGTTCTTAAAGCCGAAGCATAACCTGGTTACTGTCCCCTTTACAAGCTATCTCTTAACGAGCTGAAAGCGGCGAAACAGTATATTATTAAGAATCTGGATAAAGGCTTTATTATGCTAAGCGCTTCCCCTTACGCATCCCTAATCCTAATGGCGAAGAAACCTGGTGGTGGACTCCGTTTCTGTGTGGATTTCCGGAAACTGAACGCAATTACTAAGAAGGATTGTTACCCTCTTCCCCTGATCGACGAAGTACTTTAACGAACCAGTAAAGCAAAGTATTTCATAAAGCTTAATATCAGACAGGGTTTCCACCGGATTCGTTTAACCCCGGAAGCAGAAGATCTGATAACCTTTAGGACACGATATGGATCCTTTAAGTATAAAGTGACACCATTTAGGTTAACGAATGGACTAGCTACGTTCCAGCGGTTTATGAATAACATCTTACGAGAATGTATGGATGAATACGCAGTTACCTTTATGGATGATATCCTTATCTACAGTGAGACTCTTGAAGAGCACCAGCGATAAGTGAGAGAAGTGCTTTCCCGCCTACAGAAGGCCGGATTATAAGTTGCTCTCTCGAAGTGTGAATTTACTGTTACGAAGACCAAGTTCCTTGGGTTTATCGTGAGTACAGATGGCATCATGGTAGATCCTGAGAAGATCCGGGTGATCTAATCATGGAAGACCCCATCGACAGTGAAAGGCGTGTAATCCTTCCTCGGGTTCTGTAACTTCTATCGACGATTCATCCAGGGATATAGTCTGATTTCGAAACCTCTACACCGACTAACGCGGCATGACGTCCCGTACGAGTGGTCTACCTATTGTGAAGCAGCCTTCACGCTCCTAAAGGAGAAGCTGATCACTGCACTAATACTCCGTCATTACGACCCAGCGCGAAAAATAAGAGTAGAAACTGATGCTTTAGACGGTGTGTTAGGAGCAATATTGTCTCAGTACTATGAAGATGACGATTTCTGGCATCCAGTGGCTTTCTATTTAAAGACTATGCAGGCTGCAGAGTTGAACTACGAAGTGCGAGATAAGGAACTCCTTGCTATCATCCGTGCATTACAGGAATGGAGACCAGAGCTCGAGGGTCTCGCGCGACAGGATCGTTTCGAGATTCTCACAGACCATCAATCCCTAGAATACTTCATGACCACCCGATAAATGAACTAACGACAGGCGAGGTGGAGCGAGTTCCTCTCGTAATTCCATTTCTTGATTAAATATAGACTAGGAAAGAAAAATATTGTGGCAGATGTGTTATTAAGAAAGGAGTCACCTTGTGTCGATAATGGTAGACAGCTGACGCTCTTACCGGAAGACTGTCTAGAGAAGGGTGTTCGTCCGCTGGATTTAAACCTAATCTAACCAGAGAACGTACAGGAAATTGTTGAAAGAGTGAAGTAGGTAAACCGTGAGAGTTCGGAGCTTAACGAATTCCGGCGGATTGCAGAAGAAGGGAGTAATCCGAAATGGACCCTCCGAGATGGACTCCTCCTCTTTGAAGAGCGCCTAGAAGTTCCAGATGAAAATGATCTACGTGCTAGATTACTTGACGAAGTACATCGATAACCAATGACCTCACATCCCGGTATAGAAAAGCTAAAGAAGCTTATCTCTATAAGATACCACTGGCCCGGATGGATTATGGATATTAAGCGATATGTGGATAATTGTTTAGTCTGTAAGCGGACTAAAGCATGGAGAGACCGGACCCCTGGTCTGCTGCATCCCCTTCCTATCCCAGAGAGACCTTAGCAGCATATTTTAATGGATTTCCGCTCTTTCCCGAAGGACCGACACGGATACGACACTGTCTTTGTGGTAGTTGACCGCTTTAGTAAGAGACCGATTTCCATTCCTTGCTATAAAGATACGAATGCGAAGCAGATGGCTCGGTTGTTTATCGATAATGTGATACGAACCACCGGCATCCTAGAGACTATTGTCTCTGACCGCGGAGGACAGTTCGTTTCCGAATTCTGGACTGAGTTCTGTAGAATCCTTAGGATTAAGAGGAAGTTATTAACTGCATACCATCCCCAGACCGACGGTCAGAGTGAGATTGCGAATCAGTACATGGCCCAGAGACTACGACCGTACGTTAAACAGAACCAGGATAATTGGTCAGAAATACTACTAATGGTAGATTTCGCAGCTTCTATCCTTCCCTAAGATACTACAAAGAAGTCCCCGTTCTTCATCGAGAGAGGATACGAACCGGCTATGTCTTTCGACTGGAGAGACCAGGAAACTGTGACACCGAATGAGTAAGACGCCGTGCAGATGCTTTCTAATCTATAAGAGATCTAGACCCAGATAAAGGAGCAGATTACAAAGTCACAGCATTTATAAGTCCGATAGGCAAATCGGCATCGGAGAGAGGAAGATTTCGGTGTTAATGACTACGTTTTCGTGATAACGAAAGACTGGCAGCTTACTCAGCCAGGTCGGAAGCTTGCTCACCTAGCGAGTGGCCCATACAAAATTGTCAATAAAATCGGTAACTCCTACGAACTTAAATTGCCGGATTTAATCCAGGTGCACCCAGTTTTTCATGCTAGCAAGCTACGGAAAGCGGCAATAACTGAACCTTTGACAGGACAGCATGCTGATCCTTCTCCGCTAATCAGGATCAACGAAGAGGATGAATGGGAAGTCGACAAATTGCTGGATGCGAGGACCTACTACCGGAAGCTACAGTACCGAGTACAGTGGCTAGGGCATGATCTAGATCTACAGTGGTATCCCGCAGGGAATTTCAGGCATGCACCGCAGAAGGTTCAAGAATTCCATGACCGGTATCCTTCCAAACCTGGACCCCCGATGCGTTTACAAGACTGGGTTGATGCCTCTCAGAATGATGCCATACTCGATGAGCACGTTGATGACGATAAGCCAGCATTCAGAGACTGAATGCAGTTTTAGCCGGGGGTTATGTGACGATCTGTTTGGCTTGTTTGTTTGCGACAGGATCCCACAAAGGATCCTGCCCAGTAGATCTTTTTCTTTCTTTTCCTTCTCTCTCTATGCTTAGTATTCTGAATAAAATGCACTCTTTTTGTTGAAGAACTGGCAGGTCACACTTCCCGTCCGCTCAGCCGTACTTAAGCCACACGCCGGTGAGTTAGTAGTTGGGTGGGTGACCACCAGCGAATCCTCACTGTTGTATGTTTTTTTTCTTTGTTTCTTTCATGGAAAGTTGGAACTTGCTCTGACTATCTGTATGTTTGTTAACTTTTTGGCAGATCGATAAAAAAAATAATTATTAGAACATGCTCGAAAGTAGGATTAAACTGAATTATGTAAGGCACATGTCACTGTAGCTAATTTAATAGCCGGTTCCATCCCAGTTGATGATTTTATATAATAATCCATGTTACGTGCTAGGTATTTATGAATAAAAAAGTATAGATAATCTAAAATGCTAGAAATGGGGAAGAAATGAAAGAGAAAACCAACAAATAGTTCAAACAACATTGAAAGCCTATCTAGTGCTATGTGTCTGATCGTAACATGGAGTGCAAAACGGATGTGAAAATTCGGCATCGGGTAGAGCCCACTGTGTGCTGGGTACGTGCTGGGCTTGGCACGATTATATAGGATTTTTTGGTAGAGGTAGATATCGGTACCACATAAAATTAATAACTACAAGAATATGATGTTTTTTTAGTCGTCTCTTCAGCGGTCTTTTCAAATATTCTGTCTAGATGTATGTCTTTTGAGGTTTTTTCTTAGTTTTATCAGTAGGTAGACGGCAGAAATAAAGCGGAAAGAGGACCTTTCCGTGTATACCCTGGGATATATTTGCTAGTGGATTTTAATAAGGTTACTAATGTTGCTTTTATAATGATTATAAATCCTTTACCCCAAGGTTTTTGTTTCAGATACAAGGACACAGCATGGCTTTGGGCCGGTGAGTGGACACTACAGAAGCCGAGTCATGCATATGAAGCATATGGACTATACCAAGAGGTTCAATGCAGGTCATAACCATTTAGGACTGCTCTTATTCCATCGCAATATCAGAGATCTTGCACTATCCCTTCTGATTCTTCCCATCTCCATCTGTCTCAATGCTACCTGACCTCAACCACATTGTCAGCATGACTACTACGCCACCCTAGTTAATCAAGATTACATCAGGAAAAGCGCGGGATGGGTCGTAACCGCCAAGCCTAAGCCGCCCCTCTTGGTATACTAGTAACAATCTAGATTAAAATCCCGCACAAAGTCAGTTTGTGGATATACCCACCAGTAACATTGTCGTGAAGGACCACTAAACTTTACCAAGCATCCGAAGTATTGCCGGAACATATATTAAAGAGAGTGCGTCATATGTGTGCACTGACTCTACACTCTGCACGGGCAGAAGTTTCCCCAGAAACAGGAATGTGTGGGGTCCCCACCACCCCCACGAACCTAAAATGTCCTCAAGCCACTTCTCGGTAAAAGTCCGGGTGACAATGTTACACTGACCGGCAAAACTTCGGGCCTATACTTCCCCATATTCCGGTAAAGGCCTTCGGTTCCGATGCCGATGGCGGCTTCCGAGTTGCGGGGGACTATAAGAAGGGGTCCGGGGAGAACCTAACTTCCAGAGACCACTCGAGTTTCTCCTCTCTAACAAAGTTACGAAAAATGCCCTGCGTCACTCAGTTCGTGGTTTCAGGGCTTTTGGCCGCCACACTGGTCAATGGACAATCATTTGACGGATCTGGTCGAAGCGAAGATGCCTTCGGCTATGTACAACCCAAGAACACAACTATTCTGGGCCCTTATGGACACTCACCTGCTGTCCTTCCCTCACGTATGTTGTTAGTCAACTCCTTTGAATTTAAATATCCTTCTAATCCTTACTACAGCAAATGCTACCGGATCAGGCGATTGGGAGAAAGCCTACGCCAAAGCCCAGAATTTTGTGGCCAAGCTGACGGTCGATGAGAAGGCCGACATGGTTACCGGCCAGCCAGGTCCGTGTGTGGGAAATATCGTCGCTATCCCGCGACTCGACTTCCCAGGCCTTTGCTTGCAGGACGGCCCCCTGTCAATTCGAGTCGCCGACTATGCTAGCGTCTTCGCTGCCGGTGTCACCGTGGCATCCACGTGGGACAGATCTCTCCTCTATGAACGAGGGTATGCTATGGGAAAAGAGTTCAAAGCTAAAGGCGCCCACATTGCACTCAGCCCCGTTGCTGGTCCGCTCGGCCGCTCTGCCTATGCAGGCCGAAACTGGGAAGGCTTTGCTGCGGATCCTTATTTGACCGGCGTTGCTATGGAGGAGACTATCCGTGGCCACCAAGACGCTGGCGTGCAAGCTACTGCTAAGCACTTTATCGGCAACGAACAGGAAACTCAGCGCAACCCTACTTACGACACGAATGGAACCGTCACGGATGTTATTCAAGAAGCACTTTCCTCTAACATTGATGACCGCACCATGCACGAGTTGTACCTTTGGCCTTTTGCCAATGCTGTTCGCGCCCAGGCTGCCAGCTTCATGTGCTCATACCAACGTCTGAATGGTTCTTATGCTTGTGAGAACTCCAAGGCGCTCAACGGCCTGCTAAAGGAAGAGCTTGGCTTCCAGGGATACGTCATGTCTGACTGGGGTGGCACTCACTCCGGTGTTGCCTCTATTGAGGGAGGTCTCGACATGAATATGCCCGGTGGTCTTGGACCCTACGGCACGGTTCCCGAAGCCGGCTCTTTCTTCGGCAAGAACGTGACTTATGCTGTCAATAATGGCACTGTGGATGAATCTCGGGTCGATGACATGATCGTCCGCATCATGACCCCTTACTACTGGCTCGGCCAGGATAAGAACTATCCCAAGGTTGACCCTTCATCCGCCGACTTGAATACGTTCTCGCCTCGGTCAACTTGGCTCCGCGAGTTCAACCTCACTGGGGAGCGAAGCCGTGATGTCCGCGGAAACCACGCCAAGCTGATCCGTAAGCTTGCAGCTGAGGCTACTGTCTTGTTGAAGAACGAGAAGCAGGTTCTTCCGTTGAAGGCCCCTAAGAACATCGCCATCTTTGGCAACGACGCGGGCGAGAACACTATGGGTGCTGTCAATCAGGCAACCTTCGAATTCGGAAACTTGGCATCTGGTGGTGGCTCGGGTACCGGCCGATTTACCTATCTCGTCTCCCCACTCGAGGCTATCAAGACTCGCGCTAAGAAAGACAACGCTCTCGTCCAATACTTCTTAAACAACACCCAGATTGCGACCGGGAGCGTCACCGACCTCTGGGTTCCTACCACTCCCGACGTGTGCCTTGTCTTCCTCAAGACCTGGGCCGAAGAAGGGGCCGACCGCGAGAGCCTGACAGTCGACTATGACGGCAACAAAGTCGTCGCGTCCGTCGCCAAGTCGTGTAACAATACAGTCGTGATTACCCATTCCTCCGGAATCAACATTCTCCCTTTCGCCAACCACCCCAACGTCACTGCCATCCTCGCCGCACATTACCCAGGCCAGGAAGCCGGTAACTCCATCGTGGACGTCCTCTATGGTGACATCAATCCCTCTGGCCATCTTCCCTACACAATCGCCAAGAACAATACCGATTACAATGCCCCACCCACCACCGAGGTGTCCACCAAGGGCCCGGACGACTGGCAATCTTGGTTTGACGAGAAGCTCGAGATCGACTACCGTCACTTCGACGCTCAGGACATCTCCGTACAATACGAATTTGGCTTCGGTCTCTCATACACGACTTTCAACCTCTCCAACCTCACTACTAAGCCTGTGGCTGATTCCATCCCCTCTATTCCTGAAGAGCAGCCCGTCCAGCCTGGCGGAAATCCCGCTCTCTGGGCGACACTCTACAACATCACCGTCTCAGTTACCAACTCTGGTGATGTCGAGGGTGCAGCTGTTCCCCAGTTGTACGTTACCTTCCCGGATAGTACGCCTGAGGGAACACCACCTAAGCAGCTGCGCGGTTTCGAGAAGGTCTCTTTGGCTCCCGGCGAGTCCCGCACCGTTGAATTTGAGTTGATGCGTAGAGATCTGAGTTATTGGGATATTGTTTCTCAGAAGTGGCTCATTCCTGAGGGTGAATTTATTATGCGGGTTGGATTCAGTAGTAGGGATTTGAAGGAGGTTGCTAAAGTTACTCCTGTTCGTGCTTAATATGTGTTCCATATAGCGCTTGTGATTCTTAATCAGATGCCTAGGTTGCAGTTTCGATCCACATCTGTTACCCAAATGAAAAGCACATGAACCAAATCCCAGTAGTATGTGCGTGGTTAAATCTATGATAATTCATGGGACAAGGAAACGAGGCCCTGAATATGTAATTAAATGGCCCGGGGATTTGTAATCAGTCTCTGCAGGGTAGCACGGAGCACCCGAAGTTCTAATCCACACGGAGCATGTATATAAATCGTAGACTATACTTCGTATGGAGTACAATCAATCAATCAAAGAAAGTACAATTAACCTGTTGCAGTCTAACTAATCGCGTATGACTATGCAGACAATTCATCCAGCTGAAGCAAGAACTCGAAGCCAAACGCCGAGTTGGGATCATATAGTGCTCCTAGAGGGTATACAGAGGCTGATTTGTAGAGAGTGTGGAACCAGCCCATTCCTACAACCCATAAACCCACAACCCTATAAACCTATACATAAGAAATATAAATGACTGCCATAGAGTGTACCCTCCATCTTCCATGCTTTAACTCTCACTTTTTACTTCTCCCTCTCGCTCTCCCTATGCTCTGCTCCCCCCCCTGTCTTAGTTTCAATTGATGGTGAGGTTTCTCTAGCCAGTTGTTAGATGGCATGTTTGTCGATTCTGGCTTAGTTTCTCGTTCTACAACTTCACCTGTCGTCATTAGCTAATACCCATCCCATTATCTTCCACACCTAGGTCTATGGCCGCGAGGCCTATCGGTTGGTCGTCGCTCTCGAATCCCACGTGTTGAAACTGCTAGAGACCTATTCGGTGCATAAAGTTGACCACATAGCAGGTGGCCTACGAGTTTGACACGATCTTATCGTAATCAGTCTCCTCGATACTAACTGCCCATAACTACTCCCACAATTTTGTACGTGGGATAATATACCGCGGGCACTATATAAGAATATGCTTTAGCGTCTGTGACCCTATATCACAATTGTATCGATCTGTTTCTACTTCCTTGATTTTGAATAATAAATGTCCGATCCTTGTTGTGCGCATTTGAATCAAAATTACATATTGTGGCTTTGACAAACCCTCGTATAAACGAAGCGTCTTATTCGGCGCCTACACTAAGCGCTTTATAGATGCGGAAGTTATTTTCCGCTCCCACTATTTCTCTCATAGCTCTCTAATTCGCTAGTGAACCGCTCTCTTAGCAGCTACGACCAGACGAATTATCAGTTCACCCGTTCTGCTTCCGGTTGCAGCTCCCATCTCCGCACTAAGAAGCGCCCGTTTACTTCCTTATCGGTAAATTTATTGCCGTCCACACACACCAACGTGTGTAGGGATCCACCTAATAGTGATATTCTTCGGTTAGTTTATTCCCAACCGGATAACCCGTACGTGACCATATATCATTGCGAGCACGTACTAGCCAGACAGATGCTATAGGTTTTGCACTGCCTAGACGGTAAGGATTCTTATCGTGGCTTTTCAACGACTTACTGTAGCCGTTATCTGATTGCCATGAGAAATAATTCTGTGTCGAGTGCTGCTCCCACTGTCCCGCGGCGTACAGAGTACATACGGCCCTACCGAGGTCCTATAACATGCCTACATATCCAAGCCACAGCCGAATCTGTTAATCCGGGTTTAGACGCCACCCTACGGTTCCATTCATGCTAAAACCGCTATGTTGATAGACCAGTTTATGTTCTATATCTCTTAGATATTCTGTCGCTTACATAGGTACTTTTTATTTTTTGTGTTTCTAACAAAATAATTCTGGCGCGCGGCATGTTAGGGCTATCGGCAATGCTCGAATTTCTAATTACCGAAGCGAACGCTCTCCGTACGCAGGCACGTCTTTATATTTAACAGGTGCAGAAGATAATGCAAGATCTCTCGTATTAAAACTATGGAATGAGAGGGAATAATATATGACAGTATTGATATGAGACGCAGGAAAATCTAGAGCGCGTTGCATCATGGTTGTCCGCAGAGATTGCTTTCTATGGTAGCCAGTATATGCAGACCACGTTAGGCAGACAGCCCTAATTTATTATAGGCTATTTACACTAGACCCGACGGTATAATAGATAATGTAGGTCTCAATTCTTTGCCTCTGAAAGATTATGTACTTTTGCGCGGGAGGTTCTGTGGTGATGCCCACGCTAGGCCTTGTATATTACAGGGGTATAACTAACTAATTAACACTGTTGTGTATAGCCGAACTGCTGGATTTCCTATTGGTACGATATGAAATGATCTTATACAATACCTAAGAGAAATGCTATTTTGGCTTAGCTCAACTGAATCAGATATTATTCAGGATCCTGCAGCTCATCCCCATGTCGGTTTACCGGAGCGGGTACGAAGTATATAATCTAACCCAGTCTCTGCTTGATATGAGAAACAACAATCAATTTCCCTGTCTTTCATTTTACTTCTTGGTTATTTTGCTCATCATGCCCCCTCTCATACCTTATCATGTTTCTGCAGGAAGCAACCCTATTGTCAAGTATGCCTACTACCTTTAAAGAGACTACAATATCTAAACATATCGTCTCTTAGGTTTGGAGGTGCTCTTGTCACAGAGTTTCTAGAGCCACCTCCAGGTCGATGTTTCTGTTTCCGTCAGAAATACTACCTCAAGCCCCCTATGGACCAGGACGATCCCGACTATGACCGCATCAATGAAGCTTTGAATCATCCATCCGGTCCTCCTCTCCATTTTCACCCATACCAGAATGAGTACTTCCGCGTGGAGCAGGGTCGGATGTGTGTCGAGATGGACGGCGTTCTGCGTGTGCTTACTCCAGAAGATGGGGAAGTCATGGGCCGGGCAGGAAGTATCCACCGCTTCTATGTTGCTCCAGATAGCACCGAAGACATGGTTATTATCTTGAGTGCATCCGATCCCGGTCTCGATTATCAGCTGGATCGGGTCTTCTTTGAGAACTGGTATGGCTTGTGGCATGATTACCTTGTGCATGAAGGCAAGATGGATTTTATTCAGTTGTTGTGTGTACGTGTGTTATCTTGCCTCCCTTGCCTTCTACTTTATTCCCATACCCCACCTCTCTCATCTTGTAAAAAAAGTGCTGATCATCGAACTAATGTCCTACCCTACTACAGACATACGATGGGGGCGATGCCTATCTCCTGCCACCCAGTTGGTTACCCAATCGCCTGCGAAAGCTCATTGGTTACTGGGGTGGAGTGATTGTGGGCCGTTGGATTGGGGGTCTTCTCGGCTATAAGCCCTTCTTCAAGGAGTACACGACCGACTGGGCTTACGCAGTGCACAAGATGGAAGCGTCTTCCTTCACCCGTCGGACAGTGGGCCGTTCATTTACTTCGGCCATGTCCTGGGCCCAACTGCAAATGCGCGCTGTTCAGTGGCAAAATGGAGGCGGGACCAAGAAGATTGTCGCTTCGGATGTCAAAGTTCACACCAACGGATACTGAATATTGGCCATATTATCCCGTCACATTGCAATAGATAGGCAAATAGAGCAAGTAGAGCAAACTAATATGAATGGATTCAACACTGGTTTCTTTCTTCGTACAACATACATAGTAGACATTACTCCTTTGGACTTTCCCCTCTGAAGGCGTGGTCCCTGTAGAACGTAGAACACGGAAAGCAGGCGGGTAGCGGGAAAGGCGCTAGTCTCCGTTATCTTATCTTGGTACCATTGGGCGCTTGGCATGCTTGGCAAGGTTAATGAAAACGCGAAAATGCCGTGTGCCGTTCCTGCCTTTCCGATTGGTTGCTCCTTCCTCAATGCCCTATTGGCGGAGAATGGCAGGACGCACCCGTAGACCTACGTTACCAATCTAGGTAAGTACTGCCGCGACTCTGTTTCAAGGTTATCAATCAATACATCCATCCTACCGTCCGAAATCTCCACCACAATTAGTCTAAGCCCGCTCTTCTTCATGCTGTACAGTTTTGCACCGCCGCGATCAGGTCCCCTGGTTAAGCGACGAAAAGTGCGCCGAGCATGCGACTTCTGTCGCCAGCATCGTGTTCGATGCGATGGCACACTCCCGTGTTCACAATGTGTGACGAACAGGGTCAAGTGCGTCAAGCCCCGGGCCTCGCATCTCCCATCGCCGCCTGACTCCGCTCGAGCTGATCATATCCGACTCTCTGCCCCCCCGTCTCTCGCACCATCTGTCCCATCATCCCTCCCACCATCTCTCCCTTCATGTACTCCACCTTTCCAGTCAGTGAGCTCGTCTGCCCCGGTTTGTTCACCACGGGACTCGACCCATGTAGTTGTCCGCGACCAGGACTGTCTTACCGGATTTATCTCGCGGATCAATACCTTTTGTTCTGTCGTGTCACAGATGTCCGCACAATCATCTCCAGTAACTGACGAATCACCCTCTTCGGAGACTTCGTACTCCACTCCAGACTTGCTTCAAAATGCAGAGCAAACCCTTCCGCGGTTGAGCACGTCCAACTCGCAAGACCTTCAACAAAGCCTACTGATGATATTTTGGGCTCGCTACCAGTGCTTAGCGCCGATTGTGACCCAAGAAGACGTATTAGATTCTGAGCCGGGTCGAAAGCAGGGGCCCTTGCGAGACGCACTAATGGCGTACTGCTTGCAATCAGTCTATCATGCTGGACTACATCATCGTCTCCTGGGCGTCAATACGACACTAAATGGGGCACAAGAAAGCGCTTCGAAAAAGCAGCAGAGCCCTCTGGTAGCTTTGTTTGCGGCCTACTTTCAGAAAGCTTTGGCGAAAAACAGTCATTTTCTCCTATATGCGGAACCATCTGTGTCAGATATTCAACGTCATATTCTGATGGCCCTGTTTCTCCTGAATTCTGGGGAAGTCCTGGCCGCGTATAATATTACGGGGGTGGCTATTCGACTTGCGCAGTCGCTCGACCTGCAGAATCCCCCGGAATCTCACATTAGTCAAAAAGAGGCTGAAATCCGCGGTCGCGTGTGGTGGATGTTGGTTCACCTCGATTTTCGCTGCTCGCGATACCTGGGTAAACCCGTTATCGTCTCTCTAAGAGACATGACACTTCCCATTCCAAATTACAGTCCCTCTACTGCCTCGGCCTTCTCGGACCTGGTATTTCACTCAGCAACTATCGCCCTAACGGTTGTTGGAAAAAAGGTTGCCGAACTTTTGGCGGCTCGGCACGATACCATGAGTGCGAACGACCCCATTGGACAAATCGAGCAGTTTGCGGAACATCTCACTCACGAAATCAGTAATTTATATGAATGGAGGGATCGTATCGTGAAGTCAGAGCCATTCAAAGACTTGGTGCTTGTCGGTAGCGCTAATCGACCTCAAACGTATGCCTCCCGGGAAAAACTAAGACCTGATGACGATACATGGATGTTTTATCACTCACCTGCTCGCATCTTGCAACAAACACTCCTCGAGCTTCAATTTCATGATCTTGTTATTTGGTTTCACCGACCATTCATACAGTTTCCCAGTCTTGGTCTGGTCCCTCAACGCAGCCCGGGAGCCGACATCCATGCGACAACAGCTATTCGGCACGCTTTAATGGCCATAGAGACCGTCCACCGGCGCATGCTCAGTCATGATGCTCTTTATGGATGCTCCGATGTTTACCAATACGTGTGGAACGCAGTCCTGACTCTTGTGGGCTTTATGTTGGCCTATCCTTTGTGCTATTGGTTCTCTGTCGCGCGACAGCACGTGGAGCTGTCCTTTCAGGTTTTTGACACAGCAAAGACCTCGAATCCCATTGCGTCTCGAGCTGCACATCTCACTCGTTACCTCCTGGGCCGAGTCAATGCGCTCATGGAAGTACTCAATGCGCAAGCTTCTACATCACATTCATATGGCCATTTGCCTGGTGACAAACGAGCCACGGAAAATTGGGATGGAGTAGATTTGAATGAACAATCATCAGGTCTTTCCGCAGTTACTCCTGGGACTCATGACCTATGGTCCTGGGCCAACACGGTGGACCCTGAGACTTGGTCTGGTTACTGTCATGAAATCAATGATATGCTAATAGATCTCCCTGAGATCCCCTCTGGCATCGATCATTTCGCCCAGTAAGGACAATCTTGGAAGGTTACATTACGGGCAGCATGCTTTTGTCATAAGTTTTTTTATCTCATTTTTATCTAATTCTGTATACTATGATGATGATGATGATGATGATGATGATGATGATGATGATGATGATGATGATGATGATGATGATGATGATGATGGTGATCTCATTAACCCGATGTAGCTCGCTATTACATACATGCTGCTATGTGGGGATTGCGTCCCAGAGCCTGCTCCCGACGACAAATGGTGTTTTACCTCCAGTATACACCCACCCTGTATACAGGACTCGAGAGAAATTCTGTATACTAGATACGAATATCGTGACTCTTCTAAGAGTCGAAGAAGTAATGTTCAAGAGAGAGAAAAATGGCCCAAGGATAACACGCGCGATGTTCAAAGCGTCCTTCAAACAAATTGTCCGACCTTCAACTTGTCCGACGAAGCAAATTCAGACTGGCGAGTTTCCAACTCTTCCAAATCCCAGTTGACAGAGAGGTGACGGCCATTGAGATACTCAGGACGCTTAGCGGCCAGGTATACCGTCACAGCTCCTGTCAATTCCGCTATACGAGTAGCACAAAGTTAGCAATTATACTCCCCGAGGAAATTTGATGTCTCTTGAACATACCAGTGTCTTTGGCAAATGGTTTAAATGAATCCAATGTCATGCTTGTTAGGACAATACCCGGGGACAGACTATAAGCCGCCACGTTTGGGTTCTCGGCGGTGACGAACTCTGTCATCTTGGCCACGCTTAGCTTGCTAATGAAATAACTACTCAGCGACGGAGGAGTCAACGCAATTGTGCTGATCAGGTTCACCACTGTGGGCTTGATCTCCGGTGTCTGGGCGATCAAACGCAAGAAAGCCGCTGTGACATTGTATGTACCATGCACGTTGATCTCAAAGTCGCTCCACCACGTGGCCCCGTCGGACTCCGCAATGGGGGCTCCAGGTGCAAACACTCCGGCGTTGTTGATCAGGGTGTCGGCTGTTCCAAATTTCTCTTTGATAGCCTCGAAGGTGCGCGCCACGGACTTCTCGTCGGCGATATTAGTGGGAAGCGCGAGGATCTCGAGTGAGGGGAACTCGGCTTGGATGATACTTTTGGTTTCCTCTGCGGATGACTCCGATAGGGTGATGAGAACCAGTCCCTTTACATTGGATTGGGCGTGGCTTCGTGCAATTGCCTACCAGAGATGATTAGTTAGGATGTTTTTCTTCTTTGGTGAAATAGCCACTCACTCGACCAATTCCCTTGCCAGCACCAGTAATAATAGTCACTTTTTCGGTCTGGGAGAATTCCGGCTTGGTCGGCTCAATGGCTGGATAGACATCTCGGTAGTAAGTTTTGGTGATCGAACCCATTCGGGTGAATTGATCAGCATCAATGGAGTCAGACATGGCGAGTTGAGGTATTGAATAAATGTTGGAACAAGATAAAATAAAAAATAGAACGAAGAGGGGTATGATATACTCCCTATATAAGTTTCTAGACTCATTCCTTCCTATAGATCTGCCGAGGCCGGGATGTCGCGTTCACGTAGCACTAACCGAAAGGAGTAATACTTACTCCTTTGGGTAATCCGGTATACAAAGGTGCAGGGGGAAAATGTCCGGATTTATATATTCATAATTTCTTTTAAAAGGCTCCTGGAACACAGAATAGCTCTCCAGCTATCAGTTTTCCCTCTAGGAAATAGACGAACTAATGGAGCCCCAAGATCAAGGCCCAATTGAGACAGCTCACCATGAGGTTGAGGAAATTGATCGATTGGTGAACGATTTCCTAGCTCGTCCGACCAGCACGTCAGGAAACGGCGGAGACGTTGTGTTTAAGGATCTTTCTGTGATAGGAGCAGGTGTTGGGGTTTGTTTTCCCGTTTGAAAATTTTCTTATTTAGATTGCTGATGATTGTTACAGTACCAACTTGTTAACAATGTTCCTGAGGCGTGTATTCGACTAGTAAAGCTTGCAAATCCAGCTACCTGGTGGTCCCGCAAGCCTACTCCATCTCGAGTCCTACTTCACAAGCTAACTGGCTCAATTCGTGAGGGAGAGATGATGGCGGTGGTCGGGCGACCAGGCAGTGGTTGTACAACTCTTCTCAAAGCTCTAGCCAACATGCGGGGCGAGTATCTCGGTATGGAGGGCGACGTCTGGTATGGGCCGCTCGGTGCAGCGGAAGCAAAGAAAAATAGACCCGATCAAATTGCATTTGTCGGTATGGTGACATGGCACTCTTATTATATCCCACTTATGCTAATATTCCATGTCTTGGATAGGGGAAAATGATGTTCATTTTCCGTCGTTGTCAGTAAGCACCACGCTTAGGTATGTTCTACACTATTTCTATCTCCATGTATGCTATCCTGGGGCTGTTACTCACATAATCAAGATTTGCCCTCAATGCCCGGCGCGGTACCGCACAACCAGATCGCACATCGAACCTCGAGCAAGACCTACAGACTGTGTTGGAGCTCATGGGTCTCAGCCATGCAGCTGATGTACGTATTGGAAGCGACCACATTCGTGGAGTTAGTGGTGGACAGCGTCGTCGAGTATCTCTCGCTGAGGCGTTTTGCACCCGTGCAAGGTCGGTTTATCCCAAAGTGATTGCTGGATTGAACTGACTTTCCTGAAGTTTGTTTTGCTTTGATAATCCTACACGCGGTCTAGATTCCTCAACTGCAATCCGTTTCCTCACTGTTCTCCGGGAATATACGAGGCGCAGTGGATGCTCAGCAGCAATGTCTTTATACCAGGCCAGCGACCTGGCTATTTCCCTATTTGACAAGGTATTGGTGCTAAACGAGGGTCATGTAGCATACTATGGCCCGGTTCCTTCTGCCAAAGAGTACTTCGAATCGCTTGGATTTTACTGCTCGCCACGGACTTCTGTATCAGACTTCCTTGCATCCATGTCAGGCACTCCAGATGGTCGAATCCCCCGTAATGATCTTCAGCGCCCAGTCCCTCTTCATCCAGTTGATTTTGAAGCCCGGTTTTGGGAGAGCAGCTTCTATCAGCAGTCAGTCGAGCAAGCCAAGGCGCCCGAGCCCACATCGTTGACTATTAAACCCACTGGATACGCTCTTCCATTTTATCGTCAAATCTACGAGTGCACTATCCGTCATTATCGTATCTTTATGACTGACAGGGCGGCTTGGATTGCCGAAGCTGCAGGAACTATTGTGCAGGCTCTTCTTCTCGGAACCCTGTTTAGAAACCAACGCGCTGAAACTGAGGGGCTGTACACACGTGGCTCGGCCTTGTTTTTCTCTGTACTAATTATGGGTCTGCAAGCGTCCGCTGAGTTTGGAAATACCTTCATCCAACGCCCAATTTTGTTGAAACAGAAGGCCCTACGATTTTACCGTCCTGGGGCGTACGCGCTAGGGCAAATTCTCGCCGATGTCCCATGGAAGCTGATTTTTATCCTCTATTCCCTTCCAATTTACTGGATGATTGGCTTCGAGCGCACGGCCAGTCATTTCTTTACATGGTTAGTTTGTCTGTACGTGGGCCTGATGGCCCTTTGCGTGATGTTCCGGGCGATTGCGGTGTTTACAACCTCCATCACTCGAGCCGTCCTGCCAGTCGGCTTGCTTCTTAATGTGCTCATTATCTACACCGGCTTCTATGTTACCCCGCCTGGTATGAAGGTTTGGCTGGGATGGATCCGGTACCTTGATGTAAGTCTTCCGTACAGGAGTACAAGCTCAGGGTGATCAAAATCTAACAATGCTATTTTCTCTTAGCCAATGTACTATATATTTGAGTCCATTGCCCTGAACGAGATTGGAAGCAGCACATATCAATGCAGCCCCCGAGATACCGTACCCGAAGGATTGTTGTACACGGATACCACATACCAGACATGCGCGGTGTCAGGATCCTTGCCCGGTCACCTGGACGTTTCCGGGAAGCTCTATCTTCTGGCTGAATATGGCTTCAAGTCTCTTCATAAGTGGCGGAATGTCGGTATCAATGCTGCCTTCTTCGTCTTCTTTTCGCTTCTAGTCACGTATGTATTCATCTCCTCGCCTGTTTTATTCTTCCTGTCACTGATAATGGTGCAACAGATTCGGAATGGAGAGATTTCGTCACGCGGCTGAACGCATGTCAACTATATATTATCAAAAGCTGCCATGGAAAAACACCTCAACACTCGATTTGCCAGATATAGAGAACCCGCTGCCAACTGGCGAAATCGCAAAATCCGAGAAAACCTCGGATAGCGAGTCGGTCGTCAACCATCTTGAGCCGAATAAACATGTATTTGCATGGCAGAACCTTACTCTTGAGTTGAGCAATGGAAAGTTCTTGCTTCAGAATGTGTCAGGTAAATTCGCTAGCATCATTTTATTCTAAGGACATTTCATTGACGAATCGATACAGGATGGCTTCAACCGGGCTCAATGACTGCGTTGATGGGAATGTCTGGTGCGGGAAAGGTATGCACTTCGATCACATTTGGTGGAGTAAGGGTGCTGGGACTGACTCTGATATATGTTAGACGACTCTTCTTGACACTCTTGCGCAGAGGATTCAAATTGGCGTGTTGTCCGGGGGGCTTTATCTCGACGGAGGTCCACTTCCAGCATCGATGAGTCGTCAAACCAGCTTTGTTCATCAGAATGATATCCATCTTGATTCGTCTACAGTTCGAGAAGCCCTCCAACTTAGTGCGAGACTCCGCCGCCCGGCGGATATCTCTCTCGAGGAGAAGATGTCGCATGTTGAAATGGTCATCAGGCTCTTGGACATGGAAGATATTGCCGATGCCGTCATTGGTGTTCCGGGCGCTGGATTGGATTTGGAGAGACGCAAGCGTGTCAGTATCGGAGTCGAGCTGGCAGCTAAGCCAGATATCCTTTTGTTCCTTGATGAACCCACCTCGGGTTTAGATGGTAATTCGGCCCTTTCAATTGTCCAACTCATGCGTAAGCTGTCGCACGCCGGTCAAACCATTCTGTGCACGATCCACCAGCCGTCTTCTCAGATGATTGAACAATTTGACTCCTTGCTTCTTCTGATCCCAGGCGGGAAGACGATGTACTTTGGCCCCCTTGGCCCTCGGTGCCAAACAATTATTGATTACTTCGCTCGCTATACACGCCGGTGTAAAGAAACTGAGAATCCAGCCGACTACCTACTGGATGTCAGTGCTGACCCCCAAGAAGACTGGTTCAAGGTATGTTATATATTATGTTATATCCCTCATTTCTAAGATCCAATACTCATATACTGCAACAGACATGGCAAGAGTCGCCCGAGTTCAAGGCTACGCAGGATAATCTTCAACATCTGCTTGAAAAGAAAGATGTTGCAGCCTCTATGGGCTCCGATCGAGCTCATGCCGCCTCTTATCTTGAGCAACTGCGGGTGGTCACTCAACGTGCATTCACCAATTACTGGCGCGACTCAGACTATGTGCTGGGGAAGATCCAACTTAACATCTGGATGGGTCTGATGAATGGGCTGACCTTTTTGCAACTGTCTGACAATCTGACAGACTCTCGCGGTCGTATGTTCTCCATCTTCGTGGGTGTCATTACCGGGCCTGTCCTCAGTCTTCAGATTGAGCCCAAGTTCATCATCCTGCGGGACCAGTTCCTAGCCCGGGAGCATGAATCGCACGTTTACCATTGGAGTGTGTTTACAATTAGTGCCCTGCTAGTAGAGATCCCGTTCACTCTACTCGGAGGCCTGATCTACTGGTTGCTTTGGTATTACATGGTGGGCTATTTCACCATCTCGACGCGCGCGGGCTATGCGTTCCTCATGTATGAGCTTTACTCGCTCTTCGTGGCCAGTCTGGCCCAGTTTACCGCGGCCCTATTCCCCACCGTTCTGGCCGCGCAAGTCGCCACTGGCTTCGTGTGGTTGGTGGTTAACACCTTCAACGGCCCGCTCTCGCCACCGCCCTTAACGCCGAGCGGCTGGCGCTGGTTCTACAACATCTCACCACTGTTCTATTTTATCGAAGGCATCGGTACTAATGCTATGCATGCTCTGGCCATCACCTGTCAAGACTCCGAGCTGAATGTCTTCAACTCCCCATCATCGGAGAGCTGCGGCTCCTACGCCGGCGCGTACTTTGGCCAGGCTAATTCGACAGGATACCTGGTCGATCCGAGCTCAACAGGACGGTGCGAATATTGCAGCTACGCTGACGGAGATCAATATGTAAGATTACTCTACCATCTGCCTTTAATCTTTCTTTTTCTTTTACCATCTCTTCCTAGAATTCCCCCTTTGTCATTAGAGCCCGCTAACAATGGAACCTCCGTAGGTCAAACAATACGATTTTAGCTATTTGCAAAGAGGCCATAATGTGGGAATCTTTATTGGGTTCATCCTGTTCAATTACATGATGGCTATCGTGGCGACGTATCTGATTTTCATCTTCAAATGGCGGAAGCGCTCGTCGTGATTATACCTAGTTACTGCCCGTTGGTTCCTCCTGATACTAATAAAACTCAGCGAACATATTATTGAATACAATCATATACAAGACTCTAAGCCTAGAGTTTTCTAGTGGTCTCTTCCCATTGATGACGAGTTGCTACCATTTATGGGATGAAGGTTGTGGAACAACAGGAAATCTGCGAGGATCATGTTTCACGGGGTCTTTGTCGAAGGATGAATCCTGTTGAATAGAATATTCAGAGGAAGTAATTTCCTCCTGGTGGCCAATTTCTAACTTGTCATTCATGACGATCATGATATTAGGCAGTTTGAATGCAAAAGATATCTGAGCTGGTTTATTTCCGATCGAACTAAACAACCTAGGGCTGGTTTTAACCCACAGAGTATATATACACTGCCAGTGCCCTAATGTGAATTAAGAAGATAATAAGTTTATCCAATCAAAGCATCCGCTCCATGCACTGCCCACCCTACACGAATAAAGCACTAAGCTCGAGAGATTACAATATCGCCTCCCATCAGCAAAGAGCTTAATGGAAATCGAATCCTGCTGGTTTCGATATATTTCCATGGAGAATGAGGGATGAAACGAAAGAAAGTAATTGATAAATATGGACTGTTTATCTAGGAACCGGAGAAGACGAAATTCTACAATAGTTTGAATCTCATAACATACATCTTTATGTTCAACTTCTAGAGTGGACGGGTTTTTGTGATTGAAACTTCACAGGCTTGAGAGTATTGTTCCGTGACCTGTGGGCAATAGGGGGAAAAACAGACAGAAAAATGATAATCAAAAGGATATCGTAGAAAACAAATATCACAAGCCAGATGGGTCAAATCATAGCGACTATTTTTGTAATTATACAGATTCTTCGCGAAAATAGAGCATGCAGCATATCCAAGTGGTCCCCGGTTCGGGCGCGGCTTGGTCAACATTTCTCCTCGGGCACTCTGGACATTACACCCTAGATATCCAACCTACAATATATATAGTAAAAGGTATATCTTTCTAAAGAGAAGCTCTCTTCCCAGCTGGACTTTCACGTGACATGGGGTCACCAGACCAAACTTCCGAGACAGTCCCATCAGCACTTTTGTACAGATCTCACGCCACTGTATTGTTTTCTTCTACTTCTTTTTAATGCACTTCAGGGTTATAGCGTGTTGCAAATTAGAAGGATATAAACCTTGTCCGATCACACTGCTTCAGCCTCTTCCTCGATCCTGATTACGCGTATCCAATATGGTGGCCATGGAAGTGGGTTCATCTCCGATAAAAGGGCGAATAGAACAAATGACTCACTGACCGGTCGGGCCTGTAAGCCCCCGATGTCCAACTATCAAATCGGGGGCCGGACCATACACGCCATACGATGATGTGTATATAAATATGGCGATGCGCGAAAAAGTCTATCTGACTTGATTCTTCCCAAAGCCATATATTTACCACCCTTTCTTCTGATCTTGGTTTTCCCCTTTAGTATTGCACAACTCCCATGTCTCATCCAATATTGATTATCGGTGCTGGGCTTGGTGGCCTTTGCTTGGCCCAGGGGTTGAAAAAACGAAACATCCCTTTCAAAATTTTTGAACAAGACGAAAGGCATGATCTCCGGACTCAGGGGTATAGATTGAGGGTGAGCACTGAAGGGATCTACGCTCTCCGAGATACCCTGTCGCCTGAGATATATGCTTTGTTCGAGAATACCTGCGCTGAGACAGTCATTGGAGGCGTGAGACTTAAACCCGATGGTACACCACTAGGCGGCACTGGCCCTCCTAGACCCCGTGGGTCGGCTCTTTTCCCCGAGCCCCAGACTGTCGATCGGAACACTTTCCGTGAGGTTCTTCTGACAGGTTTAGATGAGCATGTGTTTTTCGGAAAGAGCTTCGATCATTACACTGTGAGCGACGGAGACACAATTGCATTCTTTGGGGATGGTTCAAAGGAAACCGGTGCTCTCATTGTTGGTGCAGATGGAGTTCGATCTAGGGTCCGCAAGCAGTACATACCAGATTTCAAGGGTATCGACACAGGCATGCGCATCATTTTTGGAAAGACGCCCTTGACCCCCAAATTTCTGGCCAAGTTTCCCGAGGTGTACCACCGCGGAATGTCTCTTATCACAGACCCAGACGATGAGTCTCGGACCTCCTTGCTATTTGAATCCATCCGTTTCCCACACGCAGAAAAAGTCTCGAAACCTCAACTTCCCGACCCATACGTGTATTGGGTACTTATCACTCATCACTCGAATATCTCGTCGTCATATGGCATGCCCTGGCAATTAAGCCCAGAGAAGTCAGCTGAACTTGCTCGACAGGTTACCAAGTCGTGGCATCCTGACTTGAAGGTGCTATTCGAGATGCAAGACGAGGCTCAAACGTCAACCCGATGGATGCTTTCTGCCTCGCCAGAGCTGGCCTCCTGGGAGCCCTCGCCGCAGGTGACTTTACTCGGTGACGCAATTCATCCCATGCCCCCAACCGGGGCCATGGGGGCCAACACTGCCTTGCGTGATGCTGCAGATCTAGCTCGCAGGCTTTCGACTGCTGTAAATTCGCAAACACTTGGTCGACAGGTCATCGAGGAGTATGAATCGGAGTTACGTGATTCAGCCAAAACAGCAATAGTATTGAGCTGGCAAGGTGGCGTGAGAGGCTTCAATCTCAGGCCAGCTGACGAATGCGAGAAGATTCTCTTATGATCTCGCTTTACCTGGTATTGAACTCCCCTCTCCCCTCATCTCTCTCAACTCCGAGCGATTATTTTTTTCATTGAATGTATTAGTAATGTCCAATGCCACCCTTTTGGCTCCAGAAGTTCTTTGATACCTACTTCATTACGGTGACAGGAATGCTACCTAGATATTTTTGTAATAAAAAGGACACAGGTTGCAGATAGCGGGAAATTGTTCGCCGAATCACTTTTTCTAGAGAATAGCTGCCAGAAGGTGCTAGAGGCTAAAACGCTCGATTTTTGAAATCATACTCCCTCTCGCCATGAGACGGTTTGGTCTGGGACGACCCACGTTTCTGGATCTCCTCGCTGGCGTCCGAGCCGGGTTGTTTATGGAGTAGACTATAAAGCCGGATAAATATGATGGACGTGCATAGCCACGTCATTACTGAGGTAATAGGAAGAATATCAGCCATGTTGGATGCGGATCCTCATCTACCTACTGGGATGAACCTCTCCATGTAGCTTCGGGAAGACGAAGAGCTATGTCTGACTAACTGGAAGAGCAAGCCCTGGAGTAAAGCCTCCCTATCTGCCTGGATGCCTGTGTGCTTTGGGACAGTTAGAGCATTAGTTAAGGAAGTTGGGGCTATCAAGAAAATATTCGGCCATGGTTGGATTGTTACTTATAATTTGTTGTCATTTATTTCAACTGCTGTATCTTTGGCATCTAGGAGAATTCTCATAGTAAGTCAAAAGTTTCTTTGACTACTATCGCCTTACTAATAGAAATATAATATCAGAAAATAAACTGAATACACCCGGGTGATCTTTCAGGCTGATCAAAAGCAGCATTTAGTTCGGTGTTGCGAGCTGACTATGGTGCGATCCACTCGCTGGTGATATGTAGACGTTATACCTCAGGAGGCTAAACCTCATGTATGAGACATTTCTGCTTTAAAGACCCCCAAGGGGACCGGAGTAACTCTCCGGTATGCTCTCCAGCTGAAATAAGACATCCTAAAATACGTAAGATATTGTAGCATGCTGCGTAGTCTTGCAGTAGAGACGCACGCTAGATTTGATATGGTATGAGAGAGTGAGGGTTTCATGCACCTCGGTGTATTATGACTATTGATGGAACGACGCCTGAGGATATGCAGTGGCGAGAGTGCATTGCAGCCTATTATCCTAATAGGCACCTGCATGCATGGTGCCGTCCCACGGCTTAGGGAGGATGGCAGAAGATTATAGAGCTGGGATTAGAGGAGCGGTACACATAAAAACTTGAATGGAACAAATACTGGTACCACTAGATTCATTATCGTGGATGTGAATTAGTAAACCTTCTAAATTTTCCTGATGATTACAAACAAAGTATTCAAAGAAGAGTTCTATCAATCCTTGATCTAACAATATTTTAAATAATATCACTTTTGCGATGAGAGACAGAAAGTGGAGTTCGCACGGGCTCTAAAGTAGGAGCCCATTTCGCACAAGAAGCAAAAAATTAGCCGCATTGGCCATTTTCGCATGGTTAATGGGCCATCTAGATGACATACTGCAAGCCTGTCAGCAATAAATCTTATCTTGATTATCATTTGGAAACTTACTGGGATAAACAGGTAGGGAACCTCCTTCTCATAGCGCTTCCAGGCCTCGCCGTACTTGCGACGGCATCGGTTGATATCCCGGTTGGTACGGTGGATGATCATGGCCATAAAGAAAACGAAATAGAACCAAGGGAATGGGCTCCTATAAGTTGTGGGTTAGTTATTACAATTCATAGCTTTTGCGAAAAAAAACTTCACTTACTTGAACCCAGTAATGAGACCCCACGACATAGAGAAAAACATGTCAGGTACATAATTAGGCTTCCGGATAATTGCAAACCAGCCATCGACCATGATATGATCGCCTGCATCGGTTTGAATTGTTTTGGGGTTCTTGATAGCCTGCCAAGGCACCTGGGGGAAAGTGTTACGTTTGACAAGCTGACCCTTCTCCTCATGACGGAATGCGTTCTTTTGGCCATTGGCACTGTCCCACATCCAGTAAAAGAAGATGTATAGGACAGCGAACACTACCAGGGCAAATCTGTTCCAGCGATATTCAGATGGATCGTGGTTGGCCAAGTAAAGCGCACAATGGCAATAGGAGAATGGCACACCGGCCATATTCCAAAAGGTGAGTAAGAATCCGAGTTTCTCATAATACATATCCCTATTTTAACATTAAATTAGATTCTTCGTGATTATTTCATCTTATATTGACTTACCAACTTGTGATGATCATTTGCTCTGCCTTAGCACAAGCATTGGTGTACAGGTAATGGGCTCCGGCAAGGAAAACGACCTCAGCAGAAACGTAGCCATAGGTTTCGTACTGACGAGCTGCCACGGACAAGGTGATAAGGAACAGAATAAACCAGGGAATTCTGACTTCGTAAAACATCTTGAAGTCCAAGATGCCGATGCGTGGGTTCAACTCGGCGCCCATAAAGAAATCATAGATGGGAGAGCCCGACATTCTGTGGGTCCGTCCGCGTACGATAGCCTGGAAGTACACAATAAAGCTGTTCAGGAAGCCAGATAGGATGGAGACAGTCATAATGGGTCCAAATTCGTCAATCAACGTGTACAGAGGGAACACGCCAGTGAAATGTAAGATAGCAACAATTGCAAGAGTCGCATAGAAACTGCAGTAGGCAGAGCAGTAGTAGGGAAGCCTTTTCCCGTTTTCATGAAGCAGGGGGCGGCCATAATTTGAAACGCCAGGCATGTAGCAGTACATCAGAGACTCCATGATGAAAAAGACCCAGTAGATTACCCATGCCTTGGCGGTGGGATAGGCACCCTCATAGACCAATTGACAGAGGTGACGACCGAAATCAGACCAAGACTGGTCGACCTCAGGCAGAGGAAGCTTGCCATCGTAGTAAGTTGCGCCAATCCACATGTACCACATGATGAGGGGGAAACCAGTCATCAGCAGCAATACGCCAATTGAGCCACCAAACTCGAACTCATCGGATGCGCCATCTCTGAATTTGAGGGTAGGCTTAGATTTGTTCTCCTTGACACCCTTAGCAGGTGAAGCCGCAGTAGCGGTAGCTCTCTGTGACACGGCCATTGCTAGCAATTGGGATGAAATGAAAACCACAAAATGATCAAAGAAATTCGATTGTTTTCAACAGGACGAGCTCAGGGGGGTCATCAGGTGACCACTTACAGGGGTTGTCCAGAAAAAAAAAGAAGAAAAAAAACAACTTTACAGAAGGATATTGGGTAATCTACCTTGGCAGTAAGCGTGCCTGAAACAAAATGCTCCGAGTGATTGAACCAGCTTAAATACCCAATTGGAACAGCCAAAACAGAATGCGAACGCCGGGTAAAATCACGGACCTAGTGGGCTCAGCCACAATCTACAATGTTCGCTCAAGCACTGGGATGAATAATTCTTCGTGGGGGTTTTGGGGGGATTGTCAAAGACTTTGGATGATACAAGACGATGATGCCTACGTACATTTTCACAAGTCATGAACACCAGATCTATGTATGTGATTGACCGAGGGATTGTCAAGGCGCAGACCCTCCGGAACCCGCGACTCCACATAAAAGTGCCTCATTGTCTAGTTGGCTGAGACTTGTCTTGAGCTCAGCAAGAGATGTAGTGAAAACGTCAAAATCAAATTGACGACTCAACCACTTCGGTCTCCAGACACTAGCTCTTAGCGCTGGGTTGATTAGGACTGTGCCATTCAGATCGGAGTCAGGAGAAGGAAGAAATCTCTCCAGATCTTGAATCAAGCCAGAGGGCATTTTTTAAGTTTTCCATGGCCGTGCCGTTCTGTAAATCCCATTCGAGACATTCTCTCGGATTTGAAGCATCGTCGTTCACGTCTTCGGTAGGTCCAGTGGATTGCAAAATTGTTAGACGGTTAAGCAATATAGCCAATCTGCTGAGCCCACTTGAGGCATTTGCATTGTATATTCTTTTGCAAATTGAAGCTGTGTCTTCACAGGCAGTCAAATTTCGCAGTGTCTTCAAGATGAGTTGCAGGTAATCTGCGATCGGAGCTGAGTAAAGCTCAATTCGAGGATCTGCAACTACTGCAGGAGATGTTTCATCATCCAAAGGCCCCAGCATATTGTCCACCAGTGTAGTCTGTGTGTGGAATTGGTTTGGTAAACAAACCGATTTCATGAAACAACCTTGGAAGTGCGGTTTGAAACGGCGTCTCAACGACAAAAGATGCTCGAGGACATCAGCGGAAATTGGAAAACATTCGAGAACATTACAATGTGACAATATTTTCAGCTATGTCATTGATTGGATGACATCTGGGGAGCCTCTAATGCGAATTGGATCAATGTGTGTCAAGCAAGAGTAATAACGATTTAAAAAAAGGAAAAAAAAAGGAACATACAACAGTGAGGATTCGCTGGTGGTCACCCACCCAACTACTAACTCACCGGCGTGTGGCTTAAGTACGGCTGAGCGGACGGGAAGCCCTGTTTTCCACACCCTATGGTCGTATGTACTTGACTGTATGCTTGTTACAATTATATTGTAAAACAAATTTGCAAAATAGAATTAGGCCTCTTAGTACGGAGTAGGTAGGTATCCTTTTAAACAGGGGTAAAGTCGATTTTTATCATGTCATGGTATTCCACAAGAGGCGAAAGTTCCATACCACGAAATGGGCCAAAACAAGTAGTGTAGCCAGTACCAGATATTCTCATATATGTAAGTCTCCCATGGAAAAGAAACGCCCTTCCTTCCAGTGTCTCTCGACAATTACATAGATACATTCGGTGTCATGTTTTTGCATAATGAGGACGGACTTGTTGGCCACAGGGGCTCTACTGTTGGGCCGTTGTCTGGTTTATGCAAGAACAGTCTTTGCTCACTTTATGGTATTGGCCCCTAATACCGTGACTTCATTCATATTGCCAACTCAATTGGAGGTAACAAACACTGCCAACTGGACTTCGTCGCAATGGAAATCCGATATTCCTGCAGCCAAGACTGCTCACATCGACGTCTTTGCTCTGAACATAGCCGTGGGGGATGCAGCAAACAGCAAGGCTCTTCCTATGGCCTTTTCAGCTGCTGACTCTCTCAGATTCAAACTCTTTTTTTCCTTTGACTATGCTAGAAATGGCCCGTGGTCTAAATCCATGGTCATCTCTATAGTCAAGGAATACTCCGCCCATTCCTCCTAGCACCACCATGATGGAAAACCCTTTGTCTCCACGTTTGAAGGCCCTGCGAACTCTGATGGCTGGATCAAAATCAAGTCAGAGACCGGCTGCTTCTTCATTCCAGACTGGTCATCCCTTGGGTCTAAGGCAGCTATTGAGCTAGGTACTGCCGATGGTCTTTTCAACTGGGCTTCATGGCCCTGGGGTGACTGGGACATGAACACATATACCGACGCATCTTGCCTGGACTATCTCGACGGCGTGCCTTACATGATGCCTGCATTTCCATGGTTCTACACCAACCCCCCAGGATACGACAAGAACTTGACCACTTGTGGTACGATCGCTGGCAGGAAATCATGTCGCTCAAACGTCTTCCTGACTTTGTGCAAATTATCTTTGCAATGACAGTTCCACCACGGTGGATGGTCACAACAATCTCGCCAGAATGGCCGCTGTAGACAAGGTGTTCTTTTCTGCTCTTCTCACCATGGCGGCTGACGTGTCTGTCACGTTGGTGGTGCTGCAATGTCTACTACATGGATCAAGGGCCCCGAAAACAACATTGGTATTCACCATGGCGAAGCCTCATACAGCGGCCCTTCTGGCGAGGTTGTTGTGACCATCCACCGTGGGGGAACTGTCATTGCAAAGATCACCAGCCTCCATATCTCAGATTCCTGCATCGATGGCATTCAGAATTATAACGCGTGGGTGGGAAGTGGTGAACGAGCTTTGCTGGGCATTATGCTATCCGCTTGGAAGGATTTGACGACAATTTCTCGTCATGAGATATCATCTATTCAAAATAATTAACGCCATCGTTTCAATAGCGGGCCGTTATTCTTCGTACCTTCTATCACCACAGCTAAAGACAGGCTCCGAGTCAGCGCACTGGGTGGGCACGAAGGGAAACAAAATAATCTGCCCAAATTACACACTGTTGTCTAGTGTAAATCACACGGGCTATTATACTAATTAGTAGTATGTTATGAGCCTAGAGTTTAATAGCTACACCGAACAGATCATCTCTTTCGGTAGCTTTTGCTTATTGCTGGGGGATTTGCTGCTATCAATCTGTGCCGGACAGTCGACTCTCTAATCTCGATATTAGATTTATTGCACGTCATGAAAGACCTTGGATAGAGACACTTGTTGCTTAGAGAATTCCAAAATATGGGCGTATGTTGTTTCACCTCTTCGAAAGTTGAATGGAACGGGCTTCTTTCGAGTGTCTTCCGGGAAAAGTAGTGACTGAGTATCAAATAAGAGTTGATAACGGGAAATAGAAGATTTAACGGGTTCAGAGCGTTAATGTGCTACGGTAGGCGTTTTATTGTTGTCAAGGTCAGATTGCCGCTGGAGCTGGTTTCGGAATCAAGGATGGGGTCTGATAACGGACGAATCACATTGCATCCAACAGCATTAATGACAGTATTGATATCGACTGAAGTGTCGAGAATCTTCCCGGTATGCTTTATCATTTTGGTCCCTAGGTCATCGTAAGTCCGAATGATCGAATTAGGAAGTATCGCACACAATATTGAAAGCTGATAGAGCTTATAGTTCTTTGTAGTCATAATTTATATTTATTGAGGTTTGAAATTGGTGACACCGTAATTTATTTGAGATAATTGATTATGAGATAGATACACGTTTTGTGTAGAATGTAGAATGTAGGTGGATGTAGTATGAAGTGGCCAATCAGACAAGATTTGATATTTAAGCACGTGACCACACCCGTACCTTGCTTATCGATAAGAGTGCCAAGCCATCAGCAACCCAAAACTTTTCCGCTCATTCGATATTTTTACCCCAAGCCATTCTGCCGATCATTCACTACAAAATGTTGAGAGAAGTGTAAGTTATGGCAATTCATCAAGATAGTCATCCTAGTCTAATACCCTGCCCTCCAGAAAAGCCAAGAACCCGCGCACTGCGCGTATCCTGAAAGCGCGCGAGCCGCAACTCATCGAACCCCCCAAGAAGACCCTGATTTTCCACGGCGCAAAATGCCCTCAAGCACTCGACACCGTGTTGAAGACATTCCACGCCTTGACGAAGCCCTACACCATTCTTTTCCACAAGAAGAACGAGAACTTGCACCCATATGAGAACTCTGAGAGTCTGGAATTCTTGGCCAACAAGAACGAGTGTGGACTCGTAGCATTCGGAAGCCACAACAAGAAGCGACCCAACTGCGTTACATTGGCTCGGATTTACAACTCAGAGTTGCTCGATCTCGTCGAGCTAATGCTTCTTCCCCCCAGAGATGGCGAGGTCATCCCGCCTATCAACGAACTTGTCATGGATGTCGGTCTCGGCCTGCGACCTATGATGATGTTCTCTGGTAGCCCTTGGGACGATCCTACATCCACTGCGCACACTATTCTCAAGAGCACTCTTCTCGACATGTTCAGGGGCGAAGAGACGACCCAGGTCGACGTCGAGGGCCTGCAGTACGTGATGATGGTTGGTGCGGAGGAGCCCCAGGATGGTCTCTCCCCCGTCATCCACATGCGTTGGTACAGAGTCATCACCAAGCGCAGTGGTCACAAGCTGCCTCGCGTGGAGTTGCAGGAGGTTGGTCCCAAGTTCGACTTCAAGGTCGGTCGCACACGCCAGGCTGCTCCTGAGGTACAGAAGGAGGCCATGAAGCAGGGCAAGCGTCCCAACGAGGAAGCCCGAACCAAGAAGAACATCACCATGGACTCTATGGGTGACAAGATCGGTCGTGTTCACCTTGGCAAGCAGGATCTGTCTGACATGCAGACCCGTAAGATGAAGGGTCTCAAGCGTCGGGCGGGTATGGAATCATCGGATGAGGAGGAGGAGCCATCTGCCGATATGATGGAGGAGGATATTATCTCTTCTGATGAGGAGGTTGAGGAGAAGGAGACTCACAAGAAGGCACGGAAGAACTAAGATCGATCGATTTGCATGATTTCTTTTGCTAAGGAGTTTGGGCCGGACGGGATTTCGTTTTCTACGCCTGTATGAGCAGTCTTAGGCATATGAAAAGTTATTTTAAACCCTCTACATCTAATAGAGATATTTCCTCCATCCAGTACTTTACACTAGACTCAAAGAATAAATGCCCGTATCATCGCCAAGCTCTTATATACAGCCACGTGACCATGACGTCGGCTGGATTCTCACATGCCGAGGCCCTTCTCGATGCGGGAGCCGATAAAGTGCCGTCCCCCTCCCCCAACATCTCCAGCCGCAGGTAACGTTTATTTTTACTTTGCTTCCTCCTCATGATTTGTGACGGTCTCCTGGTCTCTTCTCGTTGTTCATCGCCCCTATAACCAACCCAAAACGAGTCCGACCTCTTACCGAGGCCCAGAGACGCCATGGATACACTGCTCGTGAGTTCCGCAGCGCTTTCGATCACAACAACAGTATTGACAGGTTCTTCCACAGTCCCAACTCGATGCGCTCGTCCTCAAACCAGAACTGGCGCCGCTGCTATCATTAGTGAAGGGTGCACGCAATGGAATCGTCTACGGATCGAAAGTCCGCTTCCCACATGCGCTGGTGTATGTTGGACTTCAGACAGCCGGAACCCCCGCTACAAGGCACAGCTGACCGATATCGTCTGCTTCTAGAATGATATTTCTGTTTAGATCTGGAACGTATGTCACTCCGCTCGCTCGACCTTACCTCTTCGCTGAACGAAACTGATCGCTTTGTTATACAGAATACGCGAAAAGACAAAACTCGTTTTGAAAGCAACCCGCCAGCATGCGCGGAACCTCTCCGTATTCGCCATTATCTACAAGGCCTCGATGATCCTTCTCCGGAATATACCAGGTGGCGCCGGGAAAGAGGGCCGATATGATACTTTCTTTGCAGGCCTGCTGGGCGGGTATGCAGTTTTCGGACGACAGCCGGGCAGTATTAGCCAGCAGGTATGTGATTTGAAAATTTCCCTGTGGAAACGACTCGAACTTGGATTCCCCAGTATACTCTTGCTTTTCTGCAAAGCTTACTCGAATCTAGATCGTTATTTATGTTTTCGCACGTGTGATGCTTGCTCTCGCCAAGCTTGCCGTCGAACCCAACATGCACCCCCTCTCCTCCCTCATCACATCTGATGCACGCACCAAGATCACGAATAATGCCTACCCCGTTTTCGCCAGTATGACCTGGGCGATGGTCATGTATATTTTCCGGTGGCACCCGGAGACGCTGGCATCGAGTCTGCGGAGTAGCATGGTGTATATGTATGTTTTGATCCCCTTTATACATATTTTCGCCTCATTTCCTGCGATTTGGAAGTTCGGAGTTGCTTTCTCGATGCTAACCTTCATCTCAACCACAGTTACGGTGACTCGGACCATTGGGATTCTCTCCGTACTTTGCTTGTACACAACAAATGAGCTCACAGTGGGACCGGTTCTCTTAGCTTTTGTGTGCATTGCGGCGTATAGAGCGGTTGTTATTTTGTCGGTGTTTTGGTAAGACGCATTCGAAATGTGCATGATTCCAGGCCCTGCTCATCATTACCTTTTCACCCTGTATTATGAGGCATGGGATTCCTTTTTGCATATTTTCGATTACAATATAAACTTTTAAGATTTTACTTTGTGGAGACTTTCATAATTGGTCTTATGGTAGACTTGTAAAGTCGAACATGCTTTGAACTTGGTTGAATGGATAATGGGCATAGAATCTTTGTCTTTTACGCTCTCCTTGGAAAACATGTTTTACTTTTGATGGGCTGTTTAACATCTTGTGACAAGGATGTGCCTTAGAGTAAATTTATTTTGAATATTCAAGATATATTGGTAACGCTAAAATATATACCACCTCCGTATTACCACGAGGGAGGATCTCGACTGTTTAGGTCTTGCTAGATAAGGCATTATTTGCTGACAGTCTGGTATATTTCTCAAGTCATCATGCTAGGAGTTCGGGAGTCGAAATTCAAGTGTGGGAGTTGAATATCCTCAAACAAGAAACAAGAAAAAGGATTTATCAAACCAAAAGGAATAAAGGAAGAAAGATATCAGAGAAATGACTAAATTTAGATGAATAAAAGGGGAGGCGTAGGTAGAATGGTGCATATCCCCAAACAAACCGCCAGAAACACCAATCACCAAGTGAATACACCAACATCAAAAGAAACAAAAAGAAAGGCCCTAAAGAGGGGCGCCTCTACAACCTGGGCACTCTGCTGCCGACGGGGTGTGATTGGCGGTCACATCGGCCAATGACTTACATGCACCCTGACCACGGGAAGAAGCCGTGAAGTCGTGTGTCGCCTTTAAGTTGATCAAGTTCAAAGGCGAGGGTTGAACCTCAGGTCTCCGGCTCCCTACACGGGTACAAAGTCCGCCAAAACGGAAAATTACTGGGCGTAGGGTCCTAAGCGGTTCCCACTGGGCTACCTGGGGCGAGGCATTGAGGTGTCTGCTCTGATTGTTATACTTATAGGATGATATTGTTCCCAATTAGGACTAGCGCGATCCACTTTAATTATTTACCCCCACTCTTTTATAATTCTTACCTGCAACCTTGGAAGGTTATGTTGACTGACATACATCTATGTACGTTATACAGACATATTCAAGTAGTAAATTGAAGCCTTTAAATTGAGGGTATAATGATACAAATTATCCAACATGGAAATAACAGGGATATAGGAGTGAGAAAAAAAATAATACAAAATAAGTCTACTGTCCATCCCCTTCACCAACTTCAACAAGAACCTTCAACTCCCCATCCATCCAGTCAACAGCATCAGCCGAAAGAACCGCAATAGCCCAATCTTTCTGGTTCTGAACATGTAGTAGCCCATCCGATAACCAGACCTTGACCTTCCACCCATCAACAACAGCAGATTCGCGAGCTTCATGCCCAGTGCCCTGGAACGCCGGTAAACCGGGAATTTGACCCGGGTATCGACGAAGAATCGCCTGCTTGACCGTGTCAATGTTGGGACATTGGCCTGCCGACAGATCGAATTTGGGGAGGATGCGCTTTCCGTTCTGCAGGATATTGACGCGAAGGGAGGTTTGGCCTTGGTTGTGAGAGGAGGTGGTTGTGTTCGCCGGCGTTGATTCAGAGAGAGGAGTAAAGGGTTGGTGGAAGTGAGGGTCAGGGGTTTGAGCAGGTTGACCGTGTCGGGCGGCAATGTTCTCGCGGATAATGCGAGACACGTCGCGGGTGATACTGCTTGCGCTGTAGATTTGTTAGTTGGTATTCCACATGTGTTTGGAAAGGATGAATGGCTTACAATTCGTCTCGGGCTGGGAGGTTGCGGGATCCGCCAATGCGCCATTGGAGACCTGAGGTGGTGTCTGCGTGGATGATGCGATTGATGTTTGCATCTTCGCAAACCGGTGCGCAGTCGTAATCTCCATTGTGGATGACTTGGTAATGGCTGTCGACTGCGGCGACGACTCCACGCCAATCGGGTTGCTGGAGACCGGAGAGAGACCATAGGTTATCGAGCTCGTAGCTCTGGTTATATGTATCATAGCATCGGGCGATCTCTTCCCAGTCGACTGTGTATCCGTCTAAAAAGAGGTCTGTCAGACCGACTTCCACAGGCTGGGCCGGATCCATTGCTGATTGCTGCATTGGCGGTGGAGGAGGGGGCATTGACTGCGACAGATCATCGCGATGGGACGTCTGATTTTGCATTTGAAGATGCTGTTCTGGAGAGAATCGCGGGCTATTCAAATTCGAGTAATCTTCCGTTTTACGGCGACGGCGTTCTTCAGTACCACCTCCTTTGCGGGTCTCGATTGCGTATTGGCGTTGTCTTTCGTTAGTGACCATCCGTCTGAGCAAAGGAATGACCAATGAGATGATCTTGTGTTGGTCACGCGGCCAGATGTAAGATCTCGGGCCCATGCCTTCATTGACGACATTCTCTCCAAAAAACCGTTCACCATTTCCCTCGGCTTCGAGGAACTGACGAACACAATTCCAAAGGCGAAGCTTGACCATTTCCGTATCTCCCTTCCCACGTTGACCGACACAATCCCGTCTTTCAGGGTGTTCATCGTCTAGCATGTAATTCTTCGCAGCAGCCTGGAGATGCAAAAAGTTCTCCGGTGAGATCTCAAGAGACGAAAACATCTTCGAGATGGGAGGCCGTGTGTACTTCTTATTGCCAGAAGGCTGGCGGAACAGCGCCGCCGCAGAATGGATACCCACCGCACGAGCATCCGACAGGGACTGCTGCTGCTCGGGGCGAATGTCCATACCGTCTCCGGTATAGCCATGGGGTGTTTGCTGTGCGGAATGCGACTGGTGCTGCGCGGAGAGACCCGCACCAGCCAAGGCCGGGTCAAGGTTATCGTCATTTCGCTTGCGCTTTTTAGTTGCCGTCCGTGTGAGCCCCGAGGACTGGGGATGGTCGGTGTGACTGGGTACTCTCATGTGTCTTCCGCTGCTCATGCCAGTTCCGAAGTTCGCGTCGCCGAACCCGTTCTCGGAGAGATCGATGTCTGTGTATGAATCCATCTGGTGGTGGTGGCCGGCTGCACCGGCTGCTGCAGCGACTGCAGCGGCTGCCGCCCATTGCGAAACATCTTGGTCTGCGGCGGCGGTGGCTGCCTCGACTAATCCCGCGAGCTGGTTGTCATTGGGTGCATATGCGCTGTTGGCCAGTTGCGCGTTCGGGTCAAGGTGCGGGGCAGTCGTAGTCTGCTGGGAAGGGAGGTCAGGGGAGGTTGTGGGGATATGTTGGTTGGTGGAAGAGCTCATGGTGTCGATTGAGGGCTAGGTGCGCGTAGACACCCGGTTCGATAAGCTGATAGTGTCGGAAAGTCGTGAGGATCGAGATAAAAAAAGAGTGGCAGAGAATTTTGCGTGACAACAGCGAATTGCGCGAAGAATCAAACTGCGCTCAAGACCCCCAATATATTTCCAGAAGGATATGTCTTTCAAGTTATAGCTCTTATCCAGTTGTTATAGAGAGCCTAATGAATAGTTTCACCCATTGGTAATGCAACTTAGACAGACAGAGGTGTCCCAGCGCGCCACACCCAAGAGGGTGAGAAGCGCGTCACGATAGAAACAAGGCCAAGGTAAAATAATAAAAAAAAGCTTCGAAAGCTTTAGTTCGAGTTGGCTGATAAGAGGCGCGACGGTTGGAATGATGTTTGTGCAGTTTGAAGGAACAACAGACAATGCAAACTGAAATCTTCGAGGCTATCACGTGACTATACTTTTTCTGGTCAGCGTACATCGACCATTGTAGTAGCATCTTTTTATACAAGTTATATATTACAGCTCTGACTCGAATTTGAGAATATGAAGTGCTTGATCATCTTTCTATCCATTTCCATTTTTAATATAGCCGTATTATAAGAAGCCCAAGTGCAAAAGGAAAAAACACTCTATAAGTACATCCAAATCAAGAAATCAGTGACAAAATAGTAAAACCTCGAAAACAGTGCAAGTAACCATGGCAGGATAAATGTCGCTGTCAATTGAAACAGTGGGTGTTGATAGATGAGAAAAATGTGCCCCAAAGCAGGCCACGTGCAAGAAAATTGCAAATAGATGGCATATACATCATTGGCCCACATAAACTTTTGCAGTGACAGGGCAAAAAGCTGAGTGAGAGAAAGCAGCACTTGATCCAGTCAAGACAGCTTAGAACCCATCACCCTCTTTCCAAGCACGACCGGCCTCCTGGGCACGGTACCTGGGGTTCTTCCCCCGCTCCATAGCAGCAGTCAGAATCTCAACGACCTCCTGCTGCTTCTCCTGAAGTTGGTTCCAAAGGACATTGCCTCCCTCATTCTCAATGACATCCGATCCAACAGAGTCATCAAAGCCAATGCCGTCAGACAACCACATCCAATTATCGAATTCCTGCTGAATCTCATTCTTTTTAGATTCAGTTTCTCGGTAAGCATTGAATTCCTCGTTTCCGCCAAAACAGAAACCGTACCCGTCACAAAGACACACATTTTCATCAACGCACAGAACAGCCTCCCCGGTGAAGATAAACTGCCACAGATACTCCCAGATGCGACCAGCGATATAATCACTCAGATCAGTTGACAACAGCCAATCGCGATAGAAAACAAACCGGGCCCGCGGAATGGAGCGAATACGATCGCGAGATAGGGCGAACTGGGCACAGCACGGCTGCGCCAGGACAGACGGGATCGGCTGGTCGGGGAATAGCTCCCCCCACGCGCGGGCAAGCATGATCTCCTCCTGCTTCGACTCATCTTCTTCGACCGCGCCGGGATGCATCCAGGCTGGGCAGCCCGGGCCGAACCCGCAGCGAGTATTCATGTAGCCCTCGCGGATGACACGGTTCAAATTGAGGCGGCGGAGCAGCTGCGCCGCATCTCCGGCGAACAGATTATCGTTGTGCCAGGCGAATTGGTGCGAGTGCATAAACACCGCCACGTCTGGGAGCTTGTCATAGTGGTCAACGAGGTAGGTGAGGTAGATCATGACCTCGTGACCTTTGTTCTTGGGCGGGTGGAGTGGCGCTGTGGGGTCGTCTGCGACGTAGATGGCGTGGTTCCAATCTGGCAGTTCCTGGGCGATCCAGCTCGTGTCCTCCCCCTTGGTCCGGGTCACGACCAGGGTCTTGGAGAATTTGTAGCCCGGGGGCTTAGAGGTGCCGGGGATGAAGTCCGGCGGCGGGGCATAGAGGTTGTTGTTTGTGTGCCCGTAGGTGGTATTCCAGGCTCCTGTTATATTGGATGGTGAGGAGACCAGGTCACCTAGGCCGATGACTTGGGGTACGTCACGCCATGGTCGTGAGAGGCTCCGGGATGTGAGGAGCAAGACGAGGAAGAAGCAGACGCCGAGGAAGATGACCGCTCGGCGTGGGAGAAGCATGGACGGAGGATTGGACAATCGTACACGGGATCAATATCTGTTGCACGAGATGCTGGTTAGCTGTAATGTCACACTGTATACCACTGTGTCGAGTGCACAGGGGTGAGACTGCGGGAGATCGCAAGGCGCAGAAGCATTGGAATGGAGCAATTGAGGGTAACCGACTTACATAGTTCAGGATGTCATTGCTCCGCGAGTGTAAGGGGGATGAAGGAGAAGAAACCCGATCTAGATTCAAGGGACTAGGGTGACCCTGGGGGAGGGACAAATCAGATGCAAGTGGAGCCGGGGCTATGCCGCCATGACGAAGCTTCTTTCAATGCGATGTTACATAGCTATGTGGGTGAACTTCATATACAATATATGTAAGAAACGTTGATCAATGGATGTGGTAAATATCAGTTCGAATGAAGAATTGCAAATATTATAAAATATTATGCGTCATTTGAAATCGTCTGACCAACGCGGGAAGATGATCTCTCCACAAAAGTTCCAAGGTTCAGCCACGCGGCCTGTCTCTGCTGCCACAAGCCACACCCTCATACGTTGTCTCTACATTAGGACTTTCCTAATTGAGCTTTACATTGCATATACACATTTTCATTTGAAAAGAATCATTGAGAGGAGATACCATGAGATTCAACCGTGGTATAAAAATCGTGAAAAGAAATCTGGGTATGATCTTTTGCTCGCGAACAACGCCATGCAGAAACGCTGGTGTAAAGAACTGGGGAACAGAAAGGGCTGAGCAGACCCGGAGAAAAAAAAATACACAGGGGTTACGGAAAGAGCACAGGATCAAGCTTCTTCATCGGGCGTTTCTTCAACTGATGCAGCCCGGCGTTTGCCGTTGGATGCGGACTCGGGAGTCTCGGCTTGACCAGAAGCACTATTTGTGAATTCCCCATTGCTACCCCATGTAGTAGGAATGGAGGAAGATGGCTTAGCCTCAAATGACCCTCTAGGGGCAACGTCGGTCCATTCTTGAGATGGGGACTCTGCTCGATTATCCGCCGAAGGGACGGTGGGCGTGGGCTGTAATACCGGTAGACTGGAGGCCCCATTTACGGCAGTGGTTTCAGCATTGCTGGTGCCGTGTGCATTTACCCCGAAATTTCCGCTCGTTTGATCTTGAACAGGCACGGGGAATGTGGGGACCTGAGAAGTTATAGCACTGGCCATGGCTGGGGGAGCTGGGGATATCACTGTATTGGTAGGCGTGGGATGTACTGTCTGTGCCACACTATTGGCACCATCGTCCACGCGCTGGAGAGGTAGGAGGGTCCAACCAGGAGGAAGAGTGAGTCCTTCCGGTAGACGAGGGTCTCCAGAGTTTAGAACATCACTGCCTGGGTCTGGGCCATATTGGTGGCCCGTGGCGAAGACCGAGGATCCTGGGATCACGTTTGGAGGCGGGACTGCTTGGCCGGCACCTGGTTGACCGGCAGCTTCTTGGTTAACAATCCTTGCTTGAGCAAGCAACCGCTCTAATTCCACCCGAAGCTGGCGCACGTGGTTTAAATGCTCCGTGGCAGCTTGAAGAGTGGCAATCTCATGATTGAGCCGTTGTTCGATCTGCACCAACTGATCATTGATTTCAGCAGCGATAGATCCCCCTGGAGCTGCACCTTGTGGGGCGACAGCAGGGGCGGGGGCTTGGGGACGGCGCCCGAACCCGAACCCAAACCCAATTTGTCCTCCAGGCGCAATTGCAGGCGGGTTTGCCCCAGGCTGCGGCGCGTGACCTTGGTCGCCCTGTGGGTGAAGATTGTTGAATAAATCTCCACGCACAGCTCCAAAGCCGACACGGAAGGGCCCAAACTGATAGACCCGAGCACGTGGTTGTGCATCTGCGCCTTGTTGGCCTGGCTGCAGGCCATTCTGACCTCCGCGTGCGTTGTTACCTCCAACTCCAGCAGCCCCTCCAGTTCGCGTGGGCGCTACAACAGGACGTCGGCATGTCGGGCAGTTTTGCTGCCTCTCAAGCCAGCTTCGAAGGCACGAAAAGTGCAAGATATGGCCACATGGGAGCTTCTTTGGACGTAGACGGTCAGGAACACGCTGGCTTCCAGTGGCCGGCTGTGGTGCCGGCTGTGGTGCAGGATCTCCAGTAGGATTGGCCGCTGGTTGCGGTTGCGCCGGCTGGATTGGAATCATTTCCTCGCGGCAGATAATGCAGACATCTTCCCGGGAGACTTCCTCTGCCGTTGCATCCGGATATCTCTGGTGCATATCCCTTGTCGCATTTCTGTAACGCATGAAGTCCATAATGCGACGGGCAAACGAGCGGATGGTCACAACAACGTCCCGCAGAATGTGGATGGGGAGGCCATAGAAAGTGAGTAGGATACTAAAGAAGCTCAGGTAAATCACAAGTTTCAACAAATCGGTCAATAGATCCAAGTAGAAGACCCAACGACCTTTCTCTTCCCACCCGGGCACGTCAATCTCCATCTCATTGATATCATTTTCATCAGGCAGATTGTCAGGGGGAGAGGTAGCTCCCGCGCGGGCATTCTCCCGAATCGCCTCGAGACGCGCAACACGGATCTCTGCCCGACGTTCCTGCACCTTGGCCTTTATTTGTTGGCGGGTTATGGAGATCTCGGTCAACGCGATCACGTATCGCAGGAGGGTAGAGCCCGAGAGGATGGTCAAGATGGCGAATTCGAATCCAAACATGACCATCATATCTGGCCGTGCCTGCGTAATTACGGTCTGCACACAGTACCGCAACATGAAGGAGTTAAATAACACCGTCAGCACGAGAGATACCGCGAGCCGAGTATGGAACAACCGAGGATTAGCGGGGGGCTGTTGCTCCAAGAACTCAACGCGACCTTCGCCAATCCAACCCCAGACCTTGCCGACCAGCAGCGAAATGAACATGACCAGGAACCAGCCTCCAAGTTCGCCTCGGAAGATGGTCATGGCCAGACATGTCTCTGTGACGGCGAACCAGGCCCGCTCGTATAGTTGCTCAGTCTCGATCGGTCGCAAGGGTCCGTAAAGAACTCGCTGGAGCCAAAATAGTACAAATCCGGTGACGAGAAGACATAAATTCGTGAGGATCTGGAGATGGTACCATGAGTTAGGGACTATGATGACCAAGCGCGATAACCCAAACTGGACAACTTACCATAAGATTCGCACTACTCTGAGAGAGATAGACGCATGCCGAATAGAAATTGGACCTCTGATGAAGAGCTTTTAGAAACACACCAGTGGCTAGGACCACCGAGGCCTGTAAACGGGGGTCCAAGGTTAGCGGGTGTCTCCCCCATCAACTGCGGTACTACTTACCCCAGCATACGCGGCCAGTCTCATGGCTATCGACTGAATCGGACAAGCCGAAGGTCATGGACCGAAGAAAGGACAAAAAAAGCGGGCGTCTCAAGGTAGCATTTGGCGGAGCAACGAAGTGAACGCCGTCTACTTGGGAGGAGTAAGTAGCTTGATCTGGACAGCTTTCCAGAATAACCTGTAGACGCCTCTCCGCATCTTACGTCAGCTAGCAGCACGTGCCCGCCACCCAGATCTATATCGGCCTACAATACATGGGGAGAGTCGATTTCACTGGTAAAGCATAATACTTATGAATCGTGCACAATCTACTATGCTTTCATTGAATTCAATCCGTTAGACCTACTTTAAACGCCAGCACATATCCGTCGATCTTCGGTGTTATCTGATCATCTCCGTCATGTGACGTCCCACATTGTCCGCCTTGGAGGAGCAACCATTGAGACACCGTCCAAATCATACTTTCTCCCCAATTTGCGAACGAAGGGATAGCATCATCTCTGAATCCTGCACTCATCCTTTCAATTTAAAAGCAATGAATCATATCCGGTGATGGCTTCACCACCGGCATTATTTACTGCCTCGCGCAGCCAAACATTAACCTATCTCTTGGCGGTGTGCCCCTTCTCCATCGCCTTCCTAGTCTACATCAATTCATCCATCTCCTTCGTGGTAACAGATTTAATTGGGCTCCAGCATGGAGAGGGAGATGCAGTGGGAACTCTGGGATTCGCGGATGAACTCCTTGCCCTGGTTGCCTGCCCACTTTGGGGAGTTCTCTCGGACCGAATCGGAGTCCGCCATGTAAGCTTTTTACTCGTTCATACCGGAGTAATAACATTCAATGATATTGACGTTAGATAGGTTTGTACTGCAGGCTATGCTATTGTAGCACTCGCACTAGTGGTTTTTGTGCAAGCCACAAACGTCTACCCCCAGCTTCTGTTGGGAAGGTTGCTTTTCAGTGTCGGTGGTTCAGCGGTCTCGACCATGGTCACTGCAGTTTTGCCGACTGTCACTGGCACGGCCTTTAATGCTCAGGCATATCGCGCATCTGTGTCTTCAGAGTTGACTATCACACCAGAGCGTGCCAGAAATGGTCATTCCATACACATTGGAGGTTCCAACACATCGCCGTCTGCGCGACTCTCCGGGTATGTTGGCATGTGCGCTGGCTGTGGTGCACTTTTGGCACTGGTTGTTTTCCTGCCGCTTGCAGCCCGATTTGAGAAGATGGGATTGTCGCCATCGCAGGCCATCCAGCGCAGCTATTATCTGGTTGCTGCTGTGTCACTTGTTATCAGCCTTGTATGCTTCATTGGCCTTCGTGATCTTCCCGGAGAAAAAGAGAAAGGTTGGAGTGTACTGTGGAAACAGTGTGATGACGATGAAGATGAAGACGACGATGATGTATTCATCCATGGCCCAAGATTGTCATACTGGAAGCAGTTGACAACTGCCCTTACACTGGGATTCCGAAACCGTAGCATTGGACTAGGCTACGCCGGAGGCTTCGTGGCCCGAGCCTCTTCTGTGGGGATTTCATTGTTTATTCCCCTCGCTGTTAATCACTACTATCGGACATCGGGCCTCTGCGACGAGGAACATGAACCAGTTCCTGGATCGGGATTAGGGGAGATTAAGAAAGCATGCCCGCGTGCATACATCGTCGCATCCATACTGACCGGGGTGTCCCAATTGGTGGCATTGATTGCGGCTCCAGCATTTGGGTACCTGACAGACAAATCACGACGATATAATTTCCCACTTCTTTTCGCGGCATTGGTGGGAATCATCGGTTACATTATATTTGCCATACTCCCAACCCCTTTATTCGAAAGACCCGATGGCAATCCGGGAGTGTTTGTTGTGATGGCTCTGCTTGGAACCAGCCAGATTGGTGCAATCGTCTGTAGCTTGGCAGTGCTGAGCAACGGTATCCTGCGAGTCAGCATCGACAATGAAACACTAAGAAAATTATATGAGGAGCGACGTGGCCGTGTGGACGAGAATGATGTAGAGCCTGACGAGGGTCAATCTCTTCTTGCCGGGTCTGTCAACCGGCGATTGGAGCATCTGTCCCACCTCAAGGGTTCCATTGCAGGCGTTTATTCACTATATGGTGGGGCAGGCATCTTGCTGTTGACCAAAGTGGGCGGACTACTCTTTGACATCCTATCATCGGGCACACCGTTTTATATCATGGCGGGTTTTAACGGCATGCTGCTTGTCATAGGGATTGTATGTGGGGCCCTTAACCACTTCGGATGCTCAGGAAGGACTCGGTGATCGAATTCAACTTATTAATTTTATGAGAAATTGAGGTTAGGATCTTATCGGATTGGCTGCGAATATCATTTCATTCTCAGCGTGGAAAACAAGAATCGGCATTTCTCGGCTAGCAACATTTGAAGGTACACGTTTACAGGTGAAAGTGGATAAAAACAAATTAAACTATTTGAAAGAAAAAAAAAGTTCGTAAGATTAATTCGTCATGTTGCGCTTTCAGGCACGGGCTCTTTCACCGGTAATTTGAACTCGTGGAGGCTAAGGCTGGGCAGGGGTCGGTGGCTGACCTGGGGAAATTACGGCGACAATAAGAGATAATGGCAACCACTCAATGTATGTTTTGAATAGTAAAAAGGCATACACTGTATATTCCGGAGCAGTTGAACTTTTTAATATCATCTTGAAAGATCAAGTGATCTCTATTCACCTGATCTTTCATCTCCGACTTAATGAAGAGCAACAAACAACCTTCCCAAACGGGGATTTGACCCAGGGGTCGGTTCGGCCCCTAGGCCCGGATCAGCCTAGTTCCACCAAAACTTTCCACTAAGGCGCTCCTCCTATTGTCCCCGCCAAGCTCGGACGGACTTGATGGCAAATGATGGCTAAATGCCCCCTTTTTCAGACCTTTGAACGCCCTCGAACCCCTGGGGCCCTGTTCCTGAACGTGTCTGCCGGGCAGATCCGCTTGGACCTCAATATGGGCCAATACCTGTGCCATAATTCGTCTTGGCGACTACCCACGGACAATAAAATGCCAAGTCAATACTCTGCGCGCCTAACCCCCAGGTCCCTCACTCTGACACTTCTTCTTCCTTTCACACCTTCAGGCTCAAGCAGTCCGTCATTCACTCTTTCGTCGTTCGACAGTCTTTCGTTAACTCCAGTCCTTCGTTTTGAGCACTTGTTGATTATACTCCAAGCACTGTGTACTCTGATTCTTTGTGCGATTCCAACTTGATCATCATCAATTATTCGATATAAACACCGGCCCAATATATTTCAAACATGCGTTTCTACACTATCGCTCTGTTGGCCGGCGCTACCGCCGTCGCCGCTAACAGCGCAACCCTCCTCCTGCCCGGGTTTGCGGGTCAGGATCTCCAGGCTAGCATTATGGAAACCGTACGTACCTGATCAAGTTGCGCGATCTGCGCGCTCTTTCGTCAAAGCGCTCTTTCGTCAAAGCGCTCTTTCGTCAAAGCGCTCTTTCGTCAAAGCGCTCTTTCGTCAAAGCGCTCTTTCGTCAAAGCGCTCTTTCGTACATGCACTTTTGTCCATGCACTTTTGACTAACCATCCACAGAATGGTGATGCGACTACCTACAAGATCACCTGCCCTAAGACCGCTGATGCCTGCGGTATCGTCGGCGACGGCATGACCGCAATCGCTGCCCCGACCTCTGTGCAGCTGAAGAACATCAACCTTCAGGGAACGTAAGTACCAACCCTGACTTTCCTCGCGCGAACCGCATTCTGATATCAAACAGCGTTGGAACTGTTTCCTGCAACGTTGCCGGCACCACTTATGCTTCCTGCCACGCTTCCGCTGGCACCGTCACCCCGTCGGGCACACTGGGCCCAGATGATCTGAACTGGATGCCCGTGACTATTTCCACCAAACACACCGCGACATCCACCACTACCACTAAGGCCCCCACCAGCACTACCACGACCCAGGTGACCACCACCACCAGCACCACTACCCCGGCCATCACCTCCACGTCGACCCTCGTCTCGACCCCCAAGAAGTCCTCTTCTCTCATTGCATCCGCTACTTCCTCCACCCCTCTGGCGGCCGCATCCACCAGCGCCGCTGCCGAAACCGGTGCCCCAGCCTCTTCCTCGACTCCCTTCAACGCCGCCGGCCAGCTGGCAGGCAGCATCTGGACCGTTGGTGGCGCCTTCATGGCTCTTGCCTGCGCTTTCGCGTAAGCCTGAGCGATCTAATACCTTTTTCTTGTGCGGCTTTTTGGTTGTGGGATGAGCTTCGTGCTTGTCGATTTATTAATTTCAGGGGTTTTTGACGTTGCTTCTTATGGATGTACTCATGTATCCCTCATATGTGTGTCCATCTATTATCATTTAATGATTTGATACCTTTCTCCACGACAGACTACGATCTAGCGTCTATTTTACACTTGTATCTTCAGCCAGTGAATATACCTTTTTTTTCACCACTTTAGCTTTTGAGTGTTTCTTTGTCTCTTTCACGCCCCAGACTGGGAACAACCCTGTAGATTGTACCCACTCCTGAAAGATATCCACATGCGCCTCTTTGTCTCATTTCTGGGTATGCATTGGGGTACTCCACCGAGCACGGTCCCTGGCTTTTACTGGAGTATGCCACCAAATGCAAGATAAATATTCTCTATGTTGTATAGGGTGCGAGTTACAACATACATACGCAACGACGTGTCAAACCAAGGTCATCTTACAAGGCTCGAACTTTCATTGAGAATAGTGTGGTCAAAATTCCGAGGCGCACGAGTTAGGGCTAATATACTCCGTACTGCGTACTGCAAAGCGGTTTGACTATGTACACATATCTTGCTACCTCAAAGTTACAAGACGTTCGTACTCTTCTAGACTTTTATTTTGACTCTTTATTTTGCTACACTATGTAGGCTAGATTGGTTTAATATAATTCCGATTTGGTATAAAAACAACGACGTCGACATATAATGTTTGGACAAAACTAGTTTTGAAGTACCTTTTGTATGCGCATGCCAAAGAAAAGATACCTTGGATCAAGTACTTGCTTTATGCAAGCTTCAAGAGAGTAATTCAGCCAAATGCAGCTGATCGCCTCGCCTCGTACGGCCCCCAGAAGTAAATTACTAAGCATGCCGGCTCCCGGGACCGGTTCGCTCGGGTCGGGGGATCTGTCTCGGGGGCCGTCCAAACTTCCACGCACCTCGACATCCACCCATTTGTCCTTGCTGATTCTGGGCAGCACCGGCTAACGCCGGCCTTTCCGAATACCCCTGCAGTGGCAACGGGCATCTCGAACCGGGGAGAAATGGTCACCTAGATTCGGTGTGGAAGAGCTGTGGCTGCACGAGTCCAAAACTAAGCTTAGGAGGCTTCCTCCATGGTTACTCGGCGATGCAAACTCTTTGCCAGGAGAGTATTCAATGTTGCCCTCCAACCTACGCACTCTTGCACTATATTCCTGACGCAACTTCTTCCTTGACAATCGCTTTACCACCCAATGATGAACGATAAGCCAAGCTTAGGTACATGGAAACGAGCATCTACTCTGAAAGATGTTGCTCCTCGACCCGATCCTCCACCGATTACAATTTCCTCTCCTTTGGATAAAAGTAGAATATATAGGGATATTAGAGCATGCGATGAGCATCAGCAAGTAGATGCGAACAAATAAGAGGAACAGCATTGAGAATTTGCTACAAAAGGCTTACATAGAACAAATATGCCTAACTCTAAGCATCAGGAGTACCAACGAATAGAACCATTCTCAGTGACATCTCCTCTGCCTGTGCCTGTGAATTCAACCATAGCGTTCCCACTCACCCTTGCAGAACCACTCCCATTGACATAAACGTGGGTATTTCCGCTGGCCCAGACCGTACAATCGCCGTAGGCGACCGTATTTCCATCGCCAGAGACGAAGACATGACCGGGGCCATGAATCATGACCGAACTCGCGCCATTTGGCCCCTGGTAAACCCCGTAAACTCTGGGAGGGTTGTTCACGCTGACATCCCATTCTTGCTGGGGCTCCAACATCGTAGGACGTTTCTCCTTCTCCTTCCTAACTTTCTTCATGGACTCTTTGGGCTTCTTCTCCCTTTTCTCCTTCTCATACTTCTTCGTGGGCTCTTTAGACACCGTGGAGTGTTGCTTCACAACAGCAACCGATGGGTAGATCAGCGCCAACGTCTCCTTGTCGCTTTCAGAGAGCACAATATTCTGAGGGACATCCATCAGCCCGCTCTGCGTGTCTCCCCTCGCGATAGCGTAGTGCATAATCGACTTTCGATCGTATGCCCTCTCCCACCTGGTGTTGATGGCGCTCTGCGTATCATCGTTGTAGTTGTAGCGCACCGTATCTAATTCCCATTGATTCCTGTCCATAAGCTGGTTATAGTTCCACTTGGCCTTGCAATGCGGGTGCTTGTGCTCGTGTATCAGACCCAACGCATGTCCGAACTCGTGGAGCACGTCGGATTGCACCTTCTGCTGAGCCGCGTCCTGCGTGTGCAATCTAGGATGCATATTGAGCCACATGGTGGGCTGGTCTGGGTAGGCCTCAGCTTGACGTCCGATATAGGATTTGGACTGGTCTGTGAATTGAATACGAATGTCGGAAGGGCTTGTGTCCCGGAACTTGAAGCGGAGGCGCATGGGGATGGAATTATAATGCGTTCTGACCAAGGATTTGACTGTATTCTGTTCATATTCGCCCCCGTTTAGGAAACACACATTGAGAATAAGTTTGTTAGGTGGCCAGAACCCGGCCGCTGGTCCCGCGCCCATCTCTTAGCTGGTTGGGGGTTATCGTCGCGTTCACGACGGATAGTGACTCCTGTTGAAAGGGCGAGCTGGATGGGCCAGCTAGATTTTCTTTTTCGGTGATAGAAGGCAAAAATCAATATATGCTGGGCTGCGCACAAGAGAAATCGGACTCGAAGGGTTGATGCGTTGACGCCTGAATCGCGGGCACCAAAACGCCTGACAGGAGAGGGACGTCTCGACTCACAAAATAAGAATATATCAGACTATGCTAAAAGCGTAAGGACTAGCATGCGTTCAGAATGAATGAGGCCAAAGGGAATCAATTCAGGAGGGAAATATGAAGAATCATGTGGGATCCGAGAGGGCATGTTGAAATACCCCTCATGTCAGCCTGTTGAATACAGCGATACTTGGTGCTTACAACCCCAGATCGCAAGTTGTCCCAAGCTTACACACAAATAAGGAAATGCGGTCTCGAATGTGACCAATCGGTTGTTAGTGGTTGAGTAAACAGCCCCATATTCACACAGTATTGATCGTTAGTGAACTCGTGAAGACCGCTCATCGAGTCCGGGGTAATGGACTTTCAATGTTTCAATGAGCCTCAATTTGCTCTGTTGAGCAGAATCAGATCGGAGAACATGAAAGTAACATAGAGAACCTTCCGTTCGCTCGCTGGAGGCGATGCTTCTTCCCATGGCCGAGGCACGATATTTAGCTTACCATCAGAGCCGCCGAAACCGTACATAATAAACAATCTGCCTTGTTAGTCGCTTTTTTATTCATGTCGGAGCACTGCCACAGTTCGACACCCAGTCGCCAATCACCAACGTTGCAGCCAAGAACAGTATTATTAAGCCGGTGGCATGCATCTAGTCAGGTAGCTACCATACGAGGATTATATTTATTGCGAAATTCAGGCGTTGGCTCACATGTAGGCCAAAGGCTATATAAAAGCAACCGTTTTCCCTTTAGTGGCATAGATACGATAAATTCGTGATTAAAGATGAAAGTGTCGGAGAAGACTATCTAGAAGTCCTTTTATATCTATCATATCTATCTCCCTTTCACTCATGATAGGCGCCTCGAGTTTTCATCTAGTGCTCTAGCTTCTTTTCCATAGTTATATCGCTTTTTGTCACTCCCTAGACTTTATTCAGAAATTGGGCGACGCCATGTTAAAGCGGTGGACCCCGGAAACAACACGGCTTTACAACAAAAAGCCACGCACAGTAACCTTTTCACCATCGCCTTGACTTACGTATGACCAAGCATTGCTAATAGCTAGGTAACGCTAGGATAATGTGGAGATTGTACGAAGCATTATTAATACATAAGCGGGGTACTAAAAGGGTAGGTGGTTTTTCAGAATTATTTGTACCAATTTTCTAAAGAGTCATCCATCTATACATATACGCACATCATGTCTACGATCTTGATTTCCGGCGCCAACAAAGGTAACCCAATGTATATTTGACCCCTCGCTCAATTTAAATTAACAATTCCAGGAATCGGCCTTGCGCTGGTTAGCAAGTACCTAGCTCGCGATAATGTGACTGTGATCGCCGCTGTTCGCAACCCAAGCTCATCGGAGTCAAGTCTCTCCAACCTTCCCACAGGGGCGGGTAGTCGGCTAATTATTGTCAAAATCGACGCCAGCTCCGACATCGACGCCAAAGCGGCAGTGGAATCATTATTAAGCCAAGGCGTGTCGATATTAGACATCGTCATCGCTAATGCGGGAGTCTTCGACCGAGCCGCTTTCACTACCGTTGCCGAGTCTAGCATTGCCCAGATCCAATCCCATCTAGACATCAACACTCTTGGACCTATACGTCTATTCCAGGCTACCCTCCCTCTCCTTCAGAAGTCATCATCTGCTCGCTTTGTCCTAATAAGTACTCTAATGGCAACGATTGGAGATATGAAGGATGCTCCGTGGACTATTGCGCCGTACGGCGCTAGTAAGGCTGCGGCGAACTTCTTTGTCCGGAAAATTAACTTTGAGAACGATGGGATCTCCACTTTGGCTGTTAACCCTGGGTATGGAGGTCTTTATTCTAGTTGTCTTGACGTGTTGACTAATATCTCCCTATAGGTCGGTCAAGACGGAGTCTGGAAATGACGCTTGTCGAACGTTAGGCTTCGACGGCGCTTTCGTAGAGATTGAGGACAGTGTTAGCGCAATCGTCAACAAAATCGATGGGTTGACCAAGGAGAACGGTGCCGGTGAGTTTTGGAGCATCGATGAATCCACTGTTGCCTGGTAAACACCGGCGAGGGACCAGAAAAGGGGAAATCCTTATAACACAGTCAGCATGACCACCATGAGGTTGGTCCCAATTAGATGTATTCTAAAACTAGTTACTCTGACAGTCATATCCTCAAAGGATAATATAATTGAATTTAAAGACATTGAGATCTCGAATAATTTGGAACCCGAGCCAAAAAGGCAAACATTTAGATTGGGCAAGTTTATAAGACTTAATGTACGCTACCAGTCCCTAAAATCCTGCCTTCGGGGGTGTCAGATCCTCTAGAATATATATGTATATATGTAGGTCCTTGCATGGGCCTGACCTGCCTGAAGCCCACTCACTACAAAAATCGTGTTTTTGACTCCAATATTTTCTGTAAACACAGGAAAGGGTTCTTAAATCACAATTTCAAAAGTTCGAGCTATATTTGATTGATCTGTGCCTGAGATACCTATCGGTGGCGAGTTATTATATCGGGTTTGTGAATCAAGAGTGACATCATGCCCAAGGGCCCTCTCACTCATCTCCCGGGCGACCTAGCTGTGGCAATCTCACTTCTTACGTCTCTGGCTTCAAATCGGTAAAATAGAGTTATCTTGTTAACGTCATGGAAACTGCAACTTATGAAGCCATCGTTGTGGGTGCTGGGCCCGGCGGACTAGCCACGCTTGCAACACTGCTGGATGCTGGAGTCAGAAACATATTATGGGTGGATAGGACTTTTGGAGGCGGGAGATTGAATGGGCTATACCGGGAAATATCATCGTGAGTAAAATGTCGATTGCTCTGTGCAAAGGCTGCCCAGAACTAAGCAATCAACACAGTAACACCAAAATTGGTATTTACCTAGACGCAATCTACGCTTCCCCTCACTGCCGTTCAATCATTGAATCTAGCTCCGCGCCCAATGCAATCACACAACTAGAGTCTATGGACAGAGAATCGACTTGTCAGCTCAGTTTGGCCGGTGATATGATTTGCATGCTAAGGGATAGGCTGCTCCAATTCCCCAAAGTTGAAAAGAAAGTAAGCAAAGTGGAACAGATGTTTCTCGATGTGAGTTCTTCCACTCAACCATAAAGTCTTGACTAACAGAATTCGCAGGATGGAATCTGGACAGTCTTAATGGCTGGTGCGAAGGTCAAAGCCAAACGTGTGTTTCTCTGCACCGGTTCTCATCCAAAGTCCGCATCGTTACATCATCCAATCAACCCCGATCTAATTGTACTAGATGTGGATGAATGCATGCGTCGCTCGAAGCTGCCATCGTTGCTTCCAGAGGACTCTAAATCGGTTGTGGGAGTCGTAGGCAACTCCCACTCTGGCATTTTATGCTGCTGGAACTTGTACGAGATCTCCAAATCTAATAAACGCGATTTGAAGGTCTTCAACTTCTGCAGGCGGCCTATTACGTACGCCAAATACACCAATGACGGCATAGTCTTTGATAATTCTGGACTTAAAGGCAAGACGGCAGAATGGGCAAAGAATGTCATGGAGAAGAATCTGGATCATACCAGACTCGAAGAGATTGATTTGAGCAAGGATGAAGACTCGGTCTATCGAGAATATCTCCCCAAATGTACCCACATCGTCTACGCAATTGGCTATGAACGGTCATCACTGCCGAAAATATACGTAAACGGCCAGAGAAAAGAAATGGAGGTTGAATTTGACATGTATTCCTCTGGGTTTCACTTTCGAGACGGAGGTGGGAGAGCGTTTGGACTTTACGGTAATGGCATTGCCTTCCCCCAGCTGGTTACAGACCCCGAAGGGCACATAGAAAAGGCGGTGGGTGTTGCGAAGTTTTTCAGCTTTGCGGAGAGGGTGAAGGAAAACTGGCTCCATGTCCGGTAATAGCTGTGGATAGATGGGACTGAACTACTGAATGTCATATTTGAGTAGTATAAGTTCTATATATCAAACCCGTGAAAGTATCGGGTCAAGTTATAGCTTACCAGGCACCGGCCTCCAGAGCCCGAGACCAGAATCGTGTTTCCTATACCATAATATGTGTAGATGACTATCTACCTGCTTTCAGTCCTCAACGAATATCTCAATCGCAGCACTTTTCACAATATTCATCCAGCCACCACCGCCAGGCAAAGCCAAAACCACATCTCCAACAGTCAACCTGCACACAAATTCCCCCTGATCATCTGTATTAATCAGACAAATATACTAGGAAAATCAATTAGCGCGATGACGCTTTTAAAATCTTCGCTTACCCCTGTATTAGGTAAATGCGGTTTTTGAGCTGCCACCTCGCACGCCTTCCATTCTATCTGCATGTGCTCGCCCGGCTCTAGGCGCACGTCCCTATAGGATTCCTTGATGCAGGATGTTGCGTCGGCCAAGAGCTCTGATACTTGGTTCAGTGAAGTGAGTAACCTGCCGTCCTTTAGGTTTACTTATAAAACGCTAGAATAGAAGCGATCAATCCTCGGAGGACGAAATTACCTAGAACAGCTTGACTAGAGATAAGCGGTTCCTTGCTCAGTCTTCACAAGCTTATAGCCTTGATCGACAGGAGCCAGAAAGCAAGACTTACTCTGCAGCAAATTGATGCTATTGTCGACGCAGTCAGTTGAAATATCAGCGCGGAATCCATTTTATTAATTTCGATAACGAATTTCGATCACCTGGTTAAGGTGAATGACATGTCCATGTTGTTATTTAAATAAGACCAAGGCCTCACTGACACGAATATACAATATCTGGCGTGAAGAATTCTCCCATATTACTCTGCGTGCACCATCTGCATTGACAGTGCTCTCTCTAACTGACCCGAAGAGCAAGATAAGGCACTAACTTGCGCTTTCCAGGTATATTACCCCCCTCTCCCTGCCATCCACTCAATCTTATCGGTCGGTATGCTACGAAGCCAAAACATGTCGCTATGACGCCCCAAATGGAAAACAACTTTACGTCTGCCTAAGAGACATTTAAGGAATGAATACTAATAATAAGCTTTATAGCGTCTCGTGTATAAAAAGCTATATCGACTTGATAACCCCCATTTCAAATGCTAGCTTATAGCCACAGACAATCTCCGACCCTATACATCCCAACGATTTCTCTATGGCGGCGGTATCGAAGATGCGGGTCTTTTTCACCTTAAGACTCCTGGTCTTAATAAATTAGAAGGGAATATCGAGGACGATCACAACGTTGAGTTTTGTATGTCAAACGAGGACAAAAAAGTATCTGGGCATGGCTATATTATTGGACGGGTTCAACTGGGTAGATTATATTGGTCTCCAGCCCTACACCGACGAGCTTTATAAGTGGATTGTTTACACCAAGGTGGAGTATGCGCCCTAGGGTCCGCGGATGTTACTTCGGTACTTGCTCATGGGAAAAATGGGATTTTAGGTAGTGTTAGTTAGATTATGCAAGAAATTTCGGGCTTTGAGGTTTGTAAATTTTCCATACATATCCTATTTATGCGTATCGGATATTGGATTCAGGTTTGAATATTTCAGTTTAGCGCTACCAATCACTATTCGTACCGTGCGTGGTTGTATATACTCCCCGGCTCCTCTGTTCCATCTAATAGCTCGGAATTGCTTTTTCGCCTTCCTTCACCCTACATCTTGTAGGTGAGGTATTCTTTCATTAAGCTCGACCAGTTTGCATATTTATTTAGGGGACCTACTCAACATTTAACATCAAAGTCGAAGCATTGCAGATTGATCAAGCTGATCTCAACACCAAACGCATGCTAGATCTGACGGCTGTTAGCCAAGAGAATGGCCCAATTCTATTATATACGGACACTGTTCAGCGAATTCTTCGGGATATGCGAGTCAAACAGCAGATTCGTGAAGCAGGTTTTGACTATGCTGGGTTTAAGAGGAGAATATTTGATTCTGGACTCACTCTAGGGCAACTTGAGCCATTAAAGCAAACGCCTGTACACTCTAGAAAGCTTCATGCCACTAGAAGAAAAAAACAAAAACATACAACAGTGAGGATTCGCTGGTGGTCACCCACCCAACTACTAACTCACCGGCGTGTGGCTTAAGTACGGCTGAGCGGACGGGAAGCCCTGTTTTCCACACCCTGTGGTCGTATGTGATTGGGTATGGGTAAAGGTGAGAGACACCTTTAAGGCATGTTACCTATCAAGCCTTTTAAAGCCGATGATCTAACGATTAATCATACGCCCGCGGGATTTATTGGTACTTACCAAAATATACTAGTTATAATTAGAATGCCTCACTCTTCTCACCCTTGCTCGCCAAGTTAGTTAGCCAGCAATAATTATCATTAGAATCTACCTTAAACTAAGCACATACGACCATAGGGTGTGGAAAACAGGGCTTCCCGTCCGCTCAGCCGTACTTAAGCCACATATTCTGCACAGTCAATACTCAATTTGGCCCTAGCACCTAAGCGGCACTCCAGGGTGAGTACGGGTGATATGGGTGAGAAGTCTTGAGACTAGGGTGAGAGAGGTGAGAACGGGGTGACAATTCTCACCCTTAAGGTGATAAGGGCCAACTCATTCCAAGCCTATGCCGGCCCCAAGAAAAATATATAATACAACCTCTAAGGCTCTTTTCTCACTCTGTCATGATATTATTTTGAATTTCTTTACCACTCACAATATGTTCTCCGAACAGAATATCCCGAAATCACTCCAGGAGCGTCTCGCACGTGCCATATCACGTGACTTCACATGTGAATATCAAGACGAACAGGAAAAAGAGGGTAATACTATCTGCCACCCTGAGCTAGCGCCTGCTACGCTAGAGAAATACGATTATGTAGTTAGCAACATTATAGTCTACTACTAGACTATAATAATTGTTCTGCTTAATTGCTCACAACTTCTTTAGTGATTTCCTGTCTTCGAATTGTCGAAAAGTGAGGTCCTATTAGGTGCGAACCGGGCTCATAACTGTCGGATTATACCGTATTGTAATATATAGGGGTCCAATCAATGGTAGTCAACTCTCTGTATTTCTAAGTTGGGACTTCTGCCAATTTATGCGTCCGCTTATTTAATATAAATTACATGGGAATGCAGGACAAACTGTTTCTCCGGTATGCCGGTTCGTATACTCCAACAAATAGGCATGGCATTAGGCGGTTAGGCCATACATTGCGCTTAGGTAAGTCCTTTCCACAATTGGCTTAGTACATTCCCCATCCACCAACCATAATTCTCCTATCTCTTTTCCCTTTGCTCCACCACCCGCTTTTCCCTCAATTTCCGTCCCTATCATCGTCCTATCAACGAATCAGCATCAACGAATCAGCGGTTTCACTGACCATGTCAGATTTACTTTCTGGGGCCCCCGTCATGGAGACCGCGGCGGATGTAATTCAGCGGCCCGTCCCTCCCCTCACCCAGATTAATGGTACGCGCTATGTCTCCAACTCATCTGAGGTTATCTCGTTACGGTTTTTCCATGAATGGCAGAGCTTTGACCAGGATGTTCTCGAAGCATCTTATTCTTTAGATCTTAGCCATCCTGTGCCTTACACGGATGATGTGTCAGAAAGCTACGTCGTTGGAAGCGAACTTGGTTTGACCGGAAGGTTCTGCAAGAATGTCTGTGACCCAGTTTCGAAAGTATTTGCCAATACTTGCCTCTCCCACTTGAAGTTTGGTGATTATCAGTCCTCTGCAGGGCCAACGGACACGAGTCAAGTGCCTGATATCACAATGTTCAACACAACGGGACCACCTCGCCCAGCGGCTGTCGGAGAACTTAAGTCTTTCTGGACAGTTGAACTTGAGGACTATTCCATTCGCGAAGGCTATCAACGGTTAATCGGCGTCCAGCATCACTTTGGTAAGTCCACTTGAACCTTATTTACGATCCTGTTAACGGTTCCTCAGCCCAACTCGTCAAGTACATGCGGTCGAGTAAGCTTAAGTTTGGATTTTTGTCGACATACGAGTGGACGGTCTTCATCCGCAGAACGGCTCCTTACCACTTTGACATGTCGTTACCGATTGCAAGAGATGCATCGAACCCCAGTCTCCGGCAATGCTTCTTGGCGCTAGGTGTAGTGGCTTCCAAAAATTGGAAATTTATTGAACCCCCTGACTTCAACATCGCCCAGGTGAGTTTTCCAATCATAGAAGCGGCAATCTCCTAACATCAGACCCTAGCTTCGCGTTCCGACAGGTCCTTCACTCCAAGTGTCCATCCGTCCATCCGCTTTCCGGAACCAAATCGGTACCAAGGAGGAGATATCGGACATGCTTGGCTCGTCATCAATCCTTTACGGGGCTGATGACGGTATTGCAACGACGTTCGTAAATTGCAAGAGAATTATCCAGCAATCCTCCGCCAAGGCGATTTATGAAGTCACATGGGATGGAAAACCAGCCATCGCGAAATGCTGGTCACCGTCTGGAGTCGAACGGTCTGTTGTTGTGTCCTTGTAGCATAGTGTCTCAATCGCTAATCCTTTTGTTCTGTAGGTTTGCTGACGAAGCGAGGACGTATGAGAATATCCATGCGCAACGTCCAGCTGGTTTCGATTTTTTCCCCTCACTACTAAGCATCGGCAAGATCTGTTGCTCTTCGATCCGTCCCCAGGGTTATATCATTGTGATGACAAAGGTTGATGGGGAACGGCTCGATAAACAATGGCACCTACTTTCTGGAAGCATCAAGGAGCGCATACGTTTAGAGATTTACAAGGCTATCAAGGTCCTCAGGCGAGCTTCAACCATTGTTATCGACTCCGGGATGCATAATGTCTTGTATGATCCGGAAACTAATGCTGTAACAATGGTGGATTTTGAGTTGATGCAAGCATGTGAGGCGGACACCATGAGTCCTGACGAACCAGAGATGTTTTCCATATTCGGGCATCGCCCTCCGCGCTTACAGGTTCATCACGAGGGTGGTTAGACGCCAATAATCGACAATCACACTCCGGAGTTATCGCAAGCCAATGGCTGCCATGAAGTTTGATTCGCGATAAAACTTCCTGCTATGCTCGAAGCATCTTTATTTGCCGCGCTTGGATTTACTGGTCGGAGTGGGTCTAACGAGGATTTGTTATTGCTGAAAGAAATGTTGCTACGCTTTTCAAATGTTCTGTATGTCTTATATCCGTAGTCGACTTCATAGCTTCACGAGAAATGTCCAATAGGCGCTCTCACTCGTCGTTTCCTCAAATACAGTCTATCTCGTATAATTATTGACTAGCTATATGACACCAAAGCATCTAGACTTATATTATTTGCGGTCGTCTCGAGCCTCAGGTAATCATGCTCAAAGCTCATCGGACATACCTCGGCATAATAGTAAACGGATACAACTCGAGTTCCCTGATGGTTGAATTCAGGCTAAATGCACTCCGTTTATCCGTGCTTTAGACGCATCCCTATTCCATATACTTGGTTACTTGGATTCGTCACGGATTCACCAACAATATCTCTTTCTTTATCCTAAGGCTATCCACCAATACACAGTGTCCAGTCACCGGACAGTGAAAATATCCGGCGCACTTAAGATAGGAGATAGTTGATAATAAGTTTCTACTTGGCGAGGAATATAAGACTATTGAGTGTATTCCGAATATACTGGTGTTGTTTCAATCAAATTGAATGAATCATGTTCAGGTGTAAAGGGAATATTGACAGGGTACGATCGTATTATTAACATCTGACCAATGCTGAATGTTTGCGACTATCTGTATACCTTCGCACTCCTGCTTGTTAGAAATAGGTGTACTGCCTCCACTATATGTGAAATCGTCTAGCGCATGCTGTGGAATACAAGAAAGACTGTCGTTGTAACGTGCTAAGGATTTGCGTAGCATGAACGTGGGTTTCTTACCCATCTCTTGGAGCCGCTTGAACAGGAGCAAAGGTTGCTCATTGAACCGAACATCCTGTACTTCATCCCCGCAAGCGACAGAGAGTGTTTATTGTCGCCAATCAGCGACAATATTGTATCTTTCGAGCATCGCTGGTATGAATTCGTGGTACGAGTCTTTCACAGGCCTTCCCAACAACTTACACATCTTATCGCGAGACCTGCTGGTATTTAACAGGTATCAGAAAAAGCGGTCGGGTCAAAGTGGATGCTGAAGTACTCGAGGTCAAATACTTATGTTACACCACTGTAGTATCTTGTCTCCCTCTACTCCACACTCCGTACTGCGTACTAAGTCCGGCGATTTCCCCTCCCTTTTACTTAATTGACCCCGTGGAGCGATGGACTTAACTAGACTCGCTACCTCTATCTCTGAGGCAGTGGAGCTCCTCAACAACCAGTCAATTAACACCCAGCAGCGAGCGGAGCTGTTGCAGGCCTGTGAGAGGCTATATGTAATTGTTGATCAGCCGAACTCCAGACTAGAGAAACCTACTATCGCAGTAAGTCCATCTCTGGTGCGATGATTATGAGCATTTAATGTATTGACGCCGAGTAGATAACCCCAATTATAGCCGCCCGTGTCACTATTGATATCGGAATATTTGAATTTGTCCACAATTCCTTAAAAGAAGAATTTACGAGCGAACGTTACAATCCAATGAGTGCCGATTGCCGCTCAGCTAGGAGGATCAGTGCTGCGGTCGGGTGACGGCCAGTGATTCCCACTCAGCTTATCACCCTGTCTAAAGCGCACTCACACCTATCACCCCAAATCTTAACTCACCACACTATCCTTTTGACTATATAGATTCTTTTTGAATAAGAACAAATACATACGACCATAGGGTGTGGAAAACAGGGCTTCCCGTCCGCTCAGCCGTACTTAAGCCACACGCCGGTGAGTTAGTAGTTGGGTGGGTGACCACCAGCGAATCCTCACTGTTGTATGTTTTTGTTTTTTTGTCACTCTGCATAAGCAGTAAGTAGGTAGAATGAGCGGGTTAGTTTGGGGTGAGAAGTCAAGTCTAGAGACCCGGGTGATACCGGCGAGCTCATTATTCAACCTATATGCTTATTTAGGTGCGGGAACTAAAGATAGCGTGCAAGTAATGATTGTAAAAGTACGTTTTGAGCCTTGTGGGTATTCTTCGTACGAGTTAGCCCGAAGGTCCGCGATCTTAGCGTTTTGATGTACTGGTAGGATGTTTCAGACCTAAGAACACCCAGGGAAGACCGTAGTAGACCACTCAAGTTGCGCCTAATATTTGTCCATATACGCATCAATCTCTAGCCTCGGTTTACATGGTGCCAGCAAGATTTGAGTATTCGAGTTTGATATTCTTCCAACACAATGAAACTAAAACGACATGTCATTCTGCAATTATAAAGTGACGGAGCCCACATCTAATCAGAACGAAAGTCTCAAATGGAAAAAAAGTGAGAAAAAAACAAGCTACCTCCACTAAAAAATTTTAGATCCGAGTCCAGCCGCCGTCGCAAGTCATAAGAACGCAAAAAAAAAGACTGAACCAATCCAATAAACGAGAAAAAAGAGATAGCCATCGCAAAAAAAAAAAGAAAAAAGTCGACTCGGAGGAAAAGTCAAGAAAGTCATAAACCTCATAAACCCCACGCAAAGCCTACGGCCCGAACCCAGATGCATGTCATCCTCATCCACGAACCTCAAACCCTAGCATCCCATAATCGTGAGAACAGAGTCATAGGCCACTAAGTACTCGATACATCCGTATTGGGAAATCGGTCTTTCAGCGAGACCATGAGAGCTGGCTTATCCCAAAGGAAAAATACTTTCTGGTCTACCCAGTTGGTGCTCTCTGGGCGTAGGGTTAGATCGAAGTGGAAGAGGAGTTTGCAGAGGATGAGGCAGATTTCGCAGTTTGCCAGACTAAGAGGGGAGAATGTGTTAGCATTAATGAAAGTGCAATGTGGATAAAGGGGGAAATGGCAAGGAACGCACTGTTTTCCGATGCAGACGCGTGGACCAAGACTAAATGGCTGCAGGACATCTTTCTTATCGTTGTCAAAGACTGGGTCAGATCCCAGCCAGCGCTCTGGCAGGAACTTATCCGGGAAGGCAAAGTTGGATTCCGAATGGTAGGAGGCGTAATGGTGACATGCCACAGTTGTCTGGTCACGATTAGTATGTAGGTTACAAATGTGAAATTTTGAAGTAAAAGGCATAACGTACATCCCCAGGAACAAAATGCCCGTTCACGAGGGCTCCGCCTTGCGGTACAATGCGCGAGAGACTCGTCACAAAGGGCGGGTACATGCGCAGCGACTCCTCGATGACAGCATTCAGGTACTTTAGATCTTCCACGGTGCGAAAGGTCATGTCACTGTCCTGTTTGAAAGTTGAGCGGATCTCGGTGACGAGTTTGTTCATAACGTGTGGGGTTGAACACAGGTAGAATAGACAGCCAGATAGTAGGGTTGCGGATGTCTCGCTACCTGCCACGATTAAACTATTATTTATTAGCATTAACACGAGATATAGCAGTTCCTCGGAAAAGTAAAACATAAGAAGCAAACTAAAGGGGAGAGCATTTGAAAATAACGAAAACCGCTCACATAAATCCATTAGAATGAATCTCAGCCCGAGACATAATACGCTCGCTCTCGCGATACTGCCCCTTCTCTTCACTAAGCCCATGCTGGATAATAGCAGACATAAAGTCTGGACGGGACATATTCGACTCCAAGCGTCGGTCGACTTTCTGCGAAGCCAGATCAAAGTGTTCCTGACCAACGCGCTTCATTTCTCGCGGAATAAAGAGGTCCAGAACACTCTTAAGCAAGGGGAACTCATTTGCAGCTCCAAGATAGGCAAGAGCCTTCATGGAGTTGAAGATCAACTTGATCCATGGGTGAAGCTGGCTGTCCTTCAGACAGTCAAAGGACTCGCCGAACATCAGGTCACTGGTGATATCAAAAGTGGTAAAATTCATCCAACTTTTGATATCAACTATAGAAGTCCCATGGCGGATTTCAGACCGTAGTTTGGTAATCAATGTATCAACATAGCCTGTGATAAGACCTTCTTGCTCTCTTAAAGCCTTCTCGGAGAAGGCATGGGCTAGCAGCCGTCTTTGCCTTGCATGAGTTTGATTATCAATCGCACAGAGTATATGATCAACCCCATTCACCGGGGCGATATAGTGGTTCCTATTTTTGGGAAAGCAACCGCCAGGTCTGGCGCCGTAGATGTCTCGGTAGGCCTGTGCTGTGCTGAAGGCCAGCTCATCGGGAGTAATCCGCAGGACGGGACCGTACTTCTTGTGCAGGTCCAGAATGTCCAGGTGATTATAGCCACGGATGACGGAGAGATTGTACGGAATGCGAGACATTGCCCATAGCTTTGGACCGGGGAAGTGACGCAAGGGTGACCAACAAAAGGCGTAAATGACGCTGTAGGTGACCCAGAGTAGGAACTATCGATCGTATCCTAGTTAGCGCAAGCTTCTCTACAAACTAGTCTGAGGGAAAGGACTAGTTCAATTGCATTGCTCAGAGATGCTGTGTTTCCCCGGGGAGATATTTTGGAGATGACTGGCTCTGCTGTAGGGTTTCCTGCATGGAACAAGTGATTGGAGGTACAGGGTAATGCAACTTACTAAACCTCCTGCAGCCGCACCCCAAAAGCTACCTGAGGTTGCCCCAGACATGGTGAGATTGGAAGTTAAAGAGGTCCACAGGGCCATGCACGTCCCTAAAGCCATATTTGATCCGGGGTCATTTGGTTTTCCAGACGAAAGTTTTGGTGAATGTTTCTTTTCAGTGATTGGACACTCAACCGAAACCAAGAGAAATGAAGCTAGTGTTGCACCAGTTCAATGCGGTTAGTGGCAGATGCAGGAAGAGGAGGGGAATCGGGGGCCAGGCGGAAGGGAGAACGGATACTCCGTACATCATTCCCGCATTTCCATATCAAATCTACCTATCTTTTTACTCCGAACATCCTCGGATCCTAGTCATATTATGAATTTGACTAGGAATGAGACGGCTTCCGACCGTAAACGACATGCAGCTTGCAGTACGTATGCACGGCTGGATTTTTGATATCTCTGCGGACCCCCGCCAAGAAAACCTGAGTATCGTTATTCGACCACCCCAACACACGAGTGAAAAGAGCTAGCGAGTAGGATTCAACTGCCATGAGAAGGGAGCATTGGTTGTACCGACCAATTTCCTTTTGCACGGGATCCCTAGCCCAAACACTCGATGGAACCTGGAGCACCACAGTCAGTCATGACGAAAGAAGCAAACAAAAAGTAAGACCGGGGAAAGCGGGCAGGGTCGCACCTTGTACACCTCATCTCGAACATCTTCAAAACCCGCCTCAACCAGCCGCTGCCAGTGGCCTTCGGCAATATTCATAGGTCGGTGAAACGCCTCACTGGCCTGAGTCAGTCGTTCAAGAAACTCACACAAAGCCGGCGCAAGACACATCGAATCATCGTCCGATTTGAGCATGACTTCGAACTCCTGTAACTCAATCCACCCACCGGGACGCAGGTGCTCGTAGCTCTGGCGCATCAGCCGCGGCCAGTCGGCGATCGCACCGCCCAGATCCCGGGCATGGATGAAATCAAAGGGCTGGCTTGGACTGTACAGCCATGGTGATTCGGCATCGTCCACCACGAAGTGAAGATTGGGTGGGACCCATGATGGCTGGATAGGACTTAAATCGGTGCCTGTTACCTCGGTACTAGGGAAGCTTTCTGCGAAATCGATGGCCCAGATTCCGGTGCCAGTGCCGATGTCGAGAACGCGCGGGATATGGTTGTCCAGTGGAGCTCGGAAGAGTCGGCCATTTAGCACGAGGTTCCTGACGTGGTGGAGGAGATCTTGTCGATCCTGTTCTGGTTCGTCATTGGGGAGGACGTAGTGGCCTTGGCGGTATGAGTGATAACGTCTTCCATTTTCGTAAGCGTAGTTTCTCACATCCGATAGCAAAGAGGCCGTATAGCTAGAGATGTTGTCTGGCTGTCCATCACCGAAGACTGAGTCTGAATCACCGGCTGTTGATCCTACAGATGATGTATCACCATCATCATGGGTATCTGGCGATAAAAAGTCCGCAGGTAGAGATGGCATTGGTGGGATAAGGTCAGAGCTGTCATGACCCACTTCGGGGACGGATACAATTGCTGAGTCCAGTGGAGCTGGTGGCAAAGAATGCGGCGTTGACGGATCCCGCGTTGAAGTGGAGGGTTCAATTTCGGCGAACGGCCTACTTAGCCCAGGTACCGATGGGTTTAGGCCCTTGTCATAACTGTTCTCAAAACTTTCCTCTGGAATTGGGGACAGCACAGGCGATGGGAGAATCCTCTCTTCGAGCTGACTGGTATCAGCTTCAAGCGCAGAGTCCAACAATGGGAATTCAGGTATATCCGGCAATCCAGACGTATGAATGATAGGCCCTGGAATCGAAGAAGCGGACGACAAGCGCCTGGTGAACCCTGAAGCATCTTCCATTGCCGACTCCATTTGATCGAAAGTCCGTTTTAACGGAATACAAGAAACAGGCACTGACCCAGTCCCCGGGATTGGAATCTCCGACGTCAGTTTCGTGGAATTTGGCACGTAGTCTGACCGCGTAGACAAGACTTACGAAGAATCAGGATTCCCTGTCGAGGCTTGGTATGTGTGAGAGGACAAAAGATCGGTACCCAGGTCGGTTCTCGTGTTGCATCGCCGGTTGTCCAAGCACACGGGGTAAATACAGAGGAGGTCAATCATGTTGGAAAAGGCAGCCGTAGGGCGCCAGCCTATACAGTAAGTGATATGTGATGACAGTGAGCAATGGACTACTTAGGAAGGTACTGGGAAAAGGAAAGACTAAATAAGAGCAAGTTGGTTTAAGCAAAGCACTTGACATCTGGAAAAGTCTCCTTTCCCCTAGGTATCACAAGAAATATCAAAAAGGGAAAAAGGGCCGGAGTGTATGGCTAATTCTAATATCTACCGCAGGAGCTTGCGACGTACAATCGGGCTTTCTGTCAGTAGAAAATGAGGAATTCCATGGATTTTTGCCTCTGATAAACAAAAGGTATTTATATTACTATATTCTGCATCTCGCCGCAGCTTGGTGCTCTACCACAGGGGAAGCACATGTCTAGTACTTTGAGACTCGTAAATGCAAGTGCAGTCATCAAAGAGCACGCCCCCAGTAATGAGCCTTGATGAATTCGGGGTCTGCACGCTACCGAGCATGAAGAGGCGGTGCAAAGGTCGTAGGGAAGTTTGGAATCGGCACTGTATATTGTGGTACATTCATTCAGCAATCCAGCCATGCCTAGATGACTGTTAGATGTCAATTGGCATATTTAAGCTGTGGGAGCGTGCACACAACCTGGTGATGGTGCTTGCTTCGCTCGTGAGGGATTCGTCTCCATTGTCTTTCCATATACTCAGCAAAACTAGATCTCATGTCCTTGGGTACATTGAGGGATATTTTGTAGATAGAAAGAGAAAACAAGTTGTCAACATGGATGGCAGGCTATGAGATATTGCCGTGAAAGAGCGGAGTTGGACATTTTCGCATACTCGGTTGGATGGGGCTTCTATCCAAGCCGGAATGCTTGCTGTTTCACCCAAGATCGGTGAACTCATTCAAGGTAGAAAAGGCGGTAATACGATTTTCCCTTGGGGGAGATTATGCATGCAGGAGGCCGAACCCTACATATAAGTAATCCTGTTGATCTTTAAATATTTTGTCCGAATCTATTTACCTCTATGGACGACATTCATTGGGATGTCTTCTAGTTAAGTGCTCTATCTATTGCTCACTCGGAGCGTGGTACTGGCCAGGTCGTGTTGCACGGACTACTAGCCAGATTGGATCGGCAGGATTGATATCCTGTCGTGGGTCGGACAAGGTGAGAATAATATGTGTTCAGCTACCCGGTGACCCTTCTAAAAACAGCTGTGTGATGTTTCATGTTGTTTAAAGGTTTACTATTATCGGAATAAGGTAATCTACGTGCAGGAAGGCCTCACTGAGAGTTGAATTTGATTTCTGTAAGCCATACAGTATCTGCATTGCAGTTGCAATCGCAGCTGGGGCATCGGGGTATTATCTCATTCATCATCATTCATGCGCCCGGGTCGCCTAGAGTCGAGGGGTACTGTCTCCATCAATTAATCCATACCCGAGCCTCGACCAAACCGTCCACCCTTTCCTGGTCCAGATCCTTCTCCCTTTTCGGGCTTGACCTCCAGTCCGGCTTCGAGGACAGCGGCATGCAGAATCCGCCAGTGGGCCTCCTCGTTGAATTCACGTAGGCTCTCCAGAGTTGTACGCTGCACCTCTGCTCGCAGGTCGATCTGGTTCGACACTAGCAATCCCTTCTCGAGGTCGATGCGAGCGTTCAACACACCGTCCTGAATGAGGCCGACTAGCTCTTGCACAAATGGCGAGGAAATATCCGTGGGACGCGCCTCGCCGCCAACGACTGCAGGGGCAAAAATCTTCGCCATGGGGTCGAGTGTGATACGGCTGAAAGGAATCATGTACTGCTCGATGGATTTGGTGCGGATGCGTTTATACAAGTGGGGGATGTGACGCTGAAGGTGAATGTCGAGTAGGTAGTCAGGGCGATAAGCTTCGAGAATGTCAAGGCATTGGCGGAACTTGAAGTTGCAGAAGAAAGCGATGGCGCGGCGGATATGAGGCTCAAGCTCGAGGAAGTTGCGGAAAGTCTGGCTCTCAAGCACGTTTTTCTGCAGCTCATCGCGGTTCATAGAGGCGAGAGCACAGAGACCACCGTAGACGGCGACATCGTTGGGGGTGATGACTTCATTGTAGTTATCACCCAGGTCCGGCGGGATCGACAAGAAAGAGTTTGCTGCTTCGAGGTATGAGCTCTGGTGCAACTGTGACAGAGCCGAAGCGGCTGTGATTTTAGAGAGGTTTTTGGCTGCGTCATCTGGCTTTGACTGAGAGTTGCGCAGTCGGTGCACGTTTGACTGCACAGACAGCCAGTCACCGCGTTCGATGGCGACATTAACCATCTTGAAGAGCATGGAAGTGATGTGGTTGGGAGTGGTGCAGTAGTCTCTCATGCGAGAGTAAGCCTTAGAGGCAGCAGGCAGGTCACCGGTCTCGTAAAGATGGTTGCCCAAATCCTCATGACCCATCTATAGAGGTCAGTGTCACGCATCTTCAATCCGTATATTTTCACTCCTTACCCGAATGCTTTCTTTAATCAAATTATTTTTGTATCCCCGTAGCTCATGTTCCAATCGCTCAGTCTGAGTCTGTACGTATCGATTGGTTTCCTGGACCCAGGCGGCGTCAAGCGAAGCGTCAGGGTCGTTCGGGGCTACTTCCGCCAACGCGCGGACCGCCCTCTCATATCTCGAAACATCTTTGCTCCTTTTAGCTTCGGCGATGGCTGCCTTGAGGGCGTCGGTCGAGAGCAATGGGGAGCATGTGCCGATGAGGTAAAGACGGTCGTAACGGGTGCGCCCTAGCTATGGATTAGGATAAGAAGTCTCCCTAGAGACAAGAAAGATCTCTCACCAGTGTAGTTTGCAATATAGGTATCAAGGTCGAACTTGGGGGGCTCTGCCAAAATTAAGCGTGTCAGCGTTATCTGGGCACAGCGACATGATCGCGGAGATAGCCCCGCATAGAGGTCAACATACCTTCCACTTTCACCGGTACCCTTGCTCGGGGAGTAGCAGCAGCTGTAGTAGCTTCCAGAGCTGCAGTATCCATATCTGCCCGAGACAGACCAGAGGCATCTGAAAGCGTGGTATCCATCTTGCCGAACTGTTCAGACAATGTGTTGCGGGCAGAAGTGGCACTGGCAAAGTATCTTGAGGGACTAGAGCTTGGTTGACAGGTTAGATTTGTAGCAAAGAATGGCAGTAGCTAATTTGAACGCTAAAAACAATATGCTGTTTAAAGCAGAGAGTATGAAGGTGGGTGACAGTCACCAGGTTGATCATTGTGATGGGTGATGTATTATCCGGCAGATCCAGACCGCCTAATACACCGCCATTCACAAGTCCTTTGATGAATACGATAGTCAGAGGAAGATCTACATACAGGAAAATAAAACAAACAGAATGCGATTTCTGAGGTCACCTTAAGCTTTTGGCATGAGATATCTTCTTGTAAAGTCGAAAAAGAACCAATAAACCCTAGGAAGACCTAGCAATCTGGAACTGCCCCTTAAATCACAACAGTATATGTCCATAGGGCAGTTTAACTGCTTCGTATGGCTACTCAGTAAGTCTTTTGGTCATAAGGAAGCACGTAATGCAAATATCGAGCCATTGGAGACTCGTGGATTTGGATATTGATCAAGGTGCCTGAGGCACTGAAGATCGTCGGCCGAAGCCCGTGGACCTGGACTACCTCGGAACTTGAGTAATCAGGAAATTGAGCATCGAGTCAACCTATCGGCCATATAAAAGCGGCTCGGGAGCCGAACATCTTGATTATCATTCTTGTGTTTGCCGACTGCATAAACAGATATATAATCGACAAATCTCGGCATTGAGTAATCACAAAGACTGAAATATATATAATGAGCTTAATCCACGACGTCAACCAACCCCCACTCAACTTCTAACAACATAACCAAACCATAAATCTCACCAAAGTCCTCAAAATGCCCCCAAACCAACAAGTCGCCCTAATCATAGGCGCATCACGCGGAATCGGACGCCAGATCGCCATCGACCTAGCAAAGAACGGCTACGCAGGTATAACCATATACAATCCCACATATATCATCCAAACTAACCCCAAACACAGTAATGCTGTCGGCAAAAACTACGTCCGACACATCAACAGTGATCCCATTCCCACCAGACCCGAACTCATCGCAGTCCACCATCAACACAGTAGAGCGCGAGATCTGCGAAGCGGGCGGCCACGCCGCAACGGTCGCCGTTGACGTGCGCGACGCAGCGCAGATCCAACACGCCGTCGAGGAAACGGTGCGCGTGTTCGGAAAGCTCGATGTACTTGTGTACAACTCCGGCGCGATCTGGTGGTCCTCTGTGGAGGATACGCCTCTCAAGCGGTTCAAGCTTATGCAGCAGGTGAATCCTGAGGGACTGTATGCGACTATTCAAGCTGCTTTGCCTTTCTTTGAGAAGGGGGGTGGAAAGGGCGCATTGTTGTTGTTTCGCCGCCTATTTATTCGAGGTTCTTTAGGGGGAAGACTGCTTATGCGATGGGTGAGTTTTCTTTGATCCTGGCTCTTGGATACCGGCGTCAATATGAGTGTGTGTAACTATATGTGCTCATATGTGATGTGTTGTATGTAGGCAAAGTCGGAATGAGTGTCCTGGTCAAAGGTCTCGCCATGGATTTTGTGCGTCAAGGCCGAAATGAAATGGCGGTGACGAGTATCTGGCCTGCATCAGTATGTATCTTGATTTTATCCTGACCTGGAGTATGTGAAGCGATTGCTGACTGCATTAATTCCCAGTCAATTGAATCAGCAGCTACAGAGCACAACAAGGGATCCGATAAATCCTACAAGAAGGATTTGAGAAAGCCAGTATGTCCAGTTTTGAATATGTTATTCTATCAAGCTTTTGGTGTCTTCAATACTGACATGCTGCAACAGACAATATTCTCAGATGCTGTTCTGGCCATGCTGCGTGCCCCGCACCAAATAGTGAACGGGCTCCTGGATACAGATGAGGACTTCCTCCGAGAGAAATGCGGTGTCTCCGACTTTTCCAAATACTCTGTAATCCCAGGGTCGACGCCGCGGCGGATTATGCCGGTCAAGTTTCCAGTCCTGGAGGTTGCAGAGCAAGATGACGAAGGACAACGAATGGATAGCACAAAGTTGCGAGCAAAGATATAGGTTCGGTGAGGATAAGAGGTCAATTGAATCTATCGCGTATTCAAACCTAGGAATGCATTTGATATAGTACTTCGAAACTCGAAAAGGTATATAACCCATGCATGCATTAAACTGGGCTGAACAATGTTTTATAGCAAAGTAAAATATCAACGTAGGCAAAATAAAAACGAGAAGTAAGGAGCGAGCGGCAAGCAATAGATTACTCCATAAACCCACGAGCCAAAAAAAAAGAAAAGAAAAACGCTCAATGCTAATGCAGCCGGAAAATGCAAACCCAAGAAGAAACAAAAGACTAGCCAATATTAGTAAAGTCTTGCGCAAGAACAACCCCAACTCCAAGTCTTATTATCCAAATAGACCAACTGGATCCTTGAATCGTATATCCCAATGCGAGCCAATCAAAATCTAGACTCTTACACTCTACAACAGAGTAGCAAAGCCTGCAACAAACCCACCCACCAAAACACAAAGTCCATAGACATGACTCATATCAACAGAAGCCATGCGCGGGGCAGCGCCAGTAGCTCCATTACCATTGACATTGGTATTGACAGGGGTCTCTGTTGCAGCTGGGGTAGCAGCTTTGGCGGTAGTAGTGATATTAACACGCTTGGGATCCTGTGCTCCGCATGGATTGTCTACTCTGCAGTTATTTTGGCAAGTCGAGTCACCGCTGCATTTGGCAACGCATTGGTTATTAGATTCTGTGCAGGTGTAGTAGGGGATTGTCTGGGAATATTCGGTAGCATTGGGGGTGACGCCGTTGCTGCATAGGCAGTAGTAGAGTAGTGTGGCCTGGGGAGTTGGGGTTAGTTGGGTCTTTGCTTTTCCTTGAGGAATGCTTGTTATACGAAGGACTTACGGCGGAGCAAGTGTTTGATGTTGGCGAGCCTGATGCTCCTGGTAGTTGTAGGCAGAGGAGGGGACATGCGGATGTTTGGGAGCTACACCAGGCCTCTGAGGGAAGGAAGACATGTTAGTATGATAGTTTTTAGAATAGAGAGAGGATACAGAATGTTGGCTGACCTCTTGTAGCATATGGAACTGATGTCGGGTCAAATTGGCCGTTGACTAGAGTAGCAGCCGAGGCGAGGATGAGCATGGTCATGGACAGCATGATGTCGGTTGAGCTTGATGATAATTGGGATCAGAAACTGGCAGCTTGCATATACTAAATTTTAATGTTAGCTTTTTGTTTCCAAGAATGCCAGTGACAGTCTGACACGCTCTAGAGCTCAACTATAGAGCCAGCGGTGGCTACCTAGGGTAGGTGGAATGAAGGGGGGAAAGTGTAATGGAACTAAGAAATGCATGAGAACCTACTGAGCTTGAATTCCTAGACTCTTTCGAGAACAAGGCGAGGAATGAGGAGGGATGAAGTTGTTGATGATCTTAAGCCAATAGCTACAGGCTGTTTGAAGAAGTCAAGGTATAGGGGTGCAAGTGGCTCAAGGAGAAAAAAAAAAAAAAAAAAAAAAACTAGCTAGCAAGGGAGGAGTTGGGAGCTCATAAAGGGAAAAAAGCAACCACAGGACTCAAGCAGCCTATGTATAGAATGTACTAGTTGGTTTGCATGGTGGCACGCACTAGTGCCACCCTCGCGGTTCTACTGCATCAAATGCTTTTTTTATTTTTATTTTTTCCAAGGCCAAGTTATTCCCTGTCAAGTGAGTTCAGTGATGAGACTCTTTTGGAAGTGAGGTGTTGATTGAGGGGTCCGCTATAGGGGTTTGCCCTTGAGATGTGTCGATCCGGGGATATTGATCTGGGATTGTAGGGACGTTTGTACTGCCCAGGCGGACAGGTCACTGTGTGTCACATCTGTCATCCGGGTCCCCCATCCCCACTACTCCGTAGAGATCGTGCTTTTCATCAAAGATAGAGAAGTATGTCTCAGTCCGAGTTGCGAGAATTAAAGATTAAAGGACGACGATCAAGCAACGCTTACCGTATTAGGATTAGGGTGCTTGGCTTTGGAGTAGTTAATTGATGAAATTCTGAGATGAGAGATGAGTGACAAGTTCAAGTTGAAAAATAGGCCAGTTTGAAATTCTCTTATCATATCTGGAATCTTAGGAACTGCAATAAAAAATGTCAATAAACATGGAATTGGACATTTTGACAGAAGTCTGACTGTATGAAATGTACGGTATGGACTCAGTATATGGAGCTCTCTAAATTCCTGTATACGCCCTCCTTAGTCACAATTTAGGCTGATAATACCACAGTTTAATGTTCTTTACCTCAAGTGATTCAAAGGTTGTAGCCCCTACTCCGTACTACATATGGGATCGGCCGGATAACCTCCACTTACTACACGTCCACGGATCTATAGACTACTAGACTGAACTTGGTAATGTTGTCATGCTCCTCAGGGGAATACGTTTATTAAGTTTCAGTCAAAGTACCTGAACGAAAGCTATTCGCGTGGCCTAAAGATCAGTGTATGTACTCCATGCTGTAAGTATCTCAGTATACTATTTCAACAGACTTCCCTTCACCGTTTCCGCCAGTAACGCGCGCCAAAGCTTCGTGCCGTTAAGTATGAACAGCTCGCCCATAGAACCAAAACATAAATTGGCTACCCCACCCTTCACAAGAATCTTTCCAATGAGGACACCTCCTGGAGACCAAACATGTACACCATCACCACACCCACTGTATACATTTCCCTCTGTATCACATTTGATGCCGTCTGGGAACCCTTGGTCCGCCATAGCGAAAGCTCGGCGGTTCACTAGGAATGGATCGTTTTTTCGATAAATCACATCGAAAGCGTATCTGTCATGAAATTCCATTTTAAGCCAATATTGCACCAGGATTATGAGAGCATACGTACATTGTTGCCGGTCGCGTTTCGTCTAAGCTCCCGTCACCGTGGATGACATCGGTATCGGTGACATAGACGGTTTCCAGATCGGGGGAAAAGCAAATTCCATTGGGATGCCCGAACCCGTCCGCAAGTAAACGCACGCTATTCGTCGAGGGATCGTATCGATATACATGATTTGGTAATCGAGGCTTTGGGCGATATCCCTCACCATAACCGTATGCCGGATCAGTGAACCAAATCGAGCCATCCAACGGATGCACCACAACGTCGTTCACCGAGTTGAAAGGCCGTCCGTAGAAGTCTGTAAGAATTGGCCGGGTTGAGTATGGAGCAGAAGTACTCATAGCAAAAATCCCAGACCGGCTCTGTTGAGATCCTTGTGCACAAAACAGCACTTCAGAGTCATCGCCATGGAAATTGGTGCCACCATTCGCCATTGCAAACATTAGGTAGGACATCATGGACAATTTGGACCCTGTTGGCTGGATCTGTGACCCATGAGATTTTCGAAATGATGACTGTCTTACGTCTACCGTCGGCGTAGATGATATTTCCGTCCGGGGTATCAATTGGAGAACTCGTTATAAATAACTCGCGGGTTGAAGCTCTATAAATACCTACTTCGAAGGCGAATGGGTAGGGCCTCTCCAGCAAAAGTTCCAAAGAAGGCTTTGGACCTGTGATCTGGCCAAAGGATTCGTGGAAAAACTGAAATTCCCCGACCATGCTCATAGTAAACAGCGCAATTGTAATCACTTTCACGAAAGTTGGTTTCGTGCTCAATGGGCGAGGTGGACTTTTATTAATGGTATCTGGACCTCGGCTGACCGGCATCTGTCGTATTTCTTCGCCACCGCATCGAGATCGCAAAGGGAAGGTGGGATATTCCCTATTCGGGACATTTACCGATTCCCCCACGAATTCTTGTCGCTCCATATGAACATGCATGTGGGGTCTGGCTTTGTTTAGCGAACCTGGGACTCAACAGGAACATATAAATCTTGCTAGAGGGGACCGATATGGACCGCTGAGAACACTTGTGTTTCCTAGCCTCAAACGATATTGGACAGCCTGAAATTTTATTCGACAATTTCTTTCCGCCATCTTTTTACAAAATTCAAACGAAATGGCGTCCAGAACTCAGCATAAAAAAACCGCTATAATCACAGGAGGTGGTACGTTGCACATAATTTTCATCCGGTTCAATATCGTTGACTTATCAGGCTGACCGGAAATATTTATAAACAGCTAGCGGTGTTGGCCTAGCGGTAGCTACTGCCTTGAGCAGCCGTAACGACTGGCGTATATACATCCTTGACCTGGATCCGTCTGGTGACGAGGTATCGCAATCACTAGGCTCTCGCACAAGTTTTCACCGGGTTGATGTGACCAACTACGCTGCTTTGGCAGATGTGTTTGAGCTTGTATTTTCGGAATACGGCTCTATTGACTTTGTATTTTCCAATGCAGGCATAGTAGAAAAGGTTGATTTCTATGCTCATTTGTCTGAGGATGCCCCCCCTCCCGAGCTAGATCAGTTAGTTCTCGATGTGAACCTCAAGTCCACCATAAATATCACCTATCTCGCACAACATTACAACCGAAAGGCCGAGTCCCATGACAGTGCACGGAATGTCCTCATCACAGCGAGTGTTGGCTCTCTTTACCCGTGCTTTGCAATCCCGATATACGCAGCTTCTAAACGTATGTTGCATCATGATTTTCCAACTTCAGGATATCCACCCACCTCATATTAAGTCGCTAATTGAAACTTGCAGATGGTATACTAGGACTCGTGAGATCCGTTGCGCCCGCATTCATCAAAGAAGGGCTTCGTGTCAATGCTTTGTGTCCTGGTGTCATGGCCACCAAGCTCATGACGGATGAGGACTTCAAACACTATCCGCCTGAGTATTTCACTCCTATCGAGACATTGCTGGATGCAGTGTTGAAGATAGTCGATGGCGAAGATATAGAAGATGCCAGAGGTCGGTTGGTTCAGGGAAAGGATGTGCACGGGAAAACCATCGAAATCAATGTCCGGAATATTTATTTCCGGGATCAGCCCGAATGGTGTGATGATGCCATGCCTTTTGTTATGGCTGCCACAGACCGTTAAAAACGAGTACCACACAGGTGCCCAATGGGCCAGAGAAAGGTACCTACCACGACGTGAATTACTAGCTGTTTAGCCGACACCCGTGCGTTAACATTCACGCAAGGTGTTTTAACGCTAGCTGGGAAGGACTACAGTGGAATTGATTGAATTAAATGGTGCCTATATGCGGTTTATGTAAAGCTTAAGGAAATGTAAACAAAGGGGCGGTCGAAGGTGATGTACCAGAACCAAGGTATATATGGGCCTGTATCAACAACTCTGGTATTGTCTGATTGGTGATTCTGATAAAACTACTTACGGTATCTTGCTTATTAAGGGACTCTTGATTGTAATTCAGGTAAATGACTATCTTGGTTTTTTTTTGCCAGAGCAAAATGAGACATGAATAATAAAATTCAGGCATGCGACCATGAGCGCTAACATCCACGGTTGTACCCCATTTTATGCCCTCCGGCTTTGGCCGTAGTTTTCTTTTGTTCCCGAGCCTTGGCTGGCGCCCCTGTATTTTATGGAACTACTTTGTGGACAGCCAGCTAGTCATCCCTTCCCTCTTCAGCTAATTCACTCTGTTCTATAAGGTATGATCTGTTGTAGACATGTAGACAGCGGTTTCCTGTCAACCCCTTACAGGTAGGCTTTTCGACAGCGGCAGAAAACACAATGATCAATTGGCCTTCTTGGTGTCGAAAAAACAGGTTATATGGCTAAAATGAAGCAATTGGGGGCTTATAATTGTGTAAGTAGATCAGTCGTGGCCTAGAAGAGATAGGGCCTAGAAGAAATAGGTGGAGTGATTACCAGGGCAGTGAGATCAATCATTAGTTATGAGCTTTACGCACCTACCTCACTATTGGACTATGGTACCCCGGGTCCCCGGGTCTTGCGGAGTTCAGGTGTAAGCCACTGTCGCTAAATGTTCTATTGTGGTAAGTCCAGGGAACGGCATAATCGTGTCAAGTGCCCAGCGAATTCCCAGTATGCGAAGAGAAGAGGTGGCAACCCAACCACACCATGGAACCGAAATAACCTTTATCAAGATGAGGATCGAAGGACAAGAAAGAGAAGTGGCTAAAATCATCCTCAAAACGCCACCTCATCTAGTATATCAGTAGTCATGGTCATACATTTAAACCGAGTGGTTAACGCCTTTTCTGTTATCAATGGGCCATTGGAGCTTAACTAGATGAGGAGTCTGGGAAGATCGGTAAAAGTCCCAAAGCGGCAAGGATGGCCCGTATCGATGCTTTGTGGGGTATTGACTATATGAAAGGAAGAAAAGGTAGTTGTAGTTATTTAAAGGGCGTTAAAGCTTTATATCCAATCCTAAAATCATTAGCCATTCACGCCTCGTGCTTTAAGCGCAAAATGGTGCTACAAGAAGAGAGCAATTCATCCCCATTCATGGCTGACTCTGGCCTGGAAAAAAAGCTCCCCGGCAATATGCACGAATCCTCAGAAGACATTGAAAGTGTTCCAATCTCAAAACATGAAAAGCCTTTCTCGATATTGTCCGCGATAGGATTGGGCTACTCGATCACAAACACTTCAACCGGCCTGATTCTTACATTCGGTACCACTTTACCATTTGGAGGATCACCCCTGTTCTTCTTTGGCTTCCTAGTTATGACTGCAATCGCCTTCTGCATTGCCCTGTCTCTGGGCGAAATGTCATCCGCATGGCCACACTCTGGAGGACAATACTTTTGGACGTCTCGTCTAGCACCGGAAAAAGGCCGACGCTTTTTATCATATGTCACAGCAATCATATCATGGACCTCGGTGATATGTATTAGTGTGTCGTGCGCATTGATTGCGGCTGAATTATGGCTTAGCATTATATCCTTTGTGGTGCCGCTCGATGTCAAACCGTGGATGACATTCCTTGTCTATCAGGCAGTGAATATTGGCATATTTGGCTTCAACTGTTTCGAATCACTTTTGGCTATCATGGGCCGGTTTTTAATGGGACTTACTATCGTGACCTCGGTTGTCGTCTTCATTGCATTGTTTGCCGCCGGAGGACCGATCGTCTCTGCTTCCGAATTTTTCACAGACTTCACCAACACCTCCGGATGGCCAGATGGTATTGCCTTTTTTATAGGCATCAATGGAATCAATTGGTGTTTTTCCTGTCTGGATGCTGCGACACATCTAGCCGACGAAATTCCCAATCCCGCGAAAAATATTCCACGATGTTTGATGTGGACTGTCGGGATCAGTGCAGTGAGCGGCATGCCTGTGATCCTGGCAATGTTCCTCACCCTCAATAAAGTCACCGATACGGATTCCCTCAGTCTTTTCTATAACGTCCTTCATCAGAATACTAGGGCCGCAATAGCTATCCAATCACTTGTTTTGGCGTCGGCAATGAGCTCCCTTGTTGGAATCCATACTTGGCAAGCTCGTATTGCATGGGCATTAGGTCGTGATAAAGGCCTACCGTTCCACAAGTTCCTGAGCAAAGTTGCTCCAGCACCGTTCTCTGCTCCACTTTGGGCCCATTTATGGTCCGCCAGCTTTACTGCGCTGTGTGGCTGCATCTATCTTGGCTCTCGAACTGCATTTAGCTCATTTATTGCCGCTGGAATCATTCTGCAGTATGCCACATATTGCCTTCCAATAGCTTTGATGTGGTGGCGAGGGAGAGCAACAATCAAGCATGGACCATTTTGGTTCCCTCGACTGGGACCGGTCGCGAACGCCGTGACATTTACATGGTTTGCAATTATTCTGGTCGTTTATTGCCTCCCATTCTACCTACCAGTTGTTGCAAATGAGATGAATTATGTATCAGCCGTCCTGGTTGTTATTTTTGGCTGGGCATTATTGTACTGGGTCCTGTATGGACGAAAGAACTACAAGTGTGACTGAGCTTTCGTGTACAACCCACGAGGACTTGATTTAGAAATATGTTCGATGATAGTTTGATTTTAGTTCGCGGAATTGACAATATTATGTTCAGCACATTTGTTTGCAGGACCAAGTTCCTCGATTACCATTCATAAAGAGTAGCTAGTATCAACATGATTAAAAGATATGATTGTTTCTAAATGTTAGCACCTCTCCCAGGTAAGCATAGCCAAAACATTGACAATACCCCTATTCTGTGTGAGTGATCTGCTTAATACAGCCGAGTTTCAAGACTGGAGCTCCATTTCCTTATCGGAGCTTTGTCAGCAATATGAACCATAGGACAGAGACACGTATTTAAGTCCAAACAGGTTATAGTATGACAGAATTCTGATACGAAGCCCGGGAATGAGAGGCTCCATGGGGTATAATCAAATTTGGTGTTTCTCATGATCTAAAGTCATTTGGGTGGAGACGTATGGAGACCTTCCTAAGTGGGGAGATTACCCGCATAGCCACGGCCCCAGATACTTACCACATATGAACATCATGCGAGTAGCCAACGACACTGAATTCACAGACGCGGTGGGAGTACCCACATAGCCATGGCACCAGACACTTACCACATATGAACATCATGCGAGTAGCCAACGACACTGAATTCACAGACGCGGTGGGAGTACCCACATAGCCATGGCACCAGACACTTACTACATATGAACATCATGCGAGTAGCCAACGAAATCGAAACCAAAGCACAAGAGAACGTGGTGAAAGCTTTAAGTAGAGAGGCGTGCGGGACTCGAAAATAGAGATAGATATCCATTCCCTTTCCCTCTAGAGCCCCAACATCTTGTCCTTCATATTTTGTTCTCAGAGGTATTCTCTCCAATCCACGAAATGCAAACGGTGAAAGAGTTGCCCTCGGACAGGACGGAATATGATTTCGTCATAGTAGGAGGAGGAACTGCGGGGTGCTGCGTTGCAAGCCGACTTGCCGAATCGCTACCCGAGGCCAAGATCCTTCTCATCGAGGCCGGCAGCAACGACTTGGGCCGTGATGACCTTCATAACTTGAAGGGTCAAATTGAAAACTGGGGAGGGGATTGGGATTACAAATACACCTCGGTCCCACAGCTGAATGGTTCGTTCATCTTACTTCGAATGGGGGCTAGAGGCTGACGTGTTTGCGACATTACAGGCAATAGCTTTATCCAACATTCACGCGGAAAGATCTTAGGCGGCTGCTCCAATATCAATGGATGCATCTCATTCCGCCCTCTTGAGTATGATATTCGAAAGTGGCAGGAGGCGGGAGCTAAGGGCTGGACGTTTGGCGAGTTTGTCCGGCTGGTCAATAAGCTTCCCGTGAAGATCAACTCAGTCGTGGAGAAATATCAAAACCCGGTCGATGTCAAGCTGATTGAAACAACCGTGAAGGCCTTCGATATCCCCCAGACCACATCGTTCAATCATGACATTCTTCGATCCGGCAATTTGAAACCCTCGACTGGTTTTATGAGTATTGCCTATAACACGGATAACTGTTACCGAAACAGTGCCAGCATGACATATATTCACCCAATCCTGCAAGGAGAGGTGGAGAGACCTAATCTGACCATCCTCACTGATGCGTGGGTCCATCGACTTGATATAACAGGAAACATCGTCACAGGTGTTTCGTTATCACTGGAGTCCGGGACACATATTAATGTCAAATCTCACACCGAAACAATTGTTTGTGCGGGAGCTTTCGATTCGCCGCGACTATTGCTGCTCTCCGGGCTTGGGCCTCGGAAACAACTCGAAGCCTTGTCGATTCCGGTGAAGGCAGACCTTCCTGGGGTTGGAGAAAATCTGATGGATCATATTGAAACCATCATGATGTGGGAACTTAAGGACCCTGTTCCTCCACAATCAGTTGAATACTCCGACCTGGCATTCTTCTTGCGACGCCAGGAGCCAAATGCCCAAGGCGATGACGGCGAGATCATGGATGCCATGTTCCATGTCTTCAGCCTCGGGTTTGATGCGAATACCGCCCGCCACGGGTGGAAGGCGCCAAAAAACGCGTACACGCTGCTCCCCAACCTGCCTCGACCGCGTTCACGAGGCCGTGTGTATCTGACCTCAGCTGATCCCTCGGTCAGACCCGCGATTGATTTCCGATACTTGACAGACCAGGACAACTATGATCTGAAGACGATTCTGTTCCAGCTGAGGGCCGGTCGCAAGATTGCACAAACATCACCTTTCAAGGATTTGATTAAGCAGGAGATTGCTCCAGGGTCTGAAATTCAGACGGACGAAGAATTGGCGGCCTATGCTCGGAAGACCCATGGCACCGTTTTCCACCCCTGTGGAACAGTGAAAATGGGTGATATTCATAATGATCCTATGGCCGTCCTGGATCCGCAGCTGAAGGTTAAAGGCATTCGGGGGCTTCGTGTGATCGATGCGAGTGTGTTCCCTCAGATCACCTCGGTGAATCCAATGATCACAGTCTATGCTGTCGCAGAGAAGGGTGCTGAAATGATCATCGCGGACTACAGATCTGGCGCGAACATCTTACCGCACCTGTGACCCTTTTCGCACCCAATTTACTGCCCCCTGATTGGTTTATTGTTTTTTTTTCTTTTGTGGAATTTAGTACTTGCAAGTCGTCTGTGATATGGGCGCTCATCTGTCAAGACCAATCACAATCAGATTCATGCTAATGTTATATTGTATCTGTTTTATCAATAAGAATTAAGTCTTGATACAAGTGACTCAGTCGTAGAGAATTTATTATTTGTCACAAAGTCGTTACGCAAAGGTTAACCTCCATCCCTTCTGTAATAATAGCGCAACCCATGACGTTTCCACACCAGCGTCACGCAAAGCCCAGATCTCCTCTAAAATATCAATCGCCCACAGGTTAACTATGATATGATTGCAAGAGTAAAGAGCCTTGAAGCGCCGGACAACCTCATCCCGCAAGTCGACATCTCCCTCGACATCTCCCTCGGAGAGCTCGGCTCCAACAGTAAGAAGGGGTATTGACTGAAAGTTAAAGTACCCTTGCTGAGTTGGCATTTCTAACAAGGCCTGGAGACTCTCTCTCACATATGCCTGGATGAGAGATCCTTCTAGATTGTCAACGGTGTCCAAAGAACCCTCTGACAGCCAGCCATCGGTCCGATCTTTGGCTGGACATATTTTGGCAAGCAAAATCAAACCATGATTGCGATAAGCAATGCCAAGTTTGAAGAGGGCCATGTCCTCGTCTATGGGCGCCCAAGAGAACAAACGGTCTTCAAGATAGTTCTCTAGACTAAAATCCCTGTCTTCTCCTGCCAAAGCCCGTCGACAATATCGACCCACAAAGGCGATAAGGTAGTAGAGTTCCGCATTGAAGCCAATCATTGGGTGAAAGTAGGATTCCCCGGCCTCCAGCAGAACCTCTAGAATATCGCTGTCTTCATCAAGTGACAGTGGGACGGGGTCTGGGTCTGCGATGAAAGAGCAAGACATATCCCAGTACAGGTACCACCCTACGAGGTACTTCGCAAGGGGATCCTGTCGTGTCTTTTTGTCGTTGAGAAGTGAGCGTAATAAAGACTTTGCGGCAGCAAAATGCTCCTTTCCATAGTTCACAGGTTTATTGTCCGCCCACGTTGCCGAAATACCCAGAAGGAAGACGGTAAAGATGGAGGAGATAGGGGGCGTTTGGGTATTATGAAGCTCTTTACCGAGCATTTTCATCGCGCGACCCCGTTCTTGAAGAACGTACTCAAGGTTGTTGGGGCTAAAAAAGTGCTTGTGGCCGGCACTCACGCTCTGAACTGCGTGAACTAGCGAGGAACATACGGAGAGTTGTGCCAAGAGAGGAAAGGAGAGAGGGTTGTTGCTTGGATCGAGGCACATCATCTGGCTGCATACTTTCAGCCAGTATGGTAGCAAAAGGGTGTTGGTGTTGGCGGGGCCAGGCGCGAGGCTGATTCGCTTGGTGTTGGGAAGCATCCATGGTATTTCCTCTTGCCATTGCACAGGGCGCTGGGTTGAAAGACAAACTAATTTCTGGCGCTGGCATCGTAGACAGGCAGGGAATGTTTCATCACACTTAACACGACGTGCCTTGCATGCCTTACAACCGAATCGACTCCTCTGATATCTGGCCCCTGTCGATGATGACTCGATGTCCCATTTTGGGCCAGACGGTGAATTCGGGGATTCACATGGCGCCGTTTTGGTGTTTGCAAATCGGACGCGGTATGAAGATTTCATTATGAGCTATTTGGCACATATATAAGTAGGAATTGAATAAGTGATCGTGTGGTATTGGAGGTTGTTAGTAAGATTCGAGCTGAAGGGGATGAGTGGTAAGTCGCAAAACGGGAGAGAAGAGCACTCATGCGTATTTCCGTGGCCACGCCTCAACTTCGTTATCAAAGATCACGGGTTCTCGAGTACCCCACAGTCTTTTAGCAATCAGGTATCCAAATCATTGATCTGTGGGGTCACGGGCCCAGGGGGCCACTGACGATAGGGATCTATCGTGTGTACTATCTTTCCGTCGCCACAAGATATTTTGTCCGTTATCGAACCGGACCCCAATCAAATGTTGCCTGCGACATTTCCCCTCGATTATGGTACAAATGACGGCTGTTGATTGGGTTCCTCGAGCTCCAGGCGGTCCACCGACGCTTGCCTACTTCGGTCACAACCCGAGTGTCCCCCACTGCGACACCCGATACCGGAATGAAATGGGAGTCGAAATAGTATGGAGTTACATACGGCACTATTCAGATACTAAGTTAACTACGGTTTCCCAATGAGTATTATACCAACGAATGACAAGCAGTCCAGATACAATTGAATTACCAGTTACACCCCACAAAATCAATATCACCATTAACTATTATCTTTAGGGGATTGATACAGACACCCCCCCTTTGGATGCCAACACCCCCCCTGCCTGAGGATTCAGGCATTTACTGACCGCTTTTCTCACCGCTTTCATCCTCGAACTTTTATTTATTGCTACCACTACCCTGCATGTATATCACACCTTAGGTACCTCAAATTACTATGTAAATCGCTAGTAAAATTAAGTCACTCCTGTACCACTGTAGTACCTAACAAGAAATCCAAAATAATTGTTGTTTACACCTTCAAACCTCCCATGTTTCCACCCATTTCTCTCGCATTTTATTGCTTTTTACAATGGCTTCCTCACAGCCCGATTCGCCGTCCGATTCTGAGCATGAAGCTATTCCCGAGTCCCCGCCGATGCCGCCAAGCCTCCATCACGCGCCGCCAAGCCTCCATCACGCGCCGCCAAGCCTCCATCACGCGCCGCCAAGCCTCCATGACGCTATTCCCGAGTCCTACACCTTCCCGCTGCCTCCTTTACCTCAGCAGTACGATACGCCTGAGCAAGGAATTGTCGTGATCAATATCTTCGGCCGCCAGCATGGCTACGCAGTCTCAACTCTTCGGTCGAAACGTATAAAGAAAGGGGTCCTAAAGACAGTTCGCCTATGCTGTGACCGGGGCCGCCGGCTAAGAAACAGCCCGAATAGCCCTACGCGGAAGCGGGAGACTACCTCGCTAGCGATTGAATGCCCCTTTTCGATATCGCTACGGCTTCAAGAAGGCCGATGGAACCTTACAGTGGAGAATCAACACCATAACCATGAGTCCTCGCCTCCTCTTACTCATATGCCACACCGGAAGCAGGAATTATATGTAAAGGCATCGAATATTAAGAATCAGCTCCAGCAGGGTCTTTCTACCCGTCATATTCTCACCGGCATTCAAAAGGACGACCAGGATTCCTGCCTCACTGCCCGGGATATCTACAACTTTCGGAGGAAGCTTCATGTTGATTTCCTTGCTGGCCGTACACCGCTTCAAGCTCTCTTGATAGAGCTTCCAAAGGACGGCGAATGGATCTTCAAGTATGAAGTTAACGATGAGAATCATGTCACAGCCCTCTTTTGTATGCATAAAACGAGTATTGCATTCCTTAAGACAAATTCATGGGTTATTTCAATGGACTGTACATATAAAACTAACCGGTATGGCCTTCCAATGCTCGATATCGTCGGCTTTACTGCTACGGGCTCAACCTTTTACATCGGCTTCGCATTCATAAAGGACGAGAAAGATGACAGCTACGAAGTCATTTTAAGCTGTCTAGCAGAGGCTTACGAAGCTCTTAGCCTTCAAGCACCCCGGACCATCCTTTCCGATAAGGAGCAAGCGCTAATGAATGCTGTGAAGGTCGTCTTCCCTTCTACAAAGCATATGATCTGTCTATGGCATATCAATATGAATATCATGAAGAAAGCTCGTCCGATTCTCGCAGAGCAGCTAGCAAAAGAGCGGCAAGAGGCTGCTTCCTCGGCTTTACAGCGTCAGACGAAGGCGGAGAGAGACCGAGAGCTTCGAGAAATGGTCCATAAAGCATGGAAGACGATGCTGAAGCGGTGGATTCGCGTCGTCTATACGATCACAACCGTAGAGAGGGAGGAGAGATGGAGACAATTCAAAGAGCACTACAAGGAGCCGATTTTTGAACCTTTACTCCAATATCTACAGAGTGAATGGCTAGACGACTGCCCTGAGTATTTCCTTCATGAATACACCTCCGAATACCTTCATCTCAATGAGATTACGACCTCTCGGACCGAGGGAGCTCACTGGCTGCTTAAGCAGGGCCTTTAAGTCTCAACTAATGATCTACTAGTGGTCCTTCGCACCTTTGAGAATGCTGTAAAGCTTCAATTTCAAAAGGCTACCGCTAAGATCGAGAATGAGAAGGTAAGAAGGCCTACTGATAGTCGCTGGAAGCAGCTATTCAGGCTAGTTCTTGGACGAATTTCAGCCAAGGCGATGGAGCATACAAAAGACGTCTATAACCGCTTCCTGCCAGCAAGTGACGAGAAGCCGCCGATTCCTCCACTTTGCCGCTGTAATTCGCTAGGTACGGCAGGGTTTCCATGCATTCATCTCATCATACAGTACGAAGTGGAGAACAAGAGCTTTGAGCCTGAGTTATTCCATCAACACTGGCATTTATACAGTGTCTCTGCGCCTCCTATTAACCCGCTACTCCTACTCCAGGATCCTCTCCAAGTACGCCGGCGAGGACGCCCCCAAGGCGCTAGGAACTTCATCGGCGGCGAAAGCACCCAAGCAAGCACCCAAGACACCTCCACCCAGCGAGAACCCTCCGGCTTCGAGCTCATGCTATCCCAGGAAGGTGGACGTGGACGTGGCCGTGGACGTGGCCGTGGCCGTGGCCGTGGCCGTGGACGTGGACGTGGAGGAACACAACAAGCCTCGCAGGGTGATAACGGAGTGGGAATAGCTTCGTCTACGGCCCAGGAAGCCCGTACGGCATCGCCGGCGAGCATTCCTCCTTCATCTCAAGGGTCGGGAATAGCTTCACCGGTCGCTCAGGACGCGAATCGCCGGTCGGGCCGGATCAGGAAGCGGCCAAAGCATTACGAATGGTAATACTGTCGAATTTACAATATTTCTTCATTATTCTCATGCAATTCTCTAAGAATTTGACGAAAAATGGGTGCTGGCCCCTGCAATTCCTTCATTTCTGTAGAGTTTTTGAAAACAGCATCTATTTCCTATTTGGGACTAGCGCTGTGCTTTTGGCATAGTGGTGGTAGAGTGCGAAAGGGACTTCATTTAATTAGGGGGTTGCATAGTAAATGTAAGTACCTCTAGTTTGTGTTGGAAGCATGGTCGCTGGTGGCAGAAATATGTCCGGCAGAAAATATGCTGGCCTGAATCCTCAGGCAGGGGGGGTGTTGGCATCCAAAGGGGGGGTGTCTGTATCAATCCCCTATCTTTAATAGTTTAGGTAAGTACTGGTGTAATTACTTATGCTTTATATGTATTAATAGGTTTAATGTTGGATTTTGCATGCCACGTGTCGTAGAAACAGAGTGTTGCCTACTCGACTAAATTTATGATAAATCTTATCCTAAGATACATACTGTCAGAATTATACAATATGTCTTCAAGTTTGGATCATGGTTAGAAGAGACCTACTGTTTAGTGTCGAGTCGAGAACCGGGTTAATCCGCACTACATTTCTGAAAGTCGGGCTGGTTCATCATCTCAATGCGCACTTTTGTAGGGTGCTGTATCTGATTTATTTTGGTCTGATAGAGGTCGTTTGACGAGACTTCGCCATATACCACAATTGGGGCCCCGAAAAACTCCCGAAACCACATTCTTGCATGAAATAGAGGTCTTAGCGTATATAAATCTACTTAATCATCACAAAAGATTATTGGTTAACTAAATATTTAACTTTGTATTAGTCACTTTTATTGATATCACTTCAGGCATCGACCCTCAATAGATAGTTAGTCCGGAGATTCGTCTCTGAGATGCAAATCTCTCCCTCCTCTCTCTCTAGGCCTTCTCAGTAGTCCCAACAAAATTGGTCACGACTTCGTCCAGATCCATCATGTCCGCTGGGAGGAGTCCGTGCATAGGAACGGTCTGTGTAGATTAGATCTAGTTATGCTATCTTTAGCCGACTCAAGATGACCTGACATTTTGGAACAAGTCCCATCAATTCTTTCAAGCTTTCTGAGCTACTTGGGCTTCTCTTCGGTGGATATTTATCTCCAGGAATCCACAACGCTTAATCATCCTGCACCTTCATTCCCTATATTATTTTTGGATTCCTATTGGGGGGGGTCATGTGATGGTATCTAAAGTAGATAGTTCCGGCTATCATAAGCATCCCCCGCAGCTGACGATCCACTCAGCCGCGCCCGCATATTGTCCTGATTCGGTAACTAAGCTCGGTCTGTATCTACTAGCGTTACGAGTGTCGCAAGATACCTCCCACAATCCAGCTCCCTCTTTTCTAGCGATTCAAGATATTTAACCGAACTGTTGAATTACTAGGCGCTAATTTAGAAAAGCGGGGCTTTTTCACATGGGGAATGGAAAAAAGCAACAGAGCACCCTGTCATTCTCACTCAAAGTCTGCAAAGAGTTTTTGAGGTGGAACTACTCCTTTTGGCATATACGCGAGACCAATTTAGTTCCGGAGACTTGGTCAGTATATGTATCCCATCTCTTGACCTCGCAAATACTCTCTTTTTTCTTCCAACTTTGAGAGCAGATACTTGAATTCAAACGATACCACAATGTCGAAAATCACCATTCTAGGCGCCGGGTAAGTGAGATAAGGACGCGTCTCTCTTCAAATTTGCTGATGAGGGTTATTTTCAGGATCACCGGTATGTCAATTGCTAGTCAATTGCCTAAAGGTGCAGATGTTACCATCCTGGGCGAATTTCTTCCGGGGGACCCTATGGATCAGCGCTATGTGAGCCAGTGGGCAGGCGCTATATGGCTTGGTGTTCATGATTTGCCACTGCGGGAACAGGAGATGCAGCTGAACAGCTTCTCGGAACTATGGCGTATTGCCGAGCGATACCCCGAGTCCGGCGTTCGCCAGATTGAGATGACTGAGGTCATGGATATTGGTGACCCAGCAAAGGTTTGGTATCAAGGAAAGCTTCCAGGTTTCCGCTTTTTAGCACCTTCTGAATTGCCAGACGGCGCGAAATGGGGTACCAAATTTCAGACGGTCGTCATTACACCCCCCATCTTCCTCCCATGGTTCCGAGAGAGACTGGAGCAGCGGGGTATCAAGTTTAAGCGAACGTACGTTAAGGCGTTACGAGACTTGAAGGGGCTTGGTTCCGATGTCCTTATCAACGCGACAGCTTTCGGATCCAGAAATCTCCTTGACGTACAAGAGACGCGCATCGCTTCCATGCGGCAACAAAACCTTCGAATTCGGAAGGAGGGCTATAATCGCTTATATATCCGTCGAGGTAAGGATGGATACTATTCCACTGCATTTGCTCGTGGCGATGGTACCATCTATATTGGAGGAATCAAAACCCAGGGTAGCCACGACTTCGAGCCCAACTTGGAGCACCGTAAGCTGGTTTGTTTCTTCCAACATAGTCAGGTACAAGTGTGCACAGTACTAAGGTTCTTACAGATCATGAAGCGCCAGCACGAAAACCAGCCTGATGTTTTCCCATCACCCGACGTCAAAGACTACGATTTCATCACCGATCACGTTGGCGTATTTCCTTTCATAGAAGCAAAAAATGGCGGCGTTCGCGTGGAAAAGGAGGTCATCCAAGGACAAAAGGTCATTCACGCGTACGGACAAGAAGCTGGTGGTTATACATTCAGCTTTGGTCTTGCCCAGCAGGTCTCAAACTATGTCCAGGAGTATTTGAGCGAACTGCCCAAATCGGCAGAACCTATCCCAAGCAAGCTGTAAAATCACAAAGCTCCGGGGGCCGCCAGTCACAATGTTCTCAAACCACCCTGTCCATTCAGATCGCAGGACATAAATTTCACTTTATTGCCTCTCTTTGATGTCGTGAAACCTAGACTGGCATCAAAAGCATAAAAATCAAAAAATATCTGGCTTATATAGTAAAAATGGATATAAACATCAGCTTTGAAAGCGTCCGTTCTCATCAATCTCAATTGTCAATGAATAATTTAAAGGTTTTGTAACCAGGCATTCTCAACAATCTGTCAAAATTGTTAGCGTAACCCTGTCCATCACGATTCTTCACTTCTCTGTTCACTCCTAATCCACAGAGAGTCTCAATCCCATGAGCTTGGCGGTTTCTTGCGGACTTATGGAGGGTCTGTAATTTTTGTAAAAGAAAATGTAAGGGCCGGTTAGGTGCGCCGTTTCAGATGTTCACCCACGAACTGAAACAGCACAGTAGCTTTCTGTCTAGTTTTTCGCCACGCTTTTTGCTCAAAAAACCGTGGCCTACTACATGTTCAAAACCCGCCATTGCACTTTTGCGTTTTTATAACGTTCGACGTTCTTTAAAAGATACTTGACAGAAATCAGGCGTACCACAAACGTATGGTAAAAAATGGCAGATATTGAAGACTCTGTTACCTCGAACTAAAATGACAAAATCCGCTTTTTAACAATCTGACCGGACATAAATGACTATATTATGCACTTTTGTATGTCGAGTACCACCTGTCACATTGTCTTTCAGGGTAAATTACTCGGTCTCAACCACGTAACTGCTCCTGTATTCCGACAATATGTCTCAATCCGAGTTGCGAGAATTAAAGATTAGAGGACGGCGATCAAGCAACGCTTACCGTATTAGGATTAGGGTGCTTGGCTTTGGAGTAATCAATTGATGAATTCTGAGATGAGAGATGAGTGATAAGTTCAAGTTGAAAAATAGGCCAGTTTGAAATTCTTGTCATATCTGGAATCTTGGGAACTGCAATAAAAAATGTCAATAAAAATGCCCCTAAAAATGGAATTGGACATTACCCCAACATCTGGAAACCAGTTCCCTTAGCTAAGCCACTAACCCCGAATCAGCGATAGCCCGTGACCACCGTCTCATATCTCGACTCCAATTGATTTTCCTTTATTCTACTCTTTACACTTTATACATTCTCTCATCTTGCCACCACATACAACTCCCAAGGTTAGTCTGTCTCACATCGGATCGCTTGTACAACTCCGCCCGACTCCGACCCATCCTCGCATCAACCCCAATGTCCAAAATAGCCCAATTCCCCCCTAGCACTTTATACTTGCCACCCCGCACAAGACCTTGGGCCATCTCTAAATCGAGCCACATCCCAAACGCAATGAATCTTACCGGCAAAGCTAACGCAACCCATCACCAAAAAGGCCAACACCTCCATCTCTCACAGCATCTAATGGATGGAGCCAGCACCTGAGGAGGCCGGATCGGCATCGAAGCCGCACCACCCCTCCTCCCCACACTCAGATATCCAAACCACCCCCGCACTCCAATCAGAGACCGATAACACCCATGACGATCCCAATTCCAGCCTTACAAACACACACAACGGCCATGGCAGCTCCGCCTCCTCCACCTCAACAACATCCCGCCCCGTCTCTGCCGTAGTACCACCCTACTGGCGTCGACACGAGCGCAACACCTCGCACGCATCGCAGTCATCGCTTCGTAATGCGGCTCGCATCACTCTGGAAGATCACACCGCTGACCCAAACTCCGAGACGAGTCGTGGGCTCTGGGCGAGTAGCGTTGCTATTGATGATCATGTTATTGTGCGGGGTATGACTGGGGTGGGGTCTTATGTTGTCTGGAATTGTAGGATTCAGACACTTGATGTGAGTATTGGATCTTGTGAGGGAATGCGGTTGGAGTTATTTTCTAACCATGGTCGTTCTGGTATAGGGTGGTCCGATTGTTGTTCGGATGAGGTGTGTTGCTTGTCCTTCCGGTTTGAGAGAATGTTTAGCTGATACGTGGCTTTGTTATAGATACTCCGAATTCGATGACCTGCGCCAGCGGTTGGTTGATTCTTTCCCGCATGCGAGAAGTGCATTGCCTGCATTGCCGCCGAAGAGTGTCATCTGTATGTTTCCGTGCCCTTTCCCTTTTATATGCCGATTGGCCAATAACCATTATCACAGATAAATTCCGACCCAAGTTTCTGGAATCGAGGCGTGTGGGGTTGGAGTATTTTCTAAAGTCAGTATTTCATCGCCCTTCCATTACTATGCCCTCACTGTCTAGATCTATCTCTCACAACCTTCCAGCTGTGTTCTTTTAAACCCAGAATTCTCAGGCTCCCCTATCGTCAAAGACTTCCTATTCGGTCGGATCTGTTAATTGAATCATATCGTCTTCACTGGATCATGGCTGGGCGTTCGGAATCGCATTTCACACCGTATTATACATCATGATTCACACCCGAGCTGGTCCTGGCATTAAAAACAAGCTCGAATGTGAAGTCCTCAAAATCCTCAGCACTGGGTATGTCTATTTCGCTATTTTGATTCACTGAGACTTGGCTGTACAGACTTGAACAAAATCTACATCACCATGGTAACCCACGAAGCAAACATTACATAGGACTGGCTAAGACATAGAAAGTAGAAAGGTACATCAATAATCTTTCTCAAGAAAGCCAAACAATGACGCTAGAATAAGGCACAAAGATCCTAGCAAGAACACCAGGCCAAGCAATAGAACAGAATTCCCCGATGATGACGTAGTGTCCATCGCTGATATAGCAACAAAAGGAAAGGAAGATGTTTAAACCACACAGGGCGAATAGTATACAAGAAGTTTCTCCTCAAACCTCTCACCCTTAGCTCGTTTCGAACCTTCCTTCTTACGAAGCGACATGACAACCTCACCACCAGCCTTCAACTTCCGAGTCAACACAAAAGCCTGAACATCCGCCCGGAGTATCTTCCGCAAACTGATATTAGCCATATGAGTCATGGCGAGCACATGTCGGGGACTGGGTATGCCCGATGGGAAAACAAGATAAAGATCCGAGTCCTGAGTGGGGTCGGGATGGAATTTGTCATGGTATGCCTTCTTTCCGCCAATGGGTAGACGGTGGAATGCATGTCCGTACAAGCCTCGTGTGAACTTCTTACACGGCCACGGCATGCCGCTGACGTCTTCGCGGGTAAGTGATTGGAGAGGTTCGACGCCAAGTCCGAGGTATGAGACGCCGGCACGGCGGAGGAGAGCCATTGCCATGATTAGGAGGAGGTCGCTGATTCCGTGTACGCTGCCCGGGGCTGCGATGCAGGGGTCGACATGGTATCCGCCGGAGCCGAGGCGTCGCAGCGCGGCGAAACCGTTGACTGTTCCGTCTGGGGCGCGGGTGTAGATGAATGTCATCAGAGTGGGGAGAGCGAAGGGGTCGTAGACAGTTATGAATGCTTGTGGGCTGGCAGATCCATTGCGCTCGGCGCGCCAGGCATTGTAGAGGGTGATTAGGTCGGATTGTAGTTGCTGGTTTGTGCCATGAACGGCAGGGGCGTATACGCCCATGGTGATGCCGCCTTTGCTTTTGTTCGTGAGTTGACGGCTTTTGGTCAAGATGCGTTTCCCGCTGTTCTCGAAGATAACTTCGTTTGTCTGGGGGTTGAGTACACGTTCTGTGGCGAAGCGTATCGTTGCCCAGTTGTTTGGTTTGGCGTAGGCTGTGAGGAAGGACTCACTGGCGCCCATGAATGCTATGCTCAAGTGATGTTGTTGTCGGTAGGTCGCAAATTCGGTTAGGAGATCGGGGATTTCCTGTTTGTTGCATAATGGATCTCCGCCAATGACCGCCACGCCGTTCCGGACCTTAAATGACAAAGCTGCTGTTCTTGATTTGTTCACGAAAAATTGGTAGCTGTGATCGAGGATTCCCATATGTGCCACTCTGCCATGTTGTGCAGCTATCTGTTGTATGGCTGTCATGGTTTTGAAATCGCCTAGCTTGAATACCGCATCTTGGTTTCGGATTTCTGTTTTTGAGGGAAACGAATCGGTGGTTGGCTGAAGGACATCGACCTTGGTTGGTACTTGTGAGCAAAGCACGAAGGGCTCATCGCTGCTCACACTCGTCGCCGGGCTGGAATCGGATGCTGTATGAAAGCTTTCCGAGCTAGAACAGAACGAGGTCGCAGGAGGTGCTGCAGTGTTGTTGCGCAAGTGGTCCATGAGGGAGATCGAAGAGGCACCACTATTGTCATCGTCATCGTTGCAGTTGGATGTTTCGTAGAGCTGGTCAACTAAGATACCGCCTATATAGTCCACAAACAATGCCTTTTGTGGTTTGACTGCGACACCGGGAGCATTGTCTTTGAGTCCACGACGTGATCGCTTCTTCTTGATTGTTGCGGTTGCGTCATGGGATTCAGTAGCTGCGGTCATGATGATGTCAGGCACGTGTTTGGTGTCGGACACATACGTTGAAAAGTAAGAGCAGGATGGGTGAGAAATAATTGAAATGAAAACAAACCAAAAGTTGAGTGATGAGAAATTTGTCGGGGGGAAGTCAAAAATGGCGAGGACCAACGATTGTGAGTATGACATTGCACTTGCCTGGGGTACGCAGGTACACCCGTGTATCCATGGACATAGTACACATTCCACTAGGCAGAGACGTTTTTATAGGCTCTTTCCTTGGAATCCAGTGTTACCAGACTCTTTATAGATTAAGCTCACCAATCATTGTGCAGCGATGAGGTGATCTACCGGTATCAGCCTTGTGGGTCAACAGGTTGTCCTATCACAATTAGTAAGATGGAAACATTTCCAAGGTTGATGAAAAGCTTTAAAGTGTGGAGTGAATGAATGATGTTCTCTCTTTTCTCTCCGCCTTCATGATGTGATGAACCACGTGGCTCTCAACATCTTAACATCATAGAGAAAAGGCTCACCCACCAAAACTACTAAATACGGTTAGCCGTCTAGCCAATATACAAACATTGCAAGTCAGGTACTTAGGTTTACAAGTCAGTTAATAAATCATAAAGAATATGCAATCAAGAAACTGGGCATCCCTAGATACATGGCACCTCAATGAATTCAGTTTGTCCACCACATCCATTCGGGCCCCGTCGCCCTCCGCCGATTGCTCAGATAACACTCTCAAGGTCGTATTAGTCAGTGCAGTCCGTGGGCTCACCGGACGTGCTGGAAGAATCATGGTCGGAATAATCAGTGTCGTATTGCTCACGGTTAATGCGTCTCACTTCTGCCAACATCTCGGTCGCGCACGCCAAGATGCTGTTGGACAGATTAACGACCCTATCTGTCTGCTCAATACAACGTTGTATGCCCTCTATCTGACGCTCAGTTCGCACGCCCAGCATGTGATCCTAAATCTCAATATTAGCAAGTATCTAGAGAAGCAGGTCTCAACTACTAACAATGTGCTCAATCCAGATCTGGGTAAGGACGGGGTCTGGAGCCCCTGGTGCGTACGGTGCATGAAGATTAACGGTACGCGAGACAGTGCTTGAGGCAGAGGGCTGATATTTTTGCTCATTGGCCGAGGCCGAGGCGTGAGAACAGGCAGAAGGAACGGCCTCACCGGTGTTGACCGCGTTGCCGATGTTGCTAACGGTGATAGTTACCGTATTGTTGACGATGACAGGATTTGCGCCGGGGTTGGTAGCGGTGACTGTGTTGTCACTAGTGCTATCGCCGGTAGTATTGTCACCGGTGGACTCAGCAGCGGTCTCCTCGACAGTAGGTCCGACAGTTTCCCTGGTAGAATCAGCGATGCGTGCGGTGCCGGGGTGGACCATAACCATGGCATCATGAGCGAGGGCAGTCAAGTCAGGGCTTTCCTGCTGAATGTTATCGTCTCCACCATTGTGGTCAGGATCACAGGTAGTGGGGTTGGATGCCATGATCGAATGTAGTGGTATGAAGAAATTCTGAGTTAAAAGATCCGGGATGAGAAGAAGATGTAGGGGGGTGAGCAAGAAAAGGAGAGCGTGAAAACACGGAGACCCGATCAGATGAGACAAGCGTCATGTGGAAATAAGTCCAAAGCGATGCAAATTGATTCCATTCTACCGTGTTTACAAAATTTGCAGGCACCGCCATTGCTTTCACAAGACTATGTTTCTCAATCTTTTGGTTCTATTCTCTAGGCAGGCTTTTGGTTCTAATGCGCCCACCGGGCTTCTCGCCGGCAGAAGGTTAACCAGCTGCCATCAACATTTACACATGTATGTAGTCTCCTAAAGGTCTAAAAGGTTCTCGTATAAATAAGAATATCAGAGGATGGTTAGCGGTTATATTGTAAAACAACCCTAAAAAAGACCTTTAAAAGGACCATAAAAATATCGATAGAAAGATAATAACAGTGGTTTCTATAGTAGCGCTAGAGTTCCTCCACGGAAGAGTGATTTGGATTTTATAAATGATTTAGAGTAGGGCATATATATAGTTCATAAAACTTCCGCTTTGAAGTCGAGAAATGATCTCATGCTTATAAGGGCTGGTACATTGGTTGGCGCGATGGACCCAAAAACCTGGCGCATATACTCCTGATTGGTGGATCAGTATGTACGCTAATCCCGCTTGAGAAACTGACATCCCGCATCAACATCTCTGCCCACTTCACGCTTGTCTGACATCCCTTCTTTGGAACATTCACCTTTACTGTTTATATTCTTGTACATTACAATAAAACCAAAAATGATTATAAATCGCCCAGCTACCTTGTCTGATATCCCACAAGTTCGAGATATCAACCACTGGTACATTGTTAACAGCTGTTCCACTTTTGCGACCACCCCACCACCGATATCCTACTATGAGGACATCCTTCGGGATTTGATGAGGCGAAACCTACCATTTTATGTGATAGTGTCTGATACACGGAAGACACCAGACGGAGCAGATTTAATTCTTGGCTACGCTTACTTGTCACCTTTCCGTGGTCATTTGTTATCATATGCACCGACCGTTGAACTGTCCATCTTCATGCGCCAGGACCAACAGCAATATGGCTATGGAACGATTATTCTTAGAAGACTCTTGCGCCTGGTGCAGGAGGGCGAAGTTGAGCACCGCTGCGAGGAAAGAGTGGGCGATATTCCACGGATCGGATTTAGTAGCTCCATGGGTGTTATGAAAACTTCTCTCGTCCAGAATGTCATTGCGATCATACCATATGACACTGAGGCTCCAACTGACGGGGAGAGACTGAGGAAATGGTACATGAAATGGGGATTTCTCCAGAAGGGGCAATTGGAGAACGTTGGGAGAAAGATGGGTCATTGGTGAGTCGCTTATTATATAGTTGGACTGATGAATTTGTTCAGCTGATAGCTCGTTCTAGGATCGACACTGTCTATCTTCAATGGTCAATTCCAGAGGAAACTCAATAGTTAGTGACTTGGAGTCATCGAACATTCTGAGCCCATGAACAAACAAACAAACAAACAAAATACCTTGCACAGAGATGAGATTGAATATTCATATTCAAGTCTAGGCTAGTCAAATTTTTCTAAGATCACAAATATATGTCATTTGGCCGGTGTAGTCTTCCCATATATGAATCAGCTTCGTGTTGGGGGTGCTTGTCATCCTAAGAAAACTAACATACATTGGCCGGGAAGGCGTTCCTCTCCCGGAGGGCGATTAACCACCGAAGCGGTGTCCCCTGCCGTAACCCATTCCTCCAGTAGAAACAATCTTCACTAAGCTGGATTTCCCTCCCTCAAAGGCCAAGGGGAAGACAAGACGATGTATTCTCTATCTACGGCAGCCTGTTGCTCACAGGGTGATCGCCGTTGTGGATGAGAGGGTCCTGGGGCGTACCAGAATATTCGATTAATACTAACACCCTACAAGGTAAAGTGAAAAGTTGGTAAATGCAAGATGAGGGAATTGTAAACAAAAAGTGAGAAGACAGTAAGAACCTAAGGACTGATAAGAGAAAACAACTTCCTGAAGCCCTTAGAAAGAAGCTTGGTCACCCTGGTAGAGAGTATCAAGGATACCATCGACTAGATCATTGAATTCCTCATAAGTCATGCTGCCAGATGTAGGACGACGTTGCCTAATTTGATAGTCGATGAAGTCGCACAAGTCGGGCATCACTTCCTTGAGCTCGTGGATCCTCAACTTGGTAGCAGCGTACCAGCTGATACCAAGCTCTAATTCCTCACATATGATAACGTGGGCACGCCAGGCGGCAACATATGTACCGATCGAGTTGAAGTGGTGGCGTCGCATAGAACACAGCTTGATAAACTTTGTAGATTTTATGCCTTATTCGTCGGGCCTCAGCAGGTCTATGATCATGACGCAAGTCTCATCAGCAAACTCAAGGCGGGGGGGGGATAGATCTGAGGAATTTCTTGAACTTGACTTCCACATTGAGCATCAGCCACTTGCTGACGAGCTATGACCACTTCAACCTACTCTCATAGTTGATGTTGGCGAGGGTGGGTTGTGGGAGATGATGGTTAATGACAGCCAAGAGGTTGAGGTTTACAAGGGTGAGCTGGATACGGGCTATCCATGGTTCAAGCTCCAAAATCTTGGAAGGTTGTTCACATTTTTATCGTGATTTCTCTGTATGGTGGTAGGTCATCTGCTTGGGTTCGCCGTGGGGTGGAACGTGAACCATCACGCGGATGGCTAAAGGAAGCCATGATAATGGAAAAATATAATGTAATTTGGATAAAAGGATGATACAGATGAGAGGAAAGACAGAAAAATGAGAAAATTATTTAAGTGGGAAATTGTGGATGCGAGAGACGCGGATTAGAAGACGCGACTCGCTTACTGCCAAACTTCACTCAGCGGACTTTCCATCAGCAATAACTACAGTCTCACTGGTCCCTTCCTCTCTGGCGCGCTGTACAGTCGCAGAGTACTTCTTTCCAGCAACAAACCACCAAACAAGCTCAATAAACAAGAATCCGCCTACAACAACACATGTATAGTTCATGTTTGTTACTGCGTGATTGTTAGCACCTATCTTCAGAAAAATACGCGGGAATCATGGGAAATTGAGACACATACCGGTTACAGGCATCTGGTACGGGAAGGAGAAGAAGATAATGGCAAACACCAGCCATGCCACAGAGACAGTGTTCACGGTCATTCCTAGCATCTGACCCATAAAGAACGGGCCACGGTGCATGGTGCGACGGAATAAGATAACGTTTGTCAGAATGGGCACAATGTAGGCCAAATTGTTGATTGTCCTATATCTCATGTCAGTATTAAGCCCATGTGAACTGCTTTGCAGGTCGTGGAACACTTACACTGCAGAACTCATCATTGCATTGAAGGCCGTGCTCGATCCCAAGTAAATGCAACCAAGCAGGGCGACAATCACGGCAACACATAGCTGTGCGTTGAATGGCGAGCCCAGCTTAGGGTGGACACGGGCCCAGATCTTCGACAAAGGTAGGCCATCATCACGGGCAAAGGCCCAGAATACTCTTCCGGTACCTATCAAAGTCAGAAGGGGCTGATCTTGCAGGAATGAACAAGTACTACTCACTCAATTGCGAACCGATCACACAGGGTCCAAGGGCAATCCACACCATGAATACGAGAGCGAACGCTCCACCTCTGGTAGAGGTTGCTTGCCAAAAGAGCTCAGCAAGAGGAAGTCCAGTATGGGTGTTAGCCAAAGTACTGTAATCTTGAACTGAGAACATCAGACTGAGCAGATATGACAGTCCAGTCACAAACGCAATTGACATGGTGATAGCTATTGATTCATACAGTTAGCCAGGTTTCGACGCAAGCAACCATATCACCAAACTAACCTAGACCCAGAGGGGCATTTCTTCCAGGCTATAAGAGACTAGTTAGTACAATACACAACGTATGTGTCTCTGATTCACCTTAACTCACATTGGGCATTTCTTCTGTGATGTGCTATGGTATGGTCAGCTGCGTTCACCTTAGCACTTTGGCAATGAGTATAACCTACCGAGATTCCATCCAGACCTCCAAGTGAGTACATTGGATTCACCAGTCCCGTGATAAAGCAGATAACGTTGTTGTCCCAGCCGGTGTTGTTGATCCAGGTGCGGAACACGAACTTGCTGTCATTGTGAACAGGTGCTTTGGCGGCCACCACAACCATGGTAATAAACCAAGCCAATTGCAGGTAGACCACTACCACTCATTAATTGTTGAACCCCGCAGGAAAAAGAGCCAACGTACATGAAAACTTGTTGATCGCCGGAATAAACCGATTTCCAAACATGACCACGCCCGCAGTCACAATATTGAGGATTTGATATGCGACAAAAGTCATCCACGGTTGAACCACTAGGCCATCATGGTAAAGCGCAATTAGCGCCATGGCCGTTGTGGCATAAATCAAATTGGTTGATGCAGTCGTGAAGATCCCTACGTTTCATCAGCTCCATGCCAAGACTTTTGATATTGGGGCCAACCCACATCCAAACACCGTGCACCAGCCAGTGGCAAAGCTGAGCAAGCTGTTATATCGTTTGGGGGCAATGGCTGCAATCCAATGATACATTCCTCCTTCTGTGGGATATGCCGATACGAATTCTGCGAGGGAAGCGCCGACGAAACATTGAAGGATGAAAACGAGGATGAAGCCATATATCACTAGAGCCTGGTTATTTTCTGGGTTCCTTGCGATCGGTGTTGAGTGGAAACTCACGGGCGCCAGGACCACCTGCATTAATCGCAGTCATTAAACCCAAGCCCAGTCCTATAATTATGTGAGTCCAGTGCTGAGCCATCGCAGGATCCCAACTAACCTGTCCATGAAATAGTACAATTCGCCGCCAGTCCAATTAAGCTCCAAAGCGAGAAATGACGCTGCAACTCCTGTTTATGCCCTGTGTCGCCAGTCAACACCATACCTCCCAACAGCACGGAATCAGAAACAAACCCATCTGGGCCAACCGCAGCTCATCCTCATTCTGCACCTTTATAAATTCGGTCCCTTTCCGATCTCCATGGTCTCCAACCGACGCAGAAGCAGAGGTAATTTCAGGGCCGCTCATGATTGACACAGTATGGTATATCGCTCACAATAAGAGGTGAGTTTCAACGAAAAAGAGAGAAAATAACGGGGTGCATGCGACTAATAAATCCTTCATGAATTAAGTACGATCATGCTACCTCGTGATAATGCAGCTCTTATCGCAGGCCGGGAAACCGAAGGAATCTCCGATTTCGCCGATGAGATAGCCGGGGAATGCGGGAGACACGAACGTATCAGCGTGAGGAATTCCCGCCAAGGCTGGCGCCCCGCCGGTTATCGCGAATTTTGCCGGTGCAAAGTGTGGGGATAGCGGGAATCCGCTTAATGTAGCTTTATGCACCAGCCCGTTGGCAGCCCGGTGCAACCCCATTTGTGCTTGGCGAATTATAAGCTTGTGCCAAGAGTCCTTGTTTTACATCAACGCCTCAAATTTACGCTTGGGGATAATGCTCCGCTTAGACCCTGGGAGAACTTACAGGGGTTCAGGGGGAAGCTTGCGACGGCGTGGCCGACAATATAGCTAAAAGGCCCAGGGCTAAAGACGTGTGTAACACAAGAACAAGCTTAAGGCCATGTGGTCCCACCTGTGGGCCCGGCGATAATTTATGATTAAGCGCGTGGCTTCGATGGACGATATTACTATTTACGATAAGCGACGTTATCATTCGAAATATCCACATTGGTATCCCTGAATGACTACTTCATCTAGGTAAGCGCGCAACTTGCTTCCAACCCCGGGAGCCCTAGCGCTAAAGTGCCTAACGTACATAAATGTGAATCCGTAATACATCCGTGGTATACGCATGGTACAGATGGATTTTACTGATTACACCTGCAAATGATGACATACTTTCCTCTCCCGGGTTCCCTTCTAGCCTCATCACAGAAGTTCATCGGTGGGCGCTGTGAGTAATCGATGTAGACATCGTCCCGAAAAATTGAAAATATAATTTCAAGCCCGTGTCATCTAGCTGCTTAACAATTCCCACGTAGATATTCCCACTCTCCCTTGATTCACCAACAAGCTAAGAAGGTAGATATTCTCCATCGTTGTGAGAATGACTTAGAGCCTTAGTAATGGGGCCATCGGGATGTTTCCATGATCCATGACTTCAGTCTTGCCGATATCTCTTGGATATGACCTGGGGAGTTTGGTTCGTTTTGTGGCTCCATGGCATGTTCGGTCTGGCACCCTTGCGTCTCATTCAAAATGGAGTGCGGGGTGGACGGTTAACGAAGTGTGTGTGGGCTTTCGCGATGTGGAGAGTGGCGTGGAGAACTGCGTTGGGCCCCTTTGTTTTGTGAGTGAAGATCCAAGTAGTTGCAGACTGACATGCATCCCGAATTTAAGTCGTTCTGTTCGAGTGAGACGGGATTGTGATATATTAACTGCAGGCTGGAAATGTCACCCCGATCGAGATGAAGCACCCATTGGGAATATCCTCAATGTATGTGGTTAGGTGACTGTTCGATGGTGGTGGTGTTGTGATTTTTGTGAGATAGGTACGTATGAACACTGTTTATATGGTAGGCATTGTGTTGATGTCAGGGTGGCTTGTATGATTACCATGGAAAGTAAGAATAGGGAAGCTAGCAGACTATTTTGCAGAAGAAAGTAACCGATGGATTTTGGTTATGAGCTGATGATATCTATGGATGTCACCAAACAGCAAACAATACCATAAGTGCTGATCAAAAATAGCGATCTACATAAATTGGGGTTTTGTGCCTCTGACGACCTCTGCTTCTCCCCATTGGGTCCCTTTTCTCCGTCTCTCCTCTATTGTATAAAAAAGGATAACACCATTACAGGAAGCAGGCAGATAGGGAGTAGCTTCATCAATTGCCATTGTATACCTATGAACTTGATTGTATATTACAGCATCCACTCAGATATGAGGAAAGAACTGAGCCCATTCAACAGTCAAGTATGTACTCCAAGGCAAAGATCTCAACCCCACCAATGTCTCAACAAGTATATATGTACGAGCAGTACCATAAATGAATGCAATTGGGAAGATACTCCAAAACTCCCAACTCAAAGGTAGCTCTCTGGGCTCGAATGGGGTTTCATGTAGGTACGTATTATCATCTTTGTAGGGCTGTTTCGGCTCAGTAGAAGTCGCACAGTCAATGGAAGCAGTCCTGGTAGTAAATAGTTTAAGTAATATTTCTTGTCCGCCTCCGTAGCGATACCACATCGCCACGCTCTCGAGGATCCAGAAGGCGATAGTAGTGCCTAGAAGAATAAGACTGGACACCCTCCATAGAATCTGTTCTGTTTTGGTGGGAAATTCAAAATTCCAACCAATAAGGTGGATTGAAGCGTATGCCAAAGTTGCAAGGCAAAGAACAGAACTCTCTGTCCATGTCAGCCACGGTAGCCGACTGTCCCCAATCCGGGGGATTGGCCGCTGAAAAGGTCCGACTGGCATTTTCATAAAGGTTTGGATGTTGAGGGCCCAGCTGGGTCTGAGATCATCGACGAAATCTAGCGGCGTTTGTCGATAAGGTCGTGCCGCAATAGGACCTGCTTCTTGGAGGATCTGCCCCATGGAGATATCCATTCTGATTTGCACGGGATAATAGACGTCTAATGGCTTGGCGAGCCAACATATACTCGTCATGATAGTGCAGCCTACGATTGCCACAGTAGATAACTCCATAGTAGTCAAGGCAAGACCCGAGGCGGCTCGTCCAATGCACTGCAAGATGAGGTATGCAACTTGTGTACAGGTGATCAATTTTGCGATTGTATCCTGCTTAGACTTATCCCAGAGCTCTTCGTCCGAGACCTCTGGGACACCGATGTAGCCTCTCGAGACAAGCCAGTGGATATGCTTGGAGTTGATACGGAAAGGCCCGCCATCGGCTGGAACAAGTTCAAAACCACCCATATTTGCAAAGAACCCATGTCTGTATGTCCATTTTGTGTAACCAAGCGCGTGAAATGATTTGACCGAATCCCGAGCCGCTGCAAGCTGTCCGGCAGCCGCAGTCAACACAAATTCCGGTCCGGCGATCGCAATCCCCATCCATAATAGTTTCCGTGCTTGGGTTCGCCAGAAGCCCTCGTTGCGGGCTGGGCAGTTCAAACAAAGGATTGTGTATGTGCATAGAAAGGTTGTACTAAGACACATCCATAAAATGTCCAATGTGCCTCTACTGTTGGGTTGATCATTCCATCCATCGATTCGGCCGTCCGAGGAGGCAGTCAAGGTTGCGGTAACGAGAGTATGGTTCGCATCCAATTTGACAGTCATCATGCACTGTATAAGGGTGGAATTGATAAAGCTGCGACTTGAACAAATCAAGGTGGTTGAAGTATATGGGTTGTAGGTCACATAGTCACGAAAACATCATCAGAAGGCCCAGGGCTCTTATATACGGCTGAGACAGATATATCCCAGTCGAATGGACACTTATAAAGTCGTAGGACAAATGCTTCGTCATCATCGACAAGTATATCTATCCCCGCTGGTGCCGCTGGTGCCGCTAATATGTGTCGTTCCGCTTGATGCATCATTTAGCCAAGTCTAGAAAGAAAAAAATAAACAACAACCACAGCGACAATAAAATACGGGGATAGTTGCGCCGCGCTTCTGAGTGTTTCAAATGAAGCAAATATAGAAACCTTGGCAGATAATTGCTTTTTTGGTCGTCACTTATCGCCGGTTTTGGGGGCTTATGTGGCTATTAATAGGTGAATGACAGCGAGGTCATTGGATGGCACCTTTAGTTAGCAACCACTGCGTTTCAATCACCTGGAAGCCCCGACTATCTAGCAGTTTGGTGAACATAATTGGACTCGATCAATCTTAAGATCCACGATAGCGATGCGCCCGTTCTCGTGGCCAATCATAGCCCACTGCTAACCGCCAGACTTATGCGGCCGGACAGGGGGCGGGGCTAGGCGACTGAGGCGGCTCACGATGCTCTGCCGTCGCACAAAAGATCCGGGTCTCGCTCATACCCGCGAATTCTCCTAAGGATACCATCAAACCAAAAACCACGAGGTTGAGAGATGGCATTGCTCAAACGGTTGTCGCCCGCCGAGCGGGCGCTGAGCGGCACGGACCGCAGCGACAGCCCACTCCTCAAGGAAGGGAGTCCAGGGCCAAGGCTGCTGAACCGCGACGAAGTTCCCTCGTGGTATGGCCACAATCCATATATACGCACAAGTTATAGACCAGTGATACCATCAACTTATCGATGCATCAGCAGCCTCCTATACCTTCACAATGAAACTGTGAATGTTTATTCTCACCTCATTCCAGCCACCATTGCTTTGCTAGGCAATGGACTTCTCTATGTGTATTTTTCCACGTCTTTTCCGAACGCTACATGGGCCGATCAGCTTGTTTTTCATATTTACTTGACAACATCGGTCATTTGTTTTGGTATTTCATCTGCATACCACACATTTCTTTGTCATTCTGCCCATTTCACTGATCTATGGGGTCGCCTGGACTACGTTGCTATTGTATTCCAAATTCTTGGTTCATTTGTCTCGGGGATATATATTGGTTTCTACTGTGAACCACATTTACAAAAGCTTTACTGGTCAATGGTTCGTTGACAGTTTTCCAACTCTCTATTGGCATTGAACTAACTGTGTGTACAGATTGGCACTCTAGGCTTCTTGACCGGATTTGTGGTGGTGCATCCCAAACTGCAGAGCCAAAAGTGGAGACTATTGCGATTATCGTCGTTTGTGGCGACGGGGTTTTCGGCATTCGCTCCTATAATCCACGCTGCGAGTATCTTCCCATATGCGCAGCTCGATCAACAAGCCGGATTACGATATTATTATCTTGAAGGACTAGTCATTGTGATCGGAGTATTGTTTTACGCGGTGCGTTAATTTTCCATGAGCTTACGTTGGATCATGCTGATTGGTTGCAGACCCATTTCCCGGAGTCTTGGAAACCCGGGACATTTGACATTTGGGGAGCATCTCATCAGATATTCCACATCTCGGTGGTAATTGGTGCGACGATTCATTTGTATGGGATTTTGGTTGCTTTCCAGTGGAATTATGAGAATCAGCGATGTAAGACTGGTTGAGATGTGATATGTCTTGTAGCTTAACACCTGCAATCCAAGGGGGATCCTTGAACTCGGCACACGGCCCGTGTGTTCCAAATTTGGAAGGAGATCAGCTATACCCGAGGACATCCATAATAACCCCCCTAACATAAGTACAACATAAGTACGACATAAGTACACCGTTGAAACTAAAGCCGGATGCCCCCCCCGCTGTCATTTCCACCTGCCACGTTTTTTTCTTTTCTAGTTCAAAATCCAAAATGCAGGAAAAGATTGCTGTCGTGAGTTAGTGAGGTACAGCTTATAGTCTGATCTCTAACACTGTCAGGATGCCGATTTCTATACTATGACCCAAGATTGGGAACTTCCAGACTTTCAGTCGTGAGTCGAAATGATTTCCATGGCGTTTTGCCTTTTTAACCGTCTCAGGGAAACCACATCTATCGCCTCGTCAATTGCGAAGGGTCGATTAGAAAATGGCAGAAGGTGAGTTAATTAGCCAGTGAAGACATGCGGCCTGTCTAATAGTACGACCAGATACCAGGCTATGAAGGAAGATGATTATTGGTCAGTCGCGATGCTTCGATGCGGGAGACTCGAGGCTAATCGTGCACAGGAGTCCTTCCGATGACCGGCAATTCGAGGCTTTTGAGATTGGGTGAATACTCTTTTTATTTTGTCATTCCTTCTGATCCAAGTAATAGCTAATGGATTTTAGTCACATGACGTTTCTCGTATTGGACAATGATCGAGAAATCCCTCTCCACCATGCTCCCATCGGAAAATCTCCCAAGGTAAGATAGCGATCTTGAATTTGGGTATCGACCTCTGCTAAAAGTGAACTCCAGCACATTCTGGACATTGGGACAGGGAAAGGAACATGGGCTATGTAAGTTCCCACCCATTATCTTCAATCGAGCCCCACTTACATTCATCTAGTGATATGGCAGATATTTATCCATCTGGTGCGTCCCCTGCTTTCTTTCCCTTCCTCCTATCATATCAGTCTAACAGGACTCAGCAACTGTCCGTGGCGTCGATATCTTCCCCCTCCGGTGACATGGACGCCACCCAACTGCCTATTTGAAGTAGACGATGTCCTCCGCGAGTGGACCTGGAGAGAACCGTTCGACTTTATCCACATGCGTGTAATGCTAGGAGCATTCACACCGGATGGGTGGGATCAATTGTACAAGCAATGCTACGAGTGAGTCCCTTATCTACACTTTCCCCCTAACTCCCGAAAACTGTATCTAATAACCATACTATTCAGCGCTCTTACACCAGGCGGCTGGATCGAGCAGGTCGAACTAGATGTACGAGTATATAGCGACGACGGCACCATGGAAAAAAACGGTACTCTAGCTACATGGGGAGATAATTTCATCGGCTGCTCTGAGCGAGCCGGCCGATCCCTCCTAACGCAGGAGACTATGCGAGGCGCAATAGAGAAAGCTGGTTTTGTCGACGTGCACGAAAAGCAATATAAGGTTCCTTTGGGGCCGTGGCCAAAGGATAAGGTTCTCAAAGAGGTTGGTCAGCTTCAATACGCACACTGGGTCGCTGCGTTGGAGGGATGGGCGATGTGGCTGCTCACTAAGTATGGTGCGCCCACTCCTTGGACACCGGAGGAGGTCCAGGTATATCTGTCGAAGGTTCGGGCTGAGTTGAGGAACCCTCGTACGCATGCTCATCAGTTTGGGTGAGTTTCTGATATGAGTATCTTGAGAGGTCATGTTTGCTGATCGTGTTTAGTCGCCGAGTCTGGGCTAGGAAACCTACGGTGGAGGAAGAAATAGCCAATCTAGTGATTAAGTCTGAGTCTCCGCAGGTAATCCTTACACCAGCCTTAATGTCTTGAGTCGGACTGCTTTGTATTTCTGCGTTTACAGGTCTAGCTTTTGCGATAGCAGTTTTATATTTTCATGATTTATTTCACTGGTCTCTTTCGAGTCTTCCTGGGGTATCTTGGCCCCAGGATATGACATGGTTTTATTCGTATATAGTAACAGAATGTATAACTGCCTTGCAAATTATGAAACAATTTGTCAAAATTCCATCCCAGAAGTTTGCTTCACGATCATCTGAGCAGCTTTCTCAAACTCAGCTTCTACAACCAAGTTATCTAACCCAGATTGTTCGACCTATAATTGGAATTAGCCAATACTCAACAAACGAACATTCATACTGACCAGCTTCAATCCCTCTTCACTATTAGTACCCTGCAAGCGAACAACAATCGGACATTTAAAACCACCCATCTCAGTAGCAGCAGCAATAATTGCCTCGGCAATCATATCACATCGCACGATCCCTATCACCGATCAGCTATCCCATTCCCCGACTGTTTATATGCATACTCACCACCATAAATATTAACCAAAATCCCCTTAACCCTCTGATCCTTCTTCAAAATCCCAAAAGCCCTCGATAAAGCCTCCTTCGTCGCACCACCCCCAACATCCAAGAAGTTCGCACATTTCCCTCCATACAAACTAATAAGATCATTAGTCGCCATCGCCAATCCAGCCCCATTAACGATATTGCCAATATTCCCATCAAGTCGCACATAAGAAACTCCCAGTTCCGCCAGTTGATACTCCTCCTCTTCTTCCGGTGATCGTTCCTCCAACGCAAATATCTCCTTCTGTCTAAACCTTGCTGAATCATCAAACCCGAATTTAGCATCCAGACAGACAAACTTGCCATCCTCCGTGCGAACCAGTGGATTCAATTCGAGAAGCGTCGCGTCTTTCTCTTTGAATAATTGTACCATCTGCACAAGGATCCGGTGTATATCTTTCATCTCGGCATCCGAGAATCCCAGCTCGGCTTGGATATACGCGTGGATCTCGTCGGTTATGCCTGTTGAAAGTCCGAACCAGAGTTTGTGGAGATTGTCGACATTCGATTCGATGTTGGTTCCACCCGATGAGGAAACCAATAGCACTGGTGACATGCGTTGGCGGTCGAATGTCATTGCCAGATAGTATTCCTGTGCGATGGATATGGCTTTGTAGACATAGAGCTTGTCGACGCGGAGTCCGTCTTTCGGGGTTTGCGCTGTCTTTAGGTAGTGCCCGAGCATGTTGGTAGCACTTTTGAACGCTTCGCTTGGTCTGGTGTTGTTAGATTTGGGATCCGGTTGTGATTGTGTTGGGAGGAACTAACGAGTTGACCATTCGGACGCCGCTTTTGCCATCGCTGTCGAATTTTCCTTTCCCGCGTCCGCCGGCTAGGACTTGGGCTTTTATCATAGATGGTCCATCTGGCGAGGTATTAACTTTCGGTAGAACAGGACTTTTGGAGATTGTGTGGACTTACTGATCTCAGAGACAACATTCTTGGCTTGCTCTGGGGTTGTCACTAGGAATCCTGGTGGAACTGGTAGTTTGAACTGGGCTGTATTAGCAGCGAGGTTACCCTGCATGAAGGGGTTCCGTACTTCTTTAAGTAGGTTGTGTGAGTGGTGTTCAAGCAGACTGAGCTGCCGAACTTGGGCTCTGAGGGGCGCAGGGCTCTGTGAAATGGTTGGTATATTGTTCCAGATCACCGTTAGGAGATTGTACAAACTCGTTTGAAAGTACGGGCAACCGAACGCCAGGTAATCATCGTGGGTTATTTATATTTCATGTTAGGAGGTCAACCCGGAAACTCTGAGGATAGATAGATATTGGGTTGATGACATCATGACATCGATTTTGGCTATTTCCTGGGGTTGAGTTTCCGAAAGTTTATTAACGAGCATCGCCTAACCTGATGAATACACAATTGAGGAAAAGGAAACACCGCTGTCATATTCTCAATCCCAAACAAAATATGCCAAAACACCGAGAATGGGAAATGGCGCGAAACAATAAACGACCTTCGCCCAAATGGAGATATTAAAATTTCCAAACAAAACGCTGTACAACTTTAGCGCTCCATTTAGAAAAGAGCTAAGTGTAGGTTTCCTTTCCGCAAATACAGTCTCTGTCATTAAAGAGAAAAGAATGAGTATAAACACCCAAAGACCCGAGAAGACGGCGGTACCATCTGAGAGCCATCTGTTCATGTTGCTGGGATCACGTTCTGCGGACATGGTGACAACTCGCAAAACAAAATTGGCCAGAGCTATGAAAATCTGATTGGATAGCTTGGGGTGCGAGATCCAATCATTGTCGGGGTCATTAAGGTCCATGGTGTTCCGGTTTGGTTCAGAAGGGAGTTCTGGCGCGGGCACGGTTTGGTTGCCAGAGAGGGGGGGTTCATCATCTTGTGCGGGAGTCTCATCTTGTATAGGAGTCGTTTTATATTGTGTACGATTCATCTCTTCTGTAGGAGGCTCATATGCGTGTGGCCACTCTTGTGTGGGAGTCTGCCCTTGTGCGGGAGCCTCATCTTCTACCCAAGTATTAGGCCTCAGGGTAGATCCTAGACAATAGTCGCTATATTTCACTCACCTTCCTGGAAATACTCGACTATTGTGATGAGCGGTGGTGCCAGTAACACCACAGCAGCAATTTGACCAAACGACCAATCATTGAAACCAGTCAACGAAGCCTCGAGGCCCATCTTTTCCGGTCGATATATAGTCTCTATCAATCGGACAATACCAAGGGCGAAGGCCGTGATCAACCAGATAACCTAAGGGTAAGTTAGAAAACATAGGGCGTAGTCAGCAAAGATAGCTGACCTCTTTAGCAGTAGAATCCAACACATCCACGAGCACCCAACACGTGGTGTAGACAGATAAGAGAGGAATATAGCATAGTATCAATTTTAAGCCCCGTGGCGAGGCAGATGCGTGGCTCTTATCATGCACAATGCTCCAATCATAGACATGGCGTAGTACCCTTCGTATATGCCCTGAAAGGAAAGTTCTGGCTCGCCCAACAACACCAACTGAAAGTGTATCGTAGAGGCTAATTACCCTCGAAGAAAACCCAAGGATTAACAATATTATGGAATAATTCATGGACAAAAATGCCGAATTCATCCCCGGACGAGGGCGCATATAACAGATTGCAGAGTCCCTAAACCCCGGGCGATCGCTATTATCTGGGTCAAAGGCCCAGTGATAGTTTCCGGTAAAACTAAGCCCCACTATTAACAGTACCACCAATGCACCCACTGCTAGTAACCTTAATATTCGCTCGGTAGGGTGGTCGCGCAGATGGTTGCGCAGAAGCGTTAAGCAAGATAACTGTGTGATGCAGGAAATCCAGGCTAGCTGAACGATGACTTGCCAATGGTAGGTTGACAGCCCGCATTTGAGCTTGAGAAGCCCGCTAATTAGGACAGCAAAACCTATCCCTATTTGCATATCGCTGAATGCTCGGATAGACTGTTTTTTTTTCGAGGTTATTCTTAGCCATTTCTGATTCCCTAACCCGATCTTATAAGAATTGACTCACTTTGAGTAAGAAGTTTGAGAGTTTTTCGCTGCCATTTGTGACGAAACGTGCTTGCCATAGTACCAATTTGATCTGTGCTAAGGTGCTTTCATCTATCGGGTTAGGTCGAAACGGGGTTGATGGAGTTTGGCCATCTTTTCGAAACGGGTCGCGGGTTGGATCATGAACAGTGATGTAGTGGAGGCAAATGAGGACTACGGCGAAGCCGGCAGTCACAATATTGTTAATAATGATCTAAGTATGTGAGACGCGCCCGTGGTCGAGGAAAGAAAGATCTATGGGGAAATTCATACCCCAATGCCAGTGATATCGCTATTTGGAGAAAATGCGGGGGCGGGAGCTGAGCACTTGAAACTGCAAGACATAGCGCGGCCGAGGAGCGTGACAGAGTAGCGTCCGATTCCTTCCCGTATATCTATCAGTCTCTCTCTATTGTAAATTGTTGTTAGGTTGAAGTCGTCGTGGTAGACATGGGGGCTTTTTTAGGTATCCTTGCTCACACACGTGATGATGAGGCTGAGGTTTGTCGGCATGAGGTTTGCGGGCAAGAGTTCATTAGTAAGAGACTTGGCAAGGATGATCCCTGTCCGAGCTATTATATGTCCGGGGTAAGTCATTCCAAGTATAGTTACTCTTTGGTAGCACCGATCCTCATCGTCCAAAACATGGTGAAGGTCTGATAAAACGAGGCATGTCTCTAGTTCACATCCAACATAACTGTGTCCCAGCACTCGACCACGCTGTATGGTAAATGCGACATATCTCTGGTCACTCCTGGAAATCTCGTAATAAATGGGTTTTGTCTAAGAACAGCCTTATCTTCCTACTAAACTTATGCTATGTACGGAGTACTCCGCATAGCTATAGCTTTTACGAGGCATAATTTCCTTTCCAACTAACATCATTATATTTCCAGTCGATGCAAGTTATTTCTCAAACTAGTGTTTTGGAATGCGCCGTCTACCCGACTGGCCAATGACAAACACCCCAAAAGGCCAGAATTTGGAATAATATTAGGCAACCCCAATTTTGCTTTTTCTAAGAACGCCCAAGGCGTATTAGCCCAAGGCGCATTATCTTACGGGATCTGAGGGATAATGCGCCTAATTGGCCATATTGGGGCCATGGCACCATCTTCAAGAGCCTCAATGATATGCACAAAATTGCCAAAAAAAAACCCCGCTGAGGTCCGTGCTTCTAGAGTTCTTCATCTTTACTCCGTACAAGACGGTCTGATGCATCGCGCCAATGGGGATATGCTTCTTGTACAGGGTAACGAGAAGTGATTAGATAAATGGACCATGTGCTTTCGATTATATTTCTTCGTTAGGCTCGCGATTGCTGTATTGATCTAAAAATAATCGAGGATGCCTAGGTCGATCAACCCGGGCGGCTGTACCTCATGGACTCTGTACAAATCTAGCAGCTTAGACTCGACCCAGCAACAGGCGTAACGAATCTCAGGTGTCAAGGTGGTTTATATATCGCGCTAGTCAATCCATATTCACTCAATGAATCACCTGGTCAAAGCAGCCGCTGCCAGATAGGACAAATCACTGCCAAGTACTCCCATCCATATCCTTCAAACGTTTACCTTTGATTGTGTTTCACGCGCACCACTCCGTATGATTATATTGCCTCAACTGAGAAATTAGCACCCGCTTCCGGAGTCCCGAACCCAGTCCATCTGCCGCCCGGACAAGCCCTTCACTTTCCCGAAGTCATGGGGCGTATCTTATCATAGGGTCCACGATATGGGAAATGCGTTCAAGAGCTTCACGCTACAGATTTGCACAGCAATAATACCCGATGGAATATAGGCTTGGGCCACCGGAGCATGCACGTGGGCTATATCCAGACTTCAGATGGTCAGCGTGTGCTTGAGTCGACGCCCCAGTGTATCATGGTACCATCTCGGAGGCCCGGACAGCCGAAATAAACCCTCGCTGTTGATTCGCGAGAGGACTATTCAAGCCCGAAGGCCAAGAAATCTTGCCATGTAGTACAATAGGAGTATAGCCAGGATGGTTTATAAGGGTCGGCAAATAAATACGGAAATTATCAAAATGAAAAACAGAAAAGTTTCTGTTTTCTTAGGCTATCCCCAAATGGGAATAGTATTGCTGTGTGACCAGCCTCCAATAAAATATCGCTTTCCTCTGTCCAATTCAGACATGTTCCAAGAGTATTCAAGGCAGTAATAAAACAATAAACTCATATTGACGACTCTCAAAGATCGCCAGGGGTCACAACCAGTTTGGTTCTGGCTTATCCGAGGCTTAGATGGTGAGATCGCCCCTGAGTTGCCCAGCCACCCCCAGTGGGCCTAAATTAGCTCACGCAAAATCTACTGGCAAATCAAGAGCCTTAGGAAGCACATCTGATCGCCCGAATCTGACGTTGAAATTTATCCAGTAAATATAAGAAAATGGGGATTCCCCGTTAATGTTCCTACAAATCATTCTACACAGTCACCATGAGGCAGTCGACGCCCATTTTCTGGGTTGTCCAGGCTTGTCTAATATGGCTGACATTGGTATCAGCATCGTCTGCCATTTCTGACATGTCAGACTCTGATGTCTCTACGCTGCAAGCCCGTGACACAAAGCCATTTCCCTTGAGAATCCTGCCCCTCGGTGCGTCTATCACCATGGGGTACAAATCGAAAGATGGAAATGGATATCGGAAATGGCTTCGAGAGCAATTGCGCTATGCTGGCTGGGAGGTTGACATGATTGGTACCCGGAAGAGTGGTACCATGCATGACAATGTGAGTTCCCCGGTTCTTGCTTTTGTCCTATCATTCAAGAAAACATTTTGACTCTTCGTCAGGACAATGATGGGCATATCGGCTGGAGAATTGATCAAATAGCAGCTCATGCCGAGAAGATCGTCCCCCAGCAACCTAATCTAATTCTTCTTAAGTGGGTCTCAAAATGGCTGGTGCAATATCTCTTTGACACTAACATATATTCCCCACAGCGCTGGCACAAACGATGCTCTACAAGATTACAAAGTAGACACCGCAGGCAAGCGGATGGACTCTCTCCTAACATACCTATTTGACAATATCCCCAACACAACCATCATCCTATCAACTCTCACATACAACGGAAAGGAAACCGAATTGGGCACAAACATCAGCATGCAATATCTAAAACTTGCAGCGGACCGCCGAGCACAGAATGATCGTCTGGTCATAGCTGACATGAGCACCTTCATCCAGTGGGACCAATTGGTGGATAAAATCCATCCCACAGCCGCGGGCTACAAGGAGATGGCATCGGTGTGGTGGGCGGCCATTCAAGAAGCTGAGAGAGAAGGCTTTCTCCAGGCGCCAAAGTCTACTTCTACGTATAATGGTACTATCAGCAAGGCCCGTGAAAAGGAACTCGATGATAGCACCGGTAATCCGAGTCTGCCTGTATACACGGCACCGCCTCAGCCTACGGTAACAGTTAGTAACGGCTCGCCTCGATCTGGGCAGTGGCATCTCTGGGCTGTTGGAGTACAGATGGTCATTGGTATTTCCCCGCTTCCCCCATACATCTTGAGCAAGACTAACCTATCTAGTGTGCATTGGGCTCTCTTATGTATGAGATGATGTGAAAAAAGCATCAAAAACAATCAAAAACAATTTAAAATATACCAAACCATTCCTCTTAAACCCCAACAGTCATGTATAAAGGCGACCTAGGTAGGCACCCAGATATACCAATAAAGCCATTCCATACCTCCACACCAACCAAACCAACCCCCCAAGTACGCCCCAACTGACAACCCCCTTCAAAACCAAAACCCTCTTGATAAAAACAAAAGTCTTCCTTTCATTAACCCTCGGAAACTCCCCTCCAGGAACCTCCCTACCCAGAAACTCACAAAGCGGCCCCCACCCATCCTCAGCCTTGAACTCCAAAACCTCCCCACCCCTCTCCCTAACAACCCCCCGAACAAACTCATTATACCTCTCATAAAACACCGCGGAAAAAACATCCACCCCACCAAACCTCTCCTGGCACCAATCCAAAATCCTCATATTAAGCCTAAACCACAATCTCTCCGATTTCCAAAGAAATCCAAGAATAGCAAACTGGGGTGAAAAAAAGAACCCCAGACTCTCACTACAACTCTCAGCCCATGTCTCTGCGTTAGGACGCGTTGTTAGGATCACCCGTGCGTCAGGGTACATGTCTAACAGATCGGGGAGATGGAATACAGCTGGCATATCGCAAACAGCGGCATAGCCGGAGACTAGGGTGTGGAGTTGTTTTTGACGTGTTGGGGTGTCTTTGCTTTGGGTGGTTGCGATGAGAAGTTCTTGACGTGACGGATGGGGGATTATTTGCGCCATGTGGAGGCAGGGAGTTATGTTTAGTTGTTCCAAGGCGGCTTGGAGGGAGGAGGTTGCTGTGCGGGGGAGACCGGCGCCGATTACGAGGAGGGGCTGGGGGGTGGAAGTGGCAGCTGGAGCTACGCGCTTGTCGGTGAGGAAACGGACCATCTTGGGAGTTTTGGAATGGGGGGGGAGGGGGGTTTGGTTGGAGATGGTAGGATGGTAGGATGACGGTATGGTGAAGTTGGTTATGAGGTTGGGCTGGCAGATCTTCTATATATATTGTAGGCTGCTGAGGCTGACGTGAGCGAGGTCAGTTAGGCGTCCAGCTGTTCTTGCGTGGATTTCTAAGCGTGTTAATTCCACATAAACACCATGTCCAGCCCGAGTCGGATCAGATGAAGCGCGTGAATGCGGAGACGGGGGTTATATTTTGACACAAGACTGAAAGGAAGCTGCGAGTGTCAGCAATGGGTTAACCCTGGTGATGTGGATGGCCCCAAATATGGGCTCACCCCGATATGCCACCTATGCGAAGGAACATAATGCAGAGAATATAATTCCCTTGGAATATTCTCTTGCCTCTCCAAACGTGAGGTTGAACCTCCAAACTGGTTCCCGGTCGCCGCCATGACGTCACCACCCAAGCTACAACCTTGGAAGCTCCAAAACTATTTCAAGCTACATCTTTCTGCCTCTTGACAATCTCCTTATAGATATCCAAAACGTACTTTCTCTACGCAATCCTAATCCAAAATGTCAGAATCATTCGCCATCTTCCGCCAACGCCGCTCCGACGAGCTAGCGAAACTCGCCGACGAGCACCTCCAACACGACCTCCAATCCGGAGACCGTGACAAGCTTAACGCAGCCGCATCTTCAATTTCCTTGTGGACAACAGTTGGCTCCGCAGTCGGTGTGAGTCTCGGGCTTCTAGCTGCCATCCGACTACGCGGTTCGCGCAAGGCGTTCTTCTCTGCTATTCGTGCGCAACATAAACCTACGAAGGTTGTTTTTGAAGATGGAAGGACTGGTATGTTTACTTGCGATGTTGGAAGGTGGAAAAAGAACGGTGTGGCTAATTTGTGCATTTAGAGGATCTTCCTGACCTCACGCCGCTGTTAAAGCCCACTACTTTGGGTGACGTCGCGACTTATTTCTTTGCCTCAGTTGGTGGGTTGCTTCTGGGTGGAGAGCTTGGTAAGAATATCTTTTATGTGATGGTTGTTGGGAAATCGTGCTAACTTGGACTTTTGCGTAGGCTTTGCTGGCGGTGCGGCGAAAGGAACGAGGACTATCACATCGGACCCCGAGAGCAAAAAGAGAATCGAAACAGCTTTCAGAAAATTCCGGGCGGATGTCCTGCGGAAACAGGCTGATGCCTTGGATAAGGGGATACAGGAATACGTTTTGATCTAAGATAATGAAAATAGATATTGGATCTTGTAAGATTATTTGTTTCATTTATATATCACAATAATGATATGTACGAATTCAGACCTCCAAAGCCTTGAAAAATGCCGGGCTCTCATGCCCTTGCGCAACCTTCGAAATCGGCGTGAGATACGCCTCAGAAGACTCCTGACTCTCCTCAATCTTCCGAACATAGCATTGCGCAACCTTGAGCCACATCGCCTTTTCCCTCGCACTAGCCTCAGACCCCTGCCAAACCCAGATTCTGTTCCCAGTATCATAAAGGAAAACATCCTTCCCATCCAGATCAGACCGATCAACCCGATCTCCATTCTTAACAAGATCAAAAGACAATTCTCCAGAAGCATCACTGAGTCTGAAAAGCTTGCGTGGACGAGTACTATCATCAGACACCCCTCTTCGCAAACCGCCCAGGTCTCGGCGCCTCCAAGGTCGATGGGGCAACATCCCTCCCACCGAGCAAATCAACAAAGATCTTCGACCTAGACTCAAGCTGCGACAAAACCTCAACATCAACATGCTTCGCCTGCGTCATATCATTAACCACCTGCGCCGCCTTAGCCTTCTCCATCGGGCTACATTTCTTCCCCTGCCAAACCCAAATCTTATCCCCCTTATCCAAAACAAAAACATCACTCTCATCGAGACTCTCCCACTTCGGCTCGACCTCATGCACGATAAGCGAATCAACACGCGCAATACCGGGATGTTTGAAAACACGCAGTAACGTCAACACTTCCGGACGAGCCTGAGCCTCGGGATCAACATGCGTGAATCCCGAGCGCACACCACCCGACCGGATCCTGTAGTTCCGGAACAAAGCGAGGAACTCGTCAGAGGGGTGTTGTTGCACCTCGCGGTGTTGTGTCGCAGCTCCATGCAGGAACTCATCCAGCTCGACGGTCTTGTATGCGGCGACACCTGCTTCATCTTGGGTTGTTTTGCTGCCGAGCCAGAAGAAGATATCGTGGCCGAGCTTGTCGTCGCCGACTTTGTAGGTGTGTAGGACGATATAGCTGTCGCCATCGTAGAATTCGCCGGTTTTGTCACTCGGCCAGGGGATTACTTGAAAGTTTTCGATGCGCCAGATTGTGAGGCCTGGGACTTTGGGGATGGTTTGCCAGGCGGGTTCGGTGAGCGCTGAGTTATACTTGACGCGGTGGTCGAGGTCGCTGCCGATTAGCTCGACGTTGCTGTCTTTGATGTCGTATTCTTTTGGGTGGACGAGGCCATCGTGAGGTGCCATGTTTGGTGTGTGTGTTTTGTATACGGCGTGATGCAAAGCAGAATAGAACATGGTGAATCTTAATAACCAGGCGGTGGGTCCTGAGCCGCGGGGCATCGCTTTTTGGAAATCGGCCGATGACGTCGGTAATGTTCCTATTTTTAGTCAGTGCGACATCGTTCCAGAGCTTTGGATGTTGATGTGAGGCTGAAAGCAGGAGAGTCTTTAGGGGGAAAGGTTCTCGGTATAGGCCTTTCAAGGACCTTGGTGGCATGTCAAGAAATACATATAATTTTTTTCGCACTGTGGCTTCACCCTATGTCTAATTTTACGTTGGAAACCACTAATTAAAGACAACAATGTAAGAAGAGCTTGATCAAACAGCCATTTAGTTGGTCGGACAAGTCAACAATATCTTGTGCGCTGAAAGTTTTGAAATTTTCAGAGCGGAGCCAAATTTTCATGCACAAGAGGACACGCAACAATGTGTGTTCCCCCTCTGCAATTGCCAGGTGACACCACTTGTGATATATGTACAATGCGACCAATAGGTTTAATCCAAGTCTAGAATGGCATCCTTGCATCAAGTTGGGCACAAGTTTTATAAAAATTTACAAAAAAAAAAATTGTTTGTGGAAATCAGTGCACGAGATGACCGGCTCTGAATTGAAATTCCAAATGTCTTAAGAGGTATATGAAACATCGAGGGGAAATACTATCTACTTCTGGAGTAACTCTAGTAACTGCCTTGTGACTGATTTCTCATAGGCACACAAAGGCACCATCACCAACGCTAAGCGTCAAGATATCACGTTTTTCTCCGCATAACCATCGCGCACTTTTTCAAGGTCACTGATCACGTTTACCAGCGGCCACCACCGGCACCGCCACCGTTGAAGCCAGAGCCACCGGCGGGGCGAGCGTTGGCGAGGTTGACACGGATGCGACGACCATCGAGACTAGAGTAGAGTTAGAGAATGTGTTTTGTAAGGGATTGGAAAAAAAAAACGTACTCCTGCTCGTTAAGAGCGTTGATGGCGGCCTCGGCCTCCTCAGCGGAAGAGAAGGTGACGAAACCGAATCCGCGGGAGCGGCCAGTCTCACGGTCAACCATGACGATCTGAAGGAACTATTAGTGGTCTGAAGCGAAAGTGGAAAAAATGGGATTTTCACGTACAGAGTCGACAATGTTGCCGAACTCACCGAAGGCCGCGCGCAGCGACTCGTCGCTGGTGTGCCATGAAAGGTTTCTAGTACAATCAGTATAAAGCGCTCACTCAGGATGAATATGAGATGGAATTTGACATACCCGACGTAGATCTTAGACATTTTGAAAGAAAGTGGGAGTCACGAGGTGTTGATGAAGAGAATTAAAAGATGCGGGGCATCTGAGGAGATATAGGGCCTTCGTGGCGGTGAGAGGCAAAATTCATTCGCCCCGCATAAAAAAGGTGAGAGCGTGTGGAAGGAGGCGAAAGAAGCAAACTCTACCATGATGGTCCGTACACCATAGCATATTTTCCAGTTTCTTCGGAGTCTAAGCGTTCTTTTAATTTACTATTCGTCAATCAAATTCCCCCCACATAGGTGGCCACACGAGATTTGGTTTTGCCTGAACGGCAGAATAATCGAAGCGACAAATGGTCTGATATCTGGAATCCAACAGAACGATCCCCTTGGTTGTACTGGAAACTACAATGTACCGTCAGCAGGGATGCATAGGAGTAATGGAGCCTGAACGCCACCACCTAGACTAAGGTGGGATATGAAAGGTACAGAAGTGGACAGAGTTGACAGAAGTGGATATGGTTAAATCAGTCTTGCATACCACTTACATTGGAACCTACCTGCATACTTGAAATAACCCTTTCTAGAGCGTTTATCTATCTCTAGCTATCTAAAAAGGGCAAAAATAAAACAAAAACATACAACAGTGAGGATTCGCTGGTGGTCACCCACCCAACTACTAACTCACCGGCGTGTGGCTTAAGTACGGCTGAGCGGACGGGAAGCCCTGTTTTCCACACCCTATGGTCGTATGTGGTTATTTAGGTGTGGGAAGAACTTATAGAGCGTAGGTGGCCAGAAATAGTAAACGTGATGGATCTGGGCAAATCGACCTATAACGGTGCCGTTGGACCAGTACTTCCTAGCCGTGGTCCGGCATGCCTATCTAATTAGCTATATTCGGTCCTTGCACTTCAGTCTTCAACCTTACGTCTCTTATAATGCAATTCGTGCGAACGTTGATGGTTAAAAAAAAAAGGCGAAGTCTGCAATCTATTTATGACTGAGAATCTCGGCTCAATCCACTTAATCTGCTAAACTTTCGTCGAATATCTCCCTCCAAGTCACCCCTAGGTATGGCTGATTATGTGTCAGCATAGTGCTGCCATATGGGGCATCTGAGGCGGATTAGTCTTGGTATGATAAGGCAGACTCAGCCACTGCATTTTTGCTGTTGCTCTAGTGAACGCAGGGATTTTTGGTGCAATGATACTACTAAGGCACTTCTCTCCCAAGCCCTTATTTTTCTTTTCCTATTCTCTTTCGACCGAGAAATATAAAAATAATAACAGATACTTAAACCGAAGATATAGAGTGTCGCAGCTCCTCCCTTAGGTTAATTCGCCATATCACTTGAAAATTCGTTGCAATGGAATGAACTCGATGGCATGTGTCATCGAGGCTAATCCCGATGTATCTGGAATCCGAGTATGTCTCTTCCTATTCTATCGCTATTTAGCTACCGACGGTGAACAAAAGATCATTGACTAAATTATCATCTATAGATAGGTATATCGATCTACATTCTCTGCCTAGGCGGAACAATCATTAGATACCTACTACGCGTGTTTGCCCCAGGCAAAGACAAAGAAGTGTTCTCGTGAGAAGTCGCCTCCGCCCTTAATCTACAAGGCCTAGTCCTCCTCTGCATGGCAATCTATGAAACAATCCAGGGCGACATAACACTCTTCCACGCAATATGTGCTATGTACCTTCTCACTATGCTCGCTATGGACGCATTGAATATTATTCTAGATGCAGCACTCACCCGATGGCAGGGGAATATTAGCATCATGCTCTACCTCCTAGCTGGTGTGGCTTTCTTCGCTCTAAACTTATATATCTGGTTAACGGCGCCGCAATTTAGCAGCCAGCCTCGGTGTAACGAGGATACGGTGTATGTGATGGCTTACATGAGCTTTAAAGTGTAACGGATAAATATCCTACAACATGGAGACGGAATCACCTGATCGCACCCGCATCGATCACGTATCAGGAACGAACTGCCAAGGAGTAGTCACATGGCTCCCACGTGAACATGGGGGACACATAGTCCAGGATTCCCCTGAATCCCCTCTTCTTTTGGCAAGAGTTAGTCTTGGCACACACAGACAATATATCCTCGTTTCCTCTCCGAGTCATTGTATCTTACCCGGTTGACAGGCCTTACACCTGGAAATCGTAAACCTTTACATAAAGCCACTTCTCTAAGTATTAGGCATAGCATTATCTAGATCTTAGCTGTCTCTACAGCCGGTTTTACTCTTCTTTTTATATGCGTGCTACTATGTCTATGTGGGTGCGTTACGGGAGTAAGGCAGCCTATTAACTAGGATCGTCATAAGTCACCTAAATAGCTTTATGGCCTCATATCACTTAGCTTTATAGTACGTAAGATTATCTAATTTTAGTTATGCATATACTTAATTAAGTATTTTACTGGAATAAACTATCTATCGTAATAACCTCGACCCCGAAGAGAGGAAATGGACGTTTAGATAGGTTATTGCGATTTTCTTATTATGAGGTGGGATTCGAGGCGTGTTAAAAGTTCAGCAGCTAATGTAGTTTAGACCGAGCACTAATAACTCATCGTAAAAATGATTGACCTTTCTTTCCTTCTCGTTTTAAGATTCACGCGTGAATTCATGTAACGCCGCACGCTTTATGCGCTCATATGGTTACTTTTAGATACTCGGTAAGCATTTTCAAGGATAGAGTAAGTATTAGAAGAGGAAAAGAAAAGCCAGGAGCTTAATTCATATCTTCAGCTTAGCAACGGGTAAGGCGTGGACTAAGTGGCCGCTTAATCACATTCTTTACCCTTTTACCCACCCCTAACTCACTAAAAGGTTACCGTGAGGTGTTAAGGGCGCAGTGAAGATTATCTGTTATACAGAGTGATAAAAATATAAAAACATACAACAGTGAGGATTCGCTGGTGGTCACCCACCCAACTACTAACTCACCGGCGTGTGGCTTAAGTACGGCTGAGCGGACGGGAAGCCCTGTTTTCCACACCCTATGGTCGTATGTGATTGTTTAGGTGTGGAAAGGGAGTATGGAGCCTAGGTAGTCAGGGGTAGTAAACGTGATAGATTAGTGGCACGGAGGTAATCGGGAAAAAAGCCGTTTTTCTGCTTGGGCAAAGCGCCGGGGGCGGGCATGGCATTGTTCTCGGGCCGGCTACAATAACAGTCGCTGCAGGGCATAGGCACGCGAGGAGTGTTGCTCTTCAGCGAAGTTTTAGCCTATGATATGACGCAAGAAGCCAGGAGGGCTAACTTGGCGCAGTACTATGCAACGCAGGATCCGGAGGGAATTCAGGTGCAGTATGCTCCTAGGGATATTCCAGGGCTGATTCGCAGTGCATGATACGCCTAAGATGCCGGAACTCTCTACAATGCTGGCGGTGTGAAATTTTGATGAGTGCGTCCAGCAAAATCCAAATTTTCCAGAGGCGTTCGCAAGCAGAGGAAGCGCATCCCCGGGTTCGAGGCGCTGCTAGGACACAATCATGTGAGCTACTGTTTGTCATTGGGCTGCCAGGGAATGGGGTTGGGCCGCAGATCGTAGAATGAGTGGGACAAGTTATACGGAGACTGTAGTCTTCAGGTCTCTTGGCCCTTTTGACCCACCAAATGAATAATAGAACCTCAGGCGCTGCCCCCTACATTATACGAGATAGTCCCCCAATGAGTAAGTGGAAAGAATCACTCACGGCCTCTCAGTTATCATCGGAGGGGGAAAGTCCCCCAAAGAAATAGAGGAGCGGTCAATTTCACAAAGCTACTATGTTGTTATAAGATGTCCTTCTTCTAGAGGTACACAATAACCTTGAATGTAGGGTATTTTGTTGGTCAGCTTTACACAATCAGGAGACTATCCCACAAACAAGACACTTAACTCAGACATGGAATGAGGTGATACCACTGATTCCGACTTCACCAATGAGTCGTCCCCAAGCCATAATCAGTGGAAAGGGTCATGGAAGACAAGCCAGCTTGGGAATGATCAACTTGTCTAATGTTATACCTGTATAGCCGTGTTTATTTATCGCCAATAACGTAGATTAAAAGTTGACCCTGGGGCTTTACGGAAGTACATGATATTCGGCACGGCTCAAATGGATTCATACAAGATATGTCATATAAAAATGATAGGCGCAGAGATCAGAAGAATGAGGGATGAGGTTGTATCTACTCAGTGACGAACTAAGACTAAGAACTACACATGCTTGACTTGGGGATCCTGGATATTGACGCCTCATACGTTCTTTCAGGAGCAAATGTGCCGTTTCATGGTGCAATCCCACAGCCTCATGAGAGCCGCCCGTGCCTGATGATTGCAGGTCTTCTCTTTCACCCAGATAAGGGTCTCATTCTTTTGGACACAGGATCTCTGGAGGATATCATCAAGTACTGGGACAAGGAGTTCTTGGAATGCGCCCCACGTATATGGGACAAGGGCATTCACTTTCTTCCTGAAGCTATCAAAGCCACTGGTGCAGGTAAAATCGGTGATGTCAAGGCTGTTGTCATGAGCTACCTTCATCTGGACCATGCAGGAGGGTTGGAGCATTTCTTTGGCACCGGTAAGTCCATCGTCACGACTTTGAAAAGTGAGATAACTAACAAAAATCCAGACGTTGAAATCTGGTGCCACAAGTACGAGCTGAAAAATGTGTTCTAGGTGTCTGCCACTGGCATTGACGCCGGTATCTTCCTCCCAGATTATCTGCGGGGGGATCTTTTAAACTGGAAGATTATCTCGGAGCAGAAAGTAGAGCTCTGGCAAGGATTTACACTACACAACTGCCCAGGGCATACTGAAGGATCCCTGGTGGTAGATAGAGCTCACGTTCCCATCTCTGGTACTGTGATCATGACTGGTGACCTTTTCCATGTGAAGGATAACTACAAAGATGGACGCCCGCAAGGGTTCCTCATGAGAGATTACAGTCAGTGGTTCCGAGGCCGAGGCTATGTTAGAAGGCTGGTGAGGCAGACAAATGCGAGAGTAGTCTTAGGTCACGAGGGAAGCTACTTTGATACGTTTGAGAAAAGCCCCAATTTCTTGAGCTGAGAGAGCATGGCTTTGTTCTCAGACAGGTTTTTGATTGTCAGAAGCAGAAAATCTCGTTGATTACTTGTATGCTGCTAGTGTTTATAAGGCACAAAGCACATTCTCTCCGCTCTTCGCTCTTAAATAGTTATCGGCTGACCTTTCTCCTAATGTGTTTGTGTTTAACAGTAGAAGGGAAAATAAGGCCATCTTAGAATTGCTCCTATGTTCGATCTGATTATCTAGTGAAATGGCTATCTTTCGGGGGAGGAGAGAAAGCAGGAGAACGAATGTGCGATTCGTACACAAGGCAGGCGGAAATTACGACATATATCCACTCTGGCAAGAGCCATCTAAAGATACGCCTGTTTTATACAGTAAATCTAATCCAACGAAAATAACCTGGTCAATTCAAAAATTGCCACCAATGACTGACTTTTGCATGTCTTTTAAAGGCTCAAGTGCAGCACGCACCCTCAGATCATGAGGGCACAGGCTGCAGCTACAAGGAAGGAAGGATATAGCATCGGACATATTCCATTTCATTGTTGGCGGCCACGTTGATTCTATCAGGACCGGAGAAAGATCTTTAAGACTGAGTGAGGATTATTGTCGGAATTGAAAAGGTACCATCAAAAGTTTTTTAGTAACGAGAAGATTGGTTTTTTAAGAATAAAGAATACAATATCATCCTTCGATTTTTCTTTTTTATAATTAACGGGTGCTATCATTGCTATTCAAAAACATCTATCACAAGCTTTATTACAAACGAATCTATAAGGTAGACCCAAATTGGCGCGAAGCAAGTGAAAAGAGGCAAGCCGCGGGAGGCATGAACGACCCACGGACTTGACTAAAACCTGATACCGCACTTTCCATTACAAAAGAGCCCCAGATTCAATGTATACTGATTACAGACGTAGACAGTATCGGAGAATCGGGTGTTGTTCTACATCCGTGCCGACCCTGGGTACATCTGATTTAGCCTCACATGAACTTGCGCGGTTCGAATCCAACCAATGGATGCGGGAATCTCCCCGATTACTAAGCGGGGCTCTACTCAGGGATGAGGTATGTTCGCAACGATGGATCTATTACTCCAGACGATGGTATATCTTGGTATAAGCTTTTATCATTGTGGTGTGCTCAAGGATTTACGGGTATTCCTAGTGATCCACATAGCCCTTTGGGTCGATGGCTCTCATCCATTTAGCAGAGTGAAAATCTACTGTTGACCAGATTGCTGCACTCGAGATGCACATCTCTGACTCATAGCCTCGCGTATTCCCAACATTAAAGTGGCCAATTGAGCAAATATGTAAAAAGATATCCATACCCAAGGTCAATCAGTCGCATTTGTTGGAATATCGAAAGTCAGTAGCTGTTGGATCCTGCCACCTTACTCAATTCCCCATTGACGCGAACATAATCTGGTGATAAATTGCTGTCTAGTATAGAGCTACCCTAAACAATAAATTCCACAAGCAAGGGACCAGTAAACGACTACAGATATGCTTTTGAGTAATGTGGGCTAGTTTCAAGCTTTTTGAAACCCACAATTAGCCATCCTTACAGAGTCACATATGCAGCGATGGCTTCGCTACCGATAGAGTCTGATGTGGGTGTCCACTTTAATTCAGACCCTTCAAAGGCAAGTCATATTCATCAAGAAATTCAGTCCAGCTTTTGAGTTTTAAGCCCGGAATCTAAAAGATAGCAGTCAGCGCCGTCCCACCACTTTCGCCATTGTTGTCTAGATTTATACGTACCTCGGAGGCCTGCACAAATTCTTCACTTGCGTAGACATTGCCGCACTTCTCAAAGATCATCAGCTGCTCAGCAAAGTCAAGCGCAATTTCCTCAGATAACCCATCGCGGGACTGAAGAAGCCTCTGGAACTCGCTGGAGCTAGACTTTCGGTAAGATGTAGGAATATTATAGACTAAATGAATGTTAATTTGAGAAATATTTGGATACTGATGACCTAACATACGCTTTCCGATTGTAGCCAGTTTTTCCGCCTCTGACAAGCTTTGGGAATAGAACGCAATAGTCTTTTTGAAATATTGCGAGCCCGCCTCAAATATAGTACGCACAAGTTTGCCAGTGTCGGCAATGGCGACATTAGGCATAACGGTCTCTGGGCTGTGCGGAAACTTAAGAGTGTAGATTCCAGAGGCATCCTATATGAGAGTTGAATAAGTGAGAAAACACAGACTAATATATAGATAGAAACGTAATAAATAATGAGGGCTGCGCGTTTACCTTAACCGGAAGATACCTGTCTGGTGTAGTCAAACAGTTTTCGAAATAGTTCGGAAAGAGGATTGTCGTGGTCTTTGCCCAAAGTTCAGGTTTTGAGTCCCGGATATACTCCGTTACCAAACTCTTGCCCTTCCAGTGATGGACGTTCAAGAACAGTCCGCCCGACAGCTTGACAGGGTCAGGAAGAGCGCTCCAAATAAGGTGCTTGAGCGCCGTCGTCTGAGCTGCCGCGTCAGCGATTGCTTTCCCCTGCGCGATCTCGTCGTCTGCCGACTGCGTCTGCCAGAAGTCGGTCAGAGCATATATGGCATCGGCACCGGAGAATGCGGCTGCAAGGGCATCACGCCCGCTGCTCAGATCGACACAGCACAGCTCCACTCCCAGCTTAGCCAAGGCTTGGGCGGCTGGCTTTGCAGTGTTGCGAGTGAGGGCTCGGAGTTGGTAGCTGTCGGGATGTTCAAGCAGCTCTTTAACAACAGCTCCACCCTAGAAACACCCCATTGAAAGAAAGATCTTAGAATCACCCGATCAACTATATAGGGAAGATTTTGATGGACGAACCTGGGAGCCAGTAGCTCCAATGACGACAACCTTTTGAGGGGCCATCGTGGGTTGATGCTCTATGGGTGGCTTGAGTAAAACACTTGCAAGAATACGGAGTATGAGGAATGTTTGGTTTTAAAGCTACCCAATGCGATGAAAGAACTCTTTATATATTGGACACTCTTATTGTAGCTTGTTTCACCGCACCTTGCGGAACTTGCCAAAACCCGAACCCCCGCAACATAAACATTATTCGAATAAATTCATAAGCCAGATCATGGAGCGGACATTGCACTGCCCCGTGGAGTTGATCACTGTGCGAGGATGTTTCGGATAATACTCCGCTCTCCCATATCGGGAACGAGCGGCATGAGAGTGAAGACAGTTTATTTTCCTCCCAAGAAATTCCCGTCTCGGCGATATATCAACTACGACAAGCCTTCGGATTCAAACAACCCCGATTATTAAGCGGGGAGACTGATCAGTAAGTGGATCACAGCATCGGGAATTTAGATTCTCGGACAGGTGAGGCCCCGAACAACCGATTTTATTTTTTAAATACCGAATGCTGGCTTGTCCACACCACACCAATTCAAACACCACTACCCGACGAAAGCCTTTGTCGCAAGAGACGCACTGCGTATTACTTGAATTTCACGATGAAGCCTACAGTAATCCTTATCACGGGGACCAACAGAGGGAGGTAATTCTGTTCTCACTTCGGACCTACTCTAATTAACTATATAAATAGGTATTGGAAAAGGTTTGACCACAGCATACCTTGCCATGCCAAATACCACTGTCATTGCAACAGTCCGAGATGTTTCAATTGAGAGCACATGGGAATTGTCTTCACTACCCAAGGGGCTGAACTCGCAATTGATTATCTCCCAACTTAATTTGAACGATTCTTCAAGTGCCGCTGAAGCTCTTTCGCGAATTCAAAAGGAGAATGTGGTTGATCACATTGATGTGGTCATCGCCAACGCGGGGATTTGCAACCATTGGGGATCTATACATGACATGGAAGACTCCGATTTGATGGCCCACTTTGAGGTGAACACATTGGGCCTACTGAGATTGTTCAGGGCAACTGTACCATTGTTGAAAGTCAGCCAGCAGCCTACATTTGTGTATATTTCCACCACACTGGCAAGTATTGCTGGATTAGGAAATTCGCCATCATTGACCGCTGCATACGGAGTTTCAAAGGTCGCGGGTAATTATCTTATAAAAAAGATCCACGGAGAGGATGATACCTTGATCGCTTTTTCAATTGACCCTGGGTAAGTTTTGTGCCTCTCATTCTAAACATTAATCATGTCTGACTCTTTTTGCCCTTAAGATTTGTTCAAACTGACATGGGCAACCGGGGTGCCCAGTACGGTGGCTTAGCCGAGGCCCCGGTGACCATTGCTGAAAGCGTAGAGGGAATCATCGAACAGGTATGTCTAAGAAGAATTCTCTTGCATTCCAAGAGATATACTAAGTTTGTCTTCTCAATTTCCGTGCGTGAAGATCAAGGTGTCAACAAAGAGTACAAACTCCGGGAAGTTCATGCAGTTCAACGGCGGCACCTTGCCATGGTAATGGCAAGAGCACAACCACACCAAACTTTTACTCATTTAGAAGTCTTCGCCTGGGAGGTTATACACATCGATCATGGTTTTAGATGCTATTTAACTCCCAAGGTCTGCAGCAATCCTTTTTGCATGTTTTCTGCGATTCATTTCGTGTAATTTTTGAGGCTAGCAAGCTATTTTTCAGACTTGAGCGCAATTACAATCAGCATGAAAAAGGGATGTAGTAGTAGATTGTTCAATCGTCAGGAACGCTTGGGTTTACAATTGGTCAATACGTCATTCCTGTAACCACTATGAGGTGCTTAGATACCGTGAACGCCGTCTTTCAGCCTGGCAACATCGCGATTAGAATCACCGGCGTCTATATAGGCTCTTTAAATCTGCCCTTACTATTAATTAGTAATGACATGAGACAATGACGGCTTCGAAGTAGTAAAATATTTACATTATAGGCAAGCTACGATCCTCTTTTGCAAAGTTATGCCTTTGCCCCCAGCATCAAGGGTGGCAAGGACAGTTTGCAATTTGAATTCATAGATAAAAGAAGCCCGTTGTATCCGAAGACTATGACAGCGGTATCAAACGGGATTGGAACTTTTTCATGATTGAATTCGAAGATATCGTCAAGTGGCCAAAGGTTCTGGAGTCAAATTGGGTATATACACGAATATTTTCTCCAGGTCCACAGTAAAATCCCAGCAGGGCACAAAACACGACATGGCGCTTCCCAATATAATCCTTCATAGTGTAGAAGCGCGCTCTTTCAGCCAAATGTCGACTTCTATCTCAATATGATGCTCTGGGAATGGCAAACTTTCGACGCCGACCATGGTAAACAACGGCTGATGGTTCGGGCACCACTTTTTGATATTGTGCACCATTTGCTCTCTAGCCTGTTCTCGGATACTCGAGAGGCCAACAATGAAGGCTCGAATCTTCACAACATGACCCCAGCCTCCATCTTGGCCAATTCTGACAGAAGATTTAGCGTCATTGAACGTTTGTACGATGAGATCGTTGACATTTTGGAATGCCTGAGCAGCTTCTTCATCAAAATCCAAAGACGTTTTCAGGGTCAATGGATCCATCCCGGCTATTGTATGGTCAGAAATTGGTATTTCTTTTATGTTTAACACACTTACTTTGACCTGTAACAAACATACGATCGCCTATGATGCAGGAATCACTGAAGCCATATTCCTTGCGGCACTGCTCACCGAATCCAGGAAGAGAGTGGTAATTGAAGTTCGCCATCTGCATAGGCCTTAGTTGAAGGAACAGTTGTATGCGCACGGATAGCGTGACGCCCCCTCTCATATATATATAACTATAACTATTCACTAGCTCACGCATTCGAGGAAAAGCGCTTTGTCAGCGGGAGCTTTACCTCCAGTGATACCCACGGCCCCTAAGTCTCCTAAACCCGCGGACCCCGGGAGCCGTAGATATATGTATCCGTAACCTCTTCCGCCAGCCATACGCCCGCCCCGTTTACCCGCAAAAGCTTGCAGAAGAAACAAAACTTTATCCAAAGACTTTACTTCTCCAGCTGCACCACAGTGTAAGTTTATTTGACAGAAATCGGTGCGTATCAAATTGTATGGTAAAACTCAGTATATTGGAACTTTCTGGCTAGCGATAAAACGGGATAAACGCGCGAATATAAATAGACAAAATCACTAGTCAATACTGCACTTTTGGTCGGGTTATCTAGGACCGACGTCTAAGGAGGTTTCAGGGTAAATTACCCTGCACCCAATCGAGTGGTTTAGTGCTATATCTGACCAGGTATTTGGACTTGGTATTTGACAGTATTCAGTATTTAAAGTGGTGTAATCTCGTTATGCCAGAGAGCTGTATTTAGTGGTAAAAAGCATCAGAATTTCAATGGCATCCTTGCCAGATCGGACTGACTGTTGTCAGCTTTAGAGCAGTACCACTTGACACCACAGGAACTGAAAGGGTGAAGCCCATGGGAGTCCCTGCGATTAGTTCCCGCTTACTCAGCGGGCAAATAACGTAGACGACTGGCGTGAGGGAATTGCTACAGACACGGCACGTTTTGCTAGTAGCACGGCACATTAGGTAATATTCGCTTTACATAATCAATTTTGCCCGAGATCGTTACCATACATTACCACAGCAACTACATTACTTACTACTGTAGCAACTACATTCTATCTACTACTGCTATAAGAACCACTCTATCTTCTCACTGATCTTCCTTCATCCAATTGATCTTACTTCATCCAATTGATCTTACTTCATCCAATTGATACTTGATTTCACCTAATCATGGAGCCACCAATTGAGCAAGTCTTTGAGACTAGAGAGCAACTCCTTACTTCGATACGACAACATGCCCTATCTCATGGTTATGCTATCACTATCATTAACTCCGCTAAGGAGAGGAATATTTGTCTTGGTTGTGATAGAGGCGGCATATACCATGATCATATTAATGCCCCAGAAGGGGCAAAACGCCGAAAGACAAGTACTAGACGGATGAACTGCCCATTCCGCCTTTATGCAAAGAAGCTTGTTAATACTAATCAATGGGAAATCCAGGTAAGAAATCCTAATCATAATCATACAGCTACTAATAATATGATAGGGCATCTAATGGCAAGGCGTCCACAGCTTACTAAAGATCAAAATCAAACTATTGAACATCTATCAGATATTGGATCTCGACCGCAGCATATTATAAGTCTATTAAGAAAGGATCAACCTGATGTCTTAATAAGACCAAAAGATATTTATAATATAAGAGGTAGTATAAGACAGAAAAAGCTTAGGAATCACTTACCTCTTGAACTTCTTTAACAGATATTAATGCAGAATCAATGGAAATATGCATTTAAACACGATATAGAAGGTTATGTTCAATTTTTTATGTTCGCTCACCCTGAATCAATTAAGTATGCTAATCAATATAATAGGGTCTTTTTATTAGACTGTACTTATAAGACGAATCGGTATAATATGCCTCTTTTACATATTATTAGTCTCTCGCCATCGAATTTATCCTATAGTATTGCTTTCTGCTTTATGCAAAATGAGCAGGAAGAAAGCTATAAGTGGACCTTACAGACCTTTTTTTCATGGCTTAACCCCTTACCCTTTCCCCCAGTTCTTTGCACTGACAGAGATCTTGCTTTATTAGGTGCAATTAAATCTATCTGTCCTAGAAGCCCACATCTACTATGCATTTGGCATATTAATAAGAATGTGCTAGCAAAGACAAAGCAATATTTCTCTTTAAATGAGGAATTTGAGGCTTTTATCAAGTCATGGAAAGAGCTAATTAATTCATCAAATATTGATGAATATAATGCTCAATTAGCTAAGTTCACAACGCAGTTTAATTAAGTTGCCCCTAATGCTATTAGATATATTCAAAGTACTTGGCTAACCTATAAAGAGATGTTTATTAGGGCTTAGGTAGGGCAATATCTTCATCTTGGTAACTGGGCTACATTAAGAGTGGAAGGGTCTCACGCTTTTTTAAAAAAGTATATAGGGGGATCTTCAGGTGATATGCTTCATGTTTTTGAGAGAATTAATACTGCTTTACAGGCTCAGTATCAGCGACTTAAATCTGATCTTGCAGAAGATAAGATTAAGAGACTAAATTTCTGCTCCCACTTTCTCTATTCGAATATTATAAAGAGAACATCACGATATTTAATATCTTTGATCTCTAATCAAGCTGCTATAGCTAAGAGAGCTACCCCCGAAGCACCTTTATTAAACTGTACTAATATATTCACTAGGACAATGGGGCTTCCGTGTGCCCACCGAATCGCTAGTTTATTAACAAAACATCAACCAATCCCACTAAGCGATATCCATTAATTCTGGAGGATTGGCCTTAGTAATGAGTCTTCTAAGTATCTGCCAATACTAGATCCTCTATTACCATCACTAACTCGCAGATCAGCTCAAGAGAACATATCAGATCAAAACATCAAAACATTAACCCAAAAGGTCACCAAGAAAAAAGCACCCTCAAAGTGCTCAAATTGTGGAGAGATTGGCCATACAATCCGCTCCTGTAGAGTGTGAAAAGCGTGTAAATAAGATGAAAAGCACAATAAGATTGACTAAAGAGCATTGATTCATTCATGGTCGGGTTCTTATAGTAATAAAGCAGTAGTAGATAGAATGTAGTTGCTACAGTAGTAAGTAATGTAGTTGCTGTGGTAATGTATGGTAACGATCTCGGGCAAAATTGATTATGTAAAGCGAATATTACCTAATGTGCCGTGCTACTAGCAAAACGTGCCGTGTCTGTAGCAATTCCCCTGGCGTGAAGGCAATCTTACGTAATATTGAATCATTCTTGCGCCTTTGACCGGAAAAGATCTACTCAGCTAACGAAATTGCTTTCAGGGTTTTCGGTCTTTCAGGGTTGTCGAGAACTGTCTGGGGCCTCTTCGTCAATCATGGCAAGGAAGGCTTTGCGTCTTCCCAACGGACGTAGGCGTAGGGCATGCGATCCTTGTTTCCAGAGGAAGGTAAAGTGCAACCCGTACTTCTTTTGACGCTACTAATCAGACAGCATAAGCTGCGTGCGTATTTATCGTACACGGAAGTTTTGTCATACAATAATGCTAATACTGCTTCGTATCGCTATTCTATAGATTAAATGTGACGGAGATTTTCCGCAGTGCAACTGGTGCAAGCACCACAGCCTCGCCTGTACTTTCAACCGAATTACAGGACGAATTGACTCAAGGTATGTAATAAATGTATACCCCATTTGGCTACACACCCTGATTGGGCAACGAATGGGCCGTGCTTTGCATTGTTTCACCTAGCCTCTCTACTAGGGCCACCGAAGCTTTGGAGAGCTCCCAATTAATTGAATATGTCAGACATCACGTTCGTTTGCCTTCTCTTGACAGCACTGTGCAATCAGGGTCAGGTATTTCAAACAGTCCTCTCTCTTGTTGTTATTATATGGACTCAAAAATCGAGCCTTCAGTTTGATGAATACTGATTCAATTGTATGTAGGTACCGGTCCAGCGCCAAATTTAACACCAGTTCAATCTCTCGGGCTGTTCAGATCTCCGACCTCCCACGAAAATGTAACATCATTCAATGGGATTCATTTACTTTCTGAACAGGGCCTAAGATGGATTCAACATCAGGTGGGAGAAGAAGTCAATTATGCGAAATTGAGCGCATCTGAGCTTCCATGGGCAAATCCGCATCGATTACATGATTACGCTACTATGTCAGGAGTCCTTACTCCTGAAATACCTCGGCGAGAGATTCTTGACATGTATGCTCTACGGTTTACCGCATCGTTCACGAGCCTGGTATTCCCCGTCATTAGCAAATCTCTCTTTATGAAGACATTGGACCTTGCTTATGGGCCACGCGGTGTGTTTGGTCATACTAGTGCCAATGCTTGTGTCTGCTCTTTCATCGCGCTCGTAAACTTGTTTGGTTTTGACGACAACATGCATGGGCCTGTGAACTTTGGGTCCTATGCTTCTGCAGCCCAGAAAGCAGTGCCCCATATCATTCAGGAGATGACAGTCGATGGCCTTCAATCGCTGGTGATGCTTGTAAGTGAATTACTTTCGGTGATACCCTCGAAAATTACAACTTTGAGGGCGCTTGGAATGAACGACCACTGACAAACCACGAGATACATCTTCAATATTTTTGGGTGATCTTCAATCAGCTGCAGTCTCCATGTCCATTGCCACGCGGCTTCTATATAAACTAGGAGCCCATACGAATCCAGCTGGTGTCAAATCATCTGTTCATTTGCTGCCATATAACAAGGCTATTGTTGAGTATCATGTGCGGGATCTTTTCTGGGTGTGTTACTCGTTCGACAAGGATATTTCTCTTAGGATGGGCCAGCCCGCATCCATCAATGACCTCGATTGCGATCTATCATTGCCTTTGGAGTATGCTCGCCTGCAAAACTCCAACATCCAACGGGATGATCTGAAACCCGACGATCATACACTTCCTCTTTACCCTTGGGATCTGCGACTTTCAAAGATCAAATCAGAGGCCTACAATACCCTGTACTCAGTTAACGCCAGCTTCAAATCGGACTGTCAGATCCTCGAGAGCATTAGATGCCTTGATGCGGCGCTGGAGGAGTGGAGGCTATCACTCGATTCCAAGATTCGTCCAATGCTGTGCTTCTCGTCGGATATGTCGACCAAAGCAACTTTGAACACACAGGAAGTGATACTCCGACTCGCATATTACCACTGTATGTCTATAATCCATCAAGCAAGTGACAGGCGCAATATATCCAAGCTTGATACTGGCATTGGATTGGAGGGGATAAGTTCCAGCGTAAATCTTTCCAACACGGCCTGTCGCTCAACACTTTCGCTCCTTCAAACCAGGTTACCAGAGTTGAAAGGGGAGTGCTTTTGGTAAGGCTTAGACTGTCTCTCTGCATACGTCCCATTTCATCACTGACCGCTGTTTCCTTCAACTAAATCAGGGTACTGCTCTTCTATATGTTGGCCGCGAACCTCGCTCTCTTCTGCAATATCCTCAAAGATCCCCTACAGTACGATAGTTCTCATGACGTGGCTATCTTACACGAGATTCCCGCCATGGTAAGGAAAATCCCTATCCGAAATCTTACTCCCGCCGAAATGATTCATTTGAGGTTTCTGAACGGATTCACCACAGAACTTGCAAGACTAGCATCGTGCGCCGTGTTAAAGGCGCATAAGGAATTACCTGACTCAGGGGATACATGTACTTTAAATCAATAAAAGGTTTATCGCAGCGAAAAATCAAGATATCAGCTTCAATGCCAAAGAAAGTAAATCGACATAGCATGCATCCTCGGGATAAGTGTCCCCTCTGAATGAATACCCCACTGTATAGAGTGCTGAGATTTACTCCAGACGAGAGGCAAGTAGTATTTGGTAGCATTGTAATTGTAGCCTCCACCAGGGACCCTATAGCCCCCCGGTTCAGGGTTCGCTCTCCGCTTACTCAGCGCGTTAATCTTTCTATTCGACCCATTCGACTCCGATACCTACATGCATTGAGTACTTCCATGGTTATCAACGTAGGGGGACAAATATTGCTAAAAAAAATAATCTGCTTACCGTCTGCTTATAAAACCCAGTTTTTGTGACTCACGGGTGGACACCTTCCATGGCCCACAGTTGATCCCAATGTTCTAGGGACAGCCCCGGTCTGCCGGTACGAAAGCCCAGTTATTTACTGGTACTACGATATACCTACCCTGGCCTAGTTGCTCGAGTACTTTTTTTCGTTTTCTATCCTGTTATCAAGCGGTCTGCCCCAATAGTCCTGTCAATTCTTTCTTCCTTAATTGTACAACCTCTGTCGTCCCAGATTTTCCTTAATTAGCCGCAATGCAGAAATACCCGGCCTTGAAGAATGATCTTTTGTTACGAGCAGCAAGAGGTATGTACTAGACAACTAAGTATTGGAGCAATTTTGCAGACTAATTCTGATTCAGGCGAGAAAGTACCCCGTCCTCCGATATGGGTAATGCGTCAAGGTGCGTGCCACCTATTCCTGTCTCATTTAATCTCATTGTTTGTCCCGAGATTCAGCAGCTTTTTTGAAGCTACTTTACGAGTTGACTGGTGCCTAATGGAAGTCCAGCTGGTCGTTATCTACCAGAATACCATGAAGCAAAAGGAAGCCTCAACTTTTTCGAATGCTGTCGAAGTCCTGAGGTAGCCTCCATGCTCACCATTCAGCCGGTGATTCGGTACGAGGGCCTGATCGATGCAGCAATCATTTTCTCGGATATTCTTGTCATCCCCCAAGCGATGGGAATGCAAGTTGAGATGCTCGATGGAAAGGGACCGCACTTTCCGGAACCGCTTAACTCGCCGAACGATGCCCAGTACATAGCGATCATGCGCAAAGAGGTTGATGTTGAGAAAGAGCTAGACTATGTCTATCGCGCTATCTCGTTGACTAGACGGAAACTTCAAGGCCGGGTGCCTTTGATCGGCTTTTGCGGCGCCCCGTGGACTCTGCTATGTTACATGGTTGAAGGTGGCGGAAGCAAGATGTTTGTACAAGCGAAGAAATGGATCTACGAGTATCCTGCAGCTTCAAAGGCATTGCTGCAAAAGATCGCTCAAATCTGCGTTGAATATCTTGCCCTACAGGTTGCTTCAGGGGCACAATTCATCCAAGTTTTTGACTCACTTGCGGGAGAACTCTCTCCGAGCTCGTTCGCATCGTTCTCGCTCCCATACCTACGCTATATCTCAGCCGGCCTTCGCACAAGACTGATAAATATGGGCCTTCTACCCATTCCTATGTCGGTGTTTGCGAAAGGAGCATGGTATGCTTTGGACGATCTTTGCATATCGGGCTATGATGTCGTTAGTCTTGACTGGTTGCACAATCCAGCGCAAGCCATGGAGATTGCAAAGAGCCGGGTTACTATCCAAGGGAATTTTGACCCGGGTATCCTTTACGGAAGTCGTGCGGCCATAACGGAAGCGGTTCAGACGATGGTCGAGGGATTCCAAGGAGGAAAGCAAGGGTGGATTGCCAATCTTGGCCACGGTGAGTCCAAATCCTCTTCAATTTCATTGCAGAACCCAAAGACTTATGGCCTATGCCATCAGGGATTACTCCTTTTGTCAACCCAGAGGATCTCGCATTTCTGTTTAAAGAGATCCACCGATTGGCCGCTTCATGATCTTTTGAGTATCCTGATGGCGTGAAGCTACCCATTATGATACTTGATTACCATGCTTTCATGCATGTTCTCGCCCACGACAAATGAAACCTAACTCAGAATACTACCATGGGGCCGCATCGAGCGGATTTTTTCTACCGGTTTCTTCCGTGACTAGCAAGCAAAAAATAAGACTTTATTTGTGCTCATGCCTTGGCCAGACCCAGTTCAACCTACATTTGGACCATTTTGGGTCGGGTGCTCCGACCCAAAATGGGTTCTGCCGAAGTCTACTTCCACGTAATATGTGCTATGCACCTTCTCACTATGCTCGCTATAGACGCATTAAATATTATTCTAGATGCAGCACTCACCCGATGGTGGGGGAATATTGGCACCATGCTCTACCTCCTAGCTAGAGTGGCTTTCTTCGCTTTAAACTCATATATCTAGTTAACGGCGCCGTAATTTAGCAGCGAGCCTCAGTATAACGAGAATACGGTATATGTGATAGCTAGCTGGCATGAGCTTTAAAGTCACTTCTCTAAGTATCCAGCATAGCATTATCTAGATCTTAGCTGTCTCTACAGCCGGTTTTACTCTTCCTTTTATATGCGTGCTACTATGTCTATGTGGGTACGTTACGGGCGTAAGGCAGCCTATTAACTAGGATCGCCATAAGTCACCTAAATAGCTTCATGGCCACATATCACTTAGCTTTATAGTACGTAAGATTATATACTTTTCGTTATGCATATACTTGATTATTTCGCTAGAATAAACTATCTATCGTAATGTAACGGATAAATATCCTTATAACATGGAGACGGTAAAACCTGATCGCACCCGCATCGATCACGTATCAGGTACGAACTGCGAAGGAATAGTCACATGGCTCCCACGTGAACATGGGGGACACATAGTCCAGGATTCCCCTGAATCCCCTCTTCTTTTGGCAAGAGTTAGTCTTGGCACACACAGACAATATATCCTCGTTTCCTCTCCAAGTCATTGTATCTTACCCGGTTAACAGGCCTTACACCTGGAGATCGTAAACCTTTACACGTAATAACCTCGACCCCGAAGAGAGGAAGTAGACGTTTAGATAGGTTATTGCGATTTTCTTATTAAGGTAGGATTCGAGGCGTGTTAAAAGTTCAGCAGCTAATGTAGTTTAGACCGAGCACTAATAACTCATTGTAAAAATGATTGACCTTTCTTTCCTTCTCGTTTTAAGATTCACGCGTGAATTCACGTAACGCCGCACGCTTTATGCGCTCATATGGTTACTTTTAGATACTCGGTAAGCATTTTCAAGGATGGAGTAAGTATTCGAAGAGGAAAAGAAAAGCCAGGAGCTTAATTCATATCTTCGGCTTAGTAACGGGTAAGGCGTGGACTAAGTGGCTGCTTAATCACATTCCTTACCCTCTCACCCACTCCTAACTCACTAAAAGGTTAGTTACCGTGAGGTGTTAAGAAGGGCGCAGTGAAGATTATCTGTTATACAGAGTGATAAAAATATAAAAACATACAACAGTGAGGATTCGCTGGTGGTCACCCACCCAACTACTAACTCACCGGCGTGTGGCTTAAGTACGGCTGAGCGGACGGGAAGCCCTGTTTTCCACACCCTATGGTCGTATGTACTTATATAAATGCGGGAAGAATAAAGAAAGTAGGTCGCCAATAGTAGTATAATAGAGTTGGTGAATGAGGGAATGGTGTTAAGAGGCGTATGTTCGTTCGATCAAGAGAAGGACCTCGGATTTACGCCTAGCTACAGTGTTGAGACAAGGTGGATAGCTGCACTGTTTGTCAGCCTTTAAATCCCCATTGACCATCGCGAAGGGCACAATAATCTAGCCGCCCAACAAATTTATGGGCCTCATTTAAGCTATCATCGCTCGTTGCCTACTACATCTGAGTATAAGGCCTGAGTGGAGACATGTATATCCTTTGACTCATCTAACAATTCTAGACGTGCTTGCTCCGATATACGATATTTCCTTTGACCTGCTAACTGTCGTCTGACAAGGCCTACATTTTCACAGAATGACTTATATTGGTAAGTGCACAATTCAATACCCAACGGAATGGATCTAACACAATATTCTAGGGGCCGATCGAAAAGATTGCAAAGAGTGATGCACAGTATTTATGATGAATGGGACAAGGGGCATCAGGCAGACCAGTTCCTTCAACAAAGTCGACGTGGGTGTCAACAGCTACAGGGCCGCGAGTATGCTTATTCAAGATCCGTTAAGCCAAACGCAGTCGAACAATACCGCGAAGGGCGAGCTTTGAAATCTTACTCTATCCCTCGACCTCTTAGCATTTCTCGCCCATGTAGGCAAGCATCTTTCTCGGGCCCCTCAAAAGACTAGCCGCTGGAGCAGAACCATCGTGACAAATCAGGGTTGATAATTCCACAAATTACACAAATTACATGGATCCCGACCCTTCCCCCTTTTAACCCCACACGATCGGCCCCCCCGCATCTCCAAGTGCCGGCAAATCCCCATCTCCCTGGACATCACAGCCATGCAATCCAACAAAACACAGAAACGGCGATGGGAGAGGGAGAATACCTTACCAAGGAAACGAGCGCGTCAAAGTTGTGAGGCCTGCAAGGCTCGCAAAACCAAGGTAAGATGTTACTCGTAACGTGAAGAGGGGGGGGAAAAAAAGCTAACTATTTAGTGTGTCGGTGTCGAGAATGGCGACTGCGAATATTGCAAGTCGCTTAATGTACCCTGTGAATTCAATCTCAAAAACCGGAAGCGACCATTTTACAGGGTATCTGAGGAAGCCTACGATTATTTGATTAAGCTGCTCCGACGATTCGTTTCTGAAGAGGAGCTGCCGGAGCTCACAGTCGCAAGCATAAGTGGTTACCTCGAGCAAATGAATAACGAGCCTGAACACGTCTTGTCTGAGGATCGTGACAGAAACGCAGACCCCAGCGACATTGTCTCAATTCCGAACCCTCGTGGCGATCCGCAAGAGCTGACGGTGCCCAACGATAATTCAATATTCCAGGAAGAGCTGGGATGCATGACTCTGGATTCGTCGGGGAAATATAGTAAGTTCACTCCTGGTTATGGTCTCGGGGGAATTCTATACTTATTTGACCGCAGGATATGTCGGCGCGAATTCCTCACTTCGATGGTATCACGCTGCGCGCATGGTCAGTGAGCGAGCCGTTCCTTCAGATCCACGCGTCGTTATCCCATTGAAAACAGGCTTGCTTCCACCAACCACGCCCGAAAGTGTCGCTAGTCAACACCGAGTCGAGCACTACCTGCCGTGTCATCGGCTATCTATGGAGTACACCGCACGGTTCTTTGCACAGGCCCATTCGATGCATTGTTTCTATTCGCTCGAGCAATTTTACACAATGCTGGACCATACTTTGGAAAATCAGGGGAAAACTTCAAGTTCTTCTTGGCTATGTTCGCTTTACTCTATTTTCGCGATCGGATCAATACGACCGAAAGGCACGCCAACAACGCCGGATAAAACCCTTCCCGAGGATATTACAACTCCAGCCGGGTATCTTGCACTGGCAAAGGAACTAGTCCCCCGGGCGGCGGAGGACGCCGATATTGAGAGTGTTAGAGCATTCGCATTGCTAGTTCGTATTGTACTCGGTATCCCTGGTGTCGTAGGAAACTAACAGACTCTAGAGCCTGGCGATGCATTCAAACTGTTATAGTCTGGAGGCATATCTGTATCTTGGTACAGCGGCGCGAATAGGATTCTCGCTCGGTTTGCACCGCGACATATTCCCAAAGGATCTCTCAACGGTTGATCGAGAGCGATACCGGCGGGTATGGTGGACGGTATACATCCTGGATCACGAGATGGCAAATCGGTATGGCTATCCATGTGCGATTTCCGACGATCTGGGTTTCATGACAACAGGTCCCGCCTCGGAGCGGATTTTGGATCCATCTCCGAACATGCCACAGGGCTTCCAGACCCTCTCCGTTAGTCTTGTGCAGCTCCAGAAAAAGATCAACCTGGAATGTTTCTTGGAACCATGTCATGGCGGCGGCCGGCTGCCTATTAACCTAGTGACCCAGAGTCTAACAACGCTGAAGAAGTGGTTGGAAAAGGTACCTCATCATCTGCGTTGGGACTGTGCTGCACCCCCACAACATCTGCGATCAATCGCAGTTCTTCACTTGCGGTATTGGTCCTTAGTGATCTCAATATCACGTCCCTTTTTGCTACTCTCAGTAACAAAGGCTGGGGAAATCGACTCCCTCATCAGACTCAGGTGTTATGATAAACTTAGCAACGCCTGCATTGAAGCAGCAGAGATGTCAGTCCGTATCTTGCAGCGGATGCAGGATATGAACATACTGTCCAGTTTAACACTGAACGACTGTCATTGCGCAGGGGAAGCGATGTGCGTTCTCCTGCTGGCGCTTCGGAAGGCTCAGAGTGCTAAGCATCAAGATATGTTGCGCACCTGCCTGGGCACCTTGGCGAGCATGGAAAAAGTTGGTTGGTGCGAGCGGATCGTGCCTGATATACAGGCACGTGTGTATGAGAGTGGCGTACTGGACTTGGAGGCCCCGACGGGGATTCAGGAGCAGAATTTGCTCTCGGATGGACCAGGGAGCTCGGAATATACGGAGTTGTGAGTTTCCCCTATCTTGTCATTGCTAAATGAGTTCTTCCTGACCGATGTAAAGCGACTTTGATGTCTCTCAATGGGATTTGTTCCAGCCACAAGGTCTCGATTCCTTCGCACAGTTGATGAACACATTTCCCGATGCTCCATTTGCAGCTGGCATGGAGCACTTATTCTGACCCAAGGTGCATATTCCAATGAAAGGATTAGTTATGTATAAATGTGTTGATATTTAAGATTGGTTCTCATGCAATTCAGGTGGAATATCATTGCTCTCCAGATCTCATTCATTTTCAAATTGAGTAAACGCTTCAATATTCATCAAATTCCAACTATCTACCTTGGCCAGATATTTGAATATATTTTTCAGAGCCGTTGTTTAACAACCTTAGGCCCGGCCTCCTTCTCCTGCCATGGCAAAGGTGCACTGGCTGGCTTCACTGGTCCCAAAACTGATGATCTCCTCTCCTTCCACTCTTCAATCTCACGAGTCTCAACAAAGTTCCCATGTAACCCCAGCCGTAATTTGAATGGCAAATGAAGCACAGCAACCGGTCCTTGTGCAATATTCTGCGCATCAAATATGCAAACATCATTCCGCAAAACATCCAAATGATTCAGCAGGGCCACGATATACCCATCTCCTTCCCGCGTGCTGCCAGCCCGCGGGATAAATGCCGGTTCCTGGAATGTCGCCCGCGGCCCAGCCCAGAAGGTATCCCTAACAGACCCGTCCCAGGTAAAATGGCCGATAGTATTGAACAGTCCCCCTGCAGGTGACCCGCAGCGTTCTGCATCATAGGGTCTCGAGCCGTCGATATTCGCTTGCCAGTAATGGTTATATTTCATTGTCAGGAATCTTTCGTCAATGCGAGAGAATTCCCCAGACAGAGTCTCGACTTCTTGTTCTGGCTCAACCCATGAATGAGAGGGGGCCTTTGGGTCGAAGACCCAGCGAGTCGTCAAGTTTTGGAGTTTGTTGCGCTGGTTGACTGTCCCGGAAGGTGTGTCTGCTGGGGGGAAGAAGAAGAACACATTTCCGTTGGCGATGGTCAGGTCGAAGACTACCTTGCCGTCGTCTGTCTCATAGCAACTGACGGTGTGGCCCTGGAATGCTGTTCTCGAATCAGTACAATCTAGTATAAACGAGTTCAATGAATCGCTCACCATTCTTCGATCGGAACCAACGAATATCCTCCGGCTTTCCTCCTCGCCGGGGTACGATTCCATACCATTGATCCTCCTTCGCATCCCACGCCCAGTGATTCTCGCCTTTTGCCAAACTCGCCTTATTACACTTCAACGGAGTCATCGGGAGAACCACCCAGTTCTTACTGACTCCACAGTCATGGATGATGCCGCAAAACGGAGCCTTGTACCAGCATTCCTCCGTCTTGACTCCATCAGCATTGATCGTATACACGACAATATCCCGGGATCCATCGTTGCCATTTCCGCCCGCCTATAATACCGAGAAGTCAACACCCAGCGCAACACATCAGGCGATCGGACAAACATACCTCATATCCATAACAAACCATCTCACCAGTACTAGGATCCCATTTCGGATGCGCAGTAAACGTCGGACTCAAAACTTGCCCCTCGAAATCATAACGTCCAATCGTCTCCAGCGTCTCCGGGTCCATCGCATAAGGCGGGCCATCCTCCTTAGTCGCCAGCAACATACCCCTCCAGAAGAAGATATTGGTATTAGCCGCCGTGCGGATCACACCGCGCACCGCCTCATTATCCGTATACGGGTTACGATATTTGCCGAACAAAGCCTTTCCGTGCTTCGATTCATGCTCGTACCGATCCGTATGGACATATCGTTGCTTGAAGCTCGCTCCGCCATTTTGAATACGGATTGCGGTCACGTTTCCATCCCCGTTGAAGTGAATGTCCGAATCGTAGACGGGTGGGAAGCGGTGATCTGGCTGTACGCGAAAGAAGGTTCCATCGATGTCTTCGGGAATTACGCCGGTGACTTCGAGATTTTCGACATCGGCTTCTAGGCGAGAAGCGGAATTAAACCCGGTGAATGTCTCTGTAGAGGGAAACTTGTTTTGTTTGCTTGTCTTCACTCCATTCACGTAATTGGGTGTGGATGAGAGTGACTCTGCTAGCTCGTAGATATGTGCCATTGTATTTTCTGAGGTGGAATTTTTTCGTTCGAGTGTAAGTGGCATCTGGTTACACTATTTCTACTGTTCTAGATGGTCTTCGAGTCGTATGGTTTCCCCATCGGAGTGGAGAATACGATGTGTTGGGATCTACAACGCTTCGGATGCAACATCCCGACTGCGATTCCCCGGAAATGAAAAGTGGATATCCTGACTCGGGTAACTTCTTTAGTCTCATTTGGATATGCGGGGGTTTCACTGACATTGAAGCTTTTGGTGTTTAGTCTACACATCGGTTTGAAAGCCCCGACAAAGCCGTCTTGCCGGAAATCCCTCAGCATCATGACGATGAGCTCGAATGATCTTCAATATCACTACCATCGGTGATACCATTCCGTGATAGAAGGGGGTGGTTTGACTACCATCTTAAACATCGCAAATCATATATCCCGTAAATATATATCCATCAGAGTAAACCTAAAAGAAGCTGAGCTATTGAGATTCTCGATACACTTTCATACTCATAGAAACCGCCATGGGATCCATCGCCCCTCCAAGTGAATATGTCGTGGCTGACAAGTACATCGGTGAAGCCAAACCAATCAAGATCATCGTCATCGGCGCAGGCATCTCTGGTATTGCATTCGCATACAAGATCAAAGCTCTGGAAAACGTCGAATTTGTGATCTACGAAAAGAACTCCGATGTCGGTGGTACTTGGTTGGAATCACGGTATCCAGGGTGCTCGTGTGATATTCCCGCACATTCATATAGCTATCCCTGGGTGAACAATCCAAACTGGTCGCAAGTGTGAGTGCTGCTACTTTCTCTGGTCATTGAAGCCTGGGATCTCCGTTGCTGACTGTGTGTAATAGATATGCTGGCGCTGAGGAGATCTGGGATTTCTATCGTGGACAGGCAAAGGAATACGGCGTTTATGAGAAGACAAAGTTCGAGCACCAGGTTGTTGGAGCTGAGTGGAGCGATGATGATGGCAAATGGAGGGTGGAGGCGAAGAATCTCAAGACGGGTGAGGTTTCTGTTGACTCTGCAGAGGTCCTAATTAACTGTGGTGGAGCGCTGAAGTATGATTGAGCCCGTGCCTTCTCCCTCGTTGTCTCTGCTAACGTCCAGCCAGTAACTGGAAATGGCCTGATATTCCGGGCCTCCACTCCTTCGGTGGAAAGCTCGTACACACCGCTCGCTGGCCTCAGGACTTGGACGTGACCGGAAAGCGCGTGGCAGTCGTCGGTGCTGGCTCTTCTGCAATCCAGGTCATTCCTGCTATCCAACCGCGTAAGTTGAATTCATCTGTCGCTCAAGAAGGTGCTAATATTGTGATGGTTAGTTGTGAAATCACTCACCTCGTTTATTCGTTCACCGACATGGATCGCACCGCAATTCTTGGGACAGCTTGCGAAAGATGGCCGAGGAACAAAATACACGAAAGAACAACAGGAAGAATTCCGCCAAAATCCAGATAAACTACTACAATACCGTCAAGATATTGACCACGCTCTCAACTCACGGTTCCCAAACTTCTACAAAGACTCTGACGAGCAGAAAATGGCGAGGAAACTTGTTGAGGGTGGTATGAGGGAGAAACTCGCTGCTATGGATCCCAAGCTTCGAGAATCACTCATTCCAGACTTCGACATTGGCTGTCGACGGTAAGTCCTGTTATGGTGTAGTGAAAGTTATGCTTTGCTAATGCTTTCTGATTAGAGTCACACCCGGCGAAGGATACCTCGAAGCCCTCCAAGCAGACAACGTTCATGTTGTGAGGAGTCCCATCCAATCCATCAACAAAAGTGGCTTCATCACAGCCGATGGCGCGACACATTCTGTCGACATTATCGTTGCAGCGACGGGATACGACACGACGTATGTTCCGCCATTCCCTCTCATTGGCCGCAACGGGGTCAATCTACAGGAGAGATGGACGAAGACCGGTGCTGATGCCTACCTCACATGCGCCGTCCCCGATATGCCAAATTACTTCAGTATGTCACATTCAACCATATGAGATGCACTTCTAACAATGACTATAGTGGTTGTCGGCCCGAACTCACCCATTTCAAATGGATCCCTGATGCCCGCAATCGAAACCCAACTCGATTACGCACTAAGCTTCGCAAAGAAAATTCAGTGCCAGGGTATCAAGTCTGTGGTAGTAAGCGCCAAAGCGACGGCCGATTTTATTCAGCATAAGGATGCAGTCATGCAGAACCTGACTTTCTCTGGATCTTGCAACAGTTGGTATGGTCCCCTGCGTTATAGTGCTGTTTTTGTTGGTGGTTGCTAAGCTCGTTACAGGTACAAGGGCGGTACTTCTAATGGGAAGATTATCGGTGTATGGCCGGGGTCACTTAACCACTTCATGGAGTGTCTTAAGGAACCGCGTCTGCAAGACTTTGAATTCACATACCACACGGCTAACAGGTTTGCATATGCTGGAAAGGGACTTTCGCTGCTTGAGCAGCAGAATGGCCAGTTGGGGTGGTATATCAGAGCCAAACTAGCTTAATTGCGAGGCTGTATATTACTCGTATTTCACCTCTTCAGATTAATAGCACGATTTTGCAGCTATACACCACCGTGAATATTACACCTTGGCTAGAGGACTTGTGAGCTAGGTCATGGGATCGAGATAGTGATTTACTGGAAAGGCGATGTAACTCCATGCTGGTCTCTAGTTACGTATTAGGAAACTAAGTTGAGATAACGCTCTTGGTTATTATTGGCCAAGAATTGCTTTGCCCGGAACCAACTAACCCCAAATATCTCCTAAATAAAATTCAATTTGCTACACGACATAGTTGATACCTCAAAGTGAAGGATTATCCCATTTGCCCTAATCTCGCTTATTTAGCCCGTAGTAACTTGAAGCGCCGCACAACTAATGATATTAGTCCAAGAAGCGCCGGCCACTGTGGGGCAGGCTGACAGGGATGATGAACCCGATGGACGCCACCATATGACCGGTGGGGTGAGAGCATAAAATGCTCATGCCTGGGGGATATCTAGGGCTAAGAAGCTACACCATGGGTGCGGATTCTATATATTTGGTCTCGCGGAGTCGGTAGCCTGGGTATGGCGTTGCATTGCTATATGCTATAAAGAAATGGGCCCCGTGAGGGTATTTCAAGTGCGAGAAGCGACCTCAATGTGCTCAATCTGTCCTTCCTTTGCTTCCTCATGATCCAAATCTTTAGACGCTTCCATGTTTGCCAGCTCCACGCTCTCGCAGACATAAGTCTGGAACTTTCGGGCCGGGACATTTTTATCAAACATCTCCTCGATCTCTTCAAGTGATCTACCCCGGACTTCAGGGACGAAGAAATAGATGAACAGGATTGTAGCAATACTGGAGCCAAACCAGATAAATCCTTTGAATACTGTTAATATTTGCTCTTCACGCGGGGAAGCTGTGGTAACCAGAAACATACCATAATTGCCACCCCAGTTCAACTCTGCGGGATTGATGAAGTAGGGAGCCGTAAATGCGGTCAACCATGCAAAGATAAACCCAATTCCAATAGACAGGCCAGCTGTACAAGCTCGAAGATTTTGTGCCGGAATTTCACCCGATACCATGTATACTAGACCAACTACACCGAAATTGAAGCCAAAGTGGTAGAAGGTGTTGAAAAAGATGACACAACCGGCGCGAACAGACTGGCTGGCCGAAACTTGGAATACGACTCCGAGCACCAGCATAGATACACTGCAGGTGCCGACTCCAATGAGAAGCATAGTTCTTCTTCCCAGAATGGCGATGAATGGGTATGAGATGAGTTGGCCGAAGTATCCGACCCACTGTCCTACGATACTCCATTTGAAGGGGTCCTCAACACCAACCTAGATAGCGAAAATTCAGTCAGTATATAAGAATGATATTGTAGTACCAGGTCTGAGACTCACAGTTTTCATGAAATAAGTCGTAAACGCCATGACAAACATGCCACCGACTGCCGGGTTCACACAGCCAATTCCGATACTGATAAGGGTGCGGCGGAGATGGCGCTTGCTAAATTGTTGGAAGAAGACCGCCTTGGTATCGCTGCCTAATTCCCGCTCAACATTGAGTCTCATTTCTTCGAATTCCTTGAGCACCTCAAACCGATCACAGGCATCTGCGCGGATCCAAGTGAGAGACTTCAATGCCTCGTCGGTTCTACCATGTAGTAGGAGCCAGCGCTGGTTACATTTCTTTTGTTAGTTCATTTGATAGTTTGGTGTAGCCAGGGGTAATGAACTCACAGGTGATTCTGGCAGGAAAAATAGACCCACGAGCATCACTACAGGGAGAAAATAGAGAGTATAGAGCGGAATCTGATAAGAGAGACGGTTCATCATTGTCGATGTCTTGTTAATAATGACCTAAATGCAAGAACGCACAATCAGCATCAATCATCAAGGGGGTCAATCGTTGGGGATACTATACTCACGGCTCCGATACCGCTGCCTAAAGTCACCCAACCAGCTGCGAGGGCATAGGCAACGCCTCGCAGGTGAGCAGGAGACATTTCAGCAATGTACATGAATGTGAAGTTCATGATTAGTCCGTTGGCGAGGCCAGTCACCAACCGACCGAAGTAAAGAAGGCCCAAGCTGGTCGTCACGATCTGCACAGTGACTCCTATAATCAAGATAACCATTCCGAGCATCACGCAGTGTCGACGCCCAAGATAGCGACTGAATACACCTGCCAGTAAGGATGAAATGAAGGAGCCAAGAAGCAAGAATGACGAGATAATTTGTTGAGGACCGGCCTATTGTATTATATTAGTGCTATTGGGAGAATGGAGGCATGGGAGATGACATACCGCAATGTTCCAACCACTGGGCACAGCTGGATCCTCGTAGCCGAAGACTTGTAGGAAGCCAGTCATGGCTTGGAAGCCGCTAATTTCGCCATTGTCGAAGCCATACTGGGGAATTGTCAATATCTCATTCCGTCTAGGATTTATCAAGGGTAATTTGTGTGTAGTCTTACCTCCAGCATAGAGAATCCGACAAACAGGCAGACAAATAGAAATCTCTTATGAGCCAGGATGGGGAATTTATTCTTCACATCGCTCCGTGGAACATCATCTTGGGATGTTGACCGCTCCATAATAGAAATGGATGAAGAAAAAGGAGGAATCAGCCACAAGATCAGGACCGTGTCTGATAATCAGTGCGTCTCCGACGATCCCAAGGCGAGTTATATAGTGTTATATTTGCGTGGCACAGCCAATCGTCAATAGCTGCCACATGGGCAGCAATGCTTTGAGCACAGATCAATTTCCCCAGATTTGACTTTATTACCCCAGACTCGACACCCCACTCCAATTTTCGGAGTCATAAAAGCGAAGATTGTCATTGCCAAGGACTAGTGAGGATTGTGGCTTGAGACCGGCACCAAACCTCCGATTCAGGAGGAAATTATCATTTCGCGGGGAAGTCGGCTCCATCGAAGTCCAAACCTATCAAACAACCAACTGGATAAATGCCGGATATTACGGGATCTCACAGGGACTAAAAAAAAATAGCTAAAGTGGAGATAAATCGGCATTAGTGAACCGTTGATGTGGGGAGATGAAAGGTCCAAATAAATAGATAAACAAGGTACTCGTGACCATTGCCAGTTTACATCTTCAAATACTGAACAATGGCTTCATACACCTTCAAACCGGTTACTATTAGCCATAACCCTGGCGACAATGAGTCCGCCACGGTGATCCTGAAGCGCTGGTACGACAAAGCTGAACTTGAGCAAGCAATTGAGTATCTTCCACCAGGCCTGACAATTCACTCCTGGGCAATTGTTCTCGACAAGCTCAAGAATGTCCTGGGTACGGAAAAGGTGGTTGTTGGCAAAGAATTGCACATCAACTACATGGACCCGTTTTCGATGAATGCCGACGAGAAGGAAAAGCGCGGCAGCGCATGCGCCGTGCGACCTACGACTGTGGAAGAAATTCAGAAAATTTTGGCGATCGCAAATGAGTACAAGATTCCTCTGTGGACGGTTTCCCGTGGAAAGAATCTCGGTTATGGTGGTCCTCAAGCACGCGTGAAGGTGAGCTTAGGTTTCTCGTCTACTGTTCCTTGCGTTCAAGTCATTGACCTTTCTTTTGTCTCTAGGGTTCGATTATTGTGGATCTTCAGAACATGAACAAGGTCCTTGACGTCAACGAGAAGTTTTCCTACTACACTGTGGAGCCTGGCGTGAGCTTTTTCCAGCTTTTCCAGGAGATCCAGGCACAAAAGAAGCATATATGGTGTTCAACGCCCGCTTTGGGCTGGGGAAGTGTGGTTGGAAATGCGCTTGATCGGGTAAGTCTTGAGATTGGTTTTAAAAGGAATTATTCTAGCTGACATTGGACAGGGTTGGGGATACACTCCACACGGCGATCACTCCAACCAAATTTGCGGCATTGAGGTAGTTCTCCCCGATGGCACACTGGTCCGAACAGGCATGGGCGCTCTAGACAACTCGGTCTGCGGGCCACTGTTCCGTGGCGGCTATGGTCCGACCTACGATTCCATGTTCAGTCAGTCCAATTTCGGCATTGTCACCAAAATGTCAATCTGGGCATCCCCTGCCCCCGAGGGATTCATGCGAGTCCATCTCTCAGTCCCCGAGGAGCGTGATCTTGCACCCATGGTGGATATTTTCCGCGAATTGCTCCTACGGGAAAAGATTCAAAACCACCCTGTTATCGGTAACGTGATTCGCGAAATCAATAAACGCGGCCTCCGCAAAGACTTCTGGACTGAGGATACATCGATTCCATACCACCGAATCAAGGAGATTCAAAAAGACCTCGGGTTGGGATTCTGGGATGCCACCTTTGCTCTATACGGGCCTAAGGAGTTGATGGAGTATAATCTTAAGCAGATCCAAGAAGCGTTCAAGCCAATCAAGGGCCATGTGTTGACAACAACTCCTCACTATCCCAAGCCCGGTCAGAAATATGTCAATGCCCTCGATATCCCATATGATTTGCAAACTGGAAATCCCGGCCTGCGCCCTATCAAGTCAATTGAATACCGCGGACTTGACGGGTAAGCCTAACCTTAACATCAACCCCATACACAAAGGAAAATGAATCTAACAATGTTATTACAGTGGACACATCTCCTTCTCCCCCGTCCTCCCCTCAGACGGAAAGGCAGCTCTTGACTTCTACTATACAGCACAAAGGCTCTGTCAAAAGCACGGTTATGATTTTGTTGCCGGGTTGCACATGCACTTGCGACACATGACACACATCAACATGATTCACTTCGACCGTAACTCGCAAAAGGACAAAGACTCTGCCAACGCCTTGTTCGTTGATATGGTTCACGCTGCACGGGAAGCAGGGTACGGCGAGTACCGTGCTCACATTGAACATATGGATCTGGTTGCCGAGCAGTATGACTTTGGTGGTGGTGCTTTGATGCGATTGAATGAGCGGATCAAGGATACGCTGGATCCTAATGGCATCCTGAGTCCTGGAAAACAGGGTATCTGGCCCAAGCATTACCGGAACAAGGGGAAGTCGCAATTGTAAATCGTTTTTGGATATCTCTGGCTGCGATCGGTGTCTGTGGCAGTCCTAATTTACTCGCATTTCTCTTTTTGTTCCTGTCTACTTGTTACTTGTCTTTATAGTGAATATTAGAATTCAACTGGTATACTTCTTCTTATCTACCTCCCATCGGTAATACCAATCAATATTGCGAAGAACTGAGACTGAATGAACTTATTTCATGAAAAAAATATATTTACAATTTTTTTCTTGCATAACACATAATGGCTTGGGTTATCATTCTCTAGGCGTAAATTCATAGCCTTATTCGCTCGTATAAATGTAGCTCGTCGCTGTGGAATTTGTCCGTAGTCCTTAAAAACTTGAAATTAGAGAAATCATGGAGATCTCAACACCATGTGCAAAAATCATTAACCAGCTGTTAGTTATGTTGGTTTGTGTCCGTGCCTTGTTTCTCAGGCTGCCATTCCCGTTTTGCTCTCAGGGGTGAAATATCCCATCCCTCCCCCACACTTAAAGCCCTACACAACACTAAATGTGATCGAAATTCAAGTAAAATTACAAGATGGGGTTGATGCCGGTCACTCGAAACGAATATCCACATCCTCCCCTCAGTAACATCACCAACCAGCACTTTCAGCTATATCCACCTTTAAGTCTGATGACTCTACTCGGTCTTCCAAACACGTATACCTAGAGGCGGGTCATCCCCAGGGCGATGAAGTCCGAATCCCCCGCTGATCGGCCATATTTCCCCGCAATTCGATATCATCGGATGCTTGGAGCCGATGCTCAAGCGCCACCATCCTTCCGGGATTTGATAGCAAAACTTGACTAGCCGTTTTGCGTTGTTACCGAAGGGTTTCAACGCCTGAGCCGACCGGAACCATGCTAGTAGTGTGGATACATGTCCGTCGTCTACGTCCATTATATCAATGCGATAAGGGACACCCATGACTTTGGAGGTCGCAACAGCCTTCACAATTGCGAGGCAAGTCCAAAAATGCAGAATACGCATTTGAGCGATACGCCTGGGTTCTTTGGGAATCTGGTTACTTCAGCCATGCCCACTAATCTAGCGGATTTGGATTCCAATACAAATCTCTTCAGGCTCGCCCTCATTGCAGGCATCACATCACATGTTGGGTATTTCCTTCATGGAGAGCATCACAGAGGCTGCTATCAAGTTGTCAAGACATACTTTGCTCTTGAAATAATCCTCGCTGGTCTTCTTATCCGAAAGAATGGTCATGATCTCACAACATCCGCCATCCAGGCGGCGATCGTGACCGCTGCATACTTGCTGGGCCTTTTTGGGGCCATGGGTCTATATCGAGGATTCTTCCACCCTCTTCGGCGGATTCCAGGGCCTTTCCTGGCTCGATTCTCCAATTTATATCACTCCTCTTTGCTGGGGAACTCGGATAACTATCGTGTTATGTACAATCTGCACAAAGAACATGGTCCGATTGTACGAACTGGTAAGTTCACCTGACGCTCCTCCTTATTTGCAGAGAGTACGCTACTGACAATCCTTTTTCAGGCCCTTCAAATTTGAGCCTGAATTCCCCAGAGGCAGTTCAGTTATTATACGGACCAGACTCGCAGTGCGGCAAGACTGCGTGGTATGAAGTTTCACTACCATTGCAGAACTTGCACACTGTCCGCGACAAAAAGGTGCACGAGACCCGTCGGAAAGTCTGGGCTCGTGCATTCTCACCAAAGGCATTGACCGAATACGACGGACGCATCGCCGAGTACTCGGATTTGCTATGTCGGCAAATTGCGGATCTAAATGGAAAATCGTTTAACGCAACCCGCTGGTTCAAGTACTACGCATGGGACGTGATGGGTGAGCTTGGCTTCGGCAAGGGATTCGAGATGCTGGAAAACGAAAAGAACCGCCACGTACCTGAGCTCCTCGAGGAGGGGATGGCCCACATCGCACAGCTACAAGTCGTCCCTTGGCTAGTTATCCTACTGCACAAACTCCCTTTCGCTGCTAAAGGCCCCAAACAATTCGCAACTTTCTTCACCGAACAAGCTATGCGTCGCGTCAAGGAGCCTCCTGCTAAGCCAGACGTGCTGAGATATCTGGTCGACCACTATAACAACAGCCCGAAGGCAGATTCTGACTTCCAGTGGCTCCGTGGCGATACCCGGCTCTTTGTCGTCGGTGGAAGTGATACCACTGCATCGACCTTGACGCACATCATGTACTATCTTGCTAGCCAGCCGGGGCAACTCGCGAAACTGCGCGCCGAGGTTGAGCCACTCTTGGTAGGCCGTACTACCCTGGACCCTAAGGATGTCGGCGAGGCCAAGCATCTGAATGGTATCATTCACGAAGTCCTCCGGTTGCACCCTCCTATCCCCTCTGGCTTCCCGCGACTCACGCCTAAGGAGGGTATTGTGGTTGATGGCACCTATATCCCCGGAGATACGACTGTGACGGTGCCCCTCTGGGTGATGGGACGTTGTAAGTGGTGTTTCGACTTTACTTTGATGATTATATTCACTGATATCAATTTTTCTTTTAGCTGAGGAAGTCTACGAGTCCCCTCTCGAGTTCATCCCCGAGCGCTGGTATTCCCGGCCAGAAATGATCAAACATAAGAATACGTTTGCTGCCTTTGGTCTTGGTATGCTTTGTTTCCCGCCGAAATACGTCCGACAGCTCTAACATTTTGTTGTGTAGGTCCTTACGGATGCATCGGTCGAGCATTGGCGCTCATGGAAATGCGTAATGTGATTTGCCATATTATTTCTCGTTTCGAGTCTATTGAGATGGCGCCGGGTGAGGACGGTTCCCCGCTGATGAGCATGACCAAGGATCACTTCACGATGGGTATTCAGGGGTTCCAAATGGTTTTCAAAGCCAAATAGTCCGATATAGTTTTGATTGGTCTTCTATGAGGTTACTTTAAGTTGAGAGTATAATGACAGTCGACAATATGATCCGATGGTCGATGTTCCTTCCCATAGATGTATCTAAAACGGACAGGTCCAATCTAACATTATACGGATTAGTTAGATGCTTAAACTAAATGTTAGCACTTTTATCGATAAAGAAACATTCAGTTTGTTAAACAAAAACACCTGTGGACCGACCGTAAGATCTTCAACGAGACTCCTTAGTTGGTCTCCAAGGCTTTGTCAATCAATACAGGGACGCGGGGATGAATACATTCTCTTAGGCTACAAATTATAAGTGCCGTTGAACGATCATGGATTCTTCTTATTTGGCCGCATCCTCGAAGCTTTGTGTCGAGATTATTCAAAAATTTGAGGAAATACTTTATTCGAAGCAATAAAAAAACCAAAAAAAGTTAATGGCCCGAAGCGCGATTCGAACACGCGGCCTCTCCGAATTTGAGATGGAAACCCAAACGGAGAATCATACCACTAGACCATCCGGGCGATAGATGAGATAAGCATCATAAACAATCCTTGTGATGGAGAGAATTTAGCCCATCGCTCTGGCTATAAACACTTGGATTCATCTCTTGATATTTTTGTTATTTTCCCCCAATGTACTCCGCAATTTAGGTGATCAGCTTCTTTCCAACTTGCATTAGCAGTCTTCCTTACTAATTACGTTATCCTCGACTAAACCTTCGAGCGTCCACGGGTCTACGTCGGCCACCCCACTACATCCTGTCATTCAATTCGAAGTGGTGCTGAATACTCTGATACAAAAATATTCGGACTTTGCTCTTCCAATTGTGATTGTGGCTGAAGTTTCTTGTAAACGGGCCGCCATTGCGTGCAAGTTCTGTCGAAACCGATATGTGTAGCTTAAACAATATCAACTACGATACAGGCAAACTGCGCTCGAAGCACTTTGTATACATACTGCTATATAGATAGGAAACGGAAATGTGATGGCAAGATGCCGAGATTTGCCAACTGTGACAATATGCAAGTCGAGTGCGCCTATCACGACCAAGCTCAACCAAGGTATGCTTTACCACAGGCTTAGGATATCTTCCGCTTAACAATATGATAAGTCTGATGAAACGAAAAGACTGGAAAGAATTGAGGCATTACTATTACTTCAAGCACATATCTGCATCCACTCTGTGGATATCCCACCTACAGAAGAATGAGGTAAGTATCAATAATAATGATATTTCCATCATCAATTCTAACGAGATCACCGGTTTCCACACAGAGAATCTGCAACCCTTGGCAAACACATATAATCCGAAATTGTGGTATTATAAGTGCGACATCACATTGACACCACCAGTGCACTGTTCTGAGAGGCCGTTACAGCAGTTCCCTTCGCCTTACGAAGCCTTGTGGCCTGCGCCGGAATATCCAGCATCGGGCAATACGTTCACTTCTCAATCGACGAAATGAGACGTATTATGGACGTCGACCTGACGGGTACCTTTATCTGCGCGCAGTTGGCAGCGCGGGAAATTTTCGAGCAAGGATATCCCGCCAGCATGGTATTCATCACCAGTATGAGTGGTCATGTGGTTAACAAAGGGAAGATGGCTTCGGATAGAATGCTTGGTCTAAACCAATATGGCTATATGGACTTGACGCTGCGGCTTATAGCTTTTCCAAGGTGGGAGTGCGTCAGCTCACGCGGAACTTTGCCTCTGAATGGGGAAGTGTGAAAGGTGGACCAGTCTATCACGTTAACTCGCTGAGCCCTGGATGTATCCGTACACGCATGACGGAAGATTTGCTGAAAGATCCGATGCAAGAGCATTTAATGTCTGAAGGTAGTATGCTTAACCGTACCTCTGAGACGGATGAGTACAGTTTGTGTTTTTGTTATCAGATGCGAGTAACTATGTGACTGGCGCGGATTTGTTAGTGGGTGGAGGGTGGGACGGTTATTAGCCCTGAAAGATGGTAGTTTGATATGGGACAGACACAAGTACTATACTAGCAAGTTCCTCGGGGTTTCCTACTATAAAATACAGGAATTCATCGTAATTTATAACAATCCATGGATTCTTCTACAATAAAGTGGGGCGCCGCATTTATGTCATTGTATATATTGCACATGTTGATGTATATTTATTAAGGGAAGTACATGTATTTACCAATAGTTTAAACCGAGAACTTTTGGATTAGCTGAACAGCTCTACTGACAGCTTTGCTCCTATACTTGATAGTAATAACAATGTTGTATTGCCTAAAGGTCTACAAGGTATAGCAATGCCTAGTCTGATAGTATGACCACGTAGACCCTAAACCAGCCCCACAATGTATACTCCGCCCGGATGGTCTAGTGGTATGATTCTCCGTTTGGGTTTCCATCTCAAATTCGGAGAGGCCGCGTGTTCGAATCGCGCTTCGGGCCCTCATCTTTTTTTGGTTTTGCTTCCTTCAATTGTACCATTGTGCATGCAATAAGCATTGTTTAAATTTCCGCCCTTGGCAATCGCTTCACTCAGTCAGCATCATCACTTATATTATATGTTTTGCAATAGAAGAAAGAATTCGGCGCCTAGGGTGTTGCACTAAGGGGGTCGTCGGTCGAATAAGGTTGTTACTCCTTCCGTCTTGGCTCTTTTATCCTTCCCATTCCACCAAGCTTAATATGAAACGTTGATTTCCCTGCTGTCTCGGCCTCTTCTCCGTGAGCTATTTTGATCTAGCTCCAAATGATGGTTAAGACCCCACGGTGATAGTCGCTGCCCCTACTACTTACGGAGTACTCCGTACACGGGGACCGTCCCGGCAACCCGCAGTGACAGAGTGTCAGCGGAAATTTCCCCAGGCAGCGCAAACTGCGGGGTAGAAAGCCATCCAAATTATGTGCCGAGCCTGGCTTTTGCGAAAAAGCAAGAAGTTTAGGCTAGATTGCAGGATAGCGAGCATGTTTTTCCACATTCCATGTCTCACTCGCCAATCAAAGGGAGCTCCCCTGGTGGTCCGAGCCATCGGTGGACTAACCCTATTTACCTGCATGTTTCACTGTAACAATGTGGTCGCCCATTTGTCGCTCTACATGCAGAGCTCACCTTGTGCTTTCTTGGCTAGAGACAAACCGCTTCAACTTGGTCATGGGTTACAAATCACTACTGGCTTGGCACCCAGGCCAGGGGGACTTTCATCCCCTGGGATCAAGCCCAATTATCCCACCCGGGGGGGGGGGGTATAAAGGGTACATCTGCCCCATCGGAAGAGGGTCAAATTTATTAAGCGATCATCTACGGCAAAGGACATCATGCAGAGCCTTTTTCTCTCTGCTCTGGCATTCAGCGTCACGGCTAATGCCTATGCCCCAGGAGCTGCTGGGTGGGATGCGGCCTACTCAAAGGCCCAAGCAGCCCTTCTTAAGCTAAGTGTAACCGAAAAGGTTGGGATTGCCACTGGCGTCGGCTGGGGGGCAGGGCCCTGCGTGGGCAACACACATGCTGTTAGCTCAATTGATTATCCCTCTTTATGCCTACAGGACTCGCCCTTGGGCATCCGCTATGCCAATCCTGTCACAGCTTTCCCCGCGGGTATCAATGCCGGAGCAACTTGGGATCGTAGTCTCTTGTACGCGCGCGGTGCTGCAATGGGCGAGGAAGCTAAAGGTCTGGGCGTCCATGTACAGCTAGGACCGGTCGCCGGGCCTTTAGGAAAGAATCCCGACGGCGGCAGGAACTGGGAAGGATTCTCAGTTGACCCGTATCTCAGTGGAGTTGCCATGGAAGAGACAATCCAGGGTATGCAAGATTCGGGCGCTCAGGCCTGCGCCAAGGTACGTTGACCTTAACTCTACTGATCGTTTTGTTCGTTCTGACCATGATCAAGCACTGGCTCGGGAATGAACAAGAGCACAATCGCGAAACGATGAGCTCCAACATTGGCGACCGCGCGACGCATGAGCTATATGTATGGCCGTTCATGAATGCAGTCAGGGCCAATGTCGCATCTGTCATGTGCTCCTATAACAAATTGAACCAGACTTGGGCTTGTGAGAGTGAGGCTTTGCACGATCTTATGAAGACTGAGTTAGGGTTCCCTGGCTACATTATGACCGACTGGAACGCGCAGCACACTGGTGTCGGCAGTGCCGTGGCTGGACTCGACATGACGATGCCCGGTAGCGACTTCAATAACGCGCCTGAAAGCCAATACTGGGGACCGAATCTCGTGAAGGCTGTTGATGACGGCTCTGTGCCCGAATCGCGTGTGGATGATATGGCAACGCGTATCCTAGCAGCTTGGTACCTTCTCGAGCAGGATAAAGGCTACCCTGAGGTCACTTTTAGCTCTTGGGATGGAGGAAAAGCCAGTGTCGACGTCACAGGAGACCACGCGACAGTCGTCCGTACCGTTGCTCGTGATTCCATTGTCCTATTGAGGAATGAGGAAGGTACTCTGCCTCTCCAGAAACCCAAGAGCCTGGCAATCATTGGACAAGATGCTATCGTCAACCCCAAGGGTCCCAATGCATGCACAGACCATGGCTGCAACGACGGCACGCTAGCCATGGGGTGGGGCAGTGGGACATCTCAGTTTCCTGTAAGCACGATGATGTTGGCAGATCAATGCATTATCGAAAAACTGACAGTGCCGCTTTAGTACCTCATTGCTCCTCTTGATGCAATCCAAGTCCAGGCCAAAAAGGACGGCACGGAGATTATCGAGAGTACGACCGACAGCAGTACGGCTGCTGCCTCCGCTGCCGCAGCGGCAGAGACTGCCGTGGTCTTCATTAACGCAGACGCCGGCGAAGGGTGAGTCGGACTTGTTCTCACAGCATCTATAATCTTTTCCCAATCACTAATACCCTGCCCAGTTACATCACAGTTGAGGACCACGCTGGCGACAGAAACGATCTCGATCCGTGGCACAATGGAAATGAGCTCGTCAAGGCTGTCGCCGCGGTGAACAAAAATGTCATTGTTGTGGTGCACAGTGTGGGGCCTATTACCCTGGAGACCATTCTAGCGCAGCCCTCAGTGAAGGCAATCGTCTGGGCGGGGCTACCGGGCCAGGAAAGCGGAAACGCCCTGGTTGATGTGCTATATGGCAGCACCTCCCCAAGCGGCAAGCTCCCCTACACTATCGCCAAGCAGGCTTCGGACTACGGGGCTGGCTGGAACAGTGCGCTAGACGACGATTTCGTCGAAGACTTGTTCATTGATTACCGCCATTTCGACAAGAACGACATCACCCCGCGCTACGAGTTTGGCTACGGCTTGTCGTATACGACATTCAACTACACTGGACTTGTGGTTAGCATTTCTGCCACAGCTGGTCCATCGAATGGACCCATTGTCCCTGGCGGGGCGGAGGACCTTTTCGAATCGGTTGGCACTGTCTCTATCGCTGTCGAGAACACTGGCGAGGTAGCTGGTGCCGAGGTTGCTCAGCTCTATCTTGGTCTTCCGGACTCGGCGCCAAGCACTCCACCTAAGCAGCTGCGAGGGTTCCAGAAGTTGAATATCCAACCGGGAGAGGCGGAGACGGCTACTTTTGAGCTCACTCGACGTGATTTGAGCTACTGGGATGTCCAGACACAGAAGTGGGTTGTTCCTGCTGGTGCCTTCACTGTTTATGTTGGAAGCTCCAGTCGGGATATTCGCGAACAGGCGAAATTTACTGCCGCTTAGTAGTATCTCCCGTTATCCTTTGACCTGTACATATCTCTTGTTTTGAACTGACTTGGCTCGATGTGAAACCTCGGGTCTCAGAATATGGAAACTAAATTCAAGACTTTGACGAAAGGTTCTATCTCGAAACCTGCTCCTTTGTTATGATTCGTGTGGCTTTATCTATGGAAGTCACTGCCCTCAAGACATAGTGTCGTCGGGTTGTTTTCACTCGAGACATGAGCCGCGAATAAAGAACAAAGATTGGGCTTTGTAACTATTGCTTCTTTCATTTTTAATGAACATAGGATTGACTAGTTTATCCAATATAATAACCAACAGGCATAAATAACACCTAGTCCGACCTTCTCGAAGTAGCAAACCACCATCAATTCGGCTTCTACCTACTACGTCCATCTTCAGCGACTATCATATACAAATCCGTCTCTCCGACATCATCTCAAATTTAGTCATCCATCCGTCTCCTAACATGGCGTGGTGGGACAGTTCCGCGGCCGGCTACGTCGAGAATCTCATGCCAATCTACACACAAGAGATCTGCGAATTCAGAGAAGAACTCACATGGCAGATTGATATCCTGACCAACCACCCGGGCCATCGGAAATTAGTGAGCGAGAAACTCATTCGCACTGCTCGAGCCATGCGCAAGATCAATGGACTGGCGCTTGATATCTCAGTGTATCTCCCGGGCCATGAATTCGTCACCGCTGCACGCCCTGGATACTACCAAACAACCTTTCCCCGAGTTTGTGATTTTATCGAGAATATTTTGATTGAGCTTAGTAGGGCCCTGGTGGATTACACGCAGAGTGAGGAGTCTGTGGCCTCTCAGCTTCAACATTTGTTGAACACTATGTAGTTTTAATATTTGTTAGACAGGTTTTATACAATCCAGAAGATGTCTCTGTAATGGATTTAATTTCGCTTCGTCTTTTGGTACTATTCACTTATAGATAAAAAGCCAAAGAAATAAATAGATCTATATACCAATGGAGTTAATGCAGAACAATCTCCCTTCAAGCCTGGAATGATAGATTGTTTGCGTAAACTATGCGCAAGGCTGAGAGTGGCTGGGTTATCAACCAGCCCAATACAAATACGCAACAGTGAGCCTCATGATTTGGATTTCAGTTCGTGGCACTAAAAAACAGCTTGAGCAATATTAACCAGCCTGTTGATTTCGAATGTATTTTCACGAGAAACAGGAGACTATGGCTCTCAGCGATATCAAAAGCAATTATTTCTAGTCAGTCTATATTCGGCGCCGGATGCGATCATACTAAATTCGACATGCCTCTCATCGAACGTGGAATGTCGTTAGTGGGATTCCTTATAAAAACCAAGCCCTTCGCACACAAGGACCAAGACCTCCCTGCGTCAGTCTAACCTAAAAATAATCCCACCCCGAAGTAATTACCATGCATTTCCAAGCTGGTCGATGGAGCTTTTTGCTTGCGTTTATATCTGCATGCTTGTTTGCTTCGGTCGAATCCACTCAGGATTTCTCGGATCGCGATTTGAAATCGACCTTCACATTTGACCAGCTCTGGAAACTCGAAAACGAATTTTGGGATGCCTTTCTCTACCCTGCAAATATCGAGCAGACGAAAGGCGACGCGTCGACTATTTTCGCATCGGATGTGAGTTTATTTCAATTTTAACGTAGCCTCAATAATGTAACACAATACAGGTTCAAGGCCGTGTCGATATCACCCGCACCTTCAATGGCGACGAGCTAAACCGCGAATACATCTTCGGCCTATTCGCAGATCCGAACCACGTCAGTATTGTCGGTGTCCCGATCGCATATAACATCACTCAATTTGTCGCGAATGACAATATCGTATCCGCGACAACGGTCGTCACCTACAACGTCACGACTTTCGGCGTCCTCCTGCCAGTGACGATTGACACATGGATCGAGTTCAATCAGGACGGTAAAATCGCACAGTATGATGCCACATTCCGCTGGTTTGACTACTTCCTTGACTTCCTGCTTGAGGGAACCGCAAAAAAAATAAATGCCACCTCGCCCGACCAGGCTGTCGCCTATGTTGCTGATTTGCTAGCCACGACCATCTGTGATACACACGAGCAGCATTGCACGGGCTCGAATCAGCAGTATTCGGACCACCAAAGTTGTTATGACTATTTGACTAAGACTTTGCGATTTGGAAAATCATACGAGATGGGTCGTAACACCTTGCTATGTCGTGAGGTTCATGAGCATATGGTGCAGTACCGGCCCGACGTGCATTGTTCGCATATCGGTCCTGGTGGTGGTGGGTACTGTGTTGATGATATGGACTACACGCAAACTGTGCTACAGAAGTACTTTAATAACTCTTGGATTCCGTTTGGATATGGCGCTGATCAGAATATTTGGCTTGCCAACTGACACGCCATTATTTGGGGCAAGGAATGATTTTTTCATTCATATTTTTATGCATTGGAGTTAAATATACAGGCTTGTCTTCACAAAGTATCACGTTAGAGCTGCATAGATCTTTGGTCTGATGGCAGATGTGGACCAATACAATATTCCCATCGTGTCCACAGACTCAACATTCTTTATGACAACCAATTATATTGCCCTTCAATATGCATTAAATCCTTATCTTCTGTCACATGAAATATTGTACTCAAAGTTTTCAGAAATATGTATCCAGGTCCATGCTCTTTGGATACCACATGTCATTCAGAATCCTGCGTTGTCCAAATCTGGTATCTAGTCTCACGATCTCCTAGGAGTGTGACCACACAAACCTAAACGATAAAGAATTGCCACGGGCCATAGAAAGGGCTCGTAGGCATCATATATTGGCATGCCTTTATCTGCACCATCTTACGTGCAATGTCACATCAAACACGAGATGATTGGTGCTCTTATAACCCCTTGATGATAAGATGCAAGCCCCCTAGCTCATCCTCAGTCTAACGTGGCTCTACGCGGAGTTTTCCCGAGTAAGGGGCTGTTAAGTGATCTACATCTCGGAGCTTTATGAGTGATATCATAGGACATACACCGGCACAAGTCTCCGATATCTCCAACCTCATTTGGCGATGATCATACTCTACATTCCAATCCCTTTGCAAGTCCGTGCCTAGCCGGCTTTTATGCTGCCCCGGTTTACAATCCTCCGCCACAGACCGAGGTAGCTCTCTATTCCCCACGTAAAGCACGTCAGTTTCAACCTTTTAGAAACGTTGTTTTCATTGAGGCCTCAAAGCAGGGGCTCAATGTCATACCCCGGCACAACACATTTATGAAAGTGCTCTCATCGGTGCACATATATCCTAAATCGGAACCATCAGATTCCCAGTCCGATTGCGAAATCGACGATATGGTTACTCTTGAGCTACCAGTCATGTTTGAGGTAGATACACAAGTGTATAATATCCTGCTCAGCCGTTGAAGTTGCATGCCAGCCCTGACAGTATACGTACGGAAATTCCTTCCGTCACCTGGCTGATCCTTACCAAGATTTCTTGCCATCCCTTCGAACGCTAGACCTCCTTGACAAAAATCAAACAATGTGACCAAAGTTCCTGTTGCTTAATATAGATGCAGTTAAAATGGACATTTCCACCGTTAGAACCTCCTTTTGTATCTAATGACACTGTTCAACCAGTCCCATGGATTTCAACATCACCAATATGGAGAGAAGACGCTCTTCTTGCAGCAACTCACTACAGGGTAGTGAGGCACAGATACGCTTGTGTCCTGAGAAGTTCGATGAATCGTCCACCGATGAGCAGAAGTTATCACCGGTCGACGGAGGGTTCCAGGCATGGATGTTTCTATCGGCTTGTGTAATGATCGAGGCTTTGATATGGGGTAAGTCAGCTTGTGTGGCCGCAAGGAAAATCCCGATGCTGACGATGAGCAGGATTTGCTTTTGCATTCGGAGTCTTCCAGAAATATTACCACACCCATGCAGCTTTTCAGGATTCTAATATGGTAGCTGTTATTGGAACATGTGCCACAGTTAGATCACCACCTTCGCTTTACACCGGTCTATTGCTAACACCCTCTGTAGGGAATATCCTATTTGAGCTGTCCACTGGTTATTGTTGCTATGATCCTCCTTCCCCAATGGGGACGCTGGTTTTCATCTTTCGGACTGATCATCATGTGTCTTTCCCTGGCACTTGGCTCATTTTCATCCAATATAACTCACCTCGTCCTCTCCCAAGGAGTCGGCTTCGGAATCGGCGGCTGTATAGCATACAGTCCGTCCATCTTATACATGGACGAGTGGTTCGTCCACCGACGAGGCCTCGCGTTCGGCATAACCTGGGCTGGATCAGGGGTATCGGGGATAATATTCCCGATTGGCCTAGAGAAGCTATTGACTCGCTTCGGATTCGAAACTACGCTTAGGATCATCTCCGTGGTAGTCTTTGTTCTCGCTGCGCCTTTCTTATACTTTCACAAACCCCGGCTCCCGGTTAAGAAAACCGTCGACTATAAACGTCTTAACTTCCGATTCCTCACCACTAGGATATTTTGCGTTTATCAACTCGGCAACATCTTTGAGGCACTGGGTTTCTTCTTGCCCGGAATCTATCTACCGAGTTATGCACGGAGCATTGGTGCTACGGATTTTCTCTCATCGCTGACGGTCACGCTTTTGAATCTGGCGTCGGTTTTTGGAAGTGTTACTATGGGCCATCTAGCAGATCGATACCATGCTATCACCTGCATTACCATCTCGACTGTCGGCAGTACACTGTCTGTGTTTTTTCTTTGGGGATTTGCATCAACTTTGCCAACGTTGTTCGTCTTCTCTATCGCATACGGATTATTCGCAGGGTGTTACTCGGCGACGTGGTCGGGGATAACGCACGAGGTCCGACGAATCGATCCGACTGCTGACGCAACTATCATCTTCTCGGTTATTGCCTTTGGGCGAGGCATTGGAAATGTCGTTAGTGGTCCGCTAAGTGAGGCTATACTTGATGTAGACCCGTGGAAAAATTCGGCTCTGGCGGCCTATGGTAGTGGATATGGACTTATCATCTTGTGTACGGGGATTAGTTGCGCGTTGAGCGGAGTATGTATAGTAGCGCATTACATGAAATGTATATAGGCGAGTCTCGATGCACATTTATGCTGATGATTAACGTCTGCTTTTTTGGTGAGAGAATGGGTAGTTAAGGATAGTCAGAATCGCTACATATGCTACTACTTCAAACTGATGGACCTATACTTCCTTGTTGACTAACCAGTTCTGTCCTTCGAGCATTCTCCTATGTTCAATTCCTTTTATTTCATAAAGAAGTTGATTAATAAAAGCCTCATACCCTTTGAATGTTATAGGGTGGTAAGCAAGTATATTAACGGATAAATGAATCCGAGAGAGGGAAATTTCGCTTAAAGCATCATCCTTCTCATCATCTTTACCACAATTCTCTTGATTTATTTATCCGTCAATATACTATACTTGCTCGCCCTGTGGTTATGAGTCCGGCTTTCTAATTTCAATATTGCTATCCGTGATCCGCCGGCATCCGAGTGCGCGGAAGTATATTATCCGACTTACTACCATCACCACTTTGTATTTCATTTCAGATATCCAACTGAGTAGCAGTATGTCGTAGATCCAAGAGCCGGTGGGAACTAACAATGGTAAGCATCTCTTGTAGCTATGCAACGGTTTATGTAGAATTTTCACATCCACGACGCCATGATTTACGCCACCTGGGTACACCGGGCTTCCCGACGTTCCCGAACCCACTTAATCTTGGATCTTCAAATCAATGTTCGGATCTTCGAAGCTTTAATCTTGTTAGACTTTGATATCAAATCAAGTTGTCCCAGACGTGGACTGGTCAAGTGGTCGACGTCATTCCAAGAGAACATGGCGATGCTGATTCCACGACACACGCTCAAATGTTTATATTGTGGTCCATGACGCCAATGTAGAGGAAACTACCGGTTACTTGGAAAGTCTACTTGATCTAATGTACTGAAAGCTTACCGCATGCATCGCCTGGGTGATGATGACTCGAGATGACCTGGAAGATTGCGCGGTTTTATGGTGTTAAGAGATATTTAAATACCTGTGAACGAAGCAATTATCCTGCATCTTAACCAACTCTCCTCAACTATACCACACGATAACTCTTCAGAGCCAACACTAAGAGCTATGCGTTTCTTCAACATCGTCAGCCTCCTGGCCGGAGTCACCTCCGCAGCCACTGCCACCTCTTCCTCATCCAGCGCAGCTTCAACCTGCTCGCCCTCATCTTCTGATGCAAAGGTCCTCGAATTCGCCTGGGGTATCTCCCAGTTCATCGGTGGCTACTACAACTCCACTGTGAACAGCACCTTCGGAAACTCCAACAACGCCACCCTCCAATCCTACCAGAAGGTCCTCTTCGGCCTCGAGAAGGACAACACCCTATCAACCGCCGCTGTCGAGAAGGTCGGCGCCAAGGCCCCCGGCTTCACTAAGCCCCAGTGTGACTTCAAGTACCCCAAGGTCAACTCCACCCAGGCTTGGGCTTCCTGGGCCTACCGCTTCGAGGATACCGTCACCGGTGCCTTCATTGGTCTTGCCGGATACACTGAGTCCCCCGAGGTCTCCTTCCTCATGGCTCGTCTGGCTGCTGAGCACAGCGCCCACTCTGCCTTGATTGGTAGCCGCGTCAACTCTACCTACTTCGCCGCCAACGCTTCTTCTCTCGTCGCGGCTTACGGCCCCGCCCAGGTTCTGTCCAACCGCAACCAGACTGGTAGCCTCGGCGAGTATCTTGGTGGATGTCTCACTGCCCCCGTCAGCAACTGTGGTCCCCTGAGAATCGGACCCTTGGCTGCTACTCCCTCATCTTCCGGTGTCGCCAGCAGCACCAGCATGGCTACTTCTTCTTCCAAGAAGAACTAAGAGGTCAATTTCTGAATGACGAAACATCAACCTCTAGCTTGAGGAATGTTTCAAAATGTACCATTGTGTACTAATTATGGTCAATTTGATCAATTTGAGAGGAGGAATATCGCTGTTAATACAGCAGGATTGGAATAAATGCGATAATTAATGGATTAATTGGAGATACGTCGATGATACTTTATTTTTCTACACTTTATCTTCTTCCTAGTTATATATCTAATTGTAATTAAATCGGCAGAATCTCAAATAAAGCTCATTTATTCTCGCGATAGACAGTAATTCGATATTAAAAGGACCAAGTCTTAAATTCCCCTAATGATATCATACTTCCCGCCCCCTTGTATCAACCGCGGTCTTTCAACTTGGGATCACAACCCTGCAAGTGGACCAGCAACAACCCAGGCGCATGGACCTAGGCCATAAAATCTCTTTAAATTCAATACCCTGGTCAAAAAATTCTCTTTCGGTAATCGCAAGGCTATCTGAAATTAGAAAACAAAAGCCTTAGTCAGGTCATCATTTCCTTATACAGGTAAGGATGCGAATGCGAATCAGAGTCAAGACTCGCACGCATCAGGTCCCAACAATGATTCTTAAATTATCTTAAACTATTCTGCCTTAAATATGCATCTTAAACGATTACGAGATACGAGACCTAGTAAAGCCAATATTTAAAGAGTCTAGTTCCCTACGTTTAGGACTAATCCAAAATTTATACAAACTCCTCGCAGTCGACTACTCCTATACCATCACATTGAAACGATTGGCACAGATTGAATCAAAAGATTGGCACAGATTGAATCAAAAATCGACAGAAAACCTACGCATCGCAACAATGAACCTATCAGTTGAAAGAAGCCCGGTGCTCAAGTTCCGACTCCATATCATAATCGGCGCCTCGGTGTTTATCGTCTTCATTCTTATCATTGCACGCATTGCCAACAGTGGCACTCCAAAGACAAGGACTAACATTTGGGGCATTGCCGTGGTAAGTCACTTTCTTGTTTATATCCTAATATATTAGATAAAACCTAATAATCCATGACCAAAGTGCCTCAAATCAGCCGCTTTCATGGCCTATCAAATACTCACAACCCACATGGATCGACTTAAACGATGGGCAAGCACAAAAGCGTACATGATATTGAACATTATTGATACTATCTTTTGGTTTGCTCTGTTTATTATCACGATCATGGGGACTACGGGGTCGACTAGCGGGAGTAGTCGGGCGTTGGGTGGTATCACGGCTACATTGGTCTTCTTTCTGTGGTAAGTGATATCACTTGAGGCGATTGTCTGGCTCTTTTCACTAACTTCCTTTTTCTTAAGTGGATTTTCTGGGATTTTGGCGTTTGTTTCTATTCGTGACAGGCGTTTCTTCAAAGCTAATGGGCGTCTTCCTGGGCCTGGGACGGTTAAACCTGTGATTCATGCTTCTTGTTGAAGGATGAAGCATGTGCTTTTCATCTTTGGTCCGTCCGTCTTTTATTTCCCCCGATAGAAGTATGAATAGAAAGCTAGATATAAATTGTTAATTTATAACATTAGTGTAATACCTAAGTATCAGTGTATTCAGATATATGTAAACCAGGCAGAATCTGAGTTGACTATGCAATACCGTGGCCGTGCCAACTTGGGAAGGTGCGAAGGTTAAGGAAGGTGCGACCCTGCCGGCTGCGCGGATCATTATTTTGTCAAATCTACGGGAGGTGAACCTTGTCTTTTACACCACACCATATCTGGGTCATTTATTTCCTTCAACTTTCATATCAACATGTCTTCATGGCTAACTTGGAAGAACATGGACCCTCCAAATTCCTAAGCATATCCCCTTGTCTATCTTTCTGCCCAGGATTCCCGGTCCTACTGCGGATGTCTAGGATGTCGCGGGTCTCTTTACCGGAAACAGTGAGGAAGACCTTTCCCCTAAACCTTCGGATCGCACTAATATGGTACACAGACACCCAAGCCGAGTCAAACTCCCACAGAGCTTGTGGCAGCATTCACTACCAGGTAACAGGCCATAACCATAGGTATAATCTACTCATTAACCCCCAATTCATATCGGAACCACCAACGCGCTAACTAGGGACGCTTCAATAGACATCGCATTACGATTTTCACGGCTGCGGTTGGCCTATGGCAAGTCTGTGCCCACCATAGGCGGTTTTGTCCATCATGGGATCCATGACATATTCTATGAAAATATATCAGGTCTATGGTGTCCAGACTCTTCGCGGCCCCACGCCGCTCGCTATCACTGCCTTGGTGATACCTATCTGGTTAGTCGAGTCTCTCAGTTACTGATACAACATTGGAGGTTCATCTACTGACCATATTCTGTGTATCGACGTTTACCCAGACTCATCCTCCACCTAGCAACATTCCCACCAGAAATAGACCAAGGGTCTGGAAGCGAAAAGTCAAAATGTGAGGGCCAGCCCCAAAGATATGGCATGGGACTTGATTCTTGGTGCATCTCAAAAGATACGTGACATGGCAGCTCCTCCACATGAAAAATTTCCGACGGTTTGCTATCGGTGATACGACAAAAGCGAATATCGTCAACCCTCGCGAACTTTTTATTTTATTCAATGTGCATAACGACTCGCTACCAGGGGCCATTGACCTCGACGCGGATTTGTCGCCGGGAGAGACAGCCATGTTAGACTGTCAACAACATGAATATCGTCAATATCGCTACTTTTGGTTCACTCGCGTCTACTGCTGATGAGGAGAGACAACACGTTTCATGGAGCATGCTCACTTCTATTTCTGCCGCTTTCACCTTATTTGCCATCTTTATTTTGTGTGGTTCCTTTCGTCGAGCGCTGTGTCCGGGTACTCCAATTGCCTGCTTTCTTGTTCGCAGCTCTCTCCCATGCTTTTTGAGCCATGTGCTCGGCTTGATCTGGCTAGACAAATGATTTCATTTATCTATCGTTTCCTAGATTCAGTCCACTTCTCCCCGCAGGTCAGACCGTCGAAACACAAACTCTTATAGATGAATACTAATATTGTTTACAGGATGGTGATCATCGCGCCCTAGAGGCAACTTCCCAATAGATCCGATCGTTCTGCGCCTGTTACTACACACTGGCCACAGGTTGTGCCATTTGGTTCGACCTCGTATCACGCAATCTCACACCCGAGACGATGTTCGTTGGCGACGAGATAGGCCTACACAGCTGAACAGAACAGAATATAGGGCGGGTCCTTGGCGCAGTATTCGATATATGGCTCACTAACTTCAAGGGCACCGGAAGACAGTACACTTCAAACTCGTGGTATTGTCATGCTCTCAAACCATGATTAACAGGACCAAAACATCCTGCCTTTGCCCTTTCGGGGGAGGTGAAAGTGCCGTGAGTGGCAGATGACTTGATCCCACAAACACATACGACAGCTCTCTCGCACGTTAACACTTCTGTCGACCTGCTTTTCACGATCCGCAGCTCAATCGAACCCACCAACACCAACTCACGCAATGTTCAATCGTCTTTGCTTCAAATGAGACGGCAAACATTGCGTGGTAACTGGGGATTTAAATATGGAAATATCCCACAGTATATCGACTTCGGATAGACCGAAGTTGCGCATATTCTTCCATTTTGTTACGTCTCATGGGAGGCTCCTGACATGATTGTGTGACAGTATAGGCGAGGCGGCACATGGAAACTCTGATATGTGCTATGAGGGTAGTTTATCAAAAGTTCATTGGAAAAGTCAGTCTGAAACTTGAAGTACTGTCTTTTCCCTGTTATGGGAGTGCACACAGTGTGCCTGTCTATACAAATCACAACCTCCCTACGCCAATCCCCACCCGTATGCCTTTTCTACAGCAGAACAGATAATCAAACGATTCTTCTGGCCTTGGACCGGAGAAATTTCAAAAAGCTCTCGATAATTTGGCTCATTGTCTGGAAGACCAGTGATCATGCATGCTTTTGTGTTAAATAGAAACTAGATATCTTTTGTATGGGCCTTCAATGCAAACAGAATAGAATTTGCGCTCTAAAGTTCATCCTCCCTTGAATTGCAGTCTACAAGGGACCTGTTCTCTGTATTGCGCATACATTGACCTCTCTAAAGACCGAAGCAAAAACTATCTATTCAATAAACTAGGTGGTTAATATGCTTTATATGCAGTTTCAGGGAGTAAACCCCCGAGATGATATTTACAAAGTCGTGAAAGGCTCCTTCTGCTGAAGATTCTTAATCCTGCCCAGCAAGAACTCCAAATGTCTGTACGCCGCACCGGGAGTATACTGTGGAATCTCATGACCAGCCGTATAAACCGAGCTGAACGTAAGACCACGCTCCGTATGCGCCGTTCCAAGGATACCACCACCAGCATCATAATTCCAAGGCGAACCAACAACTCCATTAGCAATAGCCTCAAGAGCATCTGTATATGGAACAAACAGAGGCCCGTCAGGAGGTCTCTGGAATCCCTGCGCTCCATTCCAAGTCATATTCTGAATCGTGGCGAGAGTCCCATTAGCGAAGAGCAAGTAATCGTACCACCCATGACCGATGAGGACGTTATTAGTGCGCTCGATAACGCTGGGTAGTGGCCCGAGGGCACTGGGAACTGAACCATCGCCGTTTTCGAAGATATCACCGCCGCAGACGGCGTAGTTTGTTGGCGGGATGTTGAGGGCTGCCTGCACGGCGGAGGAGTTGAAGTAGTTATTTCGTCCACCGGCTAGCGAGGGGAAACCCATTTCGTCCCAGAGGAAGGGACAGAAGTCTGTAAGGTGGTATATATTAAAGCAGGGGTTGACGTAAGTTGCTGCTTTTATGATGTCGTCCCAGACGTCACAGCCGGGAGTGTTGGGGTCTGGTGCTGTCGGGAAATTCTTGGGCGGGGGGTAGGTTAGGGCTTTTTCTAGGAAGTCGGTGTAGCCGCATTTGTCGGCGCGGTGGTTAATTTCGGTCATGAAGGTTTCGTTCAGGGCGAAGACGGAGGAGTAGTGGTTCAAGGCGGCCACTGCTGGGGCTATTGGAGTTGGTTAGGATTATGATTTTGATTGGGAGAGGAGATAACGGACCGTAGATCAAAACACTATCATCGTTAATAGATGGGTCGTTGATCTGGATGCCTTTCAGGTTGAAATGTTTCTTGTCGTTTCGGTTTAGCATCCCTTCTGCCAGATACGGGATGTATTGGCCAGCGTAGCTCTCGCCGGTGAGATAAACCTTGTAGCCTTGCATGCTGAAGGTTTCGATGAAGTTCACCCAGAAGTCATTGAATTGATTTGAGATGTCGATTTCATTCTTAACAGTGGATGGCCCGGGAGAGAACCCAGTGCTGGCAGGCTGATCGATGTAGACAAGATTTGTCAAGTTGGTCCATGAATACGGGTTCCGCACGGGCTCATAGACTCCAGATTGCCACAGGAATGGACCGTTTTCTTGTAGCAGACCGTCAAGCGAGCTGCATCCAGGGCCTCCATTCAGCCAGACAGTGATCTTAGATGAAATTAGATGAATTTCCGCGGACAGATTGAAAACAACGTACCTCCTTATCTGCAGCTGGGTTAGTAGACGGGAAGAACCAGAAAAACAAGCTCGAATTCCCAGCAGGCGTATTAGACAAAAGACCAGCATAGCTTTCGCCGATGTCGAAAGGAACTTGCGGGAAGTGAGTTCCATTCACGGCGAATTCTAGTAGGAGTAAGTTGTAAGTGGACAGTCTCAGATCCTAGTGACGAAGCTCCACTTACTTTCTGTCTTCTTATTCAAATACTGATGCTCAGTGCGAACAGCAGAGACTTCTCTTTTGCGCAGACTCTTCGAAGGCTGTTTGAAAGAAGCAGCCTTGCGGTGCGGATTTTGCAACGCAGCGACCGCAACCACCAACAAAACAAAAGGTGCTAAAACCAACATCGTAGGGCAATCTTCCGCGAACTTCGAGCACCTGAGTTAGAACCCAAGGAGGACGGAGGTCTGCGATTTATAAATCCCATTGTCTCAGGGGAGGCAGCTCGTCGGAGCGATTTTCTGAGTGGAGCCTAACGTACTACCAAGCTTTGCCAATAGAGACCGTCGGCGGTTGGGGCAAGACCCGCCCTGAGGCAGGCATTGGTTGCCAGTAAGGGGGATTTGTGGTGATTGCAACGTCGTCAGGAACATCCAGCATGGCGATTCGATTGATTCTTTTGCCCCGACGGAGTCCGTTATCTAGCTCATTTGGTGCGCTCGTAGCGTCGGCCTTCTGTCCCTTTGGAGAGGTGTTGTTAATTTGAATGAGGTATCAGTGCACGCGAATGCTATGTTCATTGAGCAGGTATGGTCACGGTGGGGCAATAGCCTGATGTTTTAGGTAGGTGTTTTGGTAAATGCATTTCGTAGTGTCATCCTATGTGTAGTGTTAACGCTGTTACCTATATCTGTACCCTTGGAGGGATCTCGACTCGGATCAAATCAATTGATACCACCCGAACAAGGTGCATCGCAATACGGAGTACATCCTAAAGAGATCTAGATGTCATATGTCATTGACGTCATCGTGTGGACAATAGGCCTTCTTGGATAGCTGGTTTTCAAGGGGTTTCAAGGGTCACGGTCAGGGAGAATTGAAAATGAGTACGTGAAATTGAATGACCATGGTGAAACCGGAGAAAAGTTATGTAAGGATGCCTGCGTGTATAAAAAAGAGTGTTCGAAGGTTGAAAATACCTGGTCCTGGCAATGTAGGCCTCAGGCAGCCATGTATCCAATCACATGCATCCAAGGGGTGCATGTTTAACACCCTCGTTTCATCAAGAAAGCTCAAGCGATTTACTCTCTTCTAAAATAAAGCTGAAGCTGAACATGAGAAGCTATGCGTTGCACCCCGTACTACAGACAATTATCTCTGCCCCTCCAAGAAAGACTAACTTTCTTCACGCCTAACCATATCTCGCCTACTTATTACACCGCATGAGCACCTTTCGTAATAAATCAGTTCCCTTAGTCAACACAAATTAATGCCCAAATCGTTCTCAGTGCCCGATGCACCTATGTGTGTGTGTACTGGACTCCAGACTGTGATTTTCCCGATCGGTGCCGCCGCTTTATGAGGGCGCTCACGGTTCTGCTCACTGAGTACTTAGACTGGATTGTGAACGCATTGGCCTGCTCACTTTATAGCCTAAACGCGTAGTAGTCTTGTACTATTAAGTATCCATGGGTACATTTCAGATCAAGGCTTATGATCACTTTATCAAACGAAAAGTCATTAAGAATCTCAACATATGAGCAAGTCTGTCATATGGGAAGCCCTTGGATTGTAAGACGATTGTGCGTGTAAATTGTATAGCCACACTGTCAATTCGAGGCTGTGCTTAGGCGTAACAAGGGGGCATTGCACACCGCCTGGGGGGTCTCAGCCTCGTGCTTGTGCTTGAACAAAAGTTCTTGCAAGTTTTGTTGCTCAATCTATTCCATTCACATGTCTGTGGCTTAAATCATGAGTTTTGGCTCCAGCATTGGAGACTTTACCCTGCCATTATTCAAATCCTGCTGTATCATGGTACTCGACTAGACTTATCCGATGTCAGGGACAGCTCTCCCGCAATCCCAGTAAGTCCATCCGGCCACCGAGACTTGGCTCATCCGTTTCGGCCAAGCAAATATTAAGAAGACGCGAAATCGGAACACATGAGATGCCCATTATCCCCCACTAGACTGGTGTTTACCCGTCTCGGTCAGCTTAAACGTCATATCGGTATTCAGCATTTTACAGAATATGAATATGTAATGTTCCGAATCACCTTGCATTGATAACACCAAGCGGATACTCAGGAGGCGCGACAGATTTCAGGATCATCTCCGGTATAAACACGGGCAAGACGATGCAATTACTCAAATTGAGCAATCTGGGGAAATAAGACCATTCCCTCAAAGTTGTCCTGTTTGAAATAGGTCGCTTTCTTCGTGGACCCAGTTTTGGAAATGTGTCGTTCATCATGCATCAGCTCGAACGGATCACCCCCCTGGCTTTGATGGGACCTTAAGATACATGTTGGAATGAGGCACCCAGCCCTGATTGGTTTGACCCGGGCTACGCCTTACTCTTCGAAGAGCATCCCACACAGCATAAATAGTTTTTTTTTTCCGCTTCTCTTGTAGACGGTGTAACAGAAAATAACGTGGAAATAGCCTTCCGGAGCTTAAAGGTTTACTTTCTATTTTCTTTCTACTCGGGGGCTCAATTTCACTGTAAAAAGCGCAAAGGGACAGCCATGTCACGCGGCCTAAAACCCGACGTGTATATCTCCCAAAGGGTGTTCGGGCAGACTTCCCACGTGCAATTACATACATCCTTTTGAATAGAATCTCGTGCGAAAAGCGACCTCCATGTCTTTCGACATTGCATTGCCAAGGATATTACACGTCGAAAAAGTAATATTAAGATTTGGAAATTGCAGATTCTGTTGCATATGATTGCGGGGTGATGCGCGTGGGATAAACCCTGAGAGTTATTCCTTTGGTACATGAACGGGATATGTCTCTGAGGATGTAATGGGGAACTGATCTGCGCATCTGCATCTGCGAGGGGGCGGATACGTGAGGCCGATCGGCACCGTGGAACAGACATTCCTCGGGGAGTATTTGGTGATTTTTACGAAGTAGATGAATATATGCTGTATGCTCAATGTGAGATCAGCTTGACGAAAGAGTAACTCATAGAGCTAGATTGCATAGAAGTGCTATCCAGGTTAGGCTAGGTAGAATAATTCCATTGAATATCAAGTAGAGGGGCATAGTTGACTAGTCACGTAGACACGAACACGAGTAATTTTGAAACGGGCCTTTGGCCTTTCATTTGTCAAAGTACATACACGGGTGTATCGGTATACAGGACCATTATCCATACCCAAATTAAACCAAAAGTTGGAGACCACCCAAATCATATAACCATAAACTCCTGACAAAAAGGATAACACATGACCGTTTCCAAATCCAACCCAACTCCCCCCCCCAAATCCCAAAGAGTCCATCCAGACATTATCCATCAATCTCGTAATCATCAGTCTCTCGTCAGGTCGTGAAGTTGTGGAAGTTGGGAGACCTTAATTGGTGTTGCGTCGTTTCTTGAGTCGCAGACTGATTTTTTTTCGTAGTTCAGAGAACGGGTTCACCAGCGGACGGTTGTAGAAGGGATCGTCCTTGAAGTCCTCATCGGTGAATTTCTGGAACCAAGTAAGTAATAGTGACACAACAGGATGGGGAAGAGAACATACGATTCCAGGAGTGCGCATAAAGTTACCAGAACAGTCGTTCATCATGTTCGAGCCCTCTTCGTAAGAGTACTCCTGGCCGTTGCGATCCGTGGTTCCAGGAGGATAGAAGGCCACACCATCGAGGGGTCGGTGACTGTTTAGGGCGTCGGCGATCTTGTGGTGGGGAGTCGCCCGGAGAGCCTCGGCGTTTGACTCCCTGACAGCCTCAAGCGGGCTGGACTGAACATAGCGGTTTCGTTCAGGGCGGACAGCGTCGTACGGGCCCTCGTGGTGATAGGAGAAATTTGTCACATTGTCCAGCCTGTCGATGATATCGGGTTGCACAAGCTGTGAGTGGCGGGGGTACTTGTTGCGGTGACGATGGGGAGCAGAGTGCTCTCTTTTGCGTCTCGGCTCCATCGGATGATGTTCGGGTGCGCCGGAATACCAGATGGAAGGGGCGGAGTTCAAAGACTCAGAACGCGACCGTCGAGAGTAGGCAGATGGTGCTGGTGAAATGTAGCGGGTATATGGGTTGTTGCTGCCCATTGTCCCCACGTTTTGTCGATCTTGACTGTGTTGATTGAGGTGATGGGGATGCTGGCCTGAGGCCATGGGGATGCAGTCAACTGCCATTTCGATGTTGGATGATGGTGTATTGTAATTTGAAAATGTATCCAGGGTGAAAAGCGCAAGGCGCGAAGATTACCCGGTATAAGAAGTACTTTATTTAGAACAAGTGAGGCTGAGTTGTGATGCAGGGTAGCTCGTACAACAGCTGAAGATGTTGATTCTAATAGAAAAAGAGATGAATAGATGAAGATGGGAGTAGTTGTAGATGGGAGAATAGCGAGTGAGTCGGGGAGAGCTTATATCAAAGGAAGCTGCGGACGTGACGTGACGACTTGCGTCCACGTTTAATGATCTCCGTGGCTAGATTTAGTAACCTCTAGTGTGGGCTTAGTACTTGATTAACATTTTTACCAACTCCATGTACCAATCATCGCTTGAGAAAACATGTGGGTCGAATATGGGCTTGAGGCTGCCGACTCCCGGAACGTGTACGGAGCCCTGAAGTATAGTGTGATATCATTCACAGGCACACAGGAACAAATTCTCCTGTACCTATTACAGGTACAAATAAGTAATGACTTAGATTTACTCTGTAGCCATATTAGAAAGAGTCCCATGACTCACCACGCCTAAAGACTAAATCTATGCAAGGCCCATGTTGCATCCACGCATCCGAGGCTTCCACGTACTGATCGGCTATGACGAAATCCCTTGGACTACATCCACATACGTATTTTTTCTGGTTCTTATTATTTTTTGAATCGTCATGCTAGAAATCTAGGCCAGAAAAGTTAACTTTAATCTGCTTTTAATTATCATAATTAGTATCTAAAAGACCGTTGGATATCTATTCCCGGGGTATCCGGCCGATGACTCGTTCATGGATTAAGCTTGTCGCTCGGGGGAAATAGCGGCCAGCCGGTCTCATTTAGCGGCATCGAAGCCCCTGGCCTGGTCTAGATCTAGGCGCTAAACTCTCCGGGGTAGTTCCAAATTCTTTCTCTATACTTCCTTTTCACCGCTTTTTGCCCTTGCTACTGTTAATGCATATTTTTCTCTCGTATAAAACATACACATGTATACAATGTAACCAATCGAAACACAATTGGGAGTTTTGATGTGCTTGACATTCATTTTGTGGGGCGAATCAATACTACTTCTCACACAACAGCATCAGCGTCGATATTGGTAGTAGAGTAATTCTGACCAATAAGGAATAATTATTTTCTCCTATAGGCCGGTGCACAAAATAATTACTCGCATCTAGAAGGGTGGAAGCTTCTGTGATCTGTAATTGGTGACTTAAACATTGCATTTGGGGTGGCTATATAAAACCACATAGTAGAATACAGTCCGGGTTGGCACCATTCCAAGTTGGAGCTGGCAGCGACGATGGAATTACATATAAAAAACGAAGACTTGTGGAATTGACGCCCAAAACGACCGATTTTGGGGCTGGAAATGGCTGCTTTTACATCTGAGACTTTGGATGTCTAGCCACTCCTTGAAACCTAACCCAGCCCACCACTCGCTTATGGTCTACGTTAGAGCGGTGTATAAAGCGCTGCCAATCCAGGCATTCAGGCACGTCTAGAGCATCCTCGAGCTCGCGCATGAACTCCTCCATTGGTGCCAACTAAAGGAGCGGCTGATTGCCGTTGGAGGTAGGCGCTTGGTTTGAGGACAGAATAAGTCGAAGGGGAGAGTTGCATGTAGGCCGATGGACCCAAACATGCTGGAAATAGCTTGCCAGCCTTCTCTCTTGATCTGTAATGGCAGGACTGACCACTCTCCCTCCATATTTAGCTAGTAAAACTGGAAAATCCAACTGTCTGTTAGGGCCCCCCAAACCGTCCAATTTGTCTGCCCCCTTGATCTTCTGTTGGCTCGTACCATCGCCATATAGGCGAGGATTTGCCCCTGATCTGGGAAAAATACGCGTCTATTGGCTTCGATAATAACCAAATGACAGGCCACACTATCCTCCTCTCCAAAAAGGAGACTGTAATCTTCAGTCCCAATGAACATATGTGGGATATTTTGGCGGAGAACAGGCCCTCACACCAAAGGACTCTCTAGAGCCAAAGTCAATCGAGTGCCGGCAGGGCTTTAGAGCAGTCCTTGATCTAATAGGCTGCGATATACTGCCACTATCAAAGCGTCTACTCGACATCGGGACTTTCCTTCAGTAAAGACAGAAAGCTCGGTCAACTAGTCATATTTATACAGGCAGAGATCTAATCATAATCAGAACACTCCCATACTACTTAAGGAAGTGATAGCAAGTACCAAATTCAGCCGGAAGAGGAACATGTATTGAAGGAAATTGCCAGCTTTGATAGCCATCGACCGGATTTATATTGAAAGCCCTTCTCTGTTTTCTCTGTTTGAGGTAAGGTCATATCGGAGGGGTTCAGACGTGGGATATTAGGGGAGAAAGGCTGCTCGAAATGCGCAACAACAGGGGCGGGCATTCCAGACTCGGAATGCTGGACCATATGGACCAATCGGTCATACCATGCTCGGAAGCCTTGGGGTATGTATTTTCGGGGGCTTTTTAGTGCCTGCCATTTTGTTTGGATTCGTGGCTTGTGTCTTCCGAGCTTTGAATTATATCTCTACCATCTTAAAACACAGCCACCAGATAGTGTAGAAAATTTCCTTCACTCGTACTTTAACCTTATAGTCATAACCGAGTGATGTTAGCTGCGTTTAGCACCAGATGGGGAACACTTGACGTATATATGACATAGGTAACGTTGGCGATGACCTCAATATTACCCGATTCAGTTCGCTTCAGACCCGATGAACCCAAAGCCTACAGATTGGCACACCGAAGTCTCTGGGTATTCAAAACGGTTATGGGATGTTCGATCATGCAAATGCGGCCAAGATAAACACTATCGTAATACTATGTGACCTTAATTGCGATGCTATCACCTTATAAATAGGGGCAGGTACAGCGGTAAGAGTGGTGCTCAAAACTGTCAGAAGAGTGCTCGCTTTCATTTTTAGTTCAAGTAATCACAACTCTACATGCGTCAGTCAATAAATGAGACATTTGAAAGATAAGTCTTACGGTATATGTAAGTGTGTCAGTATATAGGCTTTGACAGTTTTTCGAATTCAACAACAAGCGTTCATCTTATATCTTAAAGTTTGTCGCTAGCAATATAGAAAGAAGACATTACAAAGTAGGCAATGCCTTTGATTATATACTTTGAATATTCCTTTAATCTCACGTCACAAGAAGAAAGGAAATATTGACCTACCAGAGTCATTCCCATCAATCCGCTAGTTGCACGTGTTGATGCAATTTATACCGTCATACAACATATTTTTCCATCAACCAGCCAATGGCCGAGCAGTAACTCGGCTACATCTTCCTTGGTCTAGTGGTGATGATTTCCGCTTGTCATTAATACCGATAAGCGCGGGAGACCGGGGTTCGATTCCCCGAGGGAGAGATTTCTTTTTTTGCCAGCCTTAGTACTTTCCCATACCCCATAGAAGGCCATAGAGACACTCTGGGGGGTGTTCTTTTTTAGCATTACGTGAAAAGATAAGTTAGTCATGGCGATATAGTAATTTTAGTGATTTCGGGGTGCTGAGACTTATTTTAGCAGGTAGACCAAGCAGTTCCATACAGAAAAGCGGAAGGTTCTGGTTGCGATAACGAGGGTAGATAAACATAAAACGGAAGATAATCCATGGAGATTACGGAGGAAAACTCATATAATGGCAACCAAGTATCTGGGCAAAATCGATAAACTAAGCTTTACTCACAACGCTAGAGTTGCCCATACAATGATAAGAGAAAATCCATCTAGATTTATAGCAGAGCATAACGTAAAACCGAAACTTTGATAATTGGTCAGTCATACTAAGATATAACTTGAAGAACGTCGGCAATTTGTGTAAACTCGATGTCAGCTGATATCCAGCGTCAAGCATCAAATACGAAGCATCCACCTTCAATATCTTTACCAGCACCGGCATTATCACCATCAGCTAGTGCTACATTTTCCAACCATACCACGTTTTCAGTATCCTGCAGAATAGGTAGGGGCAGTAGGCGGAGTGAGAGGAGTCGGGGGAGCAGCAGGGAGATTTGGGTAGTTTCCATTACCGATAATCGGTCCATACACACCAGAAGGGCTAGGAGGAGTGGGAGGGGTGGGAGGAGTTGGCGGAGTCGGTGGGTTAGCTTGGACTGCAGGGTAATAGCCCGAGCCCTTTCCGGGAGGAACATAAGCAACGGGAACATTCTCAGGTGTAGGTGGGGTAGGAGGAGTTGGAGGAGTAGGTGCAGCGTCATCGAGACCAACGTCACGGACTTCAAGCTCTTTATGGACTCATTTTTGTTAGCAATTATTCTCAGCGCTAAGGGAAACGATTGCGTACAGTTCAGCGGAGTAGGAGCCGCAATAGCGGTAAGGCTCAGGCCAAGGACAGTGAGAATAAAGCTGGGCTTCGTCTTACTTTGTTGAACTGGTGTTTACCTGTCCTGGTCAGGGTTTTGCGTTTATATGAACAGAAAGGCGGAAACTGGTGCTCACTGGATTGATTTGTTTTGTTATCAAATATTGATACAATCTTGGTTTTGAGAGAATAACGTGTAGAAAGTAGTAAATGACATTTGTTTTATATTCAAACACCTCCTTGAATTATACATCATGAATAGGTTAGACAGCCATCGATCATTCGAGAGATTGAAGTGCTTTCTCCATAAAATCGAATTCTAAGCAATTCTGGTCCTTAGTCCAATTGTGATATGCATCATATTTACACTTGACCATGTTGTCCTACCGTTAGGATTAGAATTCGACCGGGTATAGGTATGACTTATTGTTAAAGAGCCTGAGAACTAGTGGGACTCCTACAGTAATAGTGTGTCGAACCTCAATATATTCCTTCACATCCTCCGCCATGACTCCATCTATAACCACCCCCGCCGCTGCTCCAGTCGCTATATCATCCTCCGCCCCATGCACGACCCCCGGGGGTGGCGATACCTGTCAGCAGCGGGAATTACGCGAAGCCTCTCGTTACGGATGACCAGCGGTGGATCTACAGAGTATCAATTTGGCTAGGGACTGCCCACGTCTTAGACATCCCTTACCCTGTGTAACAGGGCTAGCAGCTGCAACAAGCGCAAGGCCGAGTATTACACAAGTATAATTCGACTTCATGTTAAATTAACCTAATGCACACCTTGTGTTAGTGCAATATTAGCATGTGAGAATGTGCATGGGCCCACTGCAGGTAAAAGTGCGCGGATTGAGACTTGACTTCAATAAATGGATGATGCTTCGCCCTTCTAGCTGGAAATAACGGCCACTGAAAACCTGTAGTTTGTCCGTTTGTTAAATACCAGGGGGCCCATCAAACAAGCGATGAAGCTACCCTAGTCCGCTATTTACGAAACAAAGCACAAGCCAAAGCTTGACCTCGAGCACAGCACTTTTTGTGGTAAAAACGATGCTTGTTCATGAATGCAGATGTAATATCTCCGCATTTTCAGTTCTATTGGCCAATGATCGTCATCTTGATATTCAATATCCAAGTAGAGTCCCACAAAGTTGAAGATTGAGTCTAGAAGAAATCGCTACCCGCAAGCCCCCCTCAATTTTGCTCGGCAAATATTTGATTAGTCCTATATCGTGTCTTGCAGTCTGCTAGATCAGCAAACTGAAGCCACTGTGACCGGGGAAGGGATTATGATCATGGTCACAACGGTGCTAATGTAACAACTAGTTATTCTGCACACCGTCACTAGAAGGGCGAGGTACCATAATATTGAGATAATTGTAGCAGACGTGCATCCCAAATATTACACATTACACCCGATTGGCCTCGGTTTTGGGCAGCCGCTCTCTACTGGAACGCCTCGGCCATAGGGCCTAGTAACACAATGTGAGAGTAGACAGACAGTACCATACCGCTATACAAAGGAACTCGAGACATTGTCAACACAAGAGAAGTGCCAATATCAAAACATAAATTTATAGATGAAATCAAAAACGATGATTGGCTCCTGGCATGAGCTTTCCCCACATCGGAGAATCCAGATCTCCATCAGAACAACAACTCCCCTGTCACATCAGAGATGACCCTAGTCCAATACTCTGATTCGGAATCTGACTCAGAGTCTAGATCCCATCCCCGCCCACTCAAGAAATCTCGCCACGACCCCAATCCAGGGATATCGCTGCCGCCCCTACCTGCAGCATTCCACAACCTCTATGCCTCGAGCACACGTGTGAGCGTGCAAGATAATCCCAGTCTTCATGGCGGCCGAACACGCATAATTCCCCATATTGAAGGAAACTGGCCAACACATCTTTATCTTGAATGTGAGTGTGGGCGCTGATGTTATCCGGATCGTGCAAGGAGCTAAACTTTGACAGGGTATCCGGGCAAAGATGAGTTATCGCTCCTTGCAGATGTCATTTCTCAGTCTGGAGATTTGTCCATTGAGGAAGCACCAATAGTACACAGTCTTCTACATAGCGATCTCGGTGCTCAGTTGCCACTGCATATCAGCCTGTCTCGGCCGATTATTCTTCGCACTGAGCAGCGTGCTTTGTTTACTGAGGCCTTGCAAAAGGTCATCCACGACTCGCATGTGCAATCGTATGTGGCAAATTTACAAATTTGAAGAATATCGGCTAATGCTCGAACCAGATTCAACGTGCAACCGGACACCTTATATTGGTCATCAAACTATGAAAAGACACGCTGGTTTCTTGTCTTGGGCGTGCAAAGACCCAGCAATGATGGTCTGAACCGCCTATTGAAGCTGTCGAATGATACACTTGCTCGCTTTGGCCAACCGCCCCTGTATGCAACCTCGACTCGTGAGCAGCAGACAACTGCATCCCTCCGTAACAGAAGTAGCGATCTGAGCGACGAGGATTTCTCCGGTTGCTTCCATATCTCACTTGCGTGGAGTCTGTCCGAACCAAGTGCAAAGGAACGTGAACGGGTCGCCGGGATAGATTTGCGAACTTTGCGAGAAATCCAGGTTGGATTTGACAGCGTCAAAGCAAAGATCGGGAATACCGTCGGTAGTATACCATTAGGGAAAAGCTCATAGGATGGGGTTTCCAGTATATTAGACGTTGTCTCCTATGGCCACCATGGCGAGTACATTCAAAACTCGAGATTGATTGCCTACTCAACTTGCTTCAATGCTTCAGGTCTCATATATTAATAAACGCGAAGAGAACTCGGGGCGATTGCATTAGGGGAGAACTGTGGGTAATATTTGATCTTTGGAACATGCATCCATACTGCTAAAACCACTACATGAATGATCATTTAAGTTGTTTTTCTTCTTATCATACTTTCATTACATGTTTTGAAAGAGATATACTTTGAAAATACAGCATCCATTTGACAGAGTATCAGTAACCCAGCATCAGTCGCTGGTTCTTGGGCTGCCATAGGGATTCCGTCGAGGGATCGTAGCTGGCTTTAATGTTGTATGGTGTAAATGGCAGAGGAACTCAAAGTACGTGGTCAAACCGTACTCCGAGGAACGTTCACATTATTTGGCCAGGAGGGCTTTCCGTGGGCGAATCTCCTCGTTCGGCTGGGCTTGGTAGGATGTCCCCGGCTCATCCTGGGGCAGCATTGAACAGAGATAACGGTGTGACTCCCATATTGTATGGGTCTCCCGGAAGATTCTGAATTGGATGTCGAACCACTGGGCGATGACATGGTGGTTCTGCTGCAGGTTCGTCCGCGCAATCCGTCGGAGTGGCCCAACCGGCCGGGAGAAGGTTAACCAACTGCCATCAATATGTATATGTAGTCTCTTGAAGGTCTAGAAATAGCTCCGAATGGTGCCCCAGTAACAATATTAGGGGATAGTTAGCCGTATTCTAAACGACCTCAGAAAAGACCGAAAGATGACAACGAAGGGGTTTTTATAGTAGCGTTAGACTTCTCTACGGGATGTACGGGCGATCATGGGTGTTTTTGAGTAGGGCATATATCGAGTTCATAAAACTATCGCTTTGAAATAGAGAAATAATCCCATGGTTTCAAGGGATTTTACATAGTTTGGCGCCATGGACCCAAAAACGTGCCGTAATTAGGGTATCAAATGAGCGTATACAACCCTAAGTGCTATGTCCCTTCTTAAGATGCATATGCACAAGCGGGATGTAAAAGCCAAAGACTCGAGATGATTTCTTACCAGTTGCGCCAGAGTGCCCAACTTGACAGAAATTAATTGTGGACTAGTAACATGCGTATCATTATACCGTGTTACCCAACGTCATATGAGGCCCGTGAGATAAAAAGGTATGGATCGTAGCACTGCCTCGATGAGTGGAGTTGACCGCTGTGTCGTCTCGCTTTCATTTTCACCCACGACCTCATGGCTCTATGGCCAAGAATCCATCTTATCGCTGTGTCGTTCGGGACATCCGGTGATAGAAAGGAACTGCTAAACGAGTCCTTGTAGGGGTGGTAGGCTGACGCTCCTTTGCACGGATGCGAATAGTGGCACGCTGTTCGTCACAAGAACCCGAGGCAAAATAACGAAACTGTAAAGTTGTTAGAATCACAACTAAACATGTGTGTAAGTGATTTGAAGTTTTCAAGAAGCCCTCAGAGAGAAGATTAAGGTCGTCAATGCCTCGCACATCCGCAGATGGCATGGCTTTCCGGCTAAGGATGATGTTGTTCATCATGAATGGGCAAGGGTGCAGTGGAATATAATATGGATAACTTACCGCTTTGTGAGTTCCGTGAGGAGTGTAGGCTTGTTGTCCATTGGGTCAAAGATAGGGGCTTCTGACAGGTACTCTACCTGGAGGTGGGGGATTGACTCGAACATCACTGATATCAGGTAGAATCAGTCATCGTAGGAGATAATCCTGCGACCTTGGTAAGGCATCTGTGCCACCGGTGGCCTTGCCATTTGTGATTGGACAGAGTCGTCCCCGTAGTCTAGCTTAGGAGTCTTGTCCTCCTCAGTGTGTCTCTTAGACCCTTTTCGTGACTGTGACCGCTTCTGATCGCCACCCTTAGTCTGAGACTCGGCATCTAGAGCTCGCTTCCCTTGTACAGGGTCTGGTTTGCCCTCTGATCCATCTCGAGATGACTGCATGCGAGCTTGGTATTGCGCCTCGTCATCCTTGAGCTGCCTCTCCCGCAGTAGGGCATGGATTTCGCTGTGTCTGAAGATCCGAATCTGCTCATCTGTGAGGGTGCGTTTCACTCCATCTGGGTAGTGTCCGAGATCATCGTCTGTGGTCTGGTCATTTTCTAGGGGGAACACGGCCAGCTGTTGGCCAGGGAAGTGATTGGATTGGAAGGCTTGGAGGTCATCCTAGATTAAAAGAGGTCAGAAAACATTTTGATCATGGATGATAGAGAAACTCACCACAGTTACATTTGGGACCTGCATGTTGGCCCAGTGTTGTTGAAGAAAGATGAGAGTCGCGGGAAGACGCGATCTTGCGGGTAATATTACGGTAATTACAGTAAGTTGAAGGTCTGCTCGCCAGTTGATCAAACCACCGGTGAAATTCGCGGTCGCCAGGGGCGCTAAGGGGCATAGCGCTCAGTGTCGTATACACCCATTTGATGCCCTGATACCCAAGTTTGGCCTAAATATAAACGACCCCTTTTACACCTCTTCATACAGTTGTAAATTATCAATCCATTTCGAGACAAAATTAGCTTAGCGAAGGATCTATGACTCTTCTTCACTCACCTTTACTTCACAATTTTTTCATTGTTATTATATAGAAGTACAAAAAAGCAAAAAACATACAACAGTGAGGATTCGCTGGTGGTCACCCACCCAACTACTAACTCACCGGCGTGTGGCTTAAGTACGGCTGAGCGGACGGGAAGCCCTGTTTTCCACACCCTATGGTCGTATGTGCCTGTTTGTGAGTGGGAGCTAAACATAGCGTGCTAGAGATGATGTGGCGACGATACTGCCTAAATTTTACGAAGGGGCATAGCGCTCAGGGCCGCATGCACTCATTTAGCCTAGCCTGAAGACCTAGGTCGAGGATGCTGCGTCTATGATCATGCTGTATAGTGGAAGACGTATACTTTTGTTAATGAAACAACAAGAGTGGAGAAAAAGTCAGAAATCCAAGGGTTTCGTCTAGGAAATGGAGGAACTCCAAGTATAGTATGGTAGGGTTACAATGTATGGCAAATATACAGTAAACTGCCTCATGTGATGTCCAGGCGTATAAATTTGCATCATATAGCTTCGCTTTATGGGTTGGCCTGATTCCGTGGAATATGCTGATTTAACCGTAGTAAGAGGTGTTAAAAGGCGTCTATATTCACGCCAAATTCAGGCCTTGGGGCATCATGTGTACACGACCCAGAGTGCCATGCCCCTTAAACGTACTCGCAGTCATAGCCTCATCCATATATTACCCCTTCAGCAGCAGTAGCCTGGCTCCGCTCCCACCTCGCAATATCAGAAGTTGACAGGCATCAACGGCACCTGGCGAATACGAGTCACCGTTCAAGCGCATCGATATGATCCCACGTAAGGCTTCATTCACAAGCCGCACATTCACAAACGGTTAGTGATTGAAACGAAACCATCTGCAGCCCGGGCCTGCTCCATCGCCCGCGCGAGGTCACCCTCGTCACTTGCTGTAGGGACTGCCAAGAGGTCATTGGAGCCTAGGTATTATTTCTACTATCTACAGCAAAGACGATCAGTCAAATCTTCGGCATTTGATTATATTAGTACACTCTATTTCCAAATAGAGCTGTAGTGTGTATATGCGAGTGACAGTAAGTATGCAAGACAAAGCCAACTCGAGCAGCAACTCGAGATCGAAAGGTATCCAAAATATCAAAGCAAATGCTCCCAAATGCGAAACCAAGACGCCAAAATCCCCTTCTAGATACACTTTTATACAAGCCAAGCTAACTCAGCAACAGAAACAAAAACAAACATGCAGCTAAGCATTGTTCGCACAAGAAAAGCTCGCACTGCTGGGGTTATCATGAAGAGCCTTTCCAGAGACCCAAAGACCAAGACCGCACAGCGCTGCACCAACACCAATAACAACGAAATTCAACAAAGTAAGCGCAATCTTTCTCGGCGACGAAAACCACTTCCCCTTGTTCATAAACAGCCAGAAGATCCCACTCAAGCCGTAGGTAAACCAACTCGCGAAAAGCGCCGTAATCAAGCTGAGCAGGTTACTGAACACGGGAATCGCGGCGGAAATAATCCACGCCAGGACCCACAGCACGAGGGCAATACCGATCCACGATCCCGTAGCGACCCAATCACGCTTGTGCATTCGGTCCGTACCCTGGAAAATACGCAAGTAGACATACTTGAACGCGATGTGGCCGTTGATCACACCGGCGATGATGATAGTCGGGAGGGAGATTCCGTATGCGATTTTTGCGACGATCGGTGAGGCGGAGCCTAGCGCTGGAGATGTTACGTCGCTGCCGGCGTAACGGTAGATCACCAGTGCGGCGGTGATGTACAGGCCCATATCGATGCCTTGCAGGAGACAGAGGGATTTTGTGAAATCTTTTGGGTTTTTGAGTTCGGCCATTAGACCGAAGAAGGCGGCGTGGCCGCAGAAGGCGAAGACGATGTTGCATACTGCTGTGAAGCCATGGAAGAGGTCTGTGTTGACAACTGCGACGACGTCTGATCCTGGTTTTGTGATTCCGACGGCGATCATGACGATTATGACTGATGTCATGATGCTTACGAATGCTAGAAGTTATTAGTGGGTGGGATTCTTTTCGGGGAGGGAGACGAGGAGGAAACGTACAAACTATTGACAGCCATGACATCTTTGCTAGAGTGCGAGGTAAAGAGCAGATGAAGGAGACTACCATGCCGACGATACCGAAGACGATGGAGCAGGTGCCGTGGTTTGTGATGGTGTTCATGGCAACGGTGAAGGTTAACAGGTGGCTAGCCATGACGAAGATGAGGAAGATGATCTGTGCAGCGCCGAGGAATTCTCGTCCCCATTTCCCTGCTATCACTTCACCGGCGTCTGCCATTGTGGAAATGTGTGGGTATTTCCATTTCATTTGTCCGATCACATAGCCAGTGTATGTGGCTAGCGAGCCTAGAAAGATCAAAACGAGGATGGCGCTGATATCATTAGTTCCCATTCCTACATTTTGAGTCAGAAGGTAAGCTTACGGAACCAGTCCCAGACCTGCCACAGCAGCGGGCAGTGACAGCACACCTAGTGATACTGTTTCGGCGACCATGACTAGTAGAATGTTAGATTCGAGGTTGATTTTGATAAAACATGTTATCACATACGCAGACCACATTGCCTAAACAAGATGTACGTTAATCACAGAGTAATTGCACTTTTCAAGCTATGCAAACATACCACCACTTGAGAACTTTGTACTTGACCTCCGCGAACTCTTCGTCGCCAAAGGCATCCTGTTTAACATTCGGAACGTCGGTGAACTTCTCCGGATCGGACTCGAAGTCGGCAGGATTGATATAGGGGCTCTTCTCATTGGAAACGAAATCCAAACCAGGAGGTGAGGAGCTCATAGCGAAGATATCAACACCAGCGGACACTCGGGAAGTAGATATTAGGTCGAGAATCGAACGAAAAAGACAACAACAAATGCAAATCGCTTGACACAACGAAGTGAAAGGCGCAGATCTTAATGAACGGGAGATAGTATTAAATATTTGAATTCAACAAAAAAAAAGGCACCAAGTCAAGTAAATTGAAGAATAAAGAATCCGCCACCCGAAACAGATGTGGATCGCCGACCTGCGGACCGGGAGGACGAATCACCTCGTCGCGACGTAATAGAAAGGCCCAAAAGGACTTGGTTCACTGGAGCCAAATGGGCAAATCTGCCTGTCAAAACTGGAGAAGAGGAAAACTTCGCTCCGATGCCGGCCTCCTACTATAGAGGTTGGCACCTGCTCTACAAGGCGTTGAAGTCTGAATTTTTCAAAGTCCGAAAGGAGGCAAATCTCTCGGGCCGCGTACAGATTAGTGAGAAAACTCTATCTAATAAGCTTATTTCTATCAGTTTAGCCTCCATCATTGTCTAGCCTATTATGTCTTGATGTCGTGCTCACATTTTTGGCCCCAAATTGCATCAGGCGTTCGGATGTAGATCGGGTCGGAGATGGGTCTCTAGTTCCGGTTATGAGGTCACTATCCTTACTTTCTCATTGGATATAGCTATAGGGCTATCAAGTGGTTTTGTTCTTTGAACATCCTACACTCTTCTCTCTCTTTCCATCAACTATAACCTGTTGCATAAAACAAAAATCGGCCTCAGCGACACAGTATCCGTCGATCGAAGTTATAAACGTTTATTTCCTTTGTCATACTGTGGATATAGGCTGGTCTGTAGCAACTCGTGGTCCCATCGTCAGTATTCGCGATGAAAGTTGCTTGTGTGATATGAGGACGTTGGAGATTCGAGTTCAATTCCCAGCTTTGGAGTTTCAGTGAAAGAACATCTTGTCTGCAGCGAGATTACGAGCGACACTGTCTCTAGCTTATTCGGTGTTGTACTATAGTATGTCATCCTCCACGTCCATACAGCCTCTGTAGCGTGGGGAACGGCCAATATTTCGCGAGGATGCATTGCGTCGCGGATCTGACTGTATAGGGTGGCTCTGCGAGTCAGGTCCGCAATTTGAGTGGTGTAGCCTTCCATAAAGCCATCATATTGTACTAGTACCCCCCACCGGCTTTCCTGGAAGAATTGTAGGTTTGTGGTATTGTCAACAGGTGGTGGCATGTCGTCAGTGAGTTCTGACATGGCAGACAGAACCCTTCCTCAGAGGTCGCAATCCGCCGGACATGGACGGCGACATCACATTGCCCGTATGAATGCCATACTGGTAAATCGTACTCGGTAGGGCCATTGATGGTTACGACGATGTTTAGCGATGTGTTATACTCACCTACGATTTGTCAGGGTCGATAGGCTGGATATGGGACAGAAAATGGACTTAAGGGTCCTGTTCCACGGGAAGCTAGATGGCTCTACCCGAATCCGCCAGAATATACACTTATAGAATGGATGGGTGGTATTGAGTAAATCTAGCCACCCGTATGAGCCTCTACCACGGCGTGGTATGTTTTGCCGGTGAGTTTTCGGAAGCCCCATGGTGTTGAAGGTCGCGAAACGAGCGGCAGGCGATTGAGGAGATGTGTGTTGGAAAGTGCGCCACATGCCCGCGGTAGACTGCTGGTCACAAACCTGGTGTGCTTCAATGATCGTATGCACGTACGGATAAGCATCGCCTCAACTTGCGTTAGGGTGAATAGGAAAGCAGGGACGATATCGAGCATCGTCTTAGTCTTCCGATAATCAAAATATGTCAGGTCCGCGGGTTCCTCTCATAGTCGACCTCTTCTTTGTGTCGACATTAATCGTAAAGAGAACAAAAGGAGAATGCAACAACACTCCGAATTGTGACTTCGCCTTCATTTTTGATGATTATAGTGTTTTGTGTCCCCCCGAGAGGGCTCGTTTGTCAGATTCCATTCAACTTTCTCAGGTTTGACCATTAGGACTTCTGCGATTCACTTTCATCACCGTCTGGTCTACCCACATGTCCACATCCAGTAGTGTAGGGACTCCTAAATGGATAGAGAAAGAGAGAGAGAGAGAGAGAGAGAGAGAGACTTAAGTGAGGAAAGGGTTGATCCTTAGGCTCCAAAGCGCAACGGCTTACCTCATTGGGTTGTTTGATATTACTTTAGTGATTCTCTACATGTATCATTTTAGGCAAACGTTCTTACCTTTCGCATCTCCTCCCCTAGGAAGATAACTCGCCCCAGTCCAATGTAAATATAACTGGGAATGGGACTCTGAAAGGGAGTGACTATCCGACGAGCTGACATACATCGCCAAGAGGGGCATGTTAACATGAGAGATTCCCATATCTCGACGCCAATGAAATGTCAGATTCACGCAGTAGTCAGAGCCCACGTCCTCCAGTATGTATCCTTACCAGAATCCTCCCCGAAGTCGTCTCTCAAGTCTCCTTACATCTTACTTTCCTATCTTTCATCCACCACTCCAGGACTCGCATCCTTCAGGTTTCTCCTTGCTAACCACCCGTATATTAGGAAATATCTCATCTTTCCTTCCTCCTACCTCACTCATATTGCTTTCAACTTCCCCCTACGGCACTCATTGGACATCGAACACTATGGATTCTTCTACATCTAGAATTCCTGTCTCGCTCCCCTCAGCAGTATTACCATCAAAAATTCAAAGGCGGCTATACCTGCGTTGAAAGCTACCCTCGAAAAGGTAGTTAAAACGATGGGGGTTCACCACCAAACATGCTGAAGCATAAGACTTGCTGCGTCTGCCCGCCTGCATTTCCTTACTCTACTCAGGTCAAAAAAGACAAACCCAGAGGGACATCCTGGGACATGAAAGATCAGCTACACCAAGGATTAACATCGAAGGAACGGGATACGAAGTCAACAATCTTCATCCTCTGAACCTCTAGTCATATTGAGATCAACAACCCCAGCTTGCGTTTTCCGCCCACACAAAGAACAAGCACATCTCGTCCTCGCGAGGCCTAACTCCTATGCTTAGTATCTCTAGGCTAAACACATGGCTTGCGGCTGGCTTTCATTACCCGCGAAAAATCGCACATGCTGAGCAACCTACACTTGAACACCTCTGCCACCACGAAGGACAGCAACAGCTTGTTCACACTAGGCCTCATCATTGAGCCTGAATCTTTCCGCAAGCTGCCTCGGACTCTCCTCCATGATTGTACTCAACACAACAACAAGCAGTACCCGACTAAGAAGCAAACAAATCCTCCATGGCGTGGTCCGAGTGCATGATTATCCTCGAGGTAAAAGCCACAGAAGCAGTGTATGACCATGAAAAAATCGTCAAATCTCGGACATTTCGGATCTATTCCATGCTGTTTGGTGGTTGTCCGCTTGAGATGATGACTCCTCTCAGTATCTTACCTTACACCACTCATCGATGGTCACAGCATTGAAAAGACGCGAACAACATCGGTGATGAGAGTCACCAATGTATATGAGACTAATGCGTCGGCAATTGTGTTTGTTAGTATGATATGTAAAGGATCTGTTGTCGTTAATTATCGATCTAAAGCCTCTTCTTCCCGTCGTTGGACCCTCACTTGTCCGGGTTCAGCTCCGCGAGGTTATGTCCTGGGAACCCGAGAAATCCTAGTTTACCCGAGCCAGGGGCTCGAGATATCACAAGAAGAAGACAGGGTAATCCATCGCCGCCGAAAAGTAACAATGGGTAGCGCCCATCCAGGTATTCATCTCAGGGGTGTATATCATACGTGCAAGTTCTCTCTCCAAGACTCTCTCGACCGCAGCACTAACATATCCTTTCTTTCCTCAATAGCCTCCACCTCATAGGAGCTGTCGCAGATTATCGAGCAGCTCTCAACAATGCCGGCATCTATCCTATCAGGATACAAACACGAGGACACAATGACGTATCGATCAAATGCTGCCGAATCCGCGCCGACCATGTTGTTCACATAAGTGAAAGAATCCTGGCTACAATCGAACAACCAGTCGAATGAATACAAGCACTCGATACAATTGCACGCATGCATAAGGACGCAAAAGAAAGATGTCAAAATATGATGATACGGGAGGAGTGTGTCCGCGGCCTTCAACTTATCGCAGTTAGTGCAAGACAACCAAAAACTCTCAGTCCCCCATTCAAGGGAAAACACGGCTTTTTCTAGTATGCATCGTCTGTTGAGGCGTAATACCGAAATTCAGGCCGATGGCGCTGCCAGACAAAAGGTATATCATGGATCGCACGACTGGAATGATAACCTGGTTCCCAAAAATGTCCCGCCTAATCGTGATCCTCACCCTGTGCGTCTACGACAAAAGCTACAGTGCTAACAATCTAGCACAGGATTTAGATAAGAAAGGCGAGATCAGAAAGGTCATCTTGATAAGACCGACTTTGATCACTTAGCAGAATGGCTTGTTCACCGTCTGGCCGGTTGCAACGCGACGATTATCCCACCCCTGTTCTCGCCTCTGATCCTCGCTATCTTGACATGAGATGGCGCAAACCTTGGACTTTCGCTGCGTTTAGGTGAAAGGCTGTGCATCAAAGATGAAAAGACGACACAGCCCAGCAAATGGACCTTGAGGACATCATATATGTACTGTAGAATGATCTTTCTACTAGTTAATATGTACATAGCTTTTCAGGTCACAGTAGAGCTTACCCGTTTATACTTGTATCTATTATCATGTTTCCTTACCCAACAACTTCATAATCTATGCTCCAAGCCCATGACATACTTTACTGGAGAATCCGGAGCAAGATATTGATATTACAAGACATGGACTCTCCCGGCACTAGCAGGAATTTGGAAGATCCTAGTCTCAAAACAGAGATGGCGCAACGCAAGTCCCGATATGGCGCGAATGGCGCGAATCCATGAACCAGCACTCATACGAGCCCATACAGAAACCAATACATCCAAACCTGGTTTGAGTTAAGAATGCATCTCTATCACCGCACTAGCAGTGAAAGATCATCGCGGCGGCTACATAGACACCATCTTGAAGTCATATGCGAGGTCATGCATATCCTTGACACCAACAGCGGTAACGATATCACCTACCTGCATACATGTACTAATCTCTGCATACATATGCATTTACGCTGGAATTACCGAATTCAGATATATCTATTCAATAGGATTAAGCATGACCTAGTGTATTTTGTACAATAAACCGGGGGCTGAAAGCCTCAGCCGGCATGAATCCATCCATCCCATCCAACCAACACCAACACCACCGGACATTCAGTCCAGATAAACAAAAAAAGCAAAAACAAAACGCAGAAACACCATGCTAGAGAAATGCTATACAAAAAGAAACCTACCAACCATCCATAGTTCGAGCACCATGCACCATAACATGCAATGCACCATGCACCATGCACCAAGTAAACCCCATCACCATGAAAATCTCACCCCAAACTCCTTCGCTTAAGCCTCCTCCTCTTCCGCTGCGACTGCATAATAGACTCCTCATTCAGAATATCCGGCGCCAGCTCGAATTCCCGCTCTGTCTGGTCAGGAACTGGATACCCGAATGCGAGGGATGAGCGGGATCCGCTGCGACGGATACCTTTTGTTGCGGCTATGGCGGCTTCGCGGACGTGACGTTGGCGGAAGAAGGATGTGAAGGGGCCTTCTCTTGGGGCTGGGTTCCAGAAGTGTGAGAGGGGGGCTTGTTGGAGGGGTCGTGGGGTTGGTTTTTGGGTTGGGGTTGAAGTTGGAGCTGGGGCTGGGGGTTGGGGGTCGGGGTGTGGTTTGATGGGTGTTGGAATGGGCTTTTTGCGTTTCGGGGTGGGTTTTGGTATTGGCTCGGGGTCGTTTGTGGTTGTGGTTGTGGTTGTGGTTGTACTATTGCTCGTATTGGTGTTGGTGTTGGTAGTGTTAGTGTTGGGGGTGGTTTTGGAGATAGACTTGCGAGCAGGTGCTGTCTTGCGCTGTTTAACAGCGCCTGCTGATTGAGCTTCTTGGTGAAGCTGTCGTGCAGCCAAGGCGTCGATGTCACTTGGATCTGGGTCTGCGTCTGCGTCTGACGTGCTTTGTAAATCAGTCGCCGGTGCTGGGGAGCTATCCACATCTTCAGCGGCACGAGATCGTTTGCGTGAGTGCTGTCGGGCCGGGACATTAGGTGTTGCCTCGGTGCCTGGCACTGGTTGTGCTTTTTCCTTCTCCAGTTTGCGTCGACGCTCTTCATCTTTCCATGCCTGGAACTTGTTCACCAGAGTGACTAGCTCTTGGATTAGGATATCGCGCTTCGGCTCGTAGAGCTTCTTGTCGCTTTCGTGGACTCCCGTCAGGCCCATCACGCGTAGCCAGTCATGGCCGCGTAGCTCGTCCAAGAGACGCTCGAGGACTTGTTGTTCGTGTTGGGCGCGGTTGCGCTCTATGTTGCGGAGTTGTTTCTCTTGTCGTTCGAACTTGCGGTGCGCGCGGAAATAGGTCTCTTCGCCTAGTGGGTCGATTGAGGGTGTGTTTGATGCGGGTTTGGGTAGGGTGATCTTTTCGCAGTCGTAAAGCTTTAGGAGGGGATTGCCGAAGGGTGTAGGGTCGGGGTTGGAGGAGAAGGGTAGTGGTCGCGATAGATCGTCCACGAGAGTGATGGTTGTTTTGGCGGCGAGGAATTCTATATAGTATCCAACGTCAGCTATGCGCTCAATACACTCGGAGTGCAAGGTCCTACCAGGTTCGGGGTCTTCCAAGCTGATAATCTGCTCATAGTTGTGGAAATACTGCGCAAGCTCGCTCTTGCACCGTGATCCGGTATCGGTCGAACGCAACGACCGTCTCCCCGACCGTGTGTCTGCAGGCTCGTCAGGCGCGTCGCCCTTGGTATCTGGCAGAGACACACCTTCCCCACCCTCTTCCTTGATCTCGTTCTCGTCGGCCAGCGATCGATTGTCACTGCGACGAGTTGGGCGGATCACAGGCGAAGGTGGTTTGGGACTCGAGTCCACATTCGCCGGGGTCACGGTGCGCTGCTTCGCGACCGACGGAGCTGGGGAGATGGTATCCAAGGGGTCTGGCGACTCATTGATGTCGTGCAACAAGTCCGTGGCGGAGGGGGTACCTTGGTCACGACGGGCGCGTGGGGTCTTGAAGAGACCATTTCCGTTTGTACGTGGCGTCGGTGTCGCCAATTGGCCCGAGGCGACTGTGTCAACTGACGAAGAGGAGTCGCGGCGAGTGCGAGAGGTGCGCGGGCGTGAGGGTTTCAAGCGAGATTTTGTAGGTTCTTTGGAGGTATCGAGACAATCGGGGGAGCTTTTGCGGCGGTCGCCATCTTGAATGCGTTTCTTTGCCAGACCGTCGGCAGGTTCTTCAGGCCGTCGCACAGAGCCGCGGAGTGACCGCGACAGGAGGGCCATTAATAAATTGGTTGAAGGAGATTAGGCGGTCATTGTAAGGTGGTGGATTTGGTGAAAACTCTCCCTTTTTTACAGGGATTTGGGGATGAGATATGGGCAGAGAAGTTCTTGGCGGATGAGGTTGAAGTTATATAACCAGGACTACGTATATTGTTTTATGGCTCTATTCACAGATTTACAATGCTTTGTGTTTTATTGTTTTATTCTATTCAGGTTTAATGTAATTGTTGAACCTGTTCAGGGACATATAGGCAAGCTTTAATATACACGCAACCCTTCACTCTTTCATCCTACGGATTTCAATTCCGATAGATCATTCTTTATACTAAAACCACTCAAATATACTTGCATAAATATTCTCAAGTCAATGCCTCGTCTCGGAAAAGGACACACCCCCACGGGCGCTATTGTGGGGGACGGCAATTCAACCGCAGATTCCGAATTCCAATCCAACCCATAGAAGGTCAAGAGCTTTGAAATTTGACAGTATAACAGTAGTAGAGCAGATCCAGGAGTATATCGTAGTACAAGGGCTAGCACATCTCGATTCTATGCTCCCAAGCAGCACCCGACGCAATAACCAAACTTCCCCCAAGGCGATATATATATATCATATGGAGCATGCATACACATTAACCCCGCAAAAAGCGTGGGGGAGGGGGGAATATGGTGTCCGAATAAGATGGAAAGGCCTCAAATCCCTCCCACGCGCATGTTCGCCAAGTTAGGTGGACGTGGGGGAGGATTTGCCAGCTAAATAGCTGGAAGTCGACCCCCATCATTCCCCTCCAGTAAACGATTTGGTATGAAAAAAAAGATGAGAGCAACTTACAAGACAAACACTAACCGACCAATAGATCACTTCCAAAATGACCAACCAAACCAAATTGAATCCCCTCCCCCACGGTGTCTACGTCCCCACCGTAGCATTCTTCAAACCTGACGAAGAGGTCGATCTCGCAACAGTCGAGAAACACGCCGTGTATCTCGCCCGCAGCGGGGTAACTGGTCTAGTAACCCAGGGCAGCAATGGCGAAGCCGTCCACCTGGACCGCGAAGAGCGCATGGCCATCACAGCCGCCACACGCCGCGCCATCAATGAAGCAGGATATAGTACCATGCCTGTGATTGCCGGCTGCGGCGCCGCATCGTGAGCAATTAGACTCCTTAGGAAAATGATTAGCGCTAATGCATACTCTTAGGACTCGTGAAACCATCCGGTATTGCCTTGACTCAGCGGCAGTAGGGGCCGACGCTGTTTTGGTGCTCCCACCCAGCTACTACAAGACCCTCGTGAGCACCGAGTCCATGCACGCCCACTTCCGTGCAGTAGCCGATGCATCGCCCATCCCCGTGCTCATCTACAACTTCCCCGCCGTGCAGTCCGGTCTCGATCTGAGCTCAGATGATATCTTGGCGCTGGCCGAACACCCCAATATCATCGGATGCAAGTTCACGTGCGGTAACACGGGGAAGTTGGCTCGTGTCGCGGCGGCGAAGCCGGATTTCTTGAATTTTGGTGGCTCGGCCGATTTCACGCTACAGACGCTTATTGCCGGTGGGGTGGGGATTATCGGTGGACTGGCTAATATCATTCCGCGCTCGTGTGTGCGCGTTATGGAGCTGTATCGTGATGGGAAGATTGAGGAGGCCCAGAAGCTTCAAGCTATTGTAGCGCGGGCGGACTGGGTTGCTATTCAGGGTGGCTTCATCGCGGTGAAGCAAGCCCTCCAATCCTACCGGGGATATGGTGGTCTTCCTCGGAAGCCTTGTGTTGTGCCCTCTGTTAAGGCTGCGGCGGCCATCCAGGAGGAGTTCCGGGAGGGGGTGGAATTGGAAAAGTCATTAGAGACAGTCTAACGGGATACTTTGTAAGTAGATTAAATGATACCAAGTGGAGATTGTTGTAAGTAATTTGTTGATCGACATGGCAGTGTGACTGTGTCATTTGTCTGATTCTCGTAGATCCGTAAGCCCGTAACTACCCCCCTCTCTTAATTATCGAGTAAAAAAGCTGTAGTTGCATGTAGAGGTTGCACTCTTTCTCCTTTAATATAAAACTTTAGTTAATTTAGGGGATGTAACAAGGGAGAGTTTGTTTTTCCCCAATCTCAAACCCCAGGTTGCATTAATCGCACATTCCACGATGAACGATCGGCAATGCAGTTGAACATAAATAGACCTGGATATCTCCTGCTCTCAATTCTACTCTTTTTCATCCTCACTCAACTCATCAACATGAAGTTCGCCTCCGTTCTGAGCGTGCTCGGGGCCCTGACGGCTGTATCCGCCGTCCAGGTGAATCCACTTCCCGCCCCCCGTAACATTACCTGGGGATCCTCCGGTCCAATCCAAGTCAACCACTTGAGATTGAACGGTCACCAGCCGTTGGTGGTCACGAAAGCTTGGGAACGAGCATGGGAAACCATCACCACCCTGCGATGGGTCCCTGCCGCTATTGAAAGCCCGATCGCCTCTTATCCAGCCTTCCCCTCCTCGACCCCCGCCGCCAACGCCAAGCGCTCGCCCGCGGCAATCCACAACGTCGAGGTCCATGTGGTGGACAAAGATGCCGATCTCCAACATGGCGTGGATGAATCCTATACACTGGTGGCAGCCAATGGTGGCATCAGGATCAGTGCCCAGACCGTCTGGGGTGTATTGCACGCTTTCACCACTCTGCAACAGATTATCATCTCGGATGGCAAGGACGGCTTGATCATTGAACAGCCCGTTAAGATCAAGGATGCCCCCTTGTACCCCCACCGTGGTATCATGATGGACACCGGTCGCAACTTCATCACCGTTCCTAAGATCTTCGAGCAAATCGATGGTCTCGCGCTGTCTAAGCTCAACGTTCTCCACTGGCACTTGGACGATGCGCAGTCCTGGCCCATGCAGATGAGCTCCTACCCCGAGATGACCAAAGATGCCTACTCAGCTCGCGAAATCTACTCCGAGCACGACATGCGCCGCGTGCAAGCCTACGCCCGTGCCCGAGGTGTCCGCGTCATCCCCGAGGTCGACATGCCCGGCCACTCTGCCTCGGGCTGGCAGCAAGTCGACCCGGAGATTGTGGCTTGTGCCAACACCTGGTGGTCCAACGAAGTGTTCTCGGAGCACACCGCACTCGAGCCCAACCCCGGCCAACTCGATATCATCTACCCCAAGACCTACGAAGTTGTCAACAATGTCTACCAGGAACTGTCTAAGATCTTCGGTGACAACGTCTTCCACGTTGGTGGTGACGAGATCCAGACCAACTGCTACAACTTCAGCACCCATGTCACTAAGTGGTTTGCCGAGGATCCCTCGCGCACCTACAGAGATCTCACCCAGTACTGGGTTGACCACTCCATGCCCATCTTCCGTAGTGTCGGTGACCACCGCCGCCTCATGATGTGGGAGGACATGGTCATCGCCACAGAGAGTGCCCACGAAGTGCCCAAGGATATCATCATGCAGAGCTGGAACAGCGGCGCGGGTAACATCAAGAAGCTCACCAAGGCCGGCTACGACGTCGTCGTCTCTTCCTCTGATTTCCTCTACCTCGACTGCGGCCACGGCGGCGCCATCACCAACGACGTCCGCTACAACGAGCAGTCCAACACTGCCGGCGGCGTGAACTTCAACTACGGCGGCGATGGCGGCTCCTGGTGCGCCCCCTACAAGACCTGGCAGCGCATCTACGACTACGACTTCCTCACGAACCTCACTGCCACCGAGGCGAAGCACGTTATCGGTGCCGAGGCTCCCTTGTGGGCCGAGCAGATCGACGATGTGACCATCTCCAGCGCATTCTGGCCTCGCGCCGCTGCTCTAGGTGAGCTTGTCTGGTCTGGTAACCGTGATGCTGCGGGCAGAAAACGCACCAATAATCTCACTCAGCGTATTCTGAACTTCCGTGAATACCTCGTTGCCAATGGTGTGATGGCCACTGTTTTGGTGCCTAAGTACTGTCTGCAGCACCCTCATGCTTGCGACGCTGATAAAAACCAGACCGTGATCTATTGATCGCAGTTTGAGCGGGACTTTTCGTGAACTTTATGAATATCGAGCTAGTCCTATCGTCTACTCGTGTGTATATACTTAGTCTATCTTCGATACCCAATATGGAATTTCTACCTAGACACATGTTCATATTCTGCATACCATTTCATGTCACATTTCATGTACAATAGTTGATCCAAATAATCAGCATCTTACGACAGCCAACACCTCGAAGCCACCTCCCTTATACATATGATATCTACTCCATACCCAATTCCAATCAGGCACCAAACCCCCTCCCCCAGGCCAAATCAAAATCAAACCCAACCCCAACCTCTCCCCCTCTGCCTGTAATTTCCATACATCCATACATGTACCCATCACTCCAATCAATAATCCCGCTTAATCCAAACAAACCCACCCCATAACCAAAACCCAACCAAAACATCACAAGACCCAAAAACCCCCAGACCCTCCCCCCCCTTCCCAACCCACCCAGCCCACCTCAATCCAACCTCAAACCCCGTGCAACATCCCACATCCCTTGGAAAGATCCCTCGGCCCCGACCCGGACTTGGAGTCTTCGGGACGAGCTTGCAGTATGCATGTATTACCGAGTACTCCGTACTGTATGTAGTATGTAGTGTGTAGTAGGGAGAAACATGTACATGTAGTTATGTACGTAAGTAGGTACTACGTACAGTCCGAGCAGTGTTGTATGCAGGTCGGATAAATTAACATTGGTATGTGGAGTACCTGCGGTATATATCTCTCACGATATGCTATGATTGAGCCATGCGTATGTACATGTAGGTACAATGTATAAGGTGAATGCGATGTGCATATTACAAATTCTACATGTGCATCTCAATGCCTGTCTGTATTTGTATATAAATCTCGCTACCCATGGTCAATACCATACCATACCCCATCGCAAACCAGCCCAGTCACCCATCCCTGGAAAATCCAAACTCGAAACCCAGCATACATATTCAGGCCGGGCTGGGCTGGTGGGGTTTGGAGGGGGCTGCTCACGTGTACACGTACATGCAGACGCAGATATGTTGTACAGGGGGTTAGGCGGGAATGACAAATTGACGGATTGAGGAGGAATAGGCGAGCTGGTTATCTTGCTTTAGGAAATATGCATGTTCGTGTTCATGTTTACCTCTGGCTGGGTCTCGTCACACGTGGCGTTTATGGAATCTGGCACTGATGAGATCCTTATTCTTTAGTTTCTACATATGTGGTCTAGAACGAGGATCTATATTGGTTTGATATGGGGGCACTACTCTACACCTACTTTCTTTTGGAATAGGAAATAAATGGTATTTATCTTCTTTTACCCTGTATATATGTACATTCTCCGGAGGTATTCGGGTACAACCCCGTCTTCACATATCATGTGTTCATACAAGTACCGACGCTTCCATTTCCGGTTCGCTGTAGTAAAGATCGGGAACTGATTTCGCATATTTGACAGAGGATGTACAAACACGCGGTCGTTCTGTGTAACGTGTTTATATTATTGGATTGGGTGTTGCAGTGTGTACTTGTGTTGGTGTTCGGTTAATATATCCAGGGATGGTTGGGGAAGTAAGCTTCTATTCCTGGGAATGCACTTCTGATTTGGTTTGATCTAGTACTTCTTAGGTTGGTGCTATTTTAGTAAAGCTTTTCTGGTAGGTGTGGTGTTTCTGTCTTTGACTTTGAGTTATGGTTTACGTCTTACCTGGCGAGGATGAAGGGTGGAATAGGTTTCTGTATCACAGTCGTGTTTCAGCATGGATCAGGGTTTTTTTCTGTTATATCCCTTGGCTTATGTTTCATGGGGTTATGCGGGTTTCGTGTGACGCGCGTCTGGCATATTATATGCTGTTAGTGGTTGAGGTGATGAGTTGGGGTTTGGTTTGAGCTTCTTTTGCCACATGTATCGAGCCGAGAAATATATATCGACATCGCAAAAATAGAAAAACCATTCATTAACAGCCATTACCATTTTGACAATGAGTCTTGATCTTACTCTGACTCCTATTTCATCTCGCCTCGTTACTCATTACACAGCATCAACCCAAAGAACCAGGTATAGTCTGATCGCAGGCCACGACCAAATAGAAGGTCTCGTGTTGATTAAGGCGACAAGTCTGGAACCGTGTATTCGACGGGATTACGGAGAATTTGCGCCATTTTATGTATGTTTTCATGGTCCCTCACTGGTATACTAGGGCGGTGTTTCATAATATATCCCGGTCGATTCTGACGTGCGTGTTGTGAAGGCCTGCAGGGACTCGACATTTGCATGGAAGTCCTTCTAGAACACAACTTGTCCTTGGACATACCCGTGTTCTAGGCATATATCTATATCGAGGTTCGGCGAATGGTATCTTGCGATGTCAAGTCTGGATATATCGCATACGTCTTCGAGATACCACATCGGGACCCCGACTCGAGAAAAGGCAGTAGACTAGACCAAGGAAATAGAGACATGTTCCATACAGCGCATCAAATGCCGTTGACCCGGGTCAATATCCAACATGCTTATCATAAGCCTAAAGAGCATGGGCGATGCCTGTAGGTTGCCCGGGTATACGTCGTATAAAACCAGACATAAGCAGCGGACCGAGCTCAGACGATGAAGATCTCCCCACAGATCAGCCCACCCTATACGTGCAAGAATAATGTACCTGCTCGATATACGCCACAACCCCCATAGGATTATCAAGCGGTGTCTGGCCGCGTATACATAAGTCCCCCTCATACCCAGTCTACCGGGTGTATCTGCATCTGAGCGGATCGTCAAAGCATCAAACTTAAATTACCAAAAACCCACTATAAAATGCACCTGCCTAATACGTATGCCCGGGTAGTGATTCTAAACAGATTTAACCTTACTAGATCGTCTTGAGGAATTCGTACCGCGTGCTCGGACCAATTCCACCCGGGTGTCGGTCGCGCCCTGTTTCTACCCAAAATGCCGGGAGAAGATAATTTTCACGACGTCACAGAAATTAATTGTGGGTATATCCCGTGTTACCTAACGTCATATCGTAGCACCGCCTCACTGGGTGGGATCTCGGGGGAGAGCAGAATCGCTCCCCATGGGTTGAGGAGAGTGGCTAGTGAGTGGGGAAGAGGTTAGTGTTGGATATGGAGGTTTGGTTCTCTTCTTTTTGGTTCTTTTTTTTTTTCTTCTGTGGCTCAAGTTTTGTAAATTGTGTACTGGTATCATGGAGGAAAAAAAAGTCCGCAGTGGAGATGTGATCCACATACATTGTCGCTAGTGAATACAGTGCATAAAATTTCGAAATCGTTCGCTTCGCATTTATTCGGGATCGGCATGCCAAGTCAGATCCAAGATGACATATCGAAATAGGTGGATGTGTGATATATTCCAATCGCCGATCGGAGACCAGGGATGTGTATCCGGCATCGAATAATCTGTCCCGGGATCCCGGAAATGTCGATCATTTAGGAAGGTATAGGGGATTGTCAGTATTGGGTTAATACTTGATGCATAGGTATACTCGATCCTGATCGTGCATGTGCAGCAAGATCCTCTTTCCTATTATGTCCATGTCGAAGTTGACAGTTCGGTATTTGATTGGAATAATGTGGCTTGATTGATCATATAGTTCGCTCTAGCTCTTGCAATTGTTTGTCTAGCGATGTTGGAAAGACGTGATTATAGGTACGGCAGTGAACAGCACATGTCCGACGTGCAGGGAATCATTAGGACACATGCAAGATGTTCTATCAATCTTAAAGTGTATTTGACTCGGCCATGGGTCGCACAGTGTAACGCCTTCCCTCGAGTTTATCACGGGATTGGAAGGTATATCCACATTTCCCTCGGCTGTGACACCTCTCAGATATCAGAAATCAGATGATTGGATCCCGGTTTCGATCTAAAGAACCCCATATTCGAGTTGGATACATTGTATAGTCTAATTAACTGAGGGAAATTCACGAGGGGCATTACGGATATCGCTGAGAATTGATTGGGCCATGTGATGCACAAACCTAAATAGTAAAATAGTAAAAGGCCTAGTCTGATCTACGCTAACAACTCCCAAATGCTACCCACTGAATCAGGGCAATGTACTGGGATTAATAGCTTGGCCCCCTTTCTCAAAGTTAATCTTGCATATCGCCCGTGTCAGTGGAGGGTGATTGGATATCTTACCCCTCCCGGGTGAACACCGTAGATCAGAGCCCTGGTGACTCTAAGTTGGTCGCGTCTTGGCCGCGTCTGGAAACGAGAAGCAATGAATTAGGAATAGGTAATACGGAGGACGACTCAAACGCGAATATCAAGAGCTGCACCATTACGTATAGAACTAGTTTCAACCACAGAACTCACCTCGCAATGCAGCTACTCAGATTAAGAGGATTAACATCCCTGTCCTACCTGCATTTAACCTTGCTTAGCGATAAACTCAATCAAATATACATTGGGTAAACTACCAACATGCCTACGTATGTTGGTATTTGTCCTTCGCTCCCCAAACCCAATGCTGCAGTCCCACGAAGACCGACGATCCTGTCCCAACCATACGGAAGCGAGGAGCGAGAGGATCGGATCATGCCTATAGCACGGCAGCTTGTCTTGTTTTGTCCATGGACAGGACCAATAGCATAGTCTGGATATCGGGATTGCAGGTGCGTCCCGTCGTGGTGGGACAGGTAAGGAGATGTCTGGCTAATGGTACGGAGTAGATTACATCCTACCCGGGTTAGCTATAGCGTATTACGTATACTGTAGGTACGTTGGATTGTGCATGTCACCAGTTCTCAAGTCTACATGCAGGTGGTTCATGTGACGCCTGCCGCCCCTATTTTCAGGGGTTGATAGGTAGATTATCATCAGATAGGAAGAGACAAGCATGTTATTATTGGGTCAGGACAATTACATTTTACATACTCCGTACTCCGTATGGAGTGTAGTAGTAGGGCTATGAGGTTGATATACTTATATGCCATTTCTTATTTTGATAGATTTACTTTGCAGACGAGGCACCATGAGAGTATTAGCCAATCCAGCATCAGGATCGCCGGAGCACATGGCGATCGAGTATGGAGCACCTAAGGCTCAGTTTCGTTCGCCTTGGTAAACACATGCCCATGGATATGACCTGTAACATCGCAATCAATAGTGTAACAAGTTTGCACACCACCCCGTACTCGCAAGATCCACCTTTTCTGAATAACCTCTCCGGATAATATTTCCTCTGCGGAGACTGCTGGTTAACTCCCTTGTGTGCCGTAATATACATAGCTCTAGGTCTACGGGGTATCATGGAAGAAAATAAATGAAGCTAGCGATAGCAAATCCTTGCCGTGCTATGCGAGCAACATGTATCCACAAGTCGTCCCGTGGAGATCGTGGACACGCCCCACCCCCCGGTCCGTTTCCGCGGGAAATCCAATGGAAATGAAAACCGGGCACTTAAATTGAGCCCTATAGTACTCCGTACTGTCGTAGCACAAGGTTGTAGAGCGTGGGGGCTTAGCAACTCCAAGCCTGCCAAGCACCAAAGTCGGTAAACAGGGCCACCTATACGAGGCTTGGGAGCGGCCCCGCTTCCTTATTTGAGCAGGGGACCGACCAACGCGGAATAATAGTGCCAGGGAAATGAGGATCATGGAGACGTGGGCGTCATCCCCACTCGCGTAAGGGCAAATCCCTTGGTGAGGTTGGTGTTGGCGTGATAGTGGTTTGGGCCGGGGAGGATGCTAGCTTGCACATGGCGGCAATACGAGCACGGGGAGGATGAGGATGTGGATATGGCAGAGATTTTGAGCGGATCGTTGTTGGGTCAAAGGATTCCAAGCGAGGTCTTTGGGCAGATCTAGAGCCTGGGATCACCCGAGCTGCCGTTGGAAGCTGCTTCTACTCCCTTCCAAGCACATCTTTGCTGTCTATTGGTAATCTATCGAGGATCTTTCTGTGTTGTAACTGTGAGGCTAATCTAGGTAGTAAGAATGGAGGAAACATGGGGGACATATTAAATTAGAAAATTTAGAGAAATCCAGTTTGTTGTGATATATTGTTTTTAAATGACAGGATGCAGCGGGAGATATTCTGTTGTGTAACTTAGAAGGGATTCCTGGTGTTATTCCAGAAGGAATTTATTGCTTGGACAGGGAGGAACCCTGTATATATATACATTTGATGGCGCGCGGTAGAGAGACACAAACATCGCTTCTTGAAACACCCCTTTGGTGCCGGTCGAATGTGGTCCGACCAGACTGATATTAAGTTAAGTCTGGAAAAATCCAACAGGTTGGTTTGTATTTAGAAATTTTGAATGTTAACCGTGCACTGAACGGTAGTTCTGATGATTGGCAGGGATTTCTGTGTTTAGTTGCCGTAAAACAACAACACTAAATGCTAAATGAAGGTTTTTGTCAAAGTCATTAAGAGACATTTGTTGGAAGAAGGAGCAATACAAATTACTGTGAAGCGCTTATTAAAAACCCCAAAGTGTGCACAGATTACAGTTGGTGTTCATGCACCAACACACTCACGCCCATGACCGGATTTGTGGTCCAAAACGATTACATCGAGACAGTCGAAACCAACCGAAGGACTGAATAGAAATAAGTGTGGGTATGGTATAACAAGTTCAAAGTTTGTACGACTCTCAATTATCGGGGACTAAAGGACCATGAACCATGCCTTCGCCGACCATTTTACTAACTCGAGAGATGTAACCACCACCTGTACGGATAAGAATAATAAACACACATCTAATTATTCCTATCTCCAGTCGTGCAACTTCACGTTGTGTTCCTAAAAAAAACTACCTACGCGATCTGGGATTCCTATACTAGACTAAGTTGTGTATGTAAACACAGGATCGCCTTGTTGCGGATATCTTCTCCCCCTCCGGCTGTTTCACACTGCATTGTTTCACTTCTGTTTTTAGAAACACCACGCGGGTGACAGGGATTAAACTTTGTATGTACCCATGTATTCCCCCCCCACCAACAATCATGCGCTCTGTTCCTGTAGGGCTTAGGGCCGCGATTTGTATGCCCTGCCACGAATAACACCAAAGGCTCAAGTGTTGGGATCGGCGGTTGTTCGAGTTGGTCCAGCGTCAACGATAGACTAAATTAGAATCTTGATATGGCATTTTTTTTGGGTTTCTACTGCATCTGGGATGGTTGCCGCTCTCTTGATGATTAGTTTATAGTTGGTTAATTCTTGGATCTGTTTGTGTTTTGGTAATACGTTGCAAAACTGGGGAAATATCAAGGTCTGGGGATAATATTTGCCACTCCGGAGACATGTGTCTCTGACCTCAGGGTGATCCGAGCACGATGGCATCAACAGTAGATATTTGAGGTTGGAACAAAATAGAGTTGTAAGCTGGGAGTTCCATGGTTCCGTTCGAGTCAACCATGGTCCCGCGGTACCCGGACTACTCCGTAAATATTACTGTTATCATTCTTGGCCTCATTTCGCAATCTTGGAAACGACAGCATTAACGCATTGGGCATCTCCTTGCCAATTTAGGGAGGTAACATCAAGGTTGATTAAGAGCCTCTTGATTGTCATATTTGTAATTTCGATATTGCGGGCCAAAAGAGGAAGTCTTCGGGGTCGCCGGATCAGCCTCATTTTTGGCATGAACGTTATACCGGTCGTATAGTTAATATGATATTTGACGTCGGTAATTGGGCACTCAACTGTACCGACGCCACGGCGATGGCTGGAGCGGAGAGTTCTTAGCTACCCTAATCATCCTCGAAATAAAAGAACAGTCTGGAATGTCAGATTCAATGCTTGGCTCAGTATGTGTGTTTCAGTGTTTCAGTGGAATATTGCAACTCGTTGGGGGCCAGAACGGAAGGGCAAATTCAGCGAGCGATTGGGTTGAGTAGGACACCCCCATCACACGTGTGAAGGACTGACAGTCTCAACCAGCGACCGTTTCTCAGTGCTGACTGGCTAATGTGCTTGAGGACGTTTTGGGTTTATCCCTTGACGTGGACGTTGAGCATTAATAATCCAGACAGTTAGATGTTACATATGACATACCTTTTTCAGCCATTCACCATTAGAAGAATTATGGTTAACAGAAGTTAGCGTCAACTGCAATTATTAACCCATTGCCCGGGTAGGTACATATGTCAAAACCACGGCGTAAGGCAAATGCCTGCATGCCGACCGCCATTTTAACTAGGCCAAGACTTTTTACACCCACAAAACCAGGGCCAAAGAATCGGTCAAACCCAGCACATAGGCCGGATATGACTTCATTCCCCCAGTTTGGCACAGTCTAGGATTTAGACTGTGCATACTCCGTACATCAGTTTTAACTAGAATTGGGATAGGCCCGTCCCACGTCCATATTGAACCCACGGGGTTTAGTACCGGGATCGCCGATAAATACGAACTCCCCAGTCAGCGGTGTATTTATGCAGCTGCGCCTTGATTTCAGGGATGTATATTGTTGGGCCATGCAACGAATTCTAAGAACGTCTTTTTTTTCGCTTATGATTGGCACAGACCAGCATGGGTCTCTGTGGCTTAGGATAGATGTGGCGCTAGTCGTATTTAGGTGCATCAGTGGTTGACACGGACACTCCGAATAATGACAGCTCGCACTGCTCTCCCATGTACCCCTGTGCCGGCTAGGGCCATATGGCGTAGTTAGTGTAGATATTGTAATCTAGGTGATCTAGACGAATGTGCCAAAGGGGGAATGCAGAATGTCTAGAGGGACAAGATTGGATCTGGTTTCATTTCCTGGTGTTTAGTCATATTTGGTCACCACGATGCTGTTTCGTCTATACCATGATGCAAGCACATAAAGCCTAAATAGTGATCCATATTAATCCGCGATTGAATCTCCCAAAAAATGAGAAATGTTACTTTATCACCGTGCATGCCGGAAAAAAATTGATTGACATTATTTCGTCGTATTTAGGGTAGACCCACTATTGGTTTTCTCCGGAGATACAGCTCCGATCAAGGGATGTACGATGTATCTATAGAGACAACGGATGTAGACAGATTGACAGTATTCCATGAGTTGTATCTAAGAAGGAAAGAATCGCTGCCCCGATTCCTTAACTAGGAAATAGCGGAAAAGGCAGCCAAGAGAAGCAGGCCGAATCAAAATGACCAAAGCATGCGGCTCTTGCAGGGCAGCCAAACATAACTCCGGAAAGGACAATCAGACAAGGGGAAAAAAACCTTGATACAACACACTGTAATGATCGCCTGTCATGATTACCTAGAAGTAATAATGGGCGAAACAGACATGAACCGAGCCCCCCCCCAAAGGACGGCTATCGAGCGCTCGGAAGGCATTTCGGGAACCTGATTGGGGAAGAGTTACGACTCCCTCATTTCATTTTTCATTGGGCTGTCACACATGGGCCAATCACTCTTCCGTGCACGCGGTTGGCCTGCCGAATTATGGAGGGATGCTAAGTGGATAGGGTCCCCTCAGGGATCGACCGAACCCATGGAATTTCGATGTGTTTTGTATTTGTGTGTTATGTGCGGAGTACTCCGTGGTGCGTACTGTTATCCCTTTTCGTCTTTTAAAACATTCTTATACTCGCCCTTTTCCTTTTTCGCACCCTAGTTCTCCCAGGAAAAGGGTACATCCCCAGTGCTGGGTCTATTATACTTTCTCCCTGCCTAACTCCATGCTCGGTATTCCCAAGTCCACTTTTCCTTCCATGATTTGTAAAGAGAGTTTGATGAGTAGTCCGGACTCTGGCGGGATAGACCATTTTTGAAAAAAAAAAAAGTGTATAGAAATTTTCTCTTATGTTGAGTGACATTGTATCTTTAAACTATTTTAATGCATTGCCGAAGTGACGAGGCTAAAAAGGTGTGTCTGGGGGAAAAAGGGGTCATGGCGCCACCACGGCAGAGAGCCCCTACTATGCAGAACGGAGGTGCCGATGACGACAAGAAAAATAGCAATTGATTATCTATATGTAATCATTCCCGTGCAACGGTCGACTTTCTGACAGGAGACTTCTTTTGATCCCCGTCAAAAATCCAATTTGTGGTGCAGGGATTTTCGAAGCAAAAGGACTAGCAACCTTTGCACAATAATTGCTTTTCATCTCAATATACGCCCTCGACCTCCTATGAGCACGATGGACGATCGACCTTGATGCAGGTACTTTGTGAAAATCAATATTTACTTCCACCGGAAATAATTCCGGGACAAGATGTTCGGGGATCGTACCCGTAGGGCAAGAAGGAGTCAAAAGTGGATAAACGTAGGCGAGCTGTCAGAACCCAGAACTACTACTCCGTACTCGGTAACTAGAGTGGGTTATTGACTATTGACGGGATAGTTAGCAGACATTGGGCGCCTGAAGGCTGAGCTGATGGCCTAGACAAGTGTTGTGCATACTATAGTAGAGAATAGTGTGCACACAAGTCTTTATGGAGTACGGGAGTATGGAGTATGTGATTTCAAATGACCTTTCCGAGGTTAAAGACATATTAGTAATTCACAATAATTACGAACTTGAGAATAATAGAGACCATGTCGAGGATTTCCCATGTGCAGATAATAATAATAGCCCGAGTCCCAAATCTATCTGCATGGGCGCTAAGTTTCCCTGTCCTTGTTCACAGCCCCAACACGTTCAACTGGTTCGTGCCAAAATTACCGTATGTAATGGTATGTAATGATATATTATATTATATTATATTATATTATTTATTTGCTTTTTATTTTACTACGGAGTAGCTTTTTAGTTTTATTTTTATTATTTTCAATTTTCCTTTTTATTATTTTGGTTTTTTTAAAATAAAAAAATATATAATTCTAGACACAAGACTATAACTGACTACTGTAGGGCGGGCCCATCGTCACCATTTAACAATGCGTCCTGCTCTTTGACATCTATAATATCCTCTCCTCCCTCCCTCCAGTCTGTCATGAATGTAAATCATTGACTCGACTCATGATCCAGCGCCCCTTCGGATTTCGGGAATACGCTTGACTAACCTTGTCTCCCTCGACTCTTTCCTCACTGTCGATCGACATTGCTTTGCTACCCGTGTTTGTCGAGTTGCAATTTGAATGAGACCTCCCTGCCTTGCGACATAGTGTACCCCCTTGCTTCATTGCATAAGAACTTATTCTGTCAATTGCGCACGTTGCCTCATTTTTTTTGTGGTTGGCATCTTTGGTTAGCCGAGCGGGCCGCGATCTTACCCAGAAACCTTATCACCGGTATGTCTATGCGTCACTTGGGACCATAAAGTAGCATATACTGACCGGTCCTCTGTGTCTAGGATCGCCATTGCGTATTGCATTTCTCAATCACAGACATGACCGCTTTCGAATCCAACCCCGATTTCACTCTTTTTCCTCTCCAAGCTCGATCCAAGATGATGGCTGTTGAAGCTACCAGGCCTAAACAGCTCCCATACTTCGATCCCATGACCATGAATCCTTCCATGTTCTTTCCCGTCGAGAGCCTCCCCCATTACACACAAGGCCATGATATGTCCCATGCTTCTCATTCCTACTACGATACCCACCCGTTGCTAGAGTCTGCAGATCTGCAAAATCCTACATATTTCTCTTCTATACCCGCTACGCCCCCTTCAGTCTCTGCATCACACTCCGCAGAGCCATATATCCCTACCGGATCTGCTACCTCCGGACAGTCCATTGCTAGCGCATCTTCTTCGGCCATGGGTTCACCATACTCAGGCACCGCCCATGCTTTCCAGGAGACCTGGGTGAATACGAACCACGGATTGGGTCTACAAGCCGCAGTGATGAACGATCTTTTCTCTCAGGAGTACGTGGGGAGCACATTAGACATGGAAATGGCTTACCAAGAGAAATTCCCGGACCCTTTTGTTGGTATGTCTTGATATCAATCGCAAAAGTTATCTAGTATACTAACAATGCATACCAGATCCCTCATTGATCCAACCGACACAACAAGGTCCTGGAATTACCCCGACTATCTCATATCCCGACCAACCCACCTCTTCTTACTCAACCGTGCCACCCAATTACATCTCCCACTCTCCCGCGCCATCACCTCTCCCATATAATGACATCGCGGAGCACCATCCCTCACCCCGCTCACACCCTATACAGCACACTGGGCCATCGCCCCTCATGGTCCCACACAGGTCGCATTCGCGACCACTCTCGATCTATGATCGACGATCATCAATCTCCTCAATTCATTCCCGACGATCGCAACACAGCCCGGCGCTGAGCAGCATTGAACCGGACGAAGAGACCAAAGAGAAAGGCCGCTGCCCACACCCCGACTGTGGCCGAGTCTTCAAAGATCTGAAAGCCCACATGTTGACGCACCAGTCAGAGCGGCCAGAGAAGTGCCCGATCCTGAACTGCGAGTACCACATCAAGGGCTTCGCCCGCAAGTATGACAAGAACCGCCACACCCTGACCCACTACAAAGGAACAATGGTATGCGGTTTCTGCCCGGGCTCCGGCTCCCCCGCGGAAAAGAGCTTCAACCGCGCCGACGTCTTCAAGCGACACCTGACCTCCGTCCACGGCGTGGAACAAACCCCACCAAACTGCCGGAAGCGCAGCCCCGGCGTAGCCAAAAAGGGCACCAATTATAGCTCCGATGCAACAGGAAAGTGCTCGACCTGCTCAACAACCTTCAGCAACGCGCAGGACTTCTACGAACATCTGGATGACTGCGTGCTCCGCGTCGTGCAGCAAGAAGAGCCCTCGGAGGCGATCAACCAGCAGCATCTGGCAGAGGTCGCTTCGGACGATGAGGTCAAGAAGACCATGGAGAAGCATCAACTACTCGACATGGCCAGTCCTGTCGACCAATTCGATGATTACGAGGATCAAGACGACGATGATAGCCACGATCCTTCCAGCTGGCGTGGCTTGAAGACTAAACCCAGATCCTCAAAGGGAAACATCCCTGCTTCCCGCCCTATTCTCGGCTCCGGCAATGCCATCTCCAAGAATTCCTCCAAGCCTCGGGCTGTTGCAACCCGCCGCCGCAATAACCGCGGTAGCTATCCCAACTCCTGGGGCTGCCCTGGTAGCACCATGAAGACCAAGAAGCGTGTGTTGTGTGTCTTTGATGGTCAGCGCCGTCTGTGGAAAGACGAGATGATGCTTAATAACGAGTTCGAGGTCCGTCTGAGACTCCAGGGTGGCGCGGGTGACGGCACCAGCCGCGATGCCTACGTTACCGATCTGGACGTCGAGACATTGAAGCGCGCCGAGGGTGTGCACAATGCCACCGAGGAGGAGCGTGGTCCTTGGTTGAATGGTCCTTCGCCAGATGTTATGGGTCAGCCGGCGATGCTACTGCCAGAACTGTGCCAATCCCATGATGATGAGCTTTCAATCAATGAATTAATGGCTTAAACGATCTTCCTTCTGTTTTCTTTTCTCCCTACGTCTTCCTCCTTACTCTATATTCCCCCTCTCCCCTTGGAGACCTTTTGTCTATTTCTACCTTTCATGTCTCATGTTTTCATACATCTGCGTCTTGGAGCGATTTGTCTGAATACGAATGGATGATACCTTGGGACTGATACGTTTGAATGACTTTTGTTTTCTCAGGCTTGTATGCCTCCAGGGCTATGCCGGATCCTGCTGGTCGGGATCTACCAGGACACTATTAATTGGAGACCAAAAATGAGTGTCTAATTCAAATTATAAGAAAACACATTTTATTTTATAGTTTCTGGCATCAATGTGTAGTTTAAAGTAGCAAAGGCCAAGAAACACCATCTGCCGATCTTCCACCCCGTGTTCTGCCATCTTCCCCGTTGTTTCTCCATCCAACCTCCACGATGCAATTAGGACTTGCAGAAAATCTACCCACGCTGGTCGCAAGACGCTTTACAGCTGCCCGAGATACCGGGGCTCTCGTGTTCTCTTCAACCCATCTGTCCATTATCAATGCGGCAGGGATATCAGTGAGTGGACGCTAAGACTTCGACCATAGCGGTTCTAACCTTCAAATCCAGTACCAACTTCGCTACTGCCCTGCCCTCGCAAAGAAACCCTCTAATATAAAGCCTGACAATGGCCCGAAAACACCTAAGCCCGATCCCTTCGAGAATCCATCTCCAGACCTTCTGATCGCCCAGTTCCCGCCCGAGAACCCCGCTTACAACCTCATCCTCAACAAATTCCCCGTCATCCCGAACCACTTCCTCCTCGTGACAAGAGACTGGCAAGCGCAGACGGATATCCTCCACAAAGCAGACCTAGAAGCTGCATACGAGTGTCTAAAAGCCTGGAACACCGACAGCGATGGATCTCAATCTGCAAACGGCTCATCTCCAAAGAGCCTCTTTGCCTTCTTCAACTCCGGCGACGACAGCGGGGCAAGCCAACCTCACCGTCACCTCCAATTTCTGCCTGTCGAAGCAATGCGCCAGCCGGGCTCGGAGTCCTGGCACCCACTGATCGACCTCACATCCCAACCAACCTCCCCCTCCCTAACACCGAAGTTCCAACACCTATCAGGTCTCCCATTCGCCCATTTCGCCCTGCCAATCCCACCAAACCCCTCCGTCGAAACCCTGCACGCAATTTACCTAACCCTCTACAAGGCCGCAGCGGCAGCGACGCGCGGACAAACACCAAGCCAGGACACCGAGCCCCTTCCCACTCAAGGACCGGCATCTATAAGCTACAACCTGGCCATGACCTGTTCGACGATGATGATATGCCCGCGTAGACAGGAGACGGCGCTTGTCCCCGTCGATAGTGCTGCGGCGCGTGATATTGTTGATCCTGGACTGCTGTCGCTGAATGGAACTATTCTCGCCGCGACGCTGATGGTTAAGGCCGAGGGCGAGTGGGATGCTTTGCGTAAGAATCCGGAGCATTTGACGCATGTTCTTGCTACGATTGGATATCCTCGGACGGATTCTCGGGGACCTTCGCTGTGAATAGTTTGGGGTTGTTGTATAGCTGCATGGTGATGTGGTAGAATACTTGCATGCCAGTCAAATACCCGGAATGGAATTGTGGAGGTGTACAAATTGAATACCTACCTACTTGTATTTTTTATACCAAAGAGAATTCCATCATGATTCCCCTAACACTACAATTTGTTCCTATATGCTGAATTCGGATGGACAGAAGTTAGATAGGAATCTGGATTCTAGAAATATAATGCAAAGACAAGATAGAGATACAATATGCTGAATCACTGCCCGTATAATACCCGAAGCATCTGATAATCTCTCGAATCTTCCCTCGGAATACCAGTAGTAGCTAAGGAGAGATTTATCATGAAAGATCTTGGAGTATCCATGTCACCCACAGGGCTGGGAGGCTCCCCTGTCAAGGTGCTACCTCCACCCATTTATCAAGAGACCTAGAAGACAGTCCATGGCCTAGCAACACCGACTGCTGTCACTGGGAAAATAGCGCCAAAGCCAGCCGAAGCCAGCCGAAGCCAGCCGCAGCCAGCCGAAGCCAAAATCTAACCTTGGAAGCCACCATGTTTCCTTTATGACTGCAGATCTGTCGGCAGAGAAAAACACCAGATGACGGGAATGGGTTTATTAGGAAGCCCTGGTCCAAACGGGAAACGGAGCGGCGACAATTTGTCGTTCCAGTCCCGGTATTTTTAGTTAATGGCGTGAATTCTGAGGCCAGCCCGAGCCCGGCAAGCGGGAAGCGAAATAAGAAAGACGGGCAGAAGTTCTGAGGGGAAACAAAAGAAACAAAGACACCGCCAAAGGATAGACACCTGCCTAGATAGGAAGGCGTTGGCATAGTCACACGTGACTCCAGAAACCCCAATTGTCCGTGTCCATTTGTTTGTAGAGCGGCGGAATCGAGTTCGGAAAGCGAGCGGACATTGTTCCTGCCATGTAAGTCCGATAGTCAGGTTCTCAGCCTAGCAGGCATAGCTTTCTCTGACGGTATTTTCGAGATCGACAGGCACCATACTGCTGGGTACCATGAGGCAGGCAGTATACCTTGACGGAACAGCGCTATACCTTATCGTGGAAGCTCAGGATTTTATTCATATTCTGTAGTCCGATGGCCGCGGTGATGCGCGTCGAGGTCTTCGGCAAGTATTATGCATCGTGCGAGGAAGAGACGGGTTCGTTGGCGCTTCCGTTCATGTTGGCCGTCGGGGCGTAAACATGGTGGAAATGATGGCTTGGAGGCTTATGTCGTCAAGAGGAACCCCCGTAAAAAGGATGTCTCGTAAACACGCTTTTTCGTAGAAGAGGAATGCTGGTCGCGCTAGAAGCCTAGCAATGAATCGCCATCACAGTGGCGACGGTGTGGTACCTAGCAACTACCTCGGACAATCGTCCGGGATCTACTTATAGAAATGTTATACTAACTCAGCCTAGTATCAGAGAGCCTGTAATTTCACATGACAAATCTTGATAACCTATACTCCGTAAACTCCCACATACTTCCAAGTTTACTTCTCATCATTTTCTAATAGTGAATTGGGCGGCAGTCGGATCTAGGTTCAGGTTCTGGTAGTATCGATATGTGTCTGTTTGATTTCCCCCGCAGAAAATTAAACGAAGGCGACAATTTACCAGAGGCAAAAGCAGGACACTTGGCTGCCAAGATGCCTAGCACTCCAATAATAGATAACTTCTCATGACTCATTACCCACGAGCCTTCAATTTTTTTCAATCGTCGTTCCAAGCTAGGCTCGCTAGACCCTAATGGGCTATGGCCGGGCACTGTGCTAGGCGCAGACCCGGGGGCGAACCCATGTGATCCATAAAGTCCATCGTGTTTGGCCAGCTCTTGGACCAATTTCCGTAGCTTGAATTTTAGCTCCTTTATTAGGCTTGGTAGACTCCGGTATTGTGCCGTTTATGGCATTGAAGCCTCACACTGCCCATGGGCCTCCATATTTTTCGTATTCATTTTGGCCCCCATATTTGACATGAATATTTAAGAAGAACAGCCTAGCATCCATTGGTATTTGAGTTTTCTTTTTACCTATCAAATTACGGACGAGCTGCCCACCATGGAACACAACAAAGAGTCAACATTGCCTATTCCCACGGCCACGGTGGCCGAGCCAGTCGCAGATCCTACAGTAGACACAGCTACTGTACCAAAGTCAGCGCCAGCAGATGGCACACCATCGCCCACGGCGACGCCTACAGCGTTGCCGACAGTGTCGCCCACAGTACCTGGAGCGACACCGACACCGACATCAGAACCAACAACAACTACAACCACACCAAGATCATTCCCGGTATCCGACCCAATGGCAATCATCCCCGCCCAGATTGAACCTCCTCCTCCACAATACGATGAGTATGCATCCCCATCCAAAAAAAAAAAAAAACAGCACAAGCTAACAAAACCAGCCACAAGCAAGACGCAATAACGACTCCCGCACCGGTAGTTACATTACCACAAACCAACGAGAAAGGTCCGCTGCCCGGCGTACAAGTCCCTGTTGCTCAAAGAGTCATCCCGTTGGCCCAACTTGGTGAAGAGCCTGGACGGATCTGTTGTCCCTTTTGCTTCCATGAGGTTCAGACCAGAGTGAACAAAGAGAGTACCAGCTCGACAACGTAAGTATAGATATATCCTCACTTTCACGTTCGTTCGGTCTCACTTCCGACGATGCTAATATCTTACTTTCTAGTATGGCGGCGGCCTGCTGCTGTCTCTTTGGCGGTATTTGCTGCGCGTTCCTACCGTTCTGCATGGAAATGTGTCATGACTCACACCACTTTTGTACAAACTGCGGCGTCCAAGTAGCTATTCATCCCCACGAAGGGCCCGTGCAGCAATTTGGTCCCAATTCCCCTGGTGCAATCATCCAAGCACCGGGACGCATTCAACCTCCGCAAGCCGTTATGAAGAACTAGGATGCGATTAGCAATGTTACAAGGCGTAATGGATATGTAATGGGTGTGCTGGTTCCCATAATACCTTATTGTTTATCTCTGAGATATACGCTATCTTACTGTTATATATTGAGCTTACTATTATTTAATAGAACATAAATTTTGACGAAGCACTTAAATTCCATTCATACGAACCCTGGCCTATGTCATCTGGCTGGGCCAGGGTTCGAAACATAACGACATGCCCCCTCCACCTCAGAGGATGTTCCCATCAGCATCGGGCATGTTGCCGATCAACCGGTGGAAGAAGTTGGTCAGCATGGTGGCGCCTAGGGGGTCGCCAAAGCCACGGATCTGCTGGGCAATCTCCACCTTGGTGTCCCAGATGTGGAAACTCAACTCTTCGAACTCGTCGGGGTCGACGGGGCCGGAGGTTGCCACGATCTCCCGGTGGTCAATGCAGTCCCGGAGATTGATGATTGCCTGCTCAACGAGGTAGCGAGCGGCGGTGAAGTCGAGGGGCTGGAGGGCACTCATGCTAATTACCAAAGGGGATCAGCTTATAATTAATTGGGTCGAGGTGGGGTGACATTGTTGAATGGTAAATCAATTGATGTGTTACATACTTTGCGGTGGGACCAGCGGTGATCGAAGAGGAGGGTTGAGGTATGAGGGCCGGCATGGAGTATCACACGCGAGCGAAGCAAGAAGCTTGGCAGCAGGAAGAAGTAACTGATATGATCAGAAAGGACAGCGGATGTAACACCGTTGAAGTTAAGCAGCTCGGAAGACACTATGGTACGAGGAAGACACGACTGTCATGATAAGATGGATGGATGAGACACGGAGGTAAGAAGGAAAGAGGAATTGAAGCCCGCAAGCGAATAAATACTTTCTCATCAGCTTAAGGTCAGAAACTAGAAAGGCGGGTGACGCGAAACCTAAGTCGAGTCCAATAAAAAGGCGGGCGTCGAGTATGGCGATGAGGCAAAGGTTATCCATGACAACAATGTTTATAAAATATAGGACTTCTAAAGCTTCGAGCCAGTCGCTTTAGCAACCAGATGGACATTAACTGGAGTAACGGCCTTTCCAGTCTGATAGAAGGTAAGGATGTTCTCCATACCCAGTCTCTCAAAGCCAATGTGTGAGTCCACCGAAGCGCCAGCGTTATGTGCCATCATCTCAACGTTCTTCATACTTGCAAGTTCTGGGCTAATGTTCGGCTCATCATAGTGCACATCCAATCCAGCAGCAGCAAGCTTTCCACTCCGCAGTGCATCGATAAGAGCTCTCTCGTCAAGTAACTTACCACGAGCGATGTTAATCAGTCGCGAACCAGTCTTCATTTTAGCCAGCAAAGATGCATTGAGAAGAGTCTCTCCACTAAATGGCGTGGCAACCATAACACAGTCTGAAACAGCGAGGAGGCTGTCCATGCTCTTGTGGTATGTTGCCTTCGAGACGGCTTCCAGATGAGCGGGCATTTGGACGATGTCATGATAGTGAATCTTCATGTTCATGGCCAGGAAGGCTTTCTCAGCCGTGCGCCGTCCGATCTGACCAAAGCCAATAATCCCAAGTGTGTGTCCATCGGGATTGTATGATACCATCGCCAGATTGCGGTTTGCGTCGACAAAAGCGTCTGCGTCTAGCGCACGTGCGGCGATGTGGGACCAAGAGAAGAGGCGGAATGTTGAGATTATGAGCCAGATTGCGGCATCAGCGACAGACTCTGTGCACGCTGCTGCTGCATTGCAGTAAATAACTCCTGGATAGAAAATTTGTTAGCTGCTTATCGGCTTTTGTTTTCTGGGTTGTTTTGCTATTGTATACATACCCTTTTTCGCCAAAGCTGCAGTATCAACCCAATCAAAGCCAGCACCCGCACTGGCATAGATCCTACAAGAATCTGGTAGAAGCGAGACAAGCTCTTCATCCCAGTTTCCCATCTCGCCACCGGTATTCCAAAACGGGCGGTAGATGGCAGAGAAGTCGCCGAATTGGCGGTCTTTCAGGGCTCGGATGAACTCCGCCCGAGACATGCTGTAGGACCGACGGACATCAAAGACATCTTGGAATTTGCTGTATTGATCATGATTCCAGCGAATGTCATCGCCGAGGTGGAGGACGATTGGTTTGGTCATGTTGGGCTTTGGTTGTATAGTTCGGATGGGTAGTTGGAATAGAGTTTTAGAGTATATGATGACGGCCAACGAGCAACTAGTACGAAAGATCGCAGAACTTGCTAAGAATATTTAATTTCTAAACTGGAAATGCAAAGTTAGTTAAATATTGTTTCCGACTCTCTTATGGCTGCTCGCGGGCGGCTATTGTATTTTCTACGTCACGGCTATTGAGCTAACGCCCGGGTATCGATCTCCCGGTTAATGAAATCCGAGACATCAACCACCAAGATAATTATGAAAATATTAAATCTACAAGATAGAAAGCTAGGAGAGAGGGCAGATAACTGTAGTTTTTAAAGGAGACAAGCTCCAGAAAGGGTCTATCTTGTTTGCTTAACCGCCCATCATCAAAACATGGGATGCATATGAAAGGCATGCGCGGAGGCGAATCCTTTCATTAGCTTGGAAATGAAACTTCCTAGAGTATACAAAAGGCACAAGAGCCATGAAACAAGCTAGCTGTAGTGATTGAATCTACAAACTAGATGAGATCACGAAATTTCACAACATCTGTATTGTAGAGAGCTGTGTAACTATAAAGGGGATGAAGTAGGAAGGTTTGTTTCTCTGGATAATTCAACTATAGGGAAAAGATCCCTACTAGTGCTATCCATTGTGTGAGCGAGAAGGCGTGTCTCTAATTTATAGACAGAGTCATGTGACTACTGAGAGGATTCAACATGAAGAGAGGGAAAGGAAGAGATATCAATGCCGGAGGACCTATCTGCCTGAGGGAAGGCGTGCTGTTCGGTTGGCATGTGGGGAGGGTACTTTCAGGAAGCGGCATCATCATTGACATTGTAGATTAATCACCCGATCGCAAAAGGTTCGTCGGTTCTCATGTACAGTTCCTCAAATAAGTGTGCTCGATTCACCACTCTGCTAGCCGATTGCAGCAATTCACCTCGTCTCAAGGTTCAAATTTCTCTCTGTGGTGGTCCAGTGTCTCCGTAGAAACAGGTGACCTTTCATCACATTTCAACCTCGGCTGAGATAGACTCCATGAGGACAGAGTAAAGCACAGCAAGGACGTGCCGAAGTACCCGATCTGATTACTCACGCATTAGTCTTCTAACTGTAGACCTTTGCTGTGCGATTGAGGCACAAAGCGCTTTAAACTGAGGTTGATTCTGTCAGACCGGAATCTGACCCACACCCCGGTGGGATACTTCTCCTGCAGATTGCTCTGGATGATCCTTCTAGGGACAATTGAGGCTACAAGAGGCCCACGATCCTTCAGATTCGATGGGAAAACGCTTAAATCAGATGGAAAAGATTGGTGCAAAGATCGATAAATGAAGGAGGAAGAATGACTAAAAGCCGAATGTGATGTAAGTAAAAGGTGAGAGATGTAACTGAGAGGATGTGAATGAGAGGGTGAGGGGTGAGAACAATAGCATCTTACCGTACGTCTGATAAATGGTAGCGAAGGAAGAAGGCAGGCATATTTGATCGTGTGGAAAACGAAGGTAAATGTTTCCAAACGTTAGGCTCAGTTAAACTGCTCTTAAATTAAGGTGAAACAGAATCAAAGGTAGCTTATGTATCTTTATACTAAACGAGGTCCTAATGCGATAGTTAGAAGTGCTCACTAATAAGTGTGTGATATGATAGACGCTGGTGCACCTACGTTGGTATATAATGTTCTGCAAAAAAGGCCACCACACGTTAGTGAGTACTAAGTGTAAAAATATATATATTTTATAGAGAGATGAAGGATTTTCTAAAATAACTGAGGTTAGGAAGCCGATGAGGCACTTTTAAGGAATTTCAAATTAGGCAAAGTGATATGAAGTGAAAGAAAGCTGAAAGCGTCAAAGGAAAAGAAGGAATGTATCGGAATGTCATAAGAATTGAACCTTAAGTGAGGAACTCAATGAGAATGAGTGATAGGCAAGTGAGATGAGATTGAACACCTTACATACTCTATTAGCCGGATAAAGTATATATCTATAACTTATAGTCAGAACAATAAGAGATTAATATAGATAGAAACTGAATGCTAGATCGTACTTATACCACGTTTTCCTTTTACTCCCTACATCTTCCTACATCTCCTCGATCTCAATCTCATAGATACCCCAAAGGCCGATTTCCAAGACTCTTTTAACTGACCCAACTACTCCAATACGTCCAGCTCGCTACGACGCCGAATAAATTGTGGATGCGATAATGAACCGCAGAGAGGACATCCTTGGGACCACAATGCAATGATGTTATCCACATCCCATACTACCTGCTCGTCATCCTCATCCCCATCATCTTCATCCTCTACCTTTGTCTCCTCCCATCCTTCCTCCACAACCTTGGTCTCACCCAGTACCTACAACTCCTCCGATTCCATCTCAAATCCATTCTCATATGAGTCCTTGACATTGCACACCAGCGAAGGTGTCACATCACCCCTCCGGAGCATGACTCCTCTACGACGGGAGACCGCGGAAAGGGACATGCTGGATGGGATTGCTCAGTTGGCAGTGATGATAGATCGCAAAGATGGCCTGGACGAGAACCACCATGAAGAGCGGGACAGACTTGCGTCAGGAATTGAAGACGCCAAGGTACTACTTGGGTTACACCTCTGTCGCATTGAGGATGATCTCACCAGACAGGTTCTCCTCGAGACGTTCTTGCTTCACCTTGGACCGACAGATGCACCGTGGATGCTTGCTCCGCTTCTCACACGTCTTGCAAGGGGAATTTGAAGGCCAAGAACGACTTGATTCCTTTGCCTTTCTTATAGGGCGATTGCTACATTGGCGATTCCCAAGTCAAATCAACCTTGTTTTCCTGGGGTAGGGGTTAAGAGAAAAGGTTCCACGAGGACAGACCCCAATACAGCTATACATTTCTCACGTTCAATACCAGCTAGTACATAGTAGCTTAATCTTAGTTATATGTAAATAAAACATTGAATTCCAATATCCAAACAAACAACCAAAGGGAAATAGTGCAGAGACAACGCTTTAACAGACTCAGACCAGCTGAATACAAACAAAACACAAAGTGTGTTACATATCAAAAGAAAGAAAAGAGACAAAAGCAACCCCCCCCCTTTGACTTCGAAAGGACTAATCCAAAGATCAAATCACATGGTGATATTGTGGATCTCGCACCATTTCTTCTTGCATGTGGCATTGCCAAAATGATAAGATCCGCCATTACCCCAAATGTGTTCGGCAATCTTCTTCCAAGATACCTTTGGCGGCTCGTTCATATTCATGCTGATATTGGTGAGCGAGTTGTAAGCGTCGTGTGTTTCGGCGTGAATGCTGACGGCTTCGCAAAGGAGTCGGATCTAAAAGATGGGATTATGTAAGTTTGAGTTATCTTGAAAGTAAATGAAGCACAGTTCAATAACTCACATCCTTATCCTGCCATTTAGGCTTTCGGACTCGCTGATCTTTAGACTTGGTGAGGGTGCGATACCGGCCTCGTAGTGTAGACTCCGCCTCCTTGAACCCACCCACTCGCTTGATGTCCTTGTATGACAGCCCACGACGCTTGCAGTCGATGAGGAATGTATTTCGCTCGTCGTTGTGGTGCAGGCCAGCTTCCATGCCGCTTTGGTCTTCTCCGCTCTGCTGTGAGGATCGTCCCTCCTCGTTGGTTGAAACGGAGAAGGATGGGCTGAGACTTTTGGCTGGTTTCTGGTCGGGGGATCCAAATTTGGTGTTGGTGTCATACCGAGGAGGAGCCTCGACGGTGGGTGCGAAGGGCGCCTGGTGGGTCATGGGTGTGGATGAACCCAAAGGGACAAGTGGAGGTCCGAAAGAGGGCATAGGTAGTCCATTGCTTATTCCATAGGAATGAGTAGTAAGGTTATTATATTCGGTTGGGCAGGTATATGCATTGGTGACGGGCCAAGGTGCACTGTAACTGTTGTGGGCGTGCCAGCCGCTGTCCTCGGATGAGCCGTTTGGGTCACGGGTAGGATACCAGATATCAGTGCCGGCTGGTTGGCAGTCAGGCCATGAGATGTGTTGGTCATAGTCCACTGACTTTGCATCTGGAGGGGTGATCGATGGTGCGAGATGTGCATGCTGTGGGTGAGGATTGTAGGGTTTTATGGGGCAGTTGGCGATGTTTAGGTTTGGGACATTGAACTGCCGAGTGCTGGAAAAGGCTTGCTCATCCTGTGGGACATCTGAGACTTCGAAGGATGAAATAGAGGAAGTTTCCTCGTTGCCTAACAGGAAGGAATTGCCATTCATCGTGAACATGTTGCTCCGTGGTGTTGGATGAACCAGCCCAGCGTGTGTTTCCATGGCGCGAGCGGTGGAAGGCTCATCAAATTGCTCAAGCGACTCAACGTCGGATTCACAGTAAGTTATTCCGTTGCTTAAAAGAGTGCTGTTGAGGTCGTGCCGTGTTGTAAATGGAAACACGCTCTGCGAATACGCAGTCGCGCGAGGATCTTCCACTCGGACGGGCAGATAGCCTTTGTCCTTCATGACAAGGATGGGACATTCCGGCAAACAATGTTGGTTCATCATGGCTGTAGTGGACTTTCGAGGATGTTGTGCGTGGATTGTTTGGGAAGGGCAATGTAGCAGGTGAAAGTCCAAATGAGAATCTGATGTGGAGGAGTAGAAGACTGAGTACCAATCTGGGAAAGAGCAGTGTTCTTTATCAAGATCATCCGAACTCCCAAAGGCCGACGAGTAAGTGGAAATAATATCAGTCAACGCAGTGTACTCCTTCGGATGGGTCATCCATGACTTCGGCACCCCAGGAATAGCCAACACGTCCATATTGACCACGGAAAAAATAAAAATAGAAATATTACAAAAAGGTATATTGAGAAAGGCTGAACAGGTTATTGTCTTCTAAGCTTCACCGCAATTGCTGGCGAGTGTTGTACGCGGGTTGTCGCTGTGTGTGCACGACCTCTATCCTGGAGGTTTCCTCTTTGTTGGCCAGTACACACGGGATATGTTGTGGAGAATTCGAGGAGACCTGCAGGGCTGACCGTTATGAGATGTTAGCACTTTGTTATATATGGAGAGGTTTCACCAGATCGGTCAGAACTGATTGGGCATCACGGACCGTATGAATATGATAGTACGCAGTTAACGACCAGAAGGCAATGCCACAAGTGACGGCCAGCGCAAAGGTCTCTTTGAATAGCTGTAACGAGTAGAGACAAGTTTCTAATGACTCTCATGTGGCAGCAATGCTTCGAAGTGGCACGGCTATGTGTGTTTTGAGAGATCGATCTTGGTGGGGATTGGGCTGGAAGTCGAGCCGATGAATGCAATGCGGTCTCAGATCTGTCGGCAACTCAGCCGTTAGGAGAAAGGAGCTGAAGGTCTAGATTTCTGTTTGGTTGATATCACAGGTTGTAGGTTGCCAGCACGGAGAGATTGTTTGAGAGACAGTATAAAAGTTGGAAGTCGAGGATGGGGGATGAAGTCGTATCAAGCTTATATAAATGTACTGGGAAACATAGCGAGGCTAGGGAGAGATATAATCCGGGTCTTTTAATAGACAACATGAATTGATTGAACCAGTGACACATGAACCATGTCTATCATTCCGCCAGCTCATTTCAACTCCTCGGCCCGTTTAATCGCAATCGAGGCCCGTGCCATTTCTAGATGAGGAAGAAGGATATCAGCCTGTTCTAGGCGTCCAGAGGGACGGCGAGAAACAAAGAGAAATATAGACATGGGTTGGTGCTCAAGGATATATGAACCCTAGCCAGGTCAGAAATCCCAGGTCTAGAAATACCCTAGACCCCGGTCGTATATGCCCATGATCCACTTGCCGAGGGTTTCAGATATTCTCTCTATTGTCTAGCGTGATATCTTTACTTAACCTCGATCCCGTGGGAGGCGAATGTATGCCTAGAAAATACGTGAAACGAGAGCGAATAGTGGTCGGGTTGTATTCTCGACGGCTTCTTGAAGAAGATCGTCCCTCCCGGCGGCCAAGCCCAAGTCAATATATCTCCGTTCAACATATCTATTTTTTTTGCATTTCTCTATGGCTATCTTTTATTCCACATCCAGTCCTGGTTGAATTGGTCCCGGAACTGCATCCCCGTTGGCAACGGTCCCAGCATAGTATGTCGCGGACATCGCAGGTCTCCACCATGTACAACCCTGATTAGGGCTATGCATCCGTCTGCACTGCACGTCTACCTGATTGACAAACTGGCTAAAGATCCATTACCTGGCAGTGGCTCCGTCAGTTTTGGAATGTTCCATCCTGATCGGGTAGCCACAGAGAGCTTCTGGGGAAGGCTAAGTGGCATCCGGGCCAATCAGACCAGTGGGGCCAATCCAACCTGCTTAATAAAAAGCACCATGACTAGGATAGCAATAAAAGCAATTTCCGGTTGGAGGCTGTTGGACAGGATTTTGCCGACGGACGTGATCTATCTAGTCTTTTGAGGCTCTACCGTTCAACATAGGAGTTTGTCGTGCCGACCTGAGTTCATCAACGGCTCTTTGAGATTACGGATTAAAGATTGACAAGATACTAACTAGGATGTTATCCGTTGGGATACTCTTGGGATAGAGTAAAATCATATCAGAGAAAATGGAACGGCTAAAACAAAATAGGCCACCAAAGTCTACAACTGCCGAGCAAAATATAGATAAACATCCCAAACTTTAACGAAAAAACCTCCGGGCCCCTTTTCTCCGGATCTCCACCGTTCCAAAGATGAGTCTAGCCAAAAGAAGCTTCCTAACGACCGCTGGGGTGGCCTAGGTGGCGTTGAAACCGGAACGATCGAAAACGAGTCTGCAGCAGCACGAACGCGCAAACGTTCCGTCCGATCCCCTAGCTAGGGGGAGAATCTCCAATTGAGATTATGTGGGAGAACTCTAAGGAAATTTCTTTTCTTTGAAGCAATGCTCTGTTGGTGTTACATATCTGTGGAGTTGCCGCCCTAGTGGGTTTGGGATTTGCCTTTTCCAGGTTCCAGGTGCTCGATCGACCGCTAGCCTTCATTTCCTGCATATGTGAAGCATACTTACGGATCTCAATATTGTTTATTACTCCACGGATACCGTTACCCGGTTATTTCTCTTATATGTCGGGCAGCATAAGACCTAGATAAAATGTGAAACAAATCTGGCTAAGAGGAGGGATGGAAACTAGATGGTTGAACAGTGGACATAAGGATCAGTGGAGAACTAAACCCAGCTGGAAGAAACCTATAAAAAAAAGCAAGGAGAGGTTGGTGTTGTCTAATTTGAAAGGAGTCTCTCGGCAGCCGGTTAGTTTTCCGTTAATTGTCTGTTGGTTATTGGTTGAATTAGGGCTCGCGGATCCCGGATCCCGGGGTTGTGGGTAGGTACTTTAGTGTGTGCTTAAGTGTAGTTTATTTCTGATTTTTAGCACTAAAAATATGCTAAGTAGATCAACAAAATGAAGTGCATCAGCTCTTCGGATAAAAACAGAAACAAAAATACTGCAGCAGTTTTGGCGTTAAGACATAGAAGCTGAGGGATTCTTCGCCAACACATCGGGACTCGGCTCCTTCCTAACAGAGACAGATTTTACTTGTCGCAGACCAGGAATATAGTTTGTAGATGAGACATAGGACTCAATTCAGAGGTGGGAAGACGATTTAGCCTACTACATTCCAGGTCGTGGCTTGCTGACATGTAGCTATGCACTGTCGCGGTTACTGCGCTAATAACTCCCAGTAAAAAAGACATATTGTGACATAATGTTAGTTTTTGTCTCACAAAGTTTTACCTCCCACCGAAGGTTTCGGGAAATATGCGGCATGTCCAAAGCTGGAGATTTTGAATCATGGCGCCTAGAGCCGGTAATTCGTGTAGTCTTCTATAAGGTGCCGGGGAAATGTTGCTCACGGATCGAACTTAGCAAATGGGTATTAGCTTCCCGCTCTCGATTTGGTAAATGGTTGTTTTACTATTGATTTTGCCAAGGAGCACATAATTTAAACCCATCCCCACAGCAGCTTAACATAGTGCTAGATATATGATGCATAGCTTCTAGATTAACTATTTCTATAGAGCTCATAGTGATACAATTTTGTGGTAGGACTTGCCACAGAAGGGTTAGCGACGGCCATCCCCGGCGGAGAGCCCAGACGTTTGAACTCCCTGTCGCGTTCCCGCTTCCGTCGGCCAGCTGCGTTCTCTCGGGATATCAACCAGTCAAAGAGTCGGTCAGTAAGGAGTAGTGTTAAAGAAATTAGATTATAAGTAAGCCAAGGGATGACCAATTCGAAGTCTCACGGCCAACGCGTACAATATCGTCGGGGAGATCATGAAATAGTGTGGAGTACAGAGTAGGCATCTGGAGATGCCTGGGAAAGATAATGAGGGGATGAAGAATATAGTGCGAATTAGTGTGGAGACTATACATTCAAGTGGTCATCAATAAATCAGTAGAGGGTGAAAGAAGGCACAGGAAACATCTGGTAACAACTAACGATGGATAATATCTATGCCTATAAAAATCTAACCACCTTGATATATATTCAGAAGGCGATAGATGCTAAGCATAATGATCCCTCCCTTCAATTGGCCTTTTCCAGACTAAAACAGCAAGCGGCTGGGAAATTCTATATCAAATTGGTTTGAAGCATCCATGTGCAGGATATATAACAGTACAAGCATTAGATAACTTCCAGAAATGGGCTACACTCTCTGGTTTGCCTACGTGAGGAAAACAGTTGGATATGCCTGGATTTTCGTTTTGAATTTAAACACAGCGAAAGAAAAACGATAGTTGGTAGCCTGCTAGCTTGGCCTTTACTATCGGATGTGTTCATAAGACTTAGAGTTAAGCAATCCCTAGAGTGCGGCCAAATACCAAATTTGATGGGAACATCTCAGCTGGGAGTGGTGAACATGAACTTGATCCTCAAAATCGCTTTTTACAAGCTAAAAGTGGTTACTAAACGGGTAATCTAAAGGTAAAACATATATACACAGATCGATAGAACATTCTATATACATGTACGCAACGCACCATTTAGTTCTCTCTCAAGGTCCCTTCACCTCATAGTATGTTGTCGCATAGATAAGGGTGGTAATACCACCCTGAAGCGGCGCTATTTCAGTCTCCGAGTCCATTCCCTCTTCCGTCTTTTGAATAGGCACAGGTACAGTAGGACGAGGCAAAGTCAGCCGCAAAGCATCCCAACTCGTGCACTGCAAGGCAAAAGCGTAGCACTTCATGCATCATGGCCTCGACGGTGACTTTGGCGACGTTGTGTTCGTTGTGGAAGAATATTGGTAAGTTGACGTATCTTGATGATGTATGTTTTGAGCCGATGCCGGCCACAGGGATATCAGGTGTGTCATGGGATTTCAGATGTAAACTATTGGCTAATGAAGAATCGATAAGGGCCATGAGACAACCGGAATCTAAGCATATTGTTCTCTTGTTGTCTGGTGTGGGAAGTCCGGCAGTCGTGGGGAGGTACCGCCACGTCTTGTAAGCTTGCTCTGGTTTCGTGGAGCTTTGCTTGCGGTTTGATTCAATGATTAGTTTGTATTCTCTGTTAGTGCTGCCGTCCTCACCGACGGTCGCGATTTGGCCCTGGGGTTCACCCCAGGGTTGTTGGCAGCTGTGGTCTTTGTCATGCAAATGCGCGTGAAGTCCGTTTCGTGAGTCGAAGGACAGGTCGCAGTGCCAGAAACTCGCTGCTAGTGATTTAGGTGCGGTTCTCTCCGCGAGCGCGACGCTCGGGGAGGCCGCCCTCCGAAAAGGAGGCTTCATGGCATCCGTTCCGCCGTCATCATCTTCATAGTCATTTTTTGCTCTGGAGCCTTAACTGGATAGAATGAGGAGCCTTCGGAACCACCTCACTGACAACGAGAGATATCCCGGGTGGATTGTATGTTGTCTCGCTTTCACGTAGCATAAATTCAGCATCATAACAACCAACATTTGCGGACCAATGCAGGATGGATAATGCATGACTCGTAGCTGTGGCATAATGCTGGATAGGTAGATTCAGTTCAATCATCTGACCAAGGCACAAGTTGAAGTCTATCAATGTAAGGTTGCGTGGTGGCGGGTCATTCGAATCGCGAGGCTGTAGAAATGATGTCACGTAGATGGTAGACAGCGGAATAGTTTATTCCTAGAGTGAAACTCTATGTCGCATGGCATGCATGTAACGTTGTGTTCCGATGTGTGGTATCCCACTCTTTAGTCAGATGAATAGCCCCCCGGTGAAAAGGAGACTATGTGAAGTCGTGTACGGCGGTGCGGCCTAAAAATAAAGGTCCGACATCGCTTCCCTCGCTCAAAGTTCCCGTCCGATGAATGATGTTTTGGTGGAACGTAGTTGGCTTTCTGGGAGTGAAACCATATTGTTAGGCCTAATGTATTTCCGACCAAGTCGATTTGTATCCACGACACTTACTCTGATTTCAGCCAGTATGGCGTGAACCAGTTTCCAGATAATAGAGCTGGGTCGTCACGCAAGTGTAGGTTGTCTAGCACCTTGAGAGTGGTCGGGAATATAATTTGTAGCCCCCTGTAAAAGAAGGCAATCAACCTAAGGGTAGGCAACTGAAAATATAAATATACTGAACTCGTTCATTGGGTATCAAAAGAAACAAGAATGACTCCACGAACACAATGCAAGGGAATCGAGTTACCGGTGGAGTTCATAATCCAGGCCTGGCAGGTACGTACATGTGCAAGGAAAGCGCTACGAAGAATCCTCGAAACTGGAATCCGAGGAATCAGCCATCGAGGAGTCTCGTATCGGCATAGGTACAGGAGTACCAATACTTTCCAGTCCTCGAGGCTTTTCCAAAGCTCCACTGGAAGCATCGAGCTTTGCAGTCGGATCAACGCCAGCTTCCTTCTTGAGTCGCTCATAGTTGTCGCCAGCTTCTTTGATCATCGCCTGGATCTCCACCTCACGAATTGCAATATCTGCCTTCTCATTTCTCAATTCCTCCATTCGGCTGATCATCTGGGTTTTCGCGACTTCCATGGAGGCCAGAGACATGCGCAATCTTTCAAAGCTGCTAGCTAGTCGTGGAAGAGATGTCACCTTGGGAGGAGTCTTCGGACGATCAATACCATTTGACTTGCCACGGCCCATGGCCGCATGAACCTGAGAGGCTTCATAGGCAGCCTTTTCCTCCATATCGGAATCATCTTCATCAGAGATACCTTCGGCATCTTCAATGAGATCACGCATTGCTTCGCGGTCCTTCCGCTTCTTCTCGCGCTCTGCTTTTCGCCCGAGCGCCATTTTGCCATCCTCCGTGAAGGCCTCAAACCCTTCCGCAAAGTCCTCATCGTCTCGAATCAGTCTGGTATTTTCGGCTTCTTTAATATCTTTATCACCTCGCACAACCGCATCCCAGTCATCAACGTGGGCTGCATCGTTGGCGTCCAATGAAATGAAACCATCGTCCTCCGCGCCGTGTTCCATAGCCAGACGTGCGCGTCGGGCCTTTTTCTCCCGAATCTCGGCTTCACTAGGGATGTGTGCTTGTCCTGGAACAGTCATAATCTCCCCGAACTTAGCCGCAACATCCACAGCCTTGATGGTTTCGTCGTCGGTATTGGTCTTCGGGGTTGAGGGTGTGGAATCACGAAGTTCCTTCAAATAATCATGACTGTAGGTAGGCCGGTCTGGATCTTGGCCAACTGAAGGGATTTGACTAGCGCTCCTTTCAATTGCCTTGCGCCCCAGACCGAGGCGTTTCGGTAGGACTACTTCGCTCTCTTCGTCACCATCGTTCGTTGACGTCTCGGGCCCAAAGGATAACTGCAATTTGGATTTTTGCTTCGACTTAAAGGCAGCTGGGCGCTTAACGACAGGCTCTGCAAATCTCCATGTCAGCTTCGAGCTCGGTAGGCGAATATGTAGGTAAAAAAAAAGTAATTTAGCCCACATACCTGGCGCAGCGCCTCCATCCTCCTCCTCATCATCTCCGCCAACCTTGCGCGGTTTTCTGCGATTGGTAAATCTAGAACTCATATTTGGAAGTGCTCTGCAATCAGGTACAGCAAGTGATGCGAGTTGGTGGCGTGAACGTGTGAGCTTCACGGAGTGGGCAGCTCTTATCGCGTATCTCATATCCGGAATATCATTTCTCCCGCCCAGCTTGCACCAAACTCCCAAAGCCACTGCGGTGACTTGAAACTTGCCAAACTCCAAGATACCCAACGAACTCGCCCAATATGCCTCAAGCTCAGCCTGAATTGAAGAAGGTAAGTGCTCTTCCCACAATGTGCGCTTTTTTGTCCCGGGATCTCAGCTGATGTCGCGTCTTTTCTGCAGTACATGGAGAAGCGGGTCTTCTGCCAACTGAACGGCAACCGTAAAGTCATTGGTATCCTCCGAGGCTACGATGTATGTCTACACCCTATGGTCCGGTCTTCATGATGTTTGCAGTACATCCTGCGTCACCATGAGCGCCGGGATGATGACGCTACTGACCAAGCGCGGAGTAACTAACGCTTTCGCGCAGGTGTTCATGAACATTGTTCTGGATGAGGCATTCGAGGAGAAGGAGGGCGGAGAGAAGGCTGCCATTGGCATGATCGTACGTTGAATCACCATCGACTTGTTCCAAGAAACCCGCTAACGGATATTCGTTCTATCAGGTCATCCGCGGTAACTCCGTTGTGATGCTCGAGGCCCTCGAGCGCATAACCGATAAATAAGCCACACATCTACGCACACCATCTACGACGTTTCTTTTCAAGGGGCACGCACATAGGCACCACTCCATGACCGAGTGCTGGGAAAAGATCTAATGCTACTGGGAGTTTCTGGGTCGGTTTCTCTTATGGGAACAATCAAAACCTTTTTTTCTGTTCTATTATTTTTCTGCTCGTTTGCCAGGGCGCATGTTAGACTACTATGGCTACCCCAATGACTTTTTGACTGGCTACACATGCATTGCAGATTTACCGGGGGGATGAATATACGGCATAGCTGGTATTGAAATCGGAAGATGAAGCTGAATCGATATCGTGCTTAGGAGCATGCTTGGGTTTCATTCTCCTGCCGGAGTTAATGGCAAAGGACAGAAATAATAAAGAGATAATGGTAAAATACATGTGATATTCGAAGGAACAACGTGGGATATTCATGTTGGTCGACCACCAAACTTGAGCTTTAGCTTGGGTGTAGATGTGGCGGGGGGTTTGGAGGTTGCGCTGGGTGCGGGCGATGGTCTGGGAATGTGGATTTTGGGGAGATGACTAGGAGTTGGAGTCCCTGGGACTAGGCCAGTCTTGGTCTGCTTGAACGTAATACGGGTTGATGAGGGTGCGTGTATGCCCTGATCCTCGCGCTTGCGCTTGGAAGACGGACCCATGCGGGCTTTGGTTGATCGATAGAAACGCAACTTGCCGTGACCCTGATTTTGCACACTCCAATATCGAGGAAGTTTCATCCGCACGAGCTTAGAGGTGACTGGGTCGTACAACGTACGGCAAAGATCAGTGAGCTCGGAGAGCTCCAAGAGACCCATGCACGGCGAGTTGCATGCTGCCCACATACATTCCTTCATATATGTGTCACCGGCAAGTTCTCGCTTGAGGGCTTCAATGGCGCCGGGGATGGTCTGGCGTCGTGCGATGTCGTCTCGGCGGATTTGGGTGGAGGACTCTTGTTCAATGATCAAACCATCGTTTTGGGAGGCTTCGGTTTGTTGAGGACGACCAAAAGCAATCTGTGCTAAGGTCTGACCGAGCAAACGTAAAGATTGGTGTCGTATCCAGGGTGATGAATCGGCCGACAATGTAAACATGAGCCATCGAAGAAGCTCCGGGCTCTGGGAGATATCCAGGTCGACCAAGCATTGGAAGGCTTGTATCCGGAGGAGGTCATAGGTTCCTGCTCGCGTATATGGGATGAAACGCATCAAATCCAAGTCCATCATCTTGGCTTGCATTAATTGCGCTTGGCATTGAAGTGCAGCTCGGGAGTAGAGGTTCTGGAAAGAGCTAGACCATTCATCCATTCGTCGGTAGCGATCAAACTCGGCAATGGCATCTTTGTCTAGTTGCTCCTCGGCCTGAGCTTCAAGAACACGTTCCATATCGAAATGGTCTAATTCCTCATCTGCCCGCGACTCGCCCTTGCCAAGCATCGCATGACACAGTGACTTCATCAAGGACGCAACATAGAAGTTGTCTGAGTACTCATTGTTCGAATTGTCATTGAACTTTAGTTTGTCAAAGAGGAACCGTTTCACTCTTAATGGAGTTTTGCCACTGTTGTCGCGGACTTTAGAGATTGCCTCAGGAATAACTTGTTGGAGGATGTAGGCCGCTCGATCGGAGAAATCATTGGAGCGAGTCATGGGCGACCCCGGGAGACAGAAAAGCTCTTGGAACGCCTTCTCAAGGTGATACAGTCCAACCCAATCAACCTCATCCTTGGCATGCTTTACCAAGGCCCGTGCGGCCGTGGTACGTATGCCATGGAAGTATCGACTATCCATAAGTGTGCGAACAAAGATTGTGGAAATGAGAGGATGCTCTCGCTGAGCAGTCATGTATTGCAACGACTGGTAAGGTTAGCATCATAGTTCAATCCTTGAAAACAACATCATAACTAACCTCGAGCTGGGCCACAACATCTCGATCTTGCTGAAGCTGCGAGAGATACATGTACCCTGGCATACCGAGAGACAGTTTACAGACCCATTCAAAGTCTGCATCCATTCGGATCCACTCATAGGATTCCTGTCCCATTCGCTCTTCGTCCTCTTTCGTCCAGTCAGCCAAACGCCAAGCCTGTGTCTCTTCTTCGGTCTGAAGCACATCTCCCAGGCAGTAGAGTAGAACCTCTTCTTGAACTTCAGCATCGCCCGAGGCGACTGCTCTTTCTCTCTGTTTTTTGTTCCGTTTGAGCCTCTTGTACTTCGTGTTATATGGAATATCGAACTTCGTCACTCCCTCCTTGATTTCAACGATATGCTCATAAGGAGTTCCATCTGCTTCGTGAATCCGAAGAGTCATCGACCCTGTGAAGACCGGCTGAACTGCGCCCGCGTAGACGTGCCGGACCTCTTCCTTCACGTCACGCAAGAAAGAATCCTTGTCCAGATCGCGAGGGGGCTGTGGTTCAGATTGGACCTGTCTGATCATCATTTCAACGACAAGCTTCTTCTTGTTGAACCGCTGGGTTGCTTGGAATCGTGGGCATCCCGCACCGTAGACCCATTGTTGGAAGAAGACGTCTAATTTGGCGTGACCAAGTCGCTCACAGGTCTTTTGGAACAGGGACGTGGTGACAGCTCCATTGGGTATATCGCCCATGCGAGAGTTCAGGAAAAGTCGAGAAATAATGCGCGACATCGTGGCTTTGCCACTCGCCTTGGTTAGTCGGCGATCAAGAATGAACAAGACCAAAGGCGCTTTCAATGCAACAAAGCGATATTCGGAGGGGTCAACCTTGAGAATATTACCCATGTCGTATATCGACGGGCGCTCAAAATCCAAGTCGCAGACTTGATCAGATGCCTGCTTCAGTCTGAAACGGTATTCATTGTTTCCGCAAAGTTTCCTCATGAACGTATCCGTAATGTACCATGCCACACCAACTGTCACCCATGTATCTGAGGGCTCGCTAGGGATGATATTGATTCCAGTCCATTGACATGCCAGACCGTGCACCTGAGCGCGAGTGGAGTCGTACATGGGGTCGATCATCTCGGCTGGGAAGAGCAGATGGCTGCTGCAGACGGACATGCACGCAGTGGGAAGGCTGTCAGTTGGGAGATCGTCGACGAAACAAATCTTGTAACTGCCGAAAGGATATGAGCCGTACGACAAGGAGAAGAAGTCAATCGCTTGAGCCATGGGAAAACTGCTGTTTTGAACTTCGTCCGCTCTGCCTGGAAGGCAGAATGCGTGTAAAGGAATAGCATTTTGGCCAAGTTGTTCATCCTGGTCACTTTCGCGGAAGTCGGCTAGGTTGACATACTCGAATGGACCAATGGCAAATCCAATTTGCAAGGCCCCCAATGGAGAATATGATGCAAACGAAACTGTCTTGCGAGAATGATCTTTCGGGTCGACGATGTCATCAGTCAACTCGCCTGAGCACACCACGGACATATCAAGGCCCTCATCTTCCGCAGAAAGTTGGCGACTCGGCGCTTTTGGGTGGGATGGGGTTGTCGCACCGGATGCGTCTTGACTCTTGCGGTTGAAAACATCACCGAGAGAGCTAGGACACGTGATGGAAACTTCCCAGGTACATCGCGAGGACATATCATCCACGCATGGGAACAAGGGACAGCCGATACCAGATTCGAGTGAGTTAGTGGTGTAGGCATGAGGATACCGTCGATCCCCACTTTCGACACCGACAAATTGTAAGCCATCCCGGATATTATCAATAACAAATTCGATGTTCACTGTCAGAGCTGTGAATCGCGGGAGGTTTGCCTCTGGCGCTCTGGCACTCGAAGGGCCATCCACATTTTCGACAGTAGATTGGAGGGCGATTTGGTCTTGTGCTTCGGCTGAAGATGGATCCAGTTCATCGATGCGGACGCCCTTTGGAATCGTTATGGGCAGCGTAGGTCTTGGGGGAGTTTTTAAGAGGCTGTGGATCTTTGGTGTCAATCGCTCGTGATATTGTACGCCGTACAGTTGTAGCGACTCATATTGATCGGTGTATTTTGTTGTTGCAGGTTTGCCATTAACACTCAGTTGTTTGACCTCGCCTTGTCGAAAATTCAACCAAATCGTTCCTAGATCTCTGCGGCGAGGGTGAATTGTGATTTCCGTCTTTCCTTTGAGGCTTTTGGAGGCTAGATCGATCTCAAGTTCGACTTTCTGGTGTCCAACGTTGAATCCCAGATCAAACGGGCGTGCGGCGGCACCAACGGGGTCGACAACACCCGGCATCGTGAAGATTGCTCAGTGACGAGATGCGCGGGGAGCGCTTTGAAGACCATCCACCGTCATGTCCAACCAGACTCGAGATATGATTGTAGTGACGAGGACGGAAAGAAATCGAAGAGCAGTTCGCGTGGCGCAGATTCGAGCTCCAGATGACGGTGAAATGCGAGATGGGCGATTACGCGATTATGGATCACGGTCGAGTATCACAAGGCGCTGAGGGAAACCGGAGGATAGGCGAAGTTTTAAGTGAGGCGCAAATAACAAGCTCGAGGGCAACAATTAGCTGTGACAATGTGACTCAGTCTGAACAATTTACCAGCAAATCCCTGGTCAAGTCAAGCTTCCCTTGTTCGCGTTCCCGATGCGGAGCAAGGCACGTGATTTCGACCTAAAAATCCGTCCTGAGGGATTTCCCACTCCTCCTTTTCTCCGTATTCTCGAGAGGCGACATTTGTTTTTAAAGGCATGATTTGATTTGCTGTACATTTGTCCATTTTACCCACTTGATTGCCGACCTCGCTATGAACTGAGGTGCTGGTGTTTACCCCGACTATACTACAACTCCGCGCGTGACAGCCCAATCTTCAAAAATGAGCGCAATCTACCGAATGGTCCAAGGTTGGTGATCTAAGGACTGTGAATGTCATCTTTATTCCAATCATTTGCTAATTCGAACGTTTGACATCTATAGAGACCCAAGATTCCCTCTCCGACGAGGCACTCCTACCCCTTAAGTCCTACAAATACTCGGCTGTGGACAAGTCGTTCATTTCTCGGTATATCTTGAAGCACTACGTATGACAATCATGAAATCTTACACGAGTTGGTCTACGTCGGAACAAAGAATTGACTTCTCCTTCAGTGGAATGCCTTCGTCGAGGTTGTGCCGATGTGGATGGCCCCGAACATGGTGACCCTGCTTGGGTTCATGTGGATCGTGGCCAATATCTTTGTTATTCAGATTTTCGTGCCAGATCTGGTGGGACCCGTGCGTATTCCTTTTCCTTGATCCTAACTTGTAGTTTTATGGGAAGTGGCGAGTTAACCAGATATTCCAGGGCCCCGCATGGATTTACTACAGCTTTGCTCTTGGCATGTGGATGTGAGTAACCGGCTACCCCTCCATCTATATCATTCCGACTGACACCAAATAGGTACTCTACCCTCGACAATGTCGATGGTAAACAGGCACGCCGCACCGGAACGTCCAGCGGACTCGGAGAACTTTTTGAGTTTGTACCACTCCCCGCAAATCCATGGATGGATCACTAATCAGGTACAGTCACGGTATCGACTCTTTGAACTGCACTCTTGCTAGTCTGCTTTCGACTGCCGCCATGGGATTCGGAGCCACGCACCTTGGTGCTTGGACCGCAATTGTGCCTTGCCTGGCCATGTATTTCTCGACATGGGAGACCTTCCACACCCACACCCTCTACCTCGGGTACTTCAATGGTCCGACCGAGGGCCTCCTCATCGCCATTGGAATCATGGTTGCCTCTGGAATTTGGGGCCCCGGAATGTGGTCTGAGCCGATCGTTGGATTCCTTAACTTCCCTCAGATTTTTGGCAACAGCTCGATGAAGGACCTCTGGGTCCCCATTCTTCTGGGTGGCTTCTTCCTCGGCCATCTGCCCGGATGTGTTATGAACGTGGCTGAATCCCGCAAGAAGCAGGGCCTGCCCTTCACCCCATTGCTTAAGGAGTGGGTGCCTATGATTGTCTTCACCTTGTGCAACATCGCCTGGCTGTTCTCGCCTTACTCCACTATTCTTTCCGGCAACCACCTCGTTTTGTTCTGCTGGGTCATCGCATTCGTCTTCGGACGCATGACCACCATGATCATTTTGGCTCATCTTCTCAGACAGCCCTTCCCCCTCTGGACTGTGATGCAGGCTCCCCTCGTTGGTGGTGCGGTCCTCATTAACCTGCCCATGATCGGCTTCCCGGTTATTGCCCCGTGGCTGGAACTGCTGTACCTCTGGTGTTACTTCTTCTTCGCCCTGGTCATCTACATGCACTGGGCAGTCCTCGTCATCAACCGCATTACCACTTTCCTCGGAATCAACTGCCTTACTATCCGAAAGGATAGGGGTACCGCAAGAGATAGAGCTTATCGCAACCTCGGTGAATCGTCCCACATAAATCAGTCTCGCGCTTCGACTGACACATCAAAGATCCATTGACTTAGTACTCGCCACGCCATCTCTATGGCACAATCGACGATCGAAACTAGATGAATTGGGTCGTTGCCCCGGTGGCACTGCCACACAGCGCCCTAGGCAGTGCATTGTTTAAATGTTCACACCTTGTAATTATGAACATGTCCATCCTTCTACATATGTGTTTTATCTTGATCTGATGAGAGATATTACCACTCCCCGAGGGATTTTGATGAAACCAAGCATGGAAATTGTACCCTGCTGCATATTTGTACTTACGAGCCTATTAATATTTGTGAATAGATAAAAATGAATCAAAATGAAGTTCAGGTTTATTAATCTTCGTGACGATGTCAAATCATACATAGTACAAGAAATAGAAAAGTGCAAACACTAAGGCCATCAACGCTGACAAAAAGAAACAATTAAAATCACAAAACCGCCAAAAGTTTCAACCCAAATTCGCTAAGTTTTTCACTTCTTTCCACCCAGGCCAAGAGCATCGGTCAAACCGCCCAGACCAAGTCCGTTAATCAACTTGTCCAAACCAAGACTGCCAAGCAGACCACTCAATAATCCACCAAGACCAAGACCATCAAGGAGACGACCAACCAGTCCTAGCACACCAGTAAGCAACAAGCCAACGGCAGCAATGATCTGGAACAGGGGCTCAGAGAGCAATCCCCAGAGGGGGTTCAGCTTCTTCTTGGCGTGAGGCATGTCAGCGATGCGTCTCTTGCCGTTGTCAATGCACTTGACGACCGTCTCGGTGAGCTCCTTGATCATATCGGCAAGCTGGTATTCCTCGGGAGTAGCATCGCGGGCAGCAGCGCGGGCCTTGGCTGTGGCAGCAATGCGTCCATCGGGATCAAGTCCACGAATGGCACCATTGCACTCTTGCAGAATGCGACCACCCTCTTCAAGGAGCGGCTTGACAGTTTGAACAAGTTTCTCCTCGTCAAGCTCGTCCTTGGGGGTACGGTCGGCCTTGTCGCAGGCATCGGTGATCTGCTTGCAAATAGGCTTGACATTGTCAAGAGTCTGGCTGAGGATGGAGATCATCTTCTGCGCGAGCTGGCGATCAGACTCGGCCTTAGCCGCAGCCTCCAGCTCTTCGGGCGTGGGACCCTCCTCTTCCTCTGCGGGCTCTTCAACCTCAACCTCAGGCTCGGGCTCGGGGATGTTCTCGAGCAAGGTGCATTCGCCGATCTTGTTGCCATCGTTGTCAACAACGTAGCCGTTGTCGTCGATGGCCTTGCCGACTAGGGTGGCGAGGTTGCCGGAAGTAAGCTTTCCAATGAGTTCGCCGTCCGCATCGCGAACTTCGCCCTCCTTGTTGACCTTGCGGCCAGACATGGGGTTGATATCACGCTTCTTCTCCTCGGGCTCCCAGCGCTCGGCCTTGCCAATAGTGTTGCCGTTCTTGTCGGAAACATCACCATCTTCGTCGACCTTGCGACCGAGAAGGCGCTTGGCATCGCCTTCGATCAGACGTCCAATGATCTTCTCGCCGTCAAGAACGACTCCGTCCTTCCCGACGATAGCGTTGTCGAAGCCGAAGAATGGTCCTTCAGCCTTGTGTTGCTCGGCGCCGGGAATGAGCTCGGCGCGTCCAACGACCTTGCCGCTGTCACCCCAGATCTGGCCCTTGCCGTCGACTTTGCATCCGGCAAGACGCTTATCGCCTTCGACAATGCGTCCGACGACAGCACCAGTGGCAGGGTCAACAACGTTGCCGGCCTTGTTCACAACCTTGCCCTCGAGGATAGAGAGGTCCTCCTCGACGGGCTCCTCATGGGGAGGCTCGTAAGGCTCAGCACGACCCTTGATATTGCCGTACTTGTCGGTGATCTCGCCATCCTCGTCGACAGCACGACCACGAAGCTTCTTGGCATCACCTTCAACAAGCTTACCAACAATGGATCCTTCATCATCCTCGACGAATCCATCCTTGGTCACAAATAGGCTCTCCATGCCAGCGAATGGCCCCTCGGGCTTGCTCTCGAGCTCATCCTCAGGGATAAGCTCAACACGGCCAACGACCTTCTTTCCATCGTAGATCTCGCCGTCCTCGATCTTCTTACCAGCAAGCTCCTTAGGGTTACCCTCGACAACACGGGCAATGGGGTATCCATCGGGCCCGATGACATAGCCAGCTTTGTTGCAAGTGAGGCCATTGACAGCGGAGAAATCAGGACCAGCCTCTTCCTCGGGTTCGAGACGCTCGGCCCGCCCAATGACACTGCCGTGCTTGTCGGTGATCTCGCCATCCTCGTCGACAGCACGACCACGAAGCTTCTTGGCGTCACCTTCAACAAGCTGACCAACAATGGATCCTGCATCGTCCTCGACGAATCCATCCTTACTCACAAAGAGGCCCTCCATGCCAGCGAATGGCCCCTCGGGCTTGCTCTCGAGCTCATCCTCAGGGATAAGCTCAACACGGCCAACGACCTTCTTTCCGTCGTAGATCTCGCCGTCCTCGATCTTCTTACCAGCAAGCTCCTTAGGGTTACCCTCGACAACACGGGCAATGGGGTATCCATCGGGTCCGATGACATAACCAGCTTTGTTGCAAGTGAGGCCATTGACAGCAGAGAAATCAGGACCAGCCTCTTCCTCCACCTCGGGCTCTTCCTCTTCGGGTTCGAGACGCTCAGCGCGTCCAATGACGTTACCATTACGGTCGAGGATGTCACCGTCCTCGTCAACGCCACGGCCGCTCAGTTTCTTCGCGTCGCCCTCAATCAGGCGACCAACGCGGTTGGAGTTTTCGTCCTCGACAAAGCCGTCTTCGTTAACGACAAGACCCTCAAGTCCGGAGAAGGGGCCTTCTTCGTGTTCGTCCTCCTCGACTGGGAGTGCCTTGGCTTGGCCAATCACATTGCCGCGGTTGTCCCAGAACTGACCCTTGTCGTCAAGGGTTACGCCGAGCTTGGCCAGTTTCTTTGGGTCACCTTCGGTGAGTTCACCGACGGGCTTGCCGGTGGCTTGGTCGATGATGTAGCCGCGCTTGTTGCAGACCATGCCGTCAAGGGTCTTGATGTCCGGGGTACGTGCCTCGATATCGGCGGCCTCATCGGCATCTTCAGGTGCATCTTCGGTGGTGTCCTTGGCTTCTTCGGCGGTGTCTTCGGCAGTGTTTTTGGCATCGTCAAGAGCACCTTCCACGCCTTCAGCGGCGTCTTCGGCATCGTCAACAGCGTCGGATGCGGCATCCTCAGAAGTAGATTTGGCGCCTTCGACATTGTTTTCGAGGTCAATCTTGCTCTTGCCGTCTTCTGCGGTGGACTTAGCATCGTCAACAGTACCGTTGATGGTATCGGTAGCATCTTCGGTGTCGGACGCAGCGTCGGAGGCAACATCTTCAGCAGTAGACTTAGCCTTGTCGGCAGTTCCTTCGACATCGGAAACATCGTCCTCGACCTCATCAGCCGCACCATCAATAGTGCTCTTGGCTTGGGTGGCAGAGAGACCATCCTGAGCATCCTCGTATTGATCCTCAAGGTCGTCCTTGGCGCCACCAGCCTTAGAAGCGGCATCGCCAGCAGCACCTTCAATGGCCTTCTTCTGCTCCTCGACAGGAATTAGATCGACACGACCAATGGCATCGCCATCTTCATCGACGATCTCGCCATCATCATTGAGGGTATAACCAATAAGATCTTCTGGGTCACCCTCAACAATACGGCCAACGATCTGACCAGCAGCGTTCTTGATAACACCGCCATCAGAAACAGGGAGCCCTTCAAGCTGAGCAAGATCCGTAACAACGTTGCCCGGATCAACCTCTCCGGCCTCCTGTGCGTCTTCAGCGGCATGCTTAGCCTGATCGGCGACCTCGTGGAGGATATCAACGCGACCAATTAAATCGCCCTCCTCATCGACAATCTCGCCGTCATCGCCAACAGTCTGTCCGACAAGATCCTCCGCATCCCCCTCGACAACCTTGCCAATGGGGTTTCCGTCCTTTCCGAGGATATCTCCGCCCTCGGCGACCTCAAGGCCCTTCAATGCGGAAAGGTTGAACGGCACTGGCAGGTTATCGGTGGCATTTTTCGCGTCATCTTGGACAGTCTCAGTACTTTGCTGGCCTGTCTCCTTGGTCTTGCTGGCGACGCTCTTAGCCTTGCCGCTTAACCCGGAGGTGGTGCGGCCGAGTGGGGCTGCGGAGCCAGAGGCGGAAGGCGCATGAGAGTCGTCGTCGGGTGGGGAGATGGGTCGACGCTGTTCGGTGCGCTTCTTTGACTTCGGTGAGGGTGTCTCGGGGATAGATTGCTCTTCGATGTCGTCGTCAAGTGGTTTTGGGGCTTTCTGGGAGAGCTTCCGGGGTGTGGTTGTCTTCTTCAAGGGCTTAGTAGTTCCGGAGGAGGTGCTGGGCTTGCTGGATGCGCTGGAGCCAGAGGCTTTGTGAGCTTTGGCGGGGGTTCCGGCCTTGGAGCCCAACTTGGGGGGTGCATTCTTCACAGAGGACATGGTTGATTTGGTTTCCGGTTGGATGTTTGTGTTTGTTGTGAATCAAAATTCAGGGTAATTGCAATGGAATGTAAATGCAGTTGTGTCCGATAAAAGAGGCTTGGGGTATACTTCGTGAAAACGTAGAGTGTAATGATAATGTACAAGTCCCTAGAACAGAGTATAATTCGGGATGATAATTGTTTCTAGATGGGTAGAAATAGAATAGATTTGTATAATCAAAATAATAATATCAGGAACATCCAGCGAGGTTCAGCGGTTTATATAAACAGTTCAATGATTCTGATATCATCGAACCAAGTAGACCATCAGACTATAACCAGGCACGATACCTGCAGAGCTTGCTACGTCATCTGCCGTTGATATCATAACGGTTTCGCCCATTATTATTTTTGCTTCAAATCCCTCTTCGGGGAAGGATCATCACAAGTTAATCTATACAAAGTGTGCACTGTGCAGGGGCTAGAGCATGGTAGGGCGTAGCATCATCGGCATCATGGAGTGGAGTCGATTAGATAACTTCTTGGTGGACATTTGTCTGGGAAATGGTTGATCCATGCAGTATTGCAGGGTGGATGCACGAATCAGAGGGCCGGAACTGGGATACAAGGGGAGTGTGGCTGAATCGGGGAGTAGAAGGAGGGAGGTGGATCTCTGTGCTGCTTCAACATAGAACTTTGACTATCTGTACAACTCGGAGGCACCAATATCTTGTGATAACACGCGCCTCTTGCCCAAAGTACTGGTCTTTGATTTGTTGCACAAGGCATGCCATGTTCTCGCAGCAGAACCTGCAATGTGAATTCTCCCATATCATGTTCCTGGTTGTCCCAAGGTTCTAGGCTTTCCGGACAATTAAACCCCAGAACACAACATGATTGGTCAAATTTTAGGATCGTGCCATGGATGTCCCCCGAAGCCACGCTATGGTAAACGTGGAAAAGGGTGGGCAAACAAATCAAAGATCTATCAGATACAGTATCCACTGCCAATTTGCCTCCTGTCACTTGTCACTATCACCCCTGTTGTAGAAAAAAGAAAAATTCCTGTTCGCCCAGCTCTACTCGCTATGCACCCCGAATCATCATTACATCAGAATTTATATGAAAACTCTTGAACAGTGCAACAATCCACCAAATCAATGTTTCTCCACGTAAACAGTTAATATACGATATGGCAGCCATTTACCCCACGCAAATCAGCATCCTGTCCAATGGATGACGATTTTCATGAACCACCCGCGATATTCCAAGGTTTGTACGACTATTCATATTGTATATCTAGAAGCTAAAAAGTCCAGTAATAAGCAAAACAGGGCCACGGTCGGACTCCCTGTCAGACATACTATGAGCGTAGGCTGTATGAGATCATTTTAATCTATTTGGGTGGAGAGTTCAGCCACACAAGTCATTGGCTGATATCATCGTCAAAATTCAAGAAATATTGTTAATACCTTGCCATTTCATATTATTCTCTAAATAGTACGGATATTGTAGATTAATTGTAGTTACCTTGCATACATATGTAGTACTATATCGTAAGTCGTGCAACGGCTACACGGTGGAAATTCTCCGGTTATCAACTTCCGAAATCAAGATTTGCCTCTACGTCTTGGCGTCTGTGCAACTTTTTTCTTTTTTTGGATCGATCGACTCTATATTGTATGATGATGTTGGAGCAGGATTATATAACTAGTACGGGAGACCTGGATATATATTGCATTATATTTGATGTTTATATTCAAACCTGGCAGCCTACCCATTCATGTATTTGTCTATATGAACACTGCAAAATATATGGCAAGATTAGTATTTGCTCATTCAATCTCAAAATCAATACGAAGTGTAGAATTAGTCCAGATCGAGATCGATCGGCACTTTTTTCCCTCATCGCTGCCACCATTAGGGGTTGGTGAGATTCGCCACCTATCAATTGTTCTCACCCACCTCCTTTTCCACATCTGTCTCCGTTTCTTCCCGCGTCAGTGTTGTCTATTGTAGGATCAATTCATCTACGCCTGGATCCAGTACTTGTTTAGCATAAGACGCACTCCGTCGTGTAGTACCGTTTGCAGTTGGATCCAGGACTAGGTTCTTATACAACTCGCCAGGGGACTTAGAGTAATTTGTTCTCGAGTGTTGCGTGTGAAGGCTCATTTTAGAGTACTTGCATACTCGTTCGGCACCAGCTTTATTGAAAAACCGCCCGACTTTGCGCTTGTCGAGATCGGGTGATTGAGGGTCAATTTGATCCCGTATAGGTGCGATATCAGCTCTATTGCCGTCATCTCCATTGAAGCTTGTCGGCGCATTGGTTCGAACGCTTGCCGAAGAATGGCTGTCGTTGGTGCTGCAACATCAACCACAGGCACCAGTCCGCAGTACTCGGCAGGAGCGCTTATCGGACTAGGAAAACACCAGTCCCTGACTTTGAAGAAAGGGTCATGGAGAGCCCGAGGAGTTTCCGTGGGTGTGCTGGAAAAGAGAAACTGCCACGGAGTGCACATTTGCGACACCGTTCCTGATTCTGAGGACTCAGCTCTGTTCCAGGCTATGGTGGCACGTGTCGATCTCGCTAAGCAGCTTTCGAACGAGAGACGCATACTCTTTGACTTCAGTTGTAGAAGGAGGCTCCTAATATGGAGCTGAAGGCTTTGGCTCTATGCTTAAAGCTCTGGTAGACGCTTGAAGGGGTTCATCTTCTCCCATGGTGACTGTAGGTGCAAGCCGACTTAATTGGTGAAATGTAATATCGTTCTCTTTCTCTTCTTCAAGAAGTCATTGGATTAGATTTTGCAGATCGGTGAGCGTCGCTTTCATGTTCCTCGTGTAAGATCAGTACCAGAGGAGGAGCATGTATTGTGTCGGTGCTTAAAGAGGAAAGACCCTGTGAGCTGTCGTGTACCTGTTTTCGAGTTAACTCAAAATTTCTTTGTTGTAGCAAGCCTAGAGCTTGGCGGATTTCCATGATCTGCCATTACTTTCTAGCTCGAATGGATCAACAATAGCTGGGCCTAGATGTCTGACCTCATGTGCTTTCCACGAGTGAACTTTGCCGACAGCCCGCGCGGAGCTCCGAATACATCTGATTATAGAGGTCGCATGATGAGTTAAATTGGCCCTTGGTAAGCCGCTGGTTTGGTCCTATCTACCTGCAATTTACGCAATGATACCCAGTATACTCGCTGAAAATAAACCCGATTCTCTTTATAAACATACAGTAAAGAAGCACTGTCCAATCACGAAGTCATCGCTATATTTTTCATCGCCACCTTTTGCGATATACGAAGCTCAATTGTGGCTTATCACGTCGCACCCGCGTACCAAATCCAAAATCCGGCCTGACCAATTACAGTACATACTGCATGTGCTCATGCCTATCACATTGTGGCGCTTGCAAGGTGATTAAGAAAGTGGAGACGACTCAATCGGATACTCTAAACGCTTTATATTGAGCCCCAAAAAGCAAACTCGACTAACTAGGTACCTATTCTACCTTTGCCTGGTATCTCTTAGACGAGGCGCACCATTTCAGATGGGTATCTGCAAAGGCTAGAATTGAAGTCTCAAGAATCTCCTTGTGGACCTCCCCATTCCACGAAACGTGGAGCCTTTCATGCATCTCCACTGCAGCCGACAGACAAAAATTGTGGATAACACATACATCCTGAATGGTCTTCGGTAATATAAAATCCACATCTATCCCCGCTTGTTCCTTGACGGATACCAAGACTGCATTCATGGTCTCGCCGTTCCGACGATCTTTCTCTAGGCCAACAAGATCGTTTTGCAGCCCTAGAACCAAGCTAACCCGCTTCTGGAGATCTCGGAGCCTGGAGAGGTATTCCGCATTAATTGGCTTGTGCAGTGTGCGGATCAGAGTGAAGAATGGATGGATCCCCATTGTCCTACCGCGGAATTGTAGATAGGTTTCCAGGTTGTTAGGCAACAATCCTCGGCGAAATAGAAGTTCGTCAAGCAAGCCCTCACACATATCGCATATATCATTGCTGAGCTCGCGGGCAGTGCTTTCACAGAGGTCAAGTTGCTGGATGCAATATTCTTGAAAGAAGCAAAGGATCGATGCGACTTTGTTTGTAGGAGAGACTATTCAAGAGGATGAGCTTGAAAGCCTTGCAAACCCAATCTTGATCTACTTACCGTCTGCCTTCGTTCCCTGAAGCTTCAAGATTGCCTCTTTCAAAGCGACTGTGGCGGCAGCTGGGGGCATGGCCTCAAGTATGTCATCCGCCGCGCAGTTTGCAGCCAGCCACGCGGCCATGCATATGCGGACGCTCTCTGATCGTACATCGGGGAAAAAGAGGTTAATTGCACTAGCTTCGGCAAAGCATCTCTCATAAAAATCTTTGGGATCTCCAGCTTTGTCTGGTTGGATGGAAGCCTTGAAATTAGCGTGTGAATAGATGACAGCTGATGGAGGGGCTGAATTGGTAGGAACTATGTCATAATGAGGAATGTTGACCTGCATTCAACTTATTTAGTCAGCGATTCACTAAGATAAATATGTAGTTTGGCTAACCTGGAGGGATACATCGCATATTCCCAGGGCGATTTTGCATGACTTGATCACAGGCTTCTCGTTGAGGCGCTTGTAATTGGGTATATGGCCTATTATATTGATTGGAAGGTAGATTGGACCAGCAGGAGAGACGATCCTATCGTGTTGTGAAAAGGTATACTCCCACGTAGCCATTTTTAATTCTGATGTTTCAAATAATAGGGAACACACGAAGATTGCTACGGTTTATATATCTACTCGAATATAGCTCGGCTAACATGCAAATATGGATAATGTGGAGATTCTGTGAGTCTTTCTAACAGCCAAGGCGTTTTCTTTGTTTATGACGTTGATATGGATTTGAGTATGCACGTGGAAAATTCCCTCATCTATTTCTCGTAGTATGATAGGTCATAGTATCGACTAGTTCCCCTTTATTAGAACCAACCGTTTCTCGGGAGAAGCTATAGACGCATGAATCCTCGTCCGCATCCCATGCGAAGAAGGTCTTCCCCTCATCGGATTCAACTACCTCCGCTAACTCCACCGCATGGAACATCAAGGTGCGGGGCCCTTTGTGTGCGTATATGCATACATCCATATGTGGTAAGAGGGGATCGCGGGTTTGATCGGATGCCTTCTCTCCACTCAGTGTAAACCAGTCCAGATAAAGCAATAGATGCATTGGATGGATATCCACGCTAGTATGCGGTGGCTTATGGATCTGTGTCAGGGTTCTTCTAGAAGTCCAACAGTCAATACATCAGTCTGTCCAAACACTGGTCATCCGATACCGATGTAACCACGTATGCTTATACAAGCGTGCTGATCAATATACATAAAATTCTGGAATGGAATCGGAAAGGGACGTCCAATTCCACCGGGGAATACTCAAAATTGCTAGTGGTGAAAAAAACAAGCTAGTAGTCTCAATCGGAGCTGTGGGTTGTAACCAATAAAAGTGGAAACACAATAGTGCTCAAGGATTATAGGATATACGACGGAGATTACAAATTACAATCGGTCAGAGATGATTAATATGAAACATATGCACGGATCGTTAGTGAAACCCATCGGAGTTGGGGGCAAAATCTCCTAGGAGATCAGATTCGATAATTACAAAGCAAAATAGCTCCATATTACCTCTCCTACTACTACAAGGCTAGTGTATCTTTGATTTCCACTAACTAGTTACTCTTTATACTGCTGTTATCTTAGGGCAAACATGCGTTGTTTCTAAAATGGGTGGGGAGAGTTCGGGTGCCTTCTGTGTCTGAGATGGTCCCTCCTTTGTTCTTCCTCTTCTTCCCCTTTTTTCTCCTTGGTAAAAATGGCTTGGAGTGACGATGAGGCTGCAGGTGACCTTGAATCGTGACATCTAAGGGACAAGTCCATCCATACCTAGTTAGTGGATGGCTCGACATCAATACGTTTACAGAGAGATCCTGTCATTCGGCAAGCAAAACAATCGAACAAGATAAGACCTAATAGCATCCGTACTTCGAAATTGACTCATACCAGATGTAGGACGAAGTTGAGGCGAGAGTGGCATATTTCCCTTCGATTTAGAATAGAGCACGTAATAGTCATAGCCTACCATCAGAGCGGTGGCCGTTAAGATCACATGGAATTAGGCACCAAAGTATTCCTAAGAAGTTAACTAGATAAGATCCTTGCCCCAGGTCGTGAATTATTAAATGCACGGACATCTTTGTGGATAGATATCATTCAGGCTATTAGTTTTTTTGGAAGGGTTGCGAATATTGCTCTCTAGATAATTCCTTTCGAGTTCTCCCCAATTGCAACCAAATATCTCCCCCTTCTCCGTCACCAAAGGAACAGGACAAGCTGTCACGCACGCTCGATCCGATCGAGTAGACTTCCTGGATTTACTGATTGCAAGATATGAACGGTTAATGAGAAACCGGCACGAATTCTAACAGGAAGAGGGAAGTCCCGGGGAAAGAAGTGGTAACCTCGATCACTTGGAGACACGTCTGTCTCAAGGGCCAAACTTCTCGTGTATTCGACCATATTTCACACTGAACCAATCCACTGCTCGCTCGTGAGCAACTGTCGAGCATATAATTGTTCACCTCAAGGTATGCACACATCATAGCCACCCAGGTGCTCATTGTGTTTCCCCAATTCGAAAACTCGGCATTCTCGTCATCCTGATCGGCAAGAACACCCCTAGCCAAACTCTCCACCAACGGCTCTTTGAGTGGATGGCAGATATTGCCAATGATGTCGTAGCCCTTAGTAGAGACAGTATGCTAGTTCAAGTCACCAGTAACACCTGGTACCGTAATATCTGCGAAAGAATTCAGCGTCAAGTTCAACTTTAGACCGCCAGCTAGATTGTGGTTGGTTGGATACTCAAATATTGCACGGAATCCATAGTCCTTTAGCTTCTGGCATGCTCTCTCATAGTCCTCATCATGGACAGCAATCATAGCAATGTATAACACATAATGAGCAGGAGCTGCAATACTAGTTAGTGATAACACAACTTACTCCTATCACAATAGGAACTCCTAAGTAGTGCATTGCAAGCGGTTCCCGTGGAAAGATAACCAGAGGTGTAAGTATGTGGCCGATTTCTGATATTCTGCGGTCAGGCTGGGGCGTACGTGGGTGCCCAATCATGGAAGGAGTCAATTCGTAGTTAGCCTTTGCGAGATGCGAAAGACAAGTGATGTAAAGGAAAGTGTGGGGCTCAATGATCTTCAGGCACGTGGCCTGGGTTAGGCCGCTTAAGTGGGGCCTGGATGTGGGGACACAACGCTTAGTAGAACACAAAGCAAGAGAGAGAGAGAGAGAGAGTGTGTGTGTGTGTTGCGACTGTATACAATATTTGATGACACTAAAAAAGAAAGAGAGAGGAAAACGAGCAACCCAATCTATAAACTCCCGTACAAATAGTCACATGACTACGGGCTCCAGTCCTAGCATGTACAATTGGCTCCCCACTTAACCACTTACACTCTTCTTTGTATTTAAAGCTATATGACTGCAGCGCTCTCTCTGCAATTCTGAGCACAATTCACGAAGCAACCCCCTTTCTTGATGATTTACGAAGCTTCAGAGATATCGTCCACTCGATTACGCAATTTCCGTAGCTTTTGAGCCGCTCGACAATCTCGAAAGTGTTCCATGAATTCCTCATGAGAGTACATTTTATCCCGCAGAATCCAATTTTTCACCAACGGAAGGCTTGACGAGCATTTGTAACCGTGAATTCGTAGCCACGGCTTTCTCTGACTATTTGTTGCACGCGGGGATTGAAATGCCGAAAATTGAACGAAGCCTAAATATCAAATAGTGAGCTTATAAGAAACCATAGATGTCAAGCCGGTGAAACATAGCCCAGATATCCGTACCCCACAAATGCATCCACAGTCACATTACCGTACATATACGGGTAGACGGTGAGAGGTCTGAGATCTAGACCAACGAATGCACACAGCAAATGCAAAGAGTTGCCACGGGCTCGCTAGGACCCGACCCCGGAGGTCCTGTCGATCTCTATAATATAATTATGTCCCCTACTGTTGAATATATTCGTGCATACGGAGTACGGAGTACAACACTCTAACTACATCATGCACGCACGTACCACATGACTAAATCCTCCCTCAGATTGTCATAGGCCCCGTGACTTGTGCCTCAATTTTTACTGTTGCGATAATAAGTTAAAGATCCTTGTTGACTTCTTAATAGCTCCAGGCTTCGTGCCGTATGCAATCCTGCCATTCGGTAGTCAGATCATTTTAGTATCGAACCTTTTCGGCGTTAACGCCCACTTCTGCTAATACCTTTCAGCTGTCGGGCCTAGTGCATCCTTTGGGCGGTTTTACAAGCCACTGTTTCCCAATGCTTAGTGATAAATCATATGCACCGTTTACTGTGCGTGCCCTGATTAGTCATTCTCTCTATCATGTTTTGATAAAATTAACTCCAAGCCACCACCTTTAGAGACCTTTTCATATTTATGTCTTTCTATATATAATGCTTAGCAATCATTACCGCTAGACCAATATGATAAAATACAAGATGGGATCGGTCTGAGGAAAATATATCAATTTACAATAACTCTCCCGACTATTTAGTTAATTGTCATTCCTAGTACTGTATGCAAGCCTACGAAATAGACCTATCTCTTGGGGGACTCGGGTGATCCACAACCTAAAAAAGAAACCGACCTTACAACGCCATTCTCCATACGGAGTACACAGGAGAAAGGTTCAGTGTTCGACATTTCATTGGTCAGCATGTCAAAATCATGCAACTATTATACTGGTGCCTAGAGCGTGAACTGAGGTGGCAATCCCTGAAACTGTGTGATAGAACCCCCCGCGGTTTAACCCCACATTGGGTCCTGTGACGCAGGGGCTGAACTCACCTTACTCCCCCTCTCATACCCATTACTACATCCTGACTGATTTGTCTAGCAACACAACTACCATTTCAGGATGCATCGCTACCGTGACTCCCTATTGAGCCCCTCCCCAAAGGGCATCGCCGACCTCAGCACTTTAGACAGCTGCACTGAACGTCAGACAGATGTGCGGCAGAGCCTCGCTAGGGGGGAATACAATGAGGTCCGGGAAGCGGCGTTCTTGAACCGAACCTGGATTATAAGCCACCGATACTGCAACCTTGGGGATGGGGTGGATTCCCTCGAAGACTACCTGCGTGAGATATGGTACATGTACTTCCAACTCAGCGTACTCACATCGTATGAAACGGCCGAGCACGATCGGCTGGTTCTTGATATCCTCCGGATCCAGGGAAAGGGGCCGTTAACCAGGCCTGTGAGAGGGATCTACGGCATCGATATTGCACGAACAGTCGAAGGAACGCTATGGAATGACATGCCATTTTTGGTTACCGACATGACCGACTTATTCATCAACAGCTGGGCGCCAATGTCGGGTGCCCAGCGCCTTAATGTTGTCTCCTTCTTGGCCAAGCTAGCGTCAACCCGCATCTGCAAGGACAGAATGTGCCAGATCGCTCTTGTGCTCTTCCGTCTTGCGCTTGAATCACGGCAAGAGCTTCGCGCCACCGGTGATCTGGATGATGAAGATCCAAGACGGAGCATGTGTGACCTTGAGAGTATGCACTTGTTGCCAGCCATCAATACGTGGATTCGGGAGGCAGGTTACAACATCATGCTACTCTCGGAGGTCTCGTGGAACGATTGCCCTAGTGAGATTGGCCGGGGTGGTGCGACCTTCATCCAGTCAGAGTTTGGGAAGCGAACCCCGTCTGGGTTTACACCCTGGAGATGGATGTATTGGCTCAAGCGACTCCATGAAATTCAGGAGGACGCAATGCAGGCTAGCGAGAATGATATTCTGGCATGTGCTAGCGAGGCCATTGAGCGCATGGTCAGCGGCGCGGACGAGCGAGACTCTGATATTCTGAGGGCCTACAAAGACAGTGGCGATGTCTTGTACAACGACAAACATTTGTTCCGACTGAAAGAGCTCGTGGAGAGCACAGAAAAAGATGAGAACGAAAGCCCTGAGGAGAACGAAAACCCTGAGGAGAAGGAAAACCCTGAGGAGAAGGAAAACCCTGAGGAGAAGGAAAACCCTGAGGAGAAGGAAAGTATCGGGGAGAGCGAAAACCCCGAGCAGAAGGAAAACTGCGACAATAAGGAAAACACCGAGGAGAATGAGAAGAATAGCTGAATTGCTCTGTCTATCCTACCCCTCTTTCTCATCTTATTTTGTCGTCCTAACTTGAATCCCCCTTTTAGTCCTGATCTTCCGAAAAATTGTTTAACGCACAGTCAGCGTTAGTACTAAACTCAATAAGGCAAAATGCCACTTCTATGATTCTGTTATGGCTAGAGTAGAGATCCTGAGTATATACTATGTGTATGTGTGTCGCTCACGAGCAGCCTTTGTATAGAGTCCTTGTAGATAAATGACAGTATATTTGAGAGTGACATGGCATCTCACATATCACTAACAAGAAGTACACAGTAGACCAAAAGTTCTTAGACACACTGTGTAAACTATTTAGTCACAATCGACAGAGTTATTGTAGGTGTCGACGGTACACTTGGCACCATCCCTGGTGCACTGGAAAGAAAAGAGCGGATCAGCACAGATGCAAATCATGTTTCTACTTCGGAATTGATGGCAACATACCCTCTTGTTAGCGATTTTGGAAGGGCACTTGATGAAAGTGGTCTTTCCGCGATCGTTCTTGTATTTACACTCGTTTTTCGATCTGGTGCATGTCTGAAGTGTGATTCCGAGTGATTAGTCCCGATTCCCAGAAGAGTACCCGATGTATAGAATATTTTGTTTTACTCACCCCGGTGTATTTGGCCAGGGCGCCAGCTTCTGCTCTGGCATCGAGGCCGTTTGCCACGGACTCAATCGGGCTTGCTACCGCGCTGATTGCAGCGAAGAGCAAAAGGGCAACTGTGGTGATTTGCATGATGATAGAATTGAATTGGGGATCTTGCAGGGAAGATTAAAGTGATAGAAGATATGGACCAGGTAATGTGCGAAGAAAGGCTCGTTGATACTTTTCGGAATGGAGGGCCATGGAGCCCTCTTTTATAGAACAGATTTTGCGTGCTCGGTATCGAAGATAGTGACTGCAAGACTGAAGCCAATGCAGTCATCCTGGGGTGGAAGTTTATGGATTGAGCAACTTACCCAATAGAAGTAGTGCCTCACATACCTGAGAGCAATGGGCTTCTTGGTTGGTACATTTTACATGTCGTGTGTGTCGTCGGCTTTCGGTTATTGTTCCGTCTAGCGGGGTGTAGTGAACTAATTGTTTCCCATACGCTGCCTTTTGGGGAGTAACTACTGTTAATCACGCCCCAACAACAGGCTTGAGTGCATGTCAAGTCGCATCATCAACAGCCAGCACCCGCTAGGAAAAACGTCGATGGACTGATCTTTCTTCTAGATAGAGTAGGACGACACTCTCGAAAGCGGCGGATCAGAGAAAATACCTACGGTGCTGATATGCTGACTTGGCCACTCATATCTGCCGAGGAATTTGTTGCATTCCATCTTTTTGTCGGTACTTCAATGGGAAATGACTATGTCCAATGTGTTTGTATATCAAAGGGTGGAGGACATGATTCTGATTGGCGTAGGGGACTCAGGCATGCATTTTTGTGACACCCAATGTGACGCTGCAAGTTCCAAAGCAATGCGCTGTGTTACCCAAGACTGTATGCGAACTACACTATGTTAGGAAAGGATTCGCGGAGAAAGCTAAGCTTAAATGGTAGGGCTAAGGAATCAAATGTCACACTTGCAGATGGGATGGTAGCGGCTAAGCAAGGATTGTATTTTAGCCCCCGCGTGGACCGCGAGAGGCCACGAGGTCCAGGGTCCACAGGTATTTGTTCTGTAACAGAGTAGCCCCCATGGGCATAAAATCGAGGTCCGTGGTGTGATCGGGATTTGTTGAATGCCGAAAGTGCTGCCTGTCCCAGGTCAGCGCCATCCCAGGTCAGCGCCAGAACAACAAATGGAAATTGATATTAAAAATGAAGTATTTCTTTCAGCTGAGATGGGACGTAAGCCTTGCAGGCAGGAAAAGTGAAAGTTGGTAGTGTGTACCATCATTAGCTTCTAGATAGAATAAACGTAAAATGAATAAATATACATATAATTTCAAATCTCGCTCCTGGGGAACTTAGTAGTAGCAACCAGAGCCCTGCTGGAGTGTGTATGAAACTGCGTAGTAGAGGTCTTAAACACCAGTTCCGTAGAGGCCTATGCTATACTGCATAGTATAGGTCGTCCAGAGGGCTAGGAAAGATTGTATAATTCACAATAACCACCAGGTCAGGTCCCAAAGCACATCGTGCGAACCTCCATTCGGATTTGGCTTTTTTCACAGCAGCAAAGCCCCTACAAGTAGTCCACCAACCACCATAAAGGGCGCTGGTATTTGCGGAGCAAGATTCCCGAATGTTGTAGTGGGTGCAGTATCGGTACTGGAAGTTCTGCCTTTCGAGATACTGTCCGATGTGCCACCAGAGGTCCCCAAAACCGTAGTCCCAGTTTGGGTGCCAGTACTAGGTGGAGCATCATTGCTTCCAACTGTCATGGTGGCAGTATGAACAACATAACATACTGAAGGGCCTGGAGCGTTGTATGACTCTTTTGTCCTACTAGTTGAACGCAACATATGTGACCGGGTGTAGTAGCAAGATGCGGTCGCGGAGTTGGACTACCAGTGGAAGAGGACGAAGAGCTAGTGTATCTTATAAAAATTGTTGGTCAAATGCCATGATGTATGTCCGACTTGGTCAGGCTTACGAGTACCCCGGATCCCGTTCAAGGTTGTCAGCTGGTCTTTTAGTTAGCCTCCAGATCCATGGCGAGTGTTTTTGCAGATAAACTTATCGTTAGGTTGGAGAACCAAAGTTATAGGAGTAGAAAACTTAAAACAGGAGGTCGCACTTTGGGGGCAATTGAGTGTATACGATGTTTTGTCGCCGCTCTGTTCTCCGTTAGCTAGGCTCACTCCTTAAGTACAGATAGACAATTACAGACATACTGTACCAACTACCCGGCCCTCGTAGCCATCGAAGAGGTTGTCGTTGTATCCTACCGACGGAAACGTCTGGTTTTCAGTTAGAATATATGTCTACGGTAGTACGTCTCGCTCAAAAGCTCAAAATGGTTTGCTCGGATGCTCCAAGATAGATCCAATTAAGGCTAGATGGAAAAGCCATGACAATGAAATATCAGACCATGTTGAACTGCTGATTAAAAACTTCAAGCCGGGCCCACGACTGTTCGTAAAGTTTTCCCGGAATGGTTTCCTGGGAAAAGGAGAACTCAACCCCACACTTTGGATTGGCTCTTGGGGGTCTATCCAGACCTCCGCCAAGCCGTTAAAGTCTTGGCCGCAGGGCTGTAGAGCACAATTTAAGATTGCCCTCTCCTTTTTAGTTGTTGGACTGTCCTTCAATTTCACTAGATTCACCCTGCTCATAAATGAGACCTATAGCTTTAATAATTCAGCTAGCTTGCGAACGATTATGTTCATTTCGAATGCCAACTATACGAACCCGAACCCGAACCCGAAATAGGGGCCAGCATTTCTAGGAGATCCCTTCAATCATAACATGAAAAGGGCAGCAGCAAGTGCCGCACCACCAAGCACACCCTGCCCAGTAGCATGTGGCATAGCCGGGTTTGAAGTCGGAGTGGAAGAAGAAGTCTGCAACCCTGTACCAGAGCTAGCCGAAGAACCCGTGGTAGTTGTGGAGGTGACCTGACTCATGGGGGTGACCTGACTCATGGAGGTGGCCCGAATGGTAGAGGTGCCCTCACTCGTAGAGGTGACCTCATGTGTTGAACTATCTATGGGAGTAGCTTCAGCTCTGCTCGACGCTGACGAGACCTGGGCCGAATAGTCGGTGGCCGTGAAGCGGACCTCGGCGAAACAAGTACTTCTGAATGTGGACCAGTCAGTCTCGTCCGTCATTGTCGCGGTAGCGTGAAGTTCCGCTGTGTATGTGAGTGCCTTGAGTGCTTCTCGAAAAGGTCTCATATCGTAGACACAGCAGTACGGGCCTTCTTTGTCGATGAGCATGTTTCCGGGACAGCACTTTGTGCCTTTGTACATCTTTAGGAGCCATCCTGATGGGCATTCGGTTTCCGCAGCGCTTGACGTGATCGATAGGGCTGTCGCCAGGAGAAAGGTCTTGAAAAATGTCATTTTGGATCCAATGGGTTATGTTGAAAAGAGTGGATGGGTAAGAAGTTTTTTACTCTTCCACTCTTAAGAGTGGAAGAGCGTAAGCTTTCATTGAACACATGAACAATCGGGATTCGGCCCTTGAGTCACGGGGTCTCGTCTTACCCCGGACGACCTAGCACCAGTCACAATAGGAAATCGTCTTATAGGTCGATTTACCGAGCTACCTCGAAAACGGCCCCCAATAGAAGTTGATTGCACCAATCACAAGAGACTCTCGTCCCCATAACCTTACAGAGTGGATCCATGCTGGGTACAGCAATGGAATAAGCCGATGAAGAACCATGGAACCTAAAGAGACAGCGCTTCTCCAGGGATGGAGGTTGCGACTGGGATTCCGTCTTGCTTCAGCGGCCAGGACGGTCTACCAACAAATTAGGAATTGAAGGGCCGAACAGTGGGAGCGAGAAATGCCAAGACCAATCCACCGCATCAGGTATATACCGCCTCTTATAGTATGAAGGGTCGACTACTGGTTTTCCCGGAATGAATTGTATGTCTACAATTATTACTGGATGGCCTGTAAGCCAGCTTGGCTTCAGGAAAGATATAACGCGGCTGTATTGGACAGCTAGAAGCTAAGGAAAAGAAAAAAAAAAACAAAGAAATACAAAGCAAATCAAGACCTAGGAACCAGGATCGGTCCGCAAGAAGAAATATTCATACCTCCATCAATGTTAGATAGAATAACCTTAGAAATTAGAAATACCAAGGTAGCTATCCTATAATGACTTCATACTCGAGTCAGCAGAACAATAGGTCTTTAGTACTGCCACTGGGCTCACTCCACGCCTCACCATCCATGCACTCATGAACATAGCATTCTCCGATAATCTCTAGTCTTCCCTTCTCCATAGATCGTACCACCAACGGCATAGCAAGACCCGCCACAATTGCAATCAAATCACCCAGTATCGTTGTCCGGGGAACAAAGCACATATTCCCATTTGAGTCGATTGCCAACCGCCGGCGGGAAAAGGCGCCCCTGATATCCATGGTTTCGATGAGTTCCATGTACGAACTAGGTATCGTCGAGGGAGTTTGTTGTTCTTCGAACGAAGCGAGCCAGGCGGGGAACGTGTCCAAGTCTTCTCCGTAGTCCTTGGGTAGACGACTCCAGTTCCGGTCGTTGTCTGCAACCAACACCCGCCAAAGGGCTCTTTTGCTATCTTCGGACCGAGGAGCGCCATTGCGTGTTTGACTGAGTTCCACGCACGCGTTAACGTGCTTTCTAAATGATTCAAAGATAATGCGGTCGCTCATCTGGTCTCGGAACGGAACAAAAATGGCCGGGGGATCCGTCAGAGCGCAGATGGAGCTGATAATAGTACCATGGGTCGAGAGAATTCTCAATCCGTCCTCATTGTTGACTTTAGAATATCCCTGTGAGTCACCGGCAGCCTTGAAATTAATTGAAGGGAGCTCGTTATTGACCAATGTCCAATCCGGTACCCATGAGGGTAGGCCATCGAGGTCTTGATGATAGCGGCCAGCCCAGCAGAGAATAAAAGGACCTTGAACCTCTAGAAAGCGCTCTGCTAGCTTGGTGTACACACTGGCGACACTCTGGCTGTAGTCGGGCACCAGCATCAGTTTGTCCAGGTCTTCATCGTGGGCAAGTGCTTGCACGGCATATATCCGGTCTCTCGGGTCCTTCGCACCGCACATCGTAATGTCCCGTAAAATATCAATTAGGAGCGCGGGGACGTCATCATATGTGTAGCTTTGAATGTTCAGAACAAGCAATGACGACGCGAGTCCGTCGTTCGATAGAGTGTCCTTTGCAAATCCCTCGCTGCTCGGTTTCTGGAAGGACCATGCCAGGCTGAAAAGTTGGTGCCACTTCGCTTCTTTCCCCCCACACAGAACAACCGTATTCGGATTCACTGCTGCTTCCTGTTGAATCCAGACCCGGGAAAACCACGGCCGAAGGAAAAAGGAATCAACGCTCTTCGATGAAACAGGGAGCGGCTGCCAGGGTCTACACTCACCCCAGTCCCATGAGCCAGTATCCGCATAGACCCATTTCTTATGTTCCAGCAAGTCTGGAATTCCATCCAGAGTGCTCATATAGTCCATAACATCATCGCTATTGTCCGCTGCTGGGCCGAGCCATACAAAAACACGACTTGCCCGGGTGTAGATGTCCTTCATGAAAGACACCTCGTGACTCACTTCCGCAAGGTCGTCCTGATTAATGCAGAGTGCATCGATCCAGATAGTTCTCGGTGACTCTGACTCTACAGGGCTTAATGCGTGTAGGGCGACAAACAAATTCTTTGTGACGGATATAACGGATCCGGATCCGACCTGAATTGGAATGCTGCTGGTATCGCTACCCCAGGTATACGAGAGAGCTTCGTACACGGGGTGCTGATCGATGGAGGCTCGTTCGATTTCACATCGAATTTGGTTGTCGCTTGTCAGAGGGTATAAACGGACGATTCGGATCTCCCTGTGTGCCAGTGGCTCGTATAGATATGATTGTTGGGAGGGGTTAGGGACAGTCATGGTCGACTTCTGACTATGGAGTTCCTCTTGTGTGTTTGAGGCTGTGTTAGGGAAACTTGGACGAGATATCATATGCTGCAACTGTTGCGCGCTTGTGGAAAAGGGACAGGGCTTTGGCACTACGAGGGTGGTTGCGTCTTTGAACTTGATGGCTACGTATTATGGTCTATACTCGCTTTAAGTATATTATCTATAGCTGATAAGAGGCTGGTAGGGTACAGCCACATTGTCTCTGCTGAGGCTGATTCCGCTGCGCCCTGGATCAAGACGTCCAATTGGAAATCGACTCGGGGCACGGAGTACCTATGCAGTGGATTGGAATTGATTGAGAGCAAACGGGGGCCGACAGCGCCAGTCTCACCTGCGTCTCAAAAATTGCCTACGTATAGGTGCGAAGAGGATCGGCGTTTTAGGCAGAAGCAATCGTCCAATAATGTTGCATTGTATCTTAACTTAAAGGGGACTACGAGTCCCGCGCGATACGCGGGTGATGCTAATTCGCAGCTTGACTCTTATGAATCCTTGCCCAATGGAATCTCCCTCTTCCCCACAATATTAATGCCCGATATCGCATTTTGCCAGTAAATTTCACAATCACTGTTACTGTTACTGTATAATAGGATGTTCTGAATTGAGTGATGAAATTAAGTCATGTCAAATGCCGAGTCCAAATACCTGGTCATATACAGGACAAACCCGATCGCAGGGTAATTTACCCCCAACCTTGTCGTCAGGTTCAGAGAACTCACAGAAAAGTGCATTATTGATTAATTGATTAGTCATTTTGTTTATTTAAGTTGCGAGATAGAGAGAATGCGAAGCTAAAATTCATTGCTGTAGTAGATGTGGGAAATAATACAGCAAAATACCACTACGCCATAACAAAAACCTCGATTCTTGTTGAGGCTACCCCCCTCCAAGCGAAATGTCCCAGTTCTGGCAAAGCCTTCAAGGGCTCAGGAGTCGAATTCTTCGGTTGGGACAGCCTACCCTCATATTCCGCCAAATATCTTCATTCTCATTGCCATCCATATCAGAGCAAAAACGAGATTATAATATCGGGCTGGTTGGGCTCGGGTGGCGGGGCTATAGAACACACTTTCTCAGCCTCGTGGACAATCCGTCCGTCTCCATCGCCGCAGTTTGCGATACGGATCAAAACACCCTCCAATCCTTCTCTGAACGACACCCCAATATCCACACGTATGCGTCACTTACAGAACTCCTACAGCACCACACGCTGGACTTTGCTGTTCTATCAGTTCCTCATGCATTTCACCTGGACTGTGTGGTGGCGCTTTCCAAGAAGGGCGTGCCCATTCTGAAAGAAAAGCCGGTCGCAGAAACATTCGATGAATATTCGCAGATGAAAGATTTTGATGTGCCAATCGGAATCACCTTCCAGAAGCGGTTCGAGCCTCAATTCTTGCATCTGAAAGCCCTCCTCCCGCTGATCGGCGATATCACCGCTATTCAAGCTAGTCTCACCTTGAACATAACACACTTAGACGAGAACTGGAGAGCTGCTGCTGGCGTTGGGGTGACCGTATGCAATCTCCCTTTTCAAGCTTTCGGCGCTGAGCTCGCTGACAATTCGGATTGCAGGAAGATCTGGGATGTCATATGCTGGACCTGGTCGTTTGGCTTTTTGGCATACCGACCTCTGTAATGGCACATTGCGTCTCCTCCGTCCGACCATTCCAGCAGTACGGCGGGGACGATGTTTCTCATGTTATTATGGACTGGCGTCCTAAGAATTGCATAGCTCATGTATACATGTCCCGTGTTGCACACAGAGCCACCCAGACCATAACTATTACTGGAGCAAAGGGTACACTTACTGTCGATGGGCCTCAGGTCATACATTATGACGATGAGGGCCGACAGCTGAGCAAGACGGTGCATCAGTGTATTGAGAAGAACATCATCCGCAAAATGGTGCTGGAATTTGGGGACTGGGCTGCAGGACGCACAGAGACATTTTCGACGTCGCTGGAAGATTCGCAGGATACAGTCTTGGTCGTTGACGCGATCAAGGCATCTCTAACGAGCCATCAGGTGCAACATCCTCTTCTACTATCGAAACGGAAATCGTCAATTACCACCGACAGAAAGATGATGCTGCGAAATGCAGCCCCGAGGCGCGGGTACACTTGCTCCACATCAGCCTCCCTGGCGGAAAGTGTCAAGAGATTCACACTCAATACAGGGTCCACCATACCGATGGTTGGACTCGGAACACGGAGTGCAAAGTCACCTGGGGAGGTCCGTGAGGCTGTAAGAATTGCCCTCCGGATAGGATATCGGCATATTGATATAGCCGAGTCCTCGGGGAATGAACGGGAAATTGCAGCAGCGATTAAAGACTCTGGAATCCCTCGCAACGAGATATGGATTACAACTAAACTAGACAACAGGTGGCACATTAGAGTAGACCAGGCGGTCGAGCGATCACTTGCAAGATTGGACACGACCTTTGTAGACTTATACCTTATGGTAGGTATTTGAAGTACGGGTTGATATTACAGAATCTCCGCTGACAGTCCTGGTAGCATTGGCCCATATGCATCGACCCAGACAACCCACCAAGGCAGCTTACCAATTGGAATTTCGTTGATACATGGTATGCATACACGTTTTGTGTCACCTACCGGTGCTAACTTTACACAGGAGAGAACTACAGAAGATCCCCAGAAGTCAGGTACGGAATATCGGGGTTTCAAATTTTGGCATTAGCCATCTTGAAACATTGCTTGTCGACCCATCTTGCCATGTTATCCCTGCAGTTAACCAGGTTGAGGTAAGCCTATAAACGGACTGCGCGCATCGTCACCCACTAATTACTGAAAAGCTTCATCCCCACTGGCCGTCTCCGAACCTCCTGAACTACTGTCGCAAAAATGGCATCCATTGTACCGCATATTCCCCCTTTGGGTCATCCCACTCGCCCCTCTTACAGGATCCAGTCCTTCGGCAGATTTCTCGGATTAGAAAAAGGACGGAGCATCAGATCCTGTAAGCTGATCCCTGCGCTTTGCTGAAAGATGCAATCGAAATAACCATGAAATGTTATAGTCTAAAGTGGGGGATTCAGCGAGGCACTAGCGTTATACCAAGAAGCGTAAACGGCTTTCGAATTAAGGAGAATCTTGACTTGGACGCGTTTGAGCTTTCGGAGGAGGAGATGGACAGGCTGAACGACATTAGGTCACGATTCAAGTCATGTGGTGATGACTGGTTACCTGGTAAGGTGTTCTTTGCATATGATACTTAGCGGTAACTGCATTTGTTATACAGATACTAGTCAAAAGTGTCTTCCCACTCCGCTTTTCGGCTACTCTCGTTGAAGTATATATATTTGGTTTGCACAGCACCACGCAGCCACTTCATATGCTGATTAAGTTTAGTAAACAAAATATTACTAATTGATCACCGCAAATTGATTTCTTGCCTAATATTTATTTGTACGCCTTGGGCCAAATTCCATTAGAATTGGACTAGGGGTGATTGTTGAGGTGATAGGCGGAGTGGGAAGATACTTTTGAACCTGAAATTGAGATGAAAACCTGATATTCTGAACATTTCTGTGATTTCTATTCAGCTCAAGATTAATATAATTTCTCTCATTTTCAGAACAAATACCACAGAAATATGAATCCGATTGGACACAAACTCAAGTAGCCTTGTCAGGCAGACTGCAGCCGCAGCACAAACAGAAAGAACAGAAATGGCCGTATTAACTTACCCAGCTTACCCCTCCTCACTTCGCCTTTTTACCACCCTTTTCACTTGTGGTTCTATGGCTTTGTGATCAAGAAAGGGAAAAAAAGAATGGTCTACCCCTGGAAGGTCTTCTCCACCTGGGCCCCCTTCCAGATAGATGCGTTGGGCCTGGTGACTCTCCTTGGTGCAGATGAAGTGAACCTCTCGGTCGGCCGGCTAGCACCCAGCCAATGGCTCGAATTTATGCCACTCCTTGCCGGCTTTGTCTTCGCTGGTGACCGCTTCCGCGCCAAACAGCCAATCTTCACATTATACAATATCTCCAGTGGAATAGTAACAGGTAACCTCGCCGCCTGGTTCACTCGATGGATGAGCGCACAAGACTTTCAGCTCTCGCGGAGTTTAGTCTACTGGGAGATTGAAGATGTCTCGAATTCAAATTCGACAGTCCAATTAAGGAAATTTGTCGTCGCGGGGGTGATCAGTTTTGTATTCACAGGATTCTTGCTCGCCATGACAGTGCTGAGTGCGGATTGGTATGGGCTTGCTAATACAATTGCGATCATCATCCTGATTGCTGTCCGGTCGTACATGTTACAGGCGAGTCGGAATGCCATTAATCGGGCTGTTGCTGTTGCGAGACCGCTTCCGACGACTTTTCGGGGTGCGCTCTTGCAGTGGGAGAATAACAAGAGAAAGAATGGCATTTCAGAGGCAGTGGAAGAGGCATCCCGACCGAGGGAAAATAGCCGGGAATGGCGACCCGAGGTCGCTAAGGTCCTGGTGATCATGCCTGACTCCCGTGCGGTAACGATGTTCATCCCAGAGCATCTGCTGCGTCCAATCTTCGTGACAGATGTCTATCCATTGTCTCCGTGGATATATCGCATTGCGCAATGGATCGGATGGGTATCATTCGTGGTCCATGTTGTTACCCTGGGAATGGCAAACCTAGCGACGCAGTTATATGTCATCGCCATCATGATCATCCCAACTATTTTAATCAGCTACGGCTTTGGCTGTGATGACTCTCGAATCTTCAAGGGGTGGCGGAAGTTCCACAACAACGACGACTCTCCGCCGTACATATACTGGGCCGGGAAGCGATTAAAAGCGACAGTCATGGAATGGCCGCAAGAGGTTGAATTCGCCAAAAATAGTGAAGGAACCATCAATCGCCGGGATCCCCTAGTGCAGGTATCTCGGACACAACGCTCAACTGCACGGCAGGATTTGTATGCTTGGTTGAATCTCAGTGCAGAGGAGCAGAAGAGCTTGTCGGACTGGCATTTGCTTCCGCACACGCGTGGGAAAGATGATCCATGGTGGAGGGATTTTGAAGCGAAGCAGGCATTGATTCGGAATGATCCGCCCGATCTACATGCGTTCAAGGTAGGGGTTCAACAGGAGCTAGGAAGGATGAAGGTCGGGGAGACCGTTGTGCGCGGGGGAATAGTCGGCACGGTCGATATTGAGAAGGGGGAAAAAAATCCCGTAAAATAATTCCCCAACTAGCCCTGCATTGGCATATATTATCAGGGAGGACGTGTGGTTGAAAGGAGTTGAACCTGTAGAGTGGGTAGAGAAAGCCGGTGTCAGTAAACAGTGTTGATTGCCGGAGGAACCTATCTCAGAACGAGAACTTAGGCTAAAACCATCTGGGTTCAAAGTCTAACAACCTATTTGCCGCAACACAACGCGGCTAGAAAAGTAGAAAAAGTAGATATGTAGATGCTAAGCTTTCAGATTGTTGACTATATCCTTGTGGTGCTCTCAAATCAGGGCTGCTGTACAAAGCGATACATATACATGTCACCACAGGCGTTGGAAATGTTGCGATTCTGTCCGGGCATATTGGACCGTTGTATGGGTGAAGCACACATCCTCGTCAAAAGATGGTTTGATCAGATAGTAACTAGATAATATTGTGGACTCGCCTACTTTCCTGACTCAACTATCTTCCCCTCTCTCCTGCCTTCACTTCAACAGGATACCGATGCTAACTAGGAGATCTCCCGCGATGTCCAAAATTCTGAGCCCACCAACCCTCGTCGCGACATTGTTTCGTATCTAACTCGACCCTCGCGCGCGCCCCCCCCGGGATCCAGTGGTTAACGACCGCGTTTATCAAACCCCTGAATGGTGCTACATCCAACCTAATCACCACAAAAGCGAGCGACGGTCGATCTCCTGAGTGTGACAGCTTCCATGTGATTTAGGCTTTGGTCAAGCTTTACAAATCCATTCAGGCTGCTGAGGCCTTCATTTCTTGATTCCACCCTGACTTGCCGCTGCCGAGATAACGGCACGATGACAAGGATTATATCCCGCTATACCATGCAAGATAGGCCCGAAATTAATGAATACAACATGATCCATCTTATCTAGTTAGGTACGTACCCGATTACCAATCCATTAAATGCCTTGCCCAACAGTGACTGCACCACCAAATACGAAAGGATGTCTCGGCATCACATTGCCGGCTTCGCTGGTATTGGTGAAAGACCCTAGCGAGGCCGTGAGCTTTATTCCTTATCTGCGAACAGCCGACATCTCCCCTGCTCTGCAGGATCTCATTTGAGAGGCATCCAAGGATGCTATGCACAAAATCTGGTCTGCACTGGCAGCGTTTGGGGCATTGGGACTTTTGAGCTCCCTCTTTGTGGAAGAATTGATTATGCAGACGGAAGAGCTGGGTCATCAACATTTTGAGCTTGAGTCAGATTGAATGGAGGTAGTGGTAGACGTCGTTCATGTTCAACGGAGTACGTGACAGCAAATATAACTTGGATAGTTAACCTGATACCCTGTCTGTGATCTGTTAAATCTACGATCGGAACAGGACCGGGTACTTCCACAGTTTCCTTGGGTCCACCTACGGCAGGTTTTTGTGTCTGTCGCACTAACCGGCCTTTTGCCAACAGAAGGTTAACCAACTACCATGAATCGCCATTTATATATGTAGTCCCTTAGAGGTCTAGAGCTAGCTATCAAAGGTGGCCCACTAGTTAACAATATTGGGGTATGGTTAGCGGTTATATTCTAAAAGACCCTAGAAAATACCAAAAATACCGATAGAAAGATGATAACAAAGTGGTACTTATAGTAGCGCTAAACCTTCTCTATATGATGTAACGAATTAGGCATAATAGGTTGAGTTCATGGCACTACTTGAAAAGGATACATAGTGTCATGCTTATAGGGGCTTGCATGGCGCGATGGATCTAGATGGGGCGCCAAGACAGACTATATTGGTTTTGGTAGCATACAGTGTCGGGGTCTACATTTGGCTTTTGCTTGTTTGAAATATTGGTATAACGGCGCTGACAAAGAATTGCCCGCTGCTTACATGAACCCTGTCATCGTACATTTGTAAAATTCATAGGCCAAAGGAGTTTGTTATCTTCCAAACAGGTGTTAACTCCCCTTCACGTTCATCTCATCAAGGGAAGGACAACAGCTTAGGAAGAATGCACGACATTACCTCGTTATCACCAGGATGCTCACCCCAGGCTGACGATAGTTTTGGCCCTGCAATACATCACGGGTGCCGCGATAGCTTTGATTTCACGTTATTGTTTGAGCAAGCCATTCTAGGCCTCGCTCCTGCGGTCACATTTCTCCTCGTGTGTCCTCTACGATTGAAAATATTGTTTAAGAGAGATGTGCGGACACAGCCTCATATGATGAGATTAGCAAAGCTCGTAAGCATTTTCAAATCGCCACTAGCCGAGTCAAACACGAGATAACGACGATTTCACCTCAGATAACTGCCTTGGTTTTTGCCCTGATTCAACTTGTCCTCCTAATCAGCTGGGCCAAGAAAACTCAGTCAATCACAAAGCTTTCTGTGGCATTGAGTGCTATAAATTTGGCAGTGGCAGTGCAGATTGTGATCTTGTCGTGGGTTGAAGATGAGCGATCAGTCAGACCATCATCACTCCTCGCTATTTACCTTCTCTCCACGTTGCTCTTCGACATTGTACAGACACGGACGTTGTGGCTGTCCCACAGGAACACATTGATTACTAGTCTATTCACGGTCAGTGTCGCTGTGAAGACTGCAATGGTGTTTTTCGAGAGCCTGGGGAAGCGGGAACACCTTATTGGTTCCTATCAAGATCTTCCACCAGAGTCGACAAGTGGAATTTTCAATCGATCATTCATGTGGTGGCTGAACCGTCTATTTCTCAAGGGCTTTCGATCATTGCTTACAAATGAGGATCTTGATCATCTCGACGGGCCCCTGGAGTCCGCAGGAACGGCGCGGAAAGCATTGAGGGCTTGGGTTTTACGACGGTGTCCGGAGCGCCGTTTCGAATTCCCATGGCAAATGGGCCGAGCATTCAAGGGTCCTATTGCTGTGACCGTACTTCCACGCTTGTTCTCGATCGGTTTTACATTCTCGCAGCCGTTCTTGATCTCATCTGTTCTCAGCTGGCTTGATAACCAACACAGCGCAAGCAATGAAGGCTACGGTCTCATCGCCGCAACACTTCTAATATATTTGGGAATAGCCATATCAAATCTCATATACGATCAGATGTTGTACCGGGTTGTGACAGTGTTTCGAGGGGCAGCCTCGTCGATGATATATGACCATGCCCTGCAAATCCCAGATGGCACCCTAGGTGATCGTTCTGCCACAATTACTTTAATGACCACCGACGTTGACCGGATCATCGCATGTCTAATCGAGTTGAATGAATTCTGGGCGCGGACAATCGAAGTGGGAATTGGCATTACGCTACTTGCGCTTCGGCTGGGTTGGGTTTGCCTGATGCCATTAGCAATAGTTCTCGGTAGGTATACCAGTTTCAATTTTCCCATGGCAATAATGTGCTGAAAGTTGGCGATAGTATCTAGTGGAGGAGCTGTTTATATCTCGAAGCACATAGGAACACACCAGAAAATATGGGTGGATGCCGTGCAGCAACGCATTGCGATCACCCGTTCACTTCTGGAAGGTATCCAAACAATCAAGGGGACTGGGTTGGGTCAAACCTTTATTCGTCTTGTACAGAGGAAAAGAGTCCAAGAAACCCGTCAAATGGCTAAGTACCGATGGAGCATTGTCTGGAAGAATATGATCCAGAATATTCCTTGGGCCTTAGCTCCGGCTTTGACCTTCATGGTCTACGCCGTTCAAGGAAATGAACTGAATGCTACAAAGGCATTCAGCAGTCTGTCTATTATAACCCTTCTAACTAATCCAGCTTCTAAGCTTCTCAGCGCTATCCCTTCCATTACGGCTGCGACCGGATCCTTCGATAGATTGCAAGCATTCCTTCTGCTGGAACCCGGTCATCAACGGCCACTGAATGGTCTTTTATGCACGAGTCAAACGGAAGTTGATGAATCTCTGCATATCACCAAAACACAAAATATGCATTTCAATGGCCCACAATATAGCACTGATCTTGAAACACTTGTCATCTCTATGGAAGGTATCAGCATCCGCCCATCCGCTTCGACGAAAGCTGTCTTAAGAGATGTCAATCTCCAAGTCCCTCTCGGAGCGCTGGTCGTCATCCAAGGGCCAGTTGGATCAGGAAAATCGACCCTTCTTCGGGCTATCCTTGGCCAAGCAGTGTGCGAGTCAGGATCCACAACAGTGACCATTCGACAACCTGCTTTCTGCGCACAAACACCTTGGGTCCCAAGTGGCACCATCCGGGATGCGATTTGTGGAAACTTCTCGCCCGGTCCAGTGAAGGATAGAAGTTTTGATAAAAAGTGGTACACATCTGTTCTTCACGCCTGTGATCTCAATCCAGATCTGGATCTGCTTCGTGAGGGAGACGCTACGCGAATTGGGCACGGATCCGGCCATATACTGAGCGGCGGTCAAATGCATCGTGTGGCTCTTGCTCGAGCGGTGTATGCTCGCAGGAAGCTTTTGTTGTTGGACGACATATTTAGCGCACTGGACCGGAAGACCAAGGATACTATCATAACGCGTCTTTTGGGAGTCAATGGACTGCTCCGAAAAGCAGATTGGACCATTATTTTAGTCACACATGAAGGTAGGCCCCCTCCAAAGTACCATTGTTGCCGATTATGGGCTAACACCTTAGTAGTGGAGCACCTGCCGTGTGTGGATCAGATTTATGTTCTTTCAGATGGGCGTCTAAATCAGCAAGACCTCTGTAAGGGGAATGTCTACCAAGGATTCAGGTCTGATGATGTGGAGGCTCAGGGGTCGAATGAGACCCCAGGGCTGGTGATAGAGGACAAAGCCGCCATGGTCTCCGACGCGAATGAGGTCGACGATCTCAGGCGGGCAACAGGGGACTCTGCTGTCTACATGTATTATTTGCGCTATGTTGGGTGGACCAATGCTGTGATATTTGTCTTCTTCGTGATAATGAATGTGTTCTCTAGCACATACAGTCGTATGTGGATTGTTATTTGTGCTACTATCGATCTAGCTAACAACTATTTCTACTAGACATTTGGCTGAAGCAATGGGCTGACCGTGGAGGAGCTCAAAAGCAACTCTATGTCACTGTCTATTTCTTGCTAGCCCTTTGCAACACCTTCGGAAATGGTGGTTATGTTTGGTGAGGCGTTCTGTCCGATAATACACCATTTTATACTCCTAACGGAATTACAGGGCTATCCTCATTCTGATCTCACCCTCAACAGCGCGTCGGCTTCATTACCTCATACTGAAGACTGTTGTAATGTACATTCAGCTCCTTTTTCTTCTGCCTCGGTCAACTGCTGATACCCGCAGGGCAACGCCTCAATTTCTAGCTACTGCTGACATCGGGTCAATAATAAATCGATTTAGCCAGGATATGACCCTGATAGAAAGCGACTTGCCTATTGGCATCCTAATCACGGTATCAAGTAAGACCGCTACCATTCCAGCCAGCCTCCATTCTCGCTAATTAATTTAGATCTCTTTTCATCAATTGCCGATGCTGCACTGATTGCGACCGGGTCAAAGTACATGGCAATATCTGTGCCTTTCTTGGTCATCTCGGTCTGTTTATTGCAGCATTTCTATCTGAAGACATCACGACAACTTCGACTACTGGAGCTGGAAAGCAAAGGTCCGTTGTACTCCCATCTACTTGATACGGTCCAGGGTCTCGCTACAATCCAAGCATTTGGCTGGGAAGCAGAGTTTCGGACCACGAATTCAACATTATTGGATGTTACCCAGCGCACATATTATATGCTTCATTGCATTCAGCGCTGGCTCACCTTAGTCTTGGACCTTATCGTCGCTGCCGAGGCGGTCATTGTTGTTACTTTGGCAGTGTCCTTAAGGCATACAACCAGTGTCGGATTGCTTGGAGTATCGCTCAACAGCGTCCTCGGTATGTCTTTCTCATAGCACTTTACGTTGCTAAGAGTTCCACTTGATTGTTTATTTCCCCCGGCTGACTCATCTCCATGAAGCCTTCAATGGTAGCCTTTCATCTCTAATATCGGGCTGGACACAATTGGAGATATCACTGGGCTCAATTTTACGCGTCAAACAATTTGAACTTACGACACCATGTGAGGATGTCACTGGGCAAGAAACAATTCCCATCGACTGGCCAGGTCAAGGAGCTATTGAGATCACAGGGATGGCTGCACAGTATAAGTATATATTCCGCAATAGCTCTGAGCGATCACCACATTTCATTCACATTACTAACAAACCACAAACAGTCCTGAAACAACAGTACTGAGCAATGTGTCTCTGAGATGTTCGCCAGGTCAGAGAATCGGTATCTGCGGACGTACTGGAAGGTAAGTCTCATCTTCCTGAGATTCCTAGTTGGTGCTAGGATTATCAGTCTTGGCTAACGTTCCACCGCGTAATGGATTAGCGGAAAGAGTTCTTTACTATCGACATTATTGGGCATGCTCACTGTGACCAGCGGGTCGATTGTCATCGACAAGATTAACCTCGCTACACTTCCTCCTGATAAAGTCCGCCAAAGGCTGGTCACCATTTCCCAAACACCGCTCATAATGGTTCGCTGTACAATCAGATTCAATCTAGACCCCACCGAAGACCTCCCCGACGCAGTCATCATTGCCGCTCTCGAACGAGTTGGGATCTGGGATGGTGTTCTACTTGAAAGAGGCGGGTTAGATGCCGAAATAAACGACAGTCTATCGCTATCTCGAGGCGAGCAACAACTGCTACAACTTGCCCGTGCAATGCTCAAGATACAAGCAACCAACGCTAGGGTCTTGTTGATAGATGAAGGCACCAGCAGCGTCGACATGGAAACCGATTCCCGCGTGCAAGAACTTCTGCAACAGGATCCCTTTCGTACATGCACACTCCTTACAGTTGCACATCGTGTTCACACTCTTTTGAATTACGATGTGGTTGTTGTTCTAGACCGGGGAGAAGTGGTAGAGATGGATACACCCATGATTCTGAGTAATCGGAAAGATAGCATCTTTAGCAGCCTGCTTGATAATGACGGGCATTAGTTGGCCAATGGAGATTGATAAGTGTTCCCTCCGTACGTGGTAGAATTCGACGTGTAATGTAAGCCAGTTTATAGCTACCCAGCGACTCCTCTGTAGGGTTCTAGAGAACCGACCGCGAGTTTATCTTGACAGGAGTGGTGAATTACTGCGGAGATAACCCAAGACTGTCTAAATATCTGAAAGCGTTAGTGGACAAACGATTAGCCATGTCTCCAGGCTAATTTAGAGCCTCACTGGGGTGTAATACCCCGCCTAAAAACTGGCTCCCGGAAATGTGCTCGAATGGACTAACCTGGGGCAAGGCTGATCTCTCGTTTTTTAGCCCGTAACAACCCGGGCGAAACTCCGATGATAATGGGGCTGTAAATTTCTCCGTTGAGCCTCTTATTTCTTAGGAATATTCCTGACTTGACCTCCTATTTGAAACTGCCTTGAAAGCATACTCGATGCCGCGCGATCGCTCTGAGGGTTTTTAAATCAGCGTTCAGAGCAGATTGCCGATCAAACGATGTCAAACATGCGTTCACTTGGCCAAGGCACCGAACTACTACCGGTGTCCAGTCCCCACAAGTGTGCGTACCACCTCCTTCAAAGTGCATCAAGAAGATTGGACCCATACATTTATTATCCGGCTACAAAAAAATCAACAGAACAAAAACATACAACAGTGAGGATTCGCTGGTGGTCACCCACCCAACTACTAACTCACCGGCGTGTGGCTTATGTGCGGACAATAGTTCGGTGGGTGTCGCCTGGGTGAGTTTAGGGTGAGAAACGCGCGACCAGGGGTGACAAGGGTGAGTGCGCTTTAGACAGGGTGAGAATCCGGTTGAAAACCACCCGAATCGCGCGACCACTGCATTGACCCCTTCAGCTGAACAAAGGCAGGATTCTATTGGGTCGCGTTGTTTCCCTTGAAACAGTTGGCATCTTGGCATCTGCATATGACTAGAACTGGAAGCATCATGCACGTAGTACGTAGGCTGGCTATACCAATCATGTACATGCATTTGGTTGATCTACTTAGAAAGCCTTCTCGAGATCAAGCATAAGCACTTACATCCAAGGAAGGCGGGACTTGTGTCACGAGCCAATGAAAGCTCATTAAACCTCCTACTAGACAGGATTATATAATCTGGACGAACCTTAACTAAACTATTCAAACCATTCCGAAGAGCTCTGGTCATCAATGCAACACTCATCATTGTTGTGTATGTATCCCAACCACAAAAGTCCGCGACCTAGTCGCGTCACTTATACAAACATCAGCCTCCAAGAAGTATTCAAGGAGGGAGTATATTGGAGAGACTTGATTTTTGCCGAGGCTTATCCTCTACACCCCGATACTAGACAAAACACGAAAATGTGTACGCTGATACCCCGAGAGTACCGCTCTGGGAGCACTGTTTCCATCAACGCCCTTGTTTGAACCACTGCCAATATCACAGAGACTATCAGTATCATAGTGTAATATGTAATGTCATATTTGTCAAGGGCTATACGACTTCCGGTTTAAACTTCAAAACTCCTTAGTAGTGGTCTTCATACAAAGGTTACTTGATGCGGGATCAAGCGGCAGGTAGAGCTTTTTGATCTAAGAAACCATGCTATTGCAGTCGTCGCTCTCTACACGTTTTCCTGTCGTTAGGTATTCCTGAACAGAGGCGGAAGCCTCCTCATGCGAGGCAAACTTGTGGTAAGAAGAACGGGGTTGCTTATACAGTTGAGGCTCCGCACCATTGCTATAATGACAGGATAGCGTGAGCAGTTGAAAGGACATTTCCAAATAGAATAGAAACATAAATGTATTCGAGATCAATCGCTTCTCCTTCTCTACCGTTTGCCACAGCGTATATCGGTTTAGACTGGACTTGAAATCGTCATTTCTCAGGGCCAAGGAAGTGGATTTCCGATATTTCATATCGGATTTTGAATGAACAGGGTCGATCTGGGCAACAAGGCTCTTCTTGGGTTGCGCGTCAGTGGCAACCTCGCTCAAATTGTGAGATGGACTGCCTAGGTCTGGCAGAGGGAAAGCGTCATTGAAGAAAGAGCCGATATGTAATGTTTGGCCACTCAAACCTTCTGCGTTCAGCCAGGCATCCGTTCGACTTTGTACCAGATTCCCAGCTCCCCCTCTCGACCAACGTCCTTTGCTTTTCCTTTTGTCGCCCCGACCTTTTTAGGTGAGACATTTTTGCTATTGATCTGGACCAACGAGCTCCATGTTCCTTGTTATCACGTACTCGGCCCAACCAACTTCTCTACCAACTTTTGATACGGCGTTCTGTGGATTCATGGCATGGGGCTACGGATTGGTAAATGTAGGGATTCTTTTCTACAGTGGCGCCCTAGTTGTTAATGGCTCGGAAAATCAACCTCCAGCATCGCTAGCTGCGGAAGCTGGTACGTAAAGAAGGAATATATGTCGTAGCCGTGATTTTATTGTGAGTAAAATTGATCTTGAAAGATGCGTCTTCAGTCAGCAGCCTGTCTCGACTGAGTTTTCCTTCGTGGACTTATATCGTGATTATGGTTTCGATGACGATTCTTATCATCTCGAGAAGCTTTCACTCGAATCTCAAGCGAGCGAGATCATCTATCACGCATGCAACCTGTTCTCCCCAGGGCCTGGCCCCTAAACTCGGCCGTATTGAGCTTGATAGACTCCGGTTGTTGCTTTTTTGTTTCTAATGAAATATCGAAAGTCGGGATGTTTGACCGATAAATCCATGACCAGATTAGTCAATACGAGGCCGATGACAGAGAGAGGATGTCAACTTATATGCAGTCAAAGGGATTTACGAGACGCGTGGAAACCCCAGGCGAGGAGATATTACAAATGCTACCAGTCAAGTGATAAGCGCGAAAAGAAAACCGAAAATCAATGTGTCAACACTTTCAGCCTGATACGCACTGCTTAAGGACTTTTTCTTTCCTGGGCAACCTCAGTGATTGTGCGTGGGTAGAAGGAAAACATCCATATAGCCCACCGTAGTATCCAGATCAAAGTAGGGAATTGAGATAGTTGGCTGACGATGTCTTCTAAGTCACTTTCCTTATGCGTCTCTGTCGTCATCATTCCTTGACTAATAATCACTGATTTGGACGGCGTCGTCGCCTGAGGCCGGAGTTTTTCTTTTCTCGTCTCACCATTCTGCCGCCTTTCATTTTGGGGTGGCGAAAATTGTGACACAATGTTGGCCGTATTAATGCCGCATAAAGTGGATGATCCAGAAGACTGGCTAGAGTGGAGAGACTGTGCTAACATTTCTAGATTGCGGGCAGTTGTCGGGATTGGGTCGGTTCTTGCATGGCGTGAGCTCGAATTTATCTTTCCTGGTGATGAGTGCGCGGGCGTATCCACTGAGAATAGATGAATGTTGCCTCGTGACCTCCCTTCAGTTTGATCCTCCAATGCTGGCACTGGGTCGGCGAAGGGTTGTGGAGTATCCTGTTCGAACGATACAGGCATCGCGTCGGGTAGCTGCACGCTAATGTTTTCCATATTGAGGCGTTCCATACTCAACGACAAGCCTTGTGCAATTCGATCCAGTCGTCGTGTATGGTTTGTTGTGCTGTCTGGGTGAACTCGCATCAGCGCAGTCCCCTGTTCCTTTCTTAAATTTGATGGAAACTTCAGTAGTTGTTTCATATTCCCTTTAAGCTGCTCCGATTTTCGTTGAAGTTTGCCTTGAATCTGGATTTCCAAGTAGAATGGCTTCATGTCATGTTCGAAAGTAAATGCCGTATGAATCACACTGCTATGCTGGGACTGGGGTTGGTTATCATCCTCGTTGAGTTCCCACTTCATTGTACGGTACATGGCCAATTCGGACTTAGGATGGCTGCGACTATGCCGTGGCCCTGACCTGTTGATTACCGGATTGATATGCTGGGAGTGATTTCCAGAAAGCACCTTTCCAGTGAAAGTCCATCGACTGGTTTGCTCACTGGATCTTTCATAGTCGAAACCCACACCTCCTCCGCCTTGCCCGAAAACATTGACTTCAGGCGTAAAACGCCGGTTCTTTTTGATCGTGATTTGGGTGGGTTTTCCTGTTAGTTCGTGGGGACCGTAGTAGGGAGTAACTTGAAGGCAGCGCTTTGATTGTGTTGTCAGGTTACCAATAGTATCCACGGCAACTGGTGCCAGATATCTCAGAGAAGCGTCAGAAAAGCCATGGTCCGGGTCGTGCATATGAGGCCTTGATTTTGATCGTCTTTTGGAAGCCGTCTGCTTGTGAATCTTCTGTGGGTCTGTATCCGACTCTTGCATTGTGATAGAGACTACCGCGCTTGTCAGCTGACAGTCTTTTGGCTGATCGAAAGTCAGATCCATGTAAAGTACTGCAGCTGGGGTGTTGCCGCCACCAATGACGCCCCATTGGGTTTTCGACAGGCGAAATCGACAGTCAATTTGGACACGACCCATTTCATGGGAGCAAAGACTTGCATTGGATAAATGATCCAATGCGCTAAAGGTAGGACCCCATTTGCGGGAGAATCGAGCGGGTGGATGAGCGCTTTGGGTATGCATGACTTATTGTTTTCCCCCTCTTCTTTTCGAACCGAAGAAGCCAAAGAGGAAAAGAGTACTCAGAAAGGGCAATCAGGGGAAGACAGCCGGGACAGACTTACTCAATCCTCGCTTTGGGCGTCGGTGATCCAAGCGGCTGAGCCGACCGAGCTTACGAGTCACGTACAGTATAGATCGTCGCTGGGAGATAATACACAGCCAGCCCTCAGCTGAGTTTACAGTGAGATTGCGTCACTAAGCGGGGAACGAGATGGGGGCAGGCTGTGTGACGTGTCACCGTAGAGTGCTGTTTCAACTAGTCTTGTTATCGCGCGTTTGGGCAATATGACTAATGAATACTACGTAGGTATCCCAGAGTCGTACCTGCTTGAAAACTTCTCTTGTTCTTTTACGCGTGTATGAAAGTGAGAATAATCATTGTCAGTCGCTATGCCTCTCGACATCACCTTGGGCGAACCCGGAGAAGAGATGAAGAACAATACCAGCAACAACGACAACTACCACCACCACCACCATAGCCTTATAGGTCGGGGTTGCCGGCAACCGATAGACTGGCAGGAAGATGGGCCGTTAGAGCCTGCGCCCGCGCGATTTGAACGTCAAGGCCGAACACAAATTCGTAAAGACTCACCTTACACTGACAAACGTCGTTCCTCCTTCCACCGACAACAATTGAAACACGCTTCATCACTAGAGAATGAGTCGGACCTCTCAGAAACAGATTGTCGGTTTACCGACAAACGAAGGCACCTGATCTCCTCAGTACAAAGCCCTCGTGATATCAATACATTGCCCACCGAAGCCTCCCACTCGCATGAACAGGCAACTTTGAGTTCTAGCTCGCAAAAGGACGTCACATTGCATTTCAACCTGGATTTTGTCGATGATATTGAGGGGCATCTAGAAGAACTGGCGCGGCTGAAACGACTTGGCCACTTTCACGATGCAGTGGACTATTTCAACTTTAATCTACAGCAACATCTCAATCTTCCTCTCGTAATGATCGAATATGCGGACTTATTACAAGAACAAGGAGCCTATCGGAAACTACTTGATCTACAGTCGCGTGGCACCCTAAAGATGTCCCAGAAAATGGACCCTAACCACACTCCAGAATTGTACTCCTGGCACTTGGATATAATTCAAAAATGCGCAAAGAGCGCTTTCGAAGGGCTATCAAAGCGGGATATATGTGAAGGCACGACCCCACAAGTCCTTGAACATGTAGAGCAATGGTTGTCTCTACAACTTTCCGACTATCTTGATCAGAAGCCTGCCGAACCGGTGGATTGGACAGAAGTGCGAGCCCCGTGAGATCAAACCAGAAGGAGGAAACACTTTGCTGACCGCGATCTCAACAGCTTCAAGTTTTCCGGAAGCTGCTGGATCTGTTGTCAAATGTTTACATCAATGATGTCTTGCCTCCGGATCGACCGATGTGGACAGCTATCTACAACGATCTTCTAGACAGCGAACGTATTTGGGACATCTCTGACGTGATTATATCTATGATCAATGTCTACGATCCGCATAGAGTACTAATTGATCTGTTCAATGATCCTTTCGATCACGAAACGCCAGAAGGAGATCAGGATCCACTTAGAAGACTGCTTGAGGACTTGGAAAGTGACAAGTATGATGAATCAACCGAATTGGCTATCTTGAGCATTCTGGTTGAACTGACTTATGCTATCGAATCGAGTTATGCACCGGAGAACGAACACACAGTCACAGCCAAGCGATGTTTACAGCATGCCAGTGACCATGCCAGGCTCATCGAGGAACACAGTCCGGAACTGACTAGGTCGCGGCCCTATATGATTTTCATACTGGCCAAGGAACGGTTTAATCGCCACTGGAATGATCATCACTCATATGCGCGAGAAAGACAACGACCCGCGGTATATGCTACCGGTATGACATATGGGGTGGGGGGTATACCAAGTTACATCCCCACCGAAGCTGAGAATCCAGGCTGGCCACCCCCAGACCCAAAATTTCCACCTAATCGTGAGTTACAAGGTATCTTGCTGTCTGCGCGCGAGCTTGGGGACTATGAAGTGGAGGCGGCATGTCTGATGGAACTTATTTGCCGAGTAGAAGATCCAACACCACTACTTGATCAACTTGAGAAACTGCAGAAGACTACGCAAGGACATTATAAGAGCTATATTCAGACATGCATCTCACGATATTTGCTGGTCAAGGATAAAGCTTCTGCTCAAAAGCTTCTGGGAGATTTAGAGCAATCAACGTGTCGGCTTTGCCCTGTTCCAGGGATGGATGCTTTCTCACCCTTTCGTTGGAAGGAACTCAAGGTCAGAAATGCGCTCCATATCACTATTTCTGGGCATGTGAGGGAGGCAGATCAGACTATACACTCGGCCAACGCCCTTCTTAATGACCATCGGAGGTCTCAGATTTCCCCGTATACAAGATACCTCCGACCTGAAGATTACATATCTTCTCACCAGATCGTTGTTGGACCGTCTCGATATCGCACTCAAGACAGGAAAACAAAGAGGATATCTGAGCGGGATGCTTTTCCAAGATCGCCCGAGTTGAGGGCCCCCCGAAATCACTTCGAGACGAAGCTTCAGCAGGATGACAGGATACCCAAGCTGGAACAAGCAGTTCGGGAAATTAAACAACAATTAGAAAGACTCCACCCAGGAGAGCAGTGCACGGACTTGGTGATCACAAATGCAAAACAAGCGGCAAAGGATGAATATGGGAGAGTTTTCAACCATGTCATAGATTCTAACATGGGTAGAGCCAAAGATCAGCTCGCTCTCGCCAAACAGGTTCAAACTCGGACAGGAGCGCAATGCGAAAAAGGGATTCCGTTTTCTCAAGAGACAGTGGACAGCTCGGGGGCTGCAGGAGTAAATACCGAAGTGGATGAGACTAGAAGCGAACAATCTTTGAATTTTTGAAGCGGAACTACTTGGAGGACTTTAATAATTAATCCCTATTTCGAGCTTTAAATCTGCTCTACACTTGCTTCAACCGTATAACCTAGGCGGAATTTTGAGCTCAGTATTTGACTTCGAGTTCGCTTTTGGTGTTCAAGTTGGAGAAGTTGGAGAAAGTGAAACAGAAGCACCAATATGAGACAGGTTCCCCGAAAAACAGGGCTTTCTCCCTGAAGCCCCATCAAGAACTCGTACAAAAGGGAGGCATAGAAATTTTGTCCTTTACGGCCACAGAACCCATTTAAACCACAGTCCATCCGTGTGTAACTATATTACGATAGTGATAGCAACCTAGTTAAGATTTCATGAGTTCCACAAGATCAACTTGTTGTTCAAGCTCAGGTTTTTAAGTTGTCGGTGATACTGAGGTTATCTTGGTCTAAACGGTTCGCTATCCGTAAAGCATGTTATGAATATGCTATAGTTGATACTAATTCTGCAATCACAAGATTTATTCGCTTTACGTAATCCGAGTTATTCACCATCCAAAAAGGGCTGCAAACCACTAGGTAGATATTCGCGTTAAAATCATATATCACATGAAATATCCTCGAAGTATCTTGTTTGATAAGTAGCAAATCTAAAGGGAGGTCATTTCTTCAAGTGTCAAGGATCTATGGCCGAAGACTGAAGTAAAATCAGCTGACTTAGTAAAGGTGACAAGGTCTCACATTGTCCTAACGCAAGGCAATTCAGGTACTCGCTGCGAAGACTTTCAGGGTTCTAGATCCAGCTCGTGGCTGGATCGCTCCAGCCACAGATAATGTTGGCTCCAAATTGAGAGTCCCACCTCGAAACTGATTTCCTCTACACTGTCTTGAGATTTCCAGGTGGATGTTACCATGTTGTTGATATCTCGATCAATAGTGCCATGACAAACATTGAAATGAAGACATCACACAATATGACTTGGATCTTTCTCAGTCTTTCCAGTTGTCATGTCCCTCCTGACAACGAAACATCGTTTCCAGAAGCTCACCCAGCACCGCCTGAGAACCCGCCAGTCTCAAAGATAAATGATCTAAGCAAACAGAGTGACTGGAATACATTAGACAAAAAACCACCAAAATCTCACTGCATTTTGCCCAAGGAGATCAATGTTCATACCCAATAGGCTGGAACTAAAAGTTAGGGGAATAAAGAGCGTGGCAAGCAGAGTCAACCTCTTGAGCCACTCAGATTTCTCAATGGCTTTGCGAGATTCCTCGATTGTGGCTTTGTTCATTGCGAGAGTTATGCCCCGAGTACACATTTTGGACAGATCGACGCAGCGAACGTGGAGTTGTTCATGATCTTCCGAGAGACCAGTTATTATAAAAGAACTGTCGTAAGTATTGAATCCGATATTTCTGATTGTCTCGGTTTTGAGGTCTGCCGGCGTGTGCCCATGCCTCGACCCGGGGGCACAGCACTTTTCGACGTCGGGATTTCCGGTTTGGCTCCATCCAACTCTTGACTACTTCGCTCGGCCAACTTGCAAAGTGCACGAGTGCTATCTTTTAGCTGCTGGGCATGTCGGTTGAGAATGTTGTAGAAGAATTGAAGAGTTCCCAACGTGTCAGCTGGAATGCCTTCGGATATTGTGTTTATCTGTATTTAGATCTTAGTCTCCATAAGATTCAAGAACTGAACTTCGGAGAAGGCTGCATATGAAAACAACGGGATACACATGGAAAATAGACGCGACGGGCCAAATCGACAAGCGCGATCAATGAATCGTACTGGAAGGGAAGAATGGCCGTGCTTTGGTGGACTTCTGCTGAAGCATTCGCATGTGGATCTAGCCGATTGCTGGTGGTTCGAAATGCCATTCTGGGATGATGTTGGAGGATGGGTAGTGGTGTAGCCCTTGAATAGATGTGACTTGTTCACGGCCCCGGAGGAGATTGTTCCAAGGGTCTACCTTAGTCTATCCAGGCAATGACTTAATTTCCTTAGTATTAGAGACGCCGTTTTGTTGCTCGTAAGCAGCGTAATCCTGTAATCTTTTAGTCCAACTACTATGTTCAATGCATGTGCCATCGCTGCTAGCTCCACAGTGAACGGATTTTACTTTGCTCTTGCACTCAATATGACGGAAAGGGTCTTCAGTTTTAGGTTTCGATACCGAGGTGGCTACCTCTCGATCGCCACCCCAAATCCGACCAGCTCGTTCCATGCCGAACTGCTAGTTACGATCTACTTAAAAGCAGATCAACGGCTTCCGTATAACGCTACTTTGCAGCTAGCATAAGCGGCGTAAGACTAGAACGTTCCTCGTTTAAGTTTTTCCTCTAATATCTAGCCAAAGACCGATGTGAGATATATATTCTTATCACATCAGATAATCGTATGCGAACAGCCTTTTGCGAAGATCATCGACCTCTATAAATAAACGTGTCCAGATAAGTATCCACACCTAAGTGGATTGTAAATGCCAAATATTTCCAATACATATGTATCATAAATCACGTTATAACTTCGTTTTAAGCGGTAACAATTGGTAAGTATATATAACACGATAGTTGTATAGAACAGTAGATCTGATCAGCTATTTAGGCACCAAATTTTAGGGTAGTTCGAACAAGCATTTCCTCGTAAGAGGTATTTTCTATTTAGTACAAAGAAAATACAAAGTAATTGCGTAACAGTAAAGTCGAAAATGGTACTGTTGAAATATAGTATAGTGCCAGCCGCCATCGCTTTTCCTGAAAGAAGGGCAGATGGCACCTTAGTCATAAAGGCTCTCCGCTTAAGCTGTCATTGGACAATTGAAAAGGGAAGACGGAAGACACTGAATAACGATACTAACGATGCTAAACTAGAAAGAAATGCTCAACACAAAGCCGACCGGAAAGAAAGCCAAAGTCGAGAAAAAAGCCAAAATCGACAAAAAAGCCAATTTGAGAAAAAAAAATCCTAGAATTTAATTCAAGTCGGCCTCTGAGAAAGAATGACTGAACAGTACTACTTCCTTGATCAATAACAGTACTACTGGTGGTACTGTTTCAGTCGTAATTCCACTGAGTTTTAACCATATTTGAATTTAGAATTCTAAGTCTGTGAAAGATGGAACTACTATTGGACGTAGGACTAGCAGAATGGGATGCAGCTTTTCCTTTTAAAGCTGACTGTGCACTTATCGCTTCCTCTTCGGTTTTTCAAGAACCCAGGCTTGAAAAATTAGGAACAACTTCTTTCAATTACAATCAATAGAGTGAAGGCGCTCATTCGATGGATTTTGCAATATGATCACTCGAAGAGGCCTCGCCTCCGAAAATCTTATCTAAACCATAATTCTGCGAGATTAATGTTGAGAGCGATTCGTCCAAGGTATCTATAGTCTAGTACCTCGCGTGGTTCTGGGTTTCTGTTTCTTGGTTCGGGGCAATCTCTAACTTGAATCAAAACCATTGGTGCGCTAAAGACGTGGCTAGTTCTTCCTTGGCGCGATATTAGTATGGCTTTCTACCAGACATTGTTCATGCAAAACATAGAGCTGGGCCTCTTGGCCCTTTATTGATGCCTTTTTGGCATTTTACTTTGTGCGCTATCACCTATTGCGACCGACTACGGCCATTGTGGCTCATGTTTCCCTTCAATGTTCGATAAATGTCATGTCGCTCTAAAGCGAGAACCTGGTCCCGAGGTATTTCCCAGTCCTCAGCCCGGATCCAAAGACTACGAGTTTAAGAGAAGGTCATTGTCTTGTCTTCGAGTACTCGGACGACGACTTCAAATTTTTGCATATAGATTCGGCAACAGCAGTCTCGCGTTCATGCAACCGTGCAAAGTTTCTTGGGATTCGGAAAAGTCAATTACGAACATATATGGGTAATGTATGGAGCGAATGTCACAGGAATAGCGTTGCTAATAGCCCTCAGGATCTTCGTACCAAGTGATGTCAAATTTAGGCTATTTCTCGATATACTTGAGGATTCGCAGGGCGGCCTGCTTCGTCGATTTAGCACCGCTGCGAATAAAATTGTTGGTCATTTGAAATATGAGAACATGGAGCGCCCTAGTGATGATGACCAAAGCCGGCGTCCCATCGCACAAGATCGTCGTGGGCGTGACTAGTTACGGGAGGTCGTTCAAGATGGCTGACGCGACCTGCCGCGGCCCATTGTGTATGTTCTCTTTCCATCTGGCCCTTCTACCGAGGATGTGATTTAATAGCTCACCCATGAATAGGTACTTATCTCGGCGAGAGGAATGATTCGCCTGCAAAGCCCGGCCGTTATACCGAGACCGGTGGCTACATCTCCAACTACGAGATCAACGAGATCATCAAAAAAGGGGGTGCCATCAAGAGCTAGTATGACGAGGAAACAGATTCCGACTACCTGGTCTATAACTCCGTCGAGTGGGTGGCGTATATGACCGACAAGACCAAAGACCGCCGGCGTGATCAGTATAAGGGTCTGAACTGCGGTGGTACGACTGACTGGGCCATCGATCTCCAGGGCGTGAGTTCGCATCCTACCTACTGATGCATCATCGACCACCGCTAACCACAAGATATTATAGGAAGGTCGGCGTGCAGAGACAGGGGACCCGGTCTATCTGGACCCTATTATCTACGAGGAGCCCAATGCTTTGTGCAAACCCCCCTGCGTGCTCGTTTTCCCCCTCAGTCAGCTTCCATCTCCTACCACCATCGACCCGGGCAAGTACACGACGTCGCTTCTGTACGGAAGCACCGCCAAAACCACCAGCAACGACGAAGTGATCACCGCGTTTATGACGCAGACCACGACAATTACCCTGGACCTGCCTATTATCACTACGGACGAGGTGTCGTACTCCAACGTCAATATAACCCGGAGTCAAGACGCCAGTGAGCTCTGGGTCGGCGTCAGTATTCCTATCGGACCTGTGACCGTGAGCCTGGACGACGGTGGCGGCAGCACAACCACACGAGTTCTGAGCCTTCCTGCGTGGCCGGCTGTGACCCAGGGCCCGCCGATTCGTGGAGATGGCGACGACGACAACGACGACGACGACTGGGAATTACCAAACCTATTTCCAACTACAGCCGCGCCTGAACCAACAACAAATGAGGTATTTGATCATGTCTATTTATGACTACTCTTTATCTATAAACTTTTGAGATTTGAAAGGGCTAATTTGATGTCAAAAACGATATAGCCAGCCCCGACGACCTTGCCTACATGGCGAACATATCCACCGTACGTTGTCGAGCCCGTCAACGAGGAAGACGGCGATGACGATGATGATGATGATGATGGCGCGATCATTACGAGCTGCAAGCTTTGGTTTTTCAATGTATGTCCTGCAAATATGTGATCGAAAATTGGTTCCACGCTAATGATGTCCAGATATGCCTTGGTGGGCGATTCAAGTCGATCAGATGGACCCTCCCTCCCGGAATTTACCCACCGTGAGTCTGATTCTTCCCAGTGAAAAGTACGTGTATCGGATAAGAACTAACATCTCTTGATTCACACCCTCAGTGGTCCGCCTCCGCCAGATATTCTTGGCCCCCCTGGAAATTCCGTGTGGTCTATCCAACCGCCGCTTCCCCCATGGCCGCCACTCACGTAAGAAACTGCCCTCCTGGAGAACAAAGAAGCCCTTTTCACTGACCTAACTTGTCATCTACAGTGTCGGCAGGGACAACAAGCTCACATACAGCAACGAGCCGTCCTGCCAGACCGAGTCGGCAGAGCTCTGCTCCACGACGGTCTCGAAGTCGGAGACCCTGGTCGGAACTATTACTTCCACGGTCACTGCCACTTCATCCACCTGCGAAACCGTATACGGCTGCTCCTTAACGGACTCAGGGTCAACCAAAACCACCACGGCATCAGTTTGCAAGCCCACGTCGGGCAGCGGCGGCGAATATCAGCCGCCTGCGGCCGGGTGCCCGGCTCCGGCCATCGTCTACCCCAAGGATCCGGAGAACGTAGGTTCGATTCCGAGCCTGCTCCAGGGGTATAAAGACTACGTAGAGGTGGGACTTACTACAGAACGCTGGGTGGCGTTCTACTGGATTCCCATGCTCGGTCAAGATACCATGGACGCTCTGAGGCAGTCGGCAAGTCTCTCCCCCTCGCCCATGAAAGTTGTGAATCGGAACTAACGGACAAGTGGAACAGCCCGACGTCGAATACGCATACTACTAGGAGGAGACAAACTACAACACCGGATTTCCCTTTGAGGAGGAGGAAACCCCCCAGGATTGGAACCTCCCCCTCTCCCCTGATCATTCGGACGAGTTGCGCGAGAAATTTGACCCCCTGAACGACACGATGCAGCACGACAAAATACAGACCGGCTCTAGCATGTCCCAAAATACGCCCTTTTGGGCCCAATCCCAAGTGTCCCTTGCCAAAGACGATGTCTGGCTCGCTCCGGGGGGCGATAGCTACTTCCCCAAGGCATCCAACGGCGATGTTTACAGGTATACATATGACTCGGTTAGCGCGACCGATACATATGTGTACATGTTGCACGAGAAAGGGATTTGGAATAGTCACGCAGTACGTTCTCCATCTCCTTTTTCTGTTCTGTCGGGCTAATGGATGGGATTGTAGGAGTTCGTTGGTAGGAACATCGTGTACTTGGACTCTCAGCACAGCTTCGGGCCTAACTCACCTCCTATTGTTCAATATCAACATGGATCTGCGGTTGCTGCGATGGTGGTCGGTAATCGACTTGGCTTGTGTCCATCGTGCACTTTGGTCGTGGTCACCTCCCAGCAACCGACCACGCAAACGCAAGATTGGTTCAACTATCCCAACGAGAAAATCATTGCGCAACTTATCGACGTCCAGGATGATGTAAAGAACAAGAATCGGCAGGGCAAAGCGACTATCAACATGAGTTTTAGCTACAAGCCCATTAAGAACACGCAACATGCCTTTCTCCGGGTCTTCCGTGAGTGATTTCAACCCAGCTCTCCCTCGAATTAAGGTGCTGATCAACGATATTAGGAGCCCTCTTGCAGAAGCTGGAGCAGCAAAACGTCGTCATCGTCGCGGCGGCCGGCAACCACGCGAGGGGGCCGGAAGGCGTCCCTATACAAAGATATCCCCCCAAGTTCGCGGACCCTAACGATCAGTTTGGTGGCCTTCCCAATATGATCGTGGTTGCAGCATCCGAAATAAAAGGCAGGAAGTGGGACGATTCCAACTACGCCGGCTTTATCACGACGTTTGCCCCCGGGGGGGGATCAACTGCCCCGCGGCCCCGGGCTCTGCCTCCCCCATGAGGGACTGCGGTGGCACATCCTTTGGTACGTTCACCCCCAAGAATTGTACCCCACCCCACCACTTGTGACTAACTAACATGGGTCTCCTGCAGCCTCCCCTCAAGTCGCTGCCCTGGCCAATTACTTCCGCTCGGTGCCCTCTCCTTGGCAGTCCCAGTTGGACAAGCCCAGCAACGTGAAGAAGCTCATCCAGCTCTTTGCGCGCCGCTTCGTGGTACACCACAGCCCAGTCCTTGCTCCCGCCCGACGGCCGGTCATCTGGAACGGTCAGGTTGGCGAGCACAGCTGTCTCCGCGAGTACGGGTCGACGGAAGACTGGGCCAAGGTGTGCCCGACCATCAAGGACAATCTCGAGAACGAAGCCCCCAACCCGGGAGAGGACGTGAAGCCCTGCTTCCCCAACCAAAACACCAACCCCCCGACAGCTCGAAGACAACTTGGGCGCCGGCAATCCGGCGGTGGTAGTGATAGTTGCCCCCTTATTCCCGGGGACAATAGTGGGCCCGGACAGAACATCAACTGGAACGAGGGTCCGTCCGGACCCAAATGTACTAGCGAGAATAACTGCGGCGGAGAGCTTTGCAAGGGATACTACTGTGACCCGCACCTGGAGATCAGCCATCCTCCGGACTATTATGACCCCAAGGATCCACAGAACCCTCATGGCATGCCGCCCCAGAAACCGACGTCGACATCGACAACTACTGGTACATCACCGACGACTACATCATCGCCGCCTGTTGAAACTCTCCCATTGTGCCTTGGTACATCAACAACCCCTTCATCGCAATTTCCAATCTATGCCTATAGCATTTATGCGCCTGGTAAGTGCAATTACTACATAATAACCGAAAGAGTACTGCCCGCTAACAACAACAATCCAGGTTCACACTGCAATGGGATATTTGCCAGCGACGCCAATATTGGATCGTCTCCGCCAATCTGCGACATCTCTAAGGACCAGTTCTCCTTTGACTTCTGCAAAAAAGGCGATGCCAAATTTGTGAATGAAGGCCCGGAATTCTTTTCCGAATGCGGATTCCAACTCTCCCTCAATGGCAAAAAGTATACGCCTCGACAACTAGACCCTATGGATACTGATAACCCGTGCTCCGGCACCTGTCCTGACGTTGTATCGGTTCAAGGAATATTGTTATTCGAGGGTATGCCTGCATTCAATTAGTTTTTGAGAGGTTTTATATAAAACAATTCACATCTTGTTTCTACAAATACTCAAGACATCTCCACCCTCGCTTTTGAAGACAAACGTCATAGGATAATCGCGTGTTGCAAATAGATGGGATTGAAGAGGAGTGAATAATATACCATGTCATTCTTTAGTGTTGAATCTCAAAAGAAGAACTAGAAGCTGAAAAAAGAAGTCAAAGACGCTCTCGCTTGGCCCTATTACTTCCCGCTAGGCCTAGGCTAGCCGTGCTTTGTCAGAAGCCTAGAGTAGGCTGCTCAGCCTGCTCAGAACCAAATATCAGGCTAATGCACTTTTCTACTTCTCGTTGCCCAGCTTGTTATCTAGACAATTTACTTCTATTAATCGCCCTATCTTGTAAATAATATAATACTCGGATATAAGTGTCTGGATTCCAATAGTCCCCGCTCCTTCCTTTTCTCCGTTTCGGAGCTAGACTGAAGAAGGCGGGTCTTTAAATGGTAAGCTTGAGAGGGTAGTTGTGACGGGATCTTGAGGGATCTATAGCCTAAAGAGAGGGGCTTTTATGGATATATAGGCCTCGATGATAGCTTAGATATAGGGTAAAATCATAGTAACTGGTCCAATAAAGTGTGGACCCGGCTCTCAGCCATGACGCGAACGCCGATGCACCGTTCCCTCTCTCCCTCCACGACCAGTCCCTCCTCAGTGGGAAGATCAGTCTCTGGCGGGGCGTTGTCTGCGCTCTCAGTTGTAGGTGAAGTCAAGCGCCTCAGCACCTCGTCAATCGGGTTCACCCCCGGTGACCATTCCATCGATGACGGGGTACTGGGTGGGCTCGGTCTAGTCAACGCTGAAACCAAGTCCATCTCTACCTCCTCGAGCCGTTTCTCCCACGTGGTAATATCAGTTTCTGGTACGGTTTCGCGCAGGAAGTCGGTCAGCCCGCCGACTACCTCAACTGAACTAGAGACGGGGGCCGGTCTTTGTTGTTGTTGTTGTTGCTTCGGGGCTGGAGAGCGACGGATTCTGATAAAAGAGTATTGTAAGAATGCGCGGTCGTCGCTGAATCGATCACGTCGGTCTTGTCTATCTATAAGAACCACCCAGCTCCCAGGGGAGATATCCCTGAGTCGGTCTCGGGACGGGTGGTCGGGGGCTAGCTCATCGAAAAATCCAGCGGGGATTGGCCTGACACCCAATTGATCTGGCCATGACTGGAGCGGCGGTGGGCGCGGCGGTGGCCCCTGGGGCGGCGACGCGGGCTCGTCGTCGTCGTTGTTCTTGTTGTCCTCGTCGATGGAAGCGAGTGACGAGAACGCCCCATGATATGCAAATCGCAAGATGGCCTGGTCGGGATCCGAATCCGGACCTAAGGATCGGAGGTATACCAAGAATCGGACAGCGAAGCCCTCGGCGTTTAACCCAGTATTATCCATGGAGTAGTGGCCACTGTACCCGGGACGAGTAGGGTGGACGACGTGGTGGTCTGCAGCTGCGTCCCGGACATCTTCGCGCTGGGGGCTGATAAATGTGAACAGATGGATCATGGGAACGACTTGAGCGCCCGAGGTGAAGCTAGAACCTAAATTCCTCGGCGAGGATATTGCTCGAACTTCGCGGCCCCGTAAACCGTTTAATAAAGCGGAGGTCGAATGGATGGTTCTCAGCCGGAGCGACTCCGAGTCTTCACTTGATGCCCTCGACCACAGCTAAGACAGCTCCGAAAAGGGATGAGCGGAGCCATCGTCGCTGTTCCGGTCCGGCTGCTGTAAGAAGCAGAGCTGTTGAAGGGCCGTGGACTGTGCCAGGGCCGCGGCGAGGTCACTAAGGTCTGATTCTCTATCTTCCTTATCTCCCACTAGCTGGAACGGATTGAGGCAGAGGCTGAGCGCAGACGCACCTTGAAGTTCATCCGATGTAATGGCGGCCGCGATCACGCGAGGGGGCAGGTTTCTAAACACCACCCAGTTAAGGTGACGGCATCCAGCGTATGCCACGCGCAGCACATGACTGGAGATCTGGGAGGAGCCGAGCCTCTCTGGCGCCTCTTCGAGCCGCTGCCGTAGCTGCTCGCGGAACTGAGTAAGTACTTGAAGGTTGGCGAGCGCTTCCTTCTCGAGGGGACCGGAGGCGGGCTCCTGGGTGAGAATAAGCAGATCATCAATGGTGCGGACTATGCCTACGGGGTCATTTTGCGGCGGTTGGTCTACTATGGTGTAACCTTCCATATCAGGCGGGGATTGGGTGGCGATCATTGAATGTATGAAGTCTGTTGGAGAGATTAGTAAATGTGATCGATATGGGTTAACATGGAATAGCGCCAGAGATCACCTTCTGAAGATGTTCGAGTCGGATCATCCAGCTCTGGTGGCCAGATATCTACCATTATTCCCCCTGTCAGTACCTGCAAAATCATTCGGGTGAACAGACGTACAATCTAAGGCTACCGCATCAGCCAGCGGCCTCTCCTCTAGTTTAAGGATGTAAGACGCCTTCTCTAGGCCCGACCAGTAGTAATGCTTCGATACCCACTGCGAGATTGACAACAGCTCTCGAGGCCGCGGGTCTGCGAGTATAACATCGGGCTCCTTTTCCGGTTGGGGGTCTTCGACGGGATCCCAGCCGATCATCTCGCCGCCGTATTCAACCTCAGCCATGTAGTTCATGGGGAACGTAACGATGCCGTACTTGACGCCGCTGTCGAGGTCAGAGATGTCGAGAATAACCAGGCCATACTCAGTGCAGTCGGCCCGGAACAGCGTCGATAGTGGCTGAAACTGAACGTCGCTGGGGCGGGTGCGGTTGTCGCGAGTATCGCGCAATAACGCCAGCAAAACACACGTCGCAGTGAAGGGAAACTTACTAGGCGCATCATCCCGCCACGGCAGCGGGGGCTGTTGTTGCCCTGGCTCACGTCGCTTGTACCAGGGCACGAACGGGGGTTGCGCGGTGTCGGGTACGCTGGGCCGCTCATGAATCGGAGGCTCCCGGCCCTGAGACCGACGATACCAGTCCTCCGCGAGCGCCCTCTCAGCCTCCAGCGGCGCACGGTTCGTGGGATCCAAGAGGACTTCGGTCAGCGCAAGAGTGTCGGTCACCATACATTGCACTCGATCCCAGGATATCTGTGAGTTATATTCGTCGTGGTGTTGGCGGTAGGCCACGGCCAGGCAGCGGCTGGTGCCGCCGGGACCGACATTGGCCACCACGGCGAAAAGGAAAGAGCGAGGGGTTCTGGAGTAGAGAGTCGTGTATCCCGGCATAGCAATTGTATTCTTCGAGCAGCTGGAGGGGGGGATAAAAAAGAGAAAAAGCCAGCAAATGAGGGGCTGGCCTTGGCTAAGAGACCTGTTAGTGAGTTCCCGAACAGGCTTGGCATATCTTAACTACTTAATATAATTCCAGAATGTAGAGACCTCATACTTATCTGTGTTGGTTTCAACTGGCAACTTAACTTTGATCAGCCAGAATAGACCATAAGCTAAGCCTCAGAGATCGTCGGTCTCAAAATTGCTGGCCAATCGCTGTTCCCCTTGCAGCAACTGATCACCACGGCAAACATGCAAATGACACCTAGTTATCGAGGATAGACTCTTGCCGTTCTGGCCTTCGTGGCAACGTGCAGAGGATTGACTAGAGGCCGTCGCGTGCGAGATATTTGTCTGGCAGCGGGTTATACGATGACTGTCCAGGACACCAGTGGATCGGATATTGCTTTTGCAGCGATTGTACACTTGGCGCAAACTATCCCCTCTCGTAGCCTACGTTGTATTCTGGAATACCGGGATATGTGTGTCGGGAAAACCGCAGATGGGCCTTTCGATGTAGTGAATGGAGCTCTTAATGCCCCTACCGTGCCCGGCTTGGGTGTCACTCCTCGGATGGCTGTTCTCGGGGATCCTGTGGCTACTTACAACTGATTCAAGCTTCATGCAATAACGAATACAAATCAATGAAGCTACTTTAGTGATAAGAACGGATCAAGGATGCGTCCGTCTAGGTGAACAGCTCTGTGGAACCACGCAGGGTCACTTTCTGCTGACTCGCTCGTAATACCGCGACGAAGGGGTCGATGTGATAGTTAGGCACAAACAACAAAGTTGAAATGGTCAGTTATTCAGTCCAATCGGCTTTTGTTGTTGCCTGCCATCTGAGGCAGCGATTGCCAAGCATTGAGCGATGCAGTCAAGATATCAAGTCTGGATACGATGTCTTGTATCCGCAAATTGTCCCACGTCATCTAGAAGCAGGTTTACCGATCTCGTGCAGTGCAGAGATGCTGAGAGGAGACCGGGAAGAGCGGAACGCGGCTGAGGCCATCTTGCCAAGACCTTGCCAAGCTTTTGAACTTCCCCCCTGGAGCTTTCTTCAAGTTCGCTTGCTCCTCTCTCGATGGAGTTACTTTGCGAGTCATTGAGCGAACATTGAGCGGTCATCATTGCTTGCCCTTCTTCGCAACGCAAGTTGACAATGACAGCCATGACACGATGGAATCATTCGATCCTCGTATTGAAGGACGCGCTTGGCATCTGACGGCGATGAGCCCGTGCGCAGTAGCGTCAGCAGGTACGGTGCCTGCAGCTCCGTCCGAATGCCTCAGGGTCGCATTTGCATGGAACTTCTGCAGACTCTATGCAGCTTACTTGAAACCAAGCGAATGAGTATATATTTCCTCGTATAGCGAGCGGCCATTGTTTGCTCTTCCTTGTCTCCGACGAGCGGAATTGCGTCCAAAGAGTCTCTTGTATAGTCACTCCCACTATCTTCAGCATCCGGCACAGCAGAGACATGGGAAGGTTGCGTGACAAACACCATTGGCTCGACCGGCTCCGGCTGGCTTTGAAGCCCGTCTGACATATAATTCTCTTCAGGCGTACTGTTTCGGTCTAACATAACCTGGTCATGACTCTCCACATTTGGCAGTTCCAATTCCATTGGTTCTTGGTCCATATCCTCCACCGGGCCGGAGACAGGTCGACGTATTTGAAGTTTTCGCCTTCGTCGACGCTTGACATCTTCTTTCCGGTCTGTCCGCACTGGCCGCTGGCACTCACTAGCTCGTCGTCCTAAAACCACTTCAGCCGATTTTTCCTGTGGGTTGTCCTGTTCCTCCTGAGGAAGGGAGTCTGGTGCGGGCGTATGAGTAAGAAAGGGGTCATCCTCTTCGACGAACATTGGCGAAGGAGGAATATCCCTCAGTCCTTGGCCTGGACCAGTGTCCTCAGCTTGGTTGACATTGCAAGTAGCAATCCGTGCAGACTTTCCAAAAAATGCAAAAAATACACAACGACGGACGAAAAAGCTGGTGATATTGTCGCCAACCTCAACATCAGCGTTCAAAGGGTCTAAGAACAGCAAGGGTCCATCTTGCTTGTGGGTTCGTGTTTGTGGCTCCCCAGAACGAGACTTGAGCTTCATTGTGCTATCCGCCAGAAGGCCCTGAGGCTGCTCTGGTCGGTCGGGAACTGCCTTGACGAAACAGCTCACGATCTGATTGACCAAATCATCAAAATACTGGCTATCGTATCGATAACGGTTGGGCTTTCGGGCTTGTAGGAGGGCCGATCGTGCGATCTGATGATCGGGTGAACTCTTGATCAGCGCATCGATTTCAGTGGACTGAAAGCCAAGCTGGTGGGCCAGTTCAGCCATCTCGTAAATTGCTCTCTCATCGGGCTTGGCACGAGTTGATTTTGCCAGCAACTCGTCATCACTCTTTGGGTCCGGGGGCATCAGCGTATAGTGCCTCATTGCATAAAGCCATATTTGTAAATATCCTGTCTCGAGGCGTTCCATATCAGTTGCCGGCTGGCGTCGGGAAGTAGATTCGGAGGTCTGGATGAGGGAATCCGCGGCCCCTGAAGTCGCGGTTCCCTCTTCTGAGGGTGGAATGAATATTGAACTCATCGTTCTCCAGATTGACATGTTGATCGGACCACAGAGCCGCTTGATACAGTGGGCACAGGCCTCCAGGTACTTGAAGTCTTCGAAAAAGGTAAACAAAGACGGGATAAGGCCACCATAACTCTGTACTCGGGACCATATGATCCGTCGCTCTTCGTCGCTGAACTCAGCAAACGCTTGGCCGCTCAGGATCATCCCACAGGCTGTGTTCCCATCCGTCCGTGATTTACCAGGTGCCAACAGCTGCAGTAGCTCCACAGTACTCTGGTCGATCTTCTTGATTGGACCCATACATTTATTATCCGGCTACAAAAAAATAAACAGAACAAAAACATACAACAGTGAGGATTCGCTGGTGGTCACCCACCCAACTACTAACTCACCGGCGTGTGGCTTAAGTACGGCTGAGCGGACGGGAAGCCCTGTTTTCCACACCCTATGGTCGTATGTACAAGAACATGTATGAGAATGGAAGAGTAGTATGCATTGCATGAGAATGGTTCAATGTCGCCGGACTGTTATAGAAACGTATTGAGTGATACTGCGGCATCGGGTTCGTGCACACTGCTCTGTTCGAACCGTACCGAACGTGGATTAACCGATAAGAAAGCAGTGGATCCAATGACCCAGAGGCAAGAATTCCGTTCGGGGACAAGGCGACAGAGGTCACGCAAAACGGGGGGTGTGATAATGTTGCTTGGATAATCGAGGGCTATGGTGACCAAAATGGAATCGGTGACCTTAACAGACGTATCACCGCGGTAATCGCCAATCCGTGGTAGAGAATGGTTGACTCAGGTCTCGCAATTATGATGTGGGAGGAACAAATGAGATAAACAAATCTCGCACACAGCTTCATATTTGAGAACGAAAGATTCCGTACTCCCAAATTCACCTCGTTTCCCACGCCATCCGTTCTCCCTCTCTTCCATTTTGAAGCTCTTTCATCCCTCGTGACAATGAGCCAACATGGCAAGTCCCGCCTCGTCCGCCTGTTCTGAGAACCAAGACAACTTCCTCCTAGCGCGCTTCATACATGAACTTGAATTGCCTGTCAACATCGATGAAGCCAGCATGTCAGCTACCGCGACCCCACCTTCCATAAAGCAATCAAATACCCCGAACTTTCCCTCAGTCACGTTCCAGAGCTCGTTAACATCATCACCGGGCCCAGCAAGATCAACATCAAAGGCTGCCAGCACCACATACAAACGCCGCAACTACACGCTAGAACTGGCAGTAAGAGGAATACACGAGTCCGAGGATTCACCAGAAGGGCTGGATGACCTTGTGAAGCGGCTGCAGGGAAAGAGCGATAACTTCGACCCTCTCACGACAGAAGAGACTGAAGCATTCCAGGAGAGTCTGCTAGTACCTGGAAATGAGCCGACAATCCAAGCACTGATCGTACCCCCACTCCTTAACCTAGCCGCGCTCGTTCGAAGTCCGCTCACGCATGTGGCAGTGGTCGCCCAATTTCTTACTGATTGTTCGATACCTTTGCATCGTGATATGCCTATGTGCAGTAAAATCCCTACGCCCTGGCCGGACTTCACCATCGGCCTCCGCCGTCAAAGTCTACATCGGTACAACGCACATCTATACGAGCTCGCAGATATTGCTGCTCCAATCAACTGCACGAGCGACATCGTGTTTCCTTGCTTCACGGTTGAGATCAAAGGGGAGGATGGGGGACTTGACGCGATAAACCAGAATCGCCACAACGCCGCGATTATGCTGCAGAACTTCCGGAGACTCTCCATTCGCGCAAGAGGAGATCAGGACACAAAGACGATCTTTGATGGCGTCCCTCGAATTATATCCGCCACTGTGATGCGCAACCATATCACGATATCCGTGCATTGGACTGTCTGCTTAAAGAGCGGTGATATTATGTTCAAGAGCCTTCTGATCAAATTGTTTGACCTTCTCCGTGTGACACATGAGGAGTGGAACAATGCTGCTAGCTTCCTTCGCAGCGCCATTGAATTTACGATTGAACGAGCAAACCAGCAAGTTCAGGATGACCTGGAAAAACTTCAAAACTGCACACAACCGGCTATGATGCCAACGCGCCCCCCGAAACGAAAGCATGAGGTACTTGAGTGAGCAGTCGAAAGGTGTTGCGAAAAGGGCATTGATTATTCTTACGATATCATATCGTTTGTCCTTGAATTGGAAATTCCCTAGCTTCATTTATGGCAGCACGAACAATCAATATCCTTGACAATCCACAGAAAAAGCTCTAAAGTCGTAAGTAGATATGTGGTTACGCTAAGAAAAGGCAATCCCCGATACCTTATTGTAGAGTCGAAGACACTCAGGGTCTTAATTGCATTTGAAGTAAAAGCATTATTTGATGACTTTCAAGTCAATTGATAGAAGGCATTCTCAAGTACCATCCCTCAGAAGTCTCTCAATAGCAGCGCAAGCTTCATTTGCTCGGTACTGATTGTCCTCCACAGCTGCACTCAGTTGGCTCATGTTATGTCGCAATGCAGGGCTCGTCTACTCTCCCGAATGTCAGAAAAGCGAATAGGCAGTCCACCCCCGAGCGCTGTTCAATCGAACGACCAATCGCAAACACAAGCTTTTGTGTGTCGCATGTAGAGCCCAGCGCTGCCATCAATTCTCTGTTCAAGCTCTGCTGGAGGGTAACTGCTTCTGACAAGGATCCCAAGGCACGTTCTTATCTAGCGGTGTTGGCTGTTTAGCAGTGACGAACAACAGACTTACCTAATGCATAAGTGATCTCCATGGATGTCTGGCTATTCGCAGAGGCATAGGAGCATCGGCTATTGCCGCGGGACCACATATAGTTGGCGCAGGTGGCAGGGGAGTCGGGAAGCAAACAGTGACAACAGTGACAGAGCGATTGAATGGGCCTCTATCACGTTGGCAGTGCTGGCACTTAACATTGCTCACAGTCACTTTGCAGGACACACAAAATCCTTCGGTGGTGATCGTGTGCTCTCCGATGGTCTGCAGCCATCAGTTTGCTTCAAATTTGATTCCTATATGGATAATAGGTTCGCGGATAAGAGGTAGCGAGTGAAGTCGTCTCAAATTCTCAATCTTCATGAAACGGCCCTTTTTGACACGCATCCGTAGTAAATTAATCGTTGTGCTTGCCCAGGGGCCAGGGTGGCGAGCTCCTGGTCCGGACACGGGCACAGCGAGGTGCGAATTATTGCTAGTTCGGGAAAACTGCTGTCCCAGGTCAGGGATGAGGATGTTAGCTTGGTCTACAAAGCAGAAGTCAATTATCTTATCTTACTGTCATCTTGTCTGCTGGTCTGGGAAATCTCTGAGACGTGGGACGGCTCATGTAGAAAGAAAAAGAGAAAGAGAGAAAGATAAAAAAATGGATATTTATAGTCAAGGTACCTGGGTGCCGTTACCTATATGTATGTACCTATGTAATTATATGGGCACCTGCCTAGGTGGGCAGCTTCAATTCCATCACTCATCAGTACTTACTGATTTCATTTTGAATAAGAAGCCATTCCTTCACATTCCGCTCTTCTCACATAATATCAACCATTGAGATTCCTCCTGGTGAATATCCCTCATGGTCGGCCAGTACTGCTGTCAACTTCCTTGGGCTATCGACGTGTACTTTATGGGCATCATATAGGTACTGCATCGGTACTGCATGAGGAAAGCATGGGTAAAGCATGGGTAAAGCATAGGTACTGTAAAGGTAAAGGATAAGCACTTTAACTGATATATGAATTGGTGTCTGTGCTAATGCCTAACATAGGGTTCTTTCCTGTGCAATAATAGCGATTTATTTGCCATTGGGCAACGCACGAAGCGCGATGGCCTTCTTGAGCTTCTTTGACAACTTTCGGCTCTTCTTCAGTGCACTGGCTTCTACAATCGGCGCTGTCAGCCTCATCTCCCGCCCAAAGAAGGCCATGGTGCTGGTGATGGCCAAGGTGCTGGTGATAGCCTTGAGTTTGGCCACAATATCTGCGTTTTGGGCTGTCGTGTTGATTTCCTAGCTTCTTTACATTATATAGTATAAGGGAAGTTAATATATTATCTAAGTCCTTATTGCAAAATCATATGTTAAGGAACCACTTAGAATATAGAAGTATGGTGGCTTGTAGATGAAGGAAATGGTTAGATTTAGAATCATATAGAAGTGGTAGAGTAGAATATATATATTTCTATGCAGGATATAAATTTAAACCTACTTTCCATCATTCAGAAATTACTTATGTCCTAAAGCTCTTTTATACCACTACTATTTCCGACCGAGGTTAGACATTATACCTATAGGCTTTATGAAGGTCTAATTCCTATATACCTATTAGTATAAATATGGAATTTTAAACTTATGGGGGTTCGTAGATACCCCTAAATCTAATCGGCTCTTTATAATCTAGGACTCCCATAGGACTCCTATAAGACTCCCTAGACTTCCGCAAAGCTCGATCTCAACCCGTTAAAGCGGGTCCGCGTGGGCTTTTTTTTTCTAGAAAAACCCTTGAATATGCATAAACTATCCTAAATAGGTAAACTTTATGTAAACTTTGCATAATCCTACATAAAACAGGCTCGAAATGAGCTCGCTAGCGAGTTTCGAGGGTAACAGTGTAGTCGTGGACACGGCTTGCTCTAGTAGCCTTGTTGCTCTGCACATGGCATGCCAAAACCTTCGATTAAATGCGTGCGACACAGTATGTTGTTCTATCATGGTAGTGCCTTATATTCGCAATCTAAGATAATTTAGGCTATCGCCATAGGTGTTACTCTGATAGGCGACCCACGCTTTTTTCAAGACTTGACCAAACTGGGCGCCCGTTCTCCCGGTGTTCTGAGCTACAGCTTTGACTCAAAAGCCAATGGATCTTGCCGTGGCGAAGGAGTTGTATTGATTATGATCAAACGTCTTTCAGACGTGCTCCGTGATGGAGATACTGTTCGGGCAGTCATCCACGCCAGTGGAGCGAATCACGATGGGCGAACGAAAGGAATCTTTGCACCATCTTTCGAGGCGCAAGAAAGGCTTGTACGCGTTACCTATAAGAGTGCGCATCTTGGGTATAAATATACATCCTATGTCGAGGCATATGATACTGGACGTCAAATGAAGCTAGAAAAACGCAATGGGTTTCAACGAAGCAATGCAACTAAAGTTCAATAAGCACAGAACCTTGGACGCAACTCTCCACAGATTTGAAAGATCAATGAGTCAAGCCGGAAGGCTCAATGTAACGGACCCTCCCATCTTCTCCTGAATCGAAGCCATAACATCAGGCATGCTTGATGCTAGCCCCAAATTCCATTTGTCTTCCTCCAAACCCCCCCAAAGCAAACCCTTGACCTCTCCACTCTCACCGAGAACGAATGAACCAGAGTCCCCGTCCATGCAGAACAATTCCTCATTTACTCCAGCTCTTTTGCCCACGATGACGAACTCTTGGGTTTCAAGAGCACGCATTTCCACTTTTTGTCCGCTCGGAGTATATCTTACTTCAGGGCCCTTCCACTTGCAGTATGCTTTTGGGCCGTTGACTACACCTGCAGTAAAGCCAGTAGTGCGACCTTTTTTGCAACACCAATCCCCATCTTTAAGTGACCCAAACTCACTGAGAGGTTTCCTTCCTAGCCAGATTGCAGAATTTTGAGACGGGCTCCATTTCTCTGGCTGGTACTTCTTAGGGACCGATGGCATAAAATTGGGCCTGAAGAACTTTGGCTCGGCGGCTTCAGACATCTGAACGAATGCCCAGTCTATAACGTGACCACCGCGCACTTCATATCCTGACACGAACTGAACATCACCTAGGCTGAACGGCATTCGGTCGACGACTGAATGTAGAAGCAACGCCTCTTGAATTGCATCTTTTGTGTTCGAAAGGGCCTCCAGGATTCCGGGATTTGATGTAACTCCGAGTAGCTCTCGCTCTTGCACCTTGGCATTCAGCTCAGTCTCGTGTTCGCGCATTGCCTCCAAGCGCTCGGAAATGTGGGCCGCAGTGGCATCTTTATCAAGGCCAGATGGCGATTCCATCGTGATTTTGTTGGCCAGAGGGTGCGCAGGGGAGGAGCCGAAACGGTCGAGACTTTGGAGAAAATAGTTGCTGTCAGAGGAACGTTGGGACGGCGATGGCCTGACCACGTGGTAATTGGTCAAAAAACCTCTACGAACGACATCACCGTGAGTCAATATCACAAACCCGCCAAGCGTTCCACCGTTTTTGTCTCCTTCAATTCCGATCGAGGATCCCATTCGGGGAACCTCATATTCTCTGACGTTGTGTGTGAACGGAATGCCCCCTCCATTCAGGGATGACATGGCGCCGGGTAAAAATTCAATGTCAAAGCTGTCTGCTTGTATGTGTGGCAAGAGTCGAGACATGACTTGAAGTCGCAGCTCAAACCAGTTTGTAATCGTCCATGGCTCCACAAATACCACAATGGTCGGCTGCGCCTTGGCTTCACTCGGACCAATGTTGAAGGGGCATAGCATATTGAAGTTGGAACCGAGTGTCTGCTTCAGGATAGTGACAAGATTCTGCATGACTCGGTCGTATGCTTTGACAAGAGGGTGGTTTAAGGCGATAGAGAAAAATGTCGGGTGGTGGCAGAGCTTGTCGTTCGAAATTTCGACATGCACTCTGACCTTGTGTCGGCGGAAGAGACTCAAGATCTCGTCTTTGATAGGACCAAGAGGAGAGATGTTTGGAGTCGAGGTATCAAGGAGGACACTGAAAATATCGACGGGGATGTCACCACGGGGATACCCCGGCTTGGTCATCCTCCAACACCGATACATCATCATCCCCGGCAGATTGTGTTGGTTCAGTATCGAACTGACTTCAGGGTAGAGTGGCCTGAGCACTTTCTCAAGAGAAGGGAGAACCTCCAGTTTCACTGGCGAAGGAAACCGACTGGGGATACTGGTCGATCGGTAAACTTCGACGCGCTGCAAGTACCGCTCAAGACTCATGTCGCCTTCTGCATCATCGGACTCACGAAGGTGGCGCCGTCGTTTTCGAGGAGACAGCGGGGGTGTAGGAAGGTCTGAGGGCCCTTGAGACGGCGCTGAGGGGTCCATGGCTGAAGATGACGACTGAGAGTGAAATGATAAACCAGAGTGAAGAAGTGATGTACCGGAGTGAACTGATGGTACAAAGTGAAGTGATATACCAGAGTTAAGATTGTAGCAGAAGATGAATAGTGTAAAGACTTGAAGAAACCTAGAGGGATGGGGAGGGAAGAGAAAGAAAAAGAAGAAGAAGAAGAGCTCTTTTCATATCCCAGAGGTTGGCGGATAGGTACCAAGGTTTGTATTGTTCCGTAAATAACAGGGCTTATATTATTCACAGAACAATAAAGTTTGTATTGTTTTATGAATAATACGGTTTGTATATCTCCCGACATCCATGGATATGTTGGAGAAATTTGGATTGCGTCTGATGTCAGTAGCGAGCCTGGCCACGAGTTTCTGTGTCGCAATGCTACACTCCAAGAATTTTTGAAGAAACTGAAAAGCGACATAACATTTTGGGACAAGTTATCTTTAACAATGCAGATTCAAGTCATCGAACTCTTGATAGAAGTGCTACCTGCCATTGGGTAGACTGAAAGCAGGACCTTGAGTGCTTTGCTCAAAAGGAGATTCTAGATGTTGAGAGACTTTTCTCATACATGCTAGTTCCGGCGGTACCGGGAAAGTGGCTATCCAATATGTCCAGTCAGTTGGGGCTGAGGTCTTCACGACTGTCTCAAGCGCTGAAATAAAACCTGGGAAGGAAATTTGTAATAGATCGTTACGCTATTCCGGAAGATCATGCGCTCTGCGGCAGAGACGCGACTTTTGCGAAGCAGATCAAGCGAGGCACTGTAGGAAGAAGCGTTGACGTTATTTCGAACTTCCTCGGTGGTGAACTCCTGCGTCACTCATGGAGCTGTATTGCGTCTTTAAGGAGGTTCATAGAGCTTGGAAAACGCGATATAGATGGCAATGGACGACTTGATATGAAGCCAGTTACCGGCGGCTTTACTTCTGCAGCAGGGGACCTTGTCGTGATGATGAAACTTCGACCACCTACCGTTCGGACTTTGTTAGCAACCTTTCAGTTCTATCTGGAAGGATTATCCCCCCACCTTCTATCACTCTCTTGAATTTCTCGGAGGCTGGTGATGATCCCAGGCGCTTACAAACCGGCAAGTCAACAGGGAGGACTGTGTTAGGTTCCTCTGATGACAATATTGTCTCGGTAGGCCATGTTGTGCTCCCTGATTGAGATGAAATATAAACCAATGTCAGATTTTAGGCCTTTCCACCCACTCTATCAAAGCTCAGACTCCCCACTGGTACATCCTTTGTCTAAACAGGCGACCTCAGCGGTCGGGTAGCGCTGTTTAGCAAAATGAATGGCTAGAATTGGCGCTCGGAGGTTGATATCCTTATCTCACGGACGCGGGCTTGCCTGATTCGTACCAAACGGCAATAGGGTCCCGTGACTAGCCCTCCGCATGAATATCCACTCTTGCGGGGCCAGCTTCATAGATGCTAAGAAATAACCTCTTTCATGCGGCGGAGAATGTCCACTTCACCATCATACTGGCGACACGGCCGACTATTGGCTGCAGTATTTGGCCCGTACGACATCCACTGTAGGGAGCACTAGTGGCGGGAAAAAGGTACCATGAGTGCCACATACATGAAGCCAAAACATACATACGATCCCCATCATATCTTGGAATATAAGTTCTTTCTCGCCTCAGCAATCTTTGCTCCTCGCAATGTCGGGGATGTACAGTATGTAATCCGTCAGGCATTGACCTCGGGCCCTGGGAGGAAATGTTGACCTCCTGATCTAGATCTATAGTGAGACTCGCCAACAATATCTCATTCCCCTGTGGCTTATCTCCATCAGAAGAAATTCAGGATATGGAGGTGCTGCGCCACGAGTAAGTGGTAGCATTGTGGTGGACATGGGAAAGAACCTCAACAAAATTCTAGAGGTCAATGTCGAAGGGGCATATTGTTTGGTGGAACCCGGTAAGTATCAAGCCCTTATATCTGAATAATTTGGGTTTCCAATCTCGAGATACGAAGGCGTTACATTCCACGCCTTGTATGGATGACTACCTAGTGGACAATACTCTTTAGGATAGACTATGGCTTGATGTACCAGAAATTGGTGGTGGCTCGGTTCTCGGTAATGCCACCAAGCAAGGAGTAGGCTACACGCCATACCGGGGTCATTCACGTCTCTACAAACTAAACCACCTGTCTTGGTCAATCCAAACTAACCATACGTCAGATTATTGGATGATGCACTGTGGCATGGAGGTCGTGCTACCAAATGGAGAGCTTCTTCGGACTGGAATGGGTGCGTTACCGGGCCCTAAACGCTCCGAGATCATGGGAATGAAACTAGAAGACTAGCCCTAGAATGAGGCTGCCCATCTGTTTCCTTATGGGTTTGGTCAATATGTCGATGGACTATTCAGTCAATCTAACTTGGGAATTGTCACAAAGCTTGGCATGTGGCTTATGCCAAACCCGGGTGGATATCAATCCTACTTGATGACATTTCCCAAAGATGACGATTTGAAGGAGGCAGTCAACAGAATTGAGCCCCTGCGCTTGAATGTAGCTCTTCAGAATGTACCCACTATTCGCCACATCCTCTTAGATGCAGCAGTGCTAGGTAATAAGGCATCATATTCCTCGAAGGCCGAGCCCATATCCGACGAGGACTTGGACCAAATCGCAAAACAACTCAACTTACGAAGGTGGAACTTCTATGGCGCTCTCTATATGAGTTTCTTATCGGCCGCTCTACATATATTCCGGCTAATACTTCATAGGGTCCCGAGCGGGTTCGAAGTGCGCTCTGGGAAACCACCAAAGAGGCATTCTCGGTTATTCCAGGCGTCAAGTTCTATCTTCCAGAGGATAGCCCCGAAAATTCAGTCCTTCGTGTCCGCGACAAGACGATGCAAGGCATTCCAACATATGACGAACTCAAATGGACTGACTGGCTCCCCAATGGCGCCGATTTATTCTTCTCGCCTATCGCAAAGGTGGCCGGGGAGGATGCGATGTTGCAATATAAATTAACCCAAAGAAGATGTCGAGAGGCTGGCTCGGACTTCATTGGCATATATACCGTCGGCATGAGAGAGGTGCGTAAGGCATACTTTTGAACACTCGAGATATCTTCCCATTATCACCGGGCATGACTAACATTTCAACTACTCTATAGATCACATTTTCCGCATTATGTTCAACAAAGAAGATAAATCTCAGAAGACAAAGGTCCAGTGGCTCATCCGGACGCTTATTTGTGCCGTCAACGGATGGGGCGAGTATCGAACTCATCTGGCCGTCATGGATCAGATCATGGGAACATACAACTGGAACAACGGCAGTTTCCTCGAGTTTAATGAGATCCTCAAGAACGCGGTAGATCCAAATGGGATCATTGCCCCTAGAAAGTCAGGCATTTGGCCCAAAAGCTATAGTCAAATTGCCTGGAAGCTATGATCCATTGAACTTAGTATCAAGTAGCTTAAGGTTGTTTATGTTCATCTTGGCAAAAGTTCAGGCATGAGAGAATAGTTTAAAAGGGAGAAAGCAGAGGACCATAGACTAGCTTGTAACGGATAAATATCCTTACAACATGGAGACGGAATCACCTGACCGCACCCGCATCGATCACGTATCAGGAACGAACTGCCAAGGAATAGTCACATGGCTCCCACGTGAACATGGGGACACACATAGTCCAGGATTCCCCTGAATCCCCTCTTCTTTTCGCAAGAGTTAGTCTTGGCACACACAGACAATATATCCTCGTTTCCTCTCTAAGTCATTGTATCTTACCCGGTTGACAGGCCTTACACCTGGAAATCGTAAACCTTTACAGAACGAACTACTACTACTACTAACTCCTCTTCGTGTGGTTTATGTGCGGCCGGTAACTGTCGCTCCGAGTGCATACTGACCAATAACCCTGAAGGGTAGTTAAGTTGAAGTTAGTAAGAGGGAAGACCCCCGGTAAAAGAAGGGTACGGTTAAACAATACCTCGATCGTTGTGCCGGTAAATGATCGCTCCTGATGAATGTGTTTGACCATGGGTTTTAATTTTCGATGGGAGTGCGCACAGCTCGAACAGTAATAGCAAGTTTTGAGGATCCGGCAAGGCGTCCTGCTTCAATGGGACCTAGTTCTGCCCTATACCTGCTACGAGGCGAAGCAGAATGTGACCGGATCCTATTTCTTGAGCTGTGGGGACCTTGCTATGGGAAATTAATTATATAAAGCTCTTTGGACAAAGTAGCCCGTTTGGCGACCGCCTGAACTTTCACCAAGATTTTCATCCAATCAAATCAACACTTGCTCTCCCAGATAAATTACCCTTGGGATAATAAGGTCGCTAGGTGAGATAGATAAGTACTAATAGAGAGTAAGCGCCGCTCTGACATCCTAAACTAAAATTAGTCTGATTATTATTGGATGGAAATATTTTACACGATGCGCTCGGCTCCTTATATCTGCACACAGCCACCTTCCTCGTGCATGGCATAAGTTGATATGCTAAAAGCTCACATCACCGCTGGGAAAGCTTCACTTATCACCGACAATCCCCCTATAGCTACCCCCTGAGAGGTCTACTTGTACCCGTCATAGGTAGATATACGAGACCATCAAGCTGTCTCCTTTTCGATCGATTCCGGCCATACTGGTTCTCACGGTATATGCACAATACTAGAATTGCATTTACCATCCAGATTCTCGATAAGAACCCTCGCATTGCCCCTTTCCATATCACCATAACGCATGGCTCGCCCCAAGAACGATTGGCAAAACTGGCAGTGGTCAATGGACCTCTATGAGGCTGCAACTGCAGGGAAGGAAGACAAAGTGCTACTATTTCTTGAGAACGGCGCGGATGTCAACGCTCAAGGTGGTAGGTATGGAAACACCCTCCAGGCCGCCGCTGCTTCATGGACGCAGCGCCCCGAAATTGTGAAACTACTTCTTGAAAAAGGCGCAGATGTCAATGCTCAAGGAGGCGAGTACGGAAATGCCCTCCAGGCCGCAGTATGGAAGGGGAACCTCGAAACCGTGAAACTACTTCTTGAGAAAGGTGCAGACGTCAATGCTCAAGGAGGAGAATACGGAAATGCCCTCCAGGCCGCCGTATCAACAGGGAACCCCAAAATCGTTAAATTACTTCTTGAAGAAGGCGCAGATATCAATGCTCAAGGAGGCGAGTACGGAAATGCTCTCCAGGCCGCCGCATCGGAAGGGTACCCTAATTTTGTGAAGTTATTTCTGGAAAAAGGCGCGGACGTCAACGCTCAAGGTGGTAGGTATGGAAATACCCTCCAGGCCGCCGCTGCCGCATGGCAGAAGCGCCCCGAAATCGTGAAACTACTTCTTGAGGAAGGCGCAGATGTCAATGCTCAAGGAGGCGAGTACGGAAGTGCTCTGCAGGCGGCTGCATGGAGTGGGAGCCCCGAAATCGTAAAACTACTTCTTGAGGAAGGCGCAGATGTCAATGCTCAAGGAGGCGAGTACGGAAGTGCTCTGCAGGCGGCTGCATGGAGTGGGAGCCCCGAAACCGTGAAACTACTTCTTGAGAAAGGCGCAGATATCAACTCGCGGGATCATAGCGAGGGGCGGACGCCGCTACATATTGCGGTAGAGGCAGGCTCTATATCCGCTGTTACTCAACTTCTCAAAAAAGGTGCTATTACCAACATAAGAGATTTCAGCGATTTAAATCCACTTGAACTTGCGGCTCAAAGGGGGGACTATCGAATTGCGCTACTACTTCTTTCAAGAAGCACTGACAATCAAAGCTTTGTGAAGGCTTCCACATGGAGGACCCTCTTGCCCGGTTCTCCGGGCCACCTTGAAATGACCATCGGCAACACCACGACTATTAGGAAGATGTCGGAAAGTGACATTACGAGCAGGGGCTATCCTCTTTCTCAGGAGGTTAAGGAATTTGCTGCAAGGACTGATGATTTTATGGGAGCAAGCATTGGCTCCAGGCGTATTTTGTACGTACCCTTAATCTATTGTTGACAGTCCAGGGCTTATACTGCTCTGAGGTAGTATCCTTGCAGATGGATTTCCCTTTTTGCATTCCTCGACTGGTTTCTATTATCGCTGGTGGCGTAGAGTGCAAGTGCAACAGCAGTCCCCACCTGAGCTTCTTATTGGTCGACGAGTGAAAGGGGCAGGTCCATTATGGAGAGTCCAGCCTAGTAAAGCACCCAGTCGAGCTACTTTGACTCAAGTTCCAAAAAAAGATTGTAAGTGTCTTCTTTGATACAGTCCATATTCGGCGACTCCTATATTAATACGTGAAGGCTTTTTTGAATGCCGCTTCACTACTCGTGCAATTGCACTGCCTATCCCCTCCAACTATAACTGGCCTAGATTGTCTGAGACCTCCGATTTGGATATACGGGGGCTCGAAAAGACTTATGGAATCCTATGGATAATGACCAAGCGTCAGGATATAACGGCTTCGGAAAGTGCTCTAGAATCTAAAATATATTTCAGCACGTCCGAACATGCACAAGTGCCCTCTCGCGCCGCTGATCTTTTCGCTCCCTTGGTTCAGCAACTCCTACAAGAGTGGGACAATACCTTTCAGGCGGCAGAAAGTCGTTTGGCAATAAAAGTGAGAGAAATTTCGTTCGCGATAAGGCTCCCATTAACCATCAAACAGCGTACGGAGTTGCTAAGAGCGAATGGAAGAAGCCCGCGCTTAATTCGAGACCTACTAGGCGATGCCCAACTGTGGGATCTGCTACGAAGGAGCTGCAACAAGCAAATTGCTGAGCTCATGGCATTTCAGAACGAGTACGACAGTCAGTCATTGGTTGTCCTCCGTGACAACGGATCTACAGGAAGCGAAGAGAGGAAAAAAGCGATGGTAATATTTCAAGATCAAATCAACAGACTAGAAGAGGTTTATTCAGAAGGGTTGAAAGCTCTTATGGAAACTTCCAAGGATCTTATTCAATTAGTATCAAGAATACATTCCAGCTCTAAGAATTATATCAACTAACTTGTAATAGGAGTTCAATCTTACATCAATCTCAGAAGCACAGAAGTCAGCATCGACAAACAAGAGTATGAAGCGCCTTAGTTGGATTACGGTAGGTTGAAAGTACTGTCGACTGCATCAGTTGCTGACGAGTTTTGTTGCCAGTTTGTTTTTCTCCCACTAATGTTCATCGCGGTATAGATCTCAGTTTATATATCGCTGTACAAGACAAATATCTAACGTGGATACAGAGTCTTTTTGGTATGAACGTCGATATCTTGGCGTCCAACCCACCTTGGTGGTTTTATATCCTTTTTGCCGTGTCCACTACGTTGCTGACACTGGCCGTATGGTTGATTTTCAAGCACAACAGTGATGTTAGTCTAAACTACCTTAAAACTTTATCCGTTATTAACAAAATATACAGCTGGAGGACAGTATAGAGCATAGATTTAATCGTCTAACAAGACGCCAGCCACAGCAAGATCTTGAGAATGGACAGCGACGAGGTTTTTCTCCACAGCGACGAGATTTTTCTCCACAGCGACGATCAGCAATGTTTTCGACTCTCGGGAAAAAAGGGTCTTGAGATAGGAAACCTTTATGTTAATTATTTCGCCTCGGTTTAGTGGGGATCAATGATTCGACGAAGGGTTCTTTATTACTTTAGGTTTTTATACACGATGTAGGAGAACCACGCACAACCATGGCTACAATGTTGCTATTATGGTCACTAGCCAGTTCGTTGCACGCGTAAGTGAAATATCATATCTTACAATATCTGTCGCAATACCTACAAAGGTGATCGATAAATTAATTAAGTAACGAGGGAACTGTCGAGCCGCGAAAAACGCAAAAGTGCAAGGCCACCTCGGCATACTCATTACGAGGAAAAACAATAGGCGAAGAATCGGCACCTAGGCCGAATTCGATGCATATACTATTTGATTGGAGTGACCATACATACCCTCCTAGCTATGAAATGGATCTAGATCCAATACATTCGACAAACTTGAGAATGATCCTAGAACACGAAATATTTTCGAGGATAGAGAGATAAAAACGGAGAATACTTGTAGCTCTTTTTTTTGCCATAATAAGCATCGTGCCTTTTGCTATACGGGCTAAATATTCGAGTGAGGAATATTCAGGTGGGTGAATATCTGCCCTGAGTGTCTTGAATAGAGCTGCGAGCCGCCCACGCCCGAACCGTGAGCGCTAGGTGACTACCACCTTAGACATGCTGTTGTATATTTTTGTTTTGTTTATTTTTTTTTTGACATTCTTTCTACACAGCAGTATGATGAGTGGGTCAGGGGTGAGAAGTCAAGTCTAGAGACCGAGAAGATAGCGGCCAACTTGTTGGTCAACCTAGGGTCTTTCCAAAAAAACCATAAATCCATTTCCCAGGACGTTTATTTTGCCCTGCCATGATTTGCTTTGTTCTTAACAATATGCTCACCGAAAAAAGCATCCACAAAGCACCCGAGGAGCGTATCGCACGCGCCATATCGCGTGGATTCGCACTCGTATAGCACCATCCGTCATTGTGAGCTAGCCCCTATCCTACCAAGCTGGAAGAATGCAACAATACATTACTCGCCTTGGCTTTGTAAATTTGAAGGTCACGTTTTGCCTACCTCTCTGTATAACCTTTACATAGATACCCAAAGGAATAGATGGTGTATTCGGTAATACAAACTAACTTAATAATACAATAGTATCAAGAAGACCTGATGATCGCTTCTTTAGAGAAGCGGCCTAGGAAGGTAGTCTACATACGTGCGTATGTGTAGCTTTAGTGCCGTGCTCTGGGTTAAATTTGGAGCCAAAGCGCTCGCCGCAAAGCAGTCCCCACTTTGTTTATCTTTGCGCTCAAAGCAAACCCTATTCGTTGTTTCCGCAAGGAATAAAAGGCCGACTAGCCTCCCAGCTTGGCATCTTCAGGACTGAAGCTTAACGGTAAAAAAATCATTTTCAATGTGACTGTTCCGAGTGGCCAGACAACTGTGCATACAGGGCATCTGTACTATGTATTTCACCTGCGCCTAGAGGCGGGGAGGCGAGACGGTCTCCATGTCTCGAAATTGCGAATCTGGAGCTATGATGATCTCAACGGAGTGGCCGACGGATGGGAAAAATCCTCGAGCGCTGTCGTGGATGTTATTGGGTGTGAGAGGTTATCAGTGTTACATTCCCATGCCAATTCGTCATTCCTCCCCACCATGCTGTGCTGTCATACCCCAGTCTCCTGAAAATATTTTGTCTTAACGGGAAAAGCTGCGGACAAGATTAAAGTTCGAATTAAATTCAAGCATGGCGATCACGCGATTGAAGTAGGAAATTTGCGCTTGGCCAAAGTTTCTGTGTTGGTGTTCTGTACTTATAGTTGATCGTTTCCATTTACAACCAAACATCGGTCTACTAGCTGTTTTTATTTCTCAATGGGTATGTCGAACAGACTGACTCCTCAATGATTATGCCAAACTGACCCGATGGAAATTATCAGGCAATACTGAGCCCATTATTACGGACACCTCGGTGGGCGCAGCCCATGGGGTGAGCGAGGTGAAGTCGCTGCATTTGGGCGAAGGGTTAGGGGGGAATGTCTTGCAGACATCGCAGGAATCTGAGGAACCCTACGATGAAGAGTTCATCGCTCCTACCAAAGAAGAAGACCAAACACTTCGCAAAGTGGCCGCCAATCTACCGTTGGTCGGCTTTGCTCTTTGTCTCGTTGAGTTTGCCGAGCGTGCGTCCTACTATGGAGCACAGACACTCTTCTCTAACTTTGTCCAATTCCCATTACCCGAAGGTGAGGCAACTTTTCGATTATTAAGTGCCGGGTCATTTTTCTGACGAAGTATAATACACACAGGTGGCAATGGAGCTGGTGCTCCTCCGCGCGGAACCCAAAAGACAGCCGGAGCTCTTGGATGGGGACTGCAGGCCAGTACTGGTTTGGTGCTACTATTCAAGTTCTTGGCCTATATCGTCCCTATCTTCGGTGGTTACTGGGCAGATACTCATGTCGGGCGGTATAAGGCCATTGTGGTTGGTGTTGCTATCTGCGGTGTTGCCCACATTATCCAGATTGTCGGCGCGATCCCCTCTGTTCTCCAGCAAGGCAAAGCTCACGCGGCTCCGCCGTTCGTTATTGGCCTCCTGCTTCTTGCCGTCGGTGCAGGTATCTTCAAGCCGAACATCTCGCCGACTGTTCTGGATCAGCATAAATCCCAAACGCCATACCTTAAGACTCTGAAGTCGGGTGAGACCGTCATCGTCGACCCAGAAACGACAAATACTCGGACCATGCTGCTGTTCTACATGTTTGTGAACATTGGTGCTTTCTTCATGCTGGCGACAACGTACGCGGAAAAGTATGTTGGGTTTTGGCTAGCCTATCTGCTACCGGGTATCATTTACTTCTTACTTCCACTCCTCCTGCTGGCTGTCTATAAAAGGACCAAGAAGCAACCTCCCAGTGGAAACAGGGAGCTCGCCGAAGCCTTCAAAATCGGATGGACTGCTCTTGTACAGAACAAATTCCAATTCTGGCGCAAAGACTTCTGGGATTCAGCAAAACCCGCAAGCCTTCGCAGTAAGGGGATCGAAGTTAGTTGGACGGATATCTCAGTGTTGAAAGTTGCGAAAACAGTTGGTATGATAATCCCTCCCACCCGAGATCATTCCACTTTCCTTCGAAGCAAGTCCCTCACGTATATTCCTAACACTTGTGTTCATTAACAGAGGCGTGCGACATCTTCTGGTTTTTCCCTATCTACAACCTAAACGACGGGGGTATCGGCTCAGTCTCCACGAATCAAGGTGCATCAATGATCACAAACGGAGCCCCCAACGACGTCCTCAACAACTTCAACCCGCTGACACTTATTGTCGCCATTCCAATTCTGACTTTTGTGATCTACCCATTCCTGGAGCGACGCAAATTGAAGCCCGGTCCCATCACCCGCATGACAATCGGGTTCGTTATTGCCATTATAGGCGGCATAGTGGGCGCACTCGTCCAATGGAAAGTGTACCAGCTGTCACCGTGTGGCAGTCATGCATCAACCTGTGATGAGGTGGCCGATATCAGTATCTGGTGGCAGATTCCCAATACCTCTCTCAGCGCTATAAGTGAATGTTTCGCCAATGTCACGGCGTACGAGGTGGCCTATGCCCGCGCCCCAAAGAGTATGAAGGGAATCGTCGTTGCTATTTTCCTCTTCATGACTGCCCTATCTAGCGCTCTTGGTGAAATTCTCATCCCGGCGATTGCGGACCCATGGCTGATCTATATTTGGGGTGGTCCTGCCGTTGCCCTGGCAATTCAGACTGTTATTTTCTGGTTCAGATTCAAACATATGAATTCTGAGAACTACTTTGCCGATACTGTTGATTCTTCTCAGTTTGAGGTGGAGCAAGTATCACCCAAGAGGGAAGTTTGAATTTCATTGTCTAACAGCGTAAGGATTGGAGCGGGGCACTCCTTGTTTTGTTTCCTCGATGAGAATGAATATATTTTCAAACATTATTTACTTGGCTTGACTATTGAAATATTTATGGAAGAATGCTTGAATTCTGATAGACCTTCTCTTCAAATGGAAATGTATAGTGATGCTGCTGCCTAGAACGGTGAGCTGGTAACTGACTCCAGCACTAACGGGAATACATGCAAGCATCGCATAATGGGTTGTTTTCATTTCTCAAAATGCACACTACCCGGAGAAGCGGAATATTATATATAGCATCGCCTGGATGAGTATTCTCACACTGCTTCTCGCCAGAAGCCATCACTAACCCACTGTTAATTCCTTACATCATGATTGTCTGCCACACAGCCTGGTACATACGACCATATAATGTGGACAATAGTGCTTCCCGTCTCATCAGCTGTACTTAGGCTACACGCCGAATGGGCATACCGGGCAATGATTTGGTCTAGCCCAGCGGGGAAGCAACCGTTCGCCACTTTGTAGTCGTGCGACCAAGGGTAAGACGGGTGAGTGTGTAATGAGAGGGGCTCGGATCATGGTGAGGATACCCCTAGATGGCATGATCACCGTTCATCTTACTCTAGTCAAGCGGATACATGAACGCCGAGTTGGTCACAGGCAGACATGGACTATCTCATGCTCACCAAGAACAGATGTCATACGGGACACACATCATGGATGTGTAGCACGGCCAGCGTTGGGTTAAAGGCGATACTTGCTCCTGTAGTGACGAATCTTCAATTTTGTTTTATGGAAGACTGGATAAGTACGAAGATAAATAGCTAGAAATAAGAATGCTAAAATCCCCTTTAGAAGTGCCTAGCTCGTGCTGTGTATTACAGTAGCCTAGAATAGGATGTAGGCACATTCCTTTAGTAAACAGAGAAGGAACTTTCGTTAAGAAACTATCAACCAAAGGGCCTATCTCTAACCTATCTGGACGCCATCTCCTAACCAGGAAAAATAGTCATTGCGAAAAGGATTAGTCCACCGAGGGATGATTCTGCCATATATATGTCGATCTGTCGTATAAGTCTTCAGACTTGAGTTCGGTAGCAGTTATTCATACATCCTCCCCGATCAGCTACTCTGGGTTTACTAGCATGGGTTTGAACTATGTGAAAAGTCGCACTTTTGCTGACTGTTGGAGAAAGGTAAGTCAAGGGTTTAAAGCCTATCGTTGAGCGGAGCTAGTATAGTCTATGCGTGCCTCAGCGATGGGCCCTTCTGGCCGGGTTCGGACCATCAGTAGTCCCATGATCTACTCTAGATACTCGGGGCTTTCCTTAAATGCCTTGGCATAACTCGGTTCATGGCCAAGTAGGACCCGTGCGCCTGTTCTCTCCACCAAATTTTTAACAAATTGCCTGCTCCTCCACCATGCATTATAATCCCTCATCAACCTACCTGCTGGCCGCGTATCCTCGTAATTCTCTTTAACATGGAATAAATCAGCAGTCAATATGCTTGTGCCACTGTGTTGCATCTGCAGCTCCATCACGACACTCCCGTCTGTGTGTCCGGGACAACGATGGAGTGTTATTCCGGGAAATATCTGGAAATGATCCTCTGAGAAGGTGCGCCACTTAAGGCGTGAGACGTCAAGATAGCTCTTGGCATAGAGTGATGGTTCTATGCCCGTTGCGGCTGTCCAGAAGGCGTTTTTGAACTCCGCTTCGTGGACCCAGATCTCAACATCTATGCTCAGAGTCAGTTTCTCGAGTTTCCGCGCCCAGGTGCAGATATCTGATTACCTTTGTCTAGAAAATGTTCAAGACCCCCAGCATGATCAAAATGCAAATGACTGAGAATGATTCTTTTCACATCTTTGATGGATCCGGCGCCCGTTGCTTCAATGGCTGCGGGCAAACTGTTGATCTCTTTCTGCCAGACCCGAGGCACACATTCAGTCATACCATGGTCCCAATTTGCAATTGTGTCTTCGCATGACCCGGTGTCGAACAGAATAAGACCCGCGGAGGGATGCTGGATGAGTGCGGCAAACATGACGAGTGACCTTCGCTCGTGTTGCTGCGGTGGTAAATGGGCTGGGAAGACGTTCGCTCCGTAAAGAACGCCCGAGGCATCGCTGTCGAGACTTCCGAGGTCTAGGATCTGTACGAGATCTGTTTGTATTGAGTTGGTAGACCACAAGCGCTTGGGGAGAATACCCATAGTTTAGAGCCATCGGGCATGCATGAGTGCGGGAGAAGAGTCATCTTTAATGGGATGAGATATTAGCAGTCTGGGGTAGCAGCTGAGGGTGACTTGCAGCGTTTTTTCTGGTCGATCCTGGATATCACAGTGGTTATTTATAAGCCGTTCATCCATGCACTCCAGGCCAATATTGTAATGAATCCCGTAAAGTTGTGGTATTTCGTTGAAGCGCGGCCACTTCGCCGAATCGTCATCGTCGGTAGTAAAGGCTTCCATAAATTCCGAATTGTGGGGGTATCAGTGTGAACAAGCTCATGCATGAATTCCCCAATGCCCTTCCCCAATGACGCCAATAAAACGCCTCTTGTTGATGGCCATCTTACCTCGGTAGGGCGGCTTGCGTAATTTCACCTCGTTAAATAAAAAATGAGTAATCGAGCTAGGGAATTATACAACCGAACCGAGTTTCCTTCACATTTGTCGTCGACCATTGACTGGCTGTCTTCCCCAACTTCCCCAACAATCTGCCTTAACCCCAAGTAAAAGTGAAATGCCCGCCATCTTGGCAGGGAATTTGTATAAATAAAGAAGTAGTCTCTTTTGCTGCGAAAGAAACGATTAACTTCAATATAGTCGATTAAAAACCACCATGACTACACGCGATTTCAACAAAGTCGGCTTCATTGGCCTTGGAGCCATGGGAAAGCACATGGTCGAACATCTCGCGACCAATCTCCCTAATGAGAGCCGCATCTTCGTATATGATATTTCAAGCGCTCCAATTGATGACCTAGTGAGCAGATATCCAGGCAAGGTCATACGCAGCGTATCACCGAAGGATGTAACAGAGAATTCGGTATGCCCCAGACTACATTCATCAAAAGGAAATGACTCACGCTCATCATCACCCTCCTGAAACAATAGACAATCATGCTCTCCATGGTCCCGGAAGGGAAACATGTCAATTCCGTATATCTCACCCCGGAAACCGGCGTCACAGCCGCACCCCTCCACAACAAACTCCTCATCGACTGCTCAACAATCGACATCGCCACAAGCCTCAGCGTCAGAAACTACATAGCAACCCACCACCCAACAACCTCCTTCTATGACGCCCCAGTCAGCGGTGGCACTCTCGGAGCCAAAGCCGGTACCATCGCGTTCTTCCTCGGCTGCGCGGTAACCGACGAGAATCTCCCGTGTATGAGCAAATTGCTGCGTCTCATGGGAACCAAGATGATCCCCTGCGGCGGCCCAGGATCCGGTCTTGCTGCGAAACTGTGCAACAATTACCTCTCTGGCCTAATTGCGATCGCAAGCTCGGAGTCTCTCAATATGGGGATCCGCGCTGGTCTTGACCCGCGCGTACTCAATGATGTCATCGGTGCTGGGACTGCGGCGAATGCGATCTGTGCGGACTATAATCCTTGTCCTGGAGTTGTGACCAAGGCGCCCGCCAGCAAGGGGTATGAGGGTGGATTTAAGGTGGAGTTGATGAAGAAGGACTTTGGGCTTGCAGTGGAGTTGGCGACGGGTGTGGGTGCGAATTTAGTGCTTGGGGAAAAGGCGCTCGAGACGTATACGGCCGCGGCGGAGGACCCGAATTGTCGGGGTCGGGACTCGAGGGTTGTATATAGGTTTATTGGCGGGGATGAGAAGTGGAGGGCGAGATTTGGAGGTTAGGTATATAGTTTATTCATTAAGTATCAACCACTGAATGGATCAAAGTTGAATTACCCTGTTGCAGTCTAACTAGTTTCCTATGACTATGCAGGCGCTTCATCGAGCTGAAGCAAGGACTCGAAGCCAAACGCCGAGTTGGGATCACACAGGGGTCCCAGAGAGTATACAGAGGCTTATTTGTGGACAGCATGGAATCAACCCATCCCTGTAACCCGTAAATCCATACATGGGAAATATATAATGACTGCCACGGAGTGCACCCTCCATCTCCTTTCCTAACTTGTCACTCCCCTCTCAATCTTCATCTCTGTAGCCTCCCCCTGCCTCAGTTTCAATTGACAGTGTGGTTCCTTGGCTAGTGAATTGGCATTTTTCGCTAAGTACCTACAGGAATCATACAAGAAAACGACACCATTGTTGTCATAGTACGAGGGCCCAAGGCCGGACTGCCAGACTGTCGCGTTAAACAACCTAATATGTTCATCAGAAATTCTTTTTTTAAATCTAGCCAGGAATCCGAGAGTTTGACGATTTGATTGGCCCATGCCCCAGTTGGTACGGCGATAACCTGTTGGTCGCGTTGTATGTCAACACTACATTGGACTCTCTTTGCAGAATGAACTGGAGGAGCCATCTAAGTCTATCTATTTTGCATAGGCAAACCGGTAGATTGATATAGGCGAACTCCGAAGAGAGAATCAATTTAGCATTTTCTCTCTCTTAACATTCAATCACCCAGCTCCCAGATAGATAATCATGAGCGTTTATATTCCCCCTTCTCTATCATGTCCAATATAGCCTTTTCCGTCACCTTCATCGCCTCAACCCCAGCCGGCACACCGCAGTAGATAGTCGCCTGCAGCACAGCCTCACTAATCTCTTTCTCGGTCAAACCGTTATTTATTGCGCCTCGGGTGTGAATGCCTAATTCCGGCCACGATTTCAATGCAATCAGCATGCCTATATCTGTACGCATTGCAGTAATTAGCGCCATTGGCTCAAGACTGTCTGGGTTGGTAGATGTGCTTACTGAGAAGACTTCTCTGCTTCCTCTCAAGGCCAGGCCTCGTCCAGACATGTCCCCAGCACCATTCCGTCACCAGCTCCTGACTGGGGTACGCAAACTCGCTGGATCCATTCTTTATGGCTCTATCGACGTATTCGTCTCCGACAACCGCGCGGCGGACCTGAAGGCCTTCGGAGAATAGGGTATCGTGTAGAGGCTTGAGTTCCTGATTGTTTGCCATGATAATGAATACAGATGTTTCAGTAATAGAATGAAGAGAGACGAGCGTTGATTCAGGCTCATTGAGCTGTTGCAGGGCTGCCTATAAGTAGTCCCCACGGTCTTCTCCAAATATTACCCCAAGACTTCGGTTCCCCAAGGTTTCGGTTCCCCAATGTTCCCCTCCCAGGCATCTCCAATGCAGCCTTCGGGTTTTGTTTCACGCGGAACTTCCAGGGCCGTGGATGCATGAGGTGTTGATTGGAGCTACAGAACGGGAAACAATAGATATATTTCCTCAGTTGGCATAACCGAGGCAATGGGGCTCTGTGATGCAATGGAGATGATACAAGCCACGCTCATCTAAATTGACCAACGAGCATTGCCTATCATCACAAGTTTCAAGGACCTAAACACAGAGTTCTTCTGTTTGTTAGCATATGAGGCTCAATGATACAAATGCGCCCTGTCCCTCCTATCCACCAGACCAAGTTCCGACCAAGTCTGTCGCATAAATTTGGCCGCTTCACACATCATACTTACGTCCCTTTTAGTTTTCGTTGAATAATTCCTCGAACGAGCAAATACCATGAATTGACAGTTTAAGATACTATCCATAATTTCATTAAGAATGTGCTGAAAGTCAGGCTGGAAACGAAAATTAAACCTTTCCTGTTATCTCATATAATATAAAGGCTTGTCGTAGAATGCAGGGTATACGAACACCCGTTGAAAACATGTGTTGTGAGATGTGCTATACTGTAGGAAACAATCAACCTGCATCCATCTCAACCGGCATGGCACGCAGGAAAGGGATGACGTCACACCTCATTTAGTTAGAGCTATCCTCCCTGAAGCTGTCCTCCCTGGCCGCACTCTCTCTGTACCTAAATTCATATCTTATGATTGACTGAGATCGGAATTGAAATGCAAAAGCCCCCAAGCATTATATAAATTCTATTTCCAGACCTGGCGATCCGCTTTCTGTTTAAATTCCTTCATGATCAGATTTTGGATAGAATGGCTAGCCCACTGTCTTGAGTGCCCTTGACAATCTCGTCATCCCGATAGTTAGGGTTAAAGGTCATCTTGTTCAATGGATTCAGACGATGAGCACGATTGAATAAATCCTCGTACACCCGTCCATCAGAACGACCCAATGCGCTTCATCAGTCAGCAAGCACCTAGGCAGAGGTAAAGAAACGAAAGAAGACTTACCTGTCCAGAAGATAATCAGGTATCATCCAAGCATCAACGAGATTAACCGCGTGAGGCCGAATCTGGGCCATCAGACACTGTATCCTGGCGGGCAAGGCGTCGAGACAGGCTGGGGAGGCTGCACCAAAGCGAAGGACTGGAGCAGCCGTCAGGTCTTCAATCTCGGGTATAGATACAATGTGAAGGCCACTTACAATCGTAGCTCTCAGATTTCATTATCGTCAGGGCTAAAAGACGGAAAAGGTCTAGAAGAACTCCCCTCACTGGCGGTGACATATCGCGACATGAGCTCAAAGAGTCAAAGAAAGTTTTGACTAGGAAGAGTTGGGCATGCGCTGTTAAGGTCAGCAACTTCGGTCAGGGTGACAGCGTACAGATCCCTCAAGTACATGTATGTTCAAAGAGTAGGACATACCCTGGCTGAGGTGGTGGAGCTGAAGTAGAATATCATTCCAGCGCTTTTTCTTGACAACTCTCTCGTTGTATACCTCATAGGCCTAACTTCGTGAGTGGCAGTCCTGGGGCCAAAGATCTACATTGATCAACATACCTGGGAGGTTGCCTTCCACTGAAAGCTGGCGCAGATATCTTCGTCATTTCCCAAGATATCGAAGGTCCTAGCCTCTCCGCGGTGCTTGAGGAAAGTCTTGAACTGTGCATCCATCTCGTCCGTGGACGGGTTGTCCAGCGTCTTAACAGCAAGTGCCATTTTTTTGATTAGGTAAGAGGCGGATTGCTGTGTGATCATCCAGTTATCACCTTCGACCGTGGTTTTTGCCATATAGTCGTTGTTGAGCTGGATGAGACCACTACCTCCACCAAAGCCGTGGCCTCCCATTGAACGTCGACAGACCTCGATGCCATCTGCTGTCATTGCTGTGCATAGGCTCTTCAGTCCTGATGAGAGACTGTGCATATGGGCCAAACCTTGGAAGTTCCCTTGTTCAATCTCTTCGCGTGCTCGATGATAGCTCTCGTACATCGCCCGTCCGGTATAGTGGAGTGCAAATGCGGCAGCCAGAAGCGGTAAAATTCGGACCTGTACCGTCGGGTAATCGAGGACAGAGAGCTCACTACTGTTGGGATCCGGCGAGTCTCGGTCTCGGAACTGTTGTCGGACCGCGGTATAACGGACTGCTACCGTGACAGCCCGGGCTAAGGCCAGCCCCGCATCGTGGACTATATTGGCACGGACGTTTGTCATTGATCCGTACACTGTCATTGGCCTCTCTGGCTTGGTAAAAACCCCTGTGTTTGGATCAAGATGTACATAACGACATAACAAGGCGGAGTGGGGGATTCTGAGAAGCGTAAGTCAGGGTGAACCTGTCCGTGGAGTAATATGCTTCAGCGGAACGATGCGCTCACCGAAAATTGTTAAACAGCATGTATGCATTGTCCATTGTATTGTACCCGTACTTGGCTCCAATGTCTCCAATGATGACACCATCCAAGGGAAGGTGGGTTTTGAGATCCCTAACCTGGACAATGAACGCCTGCGGGCCTTGGGAAACGTAACCGCCGGCGGGCTGCGGTAGAAGCAACCTGGCCATGACGACCGCGTGGTTGGCCATCCGACCGAGGCTACCGTTCCACCACTTACTGGCAGTCAGGGTAGGACTATGAAGCACAAAGCCCCTCTCATTCGGGTCCCAACGAGCCTGGAGCTCTATCCCTTGGACATTACTGCCATGACCAAGCTCCGTCTGCGCGTACGCGCCAATGATATCCCAGCTTTCAATCTTAGGTAGCCACAAAGCCTTCTGCGCATCACTGGCTTGTTCCAAGATGGTTGTGCGGAACATCTGCATGTGAAGGTGGTACGGAGTCGGTTCATCCACAAGGTAGTGGGCCATTTTGTAGTCCTCCAAGCTCCACTGATGGACATCTTGGAGCCGACGGATCAATTTTCCGCGCGCAACTGCCAGTTTGAAGCGATCGATGCGCGACAACTGCGGTTGTTGTGATTTGCTGAAAAGAGGCTCCTCCAAAAGGATAGCAAGCACCCGAGATTGCCGCGCAAGGAACCCATTATGAGCATAGAGATGGTTCCCTATTTCTGCCACGCTAACTTGGGAGTTTGTTCTTTCTTTCTGCAAGATGCTGGGGCCGTTTGGCTCACTGGGGCGCAGATTATCGGGAAAGGTGGTCATGATGCCGATTGAAGTGAAGAGGTTGCCTTAGAAAAAGGTCGGTGAAGAATTCATTCAAAATCCTCCCACAATATGGCACAAAACGAGGAACACTTCAAAAGTCATTGGTATGGGAGCTCCAGGGGTTAGCAGTTCTTGAGGACTTATAAGAATCAACTGTTACACGTCGTCTGATTCTATTTTGGGGAATAATCTGGCCGAGGTTGGGGAAAGGCGTTGGGGAAAACCCGGGGTTCGGGAACGGCCTTGCATTGGGGAAATGATATTGAAAAAGGCGGCTTCATAAGCTTGCTTCGAGCTCGTTTCGATAATTTTTAGTCAGAGGTCGAGCTCAGACTGAAGCGAAGAAAAGTGACAACCTTCCTAACTCGATTTGCGGCAACAATGGCAATGTCTGGAGACAGAACATCCTTTGTTCCTCCCCACCGTGGAGATAACGTGCTTCCGAATACACCACTTTTCCATAGACTTTTACGACTGGCCAGCCGCTCCCCTCCCCCAATTGCGATACGGGACATCCGTGGTGGCATAGAGAAAACCTACCTGCAGCTACTGTCGGATGTGTTGAGTGTACGCAAAGGACTGCTTGAATTACTGGATGTCAAGATCCGGCACCAACTTGAGGAAGACACTGAAACATACATCGCCCTCATAGCGCCTGGATCCTACGCGTACACAGTTGGGTTCTTTGCGATCTTAGCCGCTGGCGCAGCCGTGGTTCCAATTGGTCCGTACCTTTCACCATATCACAGATGAATCAGACTAACGCGGGATAACAAAATAAAGCCGTGAAGTTACCAGCGGCGGAAACATCCTACTACCTACGCAAGGCGAGATGTGTTGCCATTCTGGCATCGAATGATACCTCGAACCTGGCCTCGCCAACGGCTAAAATTCCCCTCCCTGGACCCGAGTCTCAAATTCCGCAGCTGTCGATCACCACAAGGCTAAATTCGTCCGATTTCATCACCCAGGATATCGTGCTCTCTGCAGGCCAATTTTCAAATCCCAACCAAGCAGGCTTGGTCATTTTCACTTCTGGTACTACGGGTCCCCCAAAGGGCGTGGTCCAGCGACGTGGTCAGCTCTTGGAGAACGCAGAATTGGTAGCAGATCATTATCGAATCACTGATCAAGATGTGGTGCAGCACATGCTCCCTGTCCACCACGCTACCGGTATCGGCATTACTCAGCTTCCGTTTCTGGTCTCTGGCGCATGTGTTGAGTTCCGCAGCAGTAGTTTCGATGCCGCTTGGACATGGGAGCGATGGCGTCAAGGCGGCCTTACAGTATTCTCCGGCGTCCCCACGTTATACTCACGACTAAAGCAGCATTTCGAAGATGTAATTGCCCTCCTACCTCCCCAGGAGCAAGCGAGCTATATCCAGGGGGCACGAAAGCTCCGTATCCTCCTCTGTGGGACGTCTGCACTACCCGGTCCCGTGCAGCAATTTTGGACGGAACTAATGGGTGGAAGGCCTGTTCTGACTCGGTATGGTGCAACTGAAATCGGGTCAATCTTCAAGGTGGATCTTAATCCGGTGGGTACACCCGCAAATAGTGTCGGGCGGCTCGAGCCTGGTGTATCAGCCAAGATCTCTGGCGAGGGCCTCTTGATGGTGAAAGGGCCATACATGTTCTCCAAGTACATCTACCTGTTCCGATGCTACATTTCTTGACTTGGTCTGACGGTAAGATAGATACCTCTTCGACGAAAAAGAAACGGCCACCTCACATGATCCTGAGGGCTTCTTCCAAACCGGGGACGTGGTCCGAAAGGAGGGCCCATACTACACGATTTTAGGTCGTGCATCGGTGGATATTATCAAGTCTGGTGGCTACAAAATATCTGCCCTCGACATCGAGCGAGAGATACTGGGTTTAGAGTATATCTCCGAGGTAATGGTAGTGGGGGTTCCAGATGAGGAATTTGGAGAGAGGGTGGCTGCTGTCGTCTGCCTATCCGCCAAGCACCGCGACAAGAGACTGACCTTGGATACATTGCGGGCCGATCTTCGCAGTCATTTGGCAGGGTACAAGATGCCAACGCTGTTGCGTATCCTCAGCGAAGAGCTCCCCAAATCGGCCACGGGCAAGGTGCAAAAGAAGATTCTAGGGCCACGGTTCTTTCACAAGGACTATCACAGTGATCCGGAGGTCCAAATGTGGAGAAAGAGCTCGAGGGCCCGGATTTAAGGTGGCCATCGTGCCAAGCGCCTCACACCATAAACCTATAGCAGATTCAATTTTTACACACGTTTAACTAAGAAACCCACTATTTACAGGTAATAACCACTAGTATTTCGTAAATTCAACGTAGCATTCTTTTAGTGTTGTGGTTTCTGGATTAAAAACTTGCTCGCTGACGGTGGCTGCCGCGCTGATATAAATAACTCCCGTGTGAGCATTTACTACTTGGGGTTGTAGAAGTCAAGTTCTTTTTCCACGGATGGTGGAAAGGCTGGATCTTCAAGGTTTGGTTACGCTGCACTGGTTTTCAAACACCCGGCACAGCTCCTTAACACTATTCATAGCCGATTGTGCGGCGAAGGCACCGTAACTCGTTATTCGTCAAGACTTTCTCAAACAACCATGGTGCTCTAGGCCAGATCTCGATCACCTTATGTCCCAAAGAGTCGCCGCAAATAGCAGACTCCAGGAAGTGAGCGACCGTCTCAGCGATCATATAAATCTTTCCCATCCTTTTCAGTGCTTTCAAGCAGCAATGGAAGGAACGAAACCCGGCTGTCCACAGATCCGTATTTCCAGATCGAATATTAAGGACATGGATAGTAACCACTGGTAGTAGCAAGGCCACTGCCGTAGTTGGTAGATAATGAATTGAGTCGGTGCTGTCCAGACTCTCGGTGATATTTGTGATACCTTGGATGGTATCCTGGGTCTGGACGTCGGCAACGTCCAGTAGGAGCGCCCTTTTCGAAATTATCTCCCCACGTTTGGGCCGTTGAAGGCGGCACAGGAGACATTTTGCTGCCAGAAAGAGGATTCGTAGCCATGCTTGGTATGCCAAGAGGGAACTCTCCGCCTCTGAGATCTCTAGATATGTCGGTGGTTGGTATTGAACTCCTATCGGAAGGGCCGCATTCCAGCTATCCAATTTCATATCACATGCTTGAAGTTGGTCGCAATCGGCCAACATGGTCGAGCAATCCACCGCAATTACGTGGCTGATGATGGTACAGAATTTCGTCTTCTCGATAAAGATCTGCGACCACTGTTTTTGATAGTGCGTGCTTCGAGCCATTTTGAAGCCGAGATGATTGGTAACGTCTGTCCCCGAGCGGATAGGATCGAGAAACTCAAAGTCATTTAGTGTGAGTAATGACAAATTTTGAACGTCGCCCCTGATCATCGGGAGCTGTCGCAAGGTGAATGCAACTAGTTGGTCACGCGTGTATAGGCACCACCATAGCCGTCTACGCAAGCGTTGCATTGCCGGTGTCAGTGTCGGATCCGGTTCGCAGTTCAGACCAATTGTAATCGCGCAAGATAGTCCAATCTCAAGCCAATAGCGGGCGTCTTTCGGGTCGTCGGGGGCTTCGTGCCAGTATGTGAGAAGCAATGCTACCTGAATCAAGACAATCCGGTCTGTCTCAATATCGAAGTTATATAGGATCTGCGATAGAATGATGAGATGAGGTTGAGGTAAGAGGGATTTATTTGGGTACCTTCGCCTTCTCATAGAACCCCTGTCGGTGTTGTTTTCGTGACACAAGCCAGTCGGAGTTCCGGTTCCCGGGCTCGATGAAAGCAGCACTCGAGAACATGACCGCGTGAAACAACAATAGACTGACTTTGCCACGCCTGCCATTGCTTTCAATAGCATCGATAAATGGACTGATATCCAACAAAGGCATATAAGGATGAACGTTACGCACAAATGTCACAAGCAGCTCATTGCGAAGGGCCACGTCCGGGATATCGAACACACCTTTCCGCACCAAGTAAGCAATGTCTTCTGGTGGAGTCAAATCTGGAATTTCTGTGATGTAGGCTGGAAGCAGAGAAGAACACCGCACAGGCTCCAGGATCTTCGTCCCCAGTATCTGTTCGGTTGTAGTGATGATGTTGTCCAAAGGCCTCATCCAAGGGACAGGATATGGAAAAGGAGCTTGGAAGGTGACCTGGGCATCGTAAATTTCACCGCTATCTTGTCACTGTTAATTATGGAAAAGCCTTTGCGCTGGGGCCTCATTGGGCCTCATTTCAAACATTACACGTACCTCCAAACATCGACCAATAATCTTTAGAAACAATGTCCTGGGTGGTCGTCTCTGTGGCTCTTTTATTTAGTGTCAAAATTGTACATTCCGTTCCCCGTCGACGGACCACAAATGGTTGTCCACTTACTGGATGATTTTGTCCACTGGTGGACATTGAATGCCCCATTCTTGACATGTACGGCAATAGTGTTCCGGGGCACTAACCCCACAACAAATGTTGTTGGCCAAGCAATAGCCGCATTCGTGGAGAAGACCCATGATTCTAATGGTATCCGTCTGCATGTGAAGCCTTGGAGTGTTTGATCCAATGTGAAGCCGGGAAGGGAAAGAGAAAACAACGCTGGAAGACGAGGGACCGTCCACCCCAATTCGCTTACCCCCGACCTTCATTCCCCGCGATCCTCTTCCCCACACTATGTGGGCCTTTGGGGAAATTTATTTCTTTTCTTTTTTCGATTTTTTTATTTTACTTTCTTGTGTTGAGATTGATTATTTACAACCCCAAGGCCAAACTCAATTTGATGGGTGGGAAGGCCATGGTATCCAAATTGTGTTCCGGTAGTGAATGGGCATCTACTTATAGATCTCTCTAAAGCACAACCATGGCGAAGTTTAGTCTAACCCGAGAAACGTCACTCGATGATATATCCTGGTTCACTTTGGGGAGGACTAGGGACCATCACTGCCTAATACACAAACTACCATTCTAGCAAGGATCAGTATATATAAATCACACGCCATCACCCTCGCCAACAGTCAGATTGCCGCTCAGAGTGGAACCGAGAATCTTCAAGGATTCCACCCTGTACACTCAAGAGGTCTAGCCAAACCTAGAACATAGAACCGAATAAGATAAAAGAAATGCTGCGCTGTATTCCGCATGGTTTGTCCCCTCGGGACGGCTCGGTGTTTCCCCAATCTTACCTCGCCACCACGTCAGCGAGCTATACGTTATCCACTGCTACCGCCAAGCCTTAGGCCATATAAATATCTATATCTGAGCCACTCTAAGAAGCGGGGTACGCACAACTACAAAATTGTTATTTTATATCTTTGCCTTGGTTCATTGCTGTGATATGTCGGACGAAACAACCACGAGTCACCATGCTGTGGCCGTGGAAGACCAGAAGGAACCCAAGTGCGTTCATCGGGAGAGCGTCCCTAGAATCGTCACCATAGAGAACATCCGTGTTCTTGGGTTGGATCCAGCCGATGAGGATTTCTACATGAACTTTTCCGCAGAGCGCAGGAAACGAATCACACGAAAGGTTCGATTTTGGGGTGCGCATAAATCCCAGTAGCGATTGTTGGCTGACTCATTAGATTGATATTCGCTTGATCCCCATGCTGGCTTTGCTGTACCTTCTATCTCACATCGACCGAGCGAATATCGGCAATGCGAAGATCGAAGGGCTGTTGGAAGATCTCAGGCTGGATGGAATTCAGTGGAATGTGGCACTCAGTGTCTTCTTCATCCCATACATCTTACTGGGTATGTCTGATGTTCCTTGCCTGTCGAGCCAAGGACTAATCAACTCAGAGATCCCAAGCAATATGTTGCTCAAGCGCCTCCAGCGACCCAGTGTCTATCTAGGGATCCTGATTGTCACCTGGGGTATTGTGATGACGTTAACTGGTGTCGTGCGGAACTTCGCCGGCTTAATGGTTACCCGAATCCTTCTTGGAGTCTTTGAGTGCGTTATGAATCCCAACTATATAGCGGGACAGCAAAAGCTAGGACATACCCCATACGCGAGCATACTACCTAGGATATCGGGTCTACATTGCCTACTTTTGTTCGATAGATGCTAGCACCTCGAATATTCTAGGTTTGACTTGCCGTCCTGTGGAGATGTCCAATCCTTTGCTATGTCCCGATAACGATGGAGATTTCTATACTGACAGACTTTGCCAATTGAACAGATCCGGATTTTTCCCTGGTGCAGTTTACTTATGCTCCTTTTGGTACATGCCACAACAACTCTCCACCCGATTAGCCTGTTTTTATTGTGCAAGTGCACTTTCAGGTGCCTTCTCAGGCTTACTGGCTGCTGGGATTGTGAAAATGGACGGTGTGGGCGGATATGAGGGCTGGCGGTGGATCTTCGTGCTCGAAGGACTTGCAACCGTTGTGGTAGGCGTTGCCTCATTCTTCCTCCTTATTGATACGCCAGCATTGTCGTTGAGATGGCTGGACGCGGATGAGATCAGATACCTTGAACTGCAGCTGTTTATCAAGGACGGTGGTGCGTTTGAAGAGACGGACCAAGAGATTGTCAATAAAAAGCATCGACTGAAGGACCTGTTTGCCGTTCTCACGAATTGGAAGATGTATTGCTTTGGGTACATTCTCCTATGTCAGACGGCTTGCTCATACGGTTCGTCGTGACCTTCGCGAAGTTCATAGGATACTAGCATATAGGATGATACTGACAAAATCCCCAGGCACGAAATTTACACTTCCCACGATAACCAAGGCTATGGGGTTCAGCAATACCAACGCACAATTTATGACGGTGCCTCCTTACGTCGTCGGCGCCATCTCCGCCGTGTGCTTTTCCCTTCTTTCCGACCGCTTTCACTGGCGCATGCCGTTTGTCGTGGCCCCCCTTGCTATGGTCACAACCGGATATAGTATCATTCTGTCTCTCGATGGAAAGCTTGGTGAAAATACCGGCGTGGCCCTCTTCTCGATCATCTTCGTCTGCATGGGACTCTACCCCACCCACCCAGCGACATCGGCGTGGTCGTCGAGCAATCTGCCAACGTCAAGCCAACGGTCAATCGGACTGGCTTTCAACATATGCGTCGGAAATATTGGAGGCATCGTTGGTAGCTTTATGTATATTGATGAGGAGGGTCCGGCGTATCATACAGGATTTGGCTTGTCTGTCGCTCTGGCCGGTACAAGCTTAATCGTGGCTTTGGTGTTGGATTTGCATTATTATCTACAGAACAAGAAGAGAGCAAGTATGTCGGAAGATGATATCAAGGAGCGGTATTCGGGTTCCGAGCTGATGGCTATGGGTGACAAATCACCGCTGTTTATATATACGCTTTGAAGGCTTCCTATATTGTTTTCTAGCCACAAACATGAGGAACAGGATATTGCCTAAATGTTTACATTTGGAAGCCAAAAGTGGCAAAAACAAGAGAAGCTTTGGAATGTGCATCATCAACTAGATTCTTTCCAAATTTGCCCTCGGCGTGATCATATGTAGTCTTAACCCCCAATGTCTGTCGACTCCGCTAATTGTAGAAGAACACGCCTTACTAGATCCACAATCTTCCACGTTCGTGCACTTTGGAGGATAGTTGCCCATGCAAGAGCTACCTTGCCGGCTAAAAACTTAGGTGCATTATGAAAACCAGCAAGATTTCCGTTGGGCAAACATTTCTCAACCTCCAGCAAGACCTCTTTTATCCCGACAAGAACATCGTGTTCATCGGAATCCAGCGGTGAAGTCAACTCATGTGCAGCGGTAAGACGTAGGAATTCGGTCAATATATACGCGTATTCTAGTGAACAGATAGCATGGACCACGGACCAGTTGCGTTCCTGGCCAATGAGGAAGATCCCTTGTTCCAAGGGGGCGAGAAGTGCAGCCATCTGAGAAGTCGAGTTAGCTTTTTTTATGTACCTCAAAGTAAAATTTGGGTGCGGAGACTAAAAATGTAGAAGACACTTAATGACATGAGAAAGGGGGAGTTTGGAAAAGGGGGAGCAGACCGCTTGCCGGGCGGCCATTGTCAGTAAAGGGTTCCTGGATAGAGGAGGAAGACTTTTCAGACGACCAATAATTATTGTTTCATCCTGTTCGATCAAGGAGCGAGCGGGGCCAATGTTGACGAGTAGTCGGATATATGCGAGGCGATACAAAGCCTAGAGTGAATTAGCTAGCTTCGTGGCTTAGCCAGACGGACCAGCCCCTTCTCACCACCGAGTTGCTGACAATCGGCCCACTTTGGACGAGAGGATCGAGTGACGATTCTGTATCTTGCTCACAGCTGGACCTCCACCGCTTCAGGGCTCGTTGAACTGAGAGGAGTTGCTCCACGGAGCCCTGGCCTCGGAGATCATTCACCTGCGTGACTTGATGCAGGTAGAAAATGTGTTGCAAAATTGCATGGATCATGATGTGGCTTCCTAGAGTGGAGCAAGAGGGAACATCTCCATCTGACTGAAATAGAAGCTCGAAGTGATCATGGAACATAAGAGGTCTTTCGGACTCTCGATGAATCATTTCCCAGCTCTCAGCATTCAGTGCTTGCCATTCCGCTGCTTGACAGGGTAGTTGGAGACGGATATCTGCGAGAAGCGTTGCTGATGGCACGTTTGTAGATATGGCACGCAGGCCAAAAATGCAAAAGATCGCCAGCTTCGTGCGCCTGGCACTCTCGTGGCGGATCCAACTCTCCCACGAGCATAGACTACAGGCTCTTTCCGATAACCCTTGCTGTTGCATTAGCAGAGCAAGAAGACTTTGGATGGTTGCGATATCCCTTGAGCGCCCTTGGTTTACCTCGCCCCACGATGCCACGACCATAAGATAAAAGAGGGCCTGCATGGTTTCAATCAAAGCATAGGCATGACATTCCTGGCACGCCCCGAGCTGCAGTCTGTGGTTTTGAGAGAGGAAGGAAAACCGGTCCCCCGGCACTTGATCTTCCGAGGCCTGCACTGGCGGTGCCCACCCTAATTGGGCACTATCGTACCCAATTTGACGGCGATCGACTTTCTCCAAAATAACGTCCCGAGTAAGATCGAACATCCTCTTAGCCTCACGAGACTCCAGACAATACTGGCAGCCGACGGTGGCCATTGCTAGAGTCAGTTCGGGCGCCATATCTCTGATCGATAAGGTCTGCGAGTGGACGATTGGGTAATGTGGATGGAATTCATTCAAGAACCTGTACAGGTAGCGTGACAGTGCACTTCGCGAAGGCAGCTCATACCTGACATTACTTGGATGCCGAGGAACATAAACTTCAGATAGTTGGCCAGACAGCCAGAGCCAATCCTCATCGCTAATCTTCGGAAATGTCGCTGTATACGCATCATTATAATGGGCTTCGGCTTGCGGTGACCACATGCGCGACATCCTGTCTGCAAGACTAAATGGTCGGTCTTGGCGTACATAGTTTCTGTCCCATGTTGTATTCCACTCTGTAGTTGGGGATGCGCGCGGAGGTGGTGCGGGCCTGTTTGGCTCTCTCTCCGATGTGGTGGTGTTGGGATCCCGCTCGAATGATGGCAAATGGGGCGAAAGGAACAAGGCTGGGTTGTTGGCAAAATCAAGTCTTGACTCCTGACCAACATAAGTGTTTCCATCAATAGACTCTGAAGGGCTATCGTCCACACTTGCCGGCGGTAACGGGTCGTAGCTTGTCCTCTGCTCTGTCCGCTGCCCTGTTCGTTCAGCGATAGAAACTGGAGCTCGCGTATCCTCAGTCTCATGCAAATATACTATGGGGGGGGGTTTCAGCTATCTTATCCCAGACAGCCATCATGGGTCTAAGGGTATCTTACCGTTTTCATGGACCAATGGTACTGTAGATTTCAAACGTGGTCCGGTGTGAGCGGTCAAACCGTTGTGGGAGATATTACGGTGCCGTCTCAGCAGGTCCCTAGATAGAATGTCAGGATCGACGATGTACAAGTATGCCGCGGAAAATTGGTAGCTTCGGATCTAGTACTTTCGACGGCAGGCATAGGTGCATAACGTGCAACGATAAGGCTTATGTCCGTAGTCTAGCGCGTATTAGAGGCTTTGCATTATGAACATTATTAGCATCGGAGTTACTTACGGATATTTTTATGTCGTTGCAAATGCTCTTTTCTGCTAAATTGGTGTTGGCAGATACTGCAAGCGAATCGTTTGTCTCTTCCAGTAGTGGGGTGCCCCCCTACATCTACCGCTCGAGGAGCATCCGTTTCATCTGGGAAACTTGGCGAAACAGCAGTCATTTGGAACAGAAACCACTGGGGAAAGAAACAGGAGAGAGGGAAACCTAATGAACCTCAAAACTGGGAGAAGGGTCAGTTCCCCCCGCATGATAACACTGATCCGCCTCGGCTATTCATTGGATTTCATTTGCCAGTTGCGGGGCAACTAGCGCGTCACCGCTCGTGGACATAGTTCTTATAGACACTCAGTATAGTACGAAAATAAGCATACTTGGTACCCCTCGTCTACACACGAAAGATCCAGATCTGGTCCATTGTTTATATTTTGTGCGACCACTAATTATGCATACTTGCGACAGAACTTTAACACGGTTCTATACCCCTGCTCGTACTTCCTGCGAACTTCAATATCCTGCAAATCTGACCTGGCAGCCATCCAACCGTGGATCTGTGTGGGGAAAGTCTCTACATAATTGGGCACCCGCAGATTGTTGCAAAAAGACTCCACGTCCTTCACGCTCTCGTCCTTCGAAGCGAGAACAGCCATCGGGACAGTAACTGAGCTTGCATCTTCTACGGCAAGCATGGCTGGATGGCACTGGATGGCAGCCTTAAATAGACTTCCTTGGCCGGAGGCCAGACAAGCCATCTTTCCTCCCCAACAGTATCCCAGGATAGACCAAGAGTCGAATTGTCCGCTCGTGGCCAGTTTATTGGCCGCAGCCACAATTCCTGGTAACCTCGACAAAACTTTGTCTGGAACGGCCTTCGTTCGGAAGAAATTGTCAAGATTCTGCTCGTGCGCAATGCATGTTGGTGGGAACCAGGCGATATCGGCTGGTTCGTCCTCGAAAAAAGTCGGGCATGAACACACGGTATTTCTGCTTGTCTCCAACCGATAAGATATCACTGCCTTGGATTGTCTGCTCAAAGAACCCGAAGATATCTGCCAAGAATTAGGATGAAACAGAGCCACATGGTGATATACCACCAGAAGTGCTTGCATACCGTAGATAACCAAGATTGCCTTGGTAGCAGACTGGGGACCAGTGACATCTTTAAAGGTCAGCAAATGCGTGTCCGCCGTCAACGGGCAGTATCTAGGTGCTCACATGTCTTTAAGCCATCTATAGACCTGAATTCCCCTTTGGCGTGGTATGCCGTTGGGATAACGGGAGGAATGCTGATGCGGTCAGTACGAATTGCACTCCAATCGAGCAAGAAACCATTGACCTACGAGCAGCACGCAGCACTAGTGGGAGACATCATGGGCCGGTCAATTAAGCCCAATAAGCAAATTCAAGAAAAGGGGTGGATTTAAAAGCTCAAACCTGGCAGTATGACAAGACAGTACGTGGCCTTCCAATATATACTCGTTGACTTCCGGTCTGGGTGAAGAAGAGCCAAACGTAAGCTATCATAGAAGCAATGTCAGCTTTTCCCCAAGAGTGGGTCGCCTCGGTTTGGAATACCGCAGGTATTTCGCCCCTGCGGGGATTTTACCCCAAAGCCAAGTCTCAAAGGGAACAAAAGGAACAAAAGGGAGTAACGGGGCTGGACCTTTCCCGCAACCCCGCTGCCGACGGGAAATTACCCCAAATATTTTGAGCCGAAAGGTCTCGTTTCTATGTGTTGAAACGTGAAGCGCATCCATAAACCCAATTCATTTTCAATAGCCTCGGGCCTCTATTACATACTTGGAGAAAGTACCTAAGACAAAAATACTTTCCCTGCAATATCAACTATAAATACGATTCGTTGCACATCTATATTTGGATCAACGGCCCAAGTTGCATTGAATCAGTCTCACCAAATATGAGTTCCAGCAATCAAACTTTCGTCCTGGGGGTGGGCATGACCCAGTTCCTTTCCCCGCGTGGGACAAGAAACTACCCTGAGCTGGGTTTCGAAGCAGGTGTTAAGGCTATGCTCGACGCGCAGATCACTTACGATGATGTCGAGACTGGGATCGCCTGTTACTGCCATGGGGACTCCTGCTACGGCCAGCGCATCTTTTACCAGTTCGGGTTGACATCCATTCCCATTTTCAATACGAACAATGCGTGCGCCACTGGTTCCACGGGGCTTTTTCTCGCCCGAACACTGATTCAACGCGGGGCTGCCGACTGCGTTTTGGTCGTTGGTTTCGAACAGATGCGGCCCGGTTCGATCAAGAGTGTCTGGGATGACCGCCCCCACCCTGTTGCACCCTTACAATCGATCATGGAGAAGGAATTTGGAAAGCATTCCAGTCCACGGAATGCCCAATTTTTCGGCAACGCTGGAACCGAGTATATGAGAAGGTTTGAAGATATATTCCATTTTGATCATGTGGCATGGTTGGCTAATATCTAGCGTAGATACGGTGCCCAAAATGAAGACTTTGCTGAAATCGCACGCGTCTCGCATGAACACTCTACTCGCAATCCATATGCTCAGTTCCGCACGGAATATTCATTGGAGGGGATCATGAACTCCAAACATATCCATGGTCCATTGACAAAACTGCAGTGCAGTCCCACAAGTGATGGCGCTGCGGCAGCGGTGCTTGTTTCAGAGAAGTTTCTCGAAGCTCGACCTCATTTGAAGTCGCAAGCAATTTTAATGGCCGGCCAGGCAATGCAGACCGACCCAGTCTCCACATACTCCGGCAGTGCCATGGACCTTGTGGGCTTTCAGATGACGCAAAGGGCAGTCAAAGCCGCCCTGGAAGAAGCACGTCTGACGCCCCAAGATGTCAAGGTGTGCGAGCTTCACGACTGCTTTTCCGCCAACGAGATGATCCTTCTAGACGCATTAGGTTTCAGTGGCACCGGAAAGGCGCATGAAATGGTCCGTCGTGGAGACATCACCTACGGTGGTAAAGGGCCTGTGATCAATCCATCAGGAGGGTTGATCTCAAAGGGCCACCCCCTGGGGGCAACTGGGCTGGCGCAGTGTACGGAGCTGGTATGGCAGTTGCGCGGCTGGGCGAACAATCGTCTGGTTGACGGAGCTGATGTTGCCCTGCAACACAATCTGGGACTTGGTGGGGCTGTTATTGTGACCGTATATAAACGAATGGATGGAGGAAAGGCTGAACGGATTTCCGATGAAGAGGTCAAGAGAATGTCTCCCCTAACGGGTTACAACCCAGCAGTGGAAGCGAGATACATCACTCCTGAACAGAGCGATCGGGTCCGCAGCAGGGTGAACCGTGATGACCATGTTTTAGCAAACACCGCTGCACCGCTCACCGCTCGGATTTGACGTGTTTAAGCACGTTGGCCTTGCGCCGAGTAAATATATATGGCTATAAGATCAAAAGTCCGATCTTGAAATGTATAACCCATGGCTAAAACAGTAATCATTTCCAAAAGAAAATTAAGGTAAAGTCTTTAAATGTTCGGAGCCTAGTTTGGTAGCTATCCCTTACTTCGAAGGCCCCAAAATCTCACCATGGTTTAAAGGATGAAACGGGCGAATGCCCTGGTCAACTCTGTACCTTGTATAATCTCAGCTATATGCTAACCGATCTATTCTAATTTACACGTGGTTTATTGCATGAAGAGTTAGGCTTTGCTTTCCGGTCTATCAATTCCCTACAAGTCAGCGGTGCCAATGCATAAGCCAGAAAGCACATGTACTCTTCCGTCGACGTCTGAATTTACTTACTTGTTGTTTCTTTTTCTTCGTTTTTGACTTGTTGTCGTACGGTTTTGGTGTAAGATTTCCTGATGACGAGTCCTTCTGCCACAGATAATGAAATAGCTCCATCGGCAGCTCACGCATGGCTCGCAAAGATGATAAGAGTAGATTCATTGTATACTCAAAATGTGTGGCTCCCGATTTATTGATCATCCCCTTTTTGCTAGTATAAGTCTTATATGAGACATCTCGGCAGGCGTACGGGCTTACCTTGGCCAATCTGCAGATTTTTGCAAAGCTAGGATGCCCCGCGGTCATCATGATAAGTTGAACAATTTCGAAGCCACATCATCTATGGAGTATGCGGCCGCCCATATCTCTGTGGATTTTATCAGAACGTTTGCCGGCGCGAGTAGTGGAGTCGCCTCCAGCATAGTGACATGCCCTCTGGATGTTATTAAAATAAGGTTGCAAGCTCAAGGTGGTTTACGGCGAGAAAAAACTTCCTCTCGACTTCCGTACGCGAATCACGGTTTACTCGGCGTCGGCCAAGAGGTATGGCTCGAGAAAGGATTGAAAGGAATGTACCAACGCTTAGGGCCAAGTGTGCTCGTTTACTTACCCAGGTGGGCTATTTTCTTCGCAACTTACTATCGAAGCCATGAAGTATTCGGTGTGTGGTTTGGTAAGTTCATTTGGTTTTAGCCAAAGGCACCGTATTAATATATGATGCAGACGTTAATAGCCCGTGGACGATCTCGTTTATGTCATCGCTAACCGAGGGCACTTTCTCCATCGCTGCCACCAACCCAATTTTAGTTATTAAAACTAGACTCATGTCGCAGACCAGCATCTCCAATCTCACGTATGCGAGACCGGATTGGCAGTACAATGCAGCGTTCGACGCAGCTCGGCAAATCTTCTTAAAGGAGGTTATTTTAGCTTTCTACTCCAGTTTGATACCAGCCCTACTTGGGATATCGCATCTTGCAATCCAGTTTCCTCTGTACGAGCAACTGAAGAGGAGATTCACGGGATCGGGACTCGGGGAAGGAGATAAAAAGTCTAGCTATAATACCTTGGGAGTTCAAACGGCAGCCTCCCTCAGCAAGATAGTTGCCAGCTCGGCGACGTATCCTCATGAAGTCATTCGAACACGGCTTCACATGCAGCAAAGTCTCAGGTCTACGACACCATTGGGCTTGTTGGACAGGATAAATAGGGAAGATTGGAGATCGTTCGCATGTATAACATAGTTGTTGAATGCTAACCCGCCCATCATTTCCTGTAATAAGTGAATGGAACATTCCAAAAGCAGTAGCAAAATCTCGTGAGATAGTTGGTCTATGATAGAAATACAAACGCCAAACTTGGTCGGGGTATAGATGAGACCGAGGAATGACATCACCCAGAACATGTTTTCGTCGCGTCGCGTACAGCACCACCTCTACTCCAGTTCCGCTTAATCCTCCACCACATATAGAACCTTCTATGGTACCTTTCAATATGATTCAATACTTGCAACCGAACTAAGTCAAAAATGGATTAATGTGTTTTGAGTAATTTCCATTTATTTTCTGGAGTTATGGTTAAATCGACACGTTTTTTTTTTCATAGTTAGGTTCATGATCTAACTACTTTAATCGTGATAATTAACTAACAACACGTATCAAATTACGTAACGGAAATTATTCTGTTGATCACTCCCACCAGATCTTATATTACTTAAGAAGCCAATAACTAACTATAACCAACTGAAACCCCGCCGCAGACATCTTCCCTTCTCAATACTCTTCCTACCTGAAAATAAAGAAACAAGATGGACCCCGCAGCCCAACACTTCCTCGAGTCCGTTAACTGGGCCTCACTCCACCACGCATATGGCGAAGCAACCGACGTGCCCGACAACCTGCGTGCCTTGCTATCGCCAAACAAATCAGACCGCTCAGATGCATACGAGGCCCTCTACTCAAACATTTTCCATCAAGCAACCCGCTACCAAGCAACTGCATATTCTGCTCCATATCTACTCAAAATTCTAGAGAACCCGGCGACACCGGCCCGGGCCTCCGTGATTAACTACCTGGTTGATCTAGCTCTGGGTATTCCGTCAACATTCCTACCTCAGGGCGTGGACATTGTCGCATGGCGTCAGCAGGCAGAGAAGATATATGTTCCCGGGTATGAAGCGGAGTATTACGCTGAACAGGATGAGTTAGTGAGCGAGGCAAGAAACGAAAACCAGCGGAAAATGCGTGAGTATGTCCATCATGTTGGGTTAGAGCGACAGCGCAGAGACGCAAAATATGAGTTAGCGGCGTATGATGCTGTTTATGCGGGTGTACCACTTTTTCAGAAGCTTTTGGAGGAGGAGGATGTGGAGGTTAGGGCTTTTGCAGCTTATGCGCTGGCTTGGTTTCCTGGGGAGGGGGCAGGTGGAAGAAATAGGAGTAGCGCTGGTGCTCTGCAGCGGGTGCTTGACCGGGAAGACGAAGATATTATGGTTCTTGCCAGTGCCATTATTGCGTTAGGCCAGCTGAATGGATGTTGGAAAGATGCTGGTGTTGTTTCTGAGGGGATGGACGATCTCATCAGCCGTCTTCGCGAGTATGGAGCTAGCACGCGTCCTTCACTGCTTCGGTTCGCTGCTGCGGTATCTCTTATTCGACTACTGCATCACAGGCCAGAGGATGTCTCCGTCCTGGCCTACGTTTTAGCCGATCGCTCGTTCATCCCTAAAAGTGATGCTCAGAAGTCCAATGATCTCGGGTTTCCCTTCCATGAGGGAGACCTGTTCCAGTACAGCGGCAAGGTGTTGATTACATTGAACCTGGGGGATTATCCTGGAGTCATGTCCACCTTGTTGGACGCATTCCCGCGTTCAGGAAGGGTGGAAGCTTTCGAACTTGCGGAAGTTGTGTTGGAGCTGGCCTTTGGTCCTAGGCCTGAGGATGAGGATGGACGGCCGGTTGAGTCTTTGAATGAGATTCAGCGGCGAGCGGTCACCGCTTTAGCCGAGCTGGCAATGAAATACTGGCGGGGCGCGGTTTTGGGGGATATTCTTGAAGAGTGGAATATTCCGGGTGGGAGTCGCGATGAGTGTAGGAAATACATTGGGCTACCAGTTGGCGGTATGGGCGAAGGGTCTGATGGGGAGCCTGATGAAGAGTCTAAATAATACAAAATTGCCTGAAGACATATAAGATACCTCGGGGCTATCTTGGAGTACGGTTGGGGGCAGACTCTACTATAGTTTAGACTTCGGCACAACCCACTCTAACCCGGACCCAACCCAACCCAACCCAACCCAAAATGGGTTTTGGGTCCATTGCTTCGACCCAACGATGGGTTTTGGGTTATGAGCTATAACCCATTGGGGCCCTAATATAGTGTAAACTGGACAAACAGACTTCTAGCGTGTAAGTGTATAATTTATGCATTTTTTGCTTATAATATTGAGTATTTTGCTTACAGCGCTCTTCGAGAATAAATTGAGAATGAATTAAATAATTGAATCAGGATGTATTTCTCTAATATTACTTAGAATCCTCATCTGCTCTGCTCTTACGCTTCCTCCCTAGACCTCGCTTTGGGTCGGGTTCGGGTCCAACTTCAAGACCCGTACCCACGGGTCGGGTTCATACCCACGACCCAAAACCCATGCCCGAAACCCGTGGGTTCTTGGCGGGTACCCGCGGGTTACCCGCCAAGAACCCATTTTAGCATAAATATCCTAATTAGTCCATGCTAATATACACAAAACTGCTGATTAACCACGATAAAATACAGTTATTCATGTGTGTATTAGTGTCGTTGTTTATAATGTTAAATAATATGGTTTCTTTATATGAATGATGAGGTTAGTATTTAGATCCTTATTAGAAAGTCATATTTAATAGGAATAACTAGGAATATAGAAGTGTGGTGGCATATAGACGGAGAGAAGGGTTTAACTTAGTATTATGAGGAACAAGTAGAAATATATATTTCGATTAAGGGTATATGCTTTAAAAGCTTTCTTCTACCACTACTATTTCTGACCGCGGTTTGTAACGGATAAATATCCTTACAACATGGAGACGGAGTCACCTGACCGCGTCGGTCAAGTATCAGGAATGAATCGCCAAGGAATCGTCACATGGCTCCCACGTGAGCGTGGCAGTACACATAGTAGGGGATTCCCCTGAATCCCCTCTTCCTTTTGGCAAGAATTAGTCTTAGCACACACAGACAATATATTCCGTTCCTCTCCAAGTCATTGTATCTTACCCAGTTGACAGGCCTTACACCTGATAACTGTAGACCTTTACAAGCTTTAATAATATTAATTAATTATATATAAAATAAAATAAGAATAAGATATTTCTAATTCTATTTATAGTTATCCTATAATATATACGTACTCCTATCTACCATAAATATATGTTTTTAACAGTCTACAGTCAATAAATACTTAAATTAATAAAACACCACTATACCATGATTAATGTCAATTTTTATCGGTAATCAATATAATATAAAGCCTAGTTATTAGCTTTAAATTCAGAGTAATTACATAAACTTTCTAACTCAATATTATGATAATTTAACAATATTCGATGAATAAACCAGAACAGTTATAAAAAACAGTCATTTATTTAAATGACTTAGCATCGTTATGAACGCCAAGACCTATATTTTATGCAAAAATGGGTTCAAATGGGTTGTTATTGGGCTATTGAGTTTAACCCATTGGGTTCTGCCGAAGTCTACTGGTAGGTCCACCTTTGTCCTTATACAATACCACTCTCTCGGTAGGGAGTGAAATATTTGGTCTATTTTGCAATAGGCCGCGGAAACATCGATCCTAGTGCCACACTTAGTCAAGTCGTCTAGGCTATATCGGGTCTTACGCGCTATTGGGTACACGTCTAGCTTACGAAATTGTTAGATTTGAAATGATGTTCCTTAAGAAGGCGACCATAAGGTTGATAGGACTAGGAACTACACAAATCCATGTGGAAGACGAAACATTACGTCGCAACTCATATATTGATGGGCTACTAAAATTGGAAAGGAAGATTGCGAGGAAGACTACCAATGTTCTTTTACTCGAACTAAGTATAACGCATAGACTTGGACAGATCTTAGCTTCATAGAACGACTACGCGTTTGATTATTGATTTTCAACACCACGAAGAGGGGTCTGTCTGTTGCTGAAGGCAACTAGAGCATGAAGTGAGCCCAACGCTGTACAGCTGTGTCCCTCTGTATGCTCACGGTGAGTTACGGCGAGTCGAGGTAAGTCACGGTGAGCAGAAAACCCAATGCTGTACAGCTATCGCCCTCTGTGTGCTCACGGTAAGTCATGGTGTGCGAACCATGATCTGCACCCCCATTGGTGTGCTTAGAAGGCTTGTGCTTATCTTGTGAAAACAGACCAGAGTGTATCTGTTTAGATGCGCAAGGCCCTGGGCCCGCATCCCTTTGCTAGGGTCAAATTTTGAAAGCCTGTAGCCAAAAGAATGTACCTAGCGTACCTAGAATACGACTGGAAAAGGTATTCTGACTCCGAGACATTTAGTTTGTCTCGTTTATTCTGTTTATTGTTGATTTATTACTTAATTATTGATAAAATCAGCCATGATCTCTCGGAATTATTCCGCTTGTATAGTGTGCAATTCGTGGAAGAAGGGCTAGGCTCTACTATCCCCTAAATGAACGGAAGCAAACCGCGTTCCCCGACTTTCCCTCGGCTCCCCAACTCTTCCCCAAAGTCACCGAACATCCTTGGGGTACCCCGACAATCGCTTTACGCCTTACGGCGGCTTTTTGGCGCTAATACCGATGAAAGCTTTTTGTAAAATTATTTTATTTGTAGATCACAGTGCTCGTTACCTTGCAACCGGTCAACTAGAATACTATAAAGTACACCCCATCCAAGAATTTAAATTCGTCCAACAAAGCCTACAAAACTCGAAATTTCCTCCACATAAATTATCACTATCCTAAATAAAACAAGAGAGACAAAAAGGGCATTTCAAGAATGGCTCAGCGTCTCGCTCAAGTCACATCACACCTTACGTACCCAGCTGGTCTTCTGGCCAATACTGTTGCCATCATCACAGGTGGAGGACAAGGAATTGGCGCAGAGACGGCAAGGTTGTTTGCGAGGGAAGGTGCCAAGGTAGTAATTGCTGATATTGACGAGAGTACGTTGCCATGTGGTTGAAAATAAATGGAAACAAAAGCGATGCTGACAACTCCAGAGAGAGCAATTTCCGTCGCGGAATCCATCAACAACATTGTGCCTGCTCGCGCTCTCGCAGTACCTGGCGATATCCTTAATGACGACTATATTAGGCATCTGGTCCAAAAGGCCGCCGACTTTGGCAACGGAAAGATCCACATCATTGTCAACAATGCAGGGTTTACTTGGGATGGGGTCATACATAAGGTAGATACTCGCTATTTCCTCGTCCCTCATAACTATTATGTATCCCGGGCCAACCCGTGGTACCATGTATCGGTGTACCGGGATATAATGTCTCTGGATTGAAAAGGCTAACAAGACAGATCACTGATCCACAATGGGATGCTATGCTAGCCATCCACTGTACAGCACCGTTCAAACTTGTTCGGACAGCTGCGCCATACTTCCGCGTGAAAGATGGGGAGAGTCGCGTGATTATCAATATTAGTTCAACCAGCGGGCTTCATGGAAATGCGTACGTGTTTAGTCTACTGCATCTGCTCCTTTGCCACTTTGTGCCTTCAGCGGCTTGGCAAGATAATTCTAATTCATTATACAGCGGTCAGGTCAACTATTCAGTCGCCAAAGCTGGCATGATTGGCCTAACTAGGACTATTGCCAAGGAATGGGGTCCCCAATTTGGCGTCCGTGCCAACACCATCGCTTTCGGATCGGTACAAACCCGTTTGACAGAGGCCAAGGAAAATGGCGCCTTCATCACCGCCCCAGACGGCAGCAAGGTCGCGCTGGGTATCCCAGCCCGGCAGCTAGAAAGTCGTAAGGGTGGCACTGGGGTTAAGCAGCAGTATCCAGATATCCCGCTGGGCCGACCGGCGAGCGCTGAAGAGGCGGCGCGATCAATTCTGGGTGTTGCTAGTCCACTATTTTCATATGTAAACGGAGAGTCGATTCGGGTGACTGGAGGAAGGAATATGTAATCACTGATTTCGATTGCACCAAGTGGATGATGATAAGTGAAATATAAATCTCTTCAGAAAATCTGCAAAATTCCGCCTACCAACACAATAACAACGGGTCGCGTAAATAAACAATCATAATATTTCATATACTAATAATGACATATGCTATAGAGTTAGTAAAAATGCTCGTTCAACCAACTCAGGGGAATGGATCATAACGGGCAACAGAAGCTATAGCGTTTGCACTGGTTAATACATATTCGACATGTAGCCTGAATATGCTGCCCGGTTTGCAAGGGATCGGTATGCTGTACAACATAGATAGTGCTGTGTGTATAATGCGGTATGTTTCACCTCAACATTGTGGTTGATTAGTAGACTGAAGTTTTCCTGCAAATGAACATGCAATTTGTGCCTAACTATGGAGGTATAAGACCTTCATGGATCGTATTGCTCGTGTGGTATCATATTGAGGCGAATTATTTCATGTGGCCAGATGCATTGTCTCTTCCCGATCTCTCGAGGTCCACCGTTTCAGTAAACCATCCCGTATCTTGTTTGCGACCACGAAACCTCGACTGAACACCATGTCGAGCAGATTGAGGATTACAGATCGTTGATCAACTGTCCGGGCTCGAGCTCCAGCAACTGTTACTGGGAAGAACAGCATCACTCCTGGAATCTTGGAGTGGCGCAAGACATCGCCCGAGAGATACAGGATCGAACTCAGGTGTTCGGAAATTTCAGCAGGGGATAACACCGGGGCTGGGATATTGTCCCAGTAGGTGAAATAGTCATAGTGGCCAGAGAGGAAAATTAGTAGAGCATGATAATATAGCAAAGCTAAGTTTGAATATTCATTGGGACCATCTTGGACCAGCTGCAGCAACGTCTTCGTGTGCCAGTTATAGATGGTTTCTTGGACATCGAGTCCTTCAGTTGCAATAAGAGCAACTGATGGATCCGTGAAGCGTTCTGCTTCAGGAATGGTATCAATTATAGCACCGGATCTGCCGTTGCGATTGTTAAAACAGAAGAGCTCGCTCATTTGTCATTTCCGACTTACCGTTGGCTGAAGTCAGATGCCTGAATCATGAGCGTTATAATTTCGTCCAGGGGTTCCCATCTAGTAGCATCGCTCGACAGGGTTCTTTGGAGTTGAAGCCAGCATTCCTGAGAAAGGATTGTTTCTTCATCAAAGAGTAATGCTCGGCTGGCTTCGAGAATACGAAACAGGTCGTAGAATATCCTTCGGGCTGAAGACATGCAATCGCTTGGACCTGCCAGCTGGAGCATTTTTGATGTTCCATAGAGCATGTGCTTGACCCAGCCTTCGCCTGAATCGTCTGAAAGCAACTGGGTATATTGATGTCAGTCAAGCACGAAGTTAATGTATCCGATACAGGTACCCTGTCTGATAAAAAGCATACCTCAAACAGCCCTAGAAAGAAAGTGGCCCAGAGAATGTCCTCTCTTTGCATAACATTAATTTTTCCGACACACCCCCGCAAAATACCAATGGACTTATGGTAAGAGGTCATGGCATCCACATAGGGGGGTTTCTCTCCCTGTAATGCTCGTCCACCAGTATGCCGGTTCGCGTCCAAAGCACCGACCGCGACCACTGCATGATACAGGAGGGGAGATGTCGAAATTAGAGGAAGCAACTCCGGAACTATTGATGAGAAGCCCATTGTGAACTTGTTCTGCCGAATAAAAGAAACAAAATAATCAAGAAGACGGGTACCGTTATCCTTCCCGATAAAATCGAGTGGGTGGATCCCTGAAGTATGTTGATTTTTAATAGTCATGTCCTTTTGACCAGAATTTCGGTGGGTGCCACCAAAATCATCTTGCTGGGTTTGGTTGACAAACACAGCCATACCGTGGCCCGATTGCTTCTGGGCAACGCACGTCGTGTTTTTTCGAATGCAACTAGCACATGGAACCCCCCCTTCGCACTACTCAGAATTAGCTGCACTGATCCCATGCAGTTTGAGTTTCACATCTCAGACCTTGATGCGCCGTTTCGCACAGCTGAGGCAGCGCGTCACCCGCCTTCGCTTGTCCAGCGGGCCGACCATTCCCCCCTGAAGGGTTGCTGATGTGGACATGGCCTTGTGGATTTCTCTAACAAAAACATAAAGCGTACGTAGTCCCGATGGCCACTACGACGAAACTGGACATATTCGAGCGAGACCTGCTCTGACAGCAGGCTGCGGCATGGCTGATGGCACTAGCCTGATTAGGAAGCAATATCGCGACACCGATGACGCTAACCCAATTGGGAACCAATATCGCGAGACAAGGATCGACATTACTTGAACTTTAGTTGTGTCCCCCGATGACCGCTAACATCAAAATGGATAGATTCCAGCGAGCCCCACTCCGAGAGCAGGCTGCAATGTGAGAAATGGCGTTAACTCCAATTAGAAAGTAATATCGCGATGCACGGTTCCACATTTCTTCAACAATTCTGGACAGTTCTTGGTGACTGACTTGAATCTGTTCAACTAACGCTCTATCCCTTCCACTTTGGGAACTTCATTTACGTTAGCAGAGCAATTTGTATTCGTGAGTTGCGACAGGTCCTTGACTGATGTATAAAGGTCAGGGCCGCCCTCTGACTATTGCCGTTAGAATCTTATTATCTACATCAGCAAGATTTTAGGACTTTATTCTTACCCTACTTTTCCCCTGGACTGTGTCTTTTGGTGATTGATAATGCTTCGAATTCTTCGGCTCCTGCCCTTGGTGGCCTTGTCTGTCTCTGCAGTGGTGATCCCCAATCCACCCGGACAATACGATGTGTTTTATCACACGGCAAAAATGGTCGAAAAGGCCAGAGTCGATCCGTTTGATCCTAAGCACGGCCATCGTGCAGTGATGACTTCGATCTTTGCCCCCACCCACTGCAAAGTCGATCTCAAGAAGAACCACTACCTGCCCCCCGCAACGGCCGAATACTACTCCGAACTATACGGCGCATACGGACTTCCCAACGGTTCGCTTCAATCCATCTCTTTCCAGGCATGTCCAGAGCCACCAAGAGGCCATCACCTCCATCTCCCGCTGGTAATCTTCTCGCCTGCTCTCGGCACGACACGTCTGTTCTACAATGCCATTGCGCAGGCTGTAGCCAGCGCCGGGTACATCGTGGTGTCTCTTGACCATCCCTATGATACCGAGTTCCTCGAGTTTCCCGACGGAAGCATTGTGACTGCCGCAAATATCAGTGACGCGCAGGTTCCACTGGATGTCGAAACAAGAGCTCAGGACGTGAGGTTCGTGCTGGACCAGCTGAGCACAAAGGCTGGTGTCGCAGCTCTACTCCCTGGAACTGGGGCCGCTGGTTTGAGAACTCGGCACGTTGCGATGTACGGTCACTCGGTCGGGGGTGCGGCCACCGCTGCGGCCATGCACTTGGACCGACGGATTGTTGCGGGTGCGAACCTAGACGGGTCAATGTTTGGATCAGTGGTTCAAAAGGGGCTTCAGGGCCCGTTCCTCCTATTCGGACATGAAAACAAGACTCAGACGACAGACCCAACGTGGAAGGAGTTTTGGTCCAATCTGCGGGGATGGAAATTGGAGCTGGAAGTCGCCAAGATTCAACATTACGCATTCTCCGACTTGCCGTTCCTACTGAAGCTCCTGCGTCTGCCTGTTGAAAAGATACCGGCCATTCAAATGATGGTTGGAACTTTAGATGGAGCCAAGGGATTTGAAATTGTCCACCGAACCGTCGCTGCCTTTTTGGGTTTTGGTCTTGGGCAAACATCGCAGTGTCCCCTTCAAGAGACTATTTCAAACTATTCGGAGGTATCGGTCTTTGCGCGTGGTAAATGAGAGAATACCTGGGAAACCAAATTGGATATACTGAATTTATCTACTGATGGAAGAGAGGAAAGAAGCAAATTATCAGAAACTACATGTAAATCAATCGACCAAAGGTTATACAAGAGAAAGGTCTCTTGCACAAAATATGCTTTTTCCAACTTTTTCTGTCATCTGCCTGCTACCTATGAAACTGAGAAGTCGAAGAAAGTATCTCTCAGACATCTACGTTGTAAACAGAATACCTGAGACCACAAAATAAGACTACTAAAAGGACATCACAAGGCGGCATGCGCGACCGTCTACTCTTGGTACATGATCGATGCCGAAGTCAAAATACTATTAGATATTCCCCTGGGGGCAACAATCTTATGTGGTCCCTTTTTCTTCAAGTTCTTGATAGTATTTGTTGTCATGAAGAAAGACATAAACATTCGTGATTGAATACAAACCCGGATCAATGGTTGAAGAGGTTAAAAGCTGAAGCTGAAAGAAGAACCTGATCACAACAACCATCTAACCAGGTATCTCAAACCAATGGGACAATGGCGACAGTACAAAATGGCCGGCGTGATGTTACCGCCTGCGGTCCCACCAACCAATTCCATCTCTAAAATAAGCATGGCCATAACTGAGTACTACCTCCACTACCTCATGAATGTAGAGAATGTGGGAAGCAAGGCGTTCTGGCTATTCATGTGCCATAAAATAGCCGCAGTCCCGCCCATACCCATGAATGTGATCAGCTTTGGGGAGATACCCGCGTTGGGCATCTGCTCAGGCTTCGCAGGCTTCCTCAGACCTGCATCCATCGCAGGCAGTGGGAGATAATCCAAGCAAGGGCCGCCTCGTGAGAAACTGGCATACAATTTGGCCTTGAGTTTGTCACTGACCCAGGGAACGATGTGACGCGCAGCAAATTTGAGGACCCAGCTATTTTGGGCTTCATAACGCGTAATCTGACCGGAAATATCAACAACCGTCTCTGCTCGAGGTTTCTGACCAGCAATATACTGATTGAAAACCTTGGTCAACTGCTCAAGCGATGGCATAGGGCTTTCTTTTAATAATGGCACAAGACCGTTGGTCAATCGAGCGACGCCTTCATAAGCCAGGTTACCACCTAGTCCAGGATTGACGGTAGCCTATCGAGATGAAGAAAGTTAGTTAAATCACCAGGCTTGACAGGTCGTTGATATTCAGCAAGAGATCCGAACCTTATGAACTGAATCACCCATCAAAACTACCCGGTTGTGACTCCACTTTTTGAGAACACCTTCTTCTAAGGGTACCATTGTGCCTTTGACACGAGCATCCCAGAGATCTTTCACGGTATACCCAGGGCCTACTAGAGAGCTTCCATATTTCTGGATCGTTTTCTCTGCATCCTCATCGGTGAATCTTGGGCAGTTGGGGGTTCTCGTGAGTTTCGAAGCCTTGACGAAAAGGAACCAAAACACAAGACCATGCACACCGGTAGCTGCAACTGATGAGTAGTCATCGTAGTACACGTTATGAACCATCGAATCAGGTAGGAACTGGTCGTTCCGAGAAACAGCAAAGATGCAGTTGTACTCGCTTGTGAACGCTGTACTCAGGATAGTATCAATTAGATGGGCTCTACGGCGATCAAGGGCAGGGAGGTGAGACAAACCCTCATTAATTTCTTTAGCGAGCGATTGATCCGTCACGCTGATCTTGTCGGCCATCAGCTTCCTCACTTTGCTGTGGATTCCGTCGGCACCGATAAGGATATGACCGTGGTACTGCTCGCCATTTTCGGCGGTGACAGTAACACCCTGCGCGGTTTCTTCATATCCAACGACGGCCGTTCGAGCATGCAGCTTTGATTTGTCTCTCACATGGTTGTGTAACACTTCTAGAGCTTTGCATCGCTCTACGAAGATAATGGGACGTTGAAGTCTATTATGATTAGCACATCCCTTTCATCGGCCACCATGTAGACCTACATTTCTGTGATGTTTTCCAGCACATGCGACTGCTCGAAACAATGGCCGTTTCCGTCGTAGTGGTGTCGAACCTTCAAAGGTACAACCTGTTTCTCGATATCTTCCCATACTCCTAGCTGCTCTAGAATTCTTATGGTGTGTGGATGGATTCCGATAGAGGCCCCTAGCTGCGTTGCAAAGTCTCCCTTTTCGAAAAGCTCGTAGTCGATCCCGGCGCGCTCCAAGGCTAGGGCTAGGCCAAGACCCACGAGACTGCCACCAGCTATGAGAACTTTGAACTTCTTTGTGTCCTGATTGGATGCCATGAGTGGAATCGGTGGTAGATTACCCGAAGAAAGTTCTTGTTTCTCAGAAAAGTAGTAAACAACCCTGCTTATGTTTCGCATTCCAGGGACCGTTGAAAGCGGGGAAGACATAACGGCCTTCCCAACCTTCGAAGTGGGCCCTGCGTCCTGTAGACGCACCAATGGTCTGTGGCTTTGATTGCACCGCATATCTTTTCTCCGAGTTGGATATTGAACATGAAATGGACTTCTATTGCACTTTATATATGTATACCTACATTTTCGCTGTGTCTAAGGTGAAAAATTCTCAGACTAGGGATATGTGGAGCACATGTACTCTTTTGTACCTTTGGTATGCGCATGCCATACAAAAGATACCTCAGTCAAGTCTTTTTCAAGGTGGAAATTTGGCGTATTGTGAAACAGACGCATCTCGGAAACGCGAGGGGCTAGGAACAAGATTACTGGGTTACACGGGCACAGACTTCCCAAGCACGTCCCGTTACAAGAGAATTCACCGCCAATCTACTTGTATCAAACCTATCCAGCTGTATGCTATCTTGTTAACCTCGGTTTTTGGTATCTATACTTCATCCGAGTTTGCTGATTAATGTCGAAAATTCGAGTTGTGATGACATGCAGCGTAAAGGCTGCAATCACTCGCGTATTGTGCAGTACTGTACTCGGTAAGCGGCCCCACCAAAGCGGCCCCTTACATCTGACTGAAAAAAAACGGGATCGGGCGTTGCATGGTGGGGACTATGTCAATGCGAAGGGTCTCGATTCTTGCATAGTTCTGCTTCCTTGGAGCTATTTGAGGAACGAGAAACTACGAGGAATCGGGCAGAAACGGGTAGAAATCACGTGATATATCCTGGCAGTCTTTGTTTTGTATGGAAGATGTTATTAGGCATTTGTCGTGCCTATTCCAGATTTACTGTTACTTTTCCAAAGATTTCCCAAGACAGAAGTAGGTATCAACAAATCCAATATAAAGTATCTAAGCCCGCCTTTGTACAAGTGCTATAGGAAAGAAGTGTTTGCGCATCGTCACCCAAAATATATATCTACACATGCATTGATCAATCAATCCAGAATAATATATTTTACAATTATGGAATGCTATCAAAGCAAAAACGAAATAATGCGATTCTGTTTGATATTTGTTGAACATTGGAACATCCCATGATTGTTAGTGGCAGAGCAAGGAGATGAGAGAAGAAGGATTAATTTTCTACAAACAGGCAGGATGCTACCTAGGTAACGTATTCGGTAAGCGAGCTGGCCATGTAAGCGGGCTGGCCACCTCCAAAACACATAGTAAATGCGATAAATTACAACTTGATATCGCAGCAATAGTAGTCTATATAGAGATTTCCTTGCATCCTAATGCTTTCTAGGTAATATCTAGCCTCCCTAGGGGGTTTGGAAAATATATAAATCTTTATGGTTACGATATATATATTTCTGGCTTTTAGCACTGTAATTTTTGATATCCCTAAGATTGATACACAGTATTCAAAATCCTTATCAATAGCTATCGACAAGTAGTGAAATCAAATAAAAGTATTGGCGTTGAGATATCAAGTTGTAATTTATCATATTTACTATGCGTTTTGGGGTGGCCAGCCCGCTTACATGGCCAGCTCGCTTACCGAATACGTTAACTAAATAGCTACGTGAAGCCTGACAAGCCAGACACCAAGCATGTGATACCACAACAGTTGGCTTGCAGACTGAGCATATTGTTTATCAGACATCAGGGTATAAATACCCTACTTTTTCCTAGATTGAACAACAATAAGTCTTTTTTCTCTTCCTCCCCTTCGCCGTAACAATATTGTCTGGTCCTCTTTATTAACGAAAAATTGTTTACTAACGTGTTTTTGAGGGCTGCTATATTTGAGACAAAACCAATTTGGATAGGAATAGATCGAAAACTCTCCCCCCACCCAGTCCCTCAGACATTCTCGACCAAGAGATCGTCTGTCAGAACAATCCAACACCGTGGAAGTGATGGCTGCAAATGACCATTAATTGTAGACTAAGTGGCGTTAGTAAATATTCCATATTAAGCACATCAAGGATCGTATACGTGGAGGAATAGAAATTGGAAAGTACGGATATCCCCAACGGACACACCGCAGAGGAAGCATTTTGATACCGTTGGAGTTGCTGGAGGGTGAATAGTCGTCTGATATTTGGAAGATTCTGGATTATTGGTTGTGATCTTATTGATTTTGAGCAGGCTAGGATGAATCCAGGGGTCTTGCGGGGGAAATGATCGATTTTGAAAATAAGGTTCTGCCTTGGTTAGATTCAATGCCACAATGGCACTATATTTCCAAGCCTGTGCTATTTTAATATACGTTACGACTCCTGGGAGAGAGAGAGAGACAACAGAAAAAGAAGGCTTGATCCATCAATGACAAATTGGGGCATTTAAGCCCTGATACCTGGCAAACAACCATCCAACAATATATACCATGCCTACGGGAATTCGAGATCTCAATGGTTTGTGTTGTACATCACAAATGACCCGAAGCTCAACTGGATCGGCGCATCGAATGGTAGATAACTTATTCTGGACCCGCCGTCCAATGCGATTGTCGATAATACATTCGGGTCTAGGATCTGTTCCAATACCGTAACTTTTTACTGCAAAGTAGCGACTTCCATTCAGCTTATATTCCCGACCTTTGGTGCCACCCATCATCAAGTTGGTTGAATCAGAAAGATTATTTATGCAAACTCCGCCACTAATATTGACTGCATTAATTTGCATTATATCGATCTTCATGGTCAATATTGCCTGGTTGAACCATGACTTCGGTATGGCCCTGAGACCATCAAACCTTGCGTTATTTGAAATGCTGTGCTAATCACAAATAACAAACGTCCAACGTCATATCGAGTACCATGTCCTGGATTTTAGGTAGTACTTTGGCAAATAGCTTGGCTAACCTGCAAGGGAGCAAGAGTGGCTCGTGCGAGGAGAAAGCACCATGCATACGACTAGGAGGGGAGGATATAGTTGTGCGCACGAAATCCCTTTGACACAATCAAAGCATATCCGGTGGAAACGGATTAAACTTTGCGCATAGGTTGATGAAGGCCAGGCCTGAGAGAAAAAAAATGAGGAAAATCCTGCGTAAACAGGATTGGAAGGTAAGACATAGTACTTTTGTGGCTGTGACTTATCGACATTAAGCAGACAAAGTGAACATGGATGATGATGGAAACCCCTCGTTATGACGAGGGAGTACCTTTGACTTTTGCGAAGAAAGGAGAAAGCGTTGCCCTTAAATACAGATTCCGATGTAAAAGCCAGCGTAACACAACAAGCCTGAGCCGGGGGCGAACTACCTCAAGCTTAATGGAAGGTACGGAGTACTTGTTTCGGAATGCCGAGAGCTACTTTGCGTGAATCATGACTTTCTCCTTTCTCATCATCTGTCAATCAATTATGTTCTCAACAGCGCGCAGAAGACGTGCGCAACGCCATATCGAATGTGGCGCTATGGGGTGATACAATTCTTAGAGCCGTTGTATCAGAAACTGCTGGCCCAATAGAGTACATATACATATGTTGTATGGTCGGTTGCATTGACCTCTCATATTAGTTAGTTGTCACTGTGGAGTAGATGCCTCAATATGTATGTTGTACTCCACCGATTTGTCACTCGTGCCTTCTTGGCACCATCAGACTCGCGATTCCACATATGGGAACCGACATAGTATGCACTAGTATGCACTCCTGAGATAGTTTATTCCCACCTTTTTGGACGCATCCAGTGGACACGAGACGTTTTGGTCGACCGTTTATCTGTTGGTCGAATGGGTCCCACCACCCCGCCCGCCCAACGGCCGTACCCATCCTAGATCGTACAGCTAGCCCCAACCATCGGATATTATTCGCGATGTGAAGAAATTAACGATGAGCGCTTGCTGACCGTTTAGAATAGATTAATAATTGAACGAGTCGACAATGGAATTCATCGATATGCATATGCGGTCTGCGAGGTAATACACAAAAGTACCTTGAAAATTTGCAGGATAGTACCAGTCACAATGCGGATTTTCCTTTTTTTTTCCAGGTCATAAAGTCATAAAACACCCCTCCCCCAGTTCCTGTCCCTCATATTCGTATCTTCTGATCTTAACTTGAGATGTTTGTTGCAGCCACTAAGTAAAGAGGCATCCAACTTTTCTAAAAGCAACTATGTCTACCTCAATCGCCGAGGCACATCTGACATCAGATGAACGATATCAGCAATCGCTCATCTATGGTCTGATTATCAGCACGGGAATCCTGTCCATGATTATCTGCAGTTTAAGAGTAAGGCCCTCTGGAGGACTCTCCCCATATGAGAAATCCGGTGGAGTCGGCAGATAACTTATTTTGCCTATAGCTTTACACAAGAGCATTTATTGTTAATGTGTTTGGGGTGGATGATGTTGCTGTCTGCGTCGCATTGGTAAGTCCCAGTCCGACCTTTAATTGCATCTATAGGCAAGTCGTGAATATTAACAACGGCGATTGATAGGTTTTCACGCAAACCTTCAACGGGATAGGAATTGCGATTGTATATTATGGAGAAGGAAAACATTTTACTAGTGTCTCTGCTGAAGATCGAGCAATGTGGCTCAAGGTATCATTCAAAGAGTAACTCCGTTGTCGAATATATTACTTACGTCGGACATAGCTCTACTACGTCGCAATGTGCATGTACCTCTACACCTCATTGTCAGTAAAGCTTAGCTTGCTGATATTTCTACGACGGATCTTCGTCAAACGTAAGTTTCCCGTTTACTTCACAAATTTCCGACGATCTATAGTGATCGGGTGCTAACTACAAATCGCCCCACCTTTAGCCTGGATGAATCGGCTCACTATGTGCATGATTGTCTTTCAAGTCCTATTCTCGGTCTCCGGTTCTTTTGTTCTAGCCCTTCAATGTGACCCTCCAAGGTACACACAAACCCCGATCCCTAGCAGGGCTTACCAGCATATACTAACCAGGAGTATGACAGGGCTGTGTTTGACTTGACTATCAAAAATCCGACATGTTACTCGCAATATAAACTGTTCCAGATCACACTATACCAGGCAGTTCTCATTTTCGTGAGCGATGTCATTATCTTGCTCGCCCCAATGGTCATTCTATGCAGATTACAGATGCCTACGAGAAAGGTCGTTGCTTTGGTGGCAATCTTTGGATCGGGTATGTACACTCCACCATTTGACGGTCAAGTTTCAGAAGTACTCATTTCGACCACAGGTATAATCGCCTGCATTTCGCCCGTTGTACGCTTCAGCACGTTGGATTATTTACGTAACGGGACTACAGACCTTACCTGTAAGCACAGACTACTTTAAATTGCTGCTATTTATTCACCGCCAGGGTTATACTGACTATTAACCATAGACGACTCGGCTTCATCCCTGTACTGGATGGCCATCGAGTTCAATCTGGGCCTTATCGCAGGCTCCCTCTCTTCACTACGACCATTGCCTCTTTTCCGGCGATTCGGCTCGAGTGCAAACCGCTCCCAAGAGAAGGCGTCAGCCAGCGACGAATCACACGAGCTTGGAAATGTCAATGCGAGTGGGTCCAGAAGTCCTTGGAAAAACAGAATGAGTTTTGGAATGGAAGGGTCGATACTGGAGGATAGTGTCAACGGCAGCCAAGAGCGCATTATCCATGCGAAGGCAGACTATGTGAAGCCAGAGCCGAGAGATTGATTGTTATTCTGTAATTGAGCTTTATTCTTGTAACTGAGTGCTATTCTATAGTTTGACCACAAGTACATTTTGCATTATTCTTGCGACCTCTGTCTCCCGGTTCAGCTACACCTGCTTGAAGCATCGGAATCTCCCACCACGGTAGCTAAGCTAAGATATGTAACGCTAAACAAACATCTCCGACTCAGCGCAGGAAATCACTTCCAGTTATGATGGACTGTTGGGATCAGGGAGGTCTGGGGTAGGTTCGGTCTGGGCCGAGGAGATTAGGAATCTTGGAAGGGAAGGCGGGTCGGGACGAACGTAACCTTAATCATTAAGTTTCTAATATTGAAAACACATGTAAACTGCAAGGGATGTACCTGCATATAGAAGATAAATAACTAGATGCCTGTTTTCACGCAACGGAAGAAGATGCGACCGTGAATTTATGCATTCTTGTCAATCTTTTCTCGTGATGAGAATCTGGGTCTTAGTCCTGATAGCGAAGTCATCGGGTAACGCCGTGTGTGGTGATAAGATCATATACCTATTTGTAGTCAGGTAATTCTCTGACATCTCTTATGGATGGTAGAGGATCCAGCACCAGTGTGTCCCACGTGAGTGTATTTTCATCGACAAGAATGGCAATCGCGGAGGGTTTATTGGTGATGGATTTCCTGGAGTAGGTAACTTGGGCGCGAAAGCTTGGCTCGTAAACCAGTTATATGCTAGACATAAGACCTGTGGTGTCACCGACGCGCATAAAACTCTCGATGGTGGGACGGAGACCATCCGATCACATATGGAGTTCCATTCCAAAGGCTCCTCTGGATGCTGCGATCAAATTCCATATTAACCGAGACTGCGTGGAAGAGTAAAGGTGTTCAAGGGACCGAACTGACAATGTTTAATCCGAACCTGGATGAATGGGTACTGACAAGAAGATAGGAATCGCCGGGAGGAGGGAGTTGTAGAGAATGAAATGACCTGAGGCCACCAATCACCAAACAAGATAGCAAACATTTTAGCCCCGATCGGCACGTGAATTGACGCTCGAGGAAACCAAAGCAACCAAAAACCCCTAGGCACCTCTTTGGCCAAACAGCGCAGGACCAATTTATGTAGCATTGGCCTGGCCAACGCGGTAGTGTCACATCCTGCGTCAAGATTATACCCTGTCATGCGGGTCAAATGGCGGGTTACACCGCAATGAAGACACCCAGACATCTGATAAATCCTATGAGCTGCGGGGAACGGGTTATCTACGATCTGTGGATTTTAAATCGATCAAGACTTGAAAACCCAGGTACAGGATCTACATTATTCATGTAACCTTCTCCGCCATGAGGTTCATTGGGCGTTACATTATCGATATTGCGATCGGCCGTTATTCCAATCTAACACGACTAACGCAGCTGTCGTCAGAGATTAAAGGCCAACTACGCGAGCATCTTTAATTAAGAATCACCGCCGCAATGATACGAAAGCTATAAATTAGTTCATAGACTGAATTGAAGCCAAGTCTGTTCTGTTGACCAACTCACTGGTGCCACTCCCTCACTGCGCCGCTTTTACTGCTCGACAATCCCACGAGCGACCGGCACCCGATTATCATTGCATTATGTTAATCCACGCCATCGCGCTCCTCTGCACCAGTGCGGTTGGCACTGCGGCAAAACAGCTATGGTCAACCGAACCCGCCGATATGTCTCACGTTGAGATGACAGCATATCCCTTGGGCAATGGGAAACAGGGTGGTGCGTTTCCGTTTGTATCACTCGCTTTCGACCATCTGATACTGATTCCTAGTAGCCATGCCATTGGGCGTTGCAGGAAAGGATATTGTATACCTCAATCATGACAGTCTCTGGTCGGGTGGACCATTTGCAAACAAGGTTGGTGTCTAATGTACCATTCTTACGCATAAACGGCAAAATGAATCTAAAATGGGTAGAACTATGTCGGCGGAAACCCCAAATCTTCGCTTGCCGAGCATCTCCCAGGGATTCGAGATTCCATTTTCAAGGATGGGACTGGAGGTAAGTAAACTGAATTTCAATAAACGTCGCCTTTGCTTACTCCACTATAGATGAATCTCCCTTGTATGGTAGTACCGATAATTATGGATCATATGAGATTTTGGGGAACCTCACTGTCAGTATAGCCGGTACTGAGAAGGTCACGTCCTATAGACGCTCCCTGGATCTTGATACCGCCATTCACGAGGTTAAGTACAAGTCGAACGGGGTTGATTTCACAACGTAATAACCCCGTATCACGCATGCTTGCAAAATTTACTCAATTGATCATTACTAAAAAGTGCGACAGGATCCAATTCTGCTCATATCCAGCAAAGGTCTGCATCTACTACATCGAATCCTCTAATGCTTTGCCGGATGTGACGGTCGGGCTTCAAGATCTGGCACGAACAACGCCGGCCTCCAAGGTTTCGTGCTCCTCGGACGGTATCCGACTTCATGGCCAGACGCAGGCTGATCCGGATGAGGGGGACATTGGTATGCTGTTTGATGCGCACGCTCAAGCCGTTACGCCTTCAAAAATTACTTGCAACCCGTCAAATGAGATTGTGGTCAACGGAAATACTGCGAAGTCGTTATTACTTCTTGTCGGCACAGGAACCAACTACGACCAGACGAAGGGCGACAGCGCGAACAAATACTCTTTCAAAGGACCGGATCCGTATCCCGATATTCTTTCGACTGTCCAGGCGGCGTCAAAAGAGTCCTATGAGTCCCTTCGCAAAAGTCACATAACCGATCACCAGTCATCTATGCATAAGTTTACCTTGGATCTTCCAGACCCGAAGAAGTCTGCTGAGGTCGATACAACTACATTGATAAATGGCTATTCCACCAAAGAAGGAGATCCATTTGTGGAATCATTGATTATAGACTACGCCAAGTACCTATTTATCGCGTCTTCTAGACCAGGCTCTCTTCCTCCTAATTTGCAAGGCAATTGGGCACCCAACATGGCTCCTCCATGGAGCGCGGATTACCACATCAATGTGAATCTACAAATGTACAGGACCCACCCGATTTCACAAGTTCTTGATGGAATGGTGAAGCACAATCTTTCTGACATTTCCCCAGGAACCATTGGCACACCGAGATGATGGGCCTAGGAGACCTAATGGGCCCCTTATGGGATCACATGAAGAACAGTTGGGTACCACGAGGCAGTGATAGCGCAAAGCTCTTCTACGGTGCAGATGGCTGGGTGACACACACCAATGTGAACATATTCGGGCATACAGCGTGAGTTGGAGCGAGGATTCGCGCGTATTCTCCTTTTAACATACCCTTAGGCAAGAGAATGATGCTTCTTGGTCTAACTACCCAGTGTCTACAGCCTGGATGAGTAAGGAAGACCTCTTGACGTTACCCTTGAAATCCATACCCTATGCTAATCAAATGGTCCGCCATAGTGAAACATGTATGGGATCGATACGACTATTCCCGAGACCTTGAGTGGTATCGGTCTTCGGGATACCCCATGATAAAGGGAGTGGCCAAATATTGGCTTTCAATGCTAACATCAGATGAATATTTCAAAGATGGATCGTTGGTTGCTGTTCCTTGTAACTCACCAGAGCATGGCGCCACCGTAAGATAAGTTCCAAGGCCCCGTACCCCAACCTTTCGCTAATTTATCCCAGACGTTTGCCTGTGCCCATTGGCAACAGCTAATTTGGGAACTCTTTGATCATATTATTCGGGATTGGGAGGCTTCTGGTGATAATGACGACGGTTTCCTCCAGAGTGTGAAGAAGGCATATCAAAGTATCGACAGTGGAGTTCACGTGGGGTCCTGGGGTCAGATTAAAGGTACACAGCTCATTTTTTACGCTCAAAATCTCTATTGTATTCGCCTAGGACACATGCTGATATGATATAGAGTGGAAACTGGAGGCGGATCAGAAGAATGACACCCACCGTCATCTGTCTGAGCTTTATGGCTGGTACCCAGGATACGCCATTTCCGGGGTGCACGCGGACAACCAAACGGTCATAGATGCCGTAACTACCACCCTCTACTCCCGTGGTAACGGAACCGAGGATTCAAACACCGGATGGGAGAAAGTATGGCGTTCTGCCTGTTGGGCAGCGCTGAACAATACAGATCAGGCGTTAGTCTTCACTGCTCATACTCTGGGCGCACTCCACTTCCCCCACCTTCCACATCTGAGATGAAAGTCGACTGACCTAATTTGTGAACAACAGCTATATGGAGCTCAAGTACAGCATTGACATGAACTTTGCACCTAACGGGCTGTCTGGCTCCACGTCAGCGGCACCGCCATTCGACCTCTCGACGCCTTTCCAGATAGATGCCAACTTCGGCATTGCTGGTGCTGCACTCGCAATGCTAGCGACTGATATACCGCAGGCCTTTGGTGATACCAGCACCCACAAGGTTATTTTAGGTCCTGCTATCCCAAGTGCGTGGGGGGTAGGTTCGGTAAAGGGCTTGAAGCTACGTGGAGGTGGAAGTGTAGATTTTAAATGGGATGGCAATGGCAAAGTGACAGGATTAACCCTAGACGGACGCTCGCTACCTCTGGTGGTGTTTGATCGGGACGGCCATGTCCTGGCGAAGCATTAGACCTCGGAAGGCTAAGATGGGTATCGCCGTGAAGCTCCTGGTGCCATATCAATACGGGTAGGATACCGAGTCACTTATGATTCGTCTTGTATATCCTTCGGTGGATGCCGAGCTAGGGAGGATTCCCCTGCTAGAAGGACATCCGATAACAGTTATCTTGGCGGATCATAATTTATCATCTTCCACATCTGGTATATAGCTCATCGACCTAATGACATATGAATAACTCCGATCAGTGGGAGAGATTCAGCAACTGGAGCACGGTTTCGAAACTCTTTATAAGATAATATCTTGTGACGAGATTGCTGAGCGTATGGGCTGCAAATTCCAGCCATCAGATTGAGATATCATTGAGCTGTAAAAGGATCTGTCGTATGATGAGATTTTTGCTGTAGTAAGTTTCTTGGGATCATTTCACACCTTCTCAATAAACTTGACGCCAATTAAAATTCTATCTTCGTCCATACAGGTTAGGCAGTTGAGCACTACCTGAGCATATTTGTCACCCATCTTTGATGGTAAGTCGCTCTTGGCCAACTCGGTAAAATGGTCCTTGAAAACCCCATTTCTTGCCAAGGTCGGTATGTCAATAAATGGACGGCATTCACGGGTCACTGAATCTTTGCTGCGAACAACGCCCAAATAACCAACAAGGTTAAATGAAATGGATCAATATTTTGAAGCTTTTGCGCGAGCGCTCGAACGTCTTTGGCGAATGTAGATGCATCTGTTCTAGGGTCACACTCCACAGAATCCAGGATGAAGGTCTTCGAGCCTGGGATCTCGCAAACGTTGAAATTTGATAGCGGGACCCTGGACCGCTGGGCTCCCCTAGGAGGCCACAACAAAGTCTCTGAATAGGACTTCGATGATGCCATGCTGTTAACATCCATTGCGCCACAAGCTGGCCTCCATCTCCCTTCCCAACCGAAGTCAAGGAAGTTGCCAACTTCCTTGACCTGATTTGAGGACTGTCAAAGGGCTAGGTTGGTTTGAATCATTCTGCAAGTGACTGATGTTCCGTGATTGTCACCATGTGTGTCCCACAAAGATCCTCGATACTGGAGTGATTTGAACAGTGCCATCAATCACTATCAGAATCATTCAAAGCCCATGAAATTCTCAACCGAGTTTTGTATTCGGGGGCAGTTCCTCAACGTGGTCATCTCGCTGTATGTATTAGTCAGCACGCCATGCTTTCTTGGAATCTTGGAAGATTCGGCGGGTTCCAGCTGAGGGGGTCTAGAAAAGACTTGGCAGGGACTAGAAAAAAAGCTTACCTAATTTCTAGACCCCTTCAGCTTCTGACCTGGGGGGGACTAGAAATTAGGTAAGCTTTTTTTCTAGTCCCTGCCAAGTCTTTTCTAGACCCCTTCAGCTGGAACCCGGAAGGTTCCGACCTTGGGACAGCCCGACCGGGTGCGATGACGTCACCATCCGATATCTCTTTCCTGGTCGCTGATCGGGCTTCCTACCCAGAATATCTGGAATTAGCTTGCAACACGACAGGAAACCTCCGACTATATGTAATTTACGCCGATTACATCCGACACGCATTGCCTGTTCAAATGGGCTAAACTCACGGACCTCTGTATCCACAATTCTCGCAAATTTTCAGATCAGACTTTCCATTGCATCTTGCTTAACACGAGGGGACATCAAACACAAAAATTGCCCAGAATGAATCTTCCTTTATTCCGTCGCTTGTTGCCTAAGCCGGTCGCCAACAATGGGTCGCAGCTGCGTGATCATCAGGCCAACGAGCGGACGTTCCTTTCTTGGAGCCGCATGGGATTAGCTTTTGCGGCTATGTCACTTGCTCTCGCTCGACTGGATATCATTGACAACATATTCAATCGTCGAAGCCGCGACGGGGCAATCGCACCCACTCAATCCGCGTCCCGGGCCGCAATTGAAACTAAAAGTCCAGGCCAAGCACACTCTCAAGTGACGAAAGAAACACCTGTTCCTCTTGGATATGCGAGTGATCGCGTGGCTAGTCGCGTCTGCCAGGCCATCAGTATTTGGTCATTTGGATATTCACTTGCCCGGTATGTCTCCGTTCGAAGAAACCTATTGCAAGGACGTTACGTCCCATCAATCTGGGGGCCTGTCTTGATAACATGTGGCTCTCTCACTGTTTTTGGTATGACACTGAAGTTGGAATGAAAGATTTTCGCGCCACTTGTCAGAGAAAAAGAAGCGAGAAAAATACCTTACAGGCTCAGAGAGCAAACGCAAAATCGGATCATGTCTGATTTTTTGATCTATTAAAAATACATAATAACGAATGGCATCATCACGACAAGACCGCATGCATCTCAATCCACAAAAGCCACAAACCTCCAAACTTCATATATATATGTACATCCAAAACGATTAAGAGCTGGCCTCAAGCCCGTTCAGAATATCCTCAGCAGCCTTCTCGGCAATCATGTAAGTAGACACAGCGGTGAAAGTACCAGGAATCTTGGGGTAAACGGAAGCATCAACAACACGAAGACCAGTGACACCACGGACACGGAACTTGGAGTCCAAGACAGCTCTTGGGTCATCCTCAGCACCAATGGGGCAAGTGCAAGAGGCATGGTGGCCCCAAGCGCCATCCTTGACATAATTCTTGATGTCCTCCTCAGTCTTGACATCGGGACCGGGCATAACCTCAGTGACGTTGACGAGCTGGCGCTTGAACGCGTCACGAGCGAGCTCGATGGCTTCGTACAGAGCAGTGAGATCGGCATCGTAGTCGCCCACACCGGTGTCGAAGTAGTTGAAGGTGATCTTGGGCATGTCGAGGGGATCAGCAGACTGCAGAGCGACAGTACCGGCAGAATTGCGGGGGTGAGCCTTGAGAATAGCCCAGGAGAACCAGTCGTGCTCATCAGTGGCGTTGATGCTGTAGTCAGGGAAATAACCACGGAAGTTGACGGGGCCACCGAATTCGAAAATGTCGAAGTCATCGCCGGCAGTGGAGCTCTTGTATAACATGGTGGCGGCAAGACCGGGGGATGAGTAGATGCCGCGGTCGCCAAGAACAGGAGATTCCCAGTCATGGATACAAGGGTCTTCCTCGCCGCGAATGCCGAAGGTGCACTTGTCCAAGCAGGAGAAGTCCTTCTCGACCTTGCCCTGGACGGAGATCTCGTAGTGGTCCTGGAGGTTGGTGCCGACACCGGGGAGATCCTTGATGACCTTGATACCAAACTTCTTCAGTTCCTCGGCGGGTCCGACACCACTCAGCTTGAGAATCTGGGGAGAGTTGTAAACTCCGCCGGAAACGATGACTTCTCGGGACGCGGTGGCGGAGCCGGGGGTACCGGGAAGAGCAGATCTCGACATGGGGCTGGCCTTGTACAGGTGTTCACCGTCGAGGAACTCGACACCGGTAGCGTGGGGCAGGGCATCGGTGTCGCTCTCATCAAAGATCACCTTGGTGACGTGGGTGTTCATGCGGACATCAAGGGGGTACTTCTTCGAGCCATCGTCGTTCTTGGCATCACGGACAGCGATGATGAACTCGCGGGGACCATTGCGGTGGGCGTCATCAGTGGCAATGGGGATCTGGTAGTAACCGGGCTCGGTGTCGCGAGACTTGCTATCGGCATTGGCATCGCCAAGCAGAAGAGTGCCAAGGTTCATGAGGTGATCGGTGAAGTTACCGAGCGCAAAGGCACCACCGGTGAGCATACTCAGCAGTTGTTGATCCTTCAAGACGATGCTAAGGGGCGCAGTTTCGGTCGACAGCCAGCCATCGGTACCGTGGTCCTTAGCTTTGGCTGCGGGAAGGGCGTAACCGTTCTTCTCAAGCTTAGTGAAGTACTTGCGCATGTTATCGGGTGTCCATGAGTTATCGCCGGTGATGGTCTCAATGTATTCGAAGTCGGACTGGTGGGGGTAGACTGCAATCAAAGCGTTGTGGGCAGTGCAGCCACCGAGAGTACCTGTACGAGGGTAGAGTGTACCCTTCATGGTCGAGCCCTCGGGGGGGTTCAGACCAGTGTAGATCTCGCCATTGGGCGTGTCGTAGCTGACCTTCCAATCGCGGGCCTGGCGCTCCTCATCTTCGTAGTGATGAACGAAGAAGTTCCACGCAAGCTTCTCGTCCTCGGAGGCTCTAGCAGAGTAGGCAGGGATAGTGTAGTTGTAGGTTTCACCCTGGTCATCGCCAGCCTCAAGGAGCAGTGTCTTGTGGCCGGCCAAAGCAAGACGGGCGGCCAGAGGACCACCACCAGCACCGGAGCCGACGACGACATATTCGTAGCCGGTGATGTTAACGGCCTTGGCCAGGCCGGACGTGGCGACCAGCAGGCCAAAAATATAAGAAAGAATCATATTAAGAAAGAGTGACTATGAGTGAGTTGGCCTTCGGAAAGACAGAACATCCCTGCTTTTATGCATGGTTTTCCCCCTGAACAACGGGGAACCCATTCTCCATTTTTATCAAAAGCCGTTGAAGACTTGACATGCCGGCTGACACTAGCCCATGGCGATCTACCCGCAGACAGCTAAGCCTATGTACATTTCTAGTGATAACTCCCGAACGATCATCGGTAGTGTAATTTGTGTGGAGTATATCCCTGCTGATCATCAAAAGAGATCCACCTGTTTCGGTGGTTTTTCCTCTTCTGGAACAAAAATTGAACAGTTTACTGACGATCCCCTGTCATCCCGAGGCTCAACGTTTTTCTTTTTTGACCGTTTATTATTCCTTCTGGTGCTAATTGATCCTCTCGGCCTTTATTGTTAGGCTAATGTAAATTAATTATTTCCACTTACCACACTGTATCGTTCGTAGTGTTCACTCATTATATATAAACGTTATTCTTCTCCCATTTGTACAGAGTGAAGCCCATGTTGCAGCATTGCTCTTGTTTCTTGTGCTTCGCCCACGCCAAGAATCGGGAAAGTGGGAAAGGGGGCCAAATGCACGGTTTTGTTTGTGGTCGAGAAAAGACATTCGCCGGAAGAACCAGCCGATCTTTTGAATCTACGCGTTTGGATCCCGAAATTGTTAGTCCTTTAGGTTAAGAGGATTTGGAATATGTGAATCTGAACTATTCTTCGCCATTTCACCCCGTGCTACTCATGCACGTGGTAGTTATCCACACTAACTGATACCCCAATTTGTCCCTTCCCGAGGATATCCTGTGTTCAAAATTAGAACCACGTAGAGACTAGTGGATCTCATCCAACTTCAAAATAAAAGATCTGCAATTCCTTCCAGAATTTCTGGGCACAGCTCCGTCTAAATCAAACGCCTTACCGTTAGAGTAGCCTCCCTAGGTCATCTGACTTATTTTGATTAAGAACCCTAAGATGTATAGATACATCGGATTTGTTATCTACATAGGATATTCAATTTGACCTGACGCATGCAATCCACTTCACAGACTATACCGTGAATCAGCTGGGCCAGATCCTGGACTTCATGTTGGAACAGAAGGGTGTACAGCAACGGTTGAAGCACTTGAAAGAGTATCCGAACGACCCAACTTTGGAAATGGGGGAGAGGTTGAAAACCTCCTAGGTTCACGCCAAGAATGCATATAACACACGTATTACAGCCGCATCAGAGTCAGAGACCCCGGAAGATCCTAGTTTCACGCCAGGAAACTTTGATTTACACTACAATCGGCACCTGCAGGCTGCGGTCGAGTGCGAAGCCCATTTTCAGGAGCTGATCGGTATAGACGAGATTGTCCAGCAACCGCAGGAGTACTAATCCGCAGTGGCCAGTATGCAGCAAAACAAAATCAATACCCGCCCATACATCCCGTTCACGTTTGTCTTTCGAGGCCCGCCGCGCTGGACAGGGAAGACCTCCACAGCTCGTAAGATAGGCCGAATATTCTTTGACATAGGTTTCTTTAACGCGTCGAGCCAACAGTGCCTGTGGGCTGTTTGTGAGTGAGCCCCAAACAAAATTCGAGAATTGAAAGGTGACGACCACTACAAGTAATCACATAAATGTAACGCAATCGCTCAAAAATTAAATCAAATCAAATCCACAATCTCGCGATAGGGGTCATATATTCCTCAACATATAGCACATATAGTAAAGCCGCTTTTTCCTCCACCGGCTAAATTTGCTGTTGTCAAACTATCATCCTGGCTGAGCACAAAAAGCGAAGCATACTGCGTGCGTAAAGCGTCCTCCAGGGATCTACTTGACTCAGTCCATTACCTTCTATTCTCTACCGGCACAATATACTACTATAGTACTCACGGTGTACGAAGTCTGAGGCTAGCCTAAGAAACTCTCGACAGTCCTCTCAAACGCTTCATCCACACCGCTAAGGACAAAAAAGATCAGATCACATTACTGTTGGGCTACAAAGGGACAGGGAAGAAGGAAGAAAACTCTGCCATTTAATGTATCAAGAAGGTCTTTACATCCTGCTCACAAACAAACGCCCAGTCTGACAAATAATTGTCAGGGCAGAGGGCAGTTTGATCTCGAACCCCCCCCCCCCCCCCAAGACTGAGCATGAAAAATCAGATTGTTCTGGTTTTCATAGTCAAAGTCATCATAGAATAGTCGTAAAACAGTCTTCAAATCCTCAAACATTCGGCAGAACTTTTGTTAGACCGTCTGCGGGATTTCTTTGCTGCCAATTACGCATATCAACGTCTTTCCTTTTTATAGCGTCTCTCACATAGAAGGGTACTTATATCCAGGGCCGCCTTTGGGATCTTGAGTCAACCACGAAATATGAAATATCGGTTCGCGACCTGCAGATAACACCATGGCCCGGACAGAATCAGGTCAGAAATCTACGAAGTGTAAGGGCAATGATTTCCAATTCCGGTGCACCAAAATTGGTCTCCATCCCACTGGCACCTACGTTTGCACCACCATGTCGGACGGGTATAATGAATTACGTTTTTTAGTTTAGTTTGTCCACTTATGCTCTAGCGCTCTTTGTCCTTATACCTCCCCGTGCATGGTTCTATATAGTCCCCTGCTCTTCCCCCTCCATCCAACAGCCCCGATTTTCTTTTTCGCCTTCTTTCTCCTATGCCTCGCAGGTGAGGCATTCTTATTATTGACCAGCATCACGAGCTCGTGAGCTCCGCCACCCCATTTTCTCTATATGACTTGTTGGCCCTCCTGTGACCCTGCGTCTGCAATCCGATATTCGGATTCTGAACTGCCCTCTATCATCCGGCCCTGTTTTCCTCCTCAGCCCCGACCATGGCGCTGAGTGGTGACATTAATTTCTGGAAGTAATGTAGGTTGAAGAAGGCGCAATCGGTCTCATGTCCCGTTTCCGTGAGGACAGCAATCAATACTCCTGTTAGATTTTCTTTTTTCAGACACTTCATCGTCCTGCCTGTAGCATTTTCTTTCTTCCATCCTTGTTTTCTTGGGTTTTTTGATTTGAATTGAAACACTCGATCTCTTGGCATATGCATACAGCCACCGGCTGATAAATTGACACTTTTGCGCTAATTCTCTTTCAATGTACGTAACTATAGGTGTGCTTGCGAGAGATTAGTTGGCGTAGATAGGTCAAGCAGAACAATTATGACTTTGCAACTAACAGCGCGAACGCCAAGCTTAAGGTTTGAACCTTTTTTCACATCCTGGATTTTCGCGTGTTATGCGTCGCAATGCGAACATAGCCTTAGGTGGAAGGCTTACCCAAGAAGCAGTAAATTTACAATTTCGAAAAAGTTAGATAGGATCTAAGTAATTATGATAATTGTAGTTTTCTAGATCTTCAACGCAACAATAGCGACCAAAAGCTGAAGTACGGCCAGGATGTTCGCCAATCCCCCAACCAGCAACACAGCCCAGAATGTGTACCATTGTAAAGGATTACGCCTATCGCGCCATATGTCAGTCAGCTTACTGGGTCTCTGGCGTTAGCTGAACTGCTGGAGCTTGATCAACCGTGGTCCGAGTCTTGGGAAGTCATCTCGAGCGCTGTATACGTCGCTTTGCTGGAGATGCCCTTTCATGGTCCGACAGGTGATTGGCCATACCTCGGACGGATAACTCTGCAAGTTTTGTCGTAAGTCGTCCACCACAGACTGCCGTACTTATACTTCCGCTCGCAGAGATGCGAGAGCATATCGTCGACATTTTGCTTTGCGTGCGAGTTCTTCAACATACAGATTTCTTCATGTGCAACCTTTCTGGACTTGTCATCTTGTCCAAACAGAAGACGGTAAGAGAGGATAATATCTTGCTCTAGACTGACGCAACACTGGTCTTTATCCCGAGTGAATAAGGGGTCGAGTTGCTCGGAAATACTATCAAGAGTTAGTCGCAAATGATGCTAATAAGGGTGGACTAGTGTTGTGATTCATAATCATACCTTCGAATCGTCGAGCAAACGTTGTCCCCATGGGTAGCAAGCAAGGCGCAGAATGTGGGAAAGCGAAACAAGGACAGCCGACGATTAGCTGGATTGAACCGTAGATGCTCGCTGATGGTTTCGACCTATTGAATCGTGTCGTGCTCAAAGTAGTGTAGCTAGTAAATGTTGAGGCTTGTCTCGTACAGGCTGTCTGTTTCCTGAGGTCTCGATCCACCCTCCGTTCGCTCACTCGACGGGCCACCCTAGTTGTGTAGCTTAAACGTCCGAGAAGTAGTCAGAATTGGTCGCCTACACCTATCGTTTATTCTGTTGGTAGTGGAAGGTTTTGTCGATTTAACGCCGTTTGGGAGGAGACATGTTAGATTCGGCTGTACATCTTCTGTGAAAATCAACCTAGGCCGCACGACCATGCCGGGTTCCAGCTGAGCGGATCTAGAAAAGACTTGGCGGGGACTAGAAAAAATCTTACCTAATTTCTAGTCCCCTTCAGCTTCTGACCTGGGGGGGACTAAAAATTTCATGATTATATAATACTATTTTTCTCTTGCGGGTTTTTTCACATTCCTGTTATCCTAATACTATTTTACATACCCATAATTACATATATAACATATGCATATAACATCTATACATAAATTCTATTAAAATATAATACTATAAATTTATAAATTTTGACATTTTTCTTTAATAGTAAATTGAATTTAAAAAGATATAGTTCTCGTTCTAATGATTTCTTTTATCAAATGTACTATAAAGGTAGCAAAAATAGCTATAATACAATACACACTGTAATTCTCGGAAAGGGAGGTGGTTTAACTTTAAATAATCCGGCCGGAAAAACCTAGGGGGTACTAGAAAAAAGTTAATGTAATTTCTAGACCCCAGGTCAGAAGCTGAAGGGGACTAGAAATTAGGTAAGCTTTTTTCTAGTCCCCGCCAAGTCTTTTCTAGACCCCCTCAGCTGGGTGCCCCATCCATGCTTGACCAGCACAATACCCCAAAAATAGCAATGTAAAGGTAGCTTTGAACCTGATCTCCCCCTAGAACCTTCTTGGAGGTCCCACTCTGCTCTTCGAGGGGCTGTGCTATGTCGTGTACGCTGAGTTCCGGATGTTCTGATTGTGTCACCTGCAACACTGCAAGACTCCAGTCGTTTGTAATCTCCTCGGGATTCGTACAAGATATCAATCCCCATATCAATCCAAAGGCTGGCTGCATCAAGGGCCGGAATGTATCATCTTCCAAGTAGTCGCAGTATGATTCCATTCCAGAGAAATTTGCGAGGACTTCGGACTTGACATCGAAGAGTGATTGGACAAATTTCAAGCTCTTGCTGTATAGACACCCGAGGGAAGACGGACAATAGCAACATGATGGCCACTAACACTCCCAAGTGTATAGGAGTTGTGGTCAGTTTGGCTAGGACAATGAAGGATGGACTCTCTCCAACGTAAGCTTTGCCTCTGCCATTTCTAGCGGTAAGGCACATAGCCATGCCACTGTGTAATTATCATGTGTGAAGACCATTTTAGGTCTTTGTGGACGAGCCCAAGAATACGTTAGTCGGGATCTACCACCTGATAAAATAAGACGATGTTGGAAATTGAACCACAGCGGTCACGTGGCAAATACCGACGATCACCTACTCTGCCGCCCAATAGTTATGCCGCTTGTTGCTTAAGAGTGATTGGTTGGAGGATCAGGCATGATTCAGGCAACTACCCTGTGAAATCAGACATCCGACCCTTGGCCGCTATGCCTATTCGCAGCGCAAGAAGGATAAGCAGCTTTTTTTTCGTCAAAATGCAGGTTGCTTTAGTATAAGAATTAGGACAGCAGAATATATGCCATAAAACAAAGGAGTGACAGAATATGTGGCAGAATTTCTGGTCGCACCGAATCAAGAAGGCGTACTAAAACTTCAAGGCAGGGGCGCTTAGATATTCGGTGCCTAGATTTCTACCAGTCTGAGGTACAATATAGGTAGTAACCAGGAATCGGGGCTGATCGTGTAGGCCAGGGGCTGAAGCGGAAAAAATCCCTCTTGCACTGACGTCTTAGCCGGTTAATACTTGAAACAGATGTCCTAGAGGCTGACTGTTCAAGCGTGGGCCAGATAGCCAGACGAGACCCTTGCCAATTCCCATGGAATCCATGATCTAACGTCACCAGAGTGTGTGATTGTAAGTGGGCCAAGAATGTTGTACGTCACCAAGCCACAGGAATGGGGCTTCTATACAATAATCGGAAGTTGACCGAAGGATGAATCGGGATTAGTAAAATAACTTTAGTATCGGGACCGGTAGGAAGGTGAATCGGGATCACATCACGGCTCAGCTAGGGTCCGGTAAACAGTGTTGGCCGAGTTTTTCAATGGCGGCTGGCCGTGTCTGAGTTGAAAGGACGATCTTGCACATCCCGATGTCTCTTGTCTCTTCTATTGGCCGGCTAAGCATATACCCCCAAACTTTCCGTAAAAGTATTGGCAGAGGTTATACAGAAGCAGAAAAAGTGACTGGAATAGTACACAGAACAATCAAATCCATGCAGATCCAGAGACCTTGAATGTAGATTTGAAAGAAAGTTTGTCGTGGCGCAGTTTAATTGACCAAGATAATTGTTTGTTGCCAAACAGGAGAAAGAAAAAAAAACAAGTGGGGTATGGGGAAGACACGGAAAAGCCCGATTACCCCAGTTTTATCGGCAGAAGGGAAGTTTCACCGGAGAAATTCCGACAAAACGTCGGCGATATTCCTACGCATTTCTGTTTCGGGGCCGTGCTTGGCGGCGGCCCGACCACACATTTTGCCCGGCATTGAGCCCTTTGTCGGCCTGCAAACTACGATTTGCTCCTTTCCCCCTTACTTACCTCCATTTTTTGCCTCATATAAATATCGGCAGCTCATCGGAATGATATCTATTTACAATTCTGATCAAGCTGATCCTTTTAAAGATGTCTTGGAGACACCTCGGCGAAACCTTTATTGAAAATGCCTCAATGAGTGAATATATAACACAAACCCACATCTCGGGCAAAGCATGGCTTGGCATATACGTTAACTGGATGAGATGCGAAGAATGGGGCTATGGGTCTTGGAATGTAAACCTTGGAGACGACCATGGCACGTTTAACCCCGTGGAGATTTTACCCCAAGTTGTGGGCACCCCGGGTTTCTGGCCCGTGGTTGATTTTTCCAGGTATATAAACCACATTCCCTAGCCGGTCAGTTTCCTGGAAGTTGTTGCACTTTTCTGGGCTATTTGGTTTTCATTGCCCAAATTCAGTCTACATTTGGTTTTACCCATCATGGCAGGCCTCGAACTCAATGTTGACTGGAAGTCGAATCGATGGGCTATTGCCTACTGTTTGGTGGCTTCCATCGGTGCCCTTTGCTACGGTTACGATACGATTTACTATACTGGTATTCAGGGTATGAAATGGTTTGCCATGGACTATGGCGAGAAAACTGCAGATGGCTCCTGGGAACTTACAACAACGTTCCTGTCGCTGTCTGCTAGTATCATCTACGTGGGAGAGCTGGTTGGCGCCATGGCAGCTGCTCCTATCAACGACTTCTTCGGTCGACGTGCTGTCTTCCTGTCAGCTTCTCTCTTTATCATTATCGGAGCCGTCGTGCAAGCGTGTTCCTTTGGCTCTGACCCAGTCTTCTATGTCAGTCGTGTCCTGATTGGCCTAGGTATCGGACAGTTCACCGCTACCTGTCTGATGTACATTGGAGAGGTGGCACCTTCTGCTATCAGAGGTCCAGCTCTCATGTCTTTCCAGTTCATGCAGTCTATCTCGCAACTGGTTGGAGCCTGTGTCAACCAAGGCACAGAGAAGATCAACAGTGCCGAATCCTACCGCATCCCGATGTGCCTACTGGTCGTTCTCCCCGGTATGATGCTTTTATGCCTTCCCTTCACACCCGAAAGCCCGGTGTGGTACATGTACAAGGACAAGCGTGACAAGGCCATCAAGGCTCTCCGCAAAATCAACCGCAGCGCTCGCGACTATGACCCCTCCATGGACATCCAGACCATCGACGATGCCGTCCAGATCGACCGTGAAATGTCCAAGGATGCTTCCTGGGCCTCCCTCTTCACAGACCCCGTTGAGCGCCGTAAGCTCTTCTACGCCTGCGGTGTTATGTTCGTTCAACAGATCAACGGTATCCAGTTCTGGTATACCTACGGTGTTGTCTTTGCGCAGTCCATTGGCGTCGCGGACCCCTTCACCATTAACACTATCATCTACGTCCTACAAATCATCACTGTCGGCGTGTCTGTCGTCTTCGGAAACAAGGTCAAGCGTCGCACGAACCTCCTAGTCTGCTCAGTCGGTATCTTCGTCTCCCTCATCGCCGTCGGCGGTCTCGGCACCACCCGCGCCGCCGATGGCTCTTTCAGCCGTGGCATCGGCATCGGCATTGTCGTCCTCGCCTACCTCAACATTATCTTCTACAACTTCTCCATCGGTACCCTCTCTTACTCCATTGCCTCGGAAATGTCCGTCGGTCGCAACAGAAACAAGATCACCTCGTGTGCCATGGCCGTCTTCTTCCTTACTGTCTGGCTCATGGTCTTCACCAGCCCCTACATGTACTACGACGGCAACCTTGGTCCCAAGATTGGCTTCGTATATGGAGGAACCACTCTGCTCTTGCTGGCATTTTCGTGGTTCTGTGTCGGTGAGACCGCGGGTCGCAGCAATGCGGATATTGAGAGACTTTTCCAGGACAAGGTTCCTGTTCGCCAGTGGGCGACTTATATTATCCCCACTGATGAGGTGACATACGCAAAGAACAAGGACGCCAATGATGAACAGATTGAGATGGCATGAACTATGTGATATGAATTTATTGAACGATGTATTATTGCCTCGTTCGGCTCTGAACTCCTTCGAAATTATGTACCTGCATCCACTCGTCTCAAAATTGCCTTATTATTGCTTAGTTTATAAATACACCGCTCCATATTATCTGTGGATGTTAGATAATGTTGGCTACATAACGTATTCGGTGAACGCATGTAAGTCTGCGTAATCCGAAACATAGTGAAAGGGATGAATTACATCTTGTAATAATTGTCGATATAAATATTTCCCGGCCTAATGCTTGTTATATGATACCTAGCTTTATAGAAAAAGGAGGATTTAGGACATTAGTGAGATATATATATTTGTTGGGTTTGGAGAGTCTCTTCAGGGCTACCTGAATAAAATGGCTTGAGCGGATTACCAGGAAGATACGTATCATCACCGGGCATTTCCAATGTTGGCCATGACATGGTTCTATTTGAAACACCAAATACGTAGCTATGCCTTACTGACCTTTCCTAGAAACACTTACTCCATTCAAATTAACAAAACCTAGAGCAGACTTTTTTTCAAAAAATTTAGGTGGGTACGGTACCTAAGAAAGAACTTGAGACTTTTTCAACCATTCATGCGCCTCCTCATAAATCCTCTGCGCAACCTCCTCCCTCGTCCTCCTATTAACACCCCCCTTCTTTCGCGGCGACGCATGAGTAAACCCATGCGGACACCCCCTCGCCAACGTCCATTTATACCTGCCCACCTCAAAGTCCTCCTCCTGCTCAACCCCGACTCTATCCTCCAACCCGGCTAAACCATGAATCATCTGCTGTGCCTCTAACCGGAGCATATCCCACTGAGCCCCAACCATATAAATCCACGGTGGCAGCTCATGCCTCCCCGCATAAATCGGACTAAGCAGAGGATCCCTCCGATTCTGCCCTACACTCACATACCCCCAGTCCAGCCACCAGGAGGTCCTCTCCAGGGTATCCTTCGGACCATTTTTGTACGGCCTCGAACTTAGCTTTTCATTGGGTGGGTGGCTGAAATCCACGATGGGGTAGTATATCACCGCTGCCTTGATCAGGCCTTTCAGACTGGGGAATTGCGAGACAGACAGCGCGAGGTTGCCGCCTGCGCTGAAGCCTCCAATAGCGATGCGTGAGTGGTCAATTGGCAGGCATCCATCTGCTAGTACACATTTGGCTACATCGGCAACGTCAAAGGTGGCTGTTGGGAAAGGGTGGTGGGGCGCCTTGCGGTAGTTGAGGCTGATGACTAGTATTCCGGTACGGTTGGACCAGGCGCTGCAGAAGATGTCGTCGACTGTGGCATCGCACAGCGCGAAGCCGCCGCCGTGGATGTTCAGGTAGAGTGGAAGGAGTTCGCGCTGGGCGGAGTTGTAGGAGCGCGGGTAGAAGATACGGGTTTCTAACGCTGGGCGGCAGGCGTAGCGCTTGGTGAGAGTTGGCTGAGTTCCCGGCTGAGGGGGATTGACGAGGCGGAGGTAAAGGAAGTAGAGCGCGGCGAGAGATTTGAGCAGCCAAAGTTGGAGGAAACAGTTCAGGCGGTGAGGGAAGGATAGTCGCTCTTTTGGGAGAGGAGGGATGGGATCTTCCGTCGCTATCTTGTCCTCGTCTGGATTCTCGATCATTGTGCTGGGCAGTCGTAGTGAAACGAAGAATTTTTGGACCAGGGTCAGTTGGGCGAGGGCTGTAACGGATAAATGAATCTGTTGGGATATAGCGATGGTCACTAGTACGTCTTTGTCATCCCACCAGTAGTACTGTGAGCTCTGTTGGGCTTGAGTTCTTCGTTCTTCATTTTATGAACCCTAGGCCAGGCGCGCCAAACCCTTCTCCCACCGGTCTCGATTCAGCTTCGAGGGATGATAAACTCGTCGCATCTTCCTTCCTCTCATCGCATGAATTTAGTAGCGACCTATCCGCAGAAACTAATGCGCTGGGAGTAGGTTTGGCCCCAACATTGTCCGGTAATTTAGTTCGGCCCACTCGCCCCGAGCCGCCTCAAACCGAACCGTGCGGCTCGAAGTGGGCGAACACAAAACATAATGATACAATAGAAACAAATCCGAAAGGAACGCCGAATCGGTAAACCCGTGCTTACAAAGTTACACGACGAGGAATGTTCATGTTAGGAGCGACACCCACGAGGGAAATGGTATGTCGAGCACACCGCTTTTCGATAGCCTGGCCGACAAGAACTAGTCTATGTTCTTCTAATGAGATTGAAAATTCTTCTTTTCTTTATTTGCTGTCAATAGCCGACTTTCTATGAGGCTGTTTTAAACTTTTGTCATTAGATTCCGCCGTTGCGTTGGCAGACTGTTGAATTATTGGCAAAGGAGCGGGGGCTGGACGATGGATTTTATGAACCGTATTTGGATTACCTCATTGATGAAAAAGATGAGGAAGTGGAACACAAGAAACACTGCGATATGGACGTTGCTGGTGGTAAGCAAGTCCAGGGAATGGTTGCTATGATATTCGCGGCTGCTCGCAAATTCTTGAACCCACCGTAGTCGACTCTCGTGACTCAGGGTTAAGAACTTTCTGATATCTTGGGTTGGGCATGCCGTATATGTGGTGCTTGCTTCGCGTCGCCGGTTCCTGTAATCTCCATTTTGTTCTGAGCACGCAGATTTTGAGTACTGTTTATGCGTCAACCACCAGTGCATAGTATGAGAGCATGGAGGATGTACCATTCAGAATGAGTAGAGGAACAACCGAGACAATGACCTACGATGATGTAGACATTTGGGTGGATCAAAATGTAATCGCCGGCGACGTTGTTCACTATGCTAAGCAATGCAAGAACCGTACGACAGGCTTGATTTAGGGTGATTTTGGTAGAATATTGTGTTGAGATGGTGTTTTGCGTTGACCGGAGCGCCGCTGTCGTAAGTTGATCCTTCTTTCGAATTAGCGTACTCCCCTGCAAATCTCGCTGTACGTTGGTGCCTTTTTATTTGAATATTCTCCCGAAAAACACCGCAATTATTTCTTACCAATACCAGCAGGGCCCACAGGGTAAGACGAGGATCAGAAAATGGAGAAATGTATACAACGCTCAATACGGACACTCCTTAATGGGCAACGACAGGCCTCACCTCTCCATCAAACTCAAACCAAGCATTTGCAATGTCACAGACGAGTCCTTTATTATTGCTTTTCCGTATTAATCCACCAGTCAATCCACCAGCCCGCAAATAGCCCCACGGGAGCGTGTCCGTCCTTCTCCTGTTCCTCCCCAATGGTGCCATCCGAGTTTCCGAGTATTAGAGACTCGAAATTTGAATTGGTGAGGTTCAACCCCATGTCTGCTGCGCGCTTCTCCATATCGGCCCTCATTTTGCTTGAGAGTGGATACATGATCTCCTTCATCCCATCCCCAGAGTTTCATACCTACTTATATCGGACGATCGACTTAACCTGACAGTACTCGACCAGACCCATCAACCCATACTCAACACCCATCCCGCTCTCCTTATGACCAGAAAATGGCACACGTGGATCAGGCCGACTAGGTCCATTGATAAAAACAGTCCCAACATCTAGTTGACTCGCAATTCTCTGCGCAGTATGAGTGGAACCACACCACACGCTCGCACTCAGCCCCGTCGGTGTACCATTGACAGCTGCTATCACAGAATCTTCGTTTGAAAATGGCACACACGGGATTATAGGGCCTTGGCCGTCAGCGATCAAGTTCAAACAAATCGTAAACGAGGTCAAGTCAACATTTGACTCACCAAATTGCTCCTCCATGACCAGAGATGACTCGGCTGGCGGATCATCAACGATCATAGGCCAAATGAAAAAGCCCGAGTCCAGGGACTGCCGGGCAAGATCGTTTCGTCCGCCTTCTGGTTCATCAAGAGCAAATATGTATCCATGATCCCGACACTCCTCGATCAACCCCTTCAGTTTCAGGAATTGCATTTCGTTTTCATCCTCAGTGGAGGTCTGGGTTTAGGACGTATGATATCTTTCTTTGAATTATGGAATGTCTCTTGATTGTTGTGTATTGGAGTCCTATAGACATTGAAACTACATAAGGAACAGACTTCGAATAAAGACAAGGTTTTGAGCCGCACTAGCGCGGTTGCTAGGCCTAAAGATGAGGCAAGTAAAAAACAATCCTTTATGGTTGATTATATGCATGTGATTTAATCAATTAGGACAATAGCTGACGGTGGGATGAGATGATGGTCTTTGCGTCGATGAAATCTTGTGGCGTATGTTGGTAAGCTTGTCAGCTTAACTTTGTGAGCTTGACGTGGGAGGATAGCAGGAGCTGGTGTGATAGATCGAGGTAAAGCAGGCTTCCGTTCAAAATCTACCTTACGCCGCACTTTATTGGCGTTATAAAAATGTCGGCCGGTACATGGTGGAAATCTTGATTCTTGATGGGGGTGACTCTCACATTGGGGTTTCCTTTTTTTCCTACGGATGGTTGATCGTGCCTATCCGCTCTCCTATTAACCTCAATTAGAGATGATCGGTATCAAGTAAGCCCCTTCTCCTATAAATACCTTGCCAGGCGTCTCTAGCCAAATTTACATCCATAAAGCCTATTGTCCGATGAAAGATATAATTACGAAGACAGTGCAGGTATGTCGCTTTACCTTCCACGAGGTCTGCTGGTAACTACAGGAAGTTCCTAATGCCTTGGACGTACACAGAGATATCAAGATGTATGGAGTTAATGCAGGTAATCCCGTACTATTTACATATAAAAAGAGGACATTAGCTGACTGCTAGCTTTGTACACGCTATTTTTACAGGAAGATCACGCAACATACCTTGCACAGCGGGCGGTTTAATTGGATTAAGGAAGAGGGGCTTTGCGAGTGAAGAACCTGAGACAATGATCCTCCACACTGTGACTGTACTTCTTGAATGATTTGGAGAGGGGTCGAATCTTCAAGTACTAACGAGACCAATTCAAGTATCGTGGAGTCGACGCGTTGTATCCATCCTGAAAGTTTGCCTGAAAGGTCAAACGTGTGTCGGAGCATGACAATCGGCATACCGGAGGATTAATTAATCCTGCGTGTGCTGTGATTTAATATTAGTAATCCACAGTCCATATAAATTGCTAGGAAAGTGGATACTGAAATACAGAGAATTGATTAGAACAGAAAGAAAAGTAACTATTGATTGGACCCCAGTTATGAGCCTGGTTCGCACTGCATAAGGCCCCGATCCCTCGAAAAATAGAGCCAAGTGATAGAAATCTGGAATTACGCGTGCTAAATCGACCCGTGTGCCCGAGAACATACAGCCTTGAGCGTTCCCCTTTTCACTATGTAATCTTGACCCATGTGTTTGTTTTCTAGCCCTGGCCGGGATGTGACGGCCAATCTCGTAGTCGCCTTGCTGTCACTTTCCATATCATTCAAACTACGATATTCAACAACAGATATATATCAAACGTATCAAAAAGGACAGGTTTGTTTCCTAAAGCTTTGGCTTCTTACAATTCTCGTATTCAAACTGCCTGTACCGGGGTGAATACAGAATGATCAGGTGCTACTTGCCACCATCGGCGTTTAATATGTAATGACGCAAGGGCTACGTATTCGATTACTTACTAGGTACCTGGTCGATAGGTATTAAATAGCGATAAATACCTTTCAAAAGAATATACGACCTACATACTTCAATCATATTCCTTAAGCTCGGCCCAACGTAACTATTAACAGCCACAATGCCTACAGGATCATGTCTATGTCACAACCTGAAGTATGATTATACCTCAGAGCCCGTAACGAAGGTAAACAACTTGACTATATTTCAAGACTTCTATCATTAAGTTATGCTTGTATATAGGCAACATGCTACTGTCTATCCTGTCGAAAGATCAGCGGCGGAACAAACACATTGAACCTGTTGATCCCAGAGGACAAATTTCGTGTCACTGAGGGCACTGCCACAAGCTATACTGAGATGCACGAAAGTGGCATGAAATTGACAATCAACTTCTGCAGCAAATGTGGTTGTTCTATCTATAAGACGCATGAAAAGTTCCCAGGGATGATTGTTATCTTAGCAGGAACACTCGATGGACCCGACGCACTTGAACAATCTAAGCCAGAGGCAGAATTATATTCTCAACATCGTGTTGGATGGCTGCCAGATTTTAGTTGGGCAGAACGGAGAGCGGAGTTTTAAGGCAAAGAAAAATTACATTTATCTCGTCCCTACTTCGTGTATGATCATGATGAACTTAGCCTCTATGTGATTGACTATTGTTTGTTTGTGCATATATTTAGTCCGCTCTGCTTGTAATTGATGGAAATATAGTATTGGAATTAAGATTTCCGAGGGTTCTGGGTCTGATGGTAGTCCGATGGGATTTCGGGAACTATAATGTACTCGCGTTCTACTCCCCATACACCCTACTCATTACTAGGCCTCTAAGTCATTCCTAACTCATTGTTGATCATGCATGTGAGAAACTGATTCTTGTAAGATTTTGTAAGATTTCTCGTTGAACCCACTAGTCAAGAATATATAGCAGGTTACCGACGCAAATTCAAAGCCGACTGCGGATTATAAAAGCAATATCCATTCCAACCTAGTATCAGATCACAAAACTTTGATTTGAGCCCGATGCGTCAAAGGCACATCAACATGAAGCACCAACTTCTTATTTTCGGCATCGTACTCGCCATGATGGTGATGGTGTCCCTTTGGCTTGCGCTCCACGCCAAGAATAGTGACGGCCTCAATAGTGACGCCAGCCTCGTACTCAAATGAGCCAGTCATGCTAAGCTTACCGTGCGCGTACTTGAAGTCGATCTCCGACACAGTGTCCTGCACAACCGACTCGCCGTCGTCAAGGTACAACGATCCCTCCGCGCGGCCATCGAGACCGGGCGCAACGACAATGTTGAATCCCTTCTTGCGCAGTGCGGTGGTAGTATTGGCGCTCTCGATGCGCTGCGGGTACACAATACCGCCCTTGTAGTGCAGCGTGATGTCCGTGAAGTCAACCTCGGCGGAGACATACTCGCCGCGCCCGCGGACGGGCTTGCCGGTACCCCATTCGTAGAAGATGTCGTCGGGGAGGTAGTAGTTGAGACTTGTGCTGTTCTCCTCGGTGACAGGGCTGACAAGGATACCGTCACCGTAGAAGAACTGTAGGTCGATGGGGTAGGTGTTGGGGTCGTTCGGGTAGTTGAAGAACATAGGGTTGAGGGCTGGGGTGCCGGTTTGGTTCTGTTTGTAGATGGCGGTGTAAATGTAGTCGACTGAACATTGTTAGCTTCTAACTTCCTTCTCGGAGAAGAGAGTGCGTGCATCACTTACGGAGCTGGTATCTGATGGAGATTCCGTTGCGCGCGGCCTCGGCGACTGTAGGCCAGCGGTAGAACTCCTGGGGATTAGCGAAGATTTCGGCGTGGTTGCGGAAGAATGTGTAGAAGGAGCCAAGCGCTGCCCATCTGTTGATCCATATTAGCTTGAGCCGCCTATATGAACCGAGATTCACCTCCTTACCTAGCACAGAGCGTCTCCGTCACATTACCACCGAAACCGCAAACATCGGGGCCGACGACGGGGATTTGGTACAATGATGCAAACTGCAGGATCTGGCTGATGGATGAGCGATACCAAGACCACCCGGAAACATTATCTGCAGAGTTTTTAGCATGGGGTCGTTATTAATATTGAATGGGCCGACGCCGGGGGCAGGCTTACCACCAAGCCAGTGGGACACGTCCTTGCCGGACCCGGCAAATGTGCTTCTCGTAATTACCAAGGCGCGATCATCCGGACGGCGGGCACGCATGGCATTGTGTGAATGTGAAGACATCATAGCGCCATAAAGGTTGTGGGTATCATATTGAATGTATCCTCCACTCTGCACCAGATCGGTGTCGGCAGTGCTGTCAGCAAGCGTGGGTCCGGCGCCGTTCTGAATCATATACGGTGGCCTGATGAGCAAGCGGTTTGGAAGGCCCTTGCACTCGTCAGGACCACAGCCAGAGCCAGTCTTTTTACCGTGCTGCCAGCCACCAGTCGAGGCAGCCCAGCTGGGCTTGGCAGAGCGCCAATGGCCAGCACCGAGGTTACGGTGGGAACGAGACCGAGGTTGGTGATTTTGGACAACGGCAGTTGCACGTTTCTCCTTTGCGTTACCGGAAGCAAAGTTTGGCTGAAGGCTGTCCGGGAAGCCAGGGATAGGAGCATCCGGTCCGTCTCGGACTGGTGGTGGCTTTGGTGGGTCACCATCTACCTCTGCGAAATGCTCCGGGGTGGTGTTGTTACCGGGGTAGGGGCGGTTGAAGAAGTTTGCAGGCTCGTTCATGTCGATCCACAACGCGTCAATATCCGGGCCATTCGTTCCGTCGAAGAACGCCAAAAACTGCTCATTCCAGTACTGCTGCGATGCGGGATGGAACCAATCAGGGAAGTAGCTCGGACCGGACCAAACGACTCCCTTGTATTCGGAGCCATTCTTTTCCTTCATGAAGGTATCATATTTAAGACCTTCATCGAGCGCTGAGTTGGGCTCTTTGTAGAACACGGCGGGATCCACCATGACGATGTAATGTTGGTCCCTCGAATGAATTGTGTCCACCAGGTCTTTGTACAAATTGGCGGGGAACCGTTCTGGATCAATGGTGAAGATACGTCGACGGTCCATGTAATCTATATCCGTCCAGATGGTTTCGAGAGGAATGTTGTTGGTGGAGTAGTTGGCAGTGACAGCGGCGACCTCATAGACGTCTTGGTAGCCGTATTTGCACTGGTGGTAACCAAGTCCCCAATAAGGAGTCATCAACGGGAGCTGCGTGATTTCCGCGTACTGGATGGCCACATCACGCGGGGAGGGGCCAGCAATGAAGTAGAAATCAAGAACACCGCCGATGATGTTGTACTCGAGGTACTGACCACCCTTGTTGTCAATGAAGATGTCCATACCGTTGGAGTTCAGTAGGAAAACACCGTGAGTGGCATCGTGTCTGTGGTCAAAGTAGATTGGGTGAGCGCCGTACAGGTTCTCGCCCTGAGGCGCCCCGTAGGCATCGCGGGTGTATATCGTCCGTGTGTAGTTAGTCGTGTTCAGCATGAACGCGTCGCTGTGCTCACCCAGTCCGTACAGATGTGGGTTTTGTGGCAGGTGTGTCTTGAGATAAACATATTGACTCTCGAAGACCAGCTTGTTGCCTGTGGTATCAAAGAGTACCTCACCGGTATCCGTGCGAGATACGGTGAACGAGAAGGGGTCAGCGTTGAAGTCGAACTTGAGCTTGGAGTCCTTCCGGGAACACCATTGGCCGAAACCGGGACGCGGGAAGACACTGTCTGGAACCTGATAGACTGTGTTGTTGGTGTCTAAGATCTTGACGTGGAGTCGATCATTGGTCTGATACTCCACTTCTAACTTCAAGTCTGGGAGGTCAGTTCCGAAAACATTGCATGCCGGCCCTGCGAGTGAAAGTTCCGCGTAAAAGCCAGACCGAGTCTTCCAATGCTTTGTCGCCTTGTAACCTGGGCATTCGGAGAGATCCTTTGCATAGAGATCATCGCCGGGGCCATCAAGATCCTCGACACCAGCCTGGCTTTGGGCCCAGACGCAACCACTCAGGGCTACAGCCGAAGTGAGCAGGTGCTTGAGGTACATGCTTGGGTCCTTGAATAGCGAGCATTGTCACATACTCATATGGCCCTTATATACTCCTCTCGGTTCCTCTGGTTCCATTTGCCAAGAAGGGGGCGTGTTGTCAATGCGGAGATTGCAGCATTCCTCAAGGCCGCGATCCCCACCCCGCAGTAAGGTATGTTATTTCAACCGTCCAACTCTTGAGCGGGAGACGTTCATTGTTTCTCTTCCTTTTGAGGCCACTGTCCCATCAATGTCGTCGAGACTTTGGTGGACTACCTTACCCCAGCATTCGCAGTATAAACAAGGGGTTCACCTGCATATCAAACAAACCAGCAAAATAACCTTAGAAACCCCGCTCAAGCTTAAAGCTAGCGATAATTCCTCTTCCTTGATATTTGCCAAGTGCTCCGGTAAAAGCCCGAGAGATGATGCAGTCAACTCCACCCCGAAAACAACCCCAGCGATAGTTAATCTTGGCGTCCACCGCTTTTTATGCTTCCGGTTCTCCGGTAAATGTCCGTAATTGCGGGGATCAATGGGGCTATGCGATTTTTGAACGCCTTCTAGAGTTTCATATTCATCATCTCGGGATCTCGGCTTCCCCGTGCTCTTCATAAACGGAGTTGGGGGAGGCATAATCATTGCCTTCATGGTCTCGACTGTTGGATTATCCGGTGATTTCCCGATGTGTTTGTAACATCGAATTGTTGATTTTTCAGCCCTCAAATTCCACCTTACGGTCGGAAACCCTATTATTTTATTATATCCTGAAACTGATCAACTATCAATCAGATCCGATCGAGACCCAAGTGCAGATATTCAATTCTCCCGATCAACATACCCTTCGGTAGAGGTGCGAATAGGATCAGCGGTGTTGAGGGCAAGTGTTCCCGAAGGTAAAAACGCTAAACCCGAAAGGGCAATTAATGGAATGGAGGCGGTCTGGGGCGGTGCGGGAGCTGGTTGTGGCTTGGTGAAATAACTAGTTACCCCACACCTTATATTATATAATATTATGCCGACTAAAAAGAACTCCCCATTTATTATAATTACCTTAACTAATGTAGCATAACTAGTTACCCAACTCTATCTATGCTTGTGGCCACTTCCCCAGGGAAGTGTGCATAAGCGTACAAAAAGTCAAAATCATAAGGTGGTGGTCACCCAGCGCCCACGGTTCGGGTATGGGCGGCTCACCGCTCTATTCAGGTCACTCAGGGCAACCACAGTGTAGAAGATCAATCGGCTATATAGTGTATTGGTTGTTGTTTAGACTTTTATCAAATTATATCCTAGCTAAACCGATTTTATCACCTGCTTAACTAGTTCACGACCTTTAACTAACGTAACTATTCCACAACCGAGCCGGCACCAAAATACATAGTAAACGCGATATTTTATAACCTCGTATCGTAACAACCACGGTATTATTTGGCTTTATTGTCATTTTATAGCTATTGATAAGGCCTTTAAACACTATACATTAATTTTAAAGAAAATCGAAAAGCTTCATTGTCACGGTATTGCAAATTACGTTGCTCGAAGCCGGAAATATATATACAACAATCATACAAGTATTAAATATTTTCTAAAATTCTCTAGAGAGGCTAGGTATCACCTAAAAAATAATAGGATATTGAGAAATCTCTGTATATTCTACCGTTGTTAAGATATCAAGTTGTAAATTATCGCCTTTACTATGTGTTTTGGGGTGGCTGACCGGGTGGCTCGGTAGTGGAATAGCTAGCTAGTTAACTTAGGTTAGGGTATAAGTAGACGCTTGAAAAAAATAAATGATAACACATTTGGATATAAATTCGAGTGCACTACCCAGTAAAGAAAGAAGACAAAGCACGTCCCATCCTACAATAATCGAAAAACAATACGGTTTCTATCTACTCCATCTCACGTGCTCGAGATACGCCCGCAACAGCCGTGTGGTTTTGACCTCCAATAGGTGCTCCGCACTCAGGACATCTAGCTTGCTCCATCGGCATACCGCACTCTCCAATAGCAAACTAGAAAATATTCATTTAGCTTAGCCGTCCCATTAAGGTATGGGGACAGTGGCCAGATCGAGATTAAGGAAATTTACTCACCGGATGTCCATTGACGCAATTGTACCAGTGCCCGGAGTGAGTCGCGATTCCTCTTCGCCCACTGACCATGGCGGTTTTGATTGATTGCAGTTCTTTTAAAGTCACTGTCTCGTACCGCGGTCCCTCGTAGAGACGGATCATCTCCTGGACCTGCTCTTGGAGCTCGGGGCAGTTTCCCAGTCCATCACATAGTTTTACCGCAGCGGTAAGGAGATCGCGAATGGTTTCAGTGCAATATTCGGGCTCTTCAGGATGAGTGTAGCTTTCTTTAGGATGTAGATCCAATGTTGTTTCTGCTGGATAAGTGCGGCGATACCACGCGTCCAGGTGGGCGATCTTAGCGAATGAGATGGTTGCCGTGATGACGATGCGGTAGAGACTTCGTTCATCCGCTTGAGTTATCAAGTCTCGGCAATCCTTTAACACTTGAGTCGAGATTGATGATAGGTTGGTGAAAGTTAGCCGTGCTTGTGCAGGATTTTTGTTTGACTCTATCACTTTAAACTTATGGCCAAGCGTGACTTCTCGGGCTTTGATGTGGATTAGCCGTGCGCCGAGAGTGATTTGGTTGTCGGGTTCTCGTGTTGCTAAATTTATTGCCTCTATTCGGGACGAGAGGGAGGCTATTTCGTCGCTTTGTGGCTTCTGGCAGATGGTAATTGCATCCATAAGCCGTTTCATCGGCTGGTTCTCGGCCTCCATGGTTTTGCTGAGAGTCGAAGCCTCTGTCCCAAGGCGCGCACATGCCGCGTATAGTCCTTTGAACTGTAATTCGGCGTTCCAATCGAGGAGCAACACTCGCTTGGAGTTGAGCCTGTCTTCAATATCGTTCAAACGCGATTCAAGGTCTTCAAGGTCGATCCGACCCTTGGCAAGGAACCGCTTATAAGTCTCGTCCATAACAGCGCGGTTGACAACGCGATTGTAACGTTTCGTCACAAATTGGCGAATGGGTTGTTTACAGTCTGGGCACGAGGGTATGGCACTGGCAAGAGAAGAAGAGACATCTCGGAGGCCTTCGAATTTTCCATCTTTATCTCTCGTGTATACTTCACCTAGGCCAACCAATCCATCAACCGATTCACTTGTAAAGAAATGGCCGCATCCAAGCACGATAATTGGGGTTTCATCGATATTTATTTCGGAATAGCTTTTCCATTCGAGGAAGTCAACACGAGCATCACTCTTGTCGCCGCACTTTTGACACAGATTGTTCGGACAATCTTCCCCACAGAGGCTTGGACACTGGTGACCACATTCGAGACTCTTAGGGCATCTCTTATCGCAAGGAAGTCGGTTGCATGGTGCCGCACAAGGCATTGAGCAGGAATTTTGGTGAGTGCAAGACCAGGTGCATCTCTCGATGCATGGTGCACATGCTTTTCCGCAGGTTAAGTCGCATGCTGAGTGCGAGCATCGGACCTATAATATGGTTAGTATCTCTGATACGATGACGAGACAATGGGTTATAATGAGTCTCACTTCGCACTTTTCCTCGCAGTAACCGCAGCCTTTCCCATTGTGACACTCTTTGGGACACCTGTGGTTGCAAACACCGTGTGGACGGTCACATCGTTTTGTGCACTTCGGGTGGTAAGATATTCTTTTTCCGTCATAAACTTCCGTGAGACAGTTTCCACAGCAATCACTGCAGTTGTGGCCACAGCTGAGAATATCGGTGCATGGCTCAGGGCAACGGAAGATCAGGGATGTTACATCCTTAAAACAGCTAACCTGGATTTTATGGCCACACTTAGGAACAATTTTTTCAACCTTGACGTCGCACCTAACGACTTCCAGGCTACGCAGCTGATGGCAGAAGACAGCCTTCTTAATGTGACCACAAGGAAGCTCCACGTCTTCAATCTTCGTCATGCAAGAGCCACAATCTTCACCACAAAGCTTAGGACATTCGTGATCACAGGTTAATCGGATACGTGGGCAAGGCTTTTCACACGCGAAACCGTCGTGCATCACCGCCGAATGGCACTTAGCCTGGCATTGATGGCCACATGGCTCAAGTCGACGTGTACACGGGAGACTGCACCCACCCTCAGGGCTCTTCCTTTCAAAATCGTGAGGTTCAGAACATAGAATAGGCGTATCTGGGTGGCGAGGACAACAAAGAGCCAACTCCGTGCCAACTGCATTCGCACGGGAGAGCTGAGAGTGGACATCGGCCCACATTGGTACATTAAGGTATGTTTGGGCGTTTCCAATGAGATACATGCCGTGCTGAGCCCGGCTGAGGAGCACGTTGATGCGGTTTTCGGTGCGTAGGAAGCCAACCTTGCGCTTTGAGTTGCTGCGAACTAGTGAGACGACTATCACTTTTGCCTCCTCGCCTTGGAAGTTGTCGACTGTGGCAAGGCGGAGCGTCTGGAGCAACGTCTTCTTCTCGAGTGCCTTGGGACTATTTGACTCGGGATTCTCTTCTTCAACCTTCTCAAACGCATCCGCAGCCAATGTTTCTAGGTCCCGTTCGCTAAGGCAAATCTCGAAATCATTGCTAAGCGATGCCCTGAGCTTCCGCAACTGCCCGGTATATGGGGTTAAGAGGGCAATATCCGTGCTCTTGTACTCTCCCTGCCGAACAAGATGCCGAACAAGAGCAGTAGTCATATCGACCTCCCACTGGTTGCTATGAGACTTCACACGGCTGCCGTCATCTCTCGAGTCTTCATCACATTGATGGTCCAGCCAAAAGAGGTTGTCCCTCATTCCAACAACATTGGGCAGAGTTGTCACACTTTCATGATCTTCGAGTTTGGGATAGACACTCCTGATAAGTTGCGAGATCTCGGGCCTCATTCTTCGCTGTACATTAAGCTGTGCAATAGGGGCAGGCTTGAGACCCGGCTCACCGACAGCGCGTCTCTCAAATTGGCTTCTGTCTAGCTGCCACGCCTTTCCTGTGGATGTTTCAAGACTGAGTGAATGATTTTGAATCTGTGGTCGCAGCTGTCGGTGATCCCCAATCTGAATAAAGTGCTCAACACCTGGCATGAGGGCTGAGATAACGTGGGCTTCCATCACCTCAGCTGCTTCCTCGCATATAATGACCTTTGTTCCTATGCGGCGCAGTGTCTTGATATGGCGTGCGAGGGATGTTGTCGTGATTCCTACCACATCTGCTTGAATTAGGGCTCGGCGATTGATCTCTTCATGGACTGCATTAATATCGTCGCGATGACGGGTAGCGCGATTAATGACCTCAAAAAGCGAGGCTGTTTTGCTTTCCTGCCACTTTTTGAACCAATCCATTGCAAGAATCTGGCGTTCCGGTATCGAGAGACTATAAATATTTTCCTTAGCAGCACGTGTGAGGCGCTCGAAACGCACACCGTCAACTTCACTCTCATTCTGGCTGTTTTGGATTCTCATCGATTTGACTTCAAGCCAGTTAAGCAATTTATCATCTGTGACAGTTGTGAATCCCTCCAGGTCTGGTCGCTCCAGCTGGTCATATATAATGGGCCATTTATGGCACACGAAATTCCCAATAGCGGCCCAAGACAGGCCTTTCTGAGACTGGTGCAGAGGTTTCATTGCATATCCAGCAGTTCCCATACAGTCTTCAAGTCTACTGTAAGACATGCGGAGGGTTTTCGACTCTACCTCCGTCTTCGAAGCGCCTTTACTGACAACGCGAAGGTTCTTGCCTTCAAGCTCGGTGGCCTGACTGCGACCGCCAATGCGTATGATTCTCTGGATACCTATATCAAGAAGATGCTTTAAGAATTGGTCCAAGGCATGGTTGGTATAGCAGCTGTAGTTCGTGTAAGTGAAGACACAGGAAGGCATGAAATCAATACTCACATCACGATGATCGGGTTTAGCTTTGCCTTTTGCTTGATTTCAAGCAGAGCTTGAACAATCTTGACACCTAAATAGGACTTTCCGGTACCCGGTGGGCCTTGGATGAGGGCATACTCTCGTGTGAGAGCTGCGATAAGTCCCTGGCACTGGCCATAATCGAGACCAGTCTGAGCCTGCAGCTTCAAGGTGTCGACAGACTCAGGGGTACTCGGGTCCAATTCAACATTGTCCGCCGTAACGTTTGTGATCGAAGTCAGGGGAAAGATAAATCCTGGTTTGCGCGCGTAAGCCGGTGGGGGTATGTCGTGTCCATCCTTATCACCCTTATGGCCAGGCAAGACCCATGCTCGGAATGCCAAATCCCCTTCCCGTTGGATTTGCTGAAGGTTTTCCAGGATAGGGATGAACGTGGCAGGGATCAAACCATGGAATTCGACCAGAAGACCAGTGACCCTCTCGCTGTAAAGCTGGCCCAGGAAGATCAGTTCTTGTTGTAGACATGCCGCAAGCTTGACCGTAATACTAGGTGGAAATCTATCGGAAACAAGACTGCTCTTGTTCCGGTGCGCTTGGTCCTTGGAAGAGTTCTTCACAGTAACCTCGAGGAATATATGCCTTCTGTGAGCTCCTTGGGACGTCAAGAAGCAGATTAGGCTTCCTTCCTCAAGTCGACTGGAGTCTTCCCACCATTTGCATTGCTCTTTGGAGGTCTTTTTGCGGAGTTGTGGTGGAGTAGAAAAGGACACAGTTGCTTCGAGCTCATTTCTATCATTGATAAATATGTGCTGGACTTGTGCTCCCAGATAGAGATGTGCCCTGCCATCCTTGCCTAACAGATAAGGACTTCGTGTCAAATCATTTTGCTGCAGCAGATCTCTGAGAACATCTTTGGCTGAGCCGAAGATATCGTGGCGTAGGAGTCGGAATGTTGAGTCAACATATCTTTGCAAAGGGTCGGCCAGAAAGTGTGGCTGTAGGAAATTGGTAGAGGGTAGATATTCTAAATTGTTGTTGACAATTTCTCGATGGGTAGGAAGAATCTGAATCTGGGATATTTCTGCGAGGTCGTTGTCGTGTCTCCCTCCTGGTATTTGCATATCCATTGGAAAAGACGACACGACTAGCATAGCCTTCTGGGAATCCCCCTCATGCGCCCTGGGTGTAACAAGATTGCGGCTTGCACTAGTGACCAGGCTCTGCATGACTTCTATTCTGCTTTCAAGTCCATCAAGGTCGGCCTTCGAGCATTCCTCGGTCATTTTGGAGGCCAGTTCCCGGGCTAGGTCGAGTAGTACGGGAAGTTCATCGTGGAATCGAGCGCGTCGGACTCTTGACAAAAGCTGGTAAAGGGTATTCAACAGCAATTTCATCATGTCTAGGGAGATATCCGGTGCGGTTTCGCTGGCGTCTTCACCTTTACGTATCAGGTTCTGGCAGACACCTCTCAGATATCTGATTGCTCGATCCCCATTTGTGCCACCGAAGGATGTGTACAGAGTGCCAACAAATGAATCGATAGAAAGACAATTCAGCAGAGAAATATGGGTAATTACTTTGAGGAACGGCTCATTGTGAGCTGGAATAGGTCTTATTCCCTCTGAATTGTCCGCATCCGCAGTTGCCAGGATAAAATCATATCCACGAAGATTGTCATCCACAAGATCTTTGGCGAGGAATTGATGATTCTCTCTGCTGTCACTTTCCAGAATTTCGAGTGCCCCGTTCCAGAATTGAACGAGGTCCTCTTGTTCCATTGGAAAATATCCAGGCCCTGATATTCTTTTCCTAAGGAGTCTCCTCCAGTCGAAGTATCGATTCTGAGCGTCCAGATCACTGCCCGGATTCAACCCGAAGTTGGCAGCCTTAGTCACGTCGTGCGAGAATCTGCACCTCTCACCGTAGTGGCACCTGCCACGCTGAAAGTGTACACAGGGTGTTTCCGGCTCATTGCACTTTCTGCTGTTGAATCCTCCTCGGTTGCTCGTTCTACCCCGAAATCCCCAATTTCCGCGGCGGGCCATCGTGAAAGGAGCTGGAAGGAGAGTGTGCTGTAGAAGGTTGAGCTCCGATGAACTTTAAAGTACTATGCGTCTTCCTAGCTCGGAGGCTTGCACAGATGTATGGATTTCGTTGAAAATGAAGTAGGTTTCCAATGGATCTGATTGTTTAGAGAGGGGTCAGAGAAAGGAAAGAGTCTATAAAGTAATATAGAATACGCCATACGGGTGTCCTGTTTAGTAAGACAGACGTAATACTGCATTGTACTTTGTGAACAGTGATAATAGCCTCCAGTAAGGAGGGGTCGGTTGCTGGTGAGGTGTTTTCCATAGTATGTCCCCCATCTGCGGCAAACAAATCTGCCTCACAATTTCTTGTTACAAGTAGCAGTAGAGGAATAGATGGTCGAGCGCTATTGGGCGAATAGAAAGTGCCCATGTTACAAGCCTCAGTATACGTGTTAAGGCCAAAAGCCACATGGAACTATTCAGATTGGTTGGCTTCGCATAAGGACATGATTGTGAGGCATTGATACACGTTCTAGTGAGACTTGGTGGTTTATACTCGACTTGCGCATATGAGTAGCCTATAGCTGTCTGGTAGCGCCAGGTGCCTCCACGTTCGCGTCACAAAGCCACATCCAACAGGTCTAAGCGATTGGTCGCCCAACACGCCTTAACGAGGGCGATTCAATCGTAGCCACACCCAGAGGCAATCAACCCGACAAGGATTATGAGTTATTTGAACCGTTGGATGGAGGCAGCTAGGCGTAGCACCTGCAGCTACATATGCCATAAGATTTAGACAGCTGAGTCTGGAAAGGGCCATGGGAGACGAAGAGGAGGATCTGGCCAGATAGACTCGGTGTGGTTAGTAGCGTATCGCTTTCTATCCATGTTGGAAAGCAGCATTAAGCTCATGGATGATTGGTGGAAAGGGGGTGGAGAATTATTTCAATGAGGCGGTTCTTGCGGCTGGAGATTCAGCCTTTGCCAGCGGTAGAGATAAATGTGTGTGGATTACGTTAGTTATCTATTATCTGAACGAATCAAAAAAAAACAAAAACATACAACAGTGAGGATTCGCTGGTGGTCACCCACCCAACTACTAACTCACCGGCGTGTGGCTTAAGTACGGCTGAGCGGACGGGAAGCCCTGTTTTCCACACCCTATGGTCGTATGTACCAAAATATGTATAAGAATGGTGAATATAATAGAAGTTGCTGGGTGCAGATATGGTCGAGAGTGAGAATTGGGTGAGCAGGGTGAGTGCGCTATGGTCAGGGGAAGAATCAGGTTGAGAATCACCGGACCCCTACGGGCTGTGTGTAGATGCCAAGAGACCAAGTATTCTATGGTCAGCTTGAGATCCAATCATATCATGGTCCGAGTTACCTACTCTAGGCGACGAATCAAAAAACGATCTTGATTGTTAACAACGTAAATACTATATTATTACTGTTCAAATACTCACGATGCCATACCTCTTCGTATAGATTCGGGGAATGATTCACTATTAGTGGATCGTCTGTGGAATTGGATCTACCATGCTCCGGGTGATGGAGAAGATGTCGACGCCGATGGAGACGATGCTTGGGTATTGCATTGAGACCCTCGCACAGTTACTGGACCAAGCTGGTGCCTATGCGTGTTTCGGTACTCCGCCATGAAAATGTGAAAATGATTGGGTCTCTGGTCTTCGCATCGTGCCGCAACATTTGACAGGGACACGCACGGAAAGAAATTACATATCGTCATACCCCATTATGACGGATTCACGGAAGCTGTGGCTCAGCCCGACGATTGAAGCACTTATCTAATAATATTTTAAAACATTACAGTATGTCCCGGACTGGTGCCACCACTTTCACTCTTCGATTATTTCAACTATAATGCGAAGGCCTACTAACCTCCATTGGGAGCGGCGCTAACAAATTAAAGATTTTACCAAAACAGTCCCTTAGTTATCTAGGTCAGAATGATGTTGCCATCAATGCCTCGAAAGCTATTCTTTGGAAGTGTAGATATAATGATGATAGATGCTTCACCCTTGTAAATATGAAAGAAACGTTATATACAAAGGTTCCTGAGGCCCTAGTGGATGCTTTAGGTTACAAACGCGATTCATCCTTTACATCTGTTGGACTTCGGACCGTCCCATGATTGTTGCCTGTAGGCTGAGAAGATTGTTTGATGATTTTCTAGTGGCTACTGGCGAAAGGGAGGAAGAGAAAGAAGAATCATCGTTGATCAATCTAGGGAAAAGTAGGGTATTTATATCCTGATGTCTTATACACAATTTGCTCAATCTACAAGCAAACAATGATAGATGAGATCATCTAACACTGGGGAGTGAAGACATTTGGCGCCTAAATCACGGCTTCTCGCTCTGTTTAAGAAGAGAAAACGCTTTTCCCACCGTCTTCCGTCAGTCTGTCTCTGACCTTGATTACCATGTACCCTGAGCTCAGACTCCTGAGCTCCTGCGACCCCCTGAAGCAGTGCAAAAAACGGCACTCGGTGAAAAAAGCATAGCCTCCCCCACCCGGAGATGAACGATTCTATGAAACAATAATAACTTTCTAGCAATCTTAGCGTTTTCAGGGTGGTCATCGTCATAGGCCGATGTCTCTTGATTCGACTGTACATCCAAGGCGGCTCCAGCCACATGGCCCTGTAGTGCGCGTATCCACGCAGGGGACGAAAATCTATGGACAATGGTGACCGAGCACAAACTGAGAAGGTCGCTTGAAATTGTTGGCTCTTGGGTAGAAATCAAGATACGGGCCCCGAGGTGACGCTGTAAGCGAACAGTGGAGAGAAGGGTATCTGTAAAGTTTCGAGCTTCAACAGAATCTTTCATGTACTAGTAATGGTCAGCAGCAATACGTAAGCTAAGTGCGTGTAGACGACACACCTTATGAGCCTCGTCAAGGGCCACTATTCTGCCAACCTTGGTATCTTGCTCCATGAAAATACCAAAGCAAACGTTGAAAAGTGAGCAAGCGATATCAGGAGAGATGCAAGGACAGGAGAGGTCAACAATTGTCAATTGTGAGCCCTAGACCGTTCATTAGTCTCTGAAAGTAAGTTGGGGATTTATGGTACCTGTATTACCTTCGGTGTCCAGTTCGAGCCAGCTCCTCGAGGATTCGCCTTCTTTCCATTTCCTTTCTTGTTCAACGTCACTTGCTGCGGGTGCATGAAACTCTCAAGCGTGTCCAATCGTTGCTTCAAAGGCGCGATCTGGCCTGGAAGAAGGCCAGAACTAAGGATTCTTTTCTTGAAGTCCTTGTAGTCAAATTGGGATCCTGACTTTTGTTGTAAAACGCGCATTTCCCGCAAGATCCGCTGGACAGTATGCATGTACAGAGGAACGGGCCCCGAGTCTTGACCAACTGCCATAAGATCCAGCATACGTTTAGTGGTCAGATCAGCTTGGTCTATCTGCAAAGGTTCAACCTTAATGTTGAATCTCGAATAGGTTTTCTGCAGTCATTAGCGAGATGAAGGAAATTAAAGTTATTCCACGTTACCTGTATAGTGAGAATGTTGGTGGGAGCACAAAGCACCCTCACCTTGATGTTCGAGTGGGATGCGAGGAATGCGGCCTCACAGGGTGAACCACCATCGTCGCAGATGAAAGTATCGTAGTGGAAAACAATTGCTGTCAGGGGGTTTAGAAGTCTGCCCGCTTTAGAAAGGATCAAGCACCCTTCTAGTATGCAAGATAGAGTATGACTTTTTCCAGAGCCCTGAGAGCCGCAAATGAAAGTGCTGGATGGCGAGGAAACGTTGAAGAACAGCCTCGGGTCCGTTTTAATGCTCTCGTTCTCCGCGCTTGCATAAGTGGACGTCTCAATACTTTTGACCCCTCCAAGCAGACCATACTGCGGTGGAGCTAGCTCGGGTTGTCTCAGGACAAAACCTGTGAAAATGGGGGCAAGAGAGGCATTTTCCTTTTGCTCATTGGAGCTGTCAAGTTTCAACAAGCTTAGATGATATGCCAGTCTTGGATCTATGAGCATGGAAATCAGCTCCAGCAATGATAGGTAGAGAGAGAGAGAGAGAGAGAGAGAGAGAGAGAGAGAGAGAGAGAGAGAGATAGAGGATTCATGGCAGTGTGAGGTAATGTGAGCCTGTAGTAACGTACCTACTTGGCTGTCTTTACACATCGATGCAGACATTCTCGGATTGCAATTTGGGGGGAGATGCAAATTTCCCTGCTTTCCAGCTCTTTTTATACCCCGGGGTTGTGTATTCATTCAAATTTTTTCTTTATATGCAAGGGTAATTTGGTTGGTATGCTCGTTTACGATCGCGATATCCTGAGATGATTGACAAAAAATGACCATTGAAGCGAGGCATGTGAATGCAAGGCCCGCCTGACTTCGCGGGCCTGTTAGACTTTCCTCAAGAAGTTGGGCCAACATCAAGAGCCAGAACTATCCGGTAAGGGTTACCCTAGGAAGTCCACGAGTGGCCAATTATCTCATAGATGGCCTCTCACATTGGCAGCCTCCCGCATTGGCAGCCTCCCGCATTAACAGCCTTACGCATTGACAAATTCTCTCCTGGATCACCTTCCACACTGGCAGCCTCCCGCATTGGCAGCCTCCCGCATTAACAGCCTTACGCATTGACAAATTCTCTCCTAGATCACCTTCCACACCGGAAGCCTCCCGCATTGGGGGTCTTCTCCTGCCACAGACTCCCGCAGCTTCTCCGCATTGATTCAATTCCATCAAAATCTCCAAGCGTGACTTTACCACCGGCTCTGTGCCTAGGGATTGTAAACAAATATCCTTGCCTCCCTCTAATCATGGATCGAAGCCACACTCTAGACCTGAAAAGCACCGATATGAAGGAGAAACGCCGCTTTGATATTGACCCCATTCGTGCTGGCCCCCCAAGATTTGATCGGTACCAAAAACTTCTGGCCCGACTCTACGAGTCATTATTTCTTTTGAAGGCACTTGGACAAACTCGAGGCGAACATACAACCCAGCTCACGAGCCCCGATCTTCCTATGGAAAAGAGACGAAGATTCTTACAGAATCTTGCTTATGTGTGTGATTTCAAGAAAGGAGGGGATTCTTGATCCGCAATAGGCTTGGAAAGTCGCCAAACTCGCTACCTGTTTTGGGTTGCTTCAAACATGATGATCGAAAAGATAGTTTCTTTTCTCAACACAGCTCTCATCGTTTTGATGGGCGCGAGCAGCCAGTCTGCCTTGGGCCTGGCAACCACAGAGTCTGCGTTCATTCAGCTTTGTGTAGACTTTGCAATATCTCGTATTAACCTAGAGCGCAAGAATTTCCAAAGAGAGGCGGTGAAATGCATTTCAAGTCTCACAGAAAATACCCCCAACATTGGTGAGCATAGGGATTCCATAACTATTGTCAAAGATCTGCAGCTGAGGAACCTCCAGCCCAGGAGCTGGTCAAATGGCTGCACATAGCCGTTAATCACAGTCACAACATCGGGCTTTGCAACTTCCCGTATGAGAACCGCAATTGTATCCATATCGACCAGCTTGCAGCAATGGCATTACAAGAAGAGAACAAATTAGACGCTGTAGGCAGATGGTCATGTTTTTCCTTAGTGCGACATCACATCTCGGTGCTTGCCCATCACATACGGGCACCAAAAGAGCTTGTTGCCGACTCTTTTCATTTGGGACACATGTTGCAAACATATGATGTTTATGCCATTGATCCATTTCCAAGTGTACCAGGACCAGTGCGCGATTCACATACAAACCTCCGCGGAATTCTGAATCGTATATTCAAAACCACCGGAGAGGAAAAGAAACTTGTCGAGGACGGTCTCCTTTACTTGAACAAAACTTCATTTTCTTTCACCTTCGAGCAATTTGTGAAACAATACGAGCAGCCTTGTCCTCAAGTTCATACGGAAGTTCAAGTCCTAGAGCACTTTTACCAGAAAAAGCTCTTCTTTGCGGACGATGGCGGCATGTCTATTCATACTCGTCAATTCAATTACAACGTCTCCCATGGGTATCAATTTGTGGTGCTCTATCTCGTGTACAGTCTCTACATCCATCTGATTCGATAGAAAACTCGACATGAGGACAATCACAATCACAATCGGATTTTCTATTTTCTCAAATCAACTGCATGCTTGTTCCTGCAGTGTCGTTGGAGGTTATCCTCGCGTGTAAACGAGACATTGCACATTTGACAAGACAATTGTTCTTCCACATTCCAGCGTTGTTTAGCCCAAGTGTAATGAGCACACTCGACATGTCGCCGCATGTCCCCTTGTTGTGCAGTAGCGTGATGACACATAGGACATTTGATTGGTTTCTCATGCCATCGTAAGTGTTTTCTGAAATAAATTAGATACGATGTTTTATTCCAGTATGAAAGCCTCACCGAAAAAGTCCCTTCTGCGAGAAACCCTCAATATCGCGACACGTCTCCCGTTGGCAGTAATACAACCCGTCCGAAGCAACGTCCGTCATACTTATTGAAGGCATTTCTGCTTCTTCAAATCTCCATTCCGATTTTGAAACGCTTTTGGAAGCACTGGAGTCTTGCTTGGTGTTTATAACCAATGAGCCCAGAGCATCTGAAGCGGCCATCGGATAGTCGCACATTTCACCTCCATCAATTGGGATTGAGCTCGACCCAGCACTCTATAGAGACTGGGTTTGGTCGAGCAAATCCGGACTTAAAACAGGTTCAAGGTCGGTCGTGTATGAATTGACATGCTCGTCGAAGCTGGCAAATTCCATTGGGTTTTCGTGAGTTCCGGGTGGCGGAACGATACAGTCATCTTCAGGGTTGCAAAAGAGTGCTATCTCCGGTTCCATTTCAGGGGCCGAATTATTATCCGTAGTAGAAGTCGCGAAGTCGAAACAAATATCCCTAGGCACTCCCAGCATCCAATCCCCACTCTCGCTTTGGCCAAAGAATCGGGGATCCATGGCCGATTGGCTTGAGTCGGAGCAATGCACTTCGTACAATTCAGGCTTTGCCAGCCAGTATATATACACGAAGCATTCTCCGTAAAGTTTTATGATACATGGGATCTACGCGGGCATGACGACGACCAAGAATGAACGGAGAGGCATGTATGGCTCAATTAGCTGCCACGACACCCTTTATCGTTCACCGCTAGTTGTGGCCATGTAGCTACTGACAGCGCATTCAGTGAGCCCAACATCTTGGCAGCTGAAGATTGAGGTATTATTCGAGATCAGACCTACAGTCTCGCTCTATTTGTTTCCCAAGAGGCATTTTGGTCCCAGGTCACCAGGGGGTGGTAATTACTAGTGGATCACAGGTGCTCTTAAAGTATATACTAGAGATGGTTTAAGAATTCTATACGTAACATCCTTCAAAGCCTTGTGCCACTATACGTTTATAGGAGTGGATCGATAAAGTAGATAACGATTAGATCCTCGAGGACTATATTAATAACGATAACCCCGTATTTAGGGATTAAATACCCACTTAGCCGGGGGTTATACATGATCTAGGACTATAGATTCTACCGAATATACTCTACTATGACCGCTTTGGGGATATTTCCTTTTTAGGGTTTTTAGTACGTTTATTTAGCGAGAAGGCTCAGTATTTACATTATTGAACAGTCCATAGCTAGAAATTAATAAACATAGCAAGGGATATTGATAATTGCTAAAAGAAATCTGTGCTGTTTCATCCCAACTTCCGTAATGTTCCTCAGGCGCCCACAACAACCGGCGAAGTACTAAGCCTTATCCCTGCGATATCCCTTCTTAATCTCGGTTTCCCGAGGGTGAGGTTGCCAAGTCTTTGCATATTGGAAAGTGCCACCTAAGCACGGAAATTATATAAGAACCGACACCTCGGCGAGCCACTTGAACCCTGCATGATCTAGCTCAACCCATCCCCAAATTTTGTTATTTCCAACACAATGGCAAATACTTTGGAAGAATTGGCCCTCCCAGAGCCACTATCGGACAAGGCCATCCAGTCACCGTCATCAGTCACGTTAGACGAAAAGCACCAGATACTGGAATGGCCCAGCATGGCAACAACGCAGGCCAACGCCCAAAACATTTCAAATTGTCAATGGGCGATCCTTTCCACAAAGCAACCACATATCCGAACTCCCTTATCTGCCCCGAGTGTCTTCTTATGGATAATGACTTCCGCATCATGAAGATGGGAGGCCAGGTTAAGTATTCCAATAATCGACAGCGATGGGAAGCCGAGCGGCTGGACCTCGAGGACAAAAAGAATCAGGCGCGCGCTATTGTTCTCTCTACCGTAGAGACAAAAGCATTCGCTAACTTAAGGGATGACAATATGTTTTTCCCAAAACAGATGACATATTATGATGCTCTCCCGGAAAAGCGGAAGCCTCTCACAATGCCTCGGGGATGGATAAAGAATGTCCTCGGCCAGAAAGGAGAGATGAACACCTTTGGCTTTATGTTCTAACATCCTAAATACCAGGAGAAAAGTCTATGGGAGAAGTTCCTGGATAAATTTGACGAGATCCTCAAGGGTCCTATGTTATCGGCGGATGGGTCTGATCTCATCGAAGAGTTCAAAGTAGCAGAATCATTGAGTTTGAGAGTCCATGCCCGGATAATTTGGACATTCTTAGAGAGTGAGTTCAACAGATCAACGCGACCCATAAGCTGCATGATACTAACGAAATAGTAAATTCCATAACCTTCGGGCAAGGAATGACTTAAATCCAGGATTCTTGTCCAATGTTTTTATTTTCTTGCCTCAAGCGAAGCCTGTTAATCGTGCCTAATGGGACGTCAAAAAATCCATGTTTGTTTGGGCAGTCGATCCTGATTGGCCTCAAACTGTTGTTGACGAAAATGGCTACGATGGACGTGTCACTAAACAGTAGGACGGACGGTAACGGCAGTTTCCTCCAAAAATAAACAAAAACATACAACAGTGAGGATTCGCTGGTGGTCACCCACCCAACTACTAACTCACCGGCGTGTGGCTTAAGTACGGCTGAGCGGACGGGAAGCCCTGCTTTCCACACCCTATGGTCGTATGTATCGGAACATGGATGAGAATAGATAATGTAGTTACTAGGTGCAATATTCGTTGAGGAGAGAAGTTCTCCTAAGCTAGTTGGTATATACATGTTTCGTCAAAGTCGGTGAGAGTTGGCAAAATCTCGCGCAGCATAGCAAGCATCTTCTACAGGGCTTCGTATGAAGGTCCTATAACAACTACAGTGAAATACAGTAATTTATTAAGTTAATCAGCAGGCTAATACATCCTAAGTAGGAAATGCTTAGCAAAGTTATACATATGATGGGACCATATGGGAGTCCCATACTCCCATGGGACTTGTCGAGGTCTAGCTGCAGTACCGAACCAAAGGCCTAGTGCTGCGGGACTTGTCAAGGCCTATTTGGGATCACACTATATTAGGGCCCCAATGGGTTACCCAATGGGTTTTGTGTTATAGGTAATAACCCAAAACCCATTTTTGGTTGGGCTGGGTTGGGTTGGGTCCGGGTTAGAGTGGGTTGTGCCGAAGTCTAAATATAAAGCTTCAAATATCACTTTAAGGTTTAAGGTTATTATGTAAATACTACCTTCTTCTTCTTCTCTCTCTCTCTATATTACCCATTTATCATTAGTAGATAGTAAAACACTAGGTATCGCATTGATCACTCTTATTAATCTTTTCGATCTCATTAATTTCATTAATCTCATCCTTAGTCAATTCTGTCAATTAACTTAATTCCCATAAAGACTCGGTCAATATGAGACTTAGACGGTAATTTAAATACTCAAAAATACTAGAGAAATCTACATTACTTATATATCTGCCAAGAGTTGGTTTATTTTTATTGTTTAAGGCCCATTGGGCCCCCATAAAAGCCCAGCCCATTCGCGGGTTGGGGCGGGCTGGGCTTTGGGCTTTATGGGCCGGCGCGGAGGTCTAAGCATACTCTGCTGCCTAGATAACATGGCTCTCCTACTCTATGGAATTTGAATATGACCCGGAACGAATTGGTGGCATGGCGGGTGGTTGAATTAACTAAGTGCTAATTTCCGGGTTCAACTTTGGGACTGTTATCACTGTCACCTCCCTTCAATAACTACCAGTATAGTAGATAATTGATCCTTATAAATGTGTATCCTATTATGTGGTATTATGTATATGTCGTGTTTATAATAAATTTATTGATGCGACTAGTACATATTATATGCTTGAACTTCTATAATTGAGAAGGGAAACTGCGCAGAGATTGCCAAGGCCTATGCTGGTAATAGTGTTCTTGTGATTGCTGGATAGGGGAATCTGCGGGTTTCAAGCGTCGGCGCAGGCCGCACACCCGCACGGCAAATACGGGGTACAACGTACGCCGCGTGGCTGAGCACCCATGCCAAGATGCTGGGGTTGTTTCATACGAGGAGAATCCAGCTAATCCAAAGTAGCCATTAGTAAAGGAATGGGGTATCGAGCGCGAGCCTCGTCGCACGACCTTCACGTGACCTTAAATGCCAACCTGGGGGATGTCGCCAGCTTCCGAGCTTTGTGGAGCCTTCTAAGCTGTACGCATTCACGAATGTCAAATGAAATTTGTTCGAGAATGAGAGACACAACGCCAGCAAAGCGCCGTGGGACAGCATACGCGCCCTGGATGCCAGAGCTCTCGGCCCTCGGTGGATCATCGCTGGCTTTTGTGGGGATGGTGGCTCTGCTCAGTGTCTTTGACGACCGGCCCATTTTCGACTGGTACGGGGTGACGCTAAATACCCTGGTGTCGATACTTTCTGCCGCGATAAAGGCAGCTTTGATCTTTGCGATTTCCGAATGCATCAGCCAGTGGAAATGGATCCTGTTCTCGCGCGACGAACGGCTGCTGATCGACTTTGAGCGGATGGATTCAGCGAGTCGTGGTCCCCTTGGGGGGATTAACGTCCTCTGGAAGTTGCGAAGATCGTGAGTAGCAGCATTAGCAGCCCGATATGTCCCTGATCGCTTTTTTTCAGAGTTTAATCGATAGTGATATATGAAGAATCTCTGTCCAACTAGGCGCCTTTCTGACCTTGCTCGCCATCGCCTTGGACCCATTCTCGCAGCAGCTGGTGCAGCTGCGGCAAGGAACCGAGTTTGTTGACTCGCTGGGTGACGCCCACGCCGAAAGCGCGCTAACACAGGAGTACACCAAGGGTGACGTGGTGTATGGAAACGATACCAACTCCACTATAAACCCATCAGGGCCCAAGGCAATTGTGGCGAAGACGATGATAGATCTGTCCATGCAAGGGTCCATCCTGAGCGGCTTCTCCCGCTCGCTGGCTGAAATCCGCCAGCAGGCTAATGTGAAATGCCCAACAGGCCAGTGCACGTGGCCCCCTTCCAAGACCCTTGGTGTCTGCCACACATGCCACAATATCACTTTGGACTTGAAGAGGGTTGACAACTTCGGAGATGTCGCGGGGCCTTTGATTTTGGGGGAAGACACAATGCCAGCGAACGACAGCTCGGCGTTTGTCTTGCCCAACGGTCACTTTATGGCGGGTATCAATGGGCAGATTGCCAGTATCACTGGGATGCCGGAACAGGGCTACCAGAACCCACACAACTCGTGGATTGTGGCTGGTCCCGCTATGACTTCGTTTGGAAGCGGGAACCCGGCAAAAACCAACCGGATGCAGGACGTGGACACCTTGATCTGGTCGACCAGCATGATCTACGTGGATACAGCCCAACTGGGGATGGCTTCTGCCGAGTGGCCTGATGTCCCTGTCCGCGCAAGCGAATGTGCGGTATACTACTGCGTCCAGAACATCAACACGACAGTGGAGGGAAACACCATCTACGAAAACACCACCGAGGACACTCAAGCTAAGCGAGATCCAAATTCATGGCAGCCAAAGGATTCACCCCTGGACGAAAAGTACGCTCCTGAAAATATCCCTCCAGATCACCAAATGTCAAGCTTAGAGTGGGACGAACGATACTCTGCGATCAGCAGGGAAGACTTGATCCTGTACTACCCGCAGAACTCCAGTGACTCCACTTATACGTTGGCTGAAACCGCCGTCAAGCCCATCAGCGCGTACTTCCCGTCACTGCTAACCGTAAACATGACAGGATCAGTCAATGTAAGTCGTGCTATTGCGGAGCGACTGGGTGAGCATGCTGTCGGCTACAATGGCGCCTGGATAGGCTACAAGGCGTACCCGGAGGCGTTACGGCACATCTACGAGGCAAGTGAAGATGTCGACCTTGCTGCCAAGTTTGCCGTGCTCGCGGCTAGCATGACCAACGACATGCGCAGAAATGGAGACGGCATCGCCAGGTTTGACCCACTGAATGGTCATATAAGTCTGGGCAGCGACAATCAACCCGAATACGGACTCGTCGGTGTCGCGACGACGTATTATAGCATCGAATGGGGTTGGATAGTGCTTCATGCCCTGATGCTAGCCGGTGGCCTTGTGTTCTGGCTGTTGACTGTCAGAAACTCCTCTAGGCCCGAGGCGGTACAGATATGGAAGAGCAACTCTCTTGCGGTCTTGCGCCAGGGCCGGACGACGGGAGATGTTTTGAAGGGGTCCAGGACGATGGAAGAGATGAGGAGCATGGCCAGAGGCCAGAAAGTGCTGGTGACACTGGAACATTGCCCGGATGATCTAATAGCACTGCCGACTAGGCAGAGAGACGATGCAGACGTCGCCCCAGATGACCGCCAGGAAAATTAGTGTAAATGTTGCTTTATCGCTTAAGACAATAACCCCAAATAGGAAGGAAGCAAGGCACGTAGATCGTTATATACTCCCCGACTAAAATTGTATTTAGTCTCTAAATACCGGTTCATTATCGTCACTGTAGTCTTTAATAAATCGGCCCTCTTCCTTAGCATCGAGCTATTCTCGTAAGCGTATAGGAGGTCCTAGTGTGATTCAGAGAATGATCGCATGGTTCCTATGAGCTAGACCTGGCAAGGAGAGCTTTGCTATGTTCGCAGGTCGAGACCCATAAATACCCATATCCCAACCTCCCCTTTCTTCCTTTCTCCTCTTTTTGTTACTTGGTATTTTGTATGAAATGTACTCTTTTGCTTGGATGATCTGGTAGGTAATAAAAGCCTTATAAAATTGTCGAGTCTTTTGGAAGACAGATAACAGGATGGTAGCTGGTCAAGAAGAGATTTTTTTTGGAACATTTGCACGTTTGTGACGTATGCGGGAAGTAGCCTGTGGTGTTCAGGGCATTCAGGTGAACGGGCTGAATGGACTGAAGAAGAGTAGGGCGACAAGAGGTTATCTAGAAAACAAAAACATACAACAGTGAGGATTCGCTGGTGGTCACCCACCCAACTACTAACTCACCGGCGTGTGGCTTAAGTACGGCTGAGCGGACGGGAAGCCCTGTTTTCCACACCCTATGGTCGTATGTATCAGAACATGGATGAGAATGGAAAATGTAATAGAAGTTACTGGGTGCAGATATGTTGAGAGTGAGAATTAGGTGAGCACCGCTTTACGCGACCGGGGGTGAGAAGGGTAAGTGCGCCATGGTCAGGGGAAGAATAAGGGTGAGAATCACCGGTAGCCTGCGACATCGCTCATGGACGGGCGGGTGGGCATTGCCCACGGGCCTTATGTAAGCGGGGAATGGGCCCTATGGATAGGCCCATGGACTGTGAAGAAGTAGCCAGTCTTGATTCACACTAACTAAGCCGTTTGCAGTTATCTAAAAGCTTTAGGAGTAGACCTCGACAAGTCCGATGGGACTTGGGAAATTTTGGTCCCAAAACCCTAGTTCTCCCATGGGACTCCGATATGGTCCCATCATATGTGTAACTTTGCTAAGCATTTCCTATTTTGGATGCATTAGCCTGCTGATTAACTCAATAAATTACTGTATTTTACTGCAGTATTGCTCTTATCACATTAAGTACGTAGGAAGCAATTAACCTCTTGTTTTTCTTTCATATTATGTCTAGGCCTTAACAAGTCACGCGTAGACTGCGACATCGCCCGTCCACGGCGGGCGGTGGGCTATTTGGATTTTCGAGTGCCCACCATGCCCACCATTGCATAAAGTCACCTAAAATGGACGTATAACTCGCTGACTTTGCATAATAGATAGTTAACTGTTATTTACACCTGTTTTGCTAACTTCATGTAAAATCGCGATTTTAATCTATAACATCCATAAATTTTACTGAAATATGTGAGTATATAAGAAACTAATATATATAGGGAATTGATACTCGCACCGTGCCCAGGTGGGGCTAACCTTGCAAGGTCGGAAGGGGTGCAAGAATTTATGTCCAGTCCAGTCCAGTCACTGTAATTCTCTCATCCTACCACCTATCTTAACCATATGAGTTCTCTCCCAAAAGTCTCATCATTTCCCTGGTACGAAGTAATGTCCCCAGTTTCATCGACAAATATCAAGGCTGGAGGCTACCCTGCCCTAGCCTCGACCCCCCGAAAGCTGGCCACCCGCCCCATCTCCTCATCCGCTAGCAGCAGACCCATATGATCCGTCTCAAACGGCAACACAACATCCAGGCCGCCCTCCTCCTCTGTTCCCGCCGACCGCCGTGGATAGATCATCATCATGTTCTCCACGACGGTGTCGGCAATCTGACGAGCCGCCGCCGGTCGGCCAAACCCGAAATCAACGGCACACATGTTGGCATCGCGCCAGTCTGTGACCGCAAGCGACATTGGGGGCAAAGAGTCGAGGCGGACATTCAGGGCGGATTTATCGCGTATGGGTGCCATACCTGCCAGGGTGGCCTCGAGGGACTGCGGGGTGACGCTCTGGGTGATCTCGCGGATGAAGGTGGCCAGGACGGCCAGCGGAGTCTCCGGCGAGATGACTTGACCCAGCGTGAGCGGTCGGGGGTGGAGGAAGGACAGCCCGCCGCTGAGGACGTTTCCCTGGTATCGCATTGAGAGCGGGGGGTTTACTGTTGGGAAATCAGTTAGGACTGGGGAGCATGACACGGGAGGGATGGAGGCGAGGGGTCTTACACCGGCGGCGCATATTGATGGACTCGAGGAAGAAAGCGGGCGCGGAGAGATCGGGGCGGTAGATTTGGGCGCGGTTGCGGGACAGTACCCGCCACAGGAATGCCGTCAGCGCATCGTAGGTGGAGATCCAGCCGCCCGTGGTCGGGCTGGCCTGGCGCTTAAGGGCTTCTAGCTGGCCTTGCGGGATGTGGAAGAGCATCCACGAACATGGCAGCCAGTCGGGATGCCGCAGGGCGGCCGGCGGGGCGGCCACCCGGTCGGCCTCAGCAACGGGCGGGGAGATGAATCGTGCACGGTCCATCCAGGCATCGTCCCATTCCGGGGGAGGCGTGCCGCGAAGGAAGGCATGGCTATGCCCGGCGATCTGGTGGATGAGGCTGGTAGTGCCTGTGACATCCATGGCGAAGTGGTGCTTGTGTACAGTGAAGACGAAGCCTCCCGGGATGAAGGTCAGCTGGTACCCGGAGATGCGCGGGCTCGCATTCGGCGGGCAGTGGCACGCCATCGTCATGCCGGGGATCGTAAACTGCGCCGGGTCCCCCAGGCTGGCCGACGCAAAGCTTGCCTGTTCGATCTCGGCGTAGGAGGGGCCGTCGAGATGGTTCACAACGAAGGGGACTGTGCTGTCGGGCTTTTTCATGATGGAAAAGTCGCCCTGCCCGTCCCCCTCGATGGTGCCCACCATGTGGCGGCATTGCGCAAGCGTGGCTTGCACGGCGTGCCGCAGCGTCTGGGTGACGATGGGGATATCGCTCGGTTGGTCGAGCTTGAAGATCAGGGCCCAGGTGCTGTAATTCTGCGTGATGATCAGGTCGAGGGTCGACAATGGGAACCGCTCCTCAACCGCCAACTGCCGGTGGGGTAAGGGGAAGATATGCTCGGTTTCTCGTCGGGAGGGGGCCAAGTGGCTCACTCGGCGGATGGGCGGGAGACGACCAGCACGGAGGGAGCACACCCCCCAGCGGAGCGGAGACAACATTGTGGCGGGATTGGGGTTGAGAAGAACAGACAGACGAACAGACAGACGAACAGACAAGGAAAATGGGAGGGGAGAGTAATAGCTTAAATATCCAAGCCGTCAGCTTACTGTCGGCCAAATCATCTTTGTGTATATTTCCAATTTTGGGTTATCTTTGCGAAAATTTCGCAAGGCCCCGAACTTCCTAGTTCCATTCCTGAGACCGTCAGATGTAAAATTACGACCTCTTAAAAAAAAACGCGTAACTATACAACGGAATAACTAGTTAGGTAAAGTTTAATCCTCTATACATGTACTAGGTATTTACCGTAGTATTTAGTAGTCAGAGAGCGTACCTCTCCAGGGCTCTTCCCTATATCTCTCTTTTGATAGCATTGTACAACATCTATTGTCTCATCTCTTTATCGTGCATGTTCATTAAATAGACATGTTCATGTACGTTTTTCTGATCCCTCGCTGCAACATAAATAGCAGCGAAGGTACTTCTCAAATCGATTTCTTTCTTCTCATATATGTACCCACGTCGTGTTTGGATGGAATTCGGCCAATGCATGGCCCAGCTTAGTTCTGCTGCCAATTCTTTCCCGGAATCAGGAATAGGAAAAGGTCGGCTACCGTAGTATTACATTCGATACTCGGCATCTGCTCACATGAACATATTCTTCACCTGCTCGTTCATCCCACATGCCGCCCGTCTCATTTCCGGCCTAAGAGCGCTCACGCCTTCACAATGACCCGCACCCCCTTGGAATCCCATTTGGGCATCGGCCGCACCAGATCCATGATGAAGTCCACATCACTGCGGTCCGTCTCGAACAGCTCCAGCTTGTGACGACGGAACAAGGTTGCCAACGCCACGTACATATCCATCATGGCCAGATGCATGCCGATGCACACGCGGGAGCCCCGGCTGAAGGAGGTCAGATAGTACGACAGCCGGTGCTTGCCATCAAAGCTCATCGGGTCCCCCAGCCACCGCTCCGGCCTGAACTCGTGCGGATCCGGGAAGATATCCGGGTTGACATGAATGTGGTAGGCGTCCATGCTGACGGTCGTGCCCGCGGGGATCTGCCACCCTCTATACGTCAGGGTCTGGTTGCGGTGCACCCGTGGCAGCCGCTGGACTGAGCCGAATGACAGTCGCAAGGCTAGACAAGTAATGAGTACAGGGTGCTGGAACAAGTCAGAGGAGAATCCGGGGTACACTCACATTCGCTGATGACGGCCGAGAGGAAGGGCAATTTCTCCAGTTGCGCCCAGGAGAGGACCTGGTCCGGGTCGGGCATCGCCTCCACCAGCTCAGAGACCAGCCGCTGCTCGATGGCGGGATTCCAGAGGATGTGGAAGGTGGCCACCGACAGCGTCCACATCGTGGTCTCGATGCCCGCCCCACTGACGCTCATGGCCTCCTGCGTTAGGCGATGGGAGGAGAGCTCTGCGGGGGGAAGGTTGGCCTGCAGGATATCCGTGAAGATGGTGGGATGAGCGGCCGCTTTGGACTCGACGTTGCTGCCCGCCAGTATATCCTTGATCTGCCGCTGGATAGCCTGCTTACGCATTAGTCCGCTGTCGTAGTCGGCGCGATGAGGGGGGCACCTACCACGCGATAGTCTAGGATGGGCTTGAAAGAGGGCACCAAGACCCCCATAATGGAATCCGGCATCCATTGGGTCATGCGCATGACCCAGTTAAAGTGGGTAGTGTAGTGGGCAGCGTAGACCCAGCTCATCAGGGCATGCGAGTAGGGCGACTGGAAGTCTGGGGCGGCAGAGAAGCGCGTCGAGCGCGCAAAGGCCATCTCTGACACCACGTCGGCCGTCAGCGTTCCCCACATGTCACACACGTTAATAACCGCCCCCGACCCGGCATATTCACTCCCCAGCCGGCGCGAGATGCGTTCGATCACCTCCGTCAGCGTGTCCCCCAGCGAGCTGATGCGGGCACGCGAGAAGAAGGGCGCGATGGCCGCCCGACGGATGCGGTGATGCTCCGACTGGACCGTGCTGATGGTCGCCTCGGGCATGCCGAACCGGTGCTTGTATTGGACCAGCTTGTCGATGGGTTTGGTGGGTGACGCCATGCTGTACACCTCGTTGTAGTAGTCCGGATCGTCGATGTGGACCTCGTTCGGGCCGACCCGCACGATGGGGCCGTGCTTCTCATGCAGCCGCTTGATCTGGAATACGAACTGGCCGCCGTGGCCCTCGCTGACCAGGTCATAGTATGCTTCGTACCAGCTCGACAGCGCCGCCAGCTTAGGTCCAGGGACTTCGGCCAGAGGACTGAGGTAGAGCCGGTAAACCACGAGGTATAGGCCGCGGAGCAGCACCAAGACCGCCGCGCCAGCTACCAGCACCATGGATGCCGACCATGTGCTAGAAGGGATTGCGTTGCTCATGTTCAATTGTTCAACTGCTCAGAGGAGATGATAATACTTTTGGGAGGGGGAGTGAATCTGGTGCTGGCTGCCCAGCCGTTTAACACGACCTGGGTGCCTGTGCTGTCCGGTCCCGATAGCTTTCTTTTCTGCGATTGGAAGAGAGCATCGGCCTGAATCTGACCGAGGGGGTGGTCAGCACCAGGCCGGGATGAGGCACATCTGGCGAGGCGTGAATCCGGATCCTGGACACGCACCACATCTGTCTCACTGCAGGGCATGGCAGGGGCATTTTCAAACCTCAGCAAGGTGCCAACCTAGACTTATCCAGATACTGCCAGACCCGTAGCTGGTAGATTGTCTGTGGAGCATTGCTGCAGTGTCATCGCCTGTAGTGTCAGCACCTGTAATGTCATCGCCTGCAGTGTCAGCGTTATTTTGCATGGCGGGTAAGAGACGGCGCTTGGCAATATTCAAAGGATCTCGTACCATATAGATTTGGTCGGGAGTATCCGTCTTACGCCTATAATGATGGCTTTCGTGGACGCGGCTCGGAGGATATAGCACGTGGGAGCTGACAGGGTCCAGGTTTGGGGGCCAGAGACTATTTTACGGCCTCTCTATAGGCAGCACATCACGACGTCCATACCAAACTCATCACTTTAGTCTTATGAATATGACTTGGGACAGGTCCTGTAACTTACTAGTGGCTTACAGCACTAGCGCCACCTCATTACTTTGGGGGCTTTCCGTAGGACTATGTTCATTCCTTGGGGCGAAAGATTGTTACGCTTGGCCCCCCTTCTCCAAAGTCGAGAAGAACTTGTCCTCCACGTAAGAGTCTCACCCGAATCCTGCGATACTGTAGGCAGCATCAATGTGGCTGTGTCTGCCCACTCTCGCCGGCTCGTACACGAGACTCGCCTCGGCTGAGATGATTATAGAGTCGGGCTGAGTGGCAATATAAATAGAGTACGACAATGATTCCTGGATGAGGGCATTCGCAATCAACCTCGGTTTCTATTTCCCAGACGATGCTTGGTGCTGTACTTCGTTCCACTCTGCTCCGAGCCTGGATGGCGGTCTGGCTCATGGGGCAGGTAGGTGCTACATCTGAATCTCCATCCTCCCTGGCCGTGTCCACCAAACCCACCAACTCGCTTCTGTCAACTTGCAGGAAGCTGCCACAAGATGCGGACTGGCCTAGCGCGCAAGACTGGGCCCAGCTTAACCAGACGGTGGGAGGGCGCCTGATTGCCACCGTGCCGGTTGCGCATGTATGCCATGATCCCGCCTACAATGAGACTGCCTGTGCTTGGTTCAAGGAGAACTGGCTGACGGTGGAGGCTCAGTGAGTCGATCCCGCCCATCCATCCATTTCCGACTGACCCCGACAGCGTGTACTATCCGGCCGAAATTCTGAATCCCTACTTCCAGGGCCAGTACTGCGAGCCCTTCACCCCTAAGGTCAGGCCTTGCACGCTGGGAAACTACGCCGTCTACTCGATTAATGTCACCGGCGTGTCTGACATCCAGGCTGGACTCGCCTTTGCCAACCGTCACGACGTCCGATTGACCATCAAGAACACAGGTCATGAGTAGGCTTCCCTTCCCGTCTCCCCTCTCCACTTTTTATCCTGGCGTGAAATCCTTCCATGCTGACTGTGATAGTCTACTGGGGAAGTCCACAGGGCGCGGAGCTCTCTCGCTATGGACGCACAATTTGAAAGACCTCGAATTTATTGACAACTACGCGGGCGACAGTCCGTACACGGGATCGGCGGTGCGCATCGGGGCAGGCATAATGTTCAAAGACGTCCTCCCGGTTGCGGCGGCGCGAGGGAAGCGCGTGGTGAGCGGAACGTGTGGTACCGTTGGGGCAGCCGGGGGCTACACGGCCGGCGGAGGACATGGCAGCCTGACTTCATTGTACGGGATGGCCGCAGACAGCGTGCTGGAATGGGAGGTGGTGACGGCAGCGGGCGAGCATCTGACCGTGACCCCCAAGCAGCACGTGGATCTATACTGGGCCCTCAGTGGCGGCGGGGCAGGCACCTTCGCCGTCGTTGTCTCGATGACCACGCGCACGTACGATGATGGGCCCATGCAGGGCGCCGGCTTCACAGTCTCCAACAGCAACACGACCGCCTTCTGGAACACCATCGACCTGTTCCACTCCAGCCTAGCCCCCGTGGTGGACACTGGGGCCACGTTGACCTACTTCATTCTCGGCACGGAGCTGATTGTCTTCGCCGCCGTCATTCCGGGCAGCGAGCTGGCGCTGGTCACCAGCACGCTGGCCCCGATTGTGCGCAGCCTGGCCCAGGTGGGGGTCGCCGTCGACATCAGCTCCTCCAGCTTCTCCTCGTATTATGCCCTGTACGAGTCCTACTTCGTGCCCACCGAGGAGTCCACCGCCGTCGGTCAAATCACGGGTGGCCGCATCATCCCCCGAGAGCTGCTCGAGCCCGCCAGCCCGAGTCTCAGCAAGATCAGTGCCGCGCTGCAAGACTTCACGGAAGCGGGCTTTTACATTGCTTGTGCTGCCCTCAACGCCAATTCGTCCCGGCAGGCGCCCTTCACCTCCAATGCCGTCTTCCCCGTCTGGCGCTCTGCGCTGCTGACCTGTATCATGGTCCAGACGTGGGACTATTCCATCCCCTGGAACGAGAATCTCGAGCGCCAAGCCAACCTGACGAACATCTACATGCCGCAACTCGAGACTGTCACCCCGGGTGGAGGGGCTTACCTGAATGAGGCCAACTTCCAGGATCCAAACTGGCAGGAGGCCTTCTACGGGCACAACTACCCGCGCCTGGGAGCGGTTAAGCAGCGCTACGACCCGAACGAGCTGTTATACGCCCGTACCGCGGTGGGTAGCGAGAAATGGAAGGAGAATAGGGAGGGGAGGTTGTGTCGGGTGTGAGCGTGCCGGAGGGGCCGAATGGGGTTCTGAGAGGTTACAGGGGTCAATGGTAGGAAGGAAGATCAAGTATAATATAATGAATATCAAAATTCAATAAGAAAATGAGTATTAATGTATTGAAATAGAAAAATGGATTTGAATATATGATGCTTGCATTTGAGATTAATACTGCTTTTTAATGTTGCATATTCAGTCTAATTGTCTGCTTTTGGAATTGCCTGTTTTTTACATTCATAATTCAATTGGCTTATTTTTATATCTGTAAGCTCAATTTAATTGCCTGACTTTGCAATTTTAAATATGATAGGGATACTTTGGGGTTTTTGGGGGGGGGGGGGGGGGGGGGGGGGGGGCGGTTCATACTACTCTGTGCAGTAAGGCAACATAAGTATTTTATGTTCACTATATACAGTAGTACTGATAAGTACAGCGTTATGATGCGTAATGTAGTGAGGCGTAGGATAATGTCTAGAAACACGTCGCATTTCGCCCATTTTACTAGACTATACCAGTCATACTAGCGTGGATTATTCCTAATTAGATAGATAGGGCAGTAAGCACTAAGTAGTAGTGAGGGTAGCAATATAGCGAGAAATAAGGGTACTGACATAAAGAGTCATTGGTATCTCCAATTGGCCGGATACAATACGGGAGTGGGCACAAATAACATCTTCAGATGTCGACATATTTAAGATATTCTCAAGATAGACAATCTATGGATGACAGCGATAGGCACTGCGAGGCAAGGTACTTGTGCTATCAATCCTGCAGCTTATCAATGGCACCACTGAGCATTTCAGATAGGAGCGAGGCTGTCGCGGCCTCTACCACGGGATCTCTGTGCCATCAATCACGTTGAAGAACTTGCCCGAGGTCGCCTCCCGAGACGCATTATCAATCTGCACGAGTCAACTGGTATTCTTCTTCGAGATAGGGAAGGGTATCACGTACTAGGCCTAGAATGGCATCGATACTCTGGCGCTGGGAGTTCGGGGCCTGGGGAAGGCCCATCGCGCGGGCACTCTTGTTGCCGCTCTCCGTTTGTACGAGGCTGTCAGATGGTCAGCTATTGGCTGAAATCTCCTGTCCAGCTAATATCTCTGGTAGCTTACCCGGGATGCACGGCAAATGCGATGAAACCCTTATTGGCGCCGTGGATAGCACTGCATGTCCGCCGGAGTTAGCCGATTCTTTTCCTAGCTAGGATAGGCTAAAGCTAGCAGTATCTTACGTAGTGATCCAGTTCAAGCCTGCCTTGGCGATTCCGTACGCCGGAGCGATATAAGCCTTGTGAAGCTCAAGTCGGCCAATCGAACCAGCAGCACTGCTGACCGAAACCCACTTAGGGGCCTGGGACTTCTCTAGCAAAGGCTTGACGGCCTGGTACAGGGCCAGGGGCCCGAGCGCATTCACGGTAAACACATCGGTCACGATCTCGGTGCTCACCACATCCAAGGGGATGATACCCTTCTCGCCAGCTCCTCCGGCATTGGCCACTACTATATCGATATAGTCGACGTCCGTGAGGTCCTTAATAGCCGCCGCCGGGTCGGCCGAATTGCTGCTTTCAATCTTTACTAGCTGCAGACGCGAGCCATCAGCCTTGGGTAAGGCCTCTAGCTCCTTAACGTAGTTTGCGGCTGTGTCGCGAACACTGGCAATAACGGTATGCTTAGGCCGGAGTAGGAAGGTTTCTACCAACGTCCGTCCGATTCCTATCTTCCGTCAGCTCGATCCTAATACGGGTCTGTCTAGGTATCACTTACCTCGACTAGCGCCGGTAATGAAAACAACAGTGTTATCGGAAATTGTCATGGCGGGCGGGATAGATAATAGAAAGACTCGGGTGGGAGTGGTATCTGGTAGCGTTGCGATTGGATCAATAGGCTTGATGAATAGGATAGAGAGAGAAAGAGGAGTTAGCTTTATGTCTGCAACCGCCTCTAAATAGTCAGCTATGGGAGGTGTTGAGAGATAGCCCTATAGGCGATTAATAATGCTTATATGCCCCTCCACGGATGCTTTGAAATCGGGACCTTAGGATGACCGACCATTGACAGGGATATGAAATAGACCCCTGTATAGGGCTACGAGGGACTATCGGACGAGCTTGAAGCTCGTGGTCGATAGCCACTGAGGCCATGCATGTTCCTGTCAGATTCTCAATTTCGGCTTATTCCCACGACAAGCTCGAGCGGCCTAGTGCGAATCCTTCGCGCCGTGTAGTCTCTTGGTATTCGGAGTACTCCGGTATGGTCTGTTTAATTGGAAACGCCGTGCTAGTCTTCTGCATCTGATTTGGATGATGCAACTGTTAGAGACTACTGTTTGTATGCACTAAAGATTAGAAGGGAGAGAGTTGTATTGGGAAGAGAGAGAAGCGAGCTCCCAATCAACTATCTACATAGCACGCCGCTCAACCTAAGGCAACAAGACATCCACCACAACAGCAACCATATCGGGCAATGATCTCAATACAACATATACTGAATTCACACCCTTACTGTAGTCTCAGACATGCCTCTCACTATTGACAACAAGTCCAACCAAGGAAGATTATGAACCCTGTGGAATACTTGTTTAATTAAGAATCTATCATTCCTAACGTAAACACCTTTGGGTTCAATCAAATCACCTTCTGTACAAACTCAACCTGCTTCTCCATCGCCGCTGCCAAACTCTCGCCATCCAAGATGTCCATGTGCCCTCTCCCCTCGACGACAAGTATATCCCTCGTCCCATGTCTTCCACCGTCTCCCTGCAAAGCTTCCAGATACGCCTTCTTTTGCCGCTCGACCGGCGAGATACGATCCTCCGCCGCACTGATGAGGAGTACCGCAGTCTTCCCCATCAACCGCACCACCTCAAACGGACTCCAACTCACGATATGATAGTAGGTCTGTAAAGTCGTAGTATCTTCAAACCCGACAATCTTTTCTTTGGCCTCCCTCACCAACTTGACCTCCTCTTCCCCAACGCCACCCGCGCCAAACCCCGCCGGATTCTCTCCGGTCTTCGTCAGCATCGGGAGCCGAAAGGCTTCGTTGCCCGCCACCTGCGACTCGCGATCCTGCATTGCCTTGACCAGGACCTTGGCCTGCTTGTTCGCCGGCAGATCCCAGACCGTGAGCGGATTGACGGCAATCACCGCTTTGGCGCGTTTGTCCAGCGCCGCGGCACATAGGGCAATGGCTCCGGCGAACGAGAAGCCCCAGTAGATGATTTTCTGGGGGTCGATACGGGGATCAGACTTGAGGAATGTGAGGGCGTCATGGTAGTCGGAGACTTGCAGGGACGGGTTGATGTTGTTGCGTGGCTGGCCATCGCTGGACCCAATAGTCCGCGGATCGTAGACCAGACATGAGATACCGCTGCTTTGGAACGAGTGCGCAATGTTGGGGAGGAAGACATCTCGGGTGGTATTGAACTACATCATCTGGTCAGGGAGAGACGAACTGTCGGTAGACAAGATGGGGTTCTCACGCCGGGAGTCATGATCACTGCTGAGCTCTTTCCGGGCGACGAGGCTGGGTAGAAGTGGCCCCGGAGGGTGACTCCGTCCAGGGCCTTGAATTCGACTTGTTCGCGCTGCGACATAGTCTGGAATGAGGGTTCAATGGATTTCTCCGAGCAGAAATGATGAGGTGTCTGTCTATTATCAGCTGTTCCCCTGGTATCCTGCACAAGGTGCTTCTAAGGCCGTCATGTCATCCTAGCTCCCAACCGTCGGAAATTGGTTAATCTCTGCGATATCTACAAGCTGACCTTGCATTCCGCTAGTATAGTCTTGCTGACAGGGCTATTGCACCAAAAGTGACAATGTAGCACTGGTGCTGCAGGATGTAATCACTAGTCATTTTGATGACCTATTAGTTTATTAGATAAAGCGGATGATTTTTATATGTATATTATGTTGCTTATTTTGCTTATGTTGCTTATGTTGCTTCCCCTTCTGTGCCGTGGTGCATCGGGCTCTGGCTGGGCAAGGCGATGCGAGATCGGGTAATCACTTGGACTTCGACTCCGTCTCATATCTGCAACCTTGGGGAGCAGGGATCTTGATAACGCAATAGTCTAGAGAACCAGAGAATAATGTGGTGAAAATATATCGGGATTGTAGGTTTGTCCGTCGTAGATACCAATGCTTCTTTATATCAGCTGTCGCACCTATATATAAGGTGCGGCTGACATTCTGCGTAGTAGAGCTCTTCATAAACGTTCGAGCAACATAGACTGACCTTGCATTTTATGTTCAATCCAATAGAATGATAGACTCAGGATCCGGGAGCCAGCTGCTCTCGTCTGTGCCATCCGATAGCCAGACTAACGGGCACACCAACGGCCATGCGGCTGGAGAGACTGCACCCACTGGGGTGTCCCAATCCCCCGTAGCCATTGTGGGCCTGGCCTGTCGTCTACCAGGGCATGTTCACACTCCCAAAGATCTCTGGGACCTCATGGCCCGCGGGGGTGTGGCTGAGACGAAGCCGCCCAGCACCCGATTTAACCTGGATGGGCATTATGATGGGTCCAAGAAACCATTTACCATGAAGACGCCCGGTGCCATGTTCCTAGAGGATGTCGACCCGGCCGACTTCGACGCCCAGTTCTTCAACATCAACCACATGGACGCTAGCTCGATGGATCCCCAGCAGCGGGTTCTCATGGAGGTGGCGTATGAGTGCCTGGAAAATGCCGGTATCCCCGTGGAGAGCCTGGGGGGCAAGCGAATTGGATGCCTGGTGGGAGCGAGTGCCGTGGGTGAGTGATCCATCCCCGTATGCTAAGTTAAGGCGGCATGACTGACCAGCCTGAAGACTACCACGACATGACCTGTCGGGATCCCGAGGATCGCACCGAGTCCCCCACGATGGGCACCGGTCGTGCACTGCTCAGTAACCGCATCAGCCACTACCTCAACGTCCACGGCCCGAGTATGACCATCGACACGGCATGCTCGAGCACCCTTATCGCCCTGGACATGGCCTGTCTCTACCTCTCCGCCAACCAGTGCGACGGCATCCTCGTCGGGGGTGTGAACATGTATCTGAGCCCCGAGAGAAACGAAGACATGGGCGCCATGCGTCCCACTGCCTCCGCTACGGGAAAATGCCACACATTCGATGCCAACGCCGACGGGTACGTGGCAGCGGAGGCTATCAACGCCGTCTTCCTCAAACGCCTGGACGATGCGGTTCGGGACAGGGACCCGATCCGGGCGATCATCCGCGGTACAGCCACCAATAGTGCGGGGAGGACCCCCGGTATCGCCATGCCGAACGACAAGGCCCAGGCGGCCGCCATCCGTATGGCCTACGCCAACGCGGGCATCCCAGAGGCCGAGTTCTCGCAGACCGGCTATCTCGAGTGCCACGGGACGGGCACGCTGGTCGGCGACCCGATTGAGGTGGAGGGCGCGGCATCGGTATTTGCGGAGAGCAAGTCCGCCGCTCATCCGCTCATCATCGGGTCCGTCAAGAGCAACATCGGGCACTCTGAGGCCGCAGCTGGGCTTTCAGGCCTGATTAAGGCAGTGCTCGCCGTCGAGAAGGGCATCATCCCCGGGACCGCCACCTTCATCACGCCCAATCCCAAGATCGACTTCGAGAAGAACCGGGTGCGCGCGTCGCGCAATGCTCTGGCCTGGCCCGTCAGCACGAAGAAGCGCGCGAGCATCAATTCCTTCGGGTTTGGCGGAGCTAATGGCCACGCAATTATCGAGGCGCCCGAGTACCTCCTCCGCGACCGCGTCCCCAAATACAAGTCCACCTTTGCCAACAGGGAGGGCATCAGCGAGGGTTTCTTCGACGATAGCGACGATGAAGACTCCATTGAAGACTCGGGGGTCTTGACCCCATCGCTCACCAAGCCGACAGTGATCGTGCTGTCCGCCGAGGATGAAAATTCCCTCAAGGCCTCCATCAAGCGCTTGTCTTCGCATATCCTCAACCCGGGCGTTCAGGTTGAGTTGGAGGATCTGGCTTTCACCCTCTCCGAGCGTCGAAGCAAACTCTATCACCGTGCCTACAGTCTGCAGACGGACACTCAGATCACATCGGACGCGTTCCAACTGGCGAAACCCTTGGGGCGCGACCTCCGCATCGGCTTCATCTTCACCGGGCAAGGCGCTCAGTGGCCGGGGATGGGAAAACAGCTCCTGGAGGCCTTCCCCCTCGCACGCAGCGTCGTCGAGAGTCTGGACACCGTTCTGCAGTCTCTCCCGGACCCGCCCTCCTGGTCCTTGGTATCAGAATTAACCGAGGACCGCGATTCAGCGCACCTCCGCAAGCCGGAGTTCTCCCAGCCGCTGGTCACGGCACTGCAGCTGTCTCTGCTAGCCGTCCTATCGCAGTGGGGCATCCGACCGGCGCGGGTCGTGGGCCACTCTTCGGGGGAGATTGCGGCGGCAGTAGCGGCCGGCTATCTGACGTCCGAGACAGCCATCAAGGTCGCCTTCTTCCGTGGCCAGGCGGGGAAGCAGCTGCGCCCTCAGCAGGCAGTCGGTATGCTCGCGGTTGGCGTCAGCGCTCATCAGATTGAGGCCTTCATCGATTCCGACGATGACCTGGTCCAGATTGCCTGCTTCAACAGCCCGCGCAGTCTCACCGTCTCGGGGACGGTGGCTGCCCTGGAACGGTTGCGAGATCGGCTGCAGGCGGAGAATCACTTTGCCCGTCTGCTGCAGGTCAACTATGCCTATCATTCCAAGTACATGAGCAGCATCGGCAAGAGGTACCTAGAGATGCTGAACGCTCATGGCGTCGAGGCATCACAGACGAAGAGCACAGATACGGTCATGTTCTCCTCAGTGACCG